GGTTGAGAGGCTTTCTGAGACTGTAGGCTGCGTTATACTGCGCTGGAATTCGTTCAAGAACCACTGCTGGAGTTGTTTTTGAGTTAGCTGAGGGTGTTGTTGTGCATATTGACGAAGGGCCTTCCTTTGAGAGACTGAAAGGCCAGGTGTCTTGCGGTCTGAAGGCATCTTTTTGATACCTGGTTTAGCCAATAAATTGATCAGGTTAAGGCAATATAGGCAGGTAAGAGGTTCACACCGAATTTTAGAAGTTGAAGCTGAAAGTATAGCGTTAAAGAGGTTATGTTCCTACGGAATATTGCGTTATCCAGGTTTGACTGTAGCCAGATTTCTACCGACAGGAGAGTTTCGACCTCGTGTGCGCCACAGCGAGGACCGGATACACTTGCACGTGTATTTGGGCATAAGCGCTACGCCTTGGTTCCAAGCGTCGCGCGTCGTCTTGCCTCGCGTGAAGGTTTTGGGAGTTCATTGGGAAAGGGGCGTTGGGGGAAGCTGGGAATTTGGAAATGGCGTTTCTGGAAGGACGGTTTGTTTGGGTGTGGTATGTGCATGGCTTGAGGGCTTGCTCGGGGAGTTTTTCGTTTCGGTGCCGAGGGGGTGGGTAAGGTACTGTAGGGAAGAGGAGGGTGTCTTGGAGTTACCGGGCTTTTGATTTGGATGTTGGGAGCTGCTGGGTTGGCCTGTTGAAGTCATGGACAGGAGGAGGTGATGTTGGGAGGAGATCTGTAGGGGAGATCCAACAGCGCCCATCATCATCAACATTGGAGCGTGGTGGATGGAAGGAAGATCATTGCTGCCCTTTGGCTTCGTCTCAAGACGGCATCAAATCATGACAGGCTGCACTACTCACCATCGCCGCCATCAAAACCCACCAGCCGTATACCTCCCTCCCAAACACATCCCGCTCGCACTCCCCTCCGCCCTCTCACCCTATCAAAACCCCTCCCTCTCTTCACAGTTAGCACTACCTCCACAGTCTTCGATAGCGCCAACGTCTCCCTCACTCCCGCCGACCGCGGAAGGAGTGGCCCGCACACGGCCGCCCCGTGAGTTTGGGAAAAGCCAATGTAGAATTCCAGTTTGTTTATGCAAACGCGTTGCGCGAGTCATGAGTCGCAAATGATATGTGTGTTGGCAGACGACGCGCTGTTGGGAGATGCAGGAACTTTTGCCGGCGGGTTTGGATTGAGGGCGATGCAAGGATGTTTTGGGCGCCGGCAGATGGGCGTTTCGGGTGAGGGGCGGATTCGAGGTCGGTTGGAAGCAGCGAGGACAGCACAGGCGAAGTTTGCGGCGTCGACAGCACGCTTCTGCCGCAGCCAATGTCAAGGAAAATGAAGCATCCTCTTCTTGATAATGCCAGCGTCTGAAGACTGACATCAGGGACAAAACAACACCCAACAACCCGGGTCACAACCCAACACCGCCAGCCACACCGCCGGGACAGGAGCAGGCACATCCCTGCTCTTCATGCAGGCATCACCTCGCCATTCCAAGGTGTCTTCTCCGGTGAGCTGGCACGAACAAGATCCTGATGATGGATGAGATGGTAATGGAAGGTTTCCCCAACATCAACATGGTGAACCAGGCCACTGACTCTTGGATGTGCGTTGGCGTTCAGGACGATGGTATGAGCCTGCGGGTCTGCTGCGCTGCGAGATGCAGGTCCGGCCCCAGCTGGGATGGGAGGTGATATACCGGGTCCTTGTTATAGGGAGAGAGTTGGAGAGGTCATCTCAACCGCAGGAGAAGCGTACGCTTGACGTCAAGGTTGGGGTGGACTGCATCACGCTTTGACGGTGACGAGGTGCAGCGGTGGTCGTCGACCGCCATTCTGGCTATATCCTCAGACTTGAGATCTCAAGGCATGTCTACAGCTGCCTGGAACCTGATCAGGACATAGGCCGATTTTTCGAAGCGCCCTTTCTGTGGCCATTCGACAGGCTGTTGGACGAATGCCAGAGTGGGCACAGCAGTGTGAGAGAGTGCAGGAGAAGGGCGAAGACTCTCGCGCTATGAACCCTGCTGAAGGCTATCAACTCCAAGCTTGATGCACCTTGGCATCGACACCGACAGTCCCTCTCGAATCTGGCGTCTTCACTACTGCTCGGGTTCACCACTTGGGCCTTGTAGGACCGTACCCAAGGCGGGAGCTTCGCCCAGATTTGGCGAGCCATCGTCATTCCACTTCACAATCAGCGAGCTGGCACTTCGACTTGAACCACATCCACCGCTCGAGTTCGTCACAGAGTGCCAGACATTCCACGTCTCTGAGCCGTCCGGACTTGTGAAAAAGGAGTTGTGTCCTGTGCCATAATTGCCATTAGCAGAACTGAAGACGGGACCAGTCTTGCTCCAGCTCCCTATCTCCATCGGATCGCCGCCGTTGTACTTCAGAAGACCAAGGGAGTAGGTTGGGCTGTCACAGGTTCCTGCCGAGAATGAAAGCCACGTGTTGCCTTCATGGTACAAAGCGTATGGGCCTTCGTTGAGTGGCGAGTTGCGGGACTCCCATTCTTCGGTCGGACTGGAAATCACCTTGGAATCGCCTGTCGTCGATGGACTGGTCCGTGGAGCGATGCAAAGGCTCTGCACGTTGTTTGGGCGGCATGCGTACACATAGTAGTCTGCGACTTGCTGTCAGTCTCGGAGCACCGAACAAGGGGAAATATCGCTCATGACTTACTTTGATCATTGACTGTGAGAAGTGTCCCATCGACGGAATAGTCCTCGCGGATCTGGCCAAGGTATTGAAACTCATCCCAAAGGTTTGTGCCGCCTGCACTCGTTAGCGACTGGTCGATCATACTGGTGAGATATTGTCCGACCTTGAAGCACATGCGAACGCTGCACACCCGGATCGTTTTCAGGACCTGCCGCATAGTAGATATGCCACCTGTAGCTATCAGCTACAAATTGATCAAGCCAAGATGCAATCCACATACCGCCCATCTACAAGATGCATCTCAGGCGCCCAGAGATTACAGCATCTCGAAGGAGTCGAGTCCCGCCACACATCCCTCACCTCGCCAGCCTTGAGGCCGTCCAATGTCCTTGCCCGCGTCATCTGCAGTACTGGAGGTGGACTTCCAGTTGCCATGAGGTAGTACCATCCATCTTCGTACACAATATTCGGATCGCCAGCATCACTGCCTTTCAATGGATTCGAATAGTCGGCTGCCCATACTGTTGCTTGAAGAAATGCGAAGATGAAATACAGACAGGACGAGGAAAGCGACAGCATGGCCACAAGACAGCGGTCTACTCCGGCCGAAAGGTACTCCTCAAGCGCAACACGTAACAAGCTGGGAAAGACAACCTTTATAGCCAACTTCATTTCTTACGAAACCTTACCACCCAGAACGATTCAGTCTCGGCACTGGTTCACCGAAAGCCAAGTGCCTCCTTGCTACGATCAGCAGAAATCCCCAGGCGGAACCATGGATTGGAGAGCCGACAAAGACTCGAAATGCACCAACGCCAAGAAAACAAAATTCCTGAATTGTATGCGCTGGAAGGTTGATCCCAGCGGGGGATTCTCTTAGCATGCCAACAAGCCGCCTCGAATAGATAATGGATCATGTCACGAGGTTGCGGAGATTTATTCGGTGACGAGTGCCATGGCAGATGTTGGACGGCAGGTCTTATAGGATGTGGTGACCAGCCACGTATTGGCTGGTGATTTGTCCCGAACGTAACGAGGCTGGGATTTGCGGTTTTGGGGCTGGTCATCAGCGGCTCCTCCACAAAGATCAACCGCAAGGATCATGGTGCGTGGATGGTGCTATTTCAGTGGACAGAGTTCTGTTGTGACGAATTGCCAAGGCTGGGAATCCGACGTCGTGCGAGACAGCGCGGGTTTGGCGCAGTGATCACCAGGCTTCTTGAATCTTTGGCGTTGATGCTGATGACATCGGCTTCTAGGACACGACCTGTCAATACTCCTCACGACGATGCGGCTGTAGCACATTCTCGCTGCCGCGGCCAAGACGTACTGCTCGGAGACCCTCGATTTCATACGGCGGCCAAGCACCTCCTCACTTGAGATCCCGTCTTGCATATCCTCATGCCAGAGCCTCTTCCTGGGAAATCAAGATCGGTAGTGGGGGTCATACCACGAGGTCTGCTCGGGTGCTACGCAGACCGTGTCCGCGGACACGGGTTCGGAAGGAAATGTTTACGGCTATTGCTCCATATCCTTCCATTGACATTCTCGCCACCCATCGTTGGGGACATCTCCGTCCGCGGCATCGCTGGGCTCCGGTGTCATCAACGCTTCTGTAACGATGCGATCACACCAGTCTTGCTTTGCATGAGTCGTGAACCCGACCACTTTGGGAATATCGAAAGCGAAAGGCTCACATGTGTAGTCTCCTTTTCCACGCGGCGCAGCAAGGAAGCTGATCATCTCCTCAGGAGTGGCTTCGAATGTAACCTCAGCGAGTTTCCATGAGTTTGGCGGCTTCTGTGGCCGGCGATTGTTCCAGCGCCGTTCTAGAATCGCTTTACCCACCACTGCCACGTCTGAAGAGATTGAGGAAAGGCGTATCAGAAGGCCCGTGTTGATTCTACCGGGGTGCAAGCAAACTACGATGTCGCCTGCCTCCGCAGCGGCCGGCACAACTACCTCCTGATAGCTGTCCTCTGAGAAATCTACCCATCCGTACGCAAGTGCGACAGCATCATTTCGTAGCAGGTCTTCACACACATCCTTCAATTCCATTGAGACTGGTTCGGGAGGGACATCGACATCTGCACTCATATATCGTGCAGGGCCACTCATGTCGATAGCGGAGCCAGGCCCTCGCAGGTCATCTGTGTCATTTGGATATGTTTCGGAGAAACTGTCGAGCCTGCTTTGTGCGAAAGACCTGTCGAATCTGATCAGCCGACAGACGAACGAGACCTCCAACTTCCAAATGCGTCTGCTTTGGCGTTGAGGAACGACTTGAAAAGCATTGGTAGACAAGAACGGCACCAGCGAAGGATCGTGCGCACTGACTTCCAATGTCTCCAACAAACAAAAGAAGTCGAATGGGTCAAGGCCTTCTCTTTCTTCCGGCGCAGAGACTAGTGAAACCGCAATGTCGAAGGCACTTTTCGTGTAGTCCGGCTGCAACGTCTTCAACCTGGACTTTGACCAGTCAATCAGGTGACGCATGGCGTACACTCGATCTCGAACATCCTTGCAATCTAAGCCCTTAGTGTCACTCGTGATCGAGTAATAGTCGTGAGAACCTGCGTGCCCTTTGAGGAGATTGTTGAGAACACCGAGCTGGATGCCAGGATAGGTATTGACTGCTCTTGTCTTGCGTTCAGGTTTGTCGTTTGACTCATACAGCTCGTCCGTGGAGGAATTCTCGTCAGCGGCCTCTTGGGCATTGAGGAGCTCTTTAAAAATATGTAGACGCCTTGACCACACATCTTGAAGTTCGTCATGCAACAAGAGCAGCCATTGAAATGCTTTGAAGTATACCTTCGGCGCCGACCCAAACATGAGAAGTATCCGGTTGTGATGCTGTCCTGCGTGTAGTTCTTGGACGATCCAGAGTCGACTGAAGTATGGCCTGCCACACAGCTGGTTGAACGCTCGATGAATGCGTATAAATACCTCGTCTTCTGCGTCGAGCCCGGAGGATAATTTTTCCGGTATCGCATTGAGACTGTTCGGCTTCGCCTTCGATTGAGACTGCCGATGCTCCCTGAAGTCATACTCAAGTTGTTGCCCAAGGATAACTTCCTCGAGCTCGGTCAGCAATGAGCCAATAATCTCACTGGACGAATCTGGAGGCCCAAAAGATACCAGCACGAACGCTGCTGAATGATAGATGTCCCACATCATAGCGACTTGTACACTCTTCTCTTGCAGGTTCCCCTGGTCAATGCAAACAGAGTCAATCCAAGTATAAGAAGAAGCTCTTGCTTGGGACAGGGCAAGGTGACAGTTCCATGTAACGTCCATAGGTATGTCATTTATTGTGACGAGATTGCGTAGCGTTGCGTCTCCCCACGTGTAAGAGATCGCCTGAAACGAAGGAGCATCGCAAAGGTCACATATTACGAATTCGTAGACCAACTCTGCCGCTCCATCCGGCGTGATGTTTCGCAGAAGACGGATCTGCTTAACGGGGTCCGCGAGAGGAAAGATTGAATAGATGCTTGTGTTGAGTGCTGTGTCCATGGTTGAAGAAAAGCAAAAATTCGCTTGCGGCTCGTTGATAGGGGTGACAGCTGTCGCTGGAGCTGAGCTGCTCTGCTCTGCTGCACCGGTGAGCATCAAGGTTGGGAAGCTGTGGTGGCACCACCGCGTGGCGTTGCTACGCAGACTCAGCTGCGCCCCAGTGATACATGGGGCGACGACCGCATTCTGTACTGATAGCACCAGGCTTGATTTATGCCTTATTGCATATGGCTGTGTGCGCTCTTTCGCTTTCAGGCCGAGATGTACGCATGTGAATTGTGCTCGATTAGGAAAGAGGGCTGTGCACGGACCTCGGGTGACCGATGCTTTACGAGAGGCCCTCACGCAATTACACCCTCTATACCGATGACGCGGTCTCGAAAAAGCGGCCGCTCCACGACCAATAGATGGAGCACCTAGCGCTCGTACTGTTGTCTAATTGTTGCTAGGAGCGGAACAGCAGGTGACGTTGCTTAGCGATGTCCGGGTCGAAAAGAAGCAGATACCCTTAAACTACCCGTGCTGTGTGATCTGAATCTAGGAAGCAGCATCTGAAGGGACGACCACCGGCTTCATAGTCATATTGCCAAGTGATAAGAATATATCAAGTCCCTAGGCGAAGGCTGTGTGAGTCGCTCATTAGATCGAAACTTCCTTCTTGAGATGCTACATCTTAATGGTCTTGCAGCTATTGCGGCCTGTAGTTGATCTGTTTGAGCAATGTGCTCATTAGGCACCACGCACACGGCGTACGTCGTAAGCAGGCTTCGTCTCGACTGGCATGGAAAAGTCTAGCTGCCTTGCTACGCAGAAATTGTCATAACGCATCCGATTGCCCGATTGATAACGCATAGATGCGAGGGAACATGACATCCCGTATAACAGTACCGGAATCATCAGGACCTCTGGTCGTTAGCAACTGGGCTTCGTTATGGTTCGACGGAGCTCTGGGTGCTTGCTGTCTTTGCTCCGAGCACTACTCAGGATCCCCAGATGGTGTCCGAGTTCGAATACCTCCAACTTCTTCATCAATACTTGGGAACCAAGACGTTGTTATCGTAGAGTAAAACGACCTCACGGTGTTCAAACCGATCAAGAGGCGACCTTCCATCTACATTTGATACTGGTCAGTGCAGAGACGCTAGTAGGTTCGCAACTTTTATAGTACATTTTCCAGGCCCTGGTACCTACCGCGAGAACACAAGCAAAACGCGCTCGACTCTCCTACCATGTCCGCGTTATTGCCATAGAGGTAGGTTCGCACGAAACGACTGATTAGTGAACCAGTAGCCACTCCAAACTACAGCTCAAAAGAGCTCATACCGGTCGATTCATTTCCTGTTCGGGGAGGACTACTGAGGTAAAATGATAGAAGCTAATCCCCAATGCGTTCGTGGCATGCTCTTCTGCAGGTTTGCCTATTGCTGTGCATACGCTATACTTGTGATCAGTGATTTGGACTCTTCACAAGCGCCGTGCCTCCGTTGATTGTTGCTTTTGGTTGGGTGGCATATATACAGGTGGGCGAGGTAAAGGATCCCGGATCTAGTACGTGTTTTCAACATGGCTACTCCCTGGGTGAGAACTCTAGCCATTGGCTGTATTCTCTCGTACATCCTCGCCGTAGAGGCAGCTCTCAACTGTCGAGACATCACCATCCCCGTCTCAGCCTCCGCACTCAACTTCGACTTCCCAGCCACCCTCAACCTGTCAGCACTAACGAGCGACGAATTCAGTTCCCTAACAAGCACCTACAGCACAAAACTGGTCAGTGGCACATTCCACATCGACGGAACCTACTGCGAGCCCTCCAAGGCCGTGGCGTCCAGGCGAAACACTCTTCAAATCCTCTCCCACGGCATCACATACGACCGGAAATACTGGTCCGGAACGCAGTTCAACACCAGTATATATTCGTGGGTCCAGTATGCGGCGAACGAAGGGTATCCTACGCTTGCGCTCGATCGACTCTGCTATGGCACTTCTTCCCATCCCAACGGGGTTTTGGTGTGTCAGGAGCCTATGAATGCAGAGATTATGCATCAGATCCTTCAGAAGGCTCGTCGGGGACAGATTGCGGGGAGGTCGTTCGAAAAAATTGTTTATGTGGGACATTCGTTGGGGTCGTTGATTGGGAATGTGTTGGCTCAGGTTCGTCGTTGACCTCACCTTAATCAAAGACAAGTACGACTCGCTGACAAGATTCTTCATAGATCTATCCCGCCGACGTTGACTCCTACATCCTAACAGGCTTCACCCCCTTCCTCGCAATCGGGGGCTTCGAATTCATCCTCGCCCTCGCACCCCTCCCCTCCATCCTCATCGACCCAGTCCGCTTCCCCACCCCAGACCTAGCCTACCTCATCGCCACAAGCCCCAGCGGCGCCCAAGGAACCCTCTACTACGGCGACTACGACCCCGCCGTCGCCGCCCAAGACTACGCCACACGCGGAACCTACCCCTTGGGCGAGATCGCCACGGTGCCTCTCGGCCAGCTCCCCGCGCTGGGGTATACCAACTCCGTGCTGGTGATGAACGGCGAGCACGACCAGGTGTTTTGTACGAGGGTGCCGACTGATCCTTTGGTCGGGTATCGGGGGAATTGTGGCGAGGGGGAGGGGTCGTACACGGCGCAGACGAGGCTGTTGTTTCCGAATGTCAAGGCGTTTGAGTTTGAGAATGTGGAGGAGACGGGGCATGATGTTGATTATCATCGGACTGCGCAGGAGGCTTTTGCGGTTGCGCATGGGTCTTTGAGTAGGCAGGGGTTTTGAGCAATATCTCGGTTACTGGCGCTCGGCTCCTTGCTTGCCAGAGGCTGGCAGATGGCCAGCTGCCCCTGAACACTTTGGCAAGGCGGGAAACATGTCGCGAAAGCAAAGTCTCTATTTTCGTTCTCACGTCGTCTCTTTCCAAGTCATCAGAAGGTAGCAAGCTTTAAAATTTCCGGAAAGCAAAAGAGAATAATGCTGCTCACAATGATTCAAGACAGTGACTCAGCCCCCACCCAGCCTGCTGTGTTACGAAAATCGCAGACACACATATGCCTACTCCCACTCCACAAACACCGGACTAGTAATAACCTTCCCACCACTCCACTCCCTCCCGACAAAATAAACAGCCTGCTTCTCGCCCTTCCCCTTCCCTTGCACCACAACCTCCCCTCGAACATCTCTCGGCAGCGGAGCATCAGCAACGACTTCCGTCGAAACGAAAAGCCCAACGCCGCCTTCGATGTCCAGGATTTTGCCGCCTTCCCGTGCAGCCTCTTGCGCTGAGGCTGAGTATTGAAAATTAGGTTGTGGTTTGTGTGGGTTGCCGAGGAGAGGATCGCCGACTTTGACGTAGCCGGAGAGTGTGCCTGAGATGCGGATCTTGATTGGGGATGGTTTTTGAAGGAGGTCTGGGTTGGCGAGTATGATGACCACGCCGTCGAAGTCGCCGCTCGTGCGGGTTTGGAAGTGGATCTCGTTGGGTGTGGTCTGTTCGATAACTTCCTCAGGCACGTCGAGGACTCCTCCGAAGGGCTTGATGCTGGCTATGTTTGTGGTCCCGCTGATGGAGATGGTGCCGTCCCAGACTGCTTCTCGGTAGCGATCGTAGAGGCGGGCACCGCCCCATTTGACGATCAGCACAGGCTGAGATGATGCAGCCTCGTTGCGAAGATTGCGATGCCAGAAACGTCCAGTTGCGTCCCACGCCTCAATCGACTCGAATCCCTCTTGGCCATAAAACGCATATTTCAGCCTGACCACCTCTCCCTCCTTCACAAGCAAATCATCACCCTGCATCTTCTCCCCACCCTCAGCAGAAACCAACCCGACCAACCTCTCCCCCGTCGTCGCAAACGTCCTCCTCGCCCGAAGAGCCCTCGCCACAGTCCCAGCATCCAACCTCTCAGCCAAAACCCCTGTCAAGCCCCCTTTCGTCCCAAACACCGCCGTCCCAGGGACACCTCCCCCACACCGTCCACGATGCTCGTCTGAATTGGCGCAAACGCCCATCTTCCACCCCCATCGAACAGAATCTTGAAGCAGCCACTCGAAATGCCCCCATGCACTTCCCACCTCCAGCAAGCGTTCCAGCTGAGGATGATGCCACGCAAGATTACATCTCCTCCCACCGACATGCGGGATTAAGAGATGCGACTCGGGAGCATGCGCGTACGTCGCGTAGACTTCGTCTAAAGGCCAAGCTCCGGGGACCAGTTCCGCAGGCCCGTCTTCGTTCCATTCGAAACTTCGCGCGACGTTGCCGTTTCGATCAAGGGGGAATTCAGGCGTGGAGGTTTGTGGATCATCGAGAAAAACCACATTGTGGTCGCCGCCGGCGGCGGAGTTGCCGCACCATTCAGTGCCGGGGTAGACGACCAACTCGCCGGGTTTGTTGATGGAGCGGATCAGGGAGAGGGTTTTGGTCCAGGCGGCGGAGGTGATGTTGAAATCGTTGGCGGTGTAGCCGATTATGTCGAGCCCGGCGATATGTTGGGCGTAGGAGAAGTTGTAGGCTGTGGAGTTTGTGCCGACGGTGTCGTCGGAGTGGACGTGGAGGTCGGCGAAGAGGATTCGGGGGATGGGGAGGGTGGAGTCGATTGTGAGGTAGGAGGAGGTGGTCTGTAGGCTCTTGCCAAGGTGGTCGACGATGGACACCTCGATGATGTACGGACCCTCTCCAGCAATCGTCAGCCTCGCAGACCCATACGTCCACCCCTCCTCGCTCAACACCACAGTCCCCTTCCAAACCTCCCCCCTCTCCCCATCCGCCCTCACAACCCTCACCCACCCCTTCAACCCCTTCCCATCAACAGTAACATTCCCCCACCGATCCTCAACCCGAACCCTAACCACAAACCCCTCCCCACCCCTCGCAACCCTCGGACTCACCACCTTAGCCCTCTCCCCCTCCCCAGCCTCAACCCCCAAAACCAAATCCGGCTTCACCCTCGCAAACCTCGACGTCCCCACAGGATCCACATACCACCGCATCCTCCACCCCTCCTCCACAAACGTCTGCACCCTCGTGCCCCTACCACCCCACCTTCGATCGCCCAGGCGAATCAGAATCTTGTCGCCCGGGTTGAGATACCCATCTACGATGTCGATGATGATGGCTTTCTGAAATGGCCGCTCGTGGCCCTTCTGGTCGAAGCGGATGGAGAGTGATTGTACCGTCGCGGGCGTTTGGCCGGGTAGAAGGGCGTTTGGAATGTACTCGGCGGAGATGTAGTTGTCCTTCGTGCGGGAGGAGGTTTGGAAGAGGGCCCAGTCCTAGATATTCATTCCATTTGATTAATCACACGATCGATTAATAAGATTGTTCGGTTCCATGCACGACTCACGGAATAGAATACAAAAGTCCCCTTAATCCACCCTCCATCAGCAAGACCACTCCCTCCCACCGTATAAGTGATCAAGAGCTCGGTCCATTCCCCAGCGACGAGGGACGTTCTATCGCATTCGATGCTGCCTAAGAAAGGTAGGGATTTGATGTACTGATAAAGTCCTTCGGGCGCAAAGTACGGCCCGGCGAGGGTGGCGAGTTGCTGATCGTCGAGCGTCTTCATCGTATTGTGTAACGCGGGATGCACAGGTGAAGTCAGTTTTGGTGAAATCAGAGATGCACGCAGGGCAAGACAAGATGCACCCCCTGTCATTGCGTGCTGATGGGAGCTTATGATGTGAAAGTCGAGGTCGCCAAGCGGCTTGCTGTTGACAGTGACAATACATTCATATGTAGAACTCATAGTTGACGCCGTGAGCGTAGTGACGCCCGCGGGTGCCATGCAAGAGCGGCAAAAGGCTCTGGATATCTTACAACAAAAACAATCCTTCTCTTTTTACAGCCCATGCCCTTTTTGACATCCACCCCCAAACGCCTGCGCTATGCGTCTATTCACACAATTCGTCAAAATTTAAGTTTGTTATAATCACAATCAGTGGAAGAAGTATCGGCTTTCCCGTAGCCTCCTCACGTCGAAATCGCCCTTCTTGGGCACTTCGGGGAATGTCAGAGGGAGCCAGACGAAGACCTTCCGTTGGTTTCTGCCCTTCTTCGCTTTGGCGGTTTTGGTGGTCTGCTCTGCGGCGACAACTTCTTCAGCGGCCTCAAGGGCTTCTGCTGGCTCGGCGTCGTCGAATTCGTCCTTGTCAGCATCTGCGGCATCCTCGTTTGGCTCTGTGACAGACGCGTGGAAAGACTCGTCGGCGTCAGTGTTGGTGGCTTCGACTTCCGTCGCAGCGCCACCGGGAATGTCTCCCAGACGCTGTCCAGCCATTTCCATTGGAGCTTCAAAGGCGCCCTCGTCAGCTTCAGAGGCCACGATGCTGCCAGGAGTCACCATAGCCTCTCCTTTGGCGCGCTCCTCTGGATCTTCGCTGTTGAGTAGTCGCATACGCTCTGCCTCGAGCGCTATCTCAGTCATGCCATCCTTGCTGTTTTTCATCTGCTTCCGAAGCTGTGCCACTTCCTTGCCAACCTTGCTGGTTGCCGCAACTGATGCCATGTACATGCAGCCCTTGTACCTCATCTGGAACTCCTCTCGCAAGCGGCCGATGATGTCTTCGCTGTGCATGGCAACGAAAGCATCACGTAGCACCTCGCTCATGCGGTTGACATCGCAGGCATGAGTCCAGAAAGAGTCGTGGATACTGGCGAAGGTCATACCATTCTCGCTGCACTTCAGCGCGCTCAACAACATATGCGTTGCATCGAGCGAGTGGATGAAGTTTGGCGGAAACGCTTGCAGTTGCTTTCGCTTACTCACTGGATCCCAGACTTGAGGTTCGTGCAACGACAGGTTCTGCATGCTCGTCACCACTGTGCGGGCCTTCGCCGTTCGATAAGGTTGAACCACTGGTAGTCGAAGAGGCGTTGTCCATACCACGGTGGACTTGAAGAGAGGCTTTGCTAGCTTCATGCGATGTGCTTCCAGATTAGTTATTGGTTTGGCTGGTGTCGTCGCAGCACCTGCGTCTGTCTTGGAACCCCTTTGTCCTCGCTTTGGTGCTGTCTTCTTTTCAGTCATCAGCTGCTTGATCTGTTCCGGCGTCAAGCAGGTGGAGATACGGTCTGCACAGACTCCAAGCCAGTCTTGGATGGCCTGTGCACCGGCAAACATGGTGCCGAGTGATTTGAAGATCTTGGTGGCAATGTAGTGTGACATGTTCCCATAGTTTACGACATCGTGTCGGTTGACCTCTGGAAACAGCACCTCCAATTGTTTGGCGACCTGTTGTCTTGCGCCGTAGAAAGTCACGCCGTAGACATTGGTCATGACAGGCTGCTTGACGCACTTTCTTGTTAAGCGGCCATGGAGCTTCTGGGCGATTGCATTGCCTTCGCTGGCGTCCTTTTCGACCTCCGTTTTCACAGCCTCGGCGACTGCGGTATATACGTCGGCAGGACGGTCACCAGGTTCGAGGTTGACTTGTGCCGCTCCAACTTTGTCTCCTCCCAGAGCGGCGTAGTGCTGAAGACCGTTACATGTGCCATCCTGCTGGACTGGCAAGTGCGAGACGAACTTGGTGGGATCAGGAGAGTCGAGAGCGTTGGTGAGTTCATAGCACGCTGCCAAAGTCTGCCAAGCATCTTCCGCTTCGAGCCACCATCGCCGACCGTCGAGAGGGTTTCTGACCGAGTCGTAGATATCGTCAAGGTGCGACATTGTAAATTCAATCCGTTCTTCCATGCTGGCCTTGTCGTGTCCAGCAACGGTGGCCAGGTGAATTTTGAGCCAGCGCAAGCCATCTTCGCCCAATTCCTTGCCATCGGCAAAGACGAGAAGTCCCCTCACGTTGTCTGCTCCCATGTGGTTGAGGTAAGGCGGGATCGGATACGCTCGTCCACGGAAGTCCATGTTGTGGGGAAAGTATAGTGTTTCGTTCACCACGGTTCTCGCGATCTCGAGCTGGAAGTTCTGGAAACATCGCTTCGAATGAAGACCACTCTTTTTGTTTTCGAGTTCACGCACCTCCATCAACCATCTCCGCCGAGCGTTCGCATCCGATGGATCTTGAGGTTCGGGTGGTAGCGGCATATCAGGATGAAGGGGTGCAAAGTTGGCGACTTCATCCCCAGAGTTCCAAGCCTCAAGCTGCACCTTGAACACGTCCGAGTTGACCTTCCAAGGGACTTGACCCAGAGCTGTCAGACCTTTGTATACAGTTTCGAGCTCCTTCTTGTCATCCGCTGCCATGAAGTAGTCTTTGCCGGATCTGTCACCAACAGGAAGCCGAAGGATCGGGTTTGGGTAGTGCAAGTAGCCGCCTTCACTCCATCCTGTCCAAGGCTGGGGCTCGACCACCATGGGCATTCGCTTGGCTAGGAGGCTTCCTACCGGCTCGCTCTGCATCTTGTCAATGAGTGCAGGATTTGGGACGATCAACCCGATCTTCTTTCCACGTTGATACTTTACGCGATGCAGGAAAGCTGGCTGCAGTTGCGTCACTTTTTGCTTGGTCCTGGGATGTTCTCGCGTTACAGGAAGCTGCGCGGTCTCAATAAGTTTCGAGATTAGCATAGCGCCGAGCTTCACTTTGGTGTTCGTCGGCCACTCGAGCGATGCCAGCACCTCCAGGTTGTGTTGTTTCTTGGACTTGCTCTTCTTCGTAGTCTGCTCTGAAGTTTCCTCATTCTTCAAAGCACGAAGTGTTTTCTTCCTCAGCCGACTCATACTGCCTCCTCTGGCCCTTCGCTTCTTGCCTTGCTGCTTGACAGACGCTTCGGTATGGCATTCTGATTCGATTGCTGAAGCAAGCCCAACGGTGAGATTTCCCAGTTTGACTTCTTGGTCGTACTTGTTCGTGGCACTATCTTTGCCAGCGGCCATTCTTGACGTTGTGAAGAGAATCGTGTTGGCGGCTACTTTCGGGAGAGGCAGAAGCTCGAGGTACGGACCGTATATGTGGCGATCGTTTTCGAACCTCGAAGGCGTACTGAGAGCTTTCTTGACCTCTTCAAGCTCGCGCTCAAGGGCTGGAAGCAGCGTCTGGTACCATTGCCACATTAGGGCCGAAACAGGTCTGCTCTGCATAGCCGTGTGAATCCCGATCTTCTTCAAATCTTCATCAGCCTTACGCCATCGATCAACTGCGATATCCACTGATGTCTCCTCAAGCCGTCTTTGCCTCTCGTACGCGACTTGCCGATGTGTCTCAGGAGAAGCATCCGCCGGGGCAGGTGCAATATCCGTGAAGGTGTTCATGGCCCGCTTGATACCAGCCAATCCCACTCCCTTCTGTTCCGTCGATCGAACTTCCGGGATAGTGTCCATGTCCACCAAATCCGTTCTTCTCACGTGAGCACGGCTTTTAACCTCCTCTTTGGCTGGCTCAGGGGCAGCATCTTGCTGCTCAGCTTCGACGTCTGCGTCCACCTGTTGAGTCGCTCGTCCAAGGATTGCAAACTCGTTGTCGTCGTACTCTTCGGAAAACAGAACCTCGTCCATAGCATCGTCACCAAGCCCGCGAGACAGATCAACATATCTGCGGATTGACCGATCGCGTCTTGAACCTTCCAATGATCGGATCGCAGCCCGCATCATGATGACGAGCATCTTCTCGTTCGGTTGTACCCCTTTACCCCGAACTTCCACTTCAAACCATCTTTGCATCTCCCTCAATGCCATGTTCGACAGTGGCGAATCGCGACCGTGTGTTGCTAACGTCTTGAACAGGTCTTCCAAATAAGCAGCGTGCGCATGGCTTGCCTCGGGCGAATCGGGTCCGCACTGCTCGGCCATTCGCTGGGCAATGGCTGCAGCACGATCCCTTCGTCCAACTGCCAAGCTCGTGTATAAGTGTTGCAAGAGCTCTTTCGATGTGCCAGTCATTCCAGGCAGTACTTTGATCAGCGTATCAGGCGCGACGGTCGTCGTGTTCAGCATGATGGGATCGCTGCGGAAACGATTCAAGGTCGGAAACTGAGTCGGAGGACGATTCGAGAAGTCGAAGGGGATGTGTTTGTCCGCGACGCTGCGAAAGCCGGTGCCATAGTTTGGTGGTATAAAGTGATTATCGGGGCGGATGCTGTAGTCGTCTGTTGCCGTGGCAAGACGCCGTACCTGGGTTCTCGACCGTGATGTGTTGGGCCCATTTCGTCTCGTTGTCGGCGATGCAGTCGGCGAAGGGGTCGCTGCTCGTGATGCGCTCCATCGCAGCTGCGCCGGTGCCAGCCATGGAAGATTGAGCTGGGCAAAGGAGGCGGCGAGGAGTTGTGAGGTTCGCCTTTGGTGTCTCCGTCCAGCAGAGCGAGCGAGCATCTTTCCAGTCTTCAGTCGCACTTGGGAGCTCGTCGCCCATCTGCCTCCCACAACCACACTCCAATGCGAAATGAAGGACGATAACAAGACACGGCTGGTTGATGAAATGGACAGACTCGATGAGCAGTGCACAAATCTTTCACGTCCAAGGCACGCGAGCAACAGGGTTAGCTTGGTGATGGATTTGCCGACGCCGGCTGAGCCCCGACCAATCGTTTGCCACCGAATTCTGCCTCCTTCTCCTGACTTCACTCTCCGCCTTGTCGACGTAATAGATGCCCAGTGCCACGATGGTGGTTGTTCAAGCGCCGCAAGACTCTGTCCTGTTGGAGCAGAACTCGCATTCCATGCACAGGATGATGGCGCCCTGCTAAAGCTTGACACTTAAGCCCGGACAGTTGGGACGAATACAACGTGTTTCCGCCGAGAGACATGATTTAAACTGGCCATTTTCATGTTGAAACCGAGTGTCGAGATGAGCTGGACGTAACTACTTGTCGCTCATGCAAGGTGGGCTGGTGGTTGTGGCAAGCAGCCTTCAGAAAGACGCCTCATAAGCAGAAGGTCGATGAGCAGCGATGAGGGTAACCTATTTATTGATCTTGGCTCAGATTGCAGCAGAGACAAGCAATGTGAAAACATGAAACATTCACCAAACGAGATAAGCTCGGTAGGTCTGTTGGTCTTGATGCAGGCGTGTTGACGGGTGTTAGGGAAAGAACGAGCGGACCTCCTTCCACGCGCACGCCAACCTTGTTTCAACGTCACTCCATTCATCTTCTGCACACATCCCGCGTACACTCAAGTCATCACGGCAATGCTGGAACGAAAGCGACAACATGGCTGATGTGACTCCCCCAGCAAGTCAGATGAATCGCACGCTAGCCTTCAGCAACGACCCCTACAGCACCACCAGCCTACATCATAGCCTTGATCCGACGTACTCGGACAGTGATGGTATGCAGTACTTCGATTTTGACGCGTTTGGCAACGACGCCCACTCTCAGCGTCAAGCATCGCAGTACGATGGCCATCACGCTCCTGATGTCGATACTTCCACGGAGTATGGGGCTTTCGACGAGACAGCTTATCCTTTAGAGCCGCCCATGTACGACAAAGACTACGACTACGCTGAAGAGGTAATGGCGCACGACCAACCTACTGCGCCAGAGGATGGAGAGACTCTGGAGCAGGACGTCTCGGATGACGAAGACGGGGCTGCTCTCCGCGCTGCTCTTGCCAACTACCGCAATGACAACCCAATGCGGTCTCGTCTCATTCCAAACCCGCCAGAGAACCTTGACCAAGAGTTTGCTCATCCTGAAGAAATCACCCAATCGGGACGTTCGGCTGACTTGACGACGGTCACTGGCGACGAAAAGTGGCACGTCGACAAAGAATCGGCGGAATTCCTGGCGTCTGTCATGAAGCTCATCTCCGACCACGACCTTGGAGAGGCCATTCAGCGCTCCACCCGCAATCCGCTGCGTGAGCTGAAGCTAGAGGAGCCTATCCTGAAAAGCGACCCACAGATGGAGCTGATCAAGCTGATCGAGCGCAACGAGGTGCACTTGGCAAGTGAAGGCATTGACGGATGTGCACTGGATGACGAGAAAGACGAGGGCTTGAGATGGCCTGAGAAAGTACGCCAGCTGCCTGGGACGCTGCATGGCGAAATCATGAAAGCGAAGCTCGAGATCGACGCAGAGACGATGGAATACCTTTGCGACATTCACGAGGAGCCGAAGGTCGACCTTGACGACTGGTTTAAGCAGGATCGCGAAAAGAGAGTGAGTGAATCATCACTTGACACTGCATACGTATTGACAGCTCGTAGCTACCTCCTGGGCATGCATCGCCTAGACTTGTCTCCTTGTCGCCGCCCTACAGCCCAGAGAGCATGGATCCAGCAGCTGCACAGCTCCCACTCACATCATCGCCGAAAGATCTCGCTGCCCAAGAGGCGAACGCAATATCAGCATCTGTGATGGAACGCGATGATTTGGCAATGCAGAAAGGTGCCGAGGAAGCCACGAAGTCATAGGATGACTTCGCTGCGAGTCCCTCATCACCACATCGGCGTCAGTCCAAGAGAGCCAACGATCTGAAAGTCTCCAGCCCGTTACTGCCTCTCGAACAGTCTGAGGAGCCACCATCCAAGAAAGTAAAGATGGTCTGCTTTTCTGACGAGCTTGAGACACTGATACCTAAGCTTTCCGACGACGATATGATCGACATGCACGAAGTCGTCGACGAGGTCTCTGCTGCGCTTGGACCTGCCATCGAGCGAGCAGACAAGTCAGTACAACAGCGAATGCTCAATGAAGGCCTGGTGGAGATAGATACTACGCTCAGGATACCGGTCCCTGCCATCGAAGATGAACGCCCAACTCCGCCCTGTGAGATCTATGCAGCCGGCGAAGGCGACTCACAACGCCGTCTCATTCACGAAACTTATGACAGCCTCCCACGCTCTGAAATCAAGTGGAGCGGTTCATCAAAGTCGGAGCAAGCACTTCAATGGGGACCTTTCCCTCTCCACCTAGGCAAACCCAAGCCTGAAGGTGACTTTGACGACGGATCATTGGCTAGATACATGTCAGAGCTTGACCTCATTGGCGATGTGGATCTCGAACGTTTGACTTGGAAGCCTGATGGTCTGCGGGTGCTGGACATCGACGAGGTTGAAGACGACGAGCTGGACACTGCGGATTTTGAAGGCGAAGTGGACATACCGAACGACGAAGCCGTTGTGCGTCTGCCTTCTGTGATCACCATTCCGCCTCCGGCTCCGTCTCTTCGTAGTGTCGCGCCAGCTACAACCAAAGATCGGCCACACCATTCTCAAGATTGGTCATCGATGGATGCGCTCCTGCAAAAGCGAAAGTTACAAATGCAAGACGGCAAGAAGACTACCAGGGAAGAGAGCGGCCTGGATATGTTCGCCAGAGTACAGGGCTTTGCGAACGCTGTCGCCGAGACCACGACCAGTGAACTTCTGTCTAATCTGCAGAAACCTCAGCCATCCGCAAGGACGCCGGATGCTGTTGAAGCAGCCTTCGCCAACCCTACAGATACCAGCTACGAAGTGACATTTCCAGCTCCAGCTCCCGATTTCCAGGTATCGGCAGATCCATTGCAGGTCGTCATATCGTTCAACTTGATGCAGAACCATCAATTCGTGCGAAGGCTTCAGAAGATGCTACCAGCTATCGACTTGATCGAGAGAGACTACACGGCGTTGCCATCAGAGACTTCAAAGCAATCCACTCACGGCAGATCCAGTTTAGAAGCAGATATTACAATATCGCCCAGTACTGGTCTCATGTTCACGAATCTGCAGAAACTCCAGCAGAAGCCTCTCCCCGGACAGACGAGCTCATTTGGGATCCAGGAGCAGATCGCCGTCGTTGCCACTCGTTTCGAAAGACTCATCGTACTTGTGGGCGACAGGCCAACGATGGACGACGGTCAAGCTCCGCTACACATGATGGATGCCAACGATTCTGCCGCCATTGCAGACCTGATCAACCAGACGACCGTCCTGGAGACTGACGTTGAGGTCGTCTACGTTGCCGGTGGGATCGACAATCTGGCCAGGTGGGCAGCAGCAACAATCTCTCGTAATGTCGTTGGTGACCATAGGCTTCTTCGAGAGGAGACGCTCTGGGAACGCTTCCTTCGCAAGGCAGGCATGAACGCACATGCGGCGCAGGCTGTACTCGCAGCAATGCAGCCTGCGCCGTCTGCATCAATCCCAGCGAGCGACAGCTCGCACACTGCATCATCAGCAACCACCATCAACTCTGGGCTTGCCAAATTTGTAGCACTAGGTCCCGAAGACCGAATCCAGCGCTTTGGACCGATGATGGGAGGCGATCGAGTCCTTCGACGAATCAACCGAGTACTAGACGCAGGATGGATGTCCTTGTCCTAAGGTAATCTGTCGCTATCATGATTTGGAAGAATTTGCTCAATGCTGTCAAAATTTCGAAACACCGCATGTCGTCTATATATACCCAAGCAACATCCTTGCTATTTGAGACCACATGACACCGTCCAACCGAGGCGTTTGTCAGTCTGTCAAATGCAGGAACAAACACATCTCCTCCAACGAATCATCTTTTCATTACCCAACAACGCCGCTGAGAATTGCATCCCATCCCACGCTATGTGAAGGCCTCCAGGCACACACACCCACGACACCTATCCTCACGGCTGTTCCTGGAGATCTGTCGAGACCTAGCATGGGATGACACGGGAACTAGTGACGCAACTCCAAAGTCAAGTCAACCGTTTCACCAAGGCACGACCGTGGGGGAGAATTCCTTCGACGTGGTACAAAATGAGACGTTCACCCACGGTTGAACGAACACCTCTTCAACGTTGCTTGTGTCCCGACTTGTACCATGGCTCGCGGACGAGAGAGACAGCCATGTCGTAGCGAGTCAAGGATGTCTGGCTGCGGCTAGGCGTTCAAGAAATGCGGGCGCTAGCTCTGATGGCCACTGAGCTTCCATTTTTCATCCACATGCCATCCTCCCTCACTGTTTCTTCTGCCCGGCTCAAGGGTGGCAACTCGGAGCGCAGAGGCTGATTCTTCTGCTCCATCGCGGACCCATTCGTATCGTGCATCATCATCATGGCTGCCGACAGCTGCTAGTTTCACGGCCGACGTGACCTTCAACTCACCATCCTCGCTGTCTGACGTCGTTCTTTGTCGCTGCTCCATTGCAGCCGGCACAAAGAAGCTGCCGCTCAGAGCAAACCGCACTTCAACCGCACTTCAGTCGTTCACGCGCGACAGTTGAGCTTGGTGCTTGGGAGCTACCGCCGTCAACGGCATTGTTCACCGTGGTCGTGTGCTTCGTTCCTGCCATTGCAATTTCCTCAACTTGACCTGCGCAATAGCAGCGAAGATCTTTGCATTCCAAACTCCATCGCCACCTCGACGATGAAGTTTGGGCAGAACCTTCCGCGCAACCAAGTCCCGGAATGGGCATCGTCGTACATCGACTACAAGGCGCTCAAGAAGCTCATCAAGGCCGCGAAGAAGGAGAAGGATCAGGATGGGGACGAGCCAGACCTGGCTGGTACTGCGCAACGGTGAGACTGCCCTGGGCGCGATGGATAACCTAACCGTCCTGCAGAGTTCTTCTACACTCTTGACCGCCAGCTCGAGGATGTAGATACGTTCTACAACCGCAAGTACGCCGAGTTCTCGCGCCGATTGCGACTCCTGTTCGATCGATATGGCATGGCTTCGAAGTTGAAAGATGGCATGGACCGCGATGATATGGATGACCTTATGGGTGCTCTGCTTGAGCTTAGAGGGCAGTATCGCAAGTTGCAGTGGTATGGGGAGGTCAATAGGAGGGGTTTTGTTAAGATCACGAAGAAGTTGGACAAGAAGATTGCGTCTTCTACAACACAGAGTCGATACCTGGCTACCAAGGTCGATCCGAAGCCATTCGCAACGAACAACAAGTTGACGCTTGATATGCGCGCCATAAACGATTGGCTGTCTCAGTTGGGAGAGGTCAGAGTGGTTGACGATGCCAGTTCAGTACACTCAGGAAGTTCTGGCTCCATTCACCGCATGGGATCGCGATCGACTCTCAAAATACCTTCGGCGACGTTGGAAGCATTGGAACAGGCGGTGAAAGACGAGGACATCACAAAGCTGTTTGAGTTGGTCAACTTGGCCGCCCCAGGCAATGGTGCTCAGAAAGGCTTGCTTCTGGACTTGCTCCAACGAGCAATCGCATTCAGATCGTTCAATTCGATCAAAGCCATCCTCAGCAAAGTTCCATCAATCGACCCAGAAGATGATTTGAACAAACGCAATTGTCTTCACAAAGTCCTTCTCGCGACTGGACGCGCACGTGCGAATCAAGATGCGGGAGGGTTTCAAGAAATCTCGAAGGCGACCACATTCATTAATGCAGCGCAGCCTCCTGTTCGAGCGCCGGGAGCATTCAAGGTCGAGGAGCGAGACCCAGAGCAGGATCCAGGAAGAGACGTCGAAGCCGAGAAATTGTTGAACTTCATTCTTGACCATCTGACCGAAGAGCAGCGGCCTGGTGTTCTTAGTAAGGATGTCTACGGTCGTATGCCCCTGCACTACGCTGCCCAATATGGTCTTGTGGTTGCCAGTCAGATTCTCATGAAGCACTTGCAGGATTGGAATCTTTTCGACATCTCAGAGGGGATCGATTCTCCAACTTGGCAGGATGAGGAAGGCTATGCGCCGCTTCATTTGGCTGTGATCGCAGGCCACTTCCGAACCTCGAAGGCTTTGCTACTGGTCGACGATTGGCACAACTTCACCGATCACCACCTCACCAGCAAGCACGTGGAGAAGAGTGGTATGTCTTTGGCTCTGGCCACGAAACAGAATTTGTTCAAGATCGTTGCGCTTCTGGTAGATGCTGGTGTCAACGTCAACTTCCGCGACGAACAAGGCGAAACTGCGCTTCACATCGCTGCTAGGTTCGGCCATGAAGAGTGCACTCGCGCTCTGCTAGCCGCAACACAAGGCGAACATCGCATCAATGTTGAGATTGCCGAGAAGACCTATGGCTGGACTCCACTCTTCATCGCCTGCGTTAATGGACATTTACCGATTGCGAAACTTCTTGTTGATGCTGGAGCTCAGGTGAACAAGCTGGACTCGTCGCTGTGGACGGCAAAGGAACATGCCGCATTGCGAGGACATATGGAAGTCGCCAAGTATCTCTCAGCACTCACGCCTCCACCAAGTCTCCATCCAAGTCCAGAGTTGGCTGCGCAAGCGCAAGAGTCGGCGGCGCCTACTGTGGTCTCATCGTTGGAAGATCGACGTTCGAATGGAATGCCAAAGGAAGAGCTCAAGCCTCGTGTGCCAGAACCTGTCAAGTCCTTCGGTCATAGATACTTGACAGACGAATCGATGGTCTTGGTCAGTCTTGGAACGTTGGACGAAAACAAAGACATCCAGCCTATCACGCTGGAGAATATTGCCATCAACGACGCCCACGCAACACAGCTCGACACAGCTTTGTCGTTGGTTGTGTCAGCTCAAGGTGCCAATGGAGAGTCTACTGTTATCGATTTGCCCATCCAGGAGGAAATCAGCACTTCCCCCATCACGTTCATGACTAAGGATCCATCGAAAGTCAAGCTTCTGTTCGACCTGGTTCCAACGTATGCTGGATCTACTGATAAGCGTATCGCTCGCGCGGTTGCCTTGCTTTCGAGCATCAAGCCTGGTGTGGGCAACAAACGCATGACTTTGCAGACTGATCTCAGCGTGCCTCTTCTCGCAGGTCCCGACTTTGATGTGATCGGCTCCATCAACTTCAACTTCCTCATCATTACGCCGTTCAAGCACCCCAATGTGAGCATCAGCGGAGAGAAGACATACTGGACCAAATCTTCTACAATGGTCATCGGCCATCGTGGTTTGGGCAAGAACATGGCGACAAAGACTTCTCTGCAACTTGGAGAGAACACGATCCAGTCATTCATCACAGCTGCTAACTTGGGTGCATCGTACGTCGAATTCGACGTCCAGATGACCAAAGATCATGTCCCAGTCATCTATCACGATTTCCTGGTTAGCGAGACTGGCGCCGACGTCCCCGTACACACCCTGACTCTCGAACAATTTCTCGCCCTGAGTGAGACACCCAAATCCACGCGACCCTCGACACCCTCCCAAACCGACGGCGACACCAACGGCAAAGCCCGCAAAGACGCCACCGACCGCGCCCGCCTCACACGCTCCTACTCCGTCGGCGCGCCCTCGCAAGACAAAACCAAAGACCGGCTAAAAAACACGCGCGACTTCAAAGCCAAAGGCTTCAAAGGCAACATGCGCGGCGAATTCATCCAACAACCCTTCACGACGTTGGAAGAAATGTTCAAAACGATCCCAGAAACCGTCGGCTTCAACATCGAGATGAAATACCCCATGCTCTTCGAATCCCTGCAGGAGGAAATGGATACCTACGCGGTGGAGCTCAACTCGTTCGTCGACACGGTGCTCAAAACGGTCTACGACCTGCGCGGAAGCAGGAATATCGTCTTCTCCTCCTTCCACCCGGACATCTGCCTCCTGCTGACGTTCAAACAACCCTCCATCCCCGTCCTCTTCCTCACCGACGCGGGCTGCTCGCCCGTCGGCGACATCCGCGCCTCCTCCCTGCAGGAAGCCATCCGCTTCGCGTCGCGCTGGAATTTGCTCGGAATCGTCTCCGCCGCGGAGCCTTTGGTTCTCTGCCCGCGCCTCATCAATGTCGTGCAGAGTTCCGAGTTGGTTTGTGTTAGTTATGGGACGTTGAATAATGATCCGCGGAATTCGAATTTGCAGGCAAGGGCGGGGATTGATGCGGTTATTGTGGATAGTGTGGCGAGGGTGAGGAAGGGGTTGACGGAGAGTCAGGGGCAGGTCGGGATGGGGGATGTGGGGGAGGGGTTGGAGAGGAAGGTTGAGGAGGTTGTGTTGTGATGATTTGAGGGGGGTGGGGGTGTGCGATTCAACATGGACTTTTCTTTTTGTGTTTTGGGTGGTGGTTTGGTTTTTTCGTTTTCGGCATGTTGGTGCAGGTGGAGCTCGCGACCTTTATCCGGGTTTGCTGGAGCCTTGAAGTCGTTTTTCATTGATTCATTCGAGCGATGATGTTAGTCCTCTCTCCTCTTCGGAAAGGGTATCAAAGCTAGATCTGATTGCATTGCCCGGGCTTTCTCGCGACATACAGTATAGCTACAACAGTTCTCCTACACCGCCAGATAGAAGCAAGCAAGCAAGCAAGTAAAGAGTCTTGTTACGAAGTGTTCACAGCATGCAGCAAATCCTCATTATTGATCCCAGGGTATCATAATGCACTCTCTACAAAATACAAACAACTATCACTTCTGTCACAATCCACAAGCGATGAGCGAGAGCCAATCTCCCGAAAGTTTTCCGTTCGGATGTTCATCCTTTTCAGCGTCGACCAGGCGCCGGAGCGCGAAAGCTCTTCAGCAACGACGGAATCCGTGACCGCTTGCTCAGTCCGACGCGGTAGTTTGCAAATGACGAGCCTTTGATCGGGGAATGCGTCGTGCTGGGACTCGGCTTTGCGGGCGTCTTTTGCGGCGATGGGGGAGTCGTGTCTGAGGGCTGCGCTGGCTTCTCGGGGGCCGTGTCCTTGGTGGTTGTGTCACTGTCTTTGGATTGCGGTCTTGCGTTGGCGTCTTTCCTCTCGAGTGCGGATTTTGTAGGACTGCTCTGAGCGCTCGCTGCTGCAATATCGGATGTGCTGGTTGTGTCGACCTGCTCTGCTGTCTCTTTCTGCTTGGCAGCTTTGTCTGTCTGAGCCTTTGGTGGCCGCCCACGAGGTTTCTTCTTCGGTGGCTCTTCAACTTCCAATTCAAGCTCGTCCTCTTCCTCTTCAGAATCCTCGAGCACTCGCTCTTTGGACTTTGCCTTCTGCGGCTTCTGCTTGGCGGGTCGACCTCGCTTCTTGGGTGCAACGTCCTCCTCTTTCTCTGATATATCTTTGGCGAGCTCGTCTTCATCGTCATCGTCTTCATCATCTTCCACGATGGTTCGCCTCTTTTTTCGCCTGTCTTGCTTGACTTCCTTCGGCACATCCAACGGTGCCGACTGCCTACTTGCCTGCTGCTGGCTGAGAGTGGGTGACTTTTCGGTGCGATTGACGTGGTCTTCAAAGATGGTAGTCTTGCTTCTCCGGATCTTCTTGGAGGCGCTGGCAGGTACCGTAGGCGGCTTCATGAGTATCGCATCGGCAGCCTTCTTGGCAGACGCTGCATCTTTCTCAGGATGGTCATCAGGCTGCAATTCTTGCTGTGAAGTTGGGCCTGGGTTTGACGGAGCTGGTTCTGGCGGTTGTACCTGCTGGCTAACGTCCTCACCAATCGTGGCAGATGTGTCCTGCTCGTTTGTCTTGGATGTTGCAGTGGTGTCAAGGGCCTTGGATTGGGAGGCAGCTGTAGCGTCTTCATCAGTAGGTCGACGGTCTGGTGCGGTAGTCTTCCCGTCTGTAGTTTTACGTCGCTTGTTCGCAGCTTTCTCGGGGATGACGGAGTAGTCAATTGGCTCCTCGAGAACAGCAGTCGCTCGTCGACGGCTAGGTCTCGGTTTGTAGTTTTCCTTGGGCAGTCCAATAGCTTTGTCGTCAGAGTTGAGTGGCTCTTCGTCATCCTTTGCCTTGCGCTTGCGACTTCGTGATTCCTCGCGGTCTTGAGTACTGCCGTCGTCTTGAGAGGGTTGATAGCGTGGGATCTCCACGACAGGACTGGACCTTGGTGGGCGAGACTTTGATGGAGGTTGGGCAGAATCTTCAGATGTATTAGCAACAATCTTGTCGTTCTTGTTCAGTGGCTCGTTTGGCGGAATGTCAGTCTTCTTCGCGGCCGTCTCAGTTGGTGGACGATTCGGCGTCTGCTTAGTCGCTACCTCGATAGTGTCATCAGCATTGTCGACTTGTCCCAAACTTTCAGCCTGGGCAGCTGGCATGTTTTCGGGCTGAGCTTCAGGTTGCCTGTTCGTGGGTGATTGCGTTGCGTCTGCTGATGCTGACCAGGGAAAGGACGAACTCTGCTGTCGTTCAGCGGAGGATGCACCTTTCTGCCCTGAAGCCACGATGGTCTGTCCGCCGTTTTTCAACGCCTGCTCGACAAGTCTCTGCTGAGAGGACTCATTGAAGGCGTTAGTGCTGCCAGTGTCTTTGAACATCAAGTTTGGCTCGTGGTTGATGAAGTCCTCATGAATGGTTCCTTCCGGCAGTCCGCTTGATGGATTTGGACCACTCGAATGCTCAGTGAACTTGGCGGATTGGGATGTCTTCACGGGCTCGGCGTTGTCATCGAGTTGATTAAAGGCTGCATCCGCGTTGGCTGCAGCCTGGAAAGTGCGGTTGCTCTTGCCGTAGATTTTGACGTTAGTAGTCTTTGTCCGTCTCACGCTCTTCGGTGGACTGGCGACAGGCTCAGAGGCAATGGCAGTAGACTTCCGGCGTTTGTCCTTTTGCAGCACGGGCGAATTTGATGTTGCCATGGCGTGCGTACTCAGGGAGGCGGTAGCAGCAAGGTTTCGTTCAGCACTGAGAATCTGTCTTCGCAGTTCTATCAATCCAGTCAGTCTCATGCATTTGCCATCATATGTCAAAGAGTCTTCTTACCAGAAGAGGTGGTGCTTGCAGGCTGTTCATCGCCCGCTCCATCGTAATTGGGGAAGGTCTCCAACATTGCCTCAGCTTGGGCCGCATAGGCGGAGAAGGTGCTTCGCTGGGAAGGTCCGTCATCGAGAAGGATCTCGTCCTCATCTTCCGAGTCACAAATGGCCGGCGGCATGTTTGGTCTCTGTCGTCATCCGTCTCAATGGCAAGTGTGGTGTTGATGGGCTTAGACTTTTGACGCGTGCGTGACGCGTTGTGATGGGAAGTGCGGTAGACAGCGATCGGTTTCGGCGACGAAGAGCGGCGCAGTTGATGATATCGAGATGTTGCAATGAAGAGAGTCAGTCAAAAGTCGCATCAAAAGGTATTTGACATGGTCGTCGTCGTTCCTGCTGCACATGATGTCGCGACTTTAGCGCGTGTGGGGCAGCTTCCCTGCCACCTCCGACGCGACTTCCTCCAAACTCTCCCTTCCTTCCTTTCCTCCCACAACACCCATCCACCCCCCTCTCGATACCGCCGGATTCCCGAGTCGCCTGGACCTCGATCTACAATACCCCATCTCTCAGAAGCCACTGCCAAACGTCGCGTACCCGGCTCATTCGACCGCCTCCAATCCCAGGCTATCGCGTACTTTCTACAAACACACCAAAAGCACATGCCCTCCCCACAGTCCTTCCTGCGCCCATCGTCTGAACATCTGTATGGATTGCTTCGCCGCGTTCAGCAGTGCTCGGACAACAGGTTCCGCCCTGCTCTTCGTCATCCGCGACACCGGACGGCAGCTTTCCAAACCTGTCGCCAGTCGAGCATTTGTCGGAGTGGATGCGGCGTCAGGGAGTGCTTAACCCTAAGCGATATTCTCGGTTTAACAAGTCTCGCGGTGTCCTTCATCTACGGCCGATGAAGGCAAGCAGCCGGCTTCTTCGACAAGTCTCTGCCAATCCGATCCTCAAAGCTGGGCTGGCACCGTCCGGGCCTGGTGGAAGGGTGAGGAGGAAGCAGGATCAAAGAGTTGCTGGTCATGTCCGGTGCTTCTCAGCAGGTAACACGGCAGCCTCATGCGTCGGCTTGGTAAGACTTCCGTGGGAAGCGCGCGTCGAGGTTGCTGGCTGGACTTTTGCTCTGATCAAGAATGGAGAGCGTTGATGGTAGAGGCCATCCGGCAGTGAAGGAGAGAAGTGGACGGGAAGTGTCGGGCGGCCTCCATCTCGACGTCGTCTTGAGGATCTTCATAAGCTGCTGCAAGAGATGGGACGGTCTTGTGATTTGCAATCGTCGGCAATTCTGGATACTGAGTCTTGGGCGACGGAACTACTTGGACCTGCATTCTCGAGCCTTCAGTGGTAATTGCTGGTCGGTTGGTGGTCTTCGCCGCAGCAGACTTGAATGGACACTGGCAGAGCATGGCAGCTCTTCTCCAGAAAATCTGAGCCTCCAAACAGACTGCGCGGTCTGAGTTGCTTCACCATTGGCATTGCATTGCACTCGTCAGCACCATGTGTGCTATTCACGCGACATGTAGCGAGGCATGAATGCTCACAAACAGAAGCGACTCGGACTGGACGGTCATATCATGGCTATGCCGTAGCTCCTGCAACCCAGTCGATCTTGCCATGTCTTGCTGTTGGCTGAAGGACATCTTCTGCCGCATGGTTTGCTGGTTCTTGTGGACCTCTGTCGCTCAGCTACCAGACTCGGATCCAGTACGCACTCAACGGCCTTGCATTGTCGCTTGACTATACTCCCAAATTCAGCTCCAGCGAAGACGTCCTGTACGCTTCTCATATCCGCTACGCTGCACTTGCAGAAAGCCACCACTCTCCAACCTTACCTGCCTACGGCACAGCCTCAACGCCCGCATCACAGTACAAGCTACAGTGCAGTTCTCAACTACGAGATTGTCCGATCAGTCGCGTCAATCATCTCCCTTCGCATACCATTGCGCCAGCATTGGAGAGTGGAGGTCGATCGATGAGCGCCGAAACACTTTGCAATCCTTCTGCTCATCGTGGAAGATATTGCGCCCTTGCACTTTGCAAGATGGCGAGCGGCTTTTGTAGTCGTACTTTGTCCGTTTGCGCCTTTGGGCGAACTTGCCTCTTGACATTCACAGACTTCTGTGGACCGTGAGATGGAATCAAAGACCTGTCTCTGAGTGGAAGTGCTTATTCACAAACCGAAAGTACACGATTCTTGGGATCTGGAGGCTCCGTCGATGCTGCTGGCGAAACGACCTGGTGCTTTTCGAGCTTGATGGATGTGGTGAGAGGAACGAAGGGCGCAGCTTGGGTTTGCGTGATACAAGAGGGAGGATGTGGTGTCAAAGCGGCGGTCCTCCTGATGCCAGATCTTGGATCATGGCTCGATTGCTCTTCGAGGCGACCATCTACTACAGTTTGTACGACACATCTCTAGCCATTCAAACTTTGACGACCTTCAGTGGCTTGTTGGATGGGTCGATGCGATGCGGCTGTGTATGCTGGCAATTGGAACACGAGCACGAGGAGCGGGACCTCTCTCGAGTGAGGCTCAAAGCTTTGGCTTGTCTGCTTCCTTGTGCTTGCCAATGGCTCCGCTGCGCGGCTCGTCGTTCGGTTTAGCCTGGCAATTTCATTGAAGATGTCTGTTTGAATGACGAGGACGAGGATGTCGAAGTCTTCTGGAAGGTCGTTAAGGGGAGCATGAGAGTCATGTTTCTTGTGAAGGTGGAAATGGGGCCGCGTATGGGCGTAATGGACGCCGTCGCCGTCTCTCAAACCTGCTAAGGGGAGAGAGGCGGACGACCACTTTTTATAAGTCTTCCCTTGCCCTACCACGTCTGCTGATATGTTCGCTAACTACTCTTTCAGGTCAAAGCAATCCCAAATTCGCTCAGTTACCCAACACCAGCGCAGACCTGTACAAAATCAAGAAGCTCCAACCAGTCCCAGCAAAGTACAACAAACTCCTCAGATATGACCATGTGATAGACTCCGACGCCAAGTAGTTCGCCGTGTACAACACCCGAATGAGCATCCAGCCCACGACAAAGTTGATCAAGCCCAGCTCGCTTTCCCCAGCTCTTTGCTCGGCCAGCATCCCTGCAAAGATCGTTGCGATGTACAACGGCATGTTTTCGAGGTGGTTCCGGTGGCAGGATTCGGCGCGTTCGAAAGCGGCGAATTCTTTAGCGGTGAGTCGCTTCTTCAAGGATTCGTGGTAGGAGGTGCCCTTGGGGTTGCGGTTGTCGTGCTTCATCATGTCGCCCTTGTTGGCGCGAGAGATTGCCCAGCCATGGGGAAAGACGGCGAGGAGGTAGTAGGCGGGGATCGAGAGGATCGGGATGTTGAAGGAGATGGTCGCCATGGTTCTTGGATGTTGTAAGGTTGTCGAGGATTGCGAGAGTGAGGTTGTTAGAAGCAAGGAGAGGCCAAGTTATATACCTGTGTGTGTCTGATGCACTACTACTGATCTCCAATGCCGCGGCTGTGATTGAAGCCGAGAGCTGGAACTTTTTGCGACTAAAACACCCTGGCTACACGTAGCTTCTTGGGCTCGCGCTCGCGATGACTTGTTGTCTTTAGCTCTCCAGCCAACTACAAGCTGCGCCGCCGAGGCGTGCGGGATCGGGCGATGCATGTGCGAGAGAGTTGGCGGCTGTCTGACACTCCCCAGCCTTCGACATTCTTTTGCGGACGCCTCTCCGGCTAATCCGGGTGAAGCTGAAGCTTCTTGCTGGCTGGCTTGCCCCGCGGTGAAGGAGCGGTATCGTTACCGTCTGGACTTTATTCGTGGAATTGATGGTATGCGAGGAATGAAGATGGATCGAGACTGACGACGTCGACAAAATGAACCGTGGATGGAAGATTGGCGCCACACAACATCAAGATCGATCGTTCAAAGACAACCATACCTCCATCGACCGACCAGCCTGTTCCTCACCACCCGGATAAGGCCGCAAAGTCTAACCGTGTGCCAATGGAACCCCACCTCACTCTGTGTCTACAACCAGCAAGCACTTGCCCGCATCCAGCGACGACCAGGTGTGAGGCACTCGTCTTCCTGCAGCACGCCATGCACGCCGATGATATGGCGGCTCACGAGGATGCACACTACAATCGATAGCTGGAATCCTGGCGATAAGAGCTGCAAGACGTACATCTACGCCTGCGGCTCCAGCTCCAGCTCTGAGGTAGGTGGTAGCTCTCTCTCAGGCCTCTTCTTTGTCCTTGTGTAGTCGTGTGCGCGCATGAGGCGTTGCGTACTGGCTTGGTGGTTATTCTGTTAGAAGATACTGGTGAAGAGTAGGATCGCTGAGAAAGAAGAAAACACCACCCATCCAAAATGTTCGCCCTCGTCGTCGCCCTCGCCGCTACCATCCTCCTCACTCCCACCGCTCTCGCGCAAAACAGCGACGGCCAGTACACCGTCTGGTCGAGCGTCATCTTCCAGCGCACCGGCGAACGCACCCCAGAGATCATCCGCGACAACAGCCCCGTCACACTCACCTCCATCGGCGCCAACCAAGCCTACGAAGCCGGGGCCTGGTTCCGCCGTCGCTACATCGATGCGGCAATCCCCTCGAACCGCAACGGCACGAATGGAGCTTTCAACGCCGGTGCGCCGCTGTGGGGGTTGAACGCGGATATCTACAGCAGTGCGGAGACGTATGCGATTTCGTTGGATCAGCAGTTCAATGTTGCCACGGCGAGTGCGTTTTTCCAGGGCTTGTATCCACCCATCGGACCCAGTCAGAATGGGAGTGTTAGTTCGACGATCGATCCGACGGGGTTGGATGCGGAGAATCAATATGTAAGGCTGAAGTGGAAGTTGATGTAGAAAGGGACGTTGTATACTGATGTGGATCTCTTCCACCACACAGATCCTAGCTCCACTCAATGGCTACCAATACCCACAGATCCACACCGCCGACGGCTTCGACCCGAACTTCATCTACCTCTCCGGCAACCTCGACTGTCCCGCCTTCGACTCCGCCGCGGGCGAATACCTCAAAACAACCCAGTACAGCGTCACGCAGGAACAATTCGACGGCATTTACGACGCCATCGGCAGCGCGCTCCTCCAGAACGTAATCCCACTCGACACCTGGGACTACCGCAACGCCTACCCCATCTACGACTACCTCTCCTACCAATACAACCACAACAGCACCGCGCAAGACACCCTCAACCGCTACCGCGACGTGGCAACCAACACCTCCTACCTCACCATCCTGCGCGACCTCTCCTCGGAGCAGCAATACGCGCAGCTCGGAAACCTCTCCCAGACACCCACCTTCTCGACCGGCGAGACCGGCGGCATCTCCACCATCGCGGGGAACTACCTCGCCGCGCGCATCCTCTCCCAGCTCCAACAAGCCATCGCCTCCAGCGGCACGCAGTTCAAACTCAACCTCCTCTTCGCAGACTTCTACCCCCTCCTCTCCCTCTTCGCCCTGACCCAACTCCCCGCAGCCTCCCCCAACTTCTACGGAACCCCCGCCTTCGCCTCCTCCGCGGTATTCGAACTCTTCTCCTACTCCAACGCCTCCTTCCCGGCTGAAGAAGACCTCTGGGTGAAATTCTACTTCCGCAACGGCACGTCCGACGAAGATGCGTACCAGAGCTACTCCCTCTTCGACCTCGGGCCCTCCCAAGCCGAACTCCCCTGGGCCGACTTCCAGCAGCAAATGGCCGCCATCTCCGTCGGCAGCGTAGGCGAATGGTGCACGCTCTGCGGCGCCACGAACCTCTTCTGCTCCGCTTACAACGCCTCGCAGACACGCTCTTGGCTCGACGGGTCCGGCTCTTTCAACAACTCCCACCGAGGTCTCGCCCCCGCCCTCGCAGGCCTCATCGGCGCCCTCGTCGCCCTCGCCGTCGCAGCCTGCCTCTTCGCCGCGAGTATGCTCCTCTTCGGCATCCGTCTGCACCGTCGCAGGAGTCCGAAATCTGAGCTCGGCGGGTTTAAAGGCGGGGCGAAGATGGCGAGTGATCAGGACTTGACGATTCCGAAGGGGGGCGGGGGCGCGGAGGTTGTGGAGGAGCAGCAGGGGCCTATGAGTCCTGTTGTTGCTGGGGGCCATGAGAGGGTGGGGAGTTGGGAGTTGAAGAGTAAGGATGTGGAGGCTGGCAATTTGAGGGTTGGGTTGAGTTTTCCGAGTGCGAGGGGGAGTTTGGAGGAGATGGGGAAGAGGGCGGAGCCGAGTGAGAGGGTTTGAGTCGGAGGTGAGGATGGAGGGGAGGGAAGGGAAGGGGGAAGTGAGTTATGGATTATGAGGTTATGATGAATCTGGGCCTGATGACTTTCTATGTTGAGGGTTCACTGCTTGTATATAGTTTTGCCGTTTTTTGATGATACCCTTCGACAGTACGTACACACGGTGTATGGAGCATGTTCCTCAAGAACCCAAATGTTTTCAAGCTCTCCTAGTGTTGCATTGCATGTGTCTGCGATGGATCGGGTTGGCTCGACTCGTGATGAAGAGCTGCATGATCACGGGAAGTTCAGCAAACGTGAAGTGAAAGCAAAAAGCCGTGTTAGGTGGCTACTGACCTATTTCTCGCACCCATTCAGTCTCCTCGCTGTCGCATCCCGTGAAGACTCCTCGAAACGCCTCGCTGGTGCCCTCGAAGCAAGAAGAAGTTGCTCTTGCCCATTGCGTCTCCGATGTCGTTTCTCGAGGCTCGCGAAATGCCGTGCAAGACTCTCAGTTGTCGTTTCTTTTCACGCGCCACGCTCCTCGTGGCTGTTTGTGGTATTCGTCGTCCTGGTCTCCTCTTCTGAGTCCTTTGCGCGCATGCGCAATCACTCCATCTTAACATCCCCATCTCCATTCGCCTCTTTCTTCCCCGCAGCGCCTTTGGCCGAGATCCAGAGGACGTTATTACACCTGCGAACACCACTCAGTTAGCACATATCCCCAAATCCCACCTCCCTCCCCTCTCATCCCCATCCCTCCCCTCCCCTTCCCCCAAAGCCCTCAAAACCCCCTCTGAAGCGCACAACTCACCTTATCAAAACCTGCCCCAACCCCCCCAAATTCTCCCCCTCCCTCCACTCCTCCGCGCCACTCAACTGCAGATTCATATACGAATCCACCGACACCAGCCGCCCAGTGTACTCCTGGCCCCATTTGATGCGGATCGTTACGTCGTTGTCGACGAGGGATTGGAGCATGGGCCGGGGGTTGAGGGGGACGAACTGTTTGAGAGATGATGTTAGTCTCGAGGGGATTTGATGGAGGGGAGGGGGATGGGATGGGGACGTACGGCCATTGTTCGTGGGTTGAGATGTTCGGTTGGAGGATGGTTGTGTTGGTGAGTGTCGTTGGTAGTGTGAGTGAGTGAGTAGGTGGTGGTTAGTTGGAGGTTTTGAGAAGCTGTCGCGCGACGTCGTTCTGGAAATTCGAGGGCGGTGAGTAAGACGCCGATTCTGCCATCACGTGAATTACATCTAAATCAAAATGTACAATCTTCTGAACAGATGAACAGTGCATGGGCTTCACAAGTTTGAGTGAGATGTTTTTGGGTACTTCTTTCGGAACAGCAACATGGATATTCGCAGCAGACATGATCTATATACTCCCCATGCAAATGCCCATCTGCAGTCCCGCATCCCACGAGCCTCTCTCGACCCGCATTCAACCCAACACCCCCATCCCGTGATCATTGGCCATCTCTCGTCATAATCGACCAGACAGCGCAAAAACAACAGCAACAAAGTCATACATCACATTCCATCCTTATCCTCACGCCGAGTCTATCACACAAACAGTAGTTTTAAGCTGAGCTCTTTCTTCGACTCTTTAAGTCTCAAACTCTTTGATGCTGTCGTTCCACTTGCCGGGGATCAATGCAAGAGGCACGATACCGGAGACGTGCATCTCCGGGCCGAAAACGTGCATGGAGAGATCCAACTCCTTGGCGACTGCTTTGATGTTCTTGAGACCTTCCTGGTAGTTGGGACCGGCACGGCGGACCCAGATCTTGACCTTGTGCTCGTTGAGAAGAGGGGCGACTTCGCGGAGGGCGCGGATGACACCCTTGAATGTGCTGGCGACCTGGAATTGAAAGTTAGCAATCAAATCGTTTTTGAAGGGGTTTTCGGGACATACGTTGGTGAAGTTGGCAATACCACCACCAATGAACAGGACCTTGCCATCTGGGTGCTGTGGTGCCCGCAGCATCAGGTCGAAGACAGTTCGTGCGTAGTGGAAGGTCTGAGTCTCGGTTGGAGCACCAGAGTATTCACCGTAGTTGGCAAGCTCTGAGGCGAACCCAGCAGAAGCAATGGCATCGGCGTACACAACGGAAGCACCACCACCAGCAACCAGTGTCCAGACACGGCCCTTGGAGTTGAGGATGGTCAGCTTGAGCGATGCACCAGTCTTGGCGTCCATCTCCGCAATGTAAGCCTCCTCTTTGCTCATCTCACGCCCGAAAGGAGCTGGGAATTCCATTGGAGGGCCAGCATCGATCTCGATCTTGCCGCCCTTGGAAGTAGGTGCGACTGGAATTCCGAGAGCAGCTGGCGCACGAGCAATAGCCCACTTGGAACCGCACTCGAACTCAGCAGTCTGGTCAATCTTGGCCGCCAGATCCAAGAAGTGCACATCCGCACCAGTGACATCCTTGTTGGGGATGACGACCAATGGGTTGATTTCGAGGTAGGTGAATTGGGAGTCGACGTAGACGGCGTACAGGCGGGAGATGAAGTCAATCAGCACTGGGTGCACGCCCTTTGGCACCTTGGAGAGGAGACCAGCGGCGATTTGTTCGTTGCTCGGGTATTGGGTCAGGTCAACTGGGATGAGGAGCTTCTCGGCCTTGGCGTCGACATCTCCAACCTCAACACCACCCTCGTGGTAGAAGAGAATCCAGTCACCCTGGGACAAATGTTAGTGTTGAAGTTTAGGGAAGATGTCGCAGCTCTTGCGTACCTCACGTGCGGAGTTGATGTTGATGTAGTATTCGGTCTCCTGAGGATGTGGGACGAAGGGCTCGACGAGGAAATTCCTGAGGGCACCCTCGACGTGTTCCACCTTCTGGATCTTGTTCGCGCGGGCTGCAATCCACTCCTTGGCCTCTGCCCATGTTGCGTTCAGCTTGAGCAGTCCCGACTTGCCTCTCCGCTTGATGAGCTGATCGGGCTTCGCGACGAATTTCGAGCCTGGGACGAGGAGGAATGGGTACTTGGCCTCGGCGGCATCGAGCACACCATTGACGTCGTCGCCCTCCTCGAAGGTGATGGTGGCGAGCTTGGCGGGCGGGTTGTGGGTGGACTGCGGTGCGAGAGGGGTGGGCTTGATGACGGGGGCGCGAGTGAGGTGGTAGTTGAGAATGGCCTTGCCATCTGCTTCGGAAATGGCCTTGGCAGACATGGTGAGGGTGTTTCAGAGGCTCTGGCTAAAAAGTTGAGTGAGCAATGGTCGAGGGAGCAGCTTTCAGCTCTGCTTGTGAAGAGTGCGTGGTGGGGAAAGTGTTGACGGCCAAAAGTGTATGGGGGGGGCTGCGGTAGCTTTCTCACCGCTTCAACAATGGCAACAAGTTGAGCTCGAGGGAGGATTCTTTGTTGACCGACTCTTCTTGCTGCGCCGCCGCTGGGAATTCTGCTGTCCTCGCCGTTGTTGGTGTGCTGTAGTGTGCGGACGGAAAATGAGGCCTCTGGCACCACGACCGTCACAAAAGTCCGAAGCAGCACGGGAGCACGGGGCAGGAGCAGATCCCTGAATTGCGGGCAGTTTTTTTGGGAGAGCGAGGGTCCAGCAGCACGACAACAAGATGAACGGCGGCGACTGACCTTAATGAATTATTGCACGCACACAGGTGTATACCGGTCGTTGGAGGAGGTGTAGCAGTGAGTGCGAGGAGGGAGTTGACGGCGACAGGAGAGGTGGTGGAGTGGATTGGAAAGTGTCAGGCCAATTCAGGGCATCACACAGGACTCGCAACGGTTCACTACTCCCGAAGAGCTGTGCGCAAATCCCAACCTGCAGCGATGAGGTCTCCCCTTGACGGCGGATGGGCCGCTATCGCCATGCTTAGCCCGCTCGCCGATCAGCCTCCTCCGATCCCAACTATCGTTCTGCCCTGCGGCGTGACACACGTTGGTGCTCCTAATGCGTGCGTCTGGATAGGTTGAACGAAGATGCGTCGGGATAGCACACGTCTCACCAAACGCCCGAGGGCGCCGGGGAGCGCCAACCTCTCCCACCCACCGTCGACACCTGCTCGCATCCCCGTACAGCCTGCAGCCGCGTGTGGAGCGCGGGCGGTGAGATTCAATGTCTGTACGTACTCAGCCTGGTGGTGGTGGACGCGAGAACGATGGAAACGCGTTCGTGCTCGTCCGCTAGCAGCATCATCCATGCGCTGCTCGCGTGCGTCGTACGATGTTTGGGGCGATTATTTCTGCTGGGTGCCGTCGCGGCGGCGGATTCGGAGATGTAGTCCTGGCGACCAACGCCCGCGCGCTGGGCCGAATCAATGGAAACGGTAAACCAGAATAAACAGGCCGGCGTGTCGATGGAGAGCCGTTGGTCAAATCTCGTCGTCGGGTGTGCGAGAGGCACTCAAAGGGTCTCCGCAATTAGAGTTGGGCGCTAGCACATCCCACCTGGAGCTTCAACGCCGCAGGCTGCTCACAATTCAGCGTCTTTCGCTTCCGAGATCACTTTTCTCATTCACCTACACCATCTCTCCGCTCGCCATACCACTCCATACACGCAGTATTGCGCTTGATCTGTAAGTCGACCATCCAGTCCACCGTCACCTCCATACCAAACGAGTCGAAGCAACGCCGCAAAAATTTGGGCCAAGACATCAGGGTTTGGAGCTCTCTCCATACTTTTGCGCCTTCAGCCCACCGACTCCTGATCATCACCGCCCACACCGACTGCACCGCTTCCCGCCTTTGTCTCGCGCCCCAGCAACAAAGCCCCTCCCTGGACTGACATACAACAATCGCAGCCTCCAAGTCCGCACACCCTCGATCCTCCACCCCGCCGCTGAAGAACAATCACAATGGCCACCACGAATGGCACCGCCAACGGCGTCAATGGCCATGACAACCTCTCCGCCAACGACAACATCCAGCGATTCGCCGCTCCCAGCAGACCTCTGAGCCCACGCCCAGAGCACCAGCTCTTCCACCCCAAGACAAGATGTTTCGTCTAGTAAGTCGCTCCCGGACACCGAACAACCCCGCCGCTGCCCCTCCATCACGCGCGAGCTGGTATGGGTGGTCATGGCAGCAATACTAACAGCATCACAGCGGCATGCAGACCAGAGCGGTGCAGGGTATGCTCGATTTCGACTTCATCTGCAAACGCAAGACCCCCTCTGTCGCGGGTATCATCTACACCTTTGGTGGCCAGTTCGTCAGCAAGATGTGAGTAGCTATCGTGCGTAACAACCGCTGCAGACTCCGACTAAGCGATCATGCAGGTACTGGGGAACTTCGGAGACGCTGCTCCCAGTCTACCAATCGGTGGAAACTGCCATGGCCAAGCACAGTGACGTCGACTGCGTCGTGAACTTTGCCTCGTCGAGATCCGTCTACAGCTCCACCATGGAGCTGATGGAGTTCCCCCAGATCAAGTCCATCGCCATCATCGCCGAGGGTGTGCCAGAGCGCCGCGCACGTGAAATTCTCCATGTCGCCAAGAAGAAGGGCATCACCATCATTGGCCCGGCCACTGTTGGTGGTATCAAGCCCGGTGCGTTCAAGATTGGTAACACTGGTGGTATGATGGACAATATCGTCGCCTCCAAGCTCTACCGCAAGGGCTCTGTAGGCTACGTCTCCAAGTCGGGTGGTATGTCCAATGAGCTAAACAACATCATTGCACAAAACACCGACGGTGTGTACGAGGGTGTTGCCATTGGTGGTGACAGATACCCCTCGACCACTTTCATTGACCACTTGCTCCGCTACCAGGCCGACCCAGACTGCAAGATCCTGCTCTTGCTCGGTGAGGTCGGTGGTGTTGAGGAGTACCGTGTGATCGAGGCTGTGAAGAATGGCACTATTACCAAGCCCATTGTTGCATGGGCCATTGGTACCGTCGCCAGCATGCTCAAGACTGAGGTGCAGTTCGGCCACGCTGGTGCCATGGCTAACTCTCAGCTCGAGACTGCCGCTGTGAAGAACAAGTCCATGCGTGATGCTGGCTTCTTCGTCCCAGACACCTTCGAGGACCTCCCCTCAACTCTCAGCTCGGTTTACAAGAAGATGATCAGCGCTGGCCACATCAAGCCAGCTGCTGAGCCAGCTGTTCCCAAGATCCCCATTGACTACTCCTGGGCTCAGGAGCTTGGTCTTATCCGTAAGCCAGCTGCCTTCATCTCCACCATTTCGGACGACCGTGGCCAGGAGCTTTTGTACGCCGGTCTCCCAATCTCGGACGTGTTCAAGGAGGATATTGGAATCGGTGGTGTCATGTCCCTGCTGTGGTTCCGCCGCAGACTGCCCCTCTACGCCAGCAAGTTCTTGGAGATGGTTCTCATGCTTACTGCCGACCACGGTCCAGCCGTGTCCGGTGCCATGAACACCATCATTACCACCCGTGCCGGCAAGGATCTTATCTCTGCGCTGGTCGCTGGTCTTCTCACCATTGGATCTCGTTTCGGTGGTGCTCTTGATGGTGCTGCCGAGGAGTTCACTCGCGCATTCGACAAGGGCCTCTCTCCTCGTGACTTCGTCGACACCATGCGTAAGGAGAACAAGCTGAGTAAGTCCTCTTCTTTCCACCATTGTTGAGTGATTCTGACGTTTTGCAGTCCCTGGTATTGGTCACCGTGTCAAGTCACGAAACAACCCCGATCTCCGAGTCTCCCTCGTCAAGGAATACTGCCAGGCCAAATTCCCCTCCACCAAGCTCCTCGACTACGCTCTCGCCGTCGAAACCGTCACGACGTCAAAGAAAGACAACCTCATTCTCAACGTTGACGGCTGCATTGCCGTCTGCTTCGTCGATCTTCTCCGCAACTCTGGTGCCTTCAGCCCCGAGGAGGCCGAGGACTACCTCAAGATGGGTGTACTCAACGGTCTTTTCGTCCTCGGTCGTTCGATCGGTCTTATTGCCCACTACCTCGACCAGAAGAGACTGCGCACTGGCCTGTACAGACATCCATGGGATGACATCACCTACCTGCTCCCAGAGCTTGGCAAGGGTGCTCCAGGCAACGAGGGCCGTGTGGAAGTCAGCGTCAAATAGATGCAAAAGAGCTATGTGTGTATTAATGAAGGTCGACTAGATCGTGCTTCGAAGGCGTCTTTTGAGAAGGGATAGGGAATCGCGGCATTGCGGGAAGAGGGATAGAAGTGGTCTCTCTGTGGCGAATGTGTATACCATGAACGGCTGCGAGGTGTCTGAACTTGGTTTTGGCAGTGCTTTTTTGATAATGCATTGAGACGTCGTAAAGATGAATGCGAATGAGCAAATATATCTCGAATCCCCTCACCATTTCTTCGAGTTTAATATGCTTCCGGTTGGGCGGGCAGACATTCGAGATTGGAGCGATCCGGATTTCAACGACATCCTTCTGCCCGCCAGACATTCATGGCACTGCTGCTGCTTCTTTCTTTATTGTTACCGCAGCCAGCCATATCCAAGCTTCGAGACATCACGTCGATGGATATGGATTAATCAATACCAAGAAAAGGATGTCGAGTGTCTGATACTCGACTCGTTCCTGGCGTTGGTCCGAGCTCGCCGGCGTCTTTTTCAACGTCACTCGTCGGTCAAAGCACGATGGAAGACGGACACTGGCCTATGGATGGATTATTGGATATTTATACAGGGCTTGGGCTGGCGGTGAGTGGAATAGTGCACACTGTCTTCTCACGCCGGCGCTGTGATATGGGGAGAGGATTTCCGGACTCGTGTTGGGTGAGGGGGGATGGACACGATTTCAGGGCGGAGAGGTAAGAGTCTTTGTCGGAGGGGATGGAGACTCATCCTCCCCATCAACCATACTCCCTCCCCTAATCACCGCCCCATCACCCCCAAACCCACCACCACAAAAGCCCTCAAACCCACCATCAACAAAGCCCTATACCTCCGCACAAACTCCCGGGGATGCCGTACATGCCTTCTATTAGGATGTCGAAGGGGCTGAAATGTCTCGCTGTTTCTTCTGATGGCGATGATGGCAACGAGTGTGGTCTACAGCAATTATCATTTCAGGGATCAAAAAGTATGGAAATATTCCCTTCTATCGACCCTTCATCCAACCCAAACCTTCGCAACCATCTGCAACCTCTCCTGCAACCAAGGATCGCTATACTCGACCGCATCATCGAACCCATGCTCCCCGGGACGCACGTCAAGCACAACCCTGGTATCCGGATACGCAGACCTCACGATATCGACGAAATAACTCGAATGCTTCACCGGAACGACAGAATCATCCTCGCCCTGAGAGACCCACACCAACGACGGCAGGCCGGCCAAACCCTTTCGAATCGTCCGCAGGGGAAACGTCTCCTCGTAATCGCCCATGAATTCGACCGCATTCCCGTAGTTCATGAGGCCCAACATGAGCGGTGTGCGTTCCAATTGCGAGCCTGTCACGATCTGTCCTGCTGCTCCGCTCTCTGTGGCCTCCAGATAGGCTGCCCGGAAAGTCTCCTCGGGAACGACGATGTCGAGGACACCTGGCAGGATGGGCTTGCCGCCATTCCCCTTGACGAAGTGCTCGTTTCCTGGATCTGTCAGCGGCCACGCGAGGATCAAAGCGCGGATTTGCGTGGGGAAGCGCAGGCCTAGATGCAGCGCACACCAGCCGCCGGCGGACTCGCCCCTGACGATGATGCGGTCGAGGTCGAGTTGGATCTTTTGGGCAGCGAGGAGGGAGGGAAGACTCGAGTGGAGCCATTCCCAGAATGAAAGCAGGTCTTCTACGATTTGGGGGGATTTGGTCTCGGGGCAGAGGCGGTAGTCGGGGGAGATGGCTATGGCGTTGTGTTCGAGGGTGTAAGCTGCCGCCCAGGGGCCGTAGGTCATGGAGGGGACGTTGCGGGCTCCGTCGACCTATGGATGTCTCAGTGTTCTTTCCTTTCTTCTTCAGGTGTGCTGATGTCTTGATATAGGACAGATCGGGGTGGCTCACCAAAGCGCCTCCATGGATCAACACGAAGAGAGGATGTTTCCGATCCTCACGACGCTGCTTCGGGATGTACGCGTCTACGTGGATAGGGATGTCTTCGACATGTTTGTACACAAACGTCTCCGTCCTGAACTTCTCATCCGTAAAGGGCGTTTCGCCGACGGGAATTAAAGGTTCTGGTGCCATTTTTATTTTTGTTTTAAACAAAAGTTCAACGATGCAATTAAGGAATGCAGTTGAAACTGCACTCGAGCCAAGGCTGCGAAACACCTTGAACACCGGCTCTGCGTGACTGAAGGCATTGTCGAGCTGATGATATATTCCAGAATCTCGCATTCGCTCGTCGTATCCGCACAAGGATCCTTTCGCAAGGCAACAAGAAGCCTATTGTAGCACTGGATGAATCGTCGCGGATCTCATTAGGAAACGGTGTTGGATGATCCTCTGCTCCGGTCATCTTCGGGTTAACGCGTTGTGTTGTACGACGCGTTGTGTTGTACGAAGTGAGATCCGTCGGTTTGCCTGTTATAGTAAGTGTATTTGAGATCAGGAAACACTCTGGCCAGCACTGGTCGTCCTTGTAATGTGACGTTTGCGAATGCTCGAGTTGTTTGAAGTTCTCGAGAGCGGCGAATTCCAAGACCCCGAAGACAACGCAAGGACGGCCAAATATCGGAAGCGCTATAGAGCACGAGTGACGCACTTGGAGAAAATTGAAACGAAAGAAGATGTGTCGACACCGAGTTTCCGCGGACTTTGCAGGGAGAGAGGAGATTTGTGCGGTTGTGGTATGTGGTGGATGAAGCACTACTTGTGCAATCTAGGAGGGAGTATTCTTTCGAGAAGCAGTGACGAAGAGATACTTGCCAAAGAATCATTGAACGATGTAAGCGCAGTTCCCGGGTGGAATTTGTGATGTCGATGCTCGAATCATATGACTCTTCAATGGCTTCTGTGACTAACTCAGTGATCGACAGATTGCAAAGTATTATATACATACATACCATTGTGCAAGAGTTCGGCCTTCACGCACACGTCCGGTGAAAAGTTTCCCTGAATTGCTGTCGCGACCATTGCATTAGTCGAAAAAATTTTGGCGGTTGATTGAGAGAGACATCCACGGCCATGGCACCAGCAAATCTCCATACGAAAGCGAGAGCCATATGCAATGCCTCTCAAACGATGAGCACATTAAGGCCCATGATATCCAGAGCAGCCGACCTTCCCCGACAACAATCCCGACCCATATCAACAACCTCACCCTCATCCCAATCCCACTCACAAACCTCAACCACACGAGAAGCCATCCTCCGCCGCCGGCGCCACCTCCCCAGCTCCACCCACCCCAAACCCGCCTGCAACACAACACGCTTCCTCATAACCACCAAATCCTCCTCCTTCGGCCAAACCGAAATCTCGCGCCACTTCCACGGCGCCCTGACCTGTCTGCACCAGATTTTGGGAGATGTGCCGTACGGACGGACGCACTGTGGTGTTGTGAGTCGGACGCCGATTCAGATGCTGCCGAGGACGGGGACGAGTGGGCGGGGGAGTATGTTGGCTTTTAAGGTTTTTAATGCGAGTGCGGAGGTGAGGGAGAGGATTGAGAGGGAGTTGAGGGAGGTGCCGGGGGTGGATGGGGTGCGTTGTGAGGATGAGGTTTGCTGGGAGGATTGGTGGGAAAAGTTTTGAGGTGGATTTGTGGCGTAGAGTGATTGAAGGCTCTTCGCTCTTTGCTGGCTCGGCCATCTCTCGTGGCTGATTTTGGCTTGATCTCGTACATACTGGGCCTGCGTGGTCTTCGCTTGGACTCGCTCGGCGACAACGTTGTGTCGATGTAAGAAGTCTGAATACTTGACGTCCTTTTTGGTCTGTCGTGTCTTCTTCGACTTCGACTGCCTCCCTGGATGAACGTGCCAAGTAGGCTGAAGCCTTGTGGAGTTGGTCGTCTCGCACATGCATCGGCTCGATCACCTCAATGTTCTGGGCCACACTGTGTCGCATGAGTGGCCAATGCCTGGACGTCCTTCCATTCGCTTCCTTCGCAGCATCATTCCGTCATCTGCACCTCCTTCGTCTTGCCTTTTCCCGCACTCGCCGCCTCCACATCTGCATCCTGAGTCTTCCCAATCTTCATCTCGGTAGCCTCCTTCACCGCCTCAGCGAGCACAGTCCTCGTCAAGACAGCAGCTTTCACTGCATTATCGATGAGCACTTCCGACTGCGAACCAGCGTCTCCCTTCATCCACATCTCCGTGACCTCATCCCTCGACTGCAGATACCCAACCACACAAGCAGCCTTAATCTCATGCTCCGACGGACACGGATCAAGCACGCCCTCACCACCCCTCTCCGCAGTCAACGCCGCAACGCCTCCAGAAACAAGATCCACACAATCAATCCCAGCATCAGCAAGCGCCGCACTCGCCACCGTAATACACCCCGCCAGAACATTCATCATCCCCCACCCGCCGGCCTTCCCTCCCTCTTGAGCGTCGCCCCACCAGCCATCTTCCTCGCCCTCCAACACCGTAATGACAACTTCGCACCCGCTCTTCGGCCACCGATCGCCGATAATCACCCCCCTCAACGCCGTCTCCAAGTGAACGCCGAGATCCCGCTCGCTCGAGTCCCGTACGTATCCTCTCCTCTGCCGTGTCGCGAAAGGCGCGAACTTGACATGCGTAGTGAGGAGGAGATTTGAACTGAACGCCGCGTTCCGCGGTAATGGCCTAGGTCCGTGGACAGTGCATGTGATTTTCAAGCTCGAAGACGAAGGAACCAGAGTTTGCTTTGGAGTAATTTGGTCTTGAGGTGCGATCTCGTAGTATGCGCTGCCGCTCGCTGATGGGACTACGCCTGTCCGGAGGAAGATCTTGCGGTGTTCGTCTGCTTTTCGTGTTCGGGTTGGTCTTTGAAGTTTTGCTTCGGGAAGTGAGGCGAAGACTGGTGGTGCTGTGCCGCCTGGAGGGGCGTTGAGACGACGTCTGTCTGCTAGCATGGCTATTTTCAGTGTTGACTGGGAGTTTTGGTGGGCTTTGGATTGGAAGGCTGTTTCATGTGAAGTCGTGTTTGATGTACGGAGGACTAGAAATGCGGATTCACTCGCGCAAAGGTCGGCCCGAGCCGCCGCCACTTGTGCTTCGGGTTCGGCGTCATTTCAGCATGCGTCTTCAGGCTACCACTTATTGCCTTCTTATTTCTACCTCTCGAAACCGCCCACAACCATTCCAAAACCAGCGACAGTACAAAACCAACCATGTGCGGTAGCGACGTCTTTCTCGGCCTCATCGCCATCCTCTTCCCACCCATCGCCGTCTGGGTAAAGCGGGGAATCTGCAGCGCCGATTCCCTCATTAACATCGCCCTATGCTGTACGCCCCCCTCTCTCAAACCACAGCACCCAGTCTGCTAACAAACACCAGGTCTCGGCTTCCTTCCCGGCCTCCTCCACGCCTGGTACATCATCGCCATAACGCCCGAACCTACCTACGAACAACTCGCGCAACAAGACGCCGAGCGCGGCACCGTCACCTACTACTACGTCCAGTCGCAACCCGCATACGCACCCCAACAGGGAGGCTCATCACAGAGGGGCTATGGAACCGTGAACAACAGCACCCCGAACTCGCAGTTCCCGGCGCAGCAGCAGGGTGTTGTCCCACAGCCCGCGCAGGCACCAAAGGCTGGCGGCTCGAGTGAGGAGGTGCCGCCATCGTATCAGCAGGCCGTGGCGGGGGACAATAAGATTCAGGGACCTTGAGTAGGACGTGCTGGAGATGTAATGGACATGGCTGTATGAAGCATGAGGCATATGGGAGCATGATATTGGTTTTGGTTTTGGGGAGTTGGAGACGGTTAAGGCGGAGTCCGCGGTGTAACTACGGGGCGGTCGTATTGCGGGATTTTGTGCAGTTGAGAGATAAGAGCCACTTCGCCAGTCTTGGATACTTTACATTTCAGTACTCTGTTCCTTCTCTCGCCCACGTTGAAGGTATGTCTACTTGACGCTGGCTGACGGATCGCTTACCGTGCATACGGCTACAGCCCTGGCAGTTTCCTTATCAGAGTCGCACAAATCGAGGCTGAACACACCTCCCCCAGAAATATCGAATCATAAGCCATATTGATAGCAACAAAAAGAATCCAATTGGAGAGCAACATTCCACACGAGAAAGCAGCAGGCTCGATTTCAAAATCCCCTCAATGCCAACGGCTCCGCTACGATCAGCCCCCATGGCAACCACCATCCATACCAACCGCCTCCTCACCCTCCCACCCGAACTCCGCAACAAAGTCTACACCCTCACTCTCATCCAACCAACCGCCATCCAAATCTCAGAACGCTCCACCGCCCCCTCAACAGCAGCCCAAGGCGCAACTCTCCACTACAACCGCCTCATCGAACCGGCCCTCCTGTTCTCATGCCGCCAGATCCGATTTGAAGCCCTCCCAATATTCTACGGCGAAAACGTCTTCTTCACAGCCCTCAAAGACGCCATCGCGCCTTGGTTGCTAGCCATCGGGCCTGCGAAGGCCGGGATGGTGAGGCACGTCTGGGGTTTTCGACCTTCGAGGTATTTCGATTATGCGTGGGCGAAGGGGTTGGCAGGGGGGATTGAGAGGGAGTTGGCGAAAGCGGGTTGTGGCTTGGGAGGTGGGGTGTTCAGGATGCCGTTCGGGTGTGAGAGGTTTCCTGGGAAGGTCTTCTGGACGAGTGGGGAGGCGGATGTGGTGTTTGTGTCTGAGGAGGGGTGTATTGGGCATGCTAGAGGGGCGTTTAGGGTGAAGGGGGGAGTGGATGGGGCGGTGGACTTCATACCTGTGAAGGCGGTTGATGGATGACTTAGGGGATGGATGGAGGGGAGATGGCGCTGCTACGTCTGGAGAGGTCAGAGTGATCACTTCAGGGGTATGATTCGGTGTCTGATTCTCAGAGGTTGTAGAGCACAGTAGTATCGGTATGCTTTCGTGTCGTTACTGGTCACATGCATTGAGCGTCTACCTCGGGCTGCATGTGCACGCGCATTGAGAGATTGGCGTTTAGTCCCTTCGTCCGTTTGTGCCAAGTCTGGACGCATGATCTTGATCGTTCTCCGAACATTCCATCGATCTCCAATTGTGTGCGGTCAACAAAAGACGAATCAATACATACGCTTTGAGCTCCCTCTTAACAGTCTTCTCCGTAACACGATCGTGGCCGTAGTCCAGAGAAGTCGTTGCAGAGCCCGCGCTGGCGACAACGGGTTGTTGTCGGCATCTTGTCTTCGGATGTCTTCTTCACGTCAGGGTCAGATACCTTCTGCAGGGCAATGAGCATATTGCTTAGCACTCACGTCGATATCTTGAGGCCATCTCATCTACCAAACCCTCCACCGTTGACGTTCCATATCTTGAGATCGATCTTGCGTGCTCCAGCACACGGATGCCTATGATCGCAATGGTCCCGGGCTCGTGGCTTTCCACTGATCATACTCTTCGATGCGGACTTCTGGCACATCAAGACGCCTTTCCACACTCATCTACCGCGCCCTCCGTCGTCGCCCTCCCTGGGCTCCATCTCGATCTCGTCGCTATCCTCGTAAGCGCCATTCCTCGCACTTGTGTCATTCAGGCTACCCACACTCGGAGGAGGAGCATCCGGCTCGTCCACATACACCGTAGGCTCACTCCCTGCCGTCCCAGCAGTCCCAACATCCTTTCCCTCCTCCCTCCTTCCGATAATCACCGACCCAGCGACGAGCATAGCGGCGCCAAGCCACCAGAGTCCTATACCCAAAACCAACCCATCAGCACACCACACTGCACGACGAAGTAAGTGGGGAGAGGTAAACATACCAGGCAAGTCCTCAGAGAATATAATAGCCCCCAACAGCGCCGTAACCACAAAATTCGCACTCGTATTAATCACGCTCACCCGAACCGTACTGCTCGCGAGCGTCAGGGCGCGCGTGAAGAGGCCCCTTCAATCGCAAATCATATTGATTAGTCTTTGTCTTGTGAACACCCTCCGCGTACGTCTCGTGGTTGTTGTTGGGTCCTCACCACATAACAGCATTAAAAGCGAGGTTCATCGCGAAGAAGAACTACCGTCACCACACATCAGCCATCAACCTCTCATCCCACTCCACCACAACAAGTCAAAGCACATAACGACATAACGAAAAACTCACACCCCGAACACCCCCCTCAACAACCACACTCGGCCCCTCCATCCCAAAGAACCGCGAAATCCCCGTCGCCCAAGTCGTGGTCAATTGCGTGGTTGTGAGTTTCGCAAAGACGCCGTTGAGCGCTGCGCAGCCGCCGGAGGCGATGGCGTAGATGAGCCATTGGGTTTTGTCGTTGGTTGCGGGCATGATTTGAGGTGGTAAAGTGAGGGTTTGGAGTGTGGGAGATTGAGGATAGGGAGAGGTGAAGTGAGAGAGCGGATGTTGATCCGAGCGCGGGATCCACATTTCTGTTCAGGAGCGTGGCCACAACGCACAACGTGAAATGTGAAGAGACTCGGGCACATGCAATTGTTGATCTCATCTCTTCACAAAGCAAGCGTCTCGAAGACGACTCTTCGCTATGGACAGTGCCATGCGGTATCAGCAGCAGTAGTAGTACAACAAGCAAACGCCTCCGCTCATGCATTTCAGTCCTTTCTCATGGGTATCCTTCTCATCAACGCCGGTTTTCAATGCCAAGCAGTCAGGAAAGTCTGCTACCAATGAAGTTCTCTCGTGCACTGATTCTCATGGCAAGTTTCCACCCAAACGCCCAAGCACCAACTCATTGACTCCCTCGCGAGCCTCGCCAACGACACCAGCAACGCCCAAGATGCTCTGCTCGAATCCGCGAAGAGTGTCTGCCAACTCTCTGACTGTATCCTCACTGCTCATTTGACCACCGCCCATGCCGTTCTTCTGCTGAGCGAGCTGCTGTGCTTGAGCGATTGCCGAGCTCTCCATGACGCGCATGTGGCTCTCGATCTCAGTGAGTGTCTTGGCGTAGTCGTTGACCGTCTTCTGAAGCTCCGTGGCCATTGGAACGAAGTAGTTGCCAATCAGGTCCATGTCGTAGCTGCTTGGATCCTCACCGGCCGGGGTCAACATTGCTTGCTGTGGACGCTGCTGAGAGCCATACATGCTGCCAAGGCCGCCCATGCCGACGCTGCCAGAGTACTGATATGGCTGTGGAAGAGTGAGGTTGGTGATGACACGGTGGCAGCGCTCAAGGTCCTTGGTATCTTTGTCGGCGTTTCTGCGCTGGGCTTCGACACCCTGGGCGTCGGAGATGAGTGCTTGCTCTGCGTCGTCCGCCTTGTTCTTGATGTACTCGACGTCGGGTGCGATCGATTCGACGTTCTCGCCATGCATGGGGTAAAAAGATTCGATTTGCTTGCAGAAGGATTCTTGCTGCTGGATCATCTTGTCGATTTTTTCGAGTTGGTCCTTTACTGGGTCGACACAGTCATCGAAACGTGTGGTGGGCTTCAAGCTGTCGGCGTCGATCTTGACCGCACCGACTGTGTTGGAAGGTGCAGCGCTCTGGCCCATGCTGAGTCGACCAAATGGTGCAGATTGGTTGAGTCGGGAGTGTTGTGCAGCGCCCAACAGTGAAGGCTGAGACTGTCCTGACGGGTTGGCGTTAGATGCGAAGGCGGTGCCAATGGTCGAGGGTTGAGCAGGCCCTCCAAACATGTTGGTTCCAGCACCCAGTGTCGACGAGTTTCCAAGACCGGAGGCTGCGCCTGCGAAGACGCTTGGCTTGGCCTGTGTACTCGTACCGCCAAAGAGACCACCGCCTGCACCGCCCTGTGTTTGTTGCGAAGCTCCGCCTCCCAGGATGCCACCCAAACCACCCGCCTGATTTGGCTGTTGTGCTCCGAACATGCGGCATACTGCACCGTTGCTCTGATTCTGTTGCTGTTGCTGGTTTGTGCCGCCGAAGAGTCCACCTCCTTGTTGTGGTTGCGACTGCTGTTGCTGGTTCGCACCGCCGAACAAGCCGCCTTGTTGTTGTTGTGGCTGTGACTGTTGTTGATTGTTTGTACCGCCGAATAGTCCGCCTTGCTGCTGTGGAGGATTGGCACCGCCAAACAAGCCGCCCTGCTGTTGAGGCTGAGACTGTTGCTGAGTGCCGCCGAAGAGACCGCTGCCTCCAGTCGTCGAGTTCGCAGGTTGGGCCGAAGAGCTGCCAAAGAGGCCGCTGCTGCCGGTTTGGTTCTGTTGCTGCTGAGAGCTGTTGTTGGTTAGCGGAGGCTCGTTGCGAAAAGCGCTTCCGTCCTGTCCAGTGGTATCTCCTTCCTCGGCTTCTCTCTTCTTGCGATTTTCCTGCGCGGCTTTGTTGAACTTTGCGAGGGCCTCGGCGGGGTCAACTCTTTGCGATGGTGCGCTGGTGGGAAAGAGTCCACCTTGGCGGCCTGCGCCGACGCTACCGACGGATTGGCCTGGACCGAAGAGACCAGCTCCTGGGACACCGGGTGAAGGCTGCGGGCTGTTCGACATGTTGTTCGAGTTTGAAAGACCGAAGCCGTTGTTCGCGATCTCGTCGGGCATAGCAGCAAACAGAGGAGGCGCGCTCAGCTCAGCATCCTCGTCGCCGCTGTACCCAGCCGAGCGGTTCATCTTGCGTAAGGGACGCATTGTCGTTGAAGCAAGGGGTTTCGTTCGTTCGAATTTCCTGGTTTTCCCTGGATGACAGTAGGGAATGTGTGCGTACTTACAAGAGAGAGTTGGTCGCGCCCGTATTGAGGGTCAGCGAGTTGGAGCGTCCAAACGCCATATTGTCGAGGTGCAGTGACAATAGGCAGTGCGGCTATTGTTGGTTGCTATTGTCGAGCGGGTCGAGGCAGCGGTTGAAGACGCGTTGTCGAGACGAGCTGCATGGATGCCTCAGGCGCGAAGAGCCCCAAAGCTTCACTCGCAGGACGTTCACATGCGAATGCCGTCCAGATTACACTAGGACATAAACGGTGAATGTTGGTCTTCATTTCAGCCAAGTGCTCATCTGAGTTCACAACTGTGAGACAATTTTACGTACGAAATCACAGTCGTTCATCATCCCACTCATCGACAGGCAACTCTACAAGATATCTGTGTTCTATCAAATACAAAGCGTCCATCAAACGAGTACTACACACCTTCAACTCCCAAAAATGTTTCTGACAATACTCCGATATACGTTCTCAACATCCCATCTCAACTGCTGAGCTCCTGCTGCCCGTGCAATCTTCACTGGCGGAGTTGGCTCCCCCTCACAGCTCCGTACCCACGGTGACTGGAAGCAGGTACTAGCGGTCGACTGCTCCTGATATTGGCACCTATGCCTTGGTAATTAAATCCACGGCCAGAATCATGACGCGGCTGGAGTGGTGTGGCCTGCGGTATCGAATCTCGTCGCAAGGGATCTCTGATACTTGCGTTGTAGTTACCGAACGTTGGCAGTGGGAAGTGTTGCCGGTGCTGTCCAGATGGAGTCTGTGCTGAGATCGTGTCTATTGTGTGTCAGTATGTCTGTTTTACAACGTGGGCGGATTCACTCACGAGAACTTCCCGTAGCGCGACCTAGTTGCGCTGACATTCCCTGGGACAAGTACTGGCTGCCAACGTTTGGTGGTCTCGAATGTCCTTGCCCGTGACCGCCGCTGCCATGACTGCCAGATCTACGTGGCCGCATGCCTGGATGTTGGGCTTGAGAACTGTGGAACTGCGTGCCAGCGTGCAGCACTTGGTCCGCATCCTGCTCAGCAGCAACCTCAATGCCACCATTGAGCAATTGTGCTTTCGCTTTGCGATACATGCCATCCATTTGCCGAAACGCCTTGTCTTTCTCCTTCCACTTCGTCTCAAAGACCTGGATCTGGTTCACCAGGTGTTGTTCGCGCGCTTGCAGATCTATAGCACATCAGCAACCGCCAGCTTCCATCAGAGCATATAACAAACCGTCAATCCTCGCCATGAGCTTATTGTTCTCCTCATCAGCCTCCCTAACCAAGTTATCCAGCTGCGCACCCAGCACGCCGTACTTATCCTTGAGGCTCCTCGCCAGGTAGTCCTGATACGTAATCTCCTGCGCCATCTGATACGACCAGAACTGCAACCCTCTCCCAGCGCATTCGATAATGATCGTCGGACTAAGGCCGCTGAGGATGCTCGTCTTGTAGTCTTCGCTGGGATTGAGGGAAGTCACGACCGCGTCGTCCGTGTTGAGGAGGTATGTGGAGCAGGCGGGGCATTTACGTTGGCCGTCTTTGGGTGCTGTGAGTTCGAGGCGGTCGGCGCAGGGCAGGCAGAATATGTGACTGGCGATGGTGAGTTCGAGATGCGATGGTATGTTTTGAAAGGACTTGCCTGCAGGTCGTGACCACGGCTTGGTTGTGCAAGGTCGCGCGACACTTCAGATCGTTGCAATGGAGGGAAGTATCCATCTCAATGGACGTTCAAGTAATGTCTTGCCGAGTGCATCAAGTGGGTGGAGTGCATGTGCTGATGATGGGGCGATGTCAGGATAAGCTTTGTGAATTGAGTAAGTGAAAGTCCACAGGGAAAGAGCGATGCCATGTGCAGAAGCAACGAAATCTCGAACAAGTGTGTCAAGGAATATACTGCTCATATTCATAGTGTTTCCATCCAGCACGGACAGACAGTAAGAGACGGACCGCCTATCCAACGAATCTGCCTAGCTACGTTCAAACTTTTCTTTTCTTCATTCCTCGCCCGCTCGTTCTTAGCAGAAAAGTGGTGTTGGGTATTAGATAGGCCGTCAAGAGAGTGACATCAAAGTTGAGAAAACTTCAACTCAAATAACAGCAAGTGCAAAGGGAGTATCTCAGTCAAAAAACGGAGCAACAAACGCGCAGCAGCATTGGAGCAGGTAGGTCGGGGATGGTGGCGGTGACGATCGGGGGACTCTGGAACTCCTTGATTTCCGACGCCTGACACCTCGCATATCCAGCTGTAAGATCAAAACATCGTGAAAATCGGCGAAACGGGGAAGCGACCGCGAGAGTTCCTCCACGAGCGTCGCTGTGGTAGTCACGCCTGCTGGGACTGGTCGTGGCGGTGCTCCAGACCGTTGGTGCTGAACTTGGTTACTGGCTCCTCCGGTACCTCCTCCAGCGTGTGACCGTGCTCGTGGTCGACGATGTGCGTAGGCACCTCTGGGATGTCCTCGTGGTTCTTGCTGTACTGGCTCTGCAGGCTGTGTCTCTGCGGCGTGGCAGCTGTGCTCTCACTACCGATGCTCATGCTGGTAGAGCTTCGATCGTGGACGAGGTCTGGAGTTGGTGGCACGACCGATGCCCTCTTAGGGTGAAGGTAAGAATCAGTGCTCTCCGTCCGGCCATCTCCAAACTCGGACTCTGACCCAGCAACGCTCTGCTGATCTTGCTCACCCTCTGCAGAGTCTGGCGTGAGATTCTTGACTGGCCTCTTCCCACGCTTCTTCCTCGACTCAGTCTTCTCCTCGTCGTCACCACCTTCACTGGCAGCACTCGAGGTGTCGGCGCGGCGTGCGAGATCGAGACCTTCGACGGCGGCGGCGCATTGCTCGGAGATGTTGCGGATAATGTACGCGATCGCATCCGTCTTGTCACGAAGGTGTCGATCTGCGACGTCAGTCATACTGAGTTCAGAAAGACGCTTGCGAGCAGCCGAAGTCTGCTGAAGGCGAGCCTCCATTGCAGAGGAGGCATCCTCACCATCCATGCGATATGACTGTCGCGTGCTTGCCCGTGATGACGTCCTCGAACCCAAGCCAAACACTCCTCGAATCGTGCCCACTTCGGATCGCTCTTTGGTGGTGTCCTTGGCTTCGGTCTCGCCATCTTCGTCGAACTCCTCTTCTGCGTCCAAGAACTCGGCGGTCTCTGGTTGGTTGTTGAGAGTCTTGACGATGTGTTCCATGTGGTGGGCTTGGCCATCAATCAAGGCACGCAAATGCAGGACAACCCGCTGGGCTTCGTCACGCTGTCTGAGAAGGGTTGCATTGGTGTGCTGCAACGCCGAGAGGTCTTTCTTGTTCCTCTTTCGTTCGCGCTCAAGCTCTTCGGCGATCTCCTGCTGAAGTACAAGCGCTTCCAAGGCATCGTCTCTCTGCTTCTCGGTGCCGGACAAGCGGACGGTAAGTCGTGCAGTGTCGTCCTTCTGCTGGTCGATGAGAGATGTAAGGCGGCGATTCTCGCGCTTGTGGCCTTCAATCTTGATCTTGAGCTCGTTGGTCTCCTTTGTAAGCTGCTCAGCAAATGCCTGGAACTTGAGGAACTGCTGCTTCCAGCTCTCCAATTCCTCGACCAAGAAGTTGTTGCGCTTGGTGACCTTGGTAAGCTCGGTATCCATGCGTCCTTTGAGGTTGATGAAGTCTTGCCACGCCTCCATGGCATCTCGAGAGTATTGATTTCGCTCTCGAACAATCTCGTTCAAGTGTCGCATTGACACCTTGGTCATGAGTGGTTTCTTTTGTGCTCCGCCAAACATGGCCTTGACACCGGTGTTCTTGCCCTGCGATCAAAGTTAGTGGTTGACATCTCGACACTATCAGCTCAATACTCACCAGTTTCTCACAGGCATGATCCATAACCTTCATGATCTCGTCTTGATTCCACCACCCAGGATCTTGCACGCTTTCAACCTCTCCGCGCATAACAATGATTCGTCCAGCTGGGATGAGTTTACCACCGCCGTAAGCCGAACGCAGGTGCTGTGGTACTCCAGTGGGAGCCACGTCACCATTGAGAGCTTGTGTCATGCGTGAGATGAGCTTCTGTCGTTGCTTCGCGCTCCATGCGCTGGGTGGACTCGAGGTCAGAACGAAGTTGCGGTCAAGGTCAACGACGAGTGCATCTTGGGGCGCGGTGAAGAGTGTTCGGCATTCGGCAGTGACACCAAGAATGTATGGGCCGGGTTCCTGGACCAATTCCTTGACATGGCGAGCGTGGACGACTGGTACGTAAAGACCGCTCCATTCATACACGCGGACCATGTAACGAACAGTCTCGGTAGCGACGGTAAGCATAGCCGGGTAGTTCGAGATGAAGATGATTCGCCGTGTTGGTGAGACTGCGGCTTCCAAAACACCAACGATGTTTGGAATTGACAGACAGCTGAACAAGGGCCACATGGCGAAGTTCTGGAATCCATTGGGCGAAGATGGGAACTGGTAGCACAGTGCGTAGTCCTTCATGTCGATGCGAACCAGGTCATTGAGGCGAGGTGCTGGGAAGCTGAGGATTCGCGATACCTCCTCAGCGTGGAAAAGGTTGGTGGCCTTGTTCCAGTGAATCCACATTCCACGCAAGTAGTCTCCCAGCAGGTTGTATAATGGATATCTCGAGAGGAACGACAGGCAGTATGGAATCCAGTAAGTCTCGCTTGGCTGGTCGTAGTAGTCGGCTTCAGTGCGCTTGCGAAGGTCGCGGATCGTCTCTGCGCGCTTCTCATCCGCGCGGGACCACACTCGCAGGGCAATGCCATACAATGTGTGCGAGGAGTCTTGTTGTAGTACAAAAGCGTGGTGGACACAGTGGGGTTGGGTGGTACCAGTGCAGATTTCGACATCGTGAGGGAAACAAGCCTGGACTATGTTAGCATCTTCAATGAAAGATATCGTGATGTCCTGCGTACCCTCATTGCAGAATGAAGTGACCTCGCAATCTCATTGTCCTGCTCAAGCCGTGGGCTGCTCCCCAGGATTTCCGGCAGCCAGAATTGTCCAACCGCACCCTTCATATGTCCAATCTTTCCCTGCATTGGCGGAGGAGCTTTCACCCATTGCGACGGTTCTCTGCCCACACCACAGACCATGTACGCGTGTGTCAATGTCTTGGGGGTGCGGGTGCCCGTCTTTGGCTGAGGCATTGCTCCTGGGACGGGCTGGGTGATGCGCGAATGCAGCGACGAAGTGCGATTGGGGATGACCAGATTGTCGTCGTCAGGGCTGACGGGGCGTCCAGACTCGCCGGAGCGCGGGCGTGAGGTGAAGGAGGGCGCCATGGTGAAGGTGGTGGTGGACTGGTGTTTTTGCTGCTAGCACACCGACGCAGAGCTTATCGCAGGCTGCACCGTCGGGTCCTTCGCCAGTGCAGTAGCTCTAGGCGTCGTTGGTATGGGCCGTGTGCCCCTAAAGTTTGCAATGGGCGCGACGTGCTGGGTGCGCGCAACGACGCTCAGCAACAATGGCTGTCAGAGGCAGCAATGGGGAGGAGGAGGCAGCATGTGCTGGAGGTGTCGGCGAGAAGCTGGCACGACGAGAAGCTGGCACAGCAGCGATGTGAGGGCCGTTGCAGCGCACGACCTCACTTTCATGCTCTGCCCCAGCTCCCGACGCCCGTGAGGACGTCGCCGAAACCTTTTGGCAGGAACGGTTAGCGCGATGATCTAGCGCTGCAGGGATATCCCTAGCAATCCTGCGCGATGCCTCCCGGGAGATTAGACTGGATATGATGATGGATGCCTCGACGAATGACTCGATATCTGGGTTGCCGTGCGGCAAACCGGGAATCGTACTCATCATATATTACTGCCAGACTATCAAATAATCTACTGATTTCTAGCAAAGCCCGTCGAGTGCGTTCTGTAACCGGCGGAACAATCCTGCAACCGTTGCGACTCATGGGTTGAATAGGGGCATGCATATCAAGTGACCAGGGTCCATATCACACTTTCATCAACCATCACCGCTTGCAGTACCGTGCAGAACGTGCCGCACCAGCGCGAATGCTACTCCTCCCCCAACACGGAGTGATGATGATCCGCTGCGCGGAGGATGCGAGGGCGTGGTTGTGCTTCTCCAACGTCCAGACACGCGCGACGACTTGGAACTTGCAGCAACGTGCTCGCCGGTGCAGCAGAGAACATCGACTTCCCGGACTCTGGCGTTTCATCCACTCGAGGGACTCCTCCACGTGTGTGTGCGGAGGTAACTTAGCTGGGGACACTTGCCGGTCCAGCCATCGGAAGCGCCTTGCGTCGATTGTGCACCTCGTTCGTTCTTGGGTTGCACGACACAATCAATGGCAAATCTGCGCCCATCCGTCTCACTCTCTCACACCTTCATTCTCGTCTCCCTTCTCGCCGCTCAAACAGATCATCTCTGCAGGGCAAGAACAGAGTCCAGCCACGACTGCAGCTCGAACAAAATGCAGCCATCATGTATATTGCATCCCACCCGAAGCGGCAATGCAGATCCGTTTGAGATGCGCCCTGCACGAGCATAAGCGACGAGCGACGAGCTGTGGTTCCTGCAGCACAAGCGCGGGCTCCCCAACCATCTCGACCATTCGACTCGACGCTCCGTCGGCAAGCTTCTGTCGACCCAAGTGATGATTCATGCAACCCGCCATCCACCACCCAGCTTCACGACCAGCACACGACTCGAGCATAAGCTGATCGTACGCGTCTCGACTGGATCTCTGCGATTTTCTGGCGATCTTGGTGGCAACCACACTTTGCAAGTCGAGGCCATCAGCTTCAGGCCGCAATCCAGAAGGGTCTCGCTGGGCACCGCCATGGAAGGGAGCAATTCTTTTGCCTGGCAGTGAGACTTGCGACTGAACTGAATCGCCCGGCATGCCGAGCCGATGGACGGTTGCAATTCAGAGATGCAAAAAAGTTTAGGCGTATTAATGGGTATGGTGGTGGTATTTCACATACCGTTGCCACGCGCGAATCATACCTAGGTAGCTACATATACCCTCGGTGTTCTGCTCAAAGTGGAATATTTCATCCCCATCACTCTTAAGCTGTCTAAGCAGCGTAGGGTGCAATTAGCAGCACAGTCGCCTGTGAGAGAGGGCAATTGTATACGCTCCAGTTTGACCGGATCGAGGAGGGTAGCTGTGGATGCATGGAGTTGCTGAGAACAGCAAAAATACTGAAGTCGGGCCTTGCTTGCATCTTCGGCACGAATAGCATCCAGAGCGACAGGTTTCTTCGTCTATCTTTGATGTTTTCCAGCACATAATAGGACGGTACTGCGCACTAAATGACCCGCTTGCTCCATCACCAGTAGGCGCCAACGTCCCAGGAAGCGCTGAGCTATTCTTGTCGAATGGCTCTGTTCGAAAACTACTCAAGACTCTATCTGGCCGAACCATACTGACCATGGGCATCTCGAAATACCTCTTTCACCGCACAAACGCATTGATAAAGGCTCGTGAGCACGGATCTGCAGAAGAATCATGGCCATGGACGCTCCAGCCCCGATTCGTACATTCTACGACAGCATGAAAAGCATTGATATGGAGTCGTTATTGGATCATCAAGCGTTCATCGAACCTCGGAAAGACTGGTTCGATAACCGACCTAACAAGAAGTTCAAGCTGCGGGTATGCCTCCCAAGAAGCCTGGAATTGCAGAAAAAGTACGGCGCCATTCAATTGGCTTGTTTCGATTTCATAGGGAGGTGTGTCTTCTGCCCTGAGCCTAGCAGACACGCACATTCCGTCCAAGGGACCAGTGTATACGAGATCGAAGAGTTCCCAGGTACACGCAGGAGCACCACATGCGTCGAACGTGCGAACTCTCATACTAACGCGCAAGCCAGGACTATATCTCTATCCACAATTTCTGAGAAATCACTTGGTACTGAAGGACTTGGTTGATCAGCTTCTCCATGAGGAGTTAGCATCTCCTGCCAACTCGACGAATCTGCACGAAAGCTACCACATTACATATCCAGGCCGTGCGAGCGATAGCAGGCAACAACTCTCATTTTTCGACTCGGCGACTTCTCGGCTCCAGATGCAGCCTCGTCTGGACGATTCGTGGGTACACTTCCCTCTCACGGTCACAGACTTCGTGGACAAGCTACGTTGGTTGAGAATACGCCTTCCAAGCAACGTCAAAACTCTCATCGAAAGCATTATACCGCTTGAAGTCAATTCCGCTACTGCTTTGATATCTCCACGTATGGATTCTCAAGGACTTCGACAGGATCGTGAGAACAAGGGCTTTTTCCTCGATCTGTCACTTGGTTGCGATGGCGTTCTTGTCATTGGAAGGGAGCAGGGCCCTGACGAGCGACGAAAGTCGGATGTGCCTCCATCGCCTCCGGAAGTTCCTGAAGACAACTGGCATCAGTGGATTGTTGGTCTTGACGATGGAGACGGGGAGGAGCATGCCAAGGACGACGACAAACGCAATAACGAGGCGGATCCCAAAGCTGGGGTTCACGAGAAGGACGAATGCGGATCTACCGATGGAGACGGCTTCCATCTCGCCGCTATACGTCTATGCCATGGCGATGCTCTGCTATTCAGCGGCGAGAGCGTCAGCGCATGGCACGGTGTGGCGAGAGTCATGGAAGGAACATTCGCTGCCTGGGAGCAAGATTGGCCTTGCTGGTTCGAAGCACGAGACTCCTCACCTTTTCAAGACTGGCGTGGATGTATGAAGGGTCGCAGAGTAGATTTCGTCCTTCACTAGCTGCAGTGCGCATGATTGCTTTACAGGCCAAGGGCCAGAGAGCAGAGAAACGGAGGCTGCACATCTGGCTTCTTCCCCATGAGGGAGGTAACCTCTCCAAAGGACAATTTTCCAAGTACTATAAGACCAGGGATCACGACAAGTGGCGACACAATCTTCCGTTCGATCAGAGCCTTGCTGAGAGAGCCAAATGTTCCTTCAACGCACGACATCGCTGCATAACCATGAAGTGGATCTGTCGGTAGCTCGAGCGAGGCGCCATCTCTGGCGCTTATATCTACATTCTCAAAAAAGACCGTCACAGACGCCGGAGTTTCAGCGATAGTGGAGCACGGCGGCAGCGGTAAGCCTTCCGGCGTCTATTCACCCTAAAACTACTCTGCTATACAAGGGTACTGGGCGCGTGTTGGAAGGCATCGGCTGTGCCCACGACTCCAGACGTCCATCGCCCAACCCTTTACGCGCTCGAAGAAACGAAGAGATTGAAGGACAAGACAAGTGGGAACTTCGCTTGCGAAGACCCCATGCGCTTAGACCTCAGGACCACCGAGCGATTACTCCCATTGCTTCAAGAGCACCAGGCGTCTCCATCCACCTCACCTCAACCCATCCCTCCAGCGCTACAATGCTGGATGTGCATATGGAGTCGGGCAGTGCTTGCGGAGAGTCTGCCATGCGGCACAGTATGTCTACTGTGAGTGCCAACAAGAGTTGTGTTAAAGTAGAGGCCATCGACTCCGGCAGCACAGAGATGTAAAGACAGTCAAGTGTTATTTCTTTCCTTCTCCTTACCTGTATCATCATTCCCTTCGGCGATATGAGGCACCCTGTGCTATTCACACTATCATTGTATTTCTCTTCATGGACCGCTGCCCAAGTCTCAACAGGTACTGGAGGATGGATGTCATCAAGCAACGCGCCATATACAAACGCAACGATCGGCTCCAGCTCGACTGTCAGTTCCGGCATTTCAGCCTCTCCCTCGGCCAGCATTCCTCTCGGTACTGGATTAACTACGCCCTCGTCATCAGGCCTGCCAAGTAGCAGTTCTTCATCTTATCCGTCCTCGAACCTCCTGAGCTCAGGAGGCAGCGCATCACTGTCAGGCACTGGACTCACGACTTCATCATCCACCACCCTGGCTCCGGGAGCGATACCTTTGGGAGTCAGTAGTATCTCGACGGAGATTGGCGGCTCTACGACTGTTCTAGCTATCATCAGCGGTGGTGAGGTCTCATCTGCGATAATCTTGACACCAACAACGACCATTGCCCCGACCGGCACGGAAGCCGCCTCGAGCAGAGATCAAATCGAAACACAGCTCAGCAGTGTTTTCCCGATCATTCAGAGCTGGATCGACGATGACACGGAGCAGGTTGGACCCATCATCACGTTTCTGGACGATGTGGTCGACGATGCGACCGGTCTTTTGTCGAAGATTCAGGATGACTCTGGCCAGAGCACCAACAAGGACTGTACTCATTCGCTATTCACACTTCTGAGCTGCATCGTAGAGACGGTGACTTCAATCAAGACCAGCATCACGAGTACTCTTGTCGACAACGTAAACCACGAGCTCACCGAATTGAAGGACCTGACAGAGGAAGTCAAGGATGAGAAGGACAAAACAACCACATCCGCGCCATCCTCTACAACATCTTCAGCGTCTTCAAAATCGTCATCAAGCAGTTGTAGCTCTGGGACGTCGGCAACGGAGGAGTACTTCGTCACATGTACGCCTACGGTGATCAGCTCCACGACCACACAAATCTGCAATACAGCCACTTCGACGGTAAGTGGTTGCAGTGTCTCATCATCTGCAACCACAACAACACTATCGACGGGCAGTCTTCCCATCTGCTCTGCAAGCGGATGTTTGAGCTGCACAGCAACGTCGCTTCCTACCCAAACTACACCTCAGTGTACGGACTGCACAACCGTTGATGGAGTTGCGTATCCGTCACAGGCCACCACACTCCCCAAGGGGGCTCAGGAGATATCCGACATCGACGATCTTCCAACAAACAAATCATCCTCCAAGCACAAACGAACGCTCCAGACTCCCGATGATTTTGAGATCATGGGCTCAAACCAGCCATACTCAGACTTTTTCTACAATCAGCTTATCAGCCCTGGGACTCTCATTGTGCCCCATAGGGATGAAATTAGGTTTCTAGGATCCTCTTCAGGTCTTCTCCGTGAGTTTGACGGCGAATCACGACTTACTATGACAGTGCAGGGCTTGTATGGCTGCACTTCTGTCATTATTGTGTCTCGGAAGGCAGTCTACATGAACCACTGTAAGTGATTCTAGATATGCTAGATGCCTAAAACGGCATCAACAGCTGAAATCAAGTAGTGACACTCGCTGCAGTATTTGAAAATCCAGGGTTCATGTACGGTTGGGACGACCAATGCGAGCACTACTGGCCGGGCGACTTCACGAATCAAATCGAAAATGTCCTCCTCAATGGCGACCCCATTCCGATTGTCGACAAAGGCGAAGACTTCGATGGGCAGCCTTGGCTGCCAGACATCAGTGGTCTCGCCGCCACCGGTGCCCTCTTCGACCCAGAACAAGAGGGCGGCGTTCGCGCCATCATCGTCTCGCCTCAACCGTGGCCTTCCCAGAATTCCCCAAAATACAGATATCAGGCCGAGATGGAAACGATCCGGAACAAGCTTGGTATCTTCGACCCCGACCCGATGGACTTCATCTACCAGAGCACGAACCCTGAAATGTCAAACGACGTGGCATTCCAAGTCGGCAAAGTGCTCTTCCAATTCGATCCGGCGGAGGCGACGTTCTTCAATAAGATCCAACTTGGTGGGGACCAGTATGCTTGTCCGACTCAGTACGCTGGCTTCAAGCTGTGGATTGGCTATGCAGAGTATGTGAGCAACCACATTGATCCGTACTATGAGGATAATTGGTCATTCAAGTTGGGCGACACGGTTGCACCGTTGCCTCCTGGTAGTGGTCTGATGGTTTCCCGCGACGAGGAAGTCCCAGACGCGTGTGTGAATGAGGACAGTAGCAGCACTGCGACGGAGAGTGATTCTACGACAGCCTCGATAACCTCGACAGCGTCATCAAGCACACCTACAACGCTCAGCACGGTAGTCACGACCTCCTCGACCAACACCACCTCCATGCCAACCACAACCACGACTGTTGCGTCGATCACATCCTGCACCCTATCAACCCAAGGAGCAACCGTCCTCGGCGCCTACACCTACAGCGAAACAACAATATGCGCCTGCAACGACGGTTGGACCGCAGGCCTTGACACCATGGACGCAGGCAACGGCATGAGCATCCTCACCTGCGCCGTGGGAACATCCATACCCACGAACGCGATTATGCCGTCCATAACCATCATCACGCCCCCCACAACCACAACCAATACAGCGACAACCTCACATAGCACATACGTCGGAGCCTGCTATACGGATACATCGAGCCTGCAATGGGGCCAGTGCCAGTTCAGCGACAGCAGCATACCGCTGGCGGCTTGTCCGTCGTCTGCCCCGTGTCCGAGCAACGGTGCTGCTTGCTACTATGTCAATGAGGGCAATGCTTTGCAGATGGGCTGTGGAGTTTCGTCGCCGCAAGCGACATCCACGTCGTCTTCGGCGTCAGCTAGTGCCAGTGCATGTGTGGTCCCGGTGGGGTGCACGAATGCGTCGGCGCCTGATGGGTGTGCTATTCTTTGCGCTTGATAAACTCGACGTCATCGTTTTCGCAGTTACTGACGGACAGAGGTAATGAGGCATTGCTCGGCGTTCCGTTTCAGGGGAAAAGTTTGAGAGGCTTTCAAGGCCGATGCAGGTCAGGGGCTCAGGTCAGGGGCTCCGATGAGTGGCCAAGATATACCATGTCAGCAAGCATCTTTTCGTATAGATTTGACTTCACTTGTACATGGAGTTCAAAGAACTTGGATAATGTCTTGAGGCTGACCTCGATTGGCTCTGTGGAATAATTTCGTTATGCTGGAGCGGACTGCCTTGGGATCATAGCCTAGGAGTAGATCGAGCCATTCTGGGCTCAGTGACGATGTTGCGATGGTTGTGCCGCCCTTCCTCTCATGTGGGAACTCCTCAGCCTTGCGAATGGCTTGTTTCAACAAGATCTGTGCCCATCCTGCCCAGTAGATCAAGGTGGACGTTCTACCTCCATCGAACCCCCTCCAACAACTCAATCCATCTTCGGCACCTCCTGGCTCGCCTCATGCGTCTCCGTCACTTTAATCCCAGCCTCCGGATCCACGACCGAATTCCCCCTGCTCGCCGCCTGCACAAGATCCGGCCTCTCCGCCTTCAACCTCTGAAAGTTCCTCTCCGCGTCCCAAACCCACGGACTATCCGCCGCAAACACCAGATCCATCTCCTCCAGGGTCCGCTGATTCGTCTCTGGGTACAGCGCCCAGACCATGGGGATGGTAATGACGTTACAAGCCCCGAAGATGTAGAGGGTTTTCTCGCCGATTGCGTTGAACATGACCGGGCAGAGAAGGGTGAGCCAGCCGTTGCCGATGGACCAGCCTACGACGCCCCACGCATTGCCTTTAGCGCGAACTTCGAGGGGAAAGATTTCGGCCTTCAAGGGGAAGACGATGTTAGTCGAGGTTTGTGGGAGAGACGTTTGGGGATAGAGAACTTACGGGATACAACCAAGGCACTGTGAGCCACGTGGCTCCGAAAATCGAAGTGAAAATAAACACGAACGACGCTGAAGCAATGCCGTAAGCACTTGCGGCTGCTTCGTCGCCCGCGGCTCTGGCGTTTAGACCTCCTCGTGCCATGCCCCCGGCGAGGAACATGGCGATGCCCATACCAACTGAGCCCCACCAGAGCGTCCAGCGTCTGCCGATTCGATCTAAGGTGAAGACGCAGATTAGGGTCGAGAACATGTAGAAGATGTTGTTGAGACCGCTGATCCATTGGCTTTTCTCGGAGCTGAAACCTGCGATGCGGAAGATGGTGGGTGCGTAGATCGTTACACCTGGAAAGAAGTCAGCTCGGTCTTCTCGATGCTCCGTGTGACAGCTTGGACAAACCTGCGATGCCAATCCACTCCTGCATGATCTGTAGCCAGACCACAAGCTGTACTCTCCTCGCCGTGTGCAGTTTACCAGCTCCAATCCCGAAGAGCATGGAGAAGTAGCTGTTCCGGTTCGCCGTCTTGCGTTCGTGGATAACGATGTTCTTGATGTCGTTGAACTCAGCGTCAGCCTGAGCAGCACCTTGAGCGTCTTCGCCTCTCAGGCGACCAAGGATGTATCGTGCTTCCTTCTCACGACCGACTTTGCACAGCCATCGCGGTGACTCTGGGAAGAACCAGACCACCGAGATCAAGACTAGCAGCGGAATGATCTGAAACGCAATGGGGAATCCTGTACACGTGGTCAGCAGCGTCGTTACACAAACTGCTTAACATAGACACAGACTCACTCCACCTTATCGGACTCCTCCCCCCATCAACAAAACTCAACCCAAACTCCAACCAATACGCAACGACAACGCCAAAAATATTCAACGTAAACTCCACCGCAATAAACTGGCCCCTACTCGTCGCCTCCGCCGTCTCCGTAGCCCAAACAGGTACAATCGCATTTAGCACGCCAGTCCCGATTCCATTCACTGCTCTAGCACAGATCATCCAATTAGCATTTTGGGCCGAGCATTGCAGAGAGGCACCGAGGATGGCCCAGAGGGCGCCGAACGCGATGGTTTTGATGCGGCCGGCTTTGTCGCCGGTCCAGCCGCCTAGGAGGCAGCCGAAGAGGGTTCCGAGGTAGTAGACTGAGACGATGCCGCCTTGGAGGAGTCTTCAAAGGAAGGATCGAGGGTCAGTATATCTTGGGTACATAGGGGATGCTTCGGTGTACGCACGAATCTGTTACGATAGGATCGCCATCTTCTGAGGTGTAGCCGAACTTCATGAGGGAGATGTAGTTTTGGGCGTTGTTGACGCCGCCCATCATCCCTGTAAGGCTGTATTAGCTGTTGAACGTTCGAGAGTAAGTTCGGTAAGTTTCCGAGCGGTAGGCTCCTTGGATAGGGCATGATACCTTGGTCATAGCCGAAGAAGAAAATCGAGAGGGCGGCGATGCTGTTGATGGCGAAGAGAAGACGTTTCTTCTCGAGTTTGGCGGCGACTCGCCAGCCGGAGAGTTGGTCCATGATTGCTGTCGTTGAGATTTCCTGCAGGAGATCGTATCTGTAGGATTGCTAGAATGTTGTCCACCTATTCCTCCAGTATTCTTCTCATTCCTCCATAGGTCAACTCAATACCACAAGCTAAAAAAAAGGAAAGAAGAGATGAGGTTGGAATGTGACTCGAAGAAGAACGCGAGAAAAACACGAAAACCCACGGAACGAAACGAATCCTTCCACTTGTACCACTTCACCAGATGCAGCATGTCGTCTCATGATAGTTCCAATTTAGCCGGTAGCCGCGTGGATGAAAAAGGCAATCCGGACGTTGCTCAGTGCTCACATGTTCATCGAAGTGGAGGAGGAGAAGTGGAGACACTGGAGACTCCACACGAGTGCCTCGTGACGGTGTCTGCCGGCCTTTGAACTTCGGGATTCCAAAGGCAAGGGGCGGAAAAGGGGCGATGAAGATATGATGCTCATGTTCGAAAGGTCCATAAGATTCGCCTGCTCCAGCGATCTTTCCAGGCTTCGGTCTCCTTATACACAGCCTTGCCTTCTAACTTTGGCAATGAAATCAATATTTTATTGATGAAATTTGCATTTCACCAAGCTCAAATTCACTCTTCCGCTTCTACGCCTCTCGCAGTATGTCACCATCAGCTTGGTGGTCTATGGCGTCGATCATATCCTGCCACATGTCCAAGTCACTCGGCCCAGGAAAGGAGAACGGCTCTGAGAAGGTATGTGTGAGTTGAGTGGACACGCAGCCAGCCAAACCAAGGTCCCCAGGATCGATTGTAAACTCTTTGAGCTGATGGTCCGAATTCTGTACACTTACGCCCACAGGTGCTTCTGCTGTGTCCATCTCGTCCAATGGAACCAGTTGCTCCGGTGCTGCGACCAGATCTGTTCCTAGCGTCTGCCTTTTACGCCTCCGCTCACCCAAATGACTACTGCTGAGAGATCGTGTATTGGTCACTACTGGTGCGCCTTTGGGCTTAGGTTCGTTCTTCAAGCGATCAATGCAGAGCTCTATGACCTTGACCTTGGCCAGCCGAAACTCATTGACCCAGATCTCACTATATTCCTTGTCCCAGAAAGATTGGAGGTCATTTACGATCGCTTGAGAATCGTACGAGCCCCGGGACTGCTCCTGAATGGCCAACATGCCCAGCACAATAGCACTATTGAAAAGCTGACGGACGCCAAGGCACCAGGAGGAGTGATCAATGGTGCCGCTGATGTCGTCGTGCTCAAGTCGTGTCTTCATATCAGCACAGGCTGCATTGAAGCAGACCTCCCGACTGTATCGATATTGGTCGGTAACGGACGTACGCCAGGCGAAGGGTCGGTGCAGATTAACGCAAGCGAAGTGGTAGGAAGTATGGAGATAGACCCTATGCCACTGCAGAAATCTCTGGGTCTGATCTCGAGACTTGTCAGGGCGTTCCATAAGGAGGTACTTTGGCAGACTTCGCTTCCATTCCAGGAGTTGAGCATCAAGCGCCATAACCTGTCGATATGAGACGGCTCGTAATCCACAAGTTTGTTCATGGATCTGGCCGATCACTTTGGCGAGGCGATAGGAGAAGGTGGCCACAACGCTGGGGGTTGGACTGTCTGCAAGGCATTCGGGCTGAACAGTTTCAGCTGCATCATCGTCAAGGTCGTCCAGGAAGACATTCTCCGGCTCGTGTGGAAGCGACAGGCTATCAGTGATGCAATATGGTCTACCAAGCGCTGAGGAGATCATCCGATCGAGAAGATAAAGCTGGCACCAGAGTCTGCGGCGAGATTCAGTCTCTCGACGAGGTAGTTTCCAATAAGTGCCATCGATATGCAATCCTTGCGCCATGGCCAGCCTCGCAGCGAAACCAACCGTAAGCCAGCTTTCGGTGATGCGCTGGCTGAAGACGCAGAACCTAGTGACCAGGATGCCAGCTCGGACAAGATCGGTGCTTTCACCATAGAAAGACGGCGCGATTACGATCGCTTTGCGGCAGGCCCAAAAGAGGCTCATCGACGACTCTTCATATTCACGCTGCACTTCGGGACGTGCATTACGCGGACAATCCAATAAGGTGCCAAATGCCAGTACGATGAACAGCAAGGCCAGCCACCGAATGTACACAGTGGTTACGTCGTCTAGCCCAGCCTTGCGACTGTAGAAGCGTTGATACTCTCGCCTAAAAGACTGTTGGTGGAAAGTTTTGCAGCAATTCGTGAACCTAGGAGGAGCAAGGATAAGAGTGCTCTTTTCATTGCCTCATCATCCACAGATACGGAGACCTCGTAGCTACGTAGAAGTCGAATTCATTGAAATAGAAGATCAAGAAGGCTCAATCCCTAACCTGTCTGCTTTCGTGAACCAAACACATAGATAATCTCGTCCGCGAGCTAAAACCTATCGAGAGAATAGCTCTAATCTGCGAGTCAGAGCCATGACCCCAGCTAAAGACCCATGTGACTACTTTCACGTTGGTGTTAATGAAGTCTTCGGGGACCAGGATCCCCGCATGTTTCCGCTTGTCCTTCGCGTGAATGCCTAGAACACCTCTTTCTAGTCATTAGTAGTCCAAGTCAACATAAGGGGTCCGGTACGGTAAAACATCCCGATTATTATTGCGCGATCTGGCATGTGCTCAGAAATATCTGCTTGAAGGTTATACCATTATCTTCCCCTTCGCCCTTCTTGTTCAGTCTCGGAGTTAGTTCGATGTCTTCGAGTAAGCCACAGGTTGTTACATACCTTTTCGTCAGAGGTTACACGGATTATTTGTCCCTTGTCTATCGATTTTTGAGCTAGCAGTATTCGCATTGTGATGATTTGATGCTGATACTTCTCAAGGTTGCCAAGTAGACCCATGAGCTCAAGAAGCTTGGACGGCCGGTCTGCTCTCTGCCCCTTTAGCAAATATGACCTGTGCCTGTCTTCGATCTGTCTTATGACGTTTAAGTTAGAGTCGATGAGCTCCTTCAAGCACGAAATTTGCGCCAAAGTGTTGTCAACAATTTCCCTCGCATCTGTTCTGCCCATCATGATATTGCTAAGCAGGGCTTTGACTGGACTATCAGCCGAAGGATCTTGCTTCAGAATTGGCGCAGTGGATATGAAAACAATAGCACTCGCCAGCGTCGAGTAAGAGTCGAGAGCTAGTGCTGAGATATCCTTTTCTCTTCTAGTCACTTTACGAGGAGTGAGTGACAGCTGCAATGATTGTAGCCTTTGTTCGTGCCGGGCTGCGGAGTGTCTCCACCCTTCATTTAAATCGTATTCATGGGCACAGTCGTCTAATTGACTTTCGGCGCGTTTTCTGATTAGCCGTAGACCACGTGTCATCCCTGCCAAAGGCTGGCTTATGGTTGATATAGTCATTGTCGAAAGCTGTTCCTCCAGCGTCGGCGATAGCTCCCACGGCATTCTTTGCCTCGTAAGCAAACGAGTCATGCTCCTAAAAAAGTCTCCTTGGAGGAAGTGATGGCTCCAGAAGTTGCGCCAGAGCAGCAGCGCCGTCATGACCTCGAACGCGATGTTTGTTTTCCGAACCCAATCCAGAGCCCACATTAAATCAAAGACCTGATCTTGAATGCTTCCATCGACATTTGCGCCTTTCGCGACAAGTTTATCAACCCGAAGGCCATGGATGGATCGCAAGCTTCGCCACAGGTCCTCTGTGGCGTCTTCAATGCTCCTGCCCCTATCGGTCCTTCCTTGCGCTCAGCATTGGAGCTCAAGGTAGTGGGCCTTCTTCATACTTACTCTCGACCGCTTGTCGTCACATGCTCGACTATATCCATAATCTTAATACGATCACCAGATTCCTGTGTGAATGCAAGTATGAATGCCAACAACAGTTTCAGACGAGCTTTAGGGTCCAGTATGACCCGATTGGCACAATATCCCGGGTGGAAGCAACGAACGACTTGCACCACTTCCGTTGCAATATATTCATCGTCCAAAGCCGGCGCTGATGCGACATTGCAGCCTCGAAATCGATTAAGGCTGTGGGTTTGAAGGACTGTGTTACAGCATGCCAGGACAATTTGTGGTCTCTTGAGTTCCACGATATCTCGAGCCAGGTTGTGGCTTTGGTCGTCCGGTGGGTGTTGTGTACGCCCTTTCGGGCTGAAGGCGAAGGCATCGATGACGCTCGTATCTTTAATTGATCTAGTTCCGCGGGAGACGAAACGGACCATCTCATCGATGCCTATCAATGTCGGCGATGCACTCACAAATTGATCGAATGCAGCCTCGTATACGTGGTCTTGCGCTGGCCTCTCGAGTATTATGACAAGATCGTCAAAGCCATCAGCCAATTCGACTGCTCTTTCAACCTCTTCGGCTGCAATCTTATGCGTATAGCCAAACCGGCGAATCAGGTTCGCAACATGTGTGTGCGAGATCGAGGGAGTCGGAGACCGAACCGGGGGCCGAAGATCCTGAATGGATGCAGGCAGTGGCAGCCCCATGACGATATCCACACGTTTTGGCATGATAATCATCGTACAAAGATTTGGAGCCATCGTTTCGTTCTTTGCGCAAGACGATCTATGATGTGCAAATGTGAATTGGGAGGAAGCCTAGCCGAGGGCATAGGAGAGTCCGACTCATTCGAGTGATCGGTTTCCCATCACATCTCTAGCGTTCCTTCGATGATTGGCGATCGAGACGTAGCGAGTCGTGGACGAGAGGCGAGCTTAGAAAGGCTTCAAGTATGGACACCCGATCGGATGATGCACAAGGGCGAAGCGTCTCGCAAATGCGGCAGGTTGATCGAAGTAGTACGAGTCGTGCTTCTGAAGGGGCAATGCGGAGGACTATTGGCGACCGCAGTGGAAAACTTTGGATGGCGCTCGAAGCTCGGCGAGCCAAGATAGGGCGTCATCATGCTCTCGCATAGGCAGCATGGAGTAGGGAACAAAAGCCTGATTTGTCCCTTTCCTCACCGGAATTTGCAGACTTGTGCCAACTGCCCTTGTAGCCACAAAGAATACAGTTCGTAGACAAGCACACCGGTTCGATTACTTGACAAAATATAAGAAGTCGCATATGATGCATTGCTAAGCTGGTGCTTGATCGTGTTGACAGCAAAACTTACAATGTGGCTTATCAATACGTCGACACATCGATTAACGGAAGTGTTTGGACAGGTCCCGCGATTTGCGATACTATCTCATCGTTGGTATCCTCACGAGCAAGAAGTGTCTTTTAAAGAATACCGGAAGTCGCTCAAAATGCATAGTCTGGGTCACCAGAAGATAAGCCAATTTTGTGCTCTTGCGCAGAGAAATGGATTCGAATGGGCTTGGGTCGACACCTGTTGTGTCGACAAACGATCCAGTGCCGAGTTATCTGAAGCGATCAACAGAATGTACTCATGGTATGAACAAGCGGAGGTCTGCTATGCGTTTCTAGGAGACGTTCAGTCGATCGATTGGAAGAAGAGTGACTGGTGGCACCGTGGGTGGACGTTGCAGGAGCTTATTGCACCACAGAGGGTCTTCTTCTTCGATCGAGACTGTCAAGAGATCAGTAATAAGAAGAGTATGGCCGATGGGATCGAAAACATTTCTGGCATACCCGTAGCGATACTCAGACATGAAAAACCGCTTACGGCCTGGACGGTTGCACAGAAAATGGCTTGGGCCGCGCGTAGAAGCACTACACGCATCGAGGATCGAGCTTACTCTCTCCTCGGGCTCTTCAAGATCAACATGCCATTGTTATATGGAGAGGGAAGGAATGCATTCCAAAGGCTGCAAATTGCGATTCTTCAAAAGTATCCCGACGAATCGATTTTCGCATGGCACAACGGAGTCGACCAGTCTAGATCTGTCTTGGCTGGCAGTCCTGACAACTTCCGGCAGTGTCTGGAGATGGAGCCAAACGTTGGACGGCGGACCGATCGAGACCCCGACCCTCGTCGAGAAAATCCTCCACGAGCAACGAGCTGGGGAATCGAATTGCGAGCTAATGCCAGAAAGCTGAAGCCCATCATGCCTAAGCTCATATATGGCAAATATCAAAGCTTTCTGTGGGCAGTCACCTTGACAGTGGCATTGTCAGGTCAGATCCAGGAACTTCCATGTACAATAGTACTAGCTAGGTACGGACCGGCACCGTACAGCTACCTGCGACATGAGTGCCACAATGCCCATTCATCAGGAGTGTTTCGGGAACTGGAACAACGGTATACGGTCTATCCGCTGGAGGAAAGCATTTTGTTTTATCTTTGGTTCGACCAGGACGTTTGTTTTTGAAATGCCAAGACCGCCTGTAGTGCAAACAATTGGTTCGCGTTCGTGCCTCTTTTCAAAGTGGATTGACTTGGTGCTGCCCATATGCGCATGTTCTATAAGCTATAGCTGCATACGCGCGACAGTCCAAGTGTCTGAACAATGCCCATTGGTTTTCCAGAGCATATAGGTGGGAATGACTGTCTGCTGATTGTCGATTCGATAAGTTCAAAAGATGTTGATGATGTGAAACCAAAGAGTGCGATGACATGGTCACGTGCCGGAGCCCAGCCACATGAGGAGGATGGTTAGTCTCAATGCACAGACTATCCTCGCTAAAACGGCCAATAGCGACAAGCCCAGCCGCGTTTACTACCGGCAGCAAAGTTAGCTCAAGCTGCTTTCTGGTCTCCTAGCTAAATTTAGACATGTGAATCGCACTGCATTATAACACCCCGAAAACCCCGCACTCCATCCTTCCTACTTTCTCTCGTGCGGATTAACAAGTTCCTAAAAGCATCGTCTGATTTTGCCTATTGCTTCGGATAGATTTTGCCTTGCATCTTCGAATAGTTCCTTAATACGACGCGTATTTGCAGACCATGGATACATGACCACCCGCAGACAGCGTACCACTACCACTTAGTGATTTACCCGAGACAGTATTGTCTGTTACCGTGGCATCGTCAAGGAGTAAGACAAAGTTTCCTACCACTTCAACATATAAGTAGGTGCGCTCTGCTTCGCTCTCAACAGATTCTAGAAGCCCATGCAATCATTCAGCAATGGCTGCTAACATTCTCTCGCAGTACTCCGGCTTCCAGCACGACCCTAACGCGCCCATACTCGAAGAGTTCCAACGACTCGCCGCTCTACGAGGCTGGAAAGCAGGGAGCAAGAGGTACAAAACAACGCTGCGGACTTGTCTTCAAGCAGAGTCTCGCGAATTATTCAGGAGCGATGGCAGGCTTGATGCGCTGCAGCAGCTATGTCGAGACGTCGGTGTTCACCCAACGCCAGAGACAATCACAAGCTGTCGAAAGGTGTGTGATCTCGCAGCAGCCATACTGTCAGATAGCTAAGCTGTCCAGGCGTTGCAAAATGTCAATGTCAACATTATCGATCTCATAGACTCGCGGCGCTGTGGCTCCGCAGTCGAAACCTTCCGGACGCGGGTCGCGTTGAGGAACTATTCGAAGATGCAAGGCAAAATCTATCCGAAGCAATGGGCAAAATCAGACGATGCTATTAGGAACTTGTTAATTCGCATGTGGTAAACCAGGACACGACCTCCGCAGACAGGTGTGCCTCTGAATCGATCTTGTTTGCAGGCAAACGATTGACGTTTGAATGGTTCGCGACTCTCCGTGCATGGTTTCTCCCAATGGGTTTCCCATGCACGTGACGCGAATGCGGGAGAGTATCGTTATGCTTAGTTTTTATCAACGCAGGAGTCTTGCAAAGGAAAGAAGCTCATTCCCAAATTGTTCGTCGCCAGAATGTCTTCTTTCTCAAACACATGATGCCTACCTGCTCACAGATGTCGACATGATGGAGCAATCAAACCACTAGACGTAGGTTAATAGTTTTCTTTGAAGAAGACTTTGGAGGCCCAATTAGTACATTCAGGAAGGTGGGATTGTATATATCGAAACATCCGCGAAGGAGGGACCGTGCACAAAAAGGGGCTAAGGCCTTAGCATCACATGTCCAAAACCTATATCCTCGTAAGAATAATGCTCCAAGGTGGTCGACCGGCCTCATTTGACGTACTAGCTACTATCTCTTGACAGCCTTCTTACATCCCTTAAACAGGTCTAGAACGTGAGCCGGGTTGGCGACTCATCTTGCATGATTCGCTGCCATGCGCGAACGATACAAGACAGGCGTTTCAAACGCTGGTGGAAATACCTGTATATAAGGTGTGTCCTGTCAGAGCCTTTTCCGCAACACATACTTGCATACAACGTCCATACGTGGTTGCACCCACAATTCCACCGTCCGTCTTCATACAGCTTTGCTATCCTACAAGCCCACCATTCGCTTTTCAACTCAAAGGCAAGACCTTTAGTCCGTGAATGATAATTGGTAACTTTTATAAGCCCAAGAAATCGGTGAGGCCATGATGGGGGTCCTTTCTTTTCTCCGAGAGACCATTTTGAACGAATGCTGGTTTCTGTGACTCGTGATCATGACAGTGAGCACCCTTATTACTGTCGAAACAAGATTGAGCCGTTCCAAGACGCAGCATGCAGCACCGCGATGTCGTCGTGCATAATGAATCACATCTCGCGCCGAGCAGATCGATTGCTTCTTTGTTTCACGATCACAAGCACTTTCGTGGCATCATGACCGTCTTGATTCAGCCGACATCTGAGACCAGAGCTCAGCAAACCACGTCAAGGAAGGCGTACTACTTCCCGAAACTATTCCTCAGCACTCTGCTCATGCCCTTAGGTAACGTGTGAAGCGGCGCGGAAGACGAGGTACTCACCCAACTAGTCAGGAGTGTTGGCTGCTACATGTTCAAAACGTTTGCTGTATTACCGAGATAACTCGTGAGTTCTGTAGATTATCAACTAGATCTCATGGGCCATATTGGATTTGGGGGCCGCATAAGTACCATGTCGCCGTCAACCGTCTTTGAGACAGACGATTCTCCTCTTCAGAGACAGTCCTTTGGATCTTCTACTGCCACATTTTTCAAGGAAGCGCTAGGAAGGCAAAGGTTTCCGGTCATGATTCGACATTCGCGAGAGTTCTGCAACTGGGTCGTTGGTGTCGTCTCGACCATCTGAGAGTTGTTGCATGGTCTACAGGCTGAACCAGCCTATATAGTTCTCATCGGCGGACCATGCTTTAGTCACGCCTATTAGCTACCAACCAAATCGCTCTTGAAACCACGCCAACCGTGGCCCCTTCTCTTTTAGTAGTCTCGCAAACGCCCTCCTCGTAGCAGCCTCCATAGATGGTGGCCCACAACAAAAAACAGCCATGCTCCCTTCGCATTTCTGTTTCTCCTCCTCCAATACCCTGCTAATGTTCGGCCTTCCAGCGTGGACTTCGTATAGGGCGGTCTGGCTAATACGCGCGGAGGTTGAGGTCAGGTAAATGTCGACCTTGAGCTGCAGGTTTCCAAGGACCCCATGAAGTTCGTGTGCGCAGACGTCGTCGATCAAATCTTGTGTTTGGTTAGCCCAGATTAGGCGGACCAAGTGTAGTGGGTTACTATCGCTGAGGAGCGAATATATTCGAGAAATGGCGGCAGTAATACCAGCTCCACCAACGACGATAACGACCGTGGAGTAGTCACGAAGAGTACCCTCGCAGCCATACGGTCCTTCGATGAAGACTTTGATTTCTTGGACTTCACTTTCGCCCGAAGAAGCAGATGCCTTGGTGCGAAGGTGATCAGTGAAGCCGTTTCTTGGGCGAATGAGGAACGTATGTTGAGGTTCTGCGGTAGATGCATCCAAGCTCTTCTCTACCGACTCCTGCGAGGACGCATCTGAGCTTCTCTCGGGGCCAGGAAGCGTGTGGTACCAAGTACACAGCGTGAATGGATGGCTTTCGTAACCTCGGGGTCTTCTGGGCTCGTAAATATAATAGAAAGCGCCAGGACTGGGGTTTCTCCGCTTAAAGAAGTCAGTAACGTCGACTCGAATGAGACCCTGCTTCTCATCGAACGATGCAAATGCCTTGGCACCGTTCGAAATCGGCCAGATACTAATGCATAGAATGCGTGTCCAGCGAAGCAGGCGGTCAAAGGCCCAGAAAGCCACCGCAGGCCAGATAAAACCATTAAAAGCACCATCCTGGACCTTGACATGGCTAGGGGTTATTAGCAGTGGTTTTCTTGGCGCTGAGGTATTATTACTTACTACCAGAGACACACTATCAGTACTAACGCGAAGATAAAGTGGACCCCTAGAAATAGATCATACCACCGTCTCCGGATGAAGAAGAACGATGAGCCGACTAATAGGGACATCGAGATTACAGACTACATCCTATCAGTTTGTGAGGGCGTTATTAGCTGCAAATGAGGACTTACTATCACTCCGCAGTACCAGAGCTCCATCTTCCAAACCATCTTATACTCGCCTTCCCAACCATGGATAACGGAGTACCCAATGCCATGTGCGATAGCGAGTAATGTTGCAGCCCTCGCAGTCCATCGATGGAAGTGCGAGAAGCTAGCAAACGACCATCCGGTAAGCCAGAGTAGAGGATCGTTTCTTGTAGCGAACAACCAAATAATAGGGATATTAGCAATAGCTAGAGTCCTGGCCCTATCACAGATATATTGCCCAAGTTGGATCCGAGTCTCGGCAGCAATAAAGATTCGTTAGAAGGGGGGAGTCGCGAAGGCGACATCTGCTTCCAACTTACTAAAGATTCCCCTCAAACGTGTGATATCCGGGAAAGCAAAACACAAAGTTCATTACAACATACAATGCAATGAGCAAACCTTCGATCCGACTTGGTGCCGAGGAGGATGCCTCATTGGCTCCCCATAATGTTAGTGTCGAACCCATGTGCCATCGAAAGCGTACGACAGAGCGAGCGAAGTTGGACTGTCCCTTGAGTGACCGGCCATGAATAAAATGTCTTCTCGGCTTGATATAATTGTGGCGGAAGGACTGAAACCCGCGATTGCACATTCCAATCAGGATGACAAGGCCCCAATAGCCATATAGCGCCCACGCGAAATTCTAGTTGTAATAAGTCGCTCGATTTTGTGCAGCCTGGCAATGGTCACGTTAGATAAGACAAGACAGCCAGGTAAAGCGTACCGTAGATTCACAAGCGACATCGAAGAACGCCTCGCTGGGTACCACGGTCTGTGTGTAGTTCTGCGCCTCGACTTCCTGCTGAGATACTCTCAATATAGACTTTGCACTTCCAGCGGCTAAGGTATAGCTTGGAAGCGGTATGCCCTGTTCTTCACATGTTGCGTTTTGGTAGTCCAAACCCCAGCGAGCTTGCTCTGCAGTGCAGTAGGCCGAGGTGCAGGAGAAGAGAGACTCAACGTAAGCCGTGTTTGTACAGGGAACTGGGGAGTCTTGAGAATCGATGGCAGGTTGCTAGTTTGTAAAAGTCAGCGGCATGTCTCGTGGCTGTTCCGTGTATGACCTACATTTCCATCAAAGGAGACCTGTGCAAGTGCTGCGGAGCAGGCTGAGACGCAATACTGTGAGCGCTGGATGTACGTCACGGCATTGGCGCCTTGGGATGCCGCCAGTACTAGCGGTAGGGATCAAGAATCGGACACCATGGCTGGCGCTGCTGCTGGGATGAGTGCAGAGGAGCAACCCGGGGTTGAAGATGATGGTTGTTGTACTTATGGTACATGGAGGAAAGGCTGGGCTACGAGCCACTGATATACGAAGCCATATTCCAACTGCCACGTCAACCGGAGTCGCAAGCACAGCCATCTTGCTCCTGTGTAGTCAGCGTCCTGGAGATGTAGGAATGAGAGTACGATGCCATACTGTTAGGCCTCGATACCTCGCCGGTACCGACAAGACACCGTACCGCCGACCGACACACGGCACGATCCCGAACACGGCGCACACCAGGGACCGCAAATCCTGGAGTCGTCAACCTCAAGAGTTAGGATGATGTGGGGTGTAGCAGTCTGAAACACAGGAATGTTAACCTCGCCCAACTCCAGCCGGCTAACAGGAATTTAACACAATGCTAATACCAACGCGCCCATTCGATAGTTTTTGTATGGACGAATTTGTTACACAAGTCTTGTTCATTTCGAATCCTTGATTTCTTGTGGCAAAATAGTGACATTTTGGGGGAGGTCTTCGTTTTGCAGATAGTCTTGTCATGGACTTTGCTTAAGCGAAGGCTTGCGATGCACTGGTCAAGCCTCGAGGTAGACTGACGCGTGGCCTCGGCAGCTTGAATCTGCAGGAGAAAGCTGTTTCACCTGAATAGGTAGGTGAGATAGGGCTATCTTGTCACGCCAGATGCGTCGAACCTAGGTCTTATTCAGCGAGGCCTGACGCTCAACTTGGCTAGAGCTTGCCTTATTTAAGCCGGAGCGGTAAATGTACGATTCTAATAGGAACATATTAGCACGCAAAGTATTATAACAGTCGCTATAGGCTCTCGACCTACGAGCTAGCTTGTAGATATAAAAGGCCTCTAGCTAAATATAACGTACTTAATAGGGAAGCTATATAGATAGTAAAGCTATATATAAGCCTTAAATCCTCGATACTCTCGACTATCTACGTAACGCTATAGTAATATAGCTACCCTTACTATCGCTATTCTCGTTCTTAGATATTTCCTCGATAATATCCTCGATTTCTAGACTTAGAGAGGCGTTCTACTTCCGTTTACGAGTTATTTTCTTTACTATCTCCGCTTTAGCTTACTAGGCGATTTCGAGGATTTCCTCTATATTAAAAATAAAACGCTTTTCTAAAGCGACTTATTTCTCTTTTATTCGTTTCTTACGAGTTTCGAGAAGCTCTCGTTATTTAGTATTCTCTTTTCGTAAAAGTATATTCTTAGAATTTAACTTTTTAAGAGTAGTAGTAGCTCGAGCGATATATCGCTTAACTAGGCTTTTAAGTATTTTATTCTTCTAGACGATTAAATTAAGTACCGAGTTTATTTATCGTAGTTCGGTACTATCTAGAGGCGAGCTATCGAGAAACGAGCGATCGAGTATATTTATCGTTATCGATAGAGACGCTTATAGAGTATAAGAAGCTTTAGGTATTTCGAGAGTTAAAAGAACTATAACTAGACTAAGTAGCGAGATATCGCTTTTACGAAAGCTAGTAAGTATATTCGATATTATAATAGTTTACTCTCGTACTCGAATATAAGTAGAAATCTACTCGACTCGAGATATCTAGCTAGAATTAAAGCGAATAAGAGAGTTAGTTTCTTTAGTAAAAGCCCGTTTTAATAGACTAAAAACGGCGACGTCGAGAGGCTATAAAATATATAATAAGTATAGTAGTAAATAGACGAGATCTATCGCGTTATTAAAATAATAAGTAATAAATCGAGAAGTTAAGTACGAGCCGTATCCGTCGAGTAGTAGAAGTTAACGCTAGCCGTTTTTTTATTTTATTTCTAGGTCGAATAAAGTAGAAATCTACTTATAGGCGTACGAGTCGCTCGTCTAGCTACTATTACTCGTAGAGAAGCGCTAATTCGCTAGTATATTAGGTAGTATCTATCTAGTATTTATATATTTCGCTTTAAAAATAAGAAGTAGTAGTAAAGCTTCTCTAGAGGTACGAATATACTCGATAGCTATAATCTACTTTTATTGCCTAGATATACGCTTCTAACTTACTTTATCTTTTATATTTATAAGTACTTAAGAGATTTAACTTACGCTAATAGCGAAACCCGACTTGTCGATATTATAAATATCCTTAGAAGTATAGCGATTTAAGACGAAAAGCTTAGTAATACTCGAGAAGTAGGACTCGACTATTAAATAGTAAGTACTATTATACTAGCTTATTTCTAGCTATTAACTCTAAGCTCCTTTTATTTCCGGATAGCGAGTATATAGTTTATCGATCTACCTTTTACTAGGTTAGAAAATCGAGGTTATAGAGAAGAGGTTTAGTATCGAAAGTAGGACTTAAGAATAGTATATCTCGAAAACGAGTTCTTATACGAATTTAGGTAAAACCGGGTAGCTATACTTCGATAACTTTAAAATCTACTTAATAAGAGTCTACTCTTCGGTCGTAAATAGGTATTACTCGTATTCGTACGCGATAGATCGAGAAACGCCGCCGGCGAGCCGTAGTCGAAACGTAGATTTACTAATAGAAAACGCAGTAGTATACTTACGTTTCGAGGTATATAGATTATTCTTATAAGCAGATATTACGTCTAGTATACGCTGCTCGAGATCTATAAAGTAGAAGAGTTAAAAGTTAAGCGTGTCGCGAGAAATTAAAAGAAAACGCGAAAGTGTCGCGGATCCGTGCGCAGCTTCACCGTCTGCGCAGCTTCCCTATCAAGTACGTTAGCTGTAATCCCAGCACAGACGCCAGCTCACAGAAGCATGCTGGTAGACTGAGCAAGTCTCCCCGAGCACGCCGACTCCTGTCGTGTCAATTCGCCCTAGGTCAAATGTCTGATTCATGCTCGTGGTGATTGTGTCTGCAGACATAATTTACTTGCTGCTCCTTCTGCTTGCGGTTACTTCTCGTTTCTGTCTTTTCCTTATTTGCATCTGTCGACTCTGCGGCGCGTGAGTCAAATGCAAGACTAAGAGGATCGAATCTGGCGCTGCAAGTCGCTCTACCAAAGGTGCAAAAGTCTCAGATTCCGTTGGCCGAGAGCCCCATGTGTCGATGCAGGGCCGCATGGGGTTGACGCTTCCCAAATCGCAAAACATTATATATTGCCATGCAAGCTGCTCGGATCGAAGGTGAGAGTCAGTAGTCGACAAGATCAATAATCGCGGATAGCTCTTAGCAAATGAAGAGTCCGGAACTGTATCACTGCGTCCATCCTATTGCTATGCCGAGGGCTGGATCCACGAAACGTGAGCCTAGCTGCGCGATCACGCCGGGCAAGGGCAGCAGAGAAGCCATCTCGCCAAAGCAATGCATCTCATAAGACGTAAGCGCTTGACATCGAGCTTTTGAAGAATGGAGATGAGCTCACCATGATCAATGTTGCGACACTACTGATGCGTTAGCCAAGGAACAACGAGAGCGGACCTGATGTAGCAAGCGCACTGCCGATTGATGCAAATAGGCCTGTACCAATAGTGCCACCAATCGCTATGAATTGTACATGACGCTCCTTGAGACCGCGATGCAGTTGTCCCTGTGGATTAGGAACGTTTGTCGTGGTGGCATGGTTGGATCTAGCCTCATCGGCGTGTGCGTCGACTTCGTACTTGTCCGTGTGTGATCAGGGGCTTGACTTCTTACGAGTCAACGCTGACTTCTCGCGCCAATGCGAGATGGAATTCGCGCGTGTAAAATCTATCTTCAATATGGAGAGTGTCTTTGACCATCGAAGAGTACCAAAAAACTCAGCCTTATCTAAGAGTGTGAACAGGGCCTCATGCTTAGCGTCTCCCTAAGAATTGGACGGTGCGGATGTCGCCCAAAGCGGGCGCGCACCATCTCGACGGGGTGAACCTTGTGCACGAAATCGTTCCTCCAATGCCCCAACAACACTGCTGCACCCAAGAAATTGTGTCTTCGCTTGACACTGCCTGGCCTTCAATGGTATCAGCATACGCCAGCGTCTGCTATCAACTTTAGCGCGACCTGTCGCTCCCGCACACGAGACGCTAACAAGCGCCGGCGACAGGAAAAGTGGTTTCGAGAACTCAATTACACCACTCTAGGCCATCCAGGCTCTTGTATACGAGATGGTGAGCACACACGTATTTTCCGTGGGCGATCCTGTAAATCTCTCCCGTTCCGTAAATATTGTCAATCGTCCTTGTTGCTCTCAGCGACTGACCAAGAGGACGACGTCGAGGCAGTTCACAGGTGACATCTACCATTCTTCTCGTTTGGCAGACAGTCGTTTCCCCTCGTCAACTCAGTGTCGGTCCAGCTTGTATGGTACTGGAGTGTCTTCTTTTGAAAGTGGCTGCCAAGCCTCCACTTCGTGATCATGAGGAACCTTTGGACATGCGTCTGGGAAGTGACGCTGGTCACGACCGCCGTGGCACAAAGAGTTGATGCGCTCACCTATGACTACATCGTGAGTCGTTCTACCCGCCGTTTGTCGGCGACGGATCTCGTCGATCACTAGCTGAAACCAACTTCAGATTGTCGGTGGCGGTACATGCGGTCTTGTAATGGCCAACCGGCTCTCGCAATCGGGCGCTTCCTCCGTGTTGGTGATCGAAGCCGGATCATCGGTTCTAAACAACTCAGCCGTTTTCGATCCGACTGCGTACGGAGCAGCATTTGGAAGTGCGATCGACTGGGCTTTCAAGACGGTTCCTCAGGCGGCGGCGGATCAGAAGACGCATACTCTCAGGGCTGGCAAGGCTCTAGGAGGGACGAGTACAATCAACGGTAAGGTTCAGGGTCGGTGCCGATTTTGAGAACGATAGTGATGTGCGGATTTGTCTGTGGCGATATATCTGCTGACACAGATCTTCTTCAATCAACCAGGCATGTCCTATGTCCGAGCACAAAGCCCCCAAATCGATGCCTGGCAGCAAGCTGGAAACACCGGCTGGACTTGGTCTTCCCTCTGGCCGTACTATCTAAAGAGCGAGTCGTTTCAAGCCCCTTCTGCCGTAGACATGATCCAAACGCATGTCACCTACAGCGCGGCGGAACATGGCTACAACGGTCCGGTCAAAGTCGGCTGGTCCGTAGAGCAATCAAATTCGACCTACCCGGTGATATTGAATGAGACTTTCCAGGCCGTGGGGCTGCAGTGGAACACGGACACGAACGGCGGCGACGAAAGGGGTTTTAGTGTCTATCCATTGATGGTCGACCGCGAGAACAACGTGAGGGAAGATGCGGCAAGAGCATACTACTATCCATCTGCCGCAAAGGCCAAGAGCTTGGCGGTATGGTTAAACACGACTGCGAACAAGATCTTGTGGAAGAGGGGGGCCCCGACGGCCTCGGGCGTGCAAGTGACCTTTAGCAATGGCTCTTTGGCTGAGGTCCGCGCCAAAAAGGAGGTGATCCTCTCCGCTGGCGCATTGATCAGCCCGATATTGCTTGAGCGCTCCGGGATTGGAAGTCCGACCATATTGAACAAATATGGTATCGATATCGTCGTAGATCTGCCAGGTGTAGGCGAGGGGCTGCAGGATCAAGTGAACAATGGACTAGGGTATACTATCGAAGGTAACTTTACGGCAAATGGGTCCAAGACTTTGTAAGTGATGCCTCTGTTCGTGATCTAAACAAATGCTGACGACGATGATTGCTTCAGCGTTGCATATCCTACCCTCTCCCAGCTATTCTCCAACGACTCTGAGGCGTACGATAGCTTCATCAGCAAGGTCAAGTCCAGTCTTCCGGCCTACGCTTCGCAAGTGGCGTCACGAAATAATAACGCCACCAGCGCCGCGGACCTTTTGACCTCCTTCAACATGCAGTACGACTTGTTGGTAAAGTTCCAAGTACCCGCCGCAGAGCTCATCTTCTATACCTCTGGCCAAACCTTGCAGAGCCAGCACTGGACACTCCTGCCTTTCTCGCGCGGCAGCGTGCACATCACCTCAGCCACCGCGAGCCCACCAAACGCCGCGGCAGCGATTGATCCGCAATACTTCTCCTTTGCTCCAGATGTGGACGTTCAAGTTTTCGTGGGGGAATTCAATCGCCTTGCATTCCACACCCAACCTCTCTCAGACCTCGCGGGCACGGAGCAGAGCCCTGGCGCCTCGACAACGAGTGCATCCCAATGGTCACGCTGGACTAAGAAGAACTTCCGCCCCAACTACCACGTCATGAGCAGTGCAGCAATGTTGCCAAGGTCCAAGGGAGGCGTGGTGGATCCCACAGGAAAAGTGTACGGTACGAACAATGTGAGGGTCGTAGATGCAAGCATTGTCCCATTTCAAGTCTGTGGGCATCTAACCAGTACGCTGTATGCCGTTGCAGAACGTATCGCAGACTTGATGCAGCAGAACTAGTACAGTATCCTGCTTCTCGTATGCTCATCCTACAGGTACTTAGTAGTCCGCGGCGCAGAAAGCCTTGCGGCCTCCAGACAGCCTTTGTACTCTTGCGTAGCCGTAAATTATGCTTCGACTAATGGCTAAATTGGCGGCGCATTCAACCGTGCGACCAACACATATGGCATCAAGATCTTCTGCTAGCAAGCCAAGTTCCAGGCAGGCCTCGAGAGATCCTCGCCCTTGCCGACGAAAGCCGCCTCGACAACGTCCTTAGCTAACGCCGACGGTACATTTACGAAGAACAAGACCTACACATTATCATACGATCCAACCACACATGACAAGACAGTCTTGAAAGAGCACGCTCCGGGTAGCGTGTGCGGAGGCAACCCTAGCGACAACTTCGACAAAGACACAGTCTGCTCACACGAGTATTGGGAGGAATGTTATATTATTGAGGGGCGGCTGTATGATGTGGATAAAAAGCAGTGGTTCACTGCTGGGAGCTATTGCTGCAGACCACCGGGGATGTTGCATGGCCCGTGCAAGGCGGATCCGCAAGTGGGATGTCGGGAAATTTGTATGGCTCGGTATTTGCAAAAGTAAAGAGCTACTATGGGTGGTTCTGTTGCCTCCACTTGAGTGTCGTAGCTGAATTGATGGGGATCTTGCGATGTTGATATTCACTTAAGCACCTTACCGACACCTACATGCTCACAGCGGTCGACATGACGATGCAACCAGACCACTATACATGGATTCTGCGTGTCGACATTGAATTTCCTTCTGAATAGATCCTTGGAAGCCCAGCTGGTACCCTCAGAAATGGGTGTATCAAAACGTCTGCGTAGAGGGGACCGTGCACAAATAGGGGTTAGGGCCTTGCCATCACATGCCAAAACCCTAAACTCTTAAGAACAATGCTTCAAAAATGGCCGAGCTGCCTCGTTCAACGTACTAGCTATCACTTGTTGATAGCCGTCTTACACTCAGTCTTGATCGTAGCTTCATAAGAGCATGGCCAGGCAGAGTTAACAACATTCACCTGCTCTAGCACATTCTCCCGGCGTTGCTCTACTTCTGCACTGCATTGGCCGCAGCGACTTCTTCGTCGAGAGGCAAGATGTTCGGGATCGGGCCGACGGGTGTGATAGCGAACTGGTTGATCTGGCCATGACTCTTCGTGTAGTGGTTCTTGATATGCGTGAATTCTGTCGTCGATCCGAACGCCTCGTTGTTCCAGTACAAATTGCGAACCCATCTAGAAAGAATCCATCAGCATTACAACTCTGCAATGCGTGAATTGTGAGACATACTTATGAATGGCAGGGTATCCGCTGCGAATGTCGCGGAGGTTGCACTTGAAGTGCTGAACGTAGACGGCATCGAAACGAATGATCGTTGTGTAGAGACGGACGTCTGCCTCTGTGAGACGATCGCCGTGATAGTAGGGGCCTGGGTTCTTGGAGAGGTGCTCTTCGACTCGGTCAAGAGACTTGAAGAGCTGCGTTACGGCTTTCTCGTATGCTTCTTGGGTCCTGCAATTTGGTCAGCTATTGTTGAGCACTTGGGAGATTTGGGAAACATGCGTAGCAAAACCGCTTTTGTAGACACCATTGTTGATATCATTATAAGTCCACTCGTTTGTGGCTTCGATCTCATCCTTCAGGTCCTTGGGCAAGAGGTCCAGCTTCCTGTATTTCTCGGGCAGAAGGTCGTCGAACTCGGTGTAGAACATGCGAATGATCTCGCTGCTCTCATTGCTTACGATCTTCTTCTGCTTCTTATCGTAGAGGGTGGGAACGGTGAACCGGCCTTTGTATTCTGGCTCGACATCGAAGTAGATCTGCCTCAGATGCGAGAACTCAGCGTGGAGAGGATCCGGAGTAACATTCTCGCCAGGTTCTTTCTCATCTGAGGTTGAGAATCGCCAGCCTAATGGATGCGTGAGTCAAGGATAAGGCGCTGTGGTTTGAGGGGAAGCGAGCGAACCTTTCTCTCCCATATGCCAGTGCACAGATGTGAAAGATATGAAGTCTTCAAGGCCCTTCAGCTTGCGGACAATCAATGCACGATGTGCTGTTCGTTTCTATCAGCATGACTTTCACCTAACGTGAACAATCAACTTACCCCATGGGCATGCATAAGAGACATCTACTACATGTCAGCCACAAAGTCCTTCCGTCCCAAGAGTGGGCTCGTACAGAGATGATATCGATCCTTCTCGGCCGGAAACTCAGCATTCGGGTCCTTCGAGATCCAACTACGGAATGCCGAAGTCTGTCGCTTGAACTCGCCGGACTTGTCCTTAGGGTCAACCTGCGAGAAGGATTAGAGTCAGAAGGGGTAAACGGTGGATCCTTCAGGCTGCAACCCATACCCAGTTGAGGATCTCTGGCTTCTTATCCATATTCTGATAATCTACTCAGTCTCCTACGCAATCGCTCTCTTTGACGGGCGGCTCACGCTTTGTGTTCGCACGCCTCGTGCGGTAGTTCTCGTAATTTGTCTTTGCACCTGTGACAATCGACTGAAGGATCTGAGCATCAATGACCTTCGATGTCAGAACTGTATCTTTTGATGAGCTTTGCACGGTTCCAGGCTTCTGAAGTCTCTTAAGGCACAGAATTGATGGCATAAAAGGTCATTGATGACCGATTTGCATGTCATCATCACCAGGCATGCGGGCGTTTTCCAGAGCGTGAGGTAAGTGGTCAGTAAAGCTGGTAAATTAACCCCCAAAAGACAATTTTGCTGTCATTTTTGAGAAGACCCAAATTTGCCGCGGTCACCTCGTGTTCTTCAATTTGACCCTCATCCACACCAGACGAAGTGAAATTTGCAGAATGGAAGAAATGTTTCTGATACCATCTATCCACTGGACGCTAAAATTTCTGCCGTCAAAAGGAAACGCGCACGGGAAATCATCTTAAACCTTGAAACCGGTTGTCTTGATCTCCTTTTCAATGCTCTCGCCAAAATCAGTTTCGAAACCGTGTTCTGCAAGATACGCCCGGAACTTGGCATCTTCATCTTCAAGATCGCGCTCTCTGTTGGGGATCAGGGTGTAAGCGATGATGCCACCAACAGCGGCGAAGGCAGCTCCGATGAGGAAAACAGCTTGCACACCCTTGAAGTCCGTGTCGAATGAGTTCTGGATGGGTGTGAAGACTTGGGTGCCGATCGCAGCTCCAGCTTTGCCAACAGCGGCAGCGAGACCGAGGAAGTGGCCACGGATTGGAGTTGGGAACGACTCGGCTCCGCACAGGAACGTTGCCACACCCGGACCCATCTCACCAAAGGCGTTGAAGATGCCGTAGAGGAAGATGAACAAGCCGAGGATCTTCTGAATCGGGGCCAGAGCACCGCCAATAATGAATCCGAGCACAGCCCAACAGAAAAATCCAAGAGTCATGGTCTGCTTCCTCCCGATCCAGTCCATCAGGAAGCCACCCAAGACGCATCCTGGCAAGTAAAAGCAGTTCACGGCCGTGCCGTAACCAATGTTTTGAACCAATGAGTCATTAGGGTTGAGTTGTCCGATGATAGTTGAGCTGAAGAGGCCGAAAGGGTAGGTGACGAAGTCGTAGAAGAACCACGCCAAGCTGGTACCGAGCATTGGCTTCCAATAGCGCTTGATGACGAGCCAGTACGGGATCTTCTTCTTCATCGCATGCTTGCGGTATTGCGTGCTCTCTGTTGGGACGTCAGCAAATCCTAATTCTCCACGATATGGGCACTACTGACCGATCATGCGAATCCGGAAGAAGAACAAAGCGATGGGAAGCACGAAGCCCAGACCGAAGCAGATTCTCCATATGCCATCTGACGTCTTGTAGTTGTAAGCTGCGAGGACGATCAAGGCGACACAACCAGCAATGACGAAGCCGAAGTCGATGGCGAAGTCGGTCGTGAGGGCTACGAGGATACCTCTTCGTTTTCTAACGTAGTGGCTCTCATCGGAAGCTTCAGTGGAACCTGTGCCGCAGACAGGGTACTGTAATCATATATCAGCAAAGATCTTGAACTCCCGTTCGAGCAAGCACTCACTTCTCCACCAGCACCGAAACCGGCGACACCACGCCCGACAACCATCATCCAGAACAAACCGAGCTGGGTTGTGCCGTGTGCAGCAGCTGTGGCTCGATTAGTCTACACTCTGAGAACAAGAGAAGCTCATTCACTCACTCGCCAAGACTATGCCGAGAACCAGGAACAAGGTAGCGAAGACGATACCAGTACGACGTCCGATCTTATCAATGACGAATCCGAAGAACAACATGCCGAAGATCTCGCCGATGACTTCATGCAGGACGTTAGCAGAGGGCCCAGATCAAGCAGCTGCTGGTTATACGTACGGTATGAGTTCGAGAGCCTCGTGCTCATGGTATCCGACAAACCATCCTTGTACAACACTTTGAGCAGTGGCTTCATGTAACCAATGATCTGAGCGTTGTAGCCATCACTGAACAGCGCCAGGCCCGAGACCACAACGGTCATGATGGAAGAGATCCTGGAGATCTTCTTGACGGCGCCATCTTGGATGCTCTCGATGCCTTCCTCTGACGAAGAGGCCTTGTCCTGGACAATCTCCTCGGGCGTGTACTTCATGTCGACGGCCATTATTGGACGCTTGCACTTGTCGAGTAGCTGTCCGGGCGAGCTGTTTGTTGAGGGAGTGCTACTGATCGACAAGTCAAAGTAAGATGCAGACACTTACTGATATACACATTCCTACAAAGACAGCCCTACGTGCATATTGCTGCGTCGAAGTTCGAGCATCTACACGCCATCTTCTTTGGCAGCTATCGATCCTCACCACTGACGATAGAGCATCTGACAACGTGGGCAACAATGGATCAACAAACAACATGCCTTCCACGTGGAATTGGGTCCTCCATCCCACTACACACTACACGCGAACCGTGTGTGCCGTCGACTCGGTTTCTCGACTCTGGTGCTCGAATTCAACACTCAACGGAGAGAAGAGCGCAGTGCATCTGGCCAAGACCCGCGGACGCCACCCAGAGAGATCAAGCCGGTGGGGTGAGAAACACGTGCTGACAGCTCCCGCTCTCACTGCCTACACACGACTTTGACTTTGGACTCCTTTCGCTTCGTCCATCTCGAAGTGGCTTCTGCAATCGAAGCCTTTCCGCCATGACACGCTTGAAGCTGCTTGTCGAGCGCCGTCGGCCTTCATCCCGGCCATTGTCCTGTATGCGGTCTTGCCTACGGACCATGGCCGCAGGGCCGCCGGCTTGCCATTGCATTGCTGTGTGACGGCAGTCCTACCGATGCTACCAAGTTCGTGGGAGCAGACATGTGAGTGTAACCCGGTATTCGTCCCGTCGCTCCCATGCAATAACGCTCAAGCCTCAAAGCGCCTCGATGCTGCTTTGATGAGGCGTTTCGATCTGTAACGTCACGTCTTCCCCACGCCTTGGAAGCATGGAGAGAATACTCTCCACCGGGGAGAAGGACGCCTTCAAACGGGATGGATACCTCATTCTCTCGGATCTGTTGACCTCCGCCGAGACGACCGATCTGCAGAGTTGGGCGCAAGAAGTGCACGACTGGCCGAACGAGGAACATTCGCCATGGATGGCCTACGCCGAAATCAACGCCCAAGGCAAGCAAGTGCTCTGCCGAACAGAGAACTACGCCGCCTCCCATCAAGGCCTGAACGCCCTTCTGCGCAGCGACAAACTCCTTGGCGTCCTGCGCCAACTATCTGGTGAAGACATGGTCCTCTTCAAAGAGAAAATCAACTACAAACTCGCCGGCAGCGGCGGTTTCGCCGCACACATCGACGCAACAGCCTACACGCACGTCAAGAAGATCCAGCATCTCGCCATTCTCCTCGCCGTAGATGCCTCCATGCCCTCCAACGGCGGCCTGGAAGTCGTCCCGGGAAGCCACAAGACCTCCATCCCCCTCGGCGACGACAATTGCATTTCTCCGTCCTGGATATCTCAACAAAATTGGCTTCCCATCAGCCTCGCCCCCGGCCAAGTCCTCATCTTCGGCAGCTACCTCGCGCATAGAAGTGGCGCCAACACCAGCGAAAAGGATCGCAAGGCGTTGTATGCGACTTACAATGTGAGGCGCGAAGGGGATCTTCATGATGAGTATTATGCCAGGAGGAAAGTGGAGTTTCCTCCCACGCATTTGAGGAAGAAGGGGGACAGGTTCGATGAGGGGGCGATGAGGTATGCGTATGGGAGTCCGATGTTGAGTGTTGAGTTGGGGAAGCAATTGGTTGTGTGAGTGGGATGAAAGCATTCGAGGAGGGATTCTATTGAGGTATTGAGGTCGATGTGGAATAGGCACGGGCGGAAGAGGGCATTTACAATACGACTGAGATGAATATCATGATAATAGGTCAACTTCAAGGCTTTGTAGGCGGAGCTGGCAGGTACGCAAAGCAAATAGCTCTAACGAGCAGCACATGTCAAGTGCTTCGACGTTGACACAACCTGATGAACGCCATACCATCCCGTACTGGGCATGGCGACTTGCTCGCTCTTCGGACTCACATCGTGCTGTAGCCACTCGGCGACGTAGAGTTCTTGCCGTCCTCGGGATTAATATGTCTACGCATTTGCTTCAAGTTGGGCGTGATGACACAAGACGTTCAATCTTCATGCTAGACATGACGTTTCCCTCCTCCTTCGTCAAGCTCCGTGGAAAATCCTATTGAGTACGCTGCATGGGCGCGCGCCACTATCGCCATTCTTGCACTGATCGATTGAGCTTGTAGACACCTCAACATGGGTTATACAAAGAAGTCCTGCACTCATAGTGAAGGTGCCTTATCACGTGCGTTCGCTCTTCGTCCCGACTGCACCTTAAGCTTTGGTCTTGGGCCGAAGCATAATGGTGTGCCACTGGTATAAGCTCAGCAGACGAAATTGAAGGAATCGAGGCGTCTCTTTATCGAAGTTCATTCACAGTACTTGTGTTGTTGCATACCAAATCTAGCCATGGCGACAGCTAGAGAGAAGGCGACGCGGCTGGTTGAGCTTCTCAACACGAAAGGCCAAGGTGACTAGTATGTCGAGATTGGCTCAATATTTGTTCTTCACAAGGTGTTCGAGTTCGCTAATGCGTCCATCTAGCATCGGGGAGCCGATCTCCCAATTAGCGCACTCGCTGCAAGCAGCACATCTGGCCAAGACCAACAATGCCGACGAAGAGACTGTGATTGCGGCGTTGCTGCACGATATCGGCCAGTTTCTTCCAGCGTCTGAGGTGCAAGCTATCGCGCACGAGGTCCGCGATATGAACTCTCAAGATGATGCATCGGCGGGCGGCGTTGGCAGAGTTGGCCATGAGCGGATCGGTGAAGAGTACCTTCTCAAGTATGGCTTCTCGCAGAAAGTCGCTGCGCTGGTTGGGAGCCATGTTGCCGCCAAGCGATATCTTTGTGCCACCGACCCCGGCTACCACGATACGCTGTCCGAAGCCAGCAAGAAGTCGTTGATGTTCCAGGGTGGCCCAATGAAGGGTGCCGAGCTGGACGGGTGGGCTGCCAACCCGTGGTGCTCAGAGATGTGCCAACTGAGGAAGTGGGACGACGGGGCGAAGATTGTTGGCTTGGAGGTAGCACCGGCTGAGTCTTATGAAGCCACAATGGCGAGGCTGTTGGCGGCGTAGCTCAATGCACAACTCATCTAACATCAAACGCCATTGCCATTCCACTTGCTTGGTGCCAAAGCACGTGACAATGCATCATCCAGAGTCCAGGATTATCTGCACGGAATCGAAGTACTGCGTAGCCTCTTCTGGGTACGTAGAATGTATCCCTTTTCATAGCGCCGACGAGGTCGTACCTCCCACCTGGTGGTGACGCATCTTCGTAAGGGTTGTAGGATCCCCAATTCAATGGCGAAGAGTACTTCGAGAGCACCCAGAAATCATTTCCGTGTAAGTGAAAAGGATGCCAGTCTTCATCTAGGTTGTTGAGCACGATGTCCACCCAGAGTGGGGAGGCTTCGTTGTATGTGATTTCTGGCACCAGCTGGTGTTTGTTCCACTCGTCGCGAGGTAGACCAATGAGAGGAGGAGACTGGGGCGTCCACAAGGTGTTGTTGATGAATCCGTGCGGTTCATTATCAAGGTGTGCCAGCTTTTGAGTTGTGGTGTACAAAATAATGGTTTGGTCAGCCGTAGAAGGTAGCTTCTCGCTCTGGTCGTGGGCTGCAGTGACATCTTGAATGTCGAATAGTTCGTACACAGCTCTCTCTGTTTCTGGCTGATGAATTACGTCTCCGTGCCATTGTACCGGGAATGAATGAGATGGTGTGAGAGCCGAGTTCTCGTACTTGAAAGGATCCTCATCAAGTGTGACCACAAGGGTCGCCTCGTGATGTATAGCAACAGAATTTTGCTCCACGAGGAGACTCATTCGTTCGCCGGGATGCAGGAAGCCCACTTTCTTCGCAGCGGAACCCTTCACGTCGTGTCCTCCGTCTACTGTCAGCGGAGTAAGCACGGCACCAAGGACTGAAATCTCAAACCCAGCATAAGCGCCAACGTTGACAACTCGAAGCACAGTCTTCCTCGCCGTATCAAGGTCCAAAGCTCGTATGGACATGGTGTCGACAGTCTGGCAATCCACAGGGCGGGCCGGGACAGCATCAGAGCATCGATATGCGCCCCGGCCGTTGACCAGGATGGAATCTGGGACAGTCTCCAGCCCAAACGCACCAGGATGCATGTAATGTACAAGAGCCTCTACAGCCGTGCGGTGATACCAGTCGCCGACCAAGAGAAGGTGTTCCAAAGCTAAGTCTGTGGATGGCGCTTCACTTCGAGGCTGATGCACAATCAGACCCCCGTAGAATCCATCGGCACGTTGCTCAGCGAAATGGCTATGGTACCAGAAGGTGCCATGCTGGTTAGAGTCAATGGCGAAGTTATAAGTAAAGGTGCTTCCTGCGAGAATGGAATCTTGCGTTATGCCGACAGCGCCGTCCATATCATTCGTGCCGCGCATTGACAGGCCGTGGGCGTGGATGGAAAGTCCTTCATCATCGTCGAGTGCATTTTCGACGTGGATGATCAAGCGATCGCCAGAGCGAGCTTCAATAGTCGGGCCTGGGAAGGCATCGTTGATCAGATAGACGCGTTTCAAGACGCCATCTGGTCGACGTTGGCCGGCCGTCACGCGCCAGTGGAGGATCTGGGTGGTGGCATCTCGGAAGGCATGCTCCTCTGGATGCAGCTGGAAACCCGACGACGCATCGTCAGTGTTGACATGGCCAGGCTGGGACCAAGAAGCCAACGGATTGAGAGGGCGACCACGCTGGATCTGGAATATCAAGAAGGCTACAAGGAGCAGTGTTGATACCAGCGCGAGGGTGAAGGTAAATTTCCGGCCCCGGCTGCTTGTGGCCTGAGGCACGAAGTCCCCCGTTCCGATTTCTGGTGGCAGACTTGCTGGCTGACTTCTTCTCCTCGACATCCTCATCCTCTGCACCCACGAATCGTCCTGGGTCGCCAGGTAAAACGAGCTCGTCAAAGTCCTCCTTTCACAAGACAATGCCCAAGAACCACGAAGCAATGAGATGTCTTGGAACCCGCCTCCTCGCACTCCCGAGCTGGACTTGCCTGGCTCGGCCTCTTTCACCTCGTCATCGGCGTGCCGGCACAGGGTCGAGAACGAGGCGAGAGATGTCGTTTAGGGAACACGTTCGTCTGCGTGCGCGGTTCCTGCAGTCGCCGGTGTCGTGGGCGTGGAGGAGTGGAAGACTTTTTAACCACGTTCTCCGTCCTCTCATCTCATTCGGCTAGAGCCCAGCGTTGCATCCGCGCAAGCTCAACAATACACTTGATCAAGCTTTTCCCTGCAGCAGCCATCGACGCCGTTGCATGCAGTAGTCTCCAACTCACTGACAAAACGTCGACGCTGAGTGGACACGTGCGTGGGAGCGACCTCGAAACTGCGTGGAACACACGGCACTGTCTGTTTCCTCTTTCCCAATCCGGCAACGCCAGCGTCGAGCACTCACCCGGTAGGAAGTGCGGAGGCAATAGACGCGCAGGTACTTGGCGCTAGAACCCACGGTCGGCGGCGAGCACCCATTCAATGTTCCACCGCTAGAACCGCATTTGGCACGCAATTGGAACCTCGTGGAGGCCAGAAGCTGATCATATAATACCCTTGCCACGCGGATATGTCGAGATAGCTGTCAGTAAGCTCAGCGGTATTGGCATACTCGTCCCTTCTCAACATTGTCTTCCTCACCATGCTGTCTCTCCCCAAGGCGGCTTTGGCCTTGACGGCCCTCGCCAATGCTGTGCGTGCAGGTTCGATCCGCGACATCGAACATGTCGTTCTCTTCATGCAAGAGAACCGTGCTTTCGACCATTACTTTGGTTCCATGGCTGGTGTCCGCAACTTCAAAGACCCTAACGTGCAGGTCAACGATGGCACACCAAACTGGTATCAGGGCATTGGCAATTTGTCCACGAAGGCTACGGATCTTCTCCCATGGTACCTCAACTACCTCGGCGGTACTTGGAACGAGGCAACGCAGTGCATGGAAGCTGGTTCGAACGGCTGGTCGGCCAACCACGCTGCTCTGAACGGCGACAAGAACGATAACTGGCCTGTTGGAAACACCCCATGGTCCTGGGCCCATTTCAAGAGGCAGGATATTCCTAATCACTTCGCGATCGCAGAGGGCTTCACCATTGGCGATATGTACCAGGAGTCGGTCATTGCTTCGACGAACCCGAACCGTGTTTCTTGGGTCAGTGGAACGATTAACGATGAAGGGAACACCTACTACATTGATAGTACGTAGAGCAGACGGCGAAGGGAACCCCTCGCAAGTTTGGGCATTTGCTGACCTCCTACTTCAGACAATGAGACTCCCGGCTGCGAGAGCCCCAACTTGAACTGCTATCCACTCAAGTGGGAGACTACGCCAGAATACTTGCAAAATGCTGGCGTCAGCTGGCAAGTCTACCAAGACACCAACAACTTTGGTACGCCCTTCTCCAAACCCCCTTGCAAGCTTGCAAGATGACTGACTTTGGTAAAGACGACAACCCACTTGCGTGGTTTGCTCAGTATCAGACCGCTGCCAACGGCTCAGCTCTTGCCGAGCGTGGACTGACCTACAAGGGCTTGGAAAAGTTCTACGAAGACGCCGCTGCTGGTACTCTTCCTCAGGTCTCGTACATCGTCGGCCCTGCAGAGCTTTCTGAGCATCAGCCATACCAGCCAAAGGACGGTGCTTGGTTGCAGCAAAAGATTGTCGACGTCGTCACCCAATCCCCTGCCTACAAGAACACCGTACTCATCATTTCCTACGATGAGACTGGTGGCTGGGGAGACCACGTCACGCCATTCCACTCCCCAAGTGGCACTACTGGCGAATGGATTCAAGACCCATACGGAGCCGCTGGCTACACATACACTGGACCGGGTTTCCGCCTTCCTTTCTACATCATCTCTCCATGGACCCGTGGCGGCAACGTCTATGTTGAGCACGCCGATCACTCCAGCCAGATCATGTTCCTCGAGAAGTGGCTCGCTTCCAAGGGCAAGCAGTTCACCCAGTCGACCATCAACCCATGGCGCCGAGCCAACATGGCCGATCTCACCAAGGCCTTCGACTTCGACCACCCGGACTACAGCATCCCCTCGATGCCAAATGCCTCGTACCCATCCACCGACTCCAAGGGCAACTGGAACGGCTACTCAGTCTGCGAGGAGACCTACCCAGAGCAAAGACCCCCAGTCCCCTACGGCATCCAAAACGAGAAGGACGCCCTCGCGACCGAGCAGGGATTCAAGAAGGTCCGCGGCAACCCAACCGAAGGCCGCTACCTCACCTTCGAGATGAACGGCCAGGCCCTCGCCAACTCCAACGGCCGCCTCACTGCTTCCCGCGCCTCGTCCTCGCACAACAGCAAGGCCCAGCGCTTTGTCCTGCACCAGAGCGGCAGCCAGTTCTCCATTTCCAGCGCTGTCGACAACAGCACCGTCAGCGGCACGAGTCTGCGTAAAGGAGGTAATGCCGCCACTTACACCATCTCCGACTTGGGCAACGGCAAGGGCTACACCGTCCAGTCGAGAGGCCAGTACCTCTCTGTCGACTGGCGTGGCCGTGTCTCCACCAGACGATCGCCGGCGGCGTTTACGCTTTATAGTGTTTCGTACGATAACTAGACGAGAGGGGTTGCGAAAAGTATTGTATAGAGAGATGATTTTTTGATGGAAAATGAAGACCTACGAGAAGTTCTTTTTACCGTATTTCGAATGTGAGTTGTTCTGTCATGTGATATTTGTCTACCTCTTTCCCAAATAGGAAGGCTCTTGGGGTAGCTGCATATGTTCCTTGGCACTCCGATCCAGCAGAAAGTGCTGGGACATATCGTCCTGAAGTGGAAGGAAGTTGGTCGTGGACATAGCAGGGAGGTTCAACAGGGGGGAGAATATATAAACGATCTGAATCTCTGAAGGGATTCGTATCCCAGAAAATCTTCAGATCACTCGTCATCGGCTTGTCCTCCTCCTACTCGGACACTGTTCACTCTCTACATCCAATAATCCCAAAAGCCATCATGTCCCCTCCCACCACCACCACCACCACCACCACCACCACCACTTCCCCCATCCTCCTCCTCCTCGGCTCCGGCCCAGGCATAGGCCTGCACACCGCGCTCGCCTTCGCCCGCACCCCGCACTTCCACACCATCGTCCTCGTCTCCCGCAACGCGACCCGCCTCGCCAAAGAAAAAGTCCTCGTCGAAGAAGCCTCGAAAAACCAGACACACGTCGTGACCTTCGCGACCGACCTCGCGGACTTTGATCAACTGAGGGGGATGTTGGGGGAAGTGGAGAAGCTGGGCACGTTGGGGTGTGTGGTTTTTAATGCGGCGAGGATTCAGTTTGGGGAGGTTTTGGGGACGGGGGTTGGAGAGGTGGAGGAGGATTTTAGGGTGCGTGCTTTTTTTGTTTCCATTCTTTTTGGTCATGTGTATGGGTGATGCTGACGGGAGGGATGTTGCACAGATCACGACCCTCGCGCTATACCTCACAGCGCAATGGTGTATCCCGTTCCTCCGAAACAGCGGGCTTGCGTCACCGAGTCTTATCGTGACGAATAGTCATTTGCCAGAGCAGCCGATTCCTCAGTTGTTGAGCCTATCGGCTGTCAAGGCGAGTCAGCAGAATGTTGTGCATTCGCTCCGGGCGGCGTTTGGGGAGGAGGTGCATGTTGGGGTTGTGAAGATGAGTGGGTTGGTGAGGGAGGAGGCGGAGAGGTTGAATCCGCGGGCGATTGCGGAGGAGATTGTGGGGTTTTATGAGAGGGGGAGGGAGGGGTGGGGGAGTGATTTGGTGTTGAGGGAGTGAGATGGAGAGGTTGTGGTGTTGATTCGTTTTGAGTCGTTAGATAGTCGGGTGTGATGCTTCTTCATCTCGTCACGTCCCTCTTAAGCATGTCCAGAATTTTGTTCGCGTCCACTTGAGTCGGTCTCGAGTCCACATGAGTTGGCTTCGAGGAGAAATTCGATTTCGAAGAGAAACTCGGTTTCGAAGGGAGACCCGGCTCATTCTTGATTCCACCATTCAGCACCCCGCCCTCTTCTGCCTTGATAAGAGCCTCGTCAAATTCCTCCTCCTCGCCCTTACGGATTTTCAGGTATTGGTGCTCTGTCCGAAATCCTGGCGGCAGCTTTCCTGGCGAGTACGGGAGAACGTAGTAGGTCGGATACTCCATCACCGTTTGATCTTGTAGCGACTCGGTCAAGGTGCAGTTGGGCATGAGCGGTATGAGAACTTTGCACGCCGATGATGTGCCGACTTTGAGGAGGTAGTAGAAGCGCTCTGGCTTCGGCTTCTCTTCTTGCTGGGGCTCTGGTATCGTCTCGATCAGATTGGATGACTCCTCAGGCCTTCCAACAGCAGATGCGGTATCGTTCTGGGCAGCGGAAGTAGCGCCGATATCAGCAGCAAGACCCAATAGTGACGCCAACGGATGCCCTTCCACTAGCCCAGCTTCCAGCTGTGACTCCTGCCGCTTGCGCTTCTTCTCGCGGGTCTTCGACATGGTACTGGCGTCTGGATTTCGAAGCTTTTCGGTCGGGGAGGCGGAGAAAGTGTCTTCGATGGTATTCGTCTCCACGCAATTGTGCTGCAGCTCTGACTTGCCATCGGAATCGATCCACTCCACAGTCCACATGATATGGTCTCGCCTTGAACGTGGTCAGTGTAAGGCAAAGATATAGGGGTGGGCGCTTCTCACTTGGTACTTCGGGTCTGATTCGACTTCTGCCGACTCATGCCTTTGGGTGCGCGTGCAATAGTGATTCGATTCTTGCCAAGATATCGCTGCAACTTGCCTTCGGGGTTGTTGCCTCGGTATGCTGTTCTTGTCACAGGCTGCGATGATCCAATGCCTCGATCGCGTGTGTCGCGGTGAGCATTGTCCATATCGCGCTCCACGCCCTTGAGGTAATTGAAGTCCCGATCAATGCCCTCAGGCGTGGCGAGTTGGCTCTTTTTGAGGTATTCGGCCGGGTCTCGCTGGCCGTTGCAAGATGCACGTTGTTGATGTCGTTTGTAGCATGGTAGTGAGCATGTTCCTGTCTTGCATCGTGGACAACGATATTTGGGCTTCTCGACGTAGCTGTAGAAATTAGCAGCGGTTTGATGTGCGAAAGGTCTTGTAAAAAGCGAGAGATGTCCTGTGCTGGGGTTTGAGGACGGCAAAAGAAGCCGCGCAAGAGAAAAAACTGGCCTTACCATATGCTACAAAGCTCTGATAGGAGCGACATGCTTGATATGATGATGTTGATGCGGATGTGAGGGACTTGTTGGCGAGGTGAAGTTGTCTGTCGGCTTTGGAGATTTGATCCAGGCGCCACAGCTGTGGCGAAGTCGTCAATCAAATCTTACCTAAGTATTGATTCAATTTGATTGACCCTGACGCACGGACAATGCGGAGAAACATGGCCGCCATGCTTTGGTTCACCAACCCCGACGCTCTCACATGCTGAAGTGCTTCCCACCTGACCAACCTCCCGGTGATACATCTGCGTCGCCTTACCATTTCGGACTCCCTACCCCTCGATCATCATCGAATATTCAACTCCACCAGTCCTCTGAGACACCTCCTATAACCTCCCGAACCTGCGCGCGTGACCTACTTCACCACTTCCACCACCCTCTCCTTCGCCCAGCATGGCCCGCGACAAAGATTCCGACGTACCGCAGCCTGGTCCGGCTGTTCTCACATCAAATGCCGGCCCTGATGAGTGGCTCGCGCAAGCCAAACTGTGCCGCTACCTCCCCGAGGCCGACATGAAGAGGCTCTGCGAGATTGTGAAAGAGTGTCTCATGGAAGAGTCGAACATCCAGCCCGTTCAGGCACCGGTAACGGTATGTGGAGATATCCATGGCCAATTCTATGATCTGCTGGAACTGTTCAATGTGGCTGGTGGTATGCCCGGTGAGGTGGACGAGCGGGCAGCGGCAGCAGCAGCGACAGAGCGCGAGAAAGCAGCCAGGTCGTCCAAGCGGACTAGCATGAGCACGCCCGGCGCATCAGGTGCATTCAGCGCCGCAGACCTTGAGCCACCTACCCAGATCTCCGACCCGAAGGTAAAGAGGAAGATGAAGAGGCGCTTCCAGCGGGACAGCGCATATACGTCATCAGCATCGAATGATGGCTCTGAGCCCGGCGGCGACGATGAGGAAGAGTTGAGGGGTAGAGTACGCAGCAGGAGCATGGGAGAGGCTATCGACGATGATGAAGAGATAGAAGACGATGCGAGTGAGGATAGTGGGGTTGGTGTTAGGAGTCCTGGCCGCACAACCTCAGTCAAGTCTGGCAGCAAAGTCGACCACGCCAACGGCCATCAAAACTTCATCTTCCTTGGAGACTTCGTTGATAGGGGCTACTTCTCCCTCGAGACCTTCACGCTGCTGATGTGCTTGAAAGCAAAGTATGCCTCATACCAACTTTCTCCTTGCTTATACTAACCTTCTCATAGATACCCAGACAAAGTTACTCTCGTCCGAGGTAACCACGAGTCTCGTCAAATTACCCAAGTATACGGCTTCTACGAGGAATGCCAGCAGAAATACGGCAACGCCAGCGTCTGGAAGTCTTGCTGCCAAGTCTTTGATTTCCTCGCCCTGGCCGCCATTATCGACGGCAAGGTTCTGTGTGTACACGGCGGTCTTTCCCCAGAAATCAGGACACTCGATCAAATAAGAGTTGTGGCGAGAGCGCAAGAAATCCCGCACGAGGGAGCTTTCTGCGATCTCGTTTGGAGTGACCCTGAAGAAGTGGATACCTGGGCCGTGTCTCCTCGAGGCGCTGGCTGGCTTTTCGGCGACAAGGTGTCGAGCGAGGTAAGCGACTTTATATTGCGCGTCTCATATGGTTATGGGTATGCTGATACGGCTACAGTTCAACCACGTCAACAACCTCCAGCTCATTGCCCGTGCTCACCAACTGGTCAATGAGGGCTACAAGTATCATTTTGCCTCTCAAGATGTTGTTACTGTCTGGTCTGCACCGAATTACTGCTACCGCTGCGGCAATGTCGCGAGTATCATGACTCTCGGCGAAGACCTGAACCCCGACTTCAAGATATTCAGCGCTGTGCCTGATCACAGACGCGCGGTTCCCGCTGGACGACAGGGTAGGGGAGAGTACTTCCTGTGATGTGGATCATTATCGCAATATCGACAACGGCATCAATACAAATGAGATGGCGAAGTGGACCAGGACACGAAGACCAATGGAACGATGCAATGCTAGCCAGAAGTCTTGGATGAAGATGTTCAACAGCAGCCGAGCCGGAGCCCTCGCTTGAATGGCTGGAGTTTACGACCTGTACAGTAAGAGGTGTGTATGATTAGGATGATACCCATTCGAATGGACTTTTTGGAACTACGAAGACCAATTTCTCTCGTCCCAACAAATCAACTCGTACGGGAATACTGACCACCGAGCCGCCCATCAACTGACTGTCCTTTGAGAGTTCACAGCCATCCTGAACGAAATCATGTTCATCGTGTTTCAGCGTCGTCAAATTGGGGCAGTCCGTGTCGACATAGATCAAGGTGCCTTCGCACTCTCTCGCTCACCGGCAGTACAGACGACGTCAAAGTCACGTGTCTCTCTCGAAATAGAAGCCGCATCGCTCCGCTGCAACGTACACTGGTCAAACATCCCTCCCAGATGACGGGTACCTGGACGCCCGCGAACCTAGATCAACATTTTCAACCTTACGCGGAAGCTTCTTCCAGAAGTCGTGCGAACGGCCCTTGACAGCTCGCTTCGTATTACGCTCCCCACGCAAGGCTCTTTCCTAGGTTGTCGTCCTCCGGCAACGAATACTATGGAGCGATGCTGAGCACTTTCTGTCAGTGCCACATGCGAGACAGCGATCATTGCTTCTCGGGTCTTCTTATAGCGCGGAATGGGGCTCGCCGCTGGCTTCCACCGTCTCTGTAACCATGACGAGGCGGTGCCGCAGTGTTCATTAATAGCCATATCAAGCAGGCACACCTTGAACGGATGCAAGGTATTGTAGACGATTGCACCGTCTCAACTACCTTTTGCGTCTAATGCGACCTATTTGCATCCTTGAAGTGGCAAGTTTGGCGGCTAGGTACACGCTGTCGACGGCAAGTGAAGGTCTCGTATTCTTTCCATTGAGGACGGATGACAGCTCGACTGTCATTCTGCTAACTTTGGACCCTCAGCAGAGACGTATAAAGATCTGGACGAACCGCCACCGATCGTTTCATCTTCCATCCATCATCCAGCACACCATCGATCGCTTCTTCAGTCGATTCATACCACCGTCAGTCGCTGCATTACAGAGATCTCAGCCCAGCTTCTCGAATACATCGACCTCTTAGTCGCTACTTCTTAATCGAACAACATCCAACATGTTGACCCAATCGCTCCTGATCACCGGCCTCGCTGCCCTTGTGGCGGCAGACAAGCAGAACAACCCGGGCTATTACAACCAGGGCAACCAGGGCAGCTGGCCACAGAACTTCGGTGGCAATCAACGCTTCCCTCAGCAAGGCGGTGGCGATCCTCGTCTGCTCCAAAGCGGCGGTAACTGGCCTCAGGGCGGCAGCGGACAGTTTGGACAAGACCCACGTCTCTTGCAAGGCGGAGGAGGCTGGCCGTCGCAAGGCAACGGTATTCCTACGAACCAGCAGCAGCAGCAACAGCAACAAAACAATCCCGGCGTCGGCGGCGGCTTCCTCCCACCGACCCCCAACAACCAGCAGCAGCAACAGCAGCAACAACAACAAAACTCCGGCGGCGACCAACAACAGCAACAACAACAACAAATCACCCTCAACGTCAACACGGCCCCCACCGCCAACGACCCACACTACCAGAAGCCCGACATCCACCTCAACCGCCTCACGCCGTACAGCACGGAATGCACGCAGATCGGCTTCGACCCGGACATCGACGTCACCATCATCAACATCGACATCCAGCAGATCCAGTGTCAGGCGTTCGGGGATCCGCAGGGCCAGCAGCCCGTCGGGGGCATTTTTGGGTATGATAATCCATGTGATTTGGGTGAGGAGCCTGTGCAGGTGGAGAGTATTCTTTGTAGTGTGCATGATGGGGATGGGTGTGGGGATGGGTGTCATTAGGGTTGGGTTGGGGATGGTGATGGTGTGGTGGGTTGGGGTGGGAAAGGATGCTTGGGGTTTTGTTTGGAAGGGGTTCTGGGGTTGTTTTTGGGAATGTTTTTCTCGAATTTCAAACTCGTATTCTCTCACATCCAAAAACCGGTCGTCTATCGAGCTCCTCGACGCATCGTTGCCCTGTTGCGGTGCCTCTCAACTTCCGGCTTTGCGATCGACTTGTGCAATCTGCAGCGTCGCATATCACTCCCATCACGCGCGTGTCTTACATCGTGTATCAATTGCGGCACAGTCGCCAGTCAGGGTCGTACGGCACAGCGAATTGGTCATGGATTCATAGCGGCTGTGCCGCATGTTTGCATATAGGAGCGGAATCGTTGACTGTCTTTTCGGGTTTGGGGAGTTGAAGGGTCGAGAGTAATAAAAAGGTACTGAGGTATTTCGCAGCAAACTTCGATACCTCAGTTGGTGTTATGTCGGTGGAATGGATTGGTGGATGAGATTTCAGGGGTTTGGTGCAAATCTTTCGTTCTTTACGTTGCGAAATTTCCTTCGTGACGAGCGGGATATGGGATGAACGTGAAGTTCAATTGTGGGACGAGAGAAGCCAAGTGGTCAATGAGGATCTAGAACAACATCAATGTGACATCGAGTGTGCTTCGTGTCCACCACATCGAAGAACGTCCCACGAGACTCGAGACACTGAGCTTTGCCATTCTTACCACAAGGTATCTCAGCCTTTCGGTTGAACCGATGCAGCCGACCATATATACAACACCTTATTCAACGGACTGGACATTCACCGACAGCTATCGAAGAGAATGCCAGCCACTGAGGCGAGTGAGGAGCATCATTGCCGCATTAAACTGCCATGCCGAGAATTGGTAAACGGGGCGGAGGTTTGTACTGCTGCTTCTGCTCCACTTTCGATTTGCAACAAGCTTTCCAGCGACTGCGACTGCGATTCTACGACGGGTGGTGGGCTGGATTGCTCGTATGAGCAGTTGAGGACTTGCGCGGGGAATTCTTGCACTGGAGCTTGTGATGGTGGGGCGAGGGCTTGTTGTGCGTCGTAGTTGGGAGGGGAGGGGATGGGAAGGTGGAAGCGTGGATGCGGGATGAGGGTCATGCCAAACTCATGCTTTGATAGATGGGTACGAGAGATAGATGGTACATGCATCAAGAGTTGAGAGCGATTCCTGAGGACTGAAGATTTTCTGACATGCGGATAGCGAGGAGTTCATGTTGTCTTGATTTCCACGCTAGTCTTTTCGCTTTCATGTGATCGCCAAGCGGGGTCAGCTGACGTTGATTGGCCGGGCCGGTGCATGAGGAGCCCACCTTCTTGGTAGAACATACAGACACAGACACGTTCCATGCAAACAGCGGGCAATCGAGGGCGTGCATTCACGGGGACGACTTCATAGACATGGGAAGGATGGATCGCACCGAAGAATTGGAGGAAGGACTTGTTTCCGCATTGAGTGGAATGTCGTTCGTGAAAAGAGCATTCTCGACGAGACGAGTCGCTCTCGGGCCATCGCTTGACCCCCAAACATCACTTCGTCGAGTCTAAATGAGGGGGAGTTTGAGCTAGCTTTATATCGAGTAGCTGAGCGATCTTGGACGGAAGGGAGTACTACGTCGAGGTGCAGCCTCTTGATAGAGTGTGAACACTTATGTTTTTGCTTCATCTGCATGGAAACAAGACACTCTTGATCATATGCATACAGGGAGCGGCTTGGGAAGGAATAACGACCTTCTAGCCTGTCAAGGCACGAATTCATGTAAATTTGCCTTCGAAAGGCAACACGCTGAACATCAGTACTACTCTCCGTTCTTCGAATGCATGAGATATACTGTGTAGTTAGACGTATATAGGGTTGTCGTAGAGGGGATCTGGGCGATCAATTGCTGAGTATGTGCATCTTTACTAATGGGTAATCGATTGCCATGATCACACGCTCGAACCACCTCATGACGATCGCTGGCAGGTCCTGAAGTGTGAGGAGCACAAGTAAAAATATCCGTGATGTCGGAACGCCTGGCAAGGGCAGGGATGTACGGCGTTCGATGAGTAGAAGAGGCCGTTATCAATATGGATGTATGGGAGTGCTGACCTGCAATACTATTTGCTGTGACAGGTGACACGCGAGTGAGTGACAGCGAGCAATCTGGTTAAACAAACTTACTTAGATTGATATGCATATGATATGCGACTTGGTCAATCAGATTCATCCGCTGTACGAAAGGGTCAACGACAGCTGCATGCATCACATGTGGTCCGTATGTTCTGCATGCGAGACGCGTGGGTTTCGCGATATGAACAAGCATGATGCCTGCCAAACGTTTTCTTACGCGCATTGCCATGCCCAGGAATTGCTCGCATCTGCAAGATTTGCTTTGATACTTCAGGATGCCATGCTCTGGCTCTTGAGTCGTTCGCTCGGCTTTGCTGCGTGGCAATCGATGTAGCGGCCAAGAGGGTCTGGAAACGGGGTGGGCAGGCAAGAGGCGTGCTAAAGTCGCGATATGTGGTTGTTCTGGCCGTTCTCCTGAACGCGTGGCGAGCAGATGTCGTCAACTAATTCCCGAGCGAGGGAGCGCGTCACGTCGTCGAGAAATTGGACGTCGCGATTGCGTTTGGTTAGAGTGCAGATTGGCTTTGCTTGGATCGAGGGAAAGGCGGAGTCAGAGTTTGGCGCAGTCCTGGACCCGCTCCCCATATTAATTTGCACACGGCACCTCGACACCAGCGGCGCGGTACCAAACTTGCGAGTGTCAGATGCCGAGTCGAGCAGGCGTGATTGGGCGGATAAATGTGATGGCCTGACATGTCCGCAGCCAGCCTCGTCGTGCACAAATTTCCTGAAGCGACGTGGAGGGAGGATGAGGCGGGATGTGGCGGCCGAGAAGACGTTTTATTTTTCGCAGGCGGCGCCTTCTCTGTGTTGGCCAGATCTGCGATAGTTCGGGGCAGCCGAGGCGAAGATCATCGACTTCAACGACCAGAGGCTGGAAGTTGGAAACGTTGGCGAAAAGAAGGCCCGAGGTGGGTTTCAGAGAGGCGCTAGATGGAGTGTAGAATTGCGCGGATGGGTGTCCGATGCGTGAGAGCTGCAGTCAGACCGCATTGGTCTGCAGGTACGGTGAGCTGGCAGCAAGAGGGGGGAGATATTGAACGGCGTCGCATAGGAGATGGCAGGAATTCTAGAGGGATATGTCTATAGCTGAAGCGGTTAGGTGTGCGGCGTCAGTGGTGATTCATCATTGTTCGGCGACGGTTGGGGTGGTCGTTGTCGTCGTCGAACTGGCTGCGAATGCTCGTTGTGATATAGGGCGCATCAAGGTTGGCGCTAGACTGGGCGGAAGGAGCCGAACAGTGATTGCTAAGGCAGGAACGACCTCTTCATCAACGAATATTGGAAGGCGCGGCGATGCGAGTGAATGTGGAAGGCCAAGATAAGGTGGCCGTCGTATTGTTGAGGTGGTGCGACGCAAGGCGGTCGAGAAATAGAAAGCTGTAGTGATACAGCAGCAACATCCACCTCAATCGAGGTGCAGCTCGGCAGTGGTGGTCCGCCGAAGCTAGCCAAAGTGTCAGGGGCAAAGGAAGAACACGCAGACCCTCTCGCCGTTGGCAGTAGTCCAGCACGCCGAGCGCTTTTATCGACGGCTCAGTCGTCCATGTCATTCTGCGAAATGTGTTTGCCCTGAATCTTCACCACCTTGACATCCACCACACACCAGAAACACCACCACCACCACCACCACCCACCGGCAAAATCCCGGGCGCACCTCTGGTTCGGTGGGCGATCATCCACCACCTCCAACCCAACGCCGCCAGCTTTCCCTGCTTCCACATGCAACGCGACTCGCAGCGTCTGTCGTGGCCGGAGAGCGCGCAATAACCACCGCGACGCGGCCCAACCCCCCGTCGCTCCGCCGACACCACCTCGACCTACTGCCAACACCACCGCCGCCCGAAACTTGGAAGCCGCCGTGAATCCATCCCATTCGCCTGCGAAATCCCGGCCTGGTTCGGGAGGGAGCGAGCTAGGAGGCAGCATCCTGGTCCAGCGCATCTCCGGCCAATGCAGGGGAAGCAATGGAACAACAACATGCAGCGGCTTCGTCGCCTCCCACCTCCCCGATTGTAACCACCTCTGCCTCCCACATGGCACGGCCCATCACCGCCATGCGCCATTCGAGGACCCAGAGCCGCATGGGCGAGGCCGCCAGTCGTGCCAGCGACGACGACGGTGCGCGAACGGCGGTCAAAGTCGGTAAGTCTCATCATCCAAACGTCCTACTGTGCGGCTTCATCTCCGTTGCTAACAGTTTCATGTGACAGCCGTCCGCGTGCGACCTCCCCTCAAACCCACCGACCCCGGCTTCGACCTCATCCCGCAGCGATTCCGCGAAAGCACATGCGAAGTATCCACGCCCACCAGCCTATCGGTTCAGTCGCCGCAGGGGAAGAAGCTCTTCGTCTTCGATCGCGTCTTCGATGAGCAAACCACGCAGGAGGGCATCTGGGAGTACGTGAGCGACAGCGTGTCGTCATTCGTAAAAGGATACAATGTCTCCATCCTCGCATACGGCCAGTCTGGTGCCGGCAAGTCCTACAGCATGGGTACCTCTGGCCCTGAAGACCAAGGCGATCCCAACGTCCGTGGTATCGTCCCACGAGCCGCACACGCACTCTTTGAGAGACTCAATGGATCCACCGCGAAACCCTCCGCCCTCCAAACACCAAAGCGATATTCGACGCAGGGATTACCGACGCTGGGGAGTCTAGCAAGAGGTTCGGGGGCACCAAAGAACTGGGAATTGAAGGCGACATATGTCGAGATCTACAATGAACAGCTGCGAGATCTGCTCATACCAGAGTCAGCAAATCCACAAGAGCGTGCACAAGTTGCCATCCGCGAGGACACCAAGGGTCGAATCATCCTAACCGGCTTGACTCAAGTACCCATCAACTCGGCGGAGGATATCTTGAATGCCCTGAACTTTGGATCGTCCATCAGACAGACAGATGCTACAGCAATCAACGCTCGGTCATCGCGATCACACGCTGTCTTCAGCTTAAACTTGATCCAGAAGAGGACTGACGGCGCACCGCCAACACCTACACCGAAGCTAGAAAAACGCCGATCGATGCCAGTTGAGCATGTGACTGGTGCTGAGAGTGTCGTCACGCTTGACAGCAAGCTACACTTTGTCGACTTGGCTGGTAGCGAACGTTTGAAGAACACTGGGGCAACGGGCGATCGAGCCAAAGAAGGCATCTCCATCAACGCTGGTCTTGCAAGTCTCGGCAAGGTCATCTCACAGTTATCCTCGAAGCACGGCAGCGGTCATATCTCGTATCGCGATTCCAGGTTGACTCGATTGCTGCAAGACTCACTCGGTGGTAACGCTATCACCTTCATGTTGGCCTGCGTAACTCCCGCAGTCTTTCATCTCAGCGAGACCCTCAACACTGTCCACTACGCCCAGAGAGCACGAGCTATCCAAAGCAAGCCCGAGATCCAGCAAAGCCATGAAGATGGTGACAAGCAGGCCGCGATCGATAGGTTACGGGCTGAAGTTAGCTTCTTGCGCGACCAGATTAGGCATTCAGAGCGCAATGGCACCAACAGTATGGACAAGAGCATCAGCGACAGGTATCGAGGCAAGGAGAACAACGAATTGCAGTCACAGCTGTTGGATATGCAGGAGAACTATAATGCTCTCAGCCAGCGCCATGCCAAGCTCATCGCAGAGATCTCCAAGAGCAGGGACAGTGAAGGCGCTGACACGCCATTGCTTAACGAGGCTATCGGGGAGAATGCGAGCGAGCGAATCAAGAGGTCCAACTCGTTCGCAGAGGCTGTCGAACACGTCGTGCTCGAATATGAGAAGACCATCCAAAGCCTAGAGACTTCGCTGTCGAAGACGAGATCATCGCTGGCCAGCACCGAGAGTACTTTACTCGAGAAGGAGACCCGTATCGCCTACATGGACACGATCCAGCAACAACTGCAGTCCAGGGTTGGCAAGTACATGGAACGCGAGGCAAATTACGACTCTTACACCCGGGATCTTGAAGGCAAGATGGAAGGTGCGACCGACGAAGAAGAGCTCAAGGATACTCTGATCACCGAGCTGCGCAAAGAGATTGCTCGAGTTCGTGAAAGCGAAGCTGGCGCCGAAGATTACATTTCAACGTTGGAAGAGCGCCTTGCAGAGGCAGAGCAAGATCAAGAGATCATGCAACGAGAGATCGATCGCCTTGAGCACGTCGTTGAGCGCCAGCGCAGCATTGGCAGACTGGACAACCTCCTTGGCGAACTTGATAGCGCACGTGGTGTTGAGCCCAAAACGAACGGTGTACGATCTCATTCGCGCTCGTCCAGTCCAGGAGTAAACGGCGACGACTATGATCCCTTCAGACCTTCAACACCCAATGTCGAAGACGATTTCGAGAAGGTTGAGCGAGAGGACTCAGACGCTGGAGATGACAGCAAAGCCGTCTCCGCGGTCGATGCACCTCGCAGTCCCGCACAGACTGACTACATGGCGGAGAAGTTGGAGAACCTGACGCAAGAGTTCTTCGACTTGCGATCTGAACATGAAACCGTTCTCACCGATTACGACAACCTCCAGCAGAAGTATCGTACCGCGCTTGAGACTCTCGCAAAGCTAGAGTACGGAAAAGACACAGTCAAACCACCAGCCGATGCCCAGAGCGATGGGGACTCTTTTTTAGCGAGCGCGGGGATGAAGGAAGAGGAGAGAGAGGAAAAGGCTTCAGAAGAGCAGCCTTCATCCTCGCTGTCATTATCACAGGAGCTCTCCTCGCAGGAGCAGTCGAATACTGGCGCAGAAACAGACCCCGAGAAGGGTTCGGACAGTGAACGCACGACAAGTGGTTTCCAAAGTCCAAGTCAAGACATCGACCCAAGTCAAGTGCCCTTACCAGGCGAGCATGAGGATCTGTTGCAGGAGATGGAGACTTTGCGGAAGCTACATGCCGAGAAGGAAGTTTCTGTGGCTGAGTTGACAAAGAACTATATGAGCCTCGCCCAGCGACACGAGAACACCCTTTCTCAGGTCGAGGAGCTCAAGAAGGAGGTGCAGAATGCGCAGACCAACCGACCGGCATCACCAAGTCTCGTATCTCCAGGCTTTTCGAAGCATGGCTGGAGGAGAAAGTCCGACGAGATCCTCAACTACAGCTCTGATCGCGCATCTCGCTCCTACGTGTCGATGAAGACGCTGGTGCTGAACAACTTTGAAGAGCAAGGCCATGTTCGACAAAGCTTCGAGCAGCACTTGAGCACCGTCATGGCTGAACTGCACTCTCGCTCTGAGAGAGTCACCTCGCTGGAAGCCGAGCTCGCCACTGTCAAGAAGGAAATGGAGAACAAGCAGCAGATCATTGCTGGTCTCACCCGAGAGCGCTCCAGTTTGGCAGCTGCATCTGCGTCTGGTGTTGACTTTTCTGTTGTGGGTCAAATGCGTGACCAGCTCATGGAAAGCGAAAACCAAATTCGGGCTCTTCATGAGCAGCATCAAGTGCGAGAGAGTGAGCTCTCTGAGCAGATCGAACAACTCAAGGCCACACTTGCCGAGCACCAGAAATTGATCGCCAACCAGAACGATCAGCTGCCTACCCCAAGCGAAGACGCCATGTTCTCGCAAGTTCCCGGCACGTTCCCAGAGACTCCTGCGGTCGATGCCAGTCGTGAGCTTTCCGGTCTTCAAGCAACTGGTGGTGCTAGCAATCGCTTCTCTCGTTTGATGCAGAAGGAAGAAGTGATCAAGCTTCAGCAAGAGGTCACGGCTTGGGAGCACAAGCACCACGAGGCCATGGATACTATGAGTGCCTCACAAGCGAACCTGCTCAACACCATCTCTGACCTTCAAGACTCCCTTCGCAAAGCCGAGAAGAGTGGACTCCCTTCGTCTGCTGGAGCATTCACTGAGTCAGATCTCGAAGACGAGCGTGCTAAGCACCGGGAGATTGTGGAAACACTCACTACACAGGTGCTTGAGCATAAGAAGATTGCCGACGAGCGTGTGACGAGGCTTGAGCAGCTGCAACAAGCCTATGCCAATATCATTGAGCAAGTTGACGACGAGTCGGAGTCTCACAACCTCACCCACAAAGAGCTGCAGACACACAGAGATCTTGTTGCAAATCTGGAGAACCAACTGCAGGTGCACAAGTCGGCGATCACCATTCATCAAGAGAGCTTAGAGACCTTGCAGGTTTCGCACTCGAGGGAGATTGACGAGATGACGGCTTCTATGAAGAAGCTTGAGGAAGACACCACTCTCAAGTACGCCGCGCTTCACGAACAACATCAAAAGGTCACTTCAGACTTGGAGAAACAGTTGGTGGATGTGCAGGCTGAGAAATCAGACCTCTTGCGCAACGCATCTTCTGCTCTCGGCTACGAGACTGATGGCGCGCGGCTACAGACCCAGATTCAAGGTCTGGTGGAAGAGGGCAAAGAGCTTCACGGCCGTCATCTCAAGAGCACCAACGAGCTCAAGGCCGTGCAAGAGGAGCTACAGAGTGCCATCAACCGGTCCGTTGACATGGAGCAGCAGATCGGCCAGCTCAAGATGATCGCCGAAGAGCGAGACGTTAAGCTGGACAAGATGACTGACAAGTACAACAAGGCATCTGCCCTTGTTGAGGAGCTTGAACAGCAGCTGAACAACACATTCGACTCGCATCAAGAGACGAACAAGCGTTTGTCGACGATGCAGTCTGAGACGGTGCATGCTCGCATCGAGCTTGAGCGTGAGTTGGAAGAGCAGAAGGCGAAGGCGATTCAACTCGAGGTAAGTCAATCAAGAGCTCTCATGATAAGAGTCATGCTAACAATCGCAGCAACAACTCAACGCTTACAAGCACATGTCGCTTGCGTCAAACTCGACTGCTCGTGAGTCGCTATCGCCAGATGCCGCCGCCCAAGCACTGGGCAGATCTGGGTCAGGCTTGTCAAACCAACGCAAGTCTGGCCCAACTGGACTTCCGACTCCACCACCTTCAATACCTCTTCCACCACTTCCTGGTTCTCCAGCATCCGGCACTCCACCGGTGAATGGATTCGACAGGACGACGTCGCCAACCCCGCGTGGCGCTTCGCCAGTGCCGACGACGAACTCACCTCCAGCTTCAAGGCATACTTCGCATGAAGTCAGCCCAAGCCCGGCAGTGTCGCAGATCATCGAGGAGCAGGAAGCCCGCATCCGCACCATTGAGAAACATCTCTTTGCGGAGAAACAGCTCACTGCCACGCTTGAAGAGGCTCTCGTCGATCTTGAGACTTCAGCGAACCGCACCAAGTCCGAGATGGAGAACTGGCGCATGAAGTCCCAGACGCTCGAAGACGAGCTCGTGGGCCTGCGCAAGGAGCGTAGTAGCTCTCGCGCCAGTCTGCAAGCCGTCGAGGAGGAGCGCGAGATGCGAGTCCGCGCCGAGCGCGCCCGACGGGCCCTCGAACAACGCATGGCCGAGCTCAACGCCAACAAGAAAAAGAAGAAGAGCGGGCTGAACTGCTTCTAGGAGAAGCCCACCCGTCCTCTGATTTCACGAATACATCACCGGCCGCGACATCACCACAACCACTACCCTTTCTTGTAAAAACCTTTCGACCGGAGGCCAAACGCACACTCTGGATTCCCTTCTCTACGAAACAACACAAGACCCATACACACATACACACTTCTTTTTGCAAACTCTTGACGGAATCCCACGTACATGGCACACGAGTTTCCTTTTGTTGTTTGTTTGACACAATACCACCATTCGGCGTTCAGCGGGAAAGACAACACCACAAACACTCGCAGTTATTCAGCGAGTAGTCGAGAGATACAACGAGGCTCACGGACAAAAGAAGAGTGAATTTTGCGCGCGTTTTGAGATTTTTGAGAGGGCCATTTGGGGTTTTGGGTTTTTCATGTTGTTGCTGTTGTTGTTTGTTCTAATACCCCCGACCCGCGATGTTGCAGCTCTTGATGGCTTGACTAGCGTCTGTTTCTTCTATTCGATGTCGATGGGGATGAGAGGGTGGACGGTTTGCTTTGGGGAGGGAGGGCGAGGGGGAGGCTGAGGGTGGGTTTGGGGGGGTTGTGTATAAGTATGTTTTAGCATAAAAGGCCGGCGGACATAAGCCTGAATCCCTCTGGCTGTTCACGCACGCTTTCCAACCCCTTCGTCACCTCTGTTTCATAATACCGCTATACTGATCCTTCTTGCTGCATCTGGCTCGCGCTCACAAGACACGGACATGGCAACGTGACCGCCCATGGCTGGTCGAGCAAATACGAAGACGCTATTAAGCGCTGAGGTCCCATGCCGGCTGCCGATACGTTGCAGCTGTAGATCCTGAATCCTCGTGGTGCCCACAGGGTCTTACGGCCGCGGCTGTCAGGCCGGCGCCAGGAGTGGGACGTCAACGCAAACACCACCTCTTGTCTACACTTCACCCGGTCCGATAGCGGCCATGATTGGGCGCTGGCCTCCAGCGGTTAAGCCGTCGTCTGCAAGCGCAATAAACTCGCGCCTGAAAGTTACGGGTCAGGCCAATGGCCGCAGCTACGGTAGAGCTTCCTCTATACCGCACTTCATCAGGCATCGTCGCGCATCCTTCAGCTTGCTGCGTCTGGTAGCCGTGCAGGGCCACTATCACGCGAAAAAGTCATGTTCAGCCCCCACAGCGCTGAGAGGGTACCCTTTGGGCGCTTCGCGAGGTCGCGGGACGAATCACAGGAGCTGGCGCGTGGGAGATGAAAGGTGCCAGATGTTGGCTGGCCATGCCGCCCGCGCCGCAGCCACGCATGAGGAGCTCTACCTCGCCGTCCCAGTCGCAGGCCGGGTTCGGGTGTGATCGCCTCCAGCAATGCGGCCCTCACAAAGCCGTCGTCGACCTGCAAGCCTCTTTCCCTCTCTGCCATGCTTCCTCCTCGTCGTCTCGTGCTGCAAGTCCAGGCACTCTCTCGCACCCTTCTCCATATCGAGAGCTCCTACATCCTGATCTCATCATCCGCAATATATACTCCTTCTAGCGCATGGCCGTCTCTGCGTGATGAATTATGAGTGCCAACGGCGTGAACGGCCATCGCGAAGATGTGCTGTATCGCAAGCTCTCAGCTGACCGCAAGGAAATCCGCATCTTGTGCTTGGAAGAAGACCGAGATCCCAATACGCCTCACTATGGGAACGACCCGGCCACGACCCCTCCCACGCCTTCGAAATTGAATTTCAGATGGGAGTACATCTCTCTGTCCGATCGCATCGTGCCCCACTACGACGCAATTTCCTACAGCTGGGGCAACGACGAGGAGAAGGCTAAAGGCGCGACGATTGACCTTAATGGCGAGACGATTACCATTCCGAAGAATGCACAGCAGGCTTTGAATGCGCTCTGTTTGAGGCATGGGCATTATCGGGTTTGGATCGATGCGGTGTGTATCGATCAAGAAGATAAGACGGAGCGGAATGTTCAGGTCTCCTTCATGGGCGACATCTTCTCGAAAGCCACGCGAGTGTGCGTCTGGCTCGGCGAGGACCATTCGTCTGGAGAACCTGCCATTGGATCTATTCGGACGTTGCTGCAATCTTTGGACCCTCGATTACCTGAAGCGCTCAAGTCACCTCACTCTCTCTCGAACCAGAGCCCTCCTCTTAGCACGGATCCGGGAAAGCTCTCATCATATCTCGGCTGGCCTTCTGTGTACTCTTTCTATTCCAACCGGTGGTTCACGCGAGCATGGGTGATTCAGGAAGTATGTCTTGCGAAGCAGGCTATCTTCTACCAGGGCAAATATCCATCGGCAGTGGACTTCAACGAGATCGCCGTGCTGGCCACGTACCTTTACGAGCGACGATATACGTTACCGAAGAATCCCAAGAAGAGCGCTTTGACAGGCTTTGAAAACGCGGCCACGATGTATACTCTCAAGAGGCATAAGTCGCAAAAGCTGGCGAGTCTGCTGAGAGTCGTCTATACCTTCCACTGCAGCGAGCCTCATGATATGGTCTATTCGGTTCTCGGCATGCGACATCGATCGGCTCAGAAGGCTGAATCTGTTCATCGCGTGATCCCTATCTACGAGGAGCCTATTGTCGAAGTCTACGCCAAAGCAACAAAAGCAGCCATCACAGAGACTCGGTCTCTCGGAATCCTCAAACACGCACACAGCCTTCGTCCCTTACACCGACGAAGTGGCGAGTTTGACGATTTCCCGTCTTGGGCTCTACGAATGGACCTTCGAGGCCACTACCACATCAATCCCATCTCCTACCGCAACTTCCGCTTCAACGCCAACAACTACCTCCCCCTCGTCCTCTGGCCGAACGAATCTTCCCGCGTGCTCCGAGTCCAAGGCGTGCTCGTCGACGTAATCTGCGACGTCTCCGAATGCATGCGCTGGAAACAATACGGCGCAGAGAACCTCGTCAACGGCGGCGGCAACGGCTTCAACGACACCCTCACCGCCGCCGCGGTCCTGCACGAAACCTACAACTGGACCAAAGAACAACTCCCCCTCTGGAAAGGCAAAGACCTCGCGGCGAAATTCTCCATGACCATCGCAGCCGGCCAGGATGCCTCAGGCCGCAACCTCGCCGAGGACAGAGCCAACGCCAACCGCCTCCACCACGGCTTCTGGACCACAGCGCACTACCCCGAATGCCCCAACTCCGCCGGCGCGACCAACGGCGACGTCTCCGAGAGCGAAGACGACGCCGCCTCCGTCACCAGCGCCTCCACCAACTCCCGCTCCATCGACGTCAAGGACTTCGACGCGGACCTCGAAGCGGACAACCCGGACGCCACGTACGCCCTCGCGGCGATGATGAAGGGCGGCCACCACCGCACCGTGTACGTCACCGAGCGAGGAGCTTTAGGTCTCGGAACAGATAATGTCGAGCCGGGGGATTGTCTGGTGATTTTGTTCGGCGGGAGCGTGCCATTCGTGTTGCGGCCTGAGAAGCATTATTGGAGGTTTGTCGGGGATACGTATGTCGAGGAGGTTATGCATGTGAGTTTTCCCCTTTCCCTTCTCCTCGCATCTTTAAAAGATAAGGCATTTCATCGTCGTCGTGTGTACGAGAAATGCTAACGCATGTGCTCCCACAGGGCGAATTCATCAAATCCCTCAACGAAGTCAACCGCCTCGAAGGCGCGAAGCAATGGTTCAAAATCCGATGACGATGACGACGATGCCCAACAACAACGACAGACCCAGATAGTGTGCACCGATCCTTTCAAAAACTATCACAGGCGCAACGCAGGAGTTCCTCATCGAATCAAAGGGAAAGGGAAAAGGGAGCATTCCAAAGGGCAAGGAAAGGGGAGATGTAATCTGGCGCAGGTGGACGCATTTGTTTGTCTTTACTTTCTTGTTCGTGCGTTCTGAGCGTACGCGTTTTCGAGAGACAGATCTGCGTTTTCTTTTTTAACTTCACTTCTTGTGCAGATACTTGACTGAATTTCCCCGCACCGTGTGCGGTGTTTGTGCGAGATACCACCACGGCGCCTCTTTAGATTCAAGGGGTTCATAGCATAGCGATAGCGGCATATAGCGAGAGCGTGGAGTAGATCGTTGCGATATTCGATGGGTGATATTGCCATTTGAGGTGCATTCTAAGCTCAGCGACTCGCTGATGACAGCGGTAATGAATCGACGAATGATATGGTTCGTCTAGGGGTAAAGAGTGAAAGTGTGTCACTTGGAAACCCGTACCTCAATCAGGCTCCAGAAGCCACCTCCGCCTTCGCCGGCGCCTGCGCCTGTGTCTGCGCCGCATTACCCGCCGCCACCTGTCCACCGCCTCTCCCTCCCCTCGCACCTCCCCTCCCGCCCCTGAACCCACCGCGATTACTGCCCGCATTGCGATCCTTAAACTCCAACACTTCGACGTTACCGTTAGCCACGGCGACTTTCTTTGCTTCGACGGCTTTCTTCATGCTCTCGCCATCCTTGAAGATCGCAATCGCCGTGCCCTTCCTAGGCTCGATGGTGACGTTTGTGACATCTCCGTACTGGGAGAGGGCTTGCTGGATGAGGATCTCGGTCATGCCCTGGCTGGGGTTGGCGTGTTTCAGGTATGCTTTGAATGTGCTGGGGCTTGGGGTGGATGTTTGCTGTTGTTTGGGGCCGGTCGGGACTTTGGCATTTGCGGTGGATGCTGGACCGGTAGGTGTTGATGAGGGCTGCGGTTTCTGGTCCTTCGAATTTGTGGCAGCGTTCATTACTGCTGGTGATGATGGGGCCGGAGATTGCGGCGACGACTTCTCGGTCTTGTCCTGCGTAGCTGGGGTAGGCTTCGGCTTTATTCCAAGATCCTTCTGCAGCATCTTCTTGATTCCCTCGGCATTGCCACGCTGCCTAGGCCCTCGAGGTGTCGGATTTTGAGCTGCGGCTGTTGCAGCACCTGCAGCCGCATTCTTAGCCGTGCTTGCAGGCTCGTTGGGCGTTGCGTTCTGCTGCTTCGGGCTCTGCTTGGAATCCTTCTTCTGTTTGGCTTGTGCCCCATTCTTACTTTGAGGTTGCTGTGGAGAAGCCGGGCGTTGATTGTTTTGCTGCTGCTTGCCTGCCACCTGCTTGTTCAGCGCCTTTACAGCTTCCTTCGACGCCTGCTCAACTTTCTGTTGCGGCGTAACTTTGTCGTCCTTGCCATCCTTCTTGCTCGCAGCACCATCCTTACTGTCATTCCGAGAGTGTCCCTTAGACTCCTTCTTCTCAGCCTTGGATTCTGCCGCTTTCGCCTTGTTCGCCTTCTTCTCCCTAAGAGCTTCGATCAAGGGCGTGCTCTTGACTTCGACTTTCTCGACCTCTTTCTGTTCGGCTGATGCGCTGTCAAGTGCTGGTGGCTTCGTAATCGGTTGGGTCTCCGCCTCGAGGAAAGCAATGAATTCGGGATCTTGATCGATTGTGCCTTGGCGAGTGTCCGCGCGGGGCTTTGCATTGATAGGAGTCCGTTGATTCGGCGCAAACCCGAGTGTCGGTGGTAGGTTCTTGAGGTCTGAGTTCTTATGTGTTCCCGCCTTGTCCTGGAACGTGACGGCCAGAAAACGGGCCTCAAACTCCTTCACCACCTGCTCATTCACAAGGTGGACATAGCATCTGCTCTGCTCCGGGATCTTGCCCAGTGCTGTCTTCACTTTGCCCTGGCGGTACTCCCTCCAATCCACTTTGCCATTGCCTAGCTTCCACTCGTCGCCCAGTATCTCCTCGAACTCAGTGAGTGTAAGTCCCGGAGGTAGACGGCGCACTTCCAGCTTCAGTCGCGGTTGCGGTCCTTTGATCGCTGCCGCGCGTGTTGCTGCATTGACGGGCAAGACGCCGCTCGCTCGGTCGTTGTTCTTGACGAGAACCTTGGGCGGCATCTTTGGTCGTTGTGTATCCATTTGATTGTCTGTAGCCTGCAGGAGTTTGCAGTGTTCAAGAGAAGTCACAAGTGACGATGTTGTTGACTAAGTGGGGCAGCGGAAGGCCCGAGCGGACCGACCGCCGCTGAACCTTGGCAGGCGCGAAGTGAGTGAAACAGGTTTCAACTCAAAGACGACTTCACCTTTCCCATCCATTATCACAGCGACCAGGCTCGTTCGCCGGCACAGCATCGCCAATACGACGATGCAGGAACTCCAAGTGGTGTCTGGATATCACACAACTTCGCAGGCACCATGCTCCCGACCCACACTTTCACAAACGAGCTGCATCAAGGCTGCAGCACCACGAAAGGGAAGCATTCCCAACCACTTGACCGATCTTCCCACGTCACGCGTACATGTGCACAGCGTCCCAAACACTACGCTGCACAACCGTGTGCCTGCTGCTGCAATGTGCTGTGGCCCCTAAGAATAATCTTCCGATGGAAGTGCTCGCATATATTGCCTACCACCCCATCCCACTTCCCTGGGTTCCGCCGAAACCCCCATGCCCCCCGTCTGTGTGTAAAGTGGTCGCAGCAGTGGCCGTACCACCATGAACACCCAACCGATTTTCTCGTATTTCTTTCCCCAACCCCCATGTATTCCCTTCTCACCGTTTTCGGTTCACGAGTTTCGATTTCATTGCTGTCGCTTAAAGCTTCCCGACCATCGGTCCCGACGTCCTGTTCGACCGGCTCCCGTATTCGGAAATTCGTCACAGGCCTTTCTTTCCGAACAGCAAAAGTCATGCAGGTACCAGCAGTCAACGACATCTGGTTCCGCAAAGTAAACACATGTCGCGCGGGTGCACGTTTTGGGACCACGGCACCTATGGCACGTTCTATCTGGCAGCGAGGTTCGACAGCGTGTGGTTGCAGCTCGAAGGCCAGGCTCTGATGTTACATTGACTTCTTTCCACGACTGTTAAGATTGTGCAATACATTACCCAGATTTGTCTCGGCATCTTGCTCGTCATTGCTGTCATCATGTAGCTAACAAATTGCTCATTCGGCAAATCCGTCCAAATCCTTGAAGACAGGAGGCTGGCCGCAATCAATAAACAATCTACGCACTGCCAAGTCACAGACTATCTTTACAGCACATCACTGCAGGCAGTCAATCTATCAAAACCTGCCAAAAGTAAACTATTGTCCGAAAAAATCCGCCACACACATCAGCTCAAGCGAAGCCACGAGAGAGGGAATGTCACACCGCATTTTCGAAAGATTCTCGTTGCATTCTCTCTTTGTTGCCTCAATTTGTCTATCTACAACCCCCAGCCTCCCTCCCCCGTTCAACGACAACCGAAGAATCTCAGAAAAGGCCGTAACAAATGCCGTGTCAATACCGAATGAAACGCTTTGCAAAACCCGTGCCCAATTTCATGCCGTGAGGCATATCCGCCAAGCGGTCTGTCAACAAGTCTTCTCCCGCCCATAGAACAAGAAGTCCGAGAGAGCAGAAGTCGAAAAAAAACATATCAATGCTTGCTTGCTTGCTTGCTTTGCGAAGAAAAGAAGTCTGTACAAGTGATAGAGACCACAAAAAACGTTCAGAAAAGATCAAACAAAAACATACGCCATCGCTCGTGCAAGAAAGAATCGTAATCAATGCTTTGCTGTGATAAGATACATTCCCGATCTTTTCGAAATCAAAATATGCTGTCGCTAACTGAATGATGATGAGGATGATGGAGGATTAGATGATGTGTGATATATGCTTGAATGTAGGTCGTAGGCGGTGGCGTTGAGCGGTCGTGAAATGTAGGTATGTAATGATGTATAGAATGTCGAGATCGTTGGTGTCGTAATGTTGAGCGTGAGGTGAGTGTCGAAAAAGGCCAGAAAAGATTGAGGAAATAGGTTTCATCACAAGAACCCTCCTGCGTTGGGATGGGGCCAGGCGCCCTGCTGGACGGCTTCGGGAGGCATGTTTGCGCGGATCTCCTTGGGGTTTCGATATCCGCCCATTGCGCTGTTGTTTCTGCTACCGGGGAGGCTACTGGGTGGTATGCTTGTCTCGTTCAGCTGTCTCTCGCTCCCTGGACTGGTAGGCACAGGGTGGGAGGGACGATGGCCACCTCCGCTCGCCATCGCTGCCATTGCTTGCTCATAAGGGCTTTGTGCGCGACTGCCAGTCTGTTGGGTTGGCGTTGCACTGGGTATGGGGACGCTTTCGTAGGGAGCTGGACCAACTGGTGGGAACTGTGGCGGTGGACGGTCTGGGTGGGCTGAAGTGGGCAGTGGGATCGACTCGTACGGCGAGAGGCCTCTTTCCATCTGTGGTGACTTAGTACGGCCCTTTGAGCTGCTGCGCATACGTTCTCCCAGGCCGCGGAATCGAGCGCCAAAAGATTCTCCAACGCTGCCTTGGTTGCGGCGATGCGTTGTGGGCGAAGAAGTGGAAGACCGCTCGTTAGTAGCTGGGAATTGCGGTGCCTGAGTTTCAACTGCACTGGTTGGTGCATTTTGATCGATAGCAATGTCGATAACCCCTGAGCCAGTCTTGGTGTGAGTTGGCGAGAACATCGTTGGCGGAGGCGGAGGCGGCGGAGGACCAGCAAGATGCAGCAACTCGGGCAAGACAGGTGCTTGTGTGTTGTGAGGAGTCTCTGGTATGACGATGACGTTCGAAGTATCGCTGCCGTGAAGTGCGGCATCGATGCTTGTCACGGAGTCGCTAGTCTCAGACGGGTTCGCCAGGTCTGGTGGCGAGATCTTGCGAATGTTCGACAGCCGGCGGCTGTGGGATGGAGCTGCCTTGTATCCTGGATGCATTGGTACCGAATTGCTTGAGCTGCCACTGCTGGAACTGTTGTCTGGAGGAGCGGACGCAGAACGAGGGCCACTGCCTTTGCTGAAGACACTCGACGGCAGTAGCGGACCTAGGGAATCACCTGTCTCAGATTGCTGAGTCGAGGGACCTGAGATATGTGTCGACTGGCGAGGGTTTGTAGAGACCATAGAAGATGATACTCCGCTGACCATAGAGCCCGTGATTTGACTCAAGTTACTTCCAGAGAGCGACAAGTCACTGAACTTGCCAGGAATGTCTGGGACATTCGGAATCGCATTACCGTCACTGCTGTCAGAGCCCATGTACTTGGGATGTCTCATAGCTCTCGGTGTTGCTGGCAGTCCAATTGGAGCCGATGGTGTTGATGTTCCGGTTATCTTGCCAACCAAGCCGTACTTGTTCATCGAATCGGCGTCAACAGTATGAGCGCGAGACATCGGCGGCATGAAAGAAGTGGGACTGTCGCCAAGATCCGTCTGCGAGCGCTGCCCTATTGATGGGCGTTGAGTACCAGCAACAGCTGCTGGAAATTCGCCTGGACGAGGAATCTGAGGAGCTGATGGGCGTCGCCTTGCTAGCGAAAGACGTCTCTCCTCGAGCTCCTTCGCTGCGAGTTCTTTCTTGCTCATCCCACTTCTTTCAGACATGGAGGAGTTCTCAGAAGCCAACGAAGCTTGCGGCAGCGATCCTTCTTCAGGAATCACCTGTTGAACAACGTCGGTGGACCTCATGTCAGGATCTTCTTTTCGTCGTCGACGACTGCTTGATCGATCACGTCGGTCCCGACTGGCCTGTCTGCGGTCTTGCAAGTCTTCTGGCAGCCGGCGATTGGCACTCTGGGATCGTAAGCGGAATCTCTGACCATCACTCTGAGTCTCTTCCTTGTCGGCCGCATAGACCTTGTTCGACAGTGTTGGCAGCGGGGACGAAGGTGACCGCGTCGATGAGCCAATCGTTCGTTCGTCGCTTCTACCACGCCTGTCGCCCTCAGGAAGCACGTTCAAAGGACTTGTCGGCATGCTTGGGGCCTTGCTCGAGGTGCGAGGTGGGTGCGTAGGCTTCACCTTGTCTTCAGAGACTGTTTTGCGTGCAAGTCGTGGATCAGACTTCCCCGACCGAGCGCTCTTGTGTGACTCCACCGGCGAGCCCAGGCCAGTCTTGTAGAAGTTCTCATCATCCGTAGTAGCAGGCTCGACCTTTCGAGATTGAGCTTGAAGGATTTCCTCAGGTGACATGGGCACTGGCGAAGACGGCGATCGCTTCGCAGGTTTGATGTACCGCACCTCTCCTTTTCTACCACGGTTCTCTGAAGCCTCTCGCATCCGGCTACTCGCGCGGCCAGATCGGCTCTCGCCACGCTTTCGAGATTCACCACGTTGTCTGCTGTGAGTCCGCTCCTTTCGGGCAGTTTGACGGGCTTCGTCAACACTACTAATGTACTCATCAGTCGCTCTACCCTTGGCACTACCCTTGGCACTTTTCGTGCTGGCTTTTGAGCTGCCGCCAGTCAACGGAGGACTCAACGTGCCTGCTCGATTCTGCGCAATGACACCGCTGCGTTCCATGCTGGGAGACATTTCATCAGTGAATACTGTGTCGACGACCTGTATGCCCAGTCGATCTTGCTTTCTATCCCGAGACGCACGCGAGTCCTCTCTGAGACGGTTGAACACTCCATGGGCTGGCGAAGGCAGCTGGTCAGCCCTTTCGCCAAACGTACTTGGTGCTAACTTTGTTGCATCGTAGACAGTAGGCCGTAAAGCGGTCGCAGGTTCAGGTACGCTGCCAACAGAACTCGACCTCTTGTTGACACCAGTGCGAAGCAATGCATTTGCGTCGCCGAAGTCGCGAGCAGCTGTTAGCGGTGTAATGATCATTTCTGCTTCTTGTTTCGCACGCTCGATATCTCCACGAGACGGTAGCCGCTTCCTTCGGTTGTATCCACCCGGCGTTGCGGTTCGTGCAGATGTAGGATCTCTGGCGGAGCGCACCCAATTGCTCCTCCAAGGATCGCGACCAGCCGGTGATAATGGGAGAGCAGACATTCCGCCGATGGGAGTAACGCCGGCAGTTACAGTAGCTGGGTCCAAAGTGGTAAGGGGTTCATCCGGTGCTTGCTGAATAGGTGCCGCCTTGTCTCCGAAGCTGGTGATGAGCTTCAAGGAAGCATTCTTTGCCGTCAGTCGTCCAGATCCGGAACGGGATGGCAGAGAATACGTAGGACTTGTCACAGGCCCTGCGCTAGCTGGTTGGCTGCGCGGCTCTCGTTGTGCCACATGTACGGCATCTTGAGCCCTTGGCGACGTCCATGGAGCGTTGGTCTCGATACTGGTGCAAGAGAAGCAGCGAACGGCGAGCTCTGCATCTCCACCAAGCACAGCAGCCTCGCCCCATTTTCGTAACAGCCAGGAGATTCGTTGCCAGTCGGACTCTCGCGTTAAACACGTGAGGAGCACAGCTTCTAACCAGAAACCTTGCGAAACATAGACTTCGATTGCGTCGTTGACCTCGCCAAGTCCGATCAGAATGCCAGCTGCTGGATGGATATCGCCCTTTTCAAGAAGTCGCTGCACGAATGCCTCGCCCACCTTCTTCTGGGAGTCTGCCCCAATGGAGCTGAGAGCCAGAAGCATCCAGTCGGAGGAAGTCATGGATTCTGAGCCAACCAGAGATGCCATTTGATCGGCATCGATATCACCAAGCCATCTCGAAAGTAGAACACCACTTGCAGAACCAGCGCCGTGTCCTGCCAGTTCCTCATTGACGAGGGTACGAACATCGTCATTCCAGCCGAAAATCACGCTGAGCATCTCGCGCTGAAGTATCTCTGGTGTGCGAGCTACTTCTCCGTAGTGCGGCGTGCGAAAGGCGACCTCCCGTAATCGAGCTTTCACCCATGGAAAGAGATCCATAGACGACACTTCCCTACCCTCCTCTGGGCTGCGTAGAACCTCTTTGCGAAGGTGTGAAGATCGTTTTCGGCTGTGCGTTGAGCCTTGGGTTTGCGATCGAATTGAGACGCTCTCGTGCCCAACTTTGGAAGGAGGCCCAAAGGAAAACTCAGTACCCTCGAAGCTGGTGCTGTTTGATGCTCGTGAAGAATCAGGTCGATCGTAGAGGTATTTTCGTTGTCTGCGGACTGCGTGTCCCGAACCTCCTGAACTGAGCGACCCTGCATTACTTGACCGAGAACTCAAAGGCATCACTTTGTCGCGAATCTCTGACTCAAGAGCATCTAGTGACTCCATCTCACGAGCGATCTTCTGTAGAGGCGACATGTTCATGCTCTCATCTGCACTGCTTTCCTCATCTGTCAAGCCAGGCAGACTGGTCTGTCCCAGAACAGCTGCTGATTTTGATCGTTCTTCGAGCGTCGTTGGTGGCGTGGGTGGTGCGTTTGCGGGTACGTGCTGCGCTGTAGCAACTTGTAGTGGAACATTGCTAGGGTTGATGTCGTATTGCTGAACGGTGTGGTTTCGTCCGAGGGTAAACAACGTCGCACTTGGTCCGTAGTTCGAGATTCCCACGACTCCGTCAATGGTGGGTATTATATCGTATGTCACCTTCTTGGTGCGAACGTCCCAAGCTCGGGTTTCCCTGAGATATAAGTGTCAGTGCTGTGTCTCCATTCTTGAATGGCTTGCTACGTACCCTTCCACGAATTGGATCAGACGACCATTCTTAGACCACGCAAACCAGCAAGCGCCAGGCTGTGGTGTTTCTGATCGCTGCAGAACTCTGATGATGTTGGGAGTGTCTGTTTGTTCTTTGGGCACACTCCAGACTCGTAGATCGCCATCATACGTTTGTGTCGCAAGCATATCTGTCTTTTGCTTCGAGGACGATCCATGCCATGCCAAGCCAGTGATCTTCGAAGGCGCTCTGTTCGTGTTCAAGGTGTGCAAGATCGTAAACGAAGGCTGGAGAGTCGCAATCAATATCGATCCGTTTAAGTAACCAATCGCAAAAGCACTGCAGTCAGCTGCAGGTGCAATCGCGGTGATGGGGTCGAATATTGTCCGCGCCGAGATATGTTCTGACGTCGAGGGCTCGAACAAGATGATGTTACCTTGATCATTGCCTAGTAACCGTCAGTACCTCACACAAGACACGAAAGCTTATCCGAGACAATGCCAAAAGTACGTACCGAATGCAATGTTCCCGTTCCGCATGAAGGCTGCCACTTTCATGTGCTCGTATGCAGAGAACCGTGCGACCTCACCACCACTCAGGATATCCCATACAATAGCTGTTTTTCCAGCATCAAAGCTGACCGCTAGCCTTCCTGAACCCCTCTCACTGACGTTGTCCACCACTATCCATAGCACATCTTCCCGATGTAAGTCGAGCCTCCTCTCGATCGTGAGCGTGTCATGATGGAGCACTAGAATTCGATTTCGTTGCGCATATAGGAGGAAGGAGGCTGTAGCGGCGCATGGCTCAAATTCTTGATCGGTGTTCTCAGGCGTAAAAGCTGTTGGAGGCGGCGTCTGCCTTACTTGCCCCGATCGTCTTGAAGCTGAATGGGTCGAATGTGGTGCCGAGTGATGTGATGTCGAGGATCTCGTTGACGTTGACCTCTGTCTTGACACCTGCCTAGTTGACATCTTGTCCAATCCTTGAAAACGTTGGTCAGTCGTCGTCCCAAACAGCAAGCTTGGCCATGAATTGGGTCGCGGTCTCTAAAGAGGCCAGATGCCGGATATAGGTTTGACAGGAGAAGAAGGTGAAGGTGCTCTGAAGAGGCACAGTCCTACGTACCCTTGACATGCAGCGCTAACAGAGTGAGGTCACACCCTGTGTAGCTCAAGATATCCAGATATGCCTTGGACCAGCTCTCGTGCGCTCTAGCCCCACCCCAGCGAATGAGATGCCGGTAGGCTGCAACACAGGATGCATGCAGCCGCTGGAGCGGTTTGGACAAGAGTACAGGAAGGCGGTCCTGCAGGAGGGAGCAAAAGCAGATGTTACGAAAGCTTGCAGGAGGAGCATCAAGAGAGAGCAGTCGGGTAGGTACACAAAGATGCAATCAGATGCGCAGCCAAATCAGAGCTCAGCGCGTAGGGTGTTGGGAGCAGCGCGACGCCAACGAACGGGTCCTCGAGACCGTCGATGATGAGGGCCTCAGCGGGTATGCCCAATACCAGGCGTGGCGGACGAGGGCGCGGCTACGCGAGAGGTTTGAAAGGCTGGGGAAAGGGACCTATGAAGACCAGAAGAGAGAGGGATACTGTACGATTCGTTCGTCGAGGACGGGACGAGTGCTGGACGGTCCCGAGGCCAGAGACTCCCGCGCAGGGCCTGGGGAGGGACCTGTATCCAGACAGGAAAAGCGGGCCTATTCTTGATGGCTTCCACGCACGACGGGCTGTGTTTCATGTGCGAAAGCATGCAGAGAGTGCTGGTGAACGCAGCTGTATGGAGCAGCAGAGTACGAAGTCCAGGCGGAGAAAAGTGCGACCAGGGCCGTTCGGCGCAGTGATTCGCCAGGCCCAGCGCCACTAGAACCCAGCGATCTGCGCGAGGCACACAATAGTCACACCCTACTTGCCGACCTCAGCGGCTATTATACCAACACCAACATGGCCGAAATGCTTTAATGCTGCCGCAGCGACGCCTTCGCGCTTCGTTCGAGTTCGAGACGCAACACACTTCCCAGGCGACGGCCATCTTCACAGCCTGGCAGCAGGACCGATCCCGTCCATCGGGGGCCTCTCGAGCTGGGGCGGGCGGTCAACAGGTGGTCGGGAGCTGGTCTGTACAACGCATCGACTGCGCTGCTGCTGCTGGGCGGACCAAGGTCTCGGTATCGAGCAAGTGGTGCACCTTGCATCGCACTGCACGTTGCTGCCGCTTGTTGCGCTCACGGCCGTCCAGTGGTGCGTTGCGAGGATGCCCAGTCACACGAACAATGATCACGAGTCGTCCGACCGACTCGACGCTGGCGATAATCAATGGCTGGACGTCATATTCCTCCCCACCGGGATCCCTGGATGGCCTTCTCGTCCAGGACTTGTGCTGCCGTTAGTTCCTGCAGCGACTGCAGCCGTTCATGCTGTCCAACAGAAATGGCGAAGAAGCCGGCCACGCTGCTGCTGTTCGTGCCGGCCTGTTGCGCGCTGTAGACTCACGATGAAGCCCAAACCGGCTGATCCCTCGTCACGTGCGGGCCCTCACCGCATGCTCTGCACCATCGACACGGTACGCCACTCTCACTACGGTACTACTATCACCTCAACGACGACCACAACTGGAAGCTGCGTGGAAACGATGTTTGTGACGATGCATTTGCACAGTTGATCATTATCGTCCTACCTCATCTCGTCTCGCTGATGACAGTGGAGCATGCATCCTCCATTAACAGCCTGCGCCTAAGCGCCCTGCCAAAAGCCAACTTCGGCTGATCTGCAGCTTTCTTCAATCCTCCTGCTGCCTCTTTTCCACAAGTGGCATCGACGACTCCCTCTTTCGCAGCGCCCCAGAATTCAATATTCTCGTCAAGCGTCTCGCTTGTTGAAAATCTGTCATGCTCGTGAATTCAACCAATCCAAGCCACCGCGCTTGCAGAATTCTTCTGCCTCTTGACCTCCCATGCGGCCGCATCCTACTACCGGAACGCGGCCAGGCCTGTCGCTCTGCTGTGAGCCAGCGTCTGGCTGCCCGATCTTCGAGATGCAGTCTGTGCTCGCAGAACGGCGATGCATGTCATCTGTGATGTGGCGTGTGCCTAGTTGACGGCCCGACCTGGACCGGCTTGTGATCCGCTGTCACGTCTTCATATAGACACGAGGCTGTCTGTCACCAAGATGACTTCCACATGGAACTGCATAGAGTTCGACTCGCCACGCCGTCTTGCCTTCGAGAACATGGTTCGGCCGACTTCCACGCGGCGCGGCACGCTGATGCGTTGAGATATGCCTCATCTCGCTGCCAGCTCATCACACTGGACGTAAGTATTGTCGGTTCCGAGCGTCGATGTCGCTGTCGAAGGGCAGGCATCTTTGTGCCTGATCCTTTTGGAGATCTTTTTCGTTTAAAAGATTAACCACTTCTAGGCTTGGCATCTTGTTCCTCCATGGTATGATTTGAAAGTAGTGAACGCATCGTCGACACGTCCAAAGCTCCGTCGGCGTTCGTGCTCACTCCTTGGCCTTCTCTGAGCTGCTGTGTCGCTTCTTCTTGTGACTGCCGCTGCTAGAGCTGCTGCTCTTCCTCGACTTGACGGGGTAGACCGGCGGCAAAAGCGGCTTCGCCATCCAGACTTCGGCTGGGCGTGGAGGTGGCGGTGGCTCACTCAGGTACTGCTCATCGTCGTCGCCAAAGAGATCCTGGTCGCTCACATACGAGCTGGGAGTTCCATTCTTGCGAAGAGCAGAGCCAGATCGCCAGCTTGGGTATGCGCAAGATGAGTACGGGTTCGTGGTCGAGCAGCTAAAGCTGTTTCGTGGCGAGGATGTCGATGCGATGCTGATTGGTCGGCTTGTGGGGGTGTGGAGAGACGATTGAGTCGAACTTCGACTGGAATTCGAAGCCAGAGACATTTTGATCGTTTAAATCTGAATTTGATATCCAAAGTATGGTTGTCGTAGAACGTCGCGGAAGCCGAGGAGAGCGTGGGTGGCAAGCAGTCGCGTCTGGTGTAGGACTGCTATATAGAGTAAGTCGTCCTAGCAAACAGTGTGGCTTGGTCGTGGGTGGTGGTCAAGCGACGCAACCGAATGATATGATGTGTCAGTTGTGACATGCAGCATTTCGGTAGCAGAGCAAGGCAGAGTGGAACAGAGGCAGATATGATATATCAAGGTGACCGCGACCGACCTTTCAGCCGGCAACCTTCACCGGGATAATGTCGCGTCACCCACAACAATCCGCGGTACGTCCGAGAAAGTTTGGATGCGGTCAAGAACCGAGCATGCCGCGGACACGGCGGCAGGATGCGATGACACTCTGCCCTTTTTTCTCGCCGGAACTTCTCCACGCCCAAGCGGCTGCTGCTGCGGATCCGGACAGCGGCGACTGACTGAGATGAGCGAGGTACTTAGGTACTTGTCTACAAGATGGAATGTTTTCCTGCTGGCCTACTCCGACCATCTGTGATCGCCTACATGATAGCCTTTGCTCCTGCCCGACTTTTCGCCCCGAACGACGATATTCGTCTGCGTATTGTTCGGTCGGTGAGTCACCGCCGAATTGTTGTGAATGTTGGCAAGGCTGTACGTCCGACACACACTGCCACTCCAGCCCACGTCTCGCTGCAGACCGCATCGTCACCAGGTAGCATTCGCAGGGCTGACATGCCACGTCGCGGGTACAGTGTTGACTGATGCCTTGGTCAGTCAGCAGCGAATATACCGCAGTACGCTCCCGAGGTCGCAAATAAACCGCCGTGTCGCTCGCTCTCCACGTCGTTTCCGGCATTCAGCAGCGAAGAAACAGGCAAACTCTACGAGGACCGGAGTCTGATTAACCGTCCCAGCGCTTACTCATGGTCCATCCTGCAGCTGCAATAGGTGCAGAAACCACGTTGCCGAGCAGGACAGCATCCGGTCGCTTGCGCCCGACGGAGTTTCTTGCTCCACGAGAAACGAGGTACATTGCTACAAAGAGGGCTGAAAGCGTCCTTCGCCGGCCGTACCACTTCGCTATCATCATCACTTGCGTCCAGCCCTCGAGGATCAGTACGGACTACGTCGCTGTCTCGCTCACCAAATTTAGAGAGGGTTACGAAGGGCTCGCGTTGATGACACAACCATCGTATAGATTCCCTTCAATGGCTTCGTGCGGATGACTATGCGCAATACTTGCGAATGCACTTCGATGACTTCATGCCAACAATACCGGTACTTGCATATCCAACTATATCCGACCCGTACCTGCCGCCCAAAAGCGCAGCTTCCCGACCGCGCTGCTTTGTTGATTCCAACACCCGAGCCCTCTTCTCTCACGGCCTTAACTCCCCAGACTTCTCCCCCTTTTGCATGCGGAGTAACGAAAGCACGGAACACTGCCTCTGGTACAGCGAGAGCGACGATATTGACTTCGCGACTCACTCTTGGTTCTCCCCTCCTTCGCGCTGCTCCTGAGCGCAAGTCTGTTCCGGTCGGCGGCGATTGAACAACAGCCACCAAAGCTTCACTCCGGCAAAACAATCACACAGAACAAAAACGCGGGGTCACTCTTAAAACTGGACAACTTGGCCGACGAGAAAAACATTTCTCCTGGGCAACTTCCCACCCTCAACCCTGGACACGACTTGTCCCGGATGGAATCACATGTCGAGGGTCGGTCAGTCGGTCAGTCTGCCATCGCAGGTGCCTCGTGTCGAAGTCATGGGGTTACGACCAAGCCCTCGGGCTGTACGACTTCAATCACACCCCTTGCTCTGCCGGTGTAGCCACGAGGTGGGATGGAACCTATTCCTGTCGTATGATGAAACGAGGTTGACTGTACTGCTGACTGCCAGGCATGATACTGAAGTTGGAAATTGGAAGGGCACAGCGTGGTAAAGCCTGGTCAGCGTCCACCACGGGGCCCTTTGAGCCTAAGCTGTCGCACGGCATGATGCTGGAGCAGCGTGGGCTCGCTGTCACGGCCCGCTCGCGGCGGTGTGTCTCTTTGTCGTCGCCGTCAATACTTGACAGAGGTGAGGACAGGTAGGTACTGTTACATTCATGTGTCGGACGTGCCGCCAATCGCAGCACACATTGGTAGGGCTTGGTGATGTATCCCATGAAGAGGTCCTGCAAATGATTGCTATTGGGTTACACTGCCATGTACGTGCGGTCTTTCCTCCGCCCTCCAGCGGTCAAACGGACCGTGACTCCTCTCCCACATGCTTCTACCCTTCACACACACACACGCCGACACCCAAGGCCCATGGGTGAATTCGCCGTCTCCTCTTCCCCTCTGTCATCTTCGCCAACCTAGCTTCCTCGCTCCCAATCCTCATCCGAGAACGAGTCCCGACCCCATCTTTTCAAACAGGACCCTTTCCACGCCACGGGTGGACTCGGACAAAGCTTCTTCCTAACAAAGTTCACAGAAAATCTGGGGGGCCTCGGACCGTCGGCGACGTTGCTCGGTCGCTATCCGACAGACGAGCACATGAAGGATTCTGGCCGGCTGTTGATCAACATGTTCGTCTTGTTGGTCTTTGTCCAGAGCAAGTTGATCTTTGCCCTTCGCTTTGGAAGAATACTCCGGTCGGTCTGTTGGTATGACGCCGAGCGTCTTTGTGCTTCGACAAGGGCTTGTCGATGGCGGCCCCGAACTTCTCTGTTGGTCAATGCATGACGTCGGACGAACAGGGTCAGGGTTGGTTTGGGGTAGGCGAAATGGAGATGTTGTGGAGATTGAGATACGGCCAACGCAAGAGATTTTTCCTGCAAAGGGACTTTTTCTTCACATGCCAATACGAATATCGTCGTTGGCGGCATGACATCAATCCATCGAGGAAATGGATCCTCAAATGACGTCTCCATCAACACGCGAGAAGACCAACCATGAAGCCAACCAACACAACCCCCAGTCCATCTCCATCACAACCTCGACCACCATCTCTTCGACTTCCCCCTTCCAGCCAAGCGCCCTCCCGCCGGCACCCACCAGAAAGGTAACTCCAACAACGAAGCCTCAAATCTACGAAGTTCAGCCTGGAGGAACCCGCGTGTCGGGGACACCAAATCTCCTTGGGATCCTGTCTTCGAACAAACAGGTGGTCCAAGAGAGCGGCCAACAACCATCCCCACGTGTTGTGGAGTCATGCCTATCTCATGCCGTGGGAAAGGAAGGTCTGCCTTGCGAGATATCGCCGACCGAAGTTAGCACCCAATTCAGTGGGACTCAGAGCGGATTCTTTTACGCGGGTTGCGGATTTGCAAAGGCGTTTGAAGGCATTCGTGTGAGATTGAAGGTAATGTCGGTGATTTCATCTTTCTCCTTCCGACTTCCAATCTACCATGTGTGAGGGTTCTGTGCCGAAGATGAGGCAAATAACAGACACCTCATCATGCCCTTTACTTTGACACGAGTCGCCAACATGTAGGCCGCCAATCAACACCTTTTCCTTTAGGGCCACTGTGTGCCCCTTCTCATCTACACATCTACCCTATCGTCCAATTTCGAGCAAGAGGTCGGGTGTTGGACTTTGGAGCGTAAACTTCGCTGGAACGGCAGTGTTTGATCCTGCTTGCGTGCTGCGTGGAGCAATAACGTTGAAAGGAGCTCCATGTTGTGTAGATCATCAGGAAACCAACACCCGAGTGCATGTACGGGATGACTTTCCAACTCCGAGAATGTAGATCAGAGGATTTGATACTTGTCTATGAGGTATACACTTCCAACAATGCGCCAATGCTGAGAGGGAAGGTCAAAGGCAGTTCGGGAAGGTACTTCCGCATGGTCTTTTCGGTGGGAACTGATGAAGGTGATCGAAAAAGAATGGAAGTTCGTTCGAAATTCGAAACTATGCGCGGCTGATTCATTTTCAATGAAATGACATCTTCTATCTACATCGATCAATCCATAGACCGTACATACTCACAGCAATCCATGAGGCAGATCCATCACCCCTCCTCAAAGACCAAAAATCGAGCAAAAAAAGGTAACCGACCCCACAACATCCCACCCATCATCCGACCACAAGGAGTAATTTGACCACGCCAGCCCACGATGCAAGTTGCTCTGCCGGGTTGACCCGCTGAAGCGTGTCTTGCAGGCTTAGGATCGAACAGCAAGTCGTGCGTTACCGACACGAGTGTGGCGACCTTCGCGGGCTTCGAACCAAGCTCGACTTGCGGTTGGGCTAAGGGACTGAGGTGGGAGAGGTGGGCTCCCTTTGAAAGCCGCGACAGCTGATTGGTTGGTGGAGTTTTTGGGAATATAGAGGCTCATTCTTGGGGGCCGAGGATTCTCCGAGGTCGACCCCGCTTTTTTCGATGTTGACTTGCATTTATTCTTCTACTTTGCGCTGCTATTGCTTGGTATCAAATTCCCCTATCTTCCAACGCCGTCGCTTTCCGACAATGCCTCCCGTTCACACAAAAGAGACACACGACAATGCTAAACTGACATGCACACGCTCAAGCGAGGAGTTGAAGCAGCCTCGGCCTTAGATTCCAAAAACCACCTTCATCCGCTCGTAAACATAGAAGCTCGTAGCCGCCAAGGGGATGATCTTGACGTATCCAATGCCCAGCCCAACAAAGAACCCTCTCCAGCCCCTCTCATGCCTAATGGTTCGGGCGACTTCGATCATCGTCAATCGGTGGCCGTCTCCTACGACCCCACCCACTTGCATCCTTCGTCGGATCACTTCGAGAGGGTAGCTGACAGTCTGGCTCACGAAGCCAGCGACTGCACCAGTTGTAAGCTCAGCCCATGCGCGGAGGGGTGCTGGCTTGTTTGGGGCGAGCTGTTGTTGAGATCGCTCAGACATTGGTAAAACGGTGTATTGCGCGAAGGAAGGTAACCGCATGAAATCGCCTGCTGCGTCGTGTGTCAAAAAGGAAGCTCCAGCATACGGTATCATGCCCCATAATGTTGGTGTGAAGCCGCGATAGAAGTTCGCCAGACCTGACCTGGGGGTGATTGTCGAGACCGCGCTCTGAGTGGCCTCCATCGTTGCGGCCGCTGTTTTCGGCAAAGAAGCTGTTCCAGTCCCAATCTCTGGAGCAGGCGGGTGCTCATTGTATATTATTCGACAAATATCCCGCACCGACATCCTCTTGTTGGTCTTCGTCTCCCACGCCAGCCGAACCCGTATCACCTCAAGCGGGTACGTGCAAAACACGGATACTATCCCTGCCGTCGACCCAGCCATGAATCTCCTGATATGCGTCTCGCTCTGCTTATCCGGTATAAAAGCCGCCCGAATCTGCTCGTAGGCCAAGAACTTGATCCCACCGTAGGGGAAAATCCTAAGAAGCGTAGCACTATGGCCTCGGAACAGCCCTCGTGCGCCGTTGGCCGCGTATATATCCCGCATCGCCCTCACCGCCCCGGCCCATGATCCTGTATATTTCTGAAACTGTGGATTGTTCGCCTGGAAGAGAATTTTTACTCGGTCTAAAGGAGCAACTACCGTCTTCGCTGCGCAGGCTGCCAGCCCGCCGGCAGTCCCACTCCGTACTGCATAGTCCCAGCTGTGCTTGGCGATCACTCTACGACCGCCTTCTTGTGTTTCGGAAGAATGCGAGTGTACGGGGAGGAGGTTCTCGGTGTCGGTGGGGCATATTGCTGGTTGACTGCCCGCGGCAGTAGAGCGCGGGGGCGAGGTCATCGCAGGTGGTTCGTTCGCGGCATTAAGCGGCGTGACATGGCTGGCATGCCCATCCGCAAAGCTGCTCATCGATTTCTCGGTCTGGTGTTTGCTTGCTGTCTCGTGTCTTCTTGCGTGTTTAGGGGTACGATATTGGCGACATCCGGGAATGCAGTCCTATTTCCGGTTCGGCAGAGCGTTGAAGGCGTTCGGCAGTTGTGTGCGAATAACGCGGTGTGTCTGAAGGTAAGCCAGGTGAATAGTAGGGAACCTTCAGGGAAGGACTGCTGTGAATGTGTATGGGAGAAGTGGTAGGCGTGTGATGTGTGTCTAGAAGGGTCTCATGGCTTACAGATGTGATTGTGCGGAGGATGTGGGAGCGAGGCAGGATGACGCAGCCGAGGGTATCAACGGCCTAATCTCCGCCTTCAATTCACTCGCTTTCTTTGTCCTATCACGTGTCACCAAAATATAAGCGCGTGAGTGGGAATAACATCATTTCTTGAATGCCTGAGGAAAGAAAGATGTTAACAGAGCGAAGAGATGGCCGGTACCGGCTCGCCTATCCTCTGGCAGGACGAAAAACGCAGCATCACCCTCCTAGACATCCCGCGCTCCGTATCTGCTGCCCAAGGAACCGCAGAACGACCTTGCTACGACCTGTTGCTCTCGAGTGAGCCCCTGGAGAAACCTTTCGTAGTGGTAGAACCAAAGTCAAACAAGGCTAAGCAGAATTTGCAGCAGAACACTGTTGACGAAGAACTTCACACCGCGTACAGAGACATTCTGGACAACGCACTTCAATCAATACGACAACACCACCAGGGTCCATGGGCACTCAAGCGACCGTTCATTGCAGGCCAAAGTATCGTACGTCCCGGCAAGAAGCGCAAGCTGGATAGTCAAGACATTACCAGAGATGTCCATTCCGTCGCAGAGACTGAAGATGCTCTACCCGAGAATGGTCTCCTGGATCGAATAGCTCAAAGTGATTTCACGAATCAAGACCCCGCCGAGCGGGAGCCAGAGGAAGAAGCATGCCAAATCTGCGACTCTGACGACCCAAACTTCCAAACGAACTGCAGCCCCTCCCCACTACTGAAAAGCCATCAACCGCCAAACTGTTCCAGCGACCAACAGACCGCAAACCCCATACGAATCGCACCATTCTCCTCCTTCCACCTCAGCGACTGCACCACGCACTCCCGAGCCTTCCACACCTCCATCCGGCACCAAGCCAACTCACACGAAACCCGCCGCCACTTCGACTTCATCCTCCTTGACCCGCCCTGGCCAAACCGCTCCGTGAAACGCACATACCAAACTCCCGGCGCCGGCTACGCCATCTCAAACTCTCTCGACGACGTCTACGATCTGCTCCTGAAGATGGATCTGGATATGCTTATGGCTGAGGACTGCCTCGTGGGGATGTGGATCACGAACAAGCAGGCTATCCGAGAGCTTGTGCTGGGCGAGGATGGCGTGTTCGATCAGTGGGGTGTGGAGTTGGTGGAGGAGTGGATTTGGTTGAAGACGACGGTGTATGGTGAGACGGTTACGCCGGTTGAGTCGGCGTGGAGGAAGCCTTATGAGATTCTTTTGCTGGGTCGTAAACAACGGCGAGGAGGTGCGGCCTCAGGCGACGTGACGGATGTCAAGCGGAGATGTATCGTCGCTGTGCCGGATTTGCACTCTAGGAAGCCGTGTTTGAAGGAATTGATCGAGCCTCTCATGCCAGATCCTAAGGATTACAGAGCCCTGGAAGTTTTTGCGCGGCATTTGGTCGCGGGGTGGTGGAGTTGGGGTAATAAGTGCACCAAGTTCAACACCGAGAGCAATTGGCGCAGAGCAGATGACTTTAAGGACACGAATGCGGATCAGAAGGCGGTCGATCGGGCTCCTTGAGCATATTGCAGGATTGTTCATATGCACAGCTACCATACAGACTTCTGTTACCAGCTTTTGACGGGAGGTCCTCCTGAGCAGCCAACACAGCCCTCCCATGGCCTTCAGAAGGAGCCAGTCTCACAGATCAATGCCTAGCTGGGTATTGTATCCCACTTAACTTGCCAGGAGACTCCCGTGTCGTTCCTACCGGCTGCCTTGAACCGGGAAAGACGAAAGGCAAAGTTGACGACCTCCAGCCTCAACTTTCTACCACAAGCTCTGATGAATAGCCGCGAGCACGAGGAGTCTCGGAGGCTTGAGTTCCCAAGGCAGGATAAGCCATTCCTGGATGACTTGCACGTACGTTTAGGCCAATGTGATGTTGCCCGTCGCAGTATGCTTGCTGGTTTCGAGGCTCGGCTCAGCTTCGAAATCGAAGTTGCCACGCCTTCCAGTACCGCAAGCGGATTGTTAGACACTATGCGAGCCATCCTTTCGATGTGCACTTCTGAAGAGCGAGTCCGTTTGCAGAATAGCCATCGCGACCGCATACATGTCCACGGGAAGGATGTCGTTCGTTCCAGCCGCGCTTTCACTGTTCATGACCTAGGAACCCAATCCTTCCACGAAGCATTCCTCGCGAGCAAGTAGTCCTTGCTTTGGATAGACTTCCTCAAGCCATACAAGCCCGCCAAGGGCCACACGTCCAGCAGTCGCTTGCTCCACGGCGCATTCTGCTTTGCCTGACGCTCAGCATCTACATCGACTCTGACCTTCTCGTAGACGCTCGGCAGAGATGTAGCGTGGTACTTCTCGCGCAAAGAATCGTACCAGCTCTTGTCGAAGTCTTTCCAGAAATCGTTCTCGGAGAAGTATGTTTGCGCGTAGAGCCATTTCATTCCTCTGAGTTCCTGGAGCGTCTTTTCGATGGTTCTGTTGGCGGCGATGTAGCCTTCGTGGGTTGCTGGTGCTTGGCCCCATAGTCCGATGTTCAACATGGGTTTCAGTGTCTTTCCGTCTGCTTCGAATTCCTGATAGTGCGGATGCATCGTAGGGTGTGGACTCTGCTTTAGCGGACAAAGCCAGAGTGGCCAGATGCCTAGCGATTCGTCCATCCTCTCCACGAACTCAACAGCAGTAGGATATGGCAGTGCAAGATCTTGCACGATCATCTGCTCCGACCGACCACTGGAATGGAGGGCTTTGTAAAGCATGCGCGTGTGAAGGAAGTCGTCGAGGAACCAGCGGGTGACGTTGTTGAATGGGACGCCTTTGAAATATGTGAAAGGCGCTTTACCAACCCAGAAACCGCCTCTGTCGTATCTGAAGAGGTAGTCTGGCAGCGGAATAGCATCCGAAGTAGGATGTGGATTCTTAGCGATGCGATCTTGAACAAAGAGATAGAACCAGGGATCTGAGGCCGCACTGAAACGTTGTACCGTGAGATCGGGGTTCGGAGTGTCTGTCATACGGCCTGTGACGATGGCGCCACTCTTCTGAGAGTACATGATGCCGTCAATGTAGTCGAAGTCTTCAGGGCGAGATGTGAAGTCCTGTAGAGTCGATATAGCTTCCTGCATGCTCTTCACGGGATGGTACGTAGTCTCGACGAACTTCGTAGCGGGATGAAGCCGCAATTCGACCATGGTGGTAACTCCCAAAGTCCCCACTGCACCAGCTGCTCCTCGAAATAGGTCTGCATTCTTGCTTTCTGATGCCGTCGTGACCTCTCCGTTCGCGAGCACAATCTCCACCTCGTTCAAGGTCTGATCGAAGAAGCCGTGCTTGAAAGAGCTGCTTTCGCCTGAAGTGCCCGAGTATCCACCTCCAGCAGTGATGCCCGGGAACTCCATGACCACAGGTGGTACAAGACCATATTTCAATGTCTCCTCGACCAATCGATCCATTGGTACATTCGGCTCAACCAACGCCGTACGTTTCTCGGTATCAACGCGAACGACATGATTCAATCTGCTGGTATCCACGACTTTCCTGGGATCTCTGCCCACTGCTGACTTCCTCGTGCTGTTTGTGCCGTCATGGAACATGCGAAACTTCTCGCCGCGCTCGTAGAAGCCTCTAACGCTTGCTGCAACTTTCTCAACCTCTTTCTGATGCTCTTCTAGCGTTGTGGGAGCTGTTCCACCTTTGCTGAAAAGCCTTGCCTGCGTTCTAGGTGCAAGCGATCGGTATAGCTTCGAAACGGGAAAATTCTGATTCGGTCGGACTCGAGATCGTGCAAAGGGAGAGCCATGGCGGGCCAGGCTGGAAAGGCTTCTTTTGGAGTCCACAGAAAGAGCTCTGTACAAACACCGATGGCATATCGAAAAGGCTTGGCTCGTTGGCCTCCTTGTCAGTGTATTGGCACTGCTCAGAGCCATTGAGTGCTTCATGTTCAAAGTGCTGGGCAAAGAAATACAGGCGAAAAGCGATGACACTTACACTTGCGTTTACGTCCGTCTAGAGGTTTGATGGAGGAAAGCACGCGCCAATGGCTCGACGAAATCTCGGCAGCAACACGCTAGCACGTGCTCCACGCCATTTAGCCTAAACCTTGCTTCAACCTCACCATACCTTTCCACGGTCGATACCACAAAATCAGAAAGGATTGAATGGCAAACGCCTGAGTCCAAAGAGAAGTGCATCACGGTACAGCTCTCCCAAGATGCGGTATCAGAGTTCGCCGACGGCCGCCCCATCAATCGCCACAACGCCCGAAGGGTCATAGATAGGCCAGGAATCTGTTTCAATTTTACAGGCACCAATACGCTGAACAGGCAGCTTCTCCAGGATCTCGAGCTCAGTCACGACCAATGATCAACGGCCAATTCTGTGGGCAAAGAAGCTCACCACGAGGCCGTGATCATGGATTTGGATCTTGCTGTCCAGTAAATTGGAGTCCGACCTGGGAGTGATAGCAATCCCAACACTGATAACGGCATGGCTCACCAGGATTTGCAGATCTGGGGGCTTCGGCCGGCACGTCAGACTATAAATCTGAGCAGCGCTCGAATGTAAGATGTGAATTTCTCTTGACCCTCATCTTCTGGTCTGGAAGCTGGACTTCCCGACACAATCACCATGGCAGACACCTTTCAGATATCGCCGCCCTTGAGCCAAGGAGTCGGCTATGGCATCATCGTCGGCGTGGGAGCTGCCTTTGCTCTGGGCATGTCCTACGTCTCGTGGTATCTGGCAAAATATATGAATGAGAAGCAGGACACGGAGATGTTCATGACGGCGAAGCACTCGGTCAAGTTTGGATTGACGGCTTCTGCTGTGGTTTCGTCTTGGACGATCGTGGCGACTCTGTTAACTTCGACAAGCTATGGATATAGTTATGGTGTTTCTGGACCATTCTGGGTAAGAAATTCATGTCAGAACAGCGATTCGCAGGCTGACTTCAGGTCAAGTACGCAGCTGGTGCATCGGTACAGATTCTGCTCTTCTCGGTGGCAGCCATCGAACTCAAGCGCAAGGCACCATATGCTCAGACCTATCTCCAAGTGGTGAAAGTCCGCTATGGCGCAACCGCTCATATCATCTTCTCGATGTACTCGCTCGTGTACCAAATCATCACTACCGTCAATCTTCTGGTCGGAGGGTCGGCATTGTTCTCGAGCATGACTGGCATCAACAGAGACGGCTCTTGTTTCTTGCTGCCGATTGGTGTGGTCATATATACTCTGGCGGGTGGCATCAAGGCTACTTTCATTACCGATTGGGTAAGACATACTCAATGCGAGAGCTGAGCACCTACTGACGAGCGTAGGTGCACACGGTAATTATCTACATCATCATGCTCATGTCGATATTCGTGGTCTACACAACCTCAAGTGTGATCGGCTCTCCAGACCGCATGTGGTCACTATTAAGAGAAGCTTCCATTCTACACCCAGTCGCCGGCAACGCCCAAGGCTCATACTTGACCATGAACAGTGTCGGTACGTTGTTCCTCAATGACCGCGCATGACCTTCGCTGATAGTGATTAGAGGGCGGCTACGTCGGCCTGGTTTTCGTCGGCGCTGGCTTCGCTGCTGCCGTGGATTCCCAACTCTTCCAGAAAGCCATCGCTGCCGATCCTCGCAGCACAGCGAAGGGCTACCTGCTTGGTGGCCTTGCCTGGTTTACGATTCCATTCGTACTTGCGAGTACGTATGGCTTGGCGGCAGCAGCCACTGAGCATCTGCCTGTCTTTCCAACTTATCCGAATCGAATGACTGCGTACGAAGTATCGTCTGGCATGGCGATGCCCTATGCGGCTTTAGCTAGTAAGTAACCGTCCTTAGGTTTGTTGATATGTCTGACGTGGGCGGTAGTCATGGGTAATGGGGGTGCGATCGCTGTGCTGCTCATGGTGTTCATGGCCATTACATCCGCAATGTCAGTCGCATCTTTCCTTCACAGAAAACCCTCGCTGACCCCATGCAGGTCATCAGAGACAGTGGCCACAACAGCTCTCCTCGGATACAACGTCTACCGATCGTACATCAACCCAGCAGCAACGCCGAAGCAACTCAAGCGCTTCTCCGAGTACTCTGCTGTCGGTTTCGCCGTCGTTGCAGCATCTATCGCATGCGGTTTCAACCATGCCGGCTTCTCCGTTGGCTTCCTCATTACCGCCATTGGCATCTTCGTCGACTCTGCGATCGTTCCCTCGGCCTGCACTATCATGTGGAAGAAGCAGTCAAAAGCCGCCGTGATCATCTCCCCGGTCCTGAGCTCCTGCGCCGCAATGATCGCCTGGTTCCTCAAAGCCCACCAGGAATACGGCGAGATCACAGTCGCTTCACTATCTGGAAATCTCCCACTTGTGGCCGGCAACATGATGTCCCTGTGCGGTCCTCTGCTATTGACACCTCTGATCACATTCATCAAGCCCGACAACTACGACTGGAACCTACTCCACGATGCCATTCGACCAGATGACGAATCAGAACCAAACGTACATCAATCTGAAAGCGATACTTCTCCTGCGCCCAAGAACGAGACTCCAGCAGTCGTATCGACAATCGAACCGCCCGCGCAAGACCCCCATGAGTCCCTGCTCCTCCGCTCCCGAAACCGAGCCATCATCGCAAGCGTTACACTCACGCTCTGCTTCCTAATTCTCTGGCCGATACCAATGTACGCAACCCACTATGTCTTCTCGAAGGGATTCTTCGTTGGATGGATTGTGGTGGTCTTCCTGTGGGCATTCTTTGCTTCCTCGACGATCACCTTGATTCCGATTTGGGAGGGGAGGGAGTCTATTGTGGGTGTGGTGAGGTCGATCTTTGGGAAGGGGAGGGGAAGAAAAGATGGGGGGACTGAGATGTTGTATGGGGTGCCTGCTGAGTTGGCAGAGACGCCGGCGGGGAGTGAGAAGGAGAGGGAAGCTGTTCAGGGTAAGATGTGAGGTGGCAAGTAGGAGACTATAAAGAGTGTTGATTTCAACTCATATTCTTCTGCTTGACGTTCGAGAAAGCTGCCAGTTGTGACAGACATGATGTTCACGACATGCTAGGGTTGAGTGAGAGGTGGACAGGGGCACTCGAACTAATGGCCATCCTTGTCAGGGCTGATTCGCTGCAACAACATGTCATAGTAATCGTCCATGATTCTGTCTATTACCTGCATATGGCATCCGAATGGAAGGATTGCGGGAGTGGTGTTCAAGTCCATGACCACTCTTTGTCGGCACTAGAAAGAGACTAGGACGATGTCGCCATCGTGAATTTGCCTCGTGGAGACGGGCGCAGCCAATCAAATGGGGCGGCGACTTTGATGACCAAATGGCAGATGCCGCGAGTCTGGAGTGCAAGTTTTCTCGGCTCTGGATGACCCTCGCCGAGATCGCCACCACCTTGCTGTGCGCAGACATGCAGTAGACAGAAAGAACGACCACATACAGCCACAGCCTGGTCTGCAGCCTTCCTACACCGCGCGAGGCAGCATGGCCTCCATCACCACCGCCGGCGAAGCAGGTACGTCTCACACACGCACAATCCCCGCCCCGCCATTGGCAGCAGTGGCTCTCTGCGACCACCCGGATGGCCTCATCCGACGACGCAGCCGACGACAGGATGCACACTGAGCACCACATGCTAACTGCTTCCTCTCCATCTCCCAGTCGCTCGCATCGCATACCTCTCCTCCGACGCCGTCGTCTCCGTCCAGCCCTCCCTCGCCGCCGACTCGGAATTCTCCAAGCACCTCAAGCAGTACGCCGCCAAGGAAGCCTCGAGTATCGTGTGCAGACAGACGCCAGAGATATACTCTGTACGGCACAATGCAGACCCGTTGCTGGACGTCTACAGTCGCGTGCGCAATGGCAAGATCACGACCGTCACTACCGGAAGCGGCGTGCTGGTCAAGAGCATACCCCACCTCTACCGACTCGCCCAATATCCCGTGGTCATCCACGTGAGCCTGCATCCCAGTGGGTTTCCTGATTATGGCGACATCACGAGCATCAGAAACACGGGCTTTACATTCCTGCAGAGCAATTCGTTGCAAGAGGCGCAAGACTTGGCATTGACCGCACACGCATTGGCTATCCGGAGTGGAAGAGGTGTCATCCATTTCTTCGATGCAGCTAACAGCCAACAAGACTCGCCTATTCCACACGAGAGTCGGCAGTGGGTGTCGAGTGTCATTCCTATGGATGTGGCGAGACAATACCAGGCCACAAAGAGCGACGAATCCAACATCTATGTTAGCGAAGGACTCGCACCGCAGAGGGCTTCGGGCATTGAGATTGGCGGCAACACTGAACAATTGGCACCTTCAGGCGCAGCTTCTGGCCTGGCTAGCCCAAGGGATGCTTCGTCTGCTTCTTCCTCTTCCTCGGACCGGAAAAATAGCAGTTCGGGAGCTTCCGAGGCCGAATCCGCTACCACGATCGAGTCGCAGCCGAAGCCGGTGAGCTCTGAGGATGTCGATACGACTTGTACAGCTATCTGGGCACAGATCAAGGCGCAGACTGGACGGCAATACAGTGCATTCCACTACACCGGCCCAGCGAACGCCGAGAATGCCTTGTTCCTTTTTGGTAGCGACCCTGGACTTTTCAGCGCAGAATTCGATGCTGCAACTCCAGCCGACTTCTTCTCGAGAGTAGGCTTAATCACGCCTGTCCTTTACAGGCCATGGCTCACAGAGCGTTTGATTGCAGCGGTGCCACGATCTGTGAAGAGGATAGCGGTTTTGGAGCAAATTAAGAGGAAGACCACGAAATGGGGACCAATCTTGCTGGATCTGCTCATGTCGTTGAAGTCGAATGCGGAGGGCGGTGCAGCTCCTCTTATCGTTGGATATCAATTGGGCTATATCGAGTACACCACCATCACCCAGGCTCTGAGCGGCATCTTCCAGAACTTGACCTCGAAGTCACCGATTCAGAATCTCGAGATTGGAGCCCACAATGGACCTCAGGCCTCGCAGAAAGAGTTGGAGCTTAAGCAACCTGCGCTGGAGAATGCATACATGAAGATTCTGGATCACCTCTTTGGTCAACGACTATACATCGCAAACGCGCTCAAGGCACAGAATGCTGGTATTGGTGATACTGTACGAGCCTCCCCAGAGTTTGGATTTGGATCTCTCCTCGCACGAAAGGAGCACCGCAAGCGGTTCATTGCGGAAGTGGAGGCCGCTGCGAAGACCAGAGACTTCACGACCGACACCCCGCAGAAGTGGTTGTCGCAGTGGGCACTCGTAGCTGAGGAGAACGACAAGGCGAACAAGCTGGCTCCAGAGGTTGTGAGCCGACTCTCCAACGATGGATCTCCTGCAGCATCCAAGCTTCTCAGCGCGAAGGGTCTCTTCTACAAGGAATCCCAATGGCTTATTGGCAGCGATGCGTGGAGCTACGATCTCGGCAACAGCGGTGTCCACCACGTGCTGGCAAGTGGCGAGAATGTCAACCTGCTCATCATCGATTCGACCCCCTACAGCGAGCGTGCAGCTGCTGATGCTGCTCGGAGAAAGAAGGACATTGGCTTGTACGCCATGAACTTCGGCAACGCCTACGTCGCCAGCACTGCCGTGTACAGCAGCTACACCCAAGTCCTGCAGGCTATGCTAGAGGCCGAGCAGTTCGAGGGTCCTTCCGTGGTCTTGGCCTACCTTCCATACGACAAGGAGTCCGACAGTCCATTGAAGGCTTTGCAGGAGACGAAGAAGGCTGTCGATCTTGGATACTGGCCACTTTACCGATGGGACCCCAAGGCCGAAGAGAAGAACGAGGAGAACTTCAAACTTGACTCTGAGCGCATCAAGGAGGAACTGAAGGCATTCTTGGCTAGGGACAACAAGTTGACCCAGCTCATGAGACGGCATCCGCAATTCCACGCGAACCTCTCTGAATCCTACGGGTCTGAAGTCCGCAAGGTGCAGAAGAGGAAGGCCAAGGGTGCGTATGAAGCTCTCCTCGAAGGTCTTCAGGGCGCTCCAATGACGGTTCTCTTCGCTTCCGACAACGGCAACGCTGAGAATCTGGCTAAGAGACTTGCAAACCGTGGTAAGGCGCGTGGCTTGAAGACGCTGTCCATGGCCATGGACGATTACCCAGTTGAGGACCTTGCGAGTGAGGAGAACGTCATCTTCATCAGTTCCACTGCCGGACAGGGAGAGTTTCCTCAAAACGGACGCAACATGTGGGAGGCTGTCAAGAACTCAACCGATCTTGATCTTGCAGGCGTGAACTACTCCGTCTTTGCTCTTGGTGACTCTCACTACTGGCCACGCAAAGAGGACAAGCACTACTACAACAAGCCAGGAAAGGATCTCTTCGCACGTCTGGCCACTCTCGGCGGCAAGTCGATCGTCGATTGCGGCCTTGGTGATGACCAGGATCCTGATGGCTACCAGACGGGATACCAGGAGTGGGAGCCAAAGCTTTGGGATGCTCTGGGTGTTGGGAATATTGAGGGTCTGCCAGAGGAGCCGCCGCCAATGACGAACGAGGACATCAAGATCCAGTCGAACTTCCTGCGCGGTACCATCCAGGAGGGTCTTGATGATCCCTCGACCGGCGCCATCTCTGCCGCTGACCAGCAGCTCACCAAGTTCCACGGCACATACATGCAAGATGACCGTGATCTGAGAGATGAGCGCAAGGCACAAGGTCTTGAACCAGCTTACAGCTTCATGATCCGATGCCGATTACCTGGTGGTGTCTCTACGCCAAAGCAATGGATTCAGATGGACGACATCTCAACCAGCCTTGGCAATGAGACGATGAAACTTACGACCCGCCAGACATTCCAATTCCACGGTGTGGTCAAGGCCAAGCTGAAGCCAGCAATGCAGGCTATCAACCGCGCACTCATGACGACCATCGCTGCTTGCGGGGATGTTAACAGAAATGTGATGTGCAGCTCTTTGCCAGAGATGAGCAGCTTGCACGCTCAGGCACAAGAATCCGCCCAAAAGATCTCGGACCATCTCCTGCCAAGCACGACTGCCTACCACGAGATCTGGCTCAAGGGCATGGATGGTGAGAAGGATGTCCAAGTTGCTGGCGATGCGGTGCAAGACTTTGAGCCTCTTTACGGTCCGACGTACCTCCCCCGAAAGTTCAAGATTACGATTGCTGTTCCACCTCACAACGACACCGATGTATACGCCCACGACATCGGTCTCATCGCCATCCGCGACAAGGGCGACCTCGCCGGTTTCAACTTGCTTGCTGGTGGTGGTATGGGTTCGACGCACAACATGAAGAAGACCTACCCACAAATCGGTCGCATGTTCGGTTACGTCGACAAGTCGCAGGTGCACATTGCTTGCGAAAAGATTATGCTCGTGCAGCGTGACAACGGAGATCGCAAGAACCGCAAGCATGCTCGCCTGAAGTACACCATCGACGACATGGGTGTCGATGTCTTCAAGGGCCAGGTTGAGGAGCTTTGGGGACAGAAGTTCCAAGAGCCGAAGCCATTCAAGTTTGACAGCAACATCGATACCTTTGGCTGGCTCAAGGATGAGCGTGGCATGAATCACTTCACCATGTTCATCGAGAACGGCCGTATTGAGGACACAGCAGATTTCCCCATGAAGACTGGTCTTCGCGAGATTGCCAAGGTCCACAAGGGCGAGTTCCGATTGACTGGAAACCAGCATTTGATCTTGTCGAATGTTGCCGATGCCGATCTGGACGACATGAAGGCGATGCTCAAGAAGTACAAGCTCGACAACACCAACTTCTCCGCCTTGAGGCTGTCGTCGTCTGCATGTGTGGCGTTCCCAACTTGTGGTCTGGCCATGGCAGAGTCCGAACGCTACCTGCCAGAGCTCATTACCAAGCTCGAAGGCGCCATCGAAGAGAACGGTCTCCGACAAGACAGCATCGTCATGCGTATGACTGGCTGCCCCAACGGTTGCGCGCGACCATGGCTTGCTGAAGTCGCCTTCGTCGGCAAGGCTTTCGGTGCATACAACATGTACCTCGGTGGTGGCTACCACGGCAACAGACTGAACAAGCTGTTCCGTTCCAGCATCAAGGAGGACGAGATTCTCAGCATCATGAAGCCTCTCCTCAAGAGGTATGCTCTTGAGCGGAATGAAGGCGAGAGGTTTGGTGACTTTGTCATTCGCATTGGAACGATTGTTGAGACGAAGGAGGGACGAGACTTTCATGATAATGTGAGTACAGACACTGATGAATACGCTTGAGAATGTTTACTGACTGATGGTTCAGACCGCGGAAGTCGAAGACGACGACGAGTAGACTTTTGGATCGCTTCAAGCACGAGTGAGTGCATAGCGCAGGCGTTGCATAGCGTTGGCGTTTCTTCATGAGTCGATGATACGGGAGGGTAAAACTCGAAAACATCATTCTTCAAAAGCAAAGCTCAGGACTATTGGTTCCCAACAATGCCTGTGGGCATCTTGTACATACGTTAGAGGAGCTGATGGAGGTAGGTTCTATCTCTCTTCGAAAGATTAAAATCAGCAGCGTCAACTTCAAGCCCTCCTAAAATCCACCAACAGCCTCCCCGTCGTGCCCCCAGCCTTGTTAGCTTCCATCCCCTCCAGCAACTCCCCTCGCCGATACACCTTGGCCACCTTCGCTTTTATCTCCCCATCCCTCAACATCCGCCCCAACTTCTCCAAACCCTCCACATCCGGCACAATCTCCGGAAAGAACCCCCTCTTCCCCTCAGGGATTTTCCCCAGAATCGTCGGATCCGCCAAACTGACAATCGCCCCGCCTTCTTTCAACACGCCCCACGATCGTTCGGTGGTGTTGGCGGCGCCGCCGACGAGGACATAATCCAGCACGAGATCCACACTCCCCATCCCCACAACATCCTCAAACTTCTCCCTCGTATAATCCACAAACCCATCCGCCCCAAGCCCCACCACAAACTCCCTATTCTTCCCCGACGCCGTCCCAACGACATGCAACCCCTTCGCCTTCGCGAGCTGCACGGCCAACGCGCCGACGACGCCGCTGGCGCCGTGGATGAGGACCTTCATCCCGGGCTCCAGGGGCCCCGCGGCGTGGAGAGACTGCCACGCGGAGAGCCCTGGGATCGGCAAGGTCGCTGCGTCGGCATCGCTCAGCCCGTCCGGGACTTTGGCGAGGATGTCCGACTCGATGGTCAGTGATTCTGCGAAGGCGCCTAGGGCGCGGGAGAGGGTCATGACGCGGTCGCCCTTTTTTAGGCGGGAGGGGCAGTTGGCGCCGAGAGAGGTGATTGTGCCGACGAAGTCTACGCCCAGGGTGTACGGGAAGGGGAGAGGCATGTGCTCGGCTACGTGGCCCAGGGCGATTTTCCAGTCGATGGGGTTGAGGGCTGCGTGGGAGGTGTGGATTAGGGCTTGGGTTGGGGTTGGGGTGGGAACGGGGAGGGTGTCGAGGTGGAGGGGTGGGGTGGAGGCGTAGGCGTGGAGGCGGTAGGCGAGCATGGTGGATGTTTTTGATTTGGGTGAGGGGGTTGGTGGGGATGGTGGGCTTGGTTGGATGCTTGGGAGGGAAGACTTGCGAGGGAAGATGGACACTATGTGGATGGGGTTATAAGTCAGGTGTTGTGAGTCTTTATATCTCAACTCTTGACATAGATGTCGTCGCTCTTCTGCCGATGGTCTTGATGCGATATGTCCGTCCCGAAGACCAAGCTGACAACGTCCAGCAGCAAGATCTTGACAAAGCATCGGCCCTGAGATCAAACATTACCAGGTACGTGCAAGATCTTTACTTGCCCTGAGGAAGCTAACAAGACAAGAGTCTACAGGAACCTACATCGTCAAGAGTTCATTTGTCATCGCACCAACCCCATCTCACCATGATTGGTTCGAGCTGAGTATAGCCCTCACGACGCTAATATTTGTGGCGTCTTACAACTTGCCTCTTTCGGAAAGGCTGGATAAGGCTGAGCATCCTCGTTGTAAGTGAGACCCTAACCTCAAGACGATGCGGTATAGTGTCCTGCTGATTCCAAAGACACCCACAAGCAATACGCTGGAGAATGTGGTTCGCGGCGAGTCGCGCCGTAAATACGATTCTGGCGGTGGAACTCGACCCCTTAGCATTGGTAAGCTGTACTCGCCGGAAAAAGTCCAAGGGACGGCATGGCACATAAACACCGGGAAGTAGTAACGCCAACTACATTGGACATGCCTGACGGTATTGCATGTATGGTCTGCACCGCATGGAATCGAGAGCCACAAAGCTGTCGAGCTCGATGAGGCTTTGGACCGACGACTGCCGCGGAGTACGTTCATCTTACATGCAAAGTATAAGTATTGGTATCGGGAGATTGCCTCATCTTGGGACGACTGGCTTCCTCAACAAACTTGGCAGCTCTGACTTGATCGTACAGACGGTCAAAACGATAATGTCGAGGTTGAAAAGGAGTTTGTCGCATCGGAAGGGCGAGAAATTAACCGGCCATCTTTCGAACTCACTCATATGATGCTACCACAGCCTGTATCCATACACCCCTAGGTACATTCCTGGGAAAATCAAACTCTCCGTGTAGACGTTCCCTGAATTTTGTACCGTAAGTATCCGGGTTTCCATGCCACTTCTTTATCTAAATATCTGAACTCCCCCTTTCTACAAGCAGACACGCTGCAAACATCTAAATTCCTCCTTTCCACAAGCAACATGCCCTAGCCATCTGAACTTCCCTCTACGCCGACACTACCCGACTCCTCCGAACTATTTCTTCAAACTTTCTGTCTGTTTAATTCCTTTTCCTTTCCGCAGCGAGCATCCGTGGAGGGCTGCAGAGGTCGAGCCACCGGCGAGGCCATCAAGCAGTGCCCTTTACCGGCGAGGCTGTCAAGAAACATCTCTCCAAGCTACGACAGCTACCGCCGGTGTGAAGTATGCGCTGTAGCGCTAGAGGTGAGTGAGATTGCTAGTATAATATATCGCTTTGTAGCGATTTGAAGCGCAAGATAAGTATACCTAGAGCGTGTGAGCAAACTTGCTTGCTCTGCTAGCAGCTACAGCAAGTAAAGGTGAATCGTTGGAGTAGCGCTCTTGTAGCGCTATAAATGTGTAATTAGGCTGCTTAACCAGAGACTGCACCAACATTATAACTTTTCTCATTCGCTTGCGCGCGTCCCGCCTTCGCGCCTTGGTCTTATAGAGTAGTCAATTACAACATTATAACACAGAACTAGTAAGTGTCCTGATCCGCCCCCCTCGCACCTACTCTACCAATCAAGAATGGATTAAGCAAGTGCTTTCTCGCAGAAGGCATTCTCGCCAGCGTGGCGAAACCTTATCGTGCTCTTGCAGCTAGCTCATGGCGGCATTGATTGATAGCCCTAGTCGAAAGTAGAATGCGTACGCTTTGATCACGTGCAAGATTTGGCTCTGGTGCCAGACCTGAGCTGCCCCGCGGTCTGTGAACTATATCAACGTGGAGCCATTCAGCTGACCCTTGAGGCATATCAGATATCCCACTGCCCTTCGTCGCCACCTCGCCGCGAAACGCGCCCCGACGAGCGACTCAGGTCTTCAGCACCAATCACTGGGACGAAACTCTCTCATCAGCATTATGCGTCTCTTGAACGTCCACACTCTTGAATTCCGCGAATTCCCTTCCGAGAGCAATCTGCAGTACGTGATTGCGTCCCATAGATGGGTCGAAGAAGAAGCCACATACAGAGAGGTCCAAGAGAATCGCAATACTTACAAAGCTGGGTTTCAGAAAGTAGAGGCCTTCGCGGATTATGTCAAGAACCACATTCCACGAGTCGAGTGGATATGGATTGACACCTGCTGCATAAACAAAGATAGCGCCGCGGAGTTGTCAGAGGCTATCAACTCGATGTTCAGATGGTATCTGAATGCCGTCGTATGCCTTGCGTATTTATCCGATGTTAAAGCAAGAGAGGACATCGACGGCTTCGCAGGCAGCGTGTGGTTCACGAGAGGATGGACCTTGCAAGAGTTGATAGCACCACAATGTGTAGTTTTCTTATCCCAAGACTGGCAAGTCATTGGTCATAAAGGAGCCTGCGCATTCCCGAACAGCCAGATACGCTTACGGACCGGTCGGTCGCTCGAAGATGTAGTTGCATCAAGAACGGGTGTACCCCAGGCTGTTCTGCAAGACTGTACACGACTTCCGGAGTTCAGTCATGAAGAAAGAATGAGGTGGGTCGAAGGTAGAGAGACGAGCCGCGAAGAAGATCTATCATACTGTTTACTTGGCATTCTGGACGCCAGCATGCCAGCCATATATGGCGAAGGCAAAGCCCGAGCCAACAGGCGCCTTCTTGCTGCAATATCTAGTGAGAATAAAGCCGATCTTGGGGCACTTCCGTTTGCTGCAGAAGCGTCTTACGACTCTTTTGCGGAACGCAGTTTCGCACAATGCCTCGAGGGCACCCGCATCCATCTACTCAATGAAATCTACCAATGGGCTGATAATGCGAATGGCAGGCGTATTTTCTGGTTGTGCGGTAAGGCGGGCACAGGAAAGTCGACTATTTCCCGCACAATCGCACGCAGATTCGATAAAGAACAAGGATGCCTTGGGGCGACTTTTTTCTTCAAACGAGGTGAAGCAGATCGAGGGAGCGCACGGCGCTTTTTCCCGACGTTGGCAAAGCAACTGGTCCAGAGGGTCCCAAGAATGGACTATGCGATTGCGGACGCCTTAAAGAACGACATCTGCACGAAAAATTTGAACGAACAGTTCGAGCACTTGCTTTTGAGGCCACTAGCCGGTTTGCATGGCATTGATCATCTGCGAAAGACTCTGATTCTTATTATCGATGCTATGGATGAATGCGAGCATAGCAGCGATATTAGCTTGATCTTGACACTCTTGGCTCGAGCAGCAGCAATTACCTCAATCCGTCTGTGTGTGTTTGTGACGAGCCGGCCAGAGCTTCCAGTTCAGCTTGGGTTTTGGAAGATAGATAGAGATTTGCATCAGGACGTAGTGCTCGAGGAGGCCCAAGAAACGACCATCGCTCACGACATCCGGGCTTATCTCCAACACCGGTTCGACGAGATCAAGGAGGAAGATTGGCTGTCGACAACGTGTGATCCGCTGCCTGCAGATTGGCCAGGAACTTCTAGCATCCAGGCACTTGTTGACTTGGCAGTACCTCTTTTCGTCTTCGCAGTTACGATGTGCCGCTTTATAGCCGAAGCGGACCCACAGGCGCGTCTTGCGGCTCTTTTGCGGCAAGAAAGTCTCTCTTCGTTTTCGGGGTTAGAGAAAACCTATCTCCCGATCCTGGAACAAATGATACGAGGCAAAGACAGTGAAGAAGAAGCGCAAGCGCTCGCGGGGTTCCGGGACATCGTTGGATCTATCGTACTGCTTGCGGAACCATTGTCCATTCACTCATTGAGCCGTCTTCTCCAGATCCCGCCGAGGAACATTGGTCAGAGGCTTAAACAGCTGAACTCTGTGCTCAGCATTCCAAGCAACCCCTTCACCCCGATTCGACTGTTTCACCTCTCATTTAGCGACTTTCTAGTCGATATACGCGAGGGCAAGACGAACAAGTTCAGAGTTGACAAGGTCCACAATCATCGAAAGCTTGCCGCAAAGTGTCTTCGCATGTTGAGCGAGCAAGGCGCACTGCATCAGGATCTCTGCAACGCCAGGAGCCCTAGGACACGCCGGACTGAATTCGGGAAGCAGGAAGTGGCGCATATTATTACAGCAGACGTGGCGTATGCGTGCTGCTATTGGGTGTGGCATTCGGTGGAGGGGCGAGAGATGTTGTGCAACGACAGTCAAGTACATGTATTCTTGAAGGTGCACTTTTTGCATTGGCTGGAAGCGCTCAGCTGGCTTGGCCGACTGTCGTGGGTAATTGCTTATATGCGCGAGCTACAGACTCATGTGGATGTAAGTTGCGAACATAATGTAGGCACGAATGGACAACACTTAACTTCACGATACATAGGTCGACCAAGGAGATCGTCTATTCGCGTTTCTCGACGACGCAATACGATTTGTACTTCGAAATCGACACATAATCGACCTCGCACCTTTGCAAACATATTGTTCAGCACTAGTATTCGCGCCGAAGCAAAGCGTAGTGCGACGACAGTTCCAACAGTATATCCCTAGGTGGCTGAGTCTGCTTCCCCGAGTACCCTCGGTATGGAGCCTAGAAACTCAGAGGCTTGAAGGACATAGTGAGGGAGTCACAGCAATAGCCTTCTCTTCGAACCTGAACACCATAGTATCAGCTTCAAACGACAAAACGGTTCGCCTATGGGATACTCTTACGGGTGAGGAGACGCAGAAGCTCGAAGGGCATAAGAGCTATGTTAATACAGTAGCCGTATCCGCGAATGGGCAGATAGTAGCATCAGGGTCACATGATAAAACCGTACGTCTCTGGGATACTCTTACGGGCAAGGAAACGCAGAGGCTCGCGGGGCACGATAGCTGGGTAACTGCAGTCGCCCTCTCTCCGGACAATCAAATAATAGCATCAGGATCATATGATGGGACAGTAAGGCTCTGGAATACTCGAACAGGCGAGCAGACTCAAAGGCTCGGCCATGATGACTGCGTTACAGCAGTAGCATTTTGTCCAGAAGGAAAGGTAGTAGCATCGGGCTCATTTGACAAGACAGTTCGTCTGTGGAATACGTTAACAGGCCTGGAGAGGCAGAAATTCGAAGGGCATAATGGCGACATTAATGCAGTAGCCTTCTCACCATGCGGGCAGCTAGTGGCATCAGGATCAGACGACGAGACGATACGGCTATGGAATACTCTAACAGGCAAGATGCAGAATCTCGAGGGACACGAAAGTAAAGTGAAAACAGTAGTCTTCTCTCCAGACGGGACGATGATAGCATCAGGGTCAAACGACAAGACGGTACGGCTATGGAATATTGTGACAGGCGAGACACAGACGCTCGAGGGACACGATAGTACAGTTACTGCAGTGACCTTCTCTTCAGGCGGGCATATGGTAGTATCTGGGTCACATGACAAGACAATTCGGCTATGGAACGCTCGAAAAGGCAAGGAAACGCAAGAGCTGAAGGTGACGCAAAGGCTCGGAGGCCACGACGACTCTGTTACAGCGATAGCCTTGTCCCCCGATGGCCTTATAGCAGTATCAGGTTCAGTTGACAAGACAGTACGGGTATGGAACACCCGTACAGGCAAGGAGCTACAGAAGCTCGAAGGCCATAGTAACTCTATTACATCAGTAACGTTCTCTCGGGACGGCCAAACTGTAGCATCGGGATCAGGTGACGGAACAGTACGACTATGGAGCGACTTCACTAGTACGAGCCAGAACATACAGAAGCTCGAAGGCCACGATGACATCGTTACAGCGGTGGCCTTTTCTCCGGACGGGCAAATGGTAGCATCAGGATCATTTGATCACACAGTGCGGGTATGGAATGCTCGTACAGGCCAAGAGATCCGCCAATTCCAACACGATGGACGTGTAGACCAGCTAGCCTTCGACGAACACGCAGCATGTTTGCGGACCAACATGTGCACCTTCGATACTCCTCCCTACATCGCTTATCCACGAACGATACGCACACTTCCCACTAGCTGTGTAGCCTTCCAGGACCCCTGGATACAGTGTAAAGCCGAAGAAGTTCTTTGGCTGCCACACGAGTATCGTGGAGTCAATTCGGCAGTGTACGGCAACCTGCTTGTTATAGGTCAAGCATCTGGGACTGTGTCCTTCTTTCGCATTGATGGTAATGTTTCGAGAGTTTCAATGTCGGAAAGCGCAGCGAAAACAGAGTTGAACGGTGACTGCAGTCAAGATCGTGGCTAAAAGATTCTTTTGAATCCACCACGGCTTCTCATTCTGGCGTGATTTGGAAGGCTCTTATGGACAAGCGTGCGTTGCAATCCAGGCGCTCACATCGCGCTCGCAGTCGACAGTGTAGGAGACAAGGGAGCGACATTGTTGTCAGCAAAGTCAGATATTGTAGTGCTTGAACAACGCTACACCAAAGGCAATCATCACGTTAGCTCTAACAGTCCTTGTCGAGATATCCCGTTCAGTAGAGTGTAGCATGCATTGTGTTCTTCAACAAAAATGACACAATAATAATATAAAAAAAAACGGCAGGACCACAAAACTTGCAGCACCTATCAGATGAGAATAGGAGTTGACCGTTTGGTTGTGTAAGTAGCCAGGCTAGCAATCGTCATACATACCGAGCCAGACATTGGCCTATAGGTACGGCAAATTCTCCAGATGTCGTTTCGGCAACATCAACAAGACCATCAAGCCTCACCCAAAATCTACGCTCGTACAACCACCCCCTACGCTCGTACAACCCTGGATCCCCACATTCGTACAACACCCAACTTCATCACCTATCGCCATCATAGCCTCGCTCATCACCCCTCGGACAATTCCCCAGCCCTATCTCCAGGAATTTTGCCCAAACGGAGGAAACGAAAATCGTAATATCCGCCGCACGACACACGCCTCACGGGAGGGAAGGGATCGATCACTTTTCACGTTCCGTCCACGTGTACATGACCAAGTCTTTGAAGCAAGCAAGCACACTCCAGTTCTAGCTCCCGAAAAGCCAATAGGTAGCTCGTGTAGGACTTGGGGATGGGATTAGGGTTTGCTGAGAGGGCCTGGCCGAGTGGATACGAAAAGAGGTTAGGGAGCGTACCTTTTTGCTCTACGTAGTGATTCTGAATCTTGATGGAGATAGAGGAGGATCTCTTGGCCGAAGGACGAACGAGGGAGGATCTAGATGATTCATTGTTACAGTACCTGTCTCGTGCGAGGCGACTAGTTTGAGTTGAGGTGGATCGTGCATGCAAGCTAGGTCCACCCTTGGTTATTAGATCTATATACCTTCAAGATTGACGACCTAACCTCTTCACCTCTCCCTCTTCCACCCCAACTACTGCGACTCTGCAACCAGTTCTCCTCCCTCCCTCCTTCTCAGCCGGCTAGAGAACCAACCAACTATAGCCATGACTCCCCCAAAACTCACCCCCACAACCACCTCCCACACCGACACTTACCCCTTCATCTCGCCCCTCTCCCTCAAGGAACCCCCCAACCTCTCCGTCCTCATAACCGGCGCCTCCAAAGGCATCGGCCTCGCAACAGCAATCTCCTTCGCCCAAGCCGGCTTCCCGCGAATCGCCATATTCGCACGAAGCGATCTCTCCTCCGCAGAAACCAAAATCAAAACCGCCGCGCAGGCCGCCGGACGGACGGAGCCCCAGGTCGTGAAATTGCAGGGAAGTATCGCAGACAAGAAGGACGTGGCGAAGGCTTTCTCAACCCTCTCCACAGCCTTCGACGGGAAGCTCGACATCCTCATCAACAACGCCTCGCGGCTGGAGACGTGGAAACCACTACACGAGATCGATGCGGAGGACTGGTGGGCGACGTGGGAGCTGAATCTCAAGGGAACGTTTTTGGTGACGCAGGCGGCGATTCCGTTGCTTTTGAACTCCGTCCAGAAGACGGTTGTGACGGTTACGAGTGCCGGGGCGTTTGTGACTATGCCGGGGGCGAGCGCGTATCAGGGGAGTAAGACGGCGCAGGTTCGGTTGACGGAGTTTTTGGGGGTGGAGTATGGGGAGCAGGTAAGTCCTCATCCTCGTTTCTTTCTGGGTTACAATGAGTTAGAACCTAACGGTTTTTTTGAAGGGTCTTTTGGCATACACGATCCACCCCTGCGGCGCGAAAACGGAGACGGCGCTGAACATGCCCGAGAATATGCATTTCATGCTCACGGAGACGCCGGAGCTGGCGGCGGATACGTTGGTGTGGTTGACGCGGGAGAGGAGGGAGTGGTTGCAGGGGAGGTTTGTGTTTGGGCCCGGGGATATGGAGGAGTTGGAGGGGATGAAGGAGGAGATTGTGCAGCGGGATTTGATGAAGTTGAAGTTGGATGTTTGAAGAAGATTAGTAGGTGGTTGATGCAAGCGCTGGATAGAAAGTGTATCTCGTCAGAAGCTGAATGTCCCGTTTCCGTGCTCGCTTGTCGTGAAACTCTCTACGCCGGTCGTTAGGATGTTATCTGCGATTTGCGTGATGGTGAGGTCAAGATCTTGGGAATAGCAGTCTGGTTCGGGCTGCCGCTGTGGCGGTTGGATGCTGCTCATGGTTTGGCCAAAGCTGAGGTCTTCGAGTGTCTTTGACAAGTGTCCCGTCTCTTTTGGTTGCGGTGCGGCTGTTGGTAAGTCGAGGGTTGAGAAGCCGAAGCAGAGCGAAGAGGGCGCGCCGCCGGTGCTGCGTCTGGTGGCGGATTTCATAGAGCCTAGTGACTGTTGCACTGGCTGAGGTGCGTCTAGTCTGGGTGTGGGTAGTGAGTTGATGTCTTTCGCTGGAGTCTTTCCAGGCGACTCGTAAGTAGGCATCGAATAGCGCAGACTGCTTCTCCTTCTGTCTGCAGCATTGAGTGACTGGCCTGGGTCGGAGCTGATCACGGCGCCTTTGCCCATGGTAGGCGACTGCACCAGGCTCGACCGCTTGCCTCCAGACCTGGGCTTCTTGATCGTTGACCATCCTTCCCAGCCATCCAGGAGAGCTTGCGTGCTTGGCATAGGTATAGGTTCTTGTGACAGTTGCTTCAGTGGCCTTCGCCCTGACTTGGTGTCGCCGTCAGGTCCCATGGCAGTTCCAGGTGTGCCTTTCTCTCCCAGGTACAAAGTGGTATCAGTCTTGTCTGGTGAACTGAACAGGTTCTTGTATGCCTGTGCTAGTTGATCTTGGGTACCAGGCCAAGCTGGTTGGTACTCGAAATTCTGGACTGGCATTGGCTCAGGTGAAGCAACATACTCTCGAAGAGTAGTCGAATCTTCGGCGGAAGTTGCCTCTTGGTGCTCATGCTCAGCCGCAGGTTCTCCTTGCGACGATGAGGGATCATCCGCGCATCTTGAAATCTCTGCCCCTGATGCTCGAAGCTCTTCACGAAGAGCTCTTCTAGCAGCGGATGAGCGTGGACCAGAAGTCGCATCTTTGGGGAGGATCTTGTTGAGATGTTCGTCGGCAAGAGGAGTATGTGGCGCGAGCACATTGAGACGGGGGCTGTCTGAAGATGGAAAGACCATCTTTCTTCGAGGAGTCTTGCTTGGCTGATGTGGAGGCGGTTTGACAGACTCAACTTCGGGTGTATTGCCGTTCGAGTTTGTGGTGCGCTTGCGATACACAAATGGCGAAGCACCGCCGACAGCGATCGAGTTGTACTGTGCTCCATCTCGTAAGGCGTCTACTCTCGGGTTGGTAGGCAATGTTGCGTCCACTTCCACTTGACGCTGAGATTCTGACGGTGCTGATCGTCGCCTCGTAGACTGTTCGGCATCCTTTACTGACTGTGTGTTCCCTGTCGACTTTGTTGATCTTCCTTTTGAAGCTTTGCGAACGATTTGCGCTGGTTCTTCAACAAGGTCTGCTGCATGGCCAGTCGAGTATCCGTCCCCTTGGTCAGATTCACCACGAGCCATTGAAGATTCGTTGACAGCAACCCAAGACTTTCGCGGAGCCACATGAAGACCTTGGCGGTGAAGCAGCTCCGTCTGGCTATTGTCTTCTGCAGTTGGCCCAGGTTGCTTGCATGACATGCTCTCGTCCTGGGTCAGGGATACTGCTCGCGAAGGATGTGACGTCTCTGGAATCAATGCGGCAGATGGAATGCTTGCACTAGTACCCTGTGTCACAGTTTCTTGTAACGTACAAGAATCGTGGAGATCCGAAGAGGTGGATCTATTCGAAGCAGAGGCTGTTCTGGTCAGTGGGCGAGTGCGAGTGCGAGATCGTTGTGAGGGCGCGAAGATCGAGGTGGCACCCAGCTCATCTTTACTGCAGTCTTCATCCACACTCTTCTTAGGCAGTTGGAAAGCACCGCTTTGGAGCCACTTGGAACTCGTCCATCCTGGTGTAGGTGTAGGACCGCAGTCTGAAGCAGAGTCCACAATTGATGACTCAGTAGGCAGGTCTTGGGTCTCTGGGACGACTGGTCGCAGGCAGGACTGTATCTGGGACTCGTGGGCGACGTCGACACCCGATGGTCGAAATCGGCGGTTGCGAAGCTCTGCAGCTTTCCGAAGCGCTTCCTCACTGGGTCCTGCTATCACCTTGCCAGATCTCAGACGCCTCTTCGGACCACAGCTGGCTTGGGCCTCGATTATCGCTATCTCGCCAGAGACAGGGACATCATTCTCGACCGCAGTCGTGCCATCTCCATTACCACTTCTCCTCGCAGATGCCAGCGCCTTCAAAACCTCTCGATCGTCGTCTACATCCTCCCAGACAGCATCGGATTTCTCCTGCACATGGATCTCTTCCACAGCTGCTTTTGCATCTCTGGGCCTTGCAAGGGAAAGAGTCAAGGCGGCCTTCAAGCGCTGTGGGTCCAGCCTGGCCGAGTGGATGTGGAGCTGGCTGCCATTCAGAAAGTCGTCGGCCAGCTTCTCAATCCGCTGTCGTTTGGCTCTTCTTTCAGTCACGTCCCAGCCATTGCGTGGATCAGCTCCCAATATCTGGTCCTGCGGTGGCTCGCACTCGTTCAGGTCGATGTGGCGAAACAGCTTGGTCTGCTGGAAGACGGAGGCGCAATTCCAGGCGTGGCCCCTCGGCCGATGCGTCCTGATCATCCTGCTGGAAGGAAGCGAGCGACGAATCTCCACTGCACATGACCTCGTCCACCTCTTATACTGCCGACTGTCGAATGTCTCTCATTCTTGATGTCGTCGTCGTTTGCTAGACGAAGGCAACCAAGGTGGAGTGGTCGGAGTTGGCTGGTTGCCCTGACAACACCCGCCCACACTCAAAGTTTGGCTTGGGCGATCTGCTGCCGAGATGCATCCACGCCCAAGCTTCACCCACCACCGCCGCCGCCGTATATCGCTGACTTCATTCATACACACTACCAGCGATTGGAAAGGCTGACTGTTGGTGCACCAGATTGGAAATCTTCCAAGTGTGAAAGAGGCGGAAAACGCAGCCCACGCCACCTCGACAGCACCCCAAACAACGCGACATCGACATCAACACCAGCATTCACGGGCCATTGAAAGGCGACAATGTCGCAAAACGTCGCGCCCTGGCTTGCAGGCCTGGACGACGATGTGGATTGGGAAGACACACCAACACAAACCGTCAACAGCATATCATCGGCGAGCCACGATGCGAGCTCCCTTCGCCAGAGCAGCACGCGCAATCCGCACCGAAGCCCGAGTGGCTTGCCTGCCTCGCTACGCACATCCTCCACGGCATCTACCCAGAAGCGACGAAGCCCCCTCGCGACTCTCAGCAACAGTAACAACAACTCGTTACGCCGACCAGAAGGCTCCGCCAAGCTCGCGCAATCGCGCTCCTTCTCCGGAGCCGGCTCTGATGATTCAGTGATTGAACATGGCACAGTACAGCAACGTTCAAAGAGCGCATCGCCAGCGAAGACGCAAGGAACAATGGAGTGGAAGAAGAGATTGTTGCGTGGAGAAGTGGGCTATGGAGACCACACCGATCTGTTTGGTCCATCCGGCCTAGAGAACATTTTCCAGCAGTCGCGCCCTACAGAGAACACACCGAGGAAGACCAGGAGCAGCATGAGCTGGTTGGATAAGTCTTCTGTAATGCCCTCGAGTCCACCACCTTGGCCTACCAAAGGCGGCCGCACAGAGCCAATTTCAGAAGAGGAAGATGAAGGTGATGAGCAAGAGTCGTTCGGGCAGGATCGACTTACGACCGTCGATGAGGAGCGAGAGAGTAGGGAGACTGGCCAGATTCTTGACGACAGCTTTCGCAGCAATCCGTTCGATCTTGGTCATTCCGAAGAGCTGCAGATCGAAGACAGCGAAGATGAAGGAGAACAACACATTGGCGAGGATCAACAATCCAGCCCGGACAGACCACTCGTGGAGCAGACCCAGGATAACATCGTGGGCAATCGCACTGTGAGCGGTCAGACCGATCTTGACGATTTCAGCCCAGTCTTCATCTCCAAGCACACTACCATGAATGGACGAGTCGAATACAAAGCTCTCGACTCTCGTATTGTCAAGCAATTTCGACGGAGGACAGTTGACTTGCGGCATCCCAGTCAAGAAGATCAGAGCTCAAATACTGCTTCAGACTACGAAGAACCTAGCGCTGTCGAAGCATCTACCTTCACCGACGGCCCAGAAAGCGGAGCACTACCAGCAGTGCCCGACCTCTCACTTTCAGAAAATCTGCCCACGGGAACTCCTCCTGTCAGTAGTCTGGGAAAGCATGTTCAGCTCAAGCGAGGGGGGTATTCGGCAGAAGGATCTTTTAAGGAAAAGCCTTTGAGCTCTTCCCAATCGCACGCAGATCTGTCGCCAGTCAGAGAGTCCAGTGGTTTTCTCTCACCGTCAGTTGCAGCAGATCGCAACTATCCTCCTGCTCCATCGCCCCCGGATGGTCCCGCTACCCCTGGCAACAAAGAGCGCTCTGAGCCTAGATCAAGATCATCTGGGAGCCCGTTGAAGCTCTTTGGGCCACATGATACTTTCACGAGCAACCGACTACTTCGGCGGATGAGCCAGCTCGATCCCGACCTTTCTCAGATCCGATCTGAAGATGTCAGTGACGCAGCTGCACACTCACCCTTCGAGGTGGAAGACAACGATACTGGTCGCAAGGTGTCAAATAATTCATTTGGCAGCGGACAATTGAATGGCCACACTTTCAATGCGGAGATCACAATCACAAGCGCGTCAGACTCGAACAGGACTGATAGCGATCGCTCTCCAGGCTCTGAAGTTCCACCTCCCGGAAGCAAAACACCTCTTGGATTCCGCCTTGAAGACTTGCCACTGGCCAGTGACACGTTCAAGCTTAAGCGCAAACTGTCGAAGCGTAGCGACATCGCCTCCAAGAACAATTCGCTAGAGTCTGCGCCCAGACATCTTCAGCCTACCGTGGAAGACGCTTCAGAAGTCAAGGCAGTCGAGATAGAGGACAGGGCCTTGAACAGCCTACACGGAGCCGGCAAGAGACCACCAAACTCTCCATTCAAGGCACCTACTCCCAAGCGCAGACGAACCTTGCACGCTGATGATATGCAGCCCAGTTCCTCTGAGCTTGCACGCTCTTATCACAGCCAGCTGCAAGATGCCCTCAGCAGTCGCAAGCGCCGAGAGTCTCGTCAGGACCATCTTCACGATATTGCGGACCCAGAGATCCTCTCCCAACGCAAGATTCTTCGTCCTCGAAATCCCACGCCCAGCCAGCAGCGACGTGAGGAACTCGAAGCCCAGATAAGGGAGACTGCCGAGCAGTTCGCGACCCAAGAGCGAGAGACTATGGAAGCTGTGCTTGAGCAGCTAGAATCATCCATGGCCTCTGACACCCCTCCATCAGTCCAGCAGCAAGCGAATGTGGTGGCCAGTGAGGTTGCCAAGTTTAGTCTGCGCATTCAAAAAGCTTCTGGAGAGCATACGGAGCGGAAACGATCGGTCACGACCCAGGATTTCTTCAACGAAGCAGTCATGGTCATGCGTTTGATACGTGAGAAGGCTGGCCGACAAAGTGGCTTGGGCAGTGTTGCTGAATCCGAGCAAGAGGCCGTCAGTGAAGTGCTGGAAGGAGACCAGTCTGGACAAGATTTGTCTTCTTTGAGAGTGTCGAGACCGCCATCACGAGAGGGTGGCAGCAAATGGCGACCTCGTACGTCAGAGCAGACAGATGCGAGAGTCATCAGTCACCTGCGTAAGTTCCAGGAGAAGGATGATACCGAGTTCATTGCGCAGTCCATTGCGTCTTTGCATGTGGACGATGAAGATGAGCAAATGGTTGTGGTGGATGAACACTCCAACATTCGTATCAAGGGACCCCTGCCGACTTTCCACCAGACTGAGGATGATCCTAGCAGGCCGTCAACCCAGCACTCACAACAAAGCTCGCTTGCGTCCCAGTCAACACAAGACTCGGGGGCATCCTCCACTGGTCGGACTTTGATCTCTCGAAAATCTGACAATGTTGGCTGTCTTGGTCCAGATGCTGTTGCTCATCTCATTGGGGAGCAAGTTGGTGCCATGACATACGACAAGGACAAACAGCAATGGGCGAAAGCCAAAAGCCCCAAGAAACCGAACTACGGCAGCTTTCTTGAGCCACCAAGCAACATCACCAGCGACGACGATCCGTTCCGCGAAATCTCAGACTTGCCTGTGGACGAGCGGAAAGAGGAGGAGATCAGGAAAGCTAGCAGCACTGGACGTCGGCTGAGCGTGCAGCCCACGGCCGAAGAAGAAGAGGTTCCAGTTGAGGATCAAGAGTCAATTGAGGAACTTCAAGAATCTCGCATACCATCGCAGGAGACGGTCCTAGCTCGTCCCACTACACGCGACAGCAACAAGTCAAGACATACTTACACAAGCTCAGATCCGTCACGCTGGACGGGCTTTGCCTCGAGTCAACAACAGACGGTAGAGACTCGTGCCACTTCTTGGGGCGACGAGGAACTCCAGCGACTTGCTACTCAAGAGAATGCCCGCAAACAGCCTTTGGCATATGCAGCGGCGCAGGCTGCTCTGGCTCTGGCCGAGAGCAATCAAGGGACAGCAGCCGCACAGCACCAGACGGAGGAGATGATTACGAGCTGCCCGACCGCACCAAGCCATACTCTCGCGCCTGACAGGATTGAAGATGTCACCGAGGGAGATCTCATCGAGGAGAGCTTGCCAGAAGAGTCCGAGGTCCTTGCTGAGCTTCAGGATGATACTGTGGCTGGCCTGGATCAGTCCGGTGTCGAGCTTCTACAATCTCCCAAGCTACGCCAGTCCCCGACAAAGACTCAGTTTGCGCCCAGCTCTGCATATCGAGGAGCTGCCCGGCAGATGTCTCTCAGACGAAAGACGCTGACCAGTCGGTTCAATGACCCTGATGCGATGGAGCAGAGTGAAGTCTCTTTCGTGGCTGCGCTTCCTGGAGAGCGAATGATGAGCGTGTCCTTGAGCGTTTCACGCCCTGTCAGCAAACGCCGTCCCCAAGGTCATGTTGCAGAAGCTCCCTCCTCGCCAACTAAGTATGACCCGAGCTTTATGTGGAGCGACTTGCCAGAGTTTACAGTCCATGAACAGGACGGTGAGCGGCCATCCGAGCGTGCTCTGGTTGAGCGGTTGGCGCAGCATGCTGCCGCAGAGACGACCGATCGCTACGCCTTATCGATCAAGGACATGGTCAAGACGCTGACCGATGTGAAAGAAGACGAGCCTCGCTGGGATCAATTGAAGCAGCTGGATCTTCACGACCGGGCACTTTCGTCTTTGTATGGACTCGATGAATTCTGCGACCGCATCCAGGATATGGATGCCTCCCACAACAGCCTACTATATCTGAATGGCGCTCCCGCTTCGCTGCGTCAGCTGGTTGCCCGTTCGAACCAGCTCAGCAGCCTTACATCGTGGTCGCATCTGATGAATCTGCAGTACTTGGATATCTCTGGAAATCGACTCGATGACCTCGATGGACTTGGCTGCCTCTTCCATTTGCGAGAGCTGCGAGCAGACGACAACCAGATTGCCAGCGTCGACGGCATCATGCAGCTGGACGGACTGCTGAAGCTGCGACTAAGGAGGAACAAGGTGCAGATTGCCGAGTTCGAGAACAGCCAGCTGCATCGACTGGAAAACCTTGATCTGTGTGGGAACAGCATCACAAGTCTACGAGGCATAGAGTCTCTGCCCGCCCTTGAAAGCCTCAACTTGGACAGCAACTCTTTGGCAGCATTCCCAAACATTGAGAAGGACATGCCGCGTTTGAAGCAGCTGTCACTGAACCACTGCAGGCTTCAGCGTCTCAGTGTGTCTCAGATGCCGTGTCTGCAGTCACTGTTACTCGATGGCAACAGTCTTACTACGATCGAGGGTATTGGAAAGCTAAAGTACCTCGACGTGCTCTCTATGAGGAAGCAATCCGTCGTCGAAGGCCTGGACATCATGATCCTGGAGCAAGATCTCCATGCACGCACAGTGCGACTCTCTGGCAACGACATCCCCTCGCTGCGTCTGTCTAAGAGCCTTCTCAGCGTAAAACACCTTGAAATTGCATCTGCTGGTCTCCAGGAGTTGCCGGGCGATTTCGGCTTGATGCTGCCGAATGTAACAACGCTGAACCTCAACTTCAATTCTCTGAAGGACGTTCGACCGCTGCTGAACATCCAGAAACTGCAACATCTGAGTGTTTGCGGCAACAGACTGGCACGACTGCGAAAGACCCTTGCAACACTCTCGAAGCTTTGCACTCTGAAGAGTGTCGACTTGAGAGACAACCCCGTAACCCAAGGCTTCTACGCCCCACACACATGCATCGAGCCACAGACCAGCGTCGTCCGAAGAAGCCGTCCAGAGACCGAAGACGAAGACGAAGACATCGCCGCCGAGAAACTCGAAGCTGCTCGCTACACCCTCCCACCCGGCGACGCCACCCAAGACGGCATCCACCACGCCCGCCTGGACGAAGACACCAAACTACGCCGCCGAGTCTACCACCTCCTCCTCGGCAACGTCTGCAAATCCCTCGAGCGCGTCGATGGGCTCGCGTTCGATAAGACGGGCGCTATGGCGAGGGATAAGACGTGGGATCGCCTGGTTGAGTTGGGGGTTGTGAGAAGGACGGGGGGGATGAGGTTGAAGGGTGAGGGGGAGGGTTCCTGAGCTGCGGTGTGGTTTGATGATGAGAAGGTGTTGAATTGGGCATGGGCGTTGTTTGTATGAGTACGTTGTAGATTTTTGGGCTTTGGGCTTTCGAGCGTGGCGCTTTTTGGGAGGGGATTAGAGGGCATGGGACAGGGGTATGAGTTATGAGTGTATGATATTTGGAACATGAATCAACAACAAGGAGAAAGAATTCAACCCGTTTGGCCAGTATGACTGCATTGATCTCTCTTTGCCTCACACACATACAATCTCCCTCTGTGTGTGTCTCTCTCACACGCTTTCTCTCCTCCACACACACACTCTCTCGACCAAACGTCAATTCTCTCCCAGACCCAGCGCTCCGGAACTCCATCAGAAGAAACCACATGTCGCACTCAACACCACTCCACGGCAGCAGCTCCCATCGGCATCGACCACGTAGGTGTAACGGATCAGACGTCTGTGCTCATCTGGAAGAGCCGCCCTAAACTTGCGTCCGAGCGAACTGGTGAGATCGATGCTCTGATAGACGAATTTGGTCGTGCTGTAGTATGCCGCGGAGAAGGCTTCGCGGGTGGTGTGGGAGATTTGGAGTTGAGGCGGTGGTTTGTAGGCGGCGGTTATGGAGACTTTGGTGTTTGGGGGGTGGATGAAGACGAGGTCGTGGATGGTGTCGAAGAGCTCGGCGGGGAGGGCGTGGATGTGGGTGTTGAGGTTGGTGGTGAGGTCGTCGGTGTTGGTGGGGCTTGTGACGAGGTTGTTTGGGCTGGTGGCGACGAGGTTGTTTGTATCGGTGGTGACGAGGTCGTCTGTGTTGATGAGGTCTTTCGGGTTGCGGTCGTCCATCTTGGCGATGATGGTGGGTTTGCCGTGGTGATGCGTGTTGAGCGTTTGCGAAGAAGACGAAGTTGAAGTTGTTCAAGCGGAAGTTATTAATGCGGTAGTTGCGTCTTCGCGTCTTCTCACATGCTTTTAAAAGCTAAGCTCAACCATCACCACCTGTCTCCTGCTCCTGCTCCTCCTCACCCTCTCATTTCTCCTCCTCCTCCTCACCCGCCCGCACACTCGCCCCCTCCCTCAACATCCTCTCCTCCCCCTTCCCTCCCTCCGCAAACGCAATCCACCAAAACCCCAAGTCGAATTCAGCATCGAAATCAGACCACGCGCCAACGGCCTGGATACTATTGACCAACAACCGGTGACTTCTCGGCATCGATTGAAGAATCCGCACCATGAAGTTCGAGTTGTTGTGTGGGTATCTGAAGGTGATGGTTGGGTAGTAGCGGGCGGCGAAGAGGGCGCGGGTGGCGCGCGAGAGGTGGAGTTGGGCGGGGAGGGTGTAGGTTGTGATTGAGGTGGTTGTTTCGTTGGGGTTTAGGACGAAGTCGAGCACCATTTCGAAGAGCTCGGGTGGGAGGTCTTGAATGCTGATTGTGAGATCGTCGCGGTTGGTGTTGTCGCGGATGTTGGTGGTGTCGCGCATGTTGCTGGTGGTATTCTTTATGGCGGCTTCGTCGCTGGGAATATGGAAAGTCAATCTGGCGGTTGTGTTCATTCTTGCGCAAGAGACGAGTGGTTGAGGGTTGTGTCAATCAGATGGAGAGAGACAGCGAAGTTTCAGCGAAATTTTAGCGCGACTCGGCGTCTGTCACATGCTTTTGCCAAGAACGGAGGTGAGCGAACGGAAGACGACGTCACACCCTTCACCGCCGTGTAATGTCGTTTTCAGCCTATAGTCCGAATCGATGGCCCGTGCGAATGAACGATGTTGTGAGTGCGTGGTGTATTGTTGTGCAAGATGTTTTCTACGAGGGCTGCAGATATCAAGGTCTGGAACCATTCTGTTCGAATCTTTCGCCGCCCGATGTTGGCTGGCCTTGTGCGTGTTGGTTTTCACGATGGATATACATGAATTCGGCCAAGATAACCAGCATGTCGCATGCGTAGCGTTGCAGCTGTTATAAGTATCTCACTCGTAATCAGGAAAGGAGTGGGAACATGAGCTATAAGACTTGGACGTCACAGAAAGAAATGAGCCGTTGACAACGATCTAGTATGATACTTAACAAACAAAGAGGCCCTGTTACACGCTAACTTCTCTTGCAAACCACGTCTGGTAACGAAACTGCAGAATTGCCTTCCCTGGTCCTGTAAACCTGCCTCAAGACTGAATGACTCCCTTGTGTCATAGACACTGCTCTTTCCCTTGTATCAGAACCCATGCTGAAGTGAAGTTGATAGCCATTGCGTGTGTTTTGCGAAGTGCCTGATCTGAAAACGCAGACAAAGGGCAGAGATCCCACACCCCTCCCGCAAGACCCGTCGCCCTTGGGCCTTGCCTTCCCAAGTCGATGATAGAAATCTGACGCCTTAGTTTTGATTCTCTAAGCTTGACAAAGGACTCCTACCAAGTGCACTGTACCACTTTAGCCTAGCTCCTAGGACTGCTTCGTCTCGTTGTAGCACAAGCACTCGAGTCCTGCCCATAATTGCGCCCTGAAGCCCCTATACCAGTTCGCCTTGATGCAAGACGTCCTTCTGGCGCACGACGTCGCAGCCGAGCATGCGTGCCCTTGTACACCACACGAGTAGCGGAACGTGTGTTGTATTCGAATCATAGCCCTGTGCTTCCATGGGAGACTCATGATAAACTTTACGAACAGAGGATAGCCGTCGTTCTCGTCGTATGCGAAGATCGAGGAGCTGTAGTAGTTTCCAGCGAGAGAGGCGCGGGTGGCGCTGGAGATTTGCAGTTGGACGGGGGGTTTGTAGTCCGCGTCGATGTGGACTTCTCTGCGTGTCGGTCTCGGCATGGTGAAGACGAAGTTGTAGATGATCTCGAAGAGCTCAGGAGGCAGGCCGTGGATGCGAGCTGTGAGGGTGTCGTCGCCAGCGCCGCCATCCATCACAGCGACGCCGTCCGTGTCGGTGCTCTTGTTTGAGTTGATGAGTTTGTTGATTTTGGAAAGGCCGCCCATGTTGAGGAGGTCGTGGGTGTTGTTGTCGGCGTCCATTTTAGTGGCGTTGTCTCTGTTGATGAGGTCGCCCATATTGGAAATGGCAATCCGTTTGGTGTGGACGGTAGCTGATGTTCGGCGGAAAGAGATTTCGGAGGGTTGAATCGATGTTTGACGCGCGTCTGGTCGTCTGTCACATGCTTCGCCAAGAATGAAAGTGAATATTAAGCGGGCCATGCGAGACCCCTGCGCGGGCCAACCACGAGGTTAATCTCGCAGACTTAAAGTGTCCTCAAACTTTTCGCATCACTGTTCGAAAGACTAGGCCGACCGAAAGCCGGGCGCACCACATACAACATCCTACTCTCCGCCTTCTGCACACCGTTCTGCCACTCTTTGGAGCATCACCTACATCCTGCATCCTCGACCGATCCACACACAATGAGGCGTCCTCTTGCGCAAGTAGCAAAGATGGACGACCCTCTGGCCATTCGTGTGCAGAAATTGGCCCCCGAACTCTTCGACGAGATCTTCGACCTCGTCTTCACGCTCGACGATGACCCATCTGTGATTCTCACCCACGACTACAAGCCACCTCCACAACTTCAAGTCGACCGCGCCTCCCGGGCCACTTTCGCCGCCACTTACTACCCCAACACCGCCTTCTGTCTCGCATCTGTCGCAAAAAAAAGCCTGCTCTCGAGGCTCTCGGTAGCTTCATCAAGTCCTTGCCCGAGCCCACCGTCGCATGATCCGGAAGATGCACACCATTGGCAACCGGCGTCCGCACGACGCAGATTTCTTCCAGGTGTACGAATACCGTCGCGCTTTCGTCAACTTTCACTGCAGGGAAGTCAACAAGTTCATGAGAGACGGGCTTTCCAAGGTCGGGAGGCACGTTGCTCATGCAGAGGCGAAGCTTCATGTCACGTTTTTGGTGACGCAGGGAGACGGATTGGTGAAGAAGTATCTCGAGTCGATTGCATTGCGCCGCGGGACGAATTAAGATGAGGAGCATCGGGTGAGTGTCTTTGAACGAAATCTGCTTCGACAATGCTAACAAAGACAGCATGATGAGTTCCCGGCGGTCGACGCATCGGGTCGGCACAAAGAGCAACATTGAAGAGCAATGACGATGACACAGAGCTGCGAGCAAGTTCGGATGCATTGCAGAACACATTTCCCAAGCATAAGAGGTCTAGCCTTTTCCCATATCTCATAGATCAGATGCCGATGGACTCTTGACGAGGCGGTACGTCGACTGCAGGAAAAATGTCGAACAGCGCGATAGTCTTGACGGCGAGATGTGCGGAAAGTCAACATGAAACTTCCGAAGAGGCATGAGCTTTGGTTTTCAGGAGGTATTAAGGCTGGCATAACCTACATACCGATTCGAATAGCCGGCAATTGGCATGTTTAGTGAAACCCTGTTTCTCTTCGTCAATGTTGTTCAGTCATGCTTGCCTTCGAATGTCGAAGGTACGCGTCTCTAATGTCGAGTCTGGTATGCCAAGAAAGTCGTAGATCATGATTTGATGTTGTTGAGATCGCTGCCAGTATGGATATTAAAAGTCCGTTTTGTCTTTACATGTTATTCTGTGAGCTATCGCCATTTCCTTTGTTCGACTTTTTCGGAGGCCACCTTTGTTCGAAGACTTTCAAGAAGGTGCAGAGTATCTTCACCTCTTCCAAGACTCCAGGGCGTTGCTCCGACGCCTCAAGACATCGGATCGACGTGCGAAGATTGTAGATACAAGTAGGCGGGAGAGCGCCTGTGACCGAAAGGTCTTCATCGATGACCACATGCGACCGGGAGATATCGATCATGATCCGTGTTACGGTGTCCAGAGCAGCCCTTGAGGCTCGTAACTGGCTCTCGGAGACATGCTTGGACATTTTTTCGAGGACTTCGCCATGTAGTAGGAACATTGCCCTGTTGAGAAAGTGTGCATCAGTATCTCTTTTGGTAGCGTTGATGGAGTAGGTTTGGCTCACTTCATTGCAGTCGCGACTGAGCAGCAGAATTGTCCCCAGACTCCATGACACTGCTCCAAGACTAAGCTCAAGAAAGATTGAATATCAGCATCGATGTAGGTCAAGTCGGTTAAGACGGTCTGACCCAAGAAGGCGGCATTGCTATCGAGGTTTCCGACGAAATTAAGAACCCTGTCCATCAACACGGCGGCTTGAGCTGCACGGCCAGATCCATCGACACTGTCGAAGCTGGTGATGGATGCTCGACTTGTCACTTTTGGGGGCGTGGCTGAGCTGGAAGGCAACGAATGCACTTCGGATGGCAACGGTGTAAGAAGTGGTTGCCAAGGGTTAGAAGTTTCTAGGACCAAAAGCCTGCGTACTCGTTAACAGATCGATGCGTCTGCTTAGTTGGATTGGAAAATTACCTTTCACAGATAACCAGAGTCCACCACAGATTGTTAGCTTCCGATTGATATACATCGACATCTGTTCGAGGTTCATCATGTACACGTGGGTGCCTCTGGCCTTTCTCTTCGAGATGGATCGAGTAAGACATTCGAATCGCCACAGTGAGCGTGGTGAGAGCATCGTCGACCCGTTGCGTACAGTACTCGTAGATGGCAAGCAGAGTGAAAGCCCGGATCGAGTTCAAAGACGCCACAGGGTAGAGCTGCAGAAGAGCGGCCGCCGCTTTTGCTCTTTGGTAAAGCTCATCCAAGCGAAAAGCAGCTTCACTCGCAGGTATGTATCCAATCAGACATACGCATAAGAGCAGGAGCGAGAAGTCGGCGTCTCCAAAGGCAGGGAATCGAACGAGACTTCGATGGAGGGTATCCCGGGATAGGAATGGAAGCCAGAGGTGTAGACCGCGGAAGTAGCAATGTGCGAGCACATCAGCGTGCTGACCAATCTCCCCAATAGTTTGACAGACTTGGTCGCAGATGGTTTGGGATGAAGACCGAAAGTCTGAGCCGAAGGTGCGAGGGCTGGGCGGCGACGGGTACCATGCTCCACCACCCAATCTCTGTACCACGACAACATCTGTGGGGGCCGGAGATGGAGGGGTGACAGCGACCGGCAGGTAGCGACATTGAAGGCCTCGCCTTGGTCAAGTCAGTCTGTGGCACTATGTTGTGGACAATCCTTGCGAGCCGCACCTTTTGCAATACGTACAGCACGGCAGTAGTTTGTCGCAACCCTTTTTCCGTAGCTTGCATGTTAGGCAAACCTGAGCAGCAGTTGTGGCTGGTGCAGACTCCATGGTTCCGCATCAATGAAGCGATTCGTAAAGATCAATTTGCCCCTTGATGGAGACGATGAAGACGATTGTGATGATGCACTTCCCTCCAAGACCTCACTTTGCGGCCGACGGCGGGCGCCACTAATGCATGGCGCACCATTTGCGGCCTTTCATTGGCTCAAGGGTTCTTGATCGAGGATAGTGGCGGCTGCTTAATGATCCTGAGCCTTGTGTTGGAAAGATGATGTCCGCCAAATGACTTCAATCGGCCCAGCACATTCGTCTGCATTTATAATGCACAAAGACTAGGTAAAAGTATCTCCGATAACCCCTGCTTTGCTTGTACGACTTAAAAGCAGCAAGCCACCTTCTCTGAAGTTCACAGCCTGATCCGTTGCAAGTCGAGGCAGAGCATTCGAATCACTGGACAAGATGACAGAAAATACCCTCGAGAAGAGTAAGAGCATGGATTTGGATACAGAGCCGGGTACTTCAGAAGAGGCAGTTACTAGAGCCGCGAGCAATGAGGAGGTGATAAAAGATACTGCAGCAACAAAAGAGACAGAACACATCGCCTTGCCTCCAGAGGAGGGACTCAAAGGTTGGCTATGCGTCACTGGCGCATGTCTGACGCTGTTCAGCAGTTTTGGATTCCTGAATGCGTATGTTACCTCTTTAAACTGCCGTCAAGGACTCGGGCTAATTTCACGGTCACAGTGTCGGCGTCTTCCAGAATTACTACCAAGACCATTCGTTGAAGAACTACACTCCATCGGACATCTCCTGGATTTTCTCTTTCCAGATTATGTCGATGTGGGTCCCAGGTATGTTTTGTCGATTTGATCGATCGTTTCCGTAGCATTTATCTGACCTCAACGGAACAGGCCCCCTTGTTGGAAGACTTGTGGACACTTGTAAGTTCACACCATTTACAAAGCCCAAAAGGAATTGCTCATATAACTTAGATGGGCCTTATCCTGTCCTCCTTCCTTGCAGTGTCCTCTGCGTCTTTGCACTCTGCATGACGAGTCTCGCTACCGAATACTACCAGATTTTCCTCGCCCAGGGTGTCGCCTTCGGCATAGGCGCGGGAGGTGTCTTCACAAGTTCGTTCGTCTGTGTTGGACAATGGTTCGTAAAACGAAGAGGTCTCGCAATCGGAATTGCCAGCGTCGGGAGCAGTGTTGGTGGTGTTATATTCCCGCTTTTCCTGGATCAGGTCATTCACGAGGTCGGATTCTACGGCGCGATTCGCTACACAGCTCTGCTGGACGGCGTTGTCCTAGCAGCTGGATGCTGTCTAGTCAAGTCTCGACTGCCGAAGAAGAAGTGGGATAAGAATGCAAAGTGGTTCGATGTCACGTTGTTCAGGCATCCAGAGTTCGCGTTGTTTACCCTTGGATCCTTCTTCGTCATGTGAGTTATTCGGAATGACACTACCGTGTGACCTTCACTGATCAAACATTTGTAGGTGGGGTCTTTGGGTGCCGTTCGACTTCATCTCGACTTTCGCAACTTCGCAGGGTTTCTCGTATGAGCTGGCGTTATCTTTGATCTCCATCATCAAGTTTGTAAGCCCCTTTATGTTATTCTGGGCCCAGAAACTGACATGAGGAATACAGCGCGACTTCGATACCTGGCCGCATCTTGCCGCCGTACTTAAGCGACAGGCTTGGCCACTTCAACGTCGTCGTAGCAAGCAGCTTTCTCATAGGCCTGTCGATGCTCTGTCTGTGGCTTCCATTCGACTTTCATACCTCGCATGCGGGTGTCATAGTCTTTTGCCTGGTCTACGGCTTCGTAAGCGGCGCGTTTGTGGCGCTCCTAATGCCTTGTGTGGCCAAGACTGGTCCCATCGAGACGATTGGAATGCGGTTTGGCAACTTTCAGATGGTCATCGGCATTGCGTGAGTATTTTCGTTCATATTCTAGCGCATAACAAAGCTGATACACTTCTAGTTGCTTGACTGGTTTGCCAATTTCCGGAGCGATTCTTGCACGGCAGGGTGGAAGCGTATACTGGGGCGCGCAAAGCTTTGCCATAATTTCCTCTCTGATTGGAGCCATCATGACTGCAGGGGCAACGATACTCATAGGACGTTCTAAAGGCACATGGAAAGTGTAAAATGGCGGTGGTTTATTGGTGAGATTTGAGAAGAACTTGAAATCTTCAACTCCATTCTTGTCAAGCCAACATTTGGTTAGGGAACACCACGCGCACCTTTTTCACTCCACCAATGAATTGGGTGTGCCTGGGTCAATTCTGAACGATTTGATCCACTGATAATACAAAGAGCAAAAAGGGGTTGCTGCCTCAGGCAGGCCACAAGGCTTAGTTAGTGCGTATGATTGAGATCTTGCGAGCAGCAAGTAAGCTTGGCCAAGGCACGATTGTCATGCCAGTTGCGAAGCGGACTTACAGGATTGGATGAAGAGGTCTGCCGATATTTCCATTCATCTTACAAATCGTCCGAGCACCACTGTACCAGTTTGCCGTCCCAAGCCGTTCAGTGGCTCCTTGCGAGCTTAAAATGGCTTTGACGGCTAACTTCTTCGGCATCATCGGCTAACATCTCGACTAACTCAAAACCCTTTTCAACCTCCTTCCAATCCATCTCTGCAGTATCGGCTACTCCGTGTATCCAACTCATACGTACCCATTATACCGTTGCCAGGAAAATTCGGCTACTCGGAATGAACCGCTCTCAGCGATCCCGGACCGTCTGCTATCGCTGCCACAGACGAAAGACGGCTTGCGACCTACAGCTTGCGTCAGGACCAGACGCGAAATGCAGTGCTTGCAAAGCCGTAGGAGCCGACTGTTTGCTCCGCCCTTCAAACAAAGGCCGTCGCCTGCACTCGGCTTCCGGATCGGCCCCGATAGAACAGGCGAGGCTGGCTGGCTGTGAGCGAAAGCCTTTTAGCTCCTTGACTCCGGCGTATCTTGGTGAAATGAGCTTCCATACTATTTTCACCCCAAGCACTGGCCATCTGCAGAGAGATGATACAGTGAGGGTCGGTGATTCTTCTGCCCACGCTCTCGGGAAAGAGAATACGGGCTTCTGCCACGAACCAATTGACCAGATACCGGCCAGAAACCGGCGCGGCAACCTTGAAGTCTTCTATGAGTTCTTCTACACTTGGTGTCCCATACTCGACGTTGACTTGAAAGAGGAAAGCGCAAGTGATGCCCAGTGCATCGCTGTGGATCATGCACTTGCACTGGTTTCAGGCAACTTGCGAGCACCGCTTACTCCTCACGCATCGGATAGCGAGCACTATTTACGGGCTCGTCAGCTGTTCTACTCGTGCAGCAACATGAATGAGATCGATCGTATTCGAACGTGCATGCTTTTCTACTGGTGGAGCGCTACTCCTCCGAACATGGCTAGCATGGACAATAGCTTCTGGTGGACAGGGCTCGCTATACGGATGGCGCAGCAGATAGGATTGCATCGGGAACCCAGCGCATCAGATTCGAATGCTGCACTCAAACGGCGTATCTGGTGGACACTTTATGTAAGCTACCTTGAATGTTTTCTGTTCGTTCGATTTGCTGAGCTGACTGAAGGCTCGCGACCGCATCATCTCTTGGTGTCAAGGTCGCCCATGCATCATCGACGACGACTACTGCGACGTACGATCGCCCTTGACGTCCGACTTCCCGCCTAGCAAATCTCACGAGGCAGAGATCTTTGTACACTGGCTCCGTCTGACTTTTGTCGTAGGCCACGTGAACAAAACCCTGTTCAGAGCCCGCCTTGCTGGCGGCTCAATCTCGACACCTCCTCTCGCTGCACACCTTGTCCAATGGATTCGCTCTCTACCGATACAGCTTTCGCTCCCCCTGGCGAACGACCAAGCCATCCCTTACGAACGCGACGTGCTCCTTTTACATCTACCTTACCTCAGCATGATATCGCTCATCTACCTCACGCCAACACAAAGTCGTCTGCCAGGGGCGTCCGTAGCAGCGGTAGTAGCGGCAGCTTGCACAGCCCGTATAATTGATGAGTTTCTAGCTAGGGGTCACCTTCGCTTCCTCCCGGGAACCGTTGGGTGGTACATCGCCGTTGCTGTGCTCTCATTGATGCCAGTGCTCTCGTTGCAGCACCTAAATTCGCATGCATTGGCGCACATCCGCACGCTACTCGTAGCACTGGAACACATGGCTTCTCAGTGGCACTCTGCAAGAGGCTTGCACACTGAGTTATCCAAGCTATTTGAATATGACAGTCTGACAGCTCTACGAGCTACTCAAGATCAGACCGACGAAGCTTCGACGTCGCCGCGTAGCGCTCAGCTCTCCAGTCTCCGAGAGCTTTGCGCAGGGGACGGCGTCGTTTGGGCCGACTTCTTCCCTTTCGTAACGGAGAAGACCAGTCCGCTCGTCGCTGTCATCCTCTTGGAATGTCAACATTCATATCCAGACTTATGGCCTGGTAACGACTGGCCAAGCGTCTTTGATGAGTTCTTCGAAGAGTTCGGTACTTTACCATCTGGGGAACTTCACGCATCATTGGGCTGAATGCTGGCCATCACCGGTCATCCGCAGGGCTTTTGGCTGTCTTACAAAGTGGTCACTCTGATGTCGGGTGACGTTATAGCAAGACTACCACTCCGTATACTGGAACCAATCATACACAGTGGAAAGGGAGATGATGCCGGATAGGCGATAGGATGGCACGACACCTCAAGCATGCTACTTCCATTCATCTCTTGATGAAAATCGTACAGACCATATATATCCTTTGCCCCTTGGTGGCACTCCCCTGCAGCAAGAACTATACATCTTCTTGCAGCCTGCACGACCTAAGACCATGAAGCTTGTCCAAGGATTCTTTCACAACATCGTACCAATAGTCACTCCATACCTGCCCCATCCTAGGCGGAGGGTTCGTTGGAAGAGAGCCGCGACGAAAGGTGTTGAAGTAGACAATATCCGGCTCCAGTAAAGTTATGCCGGAAGCGCTAGTGTGATAGTCGTGGAAACGATGAGTTACTTGCACGGTCCCTGTGCCATCAGGTTGTGGTGTAATCAGAACAAGCTGTGCAGGTCCGCCCTCGTGTAGAGATACGACGAGCGAGCCATCAGCACGTAGGAAAAGATTCTCTGCTCAAGTGCCGTCCCTGAAATGGTAGATGGTTCTCAAAGTTCCGGACGAGGGCGCATGCAAGCACTCAGGGGCTGAAGGCGACTGGGCGGATATCGCAATTCCAAGCACGGAGAAAATCAAGAAAGCAAGCACGATTAGCCTTTTGTAAATAACATTGAATTAGATGAAAATGTCGCTCTCCAACCTCAGCTTCTTGCAATCCCTGGTTATCTGAACTACTGTACTCTCACTAAGGCTGGCAACCCTGAAGCGAGTGCGAGCCAGCAGAGCTGGGCTATCCTTGAGTCTGGGTTGCTGGGAATTTCTAGAAGACCAGTAAAGGCAGTTATATTCGGGCAATGATCACGGGAATAGAACTTGGATTGGTAATCGGATCATATCACAGCGCCTGTTTGGGTGCCGGTAGCCTGAGTTAGGACGCAGAAATGGGGAGTTTGCCTTGGCTTAGCCGATCTGAACAGATAGTTAGCCGACATTATCGCTGATTTTCTACTGTTTGTTATATTCTTCTCGGGGGTGCAATCCGATGGAGCTCCTGATAGAGGGAATTTCGTTGATCCAACAGACTGGACAGAGTTAAGTGCTGAGATTAATAATGCTCCACTGGTCGTTGCTTGGGCCCCGATGTTGTTGGCGAGAGAGAAGGCAGAAAGTATAGTCGAAGTCTCACCCACGGCCTACAACACTACAAACCCTCGTTACCCATGACCCGGGCCTTGCTGACGACCACAACTTTGTCTTGCTCAATCTCTCTTTGCCTGAGACACGCTACACGATCTCCGACATACCACCGAAGCAAATTCCATAGCAGCTCCAGCAACATGACCCGCGTTCTTCTGACTGGCGGGTCTGGTTTCATCGCCGCACACATTCTCAACTTCCTCCTCCAGCATGGTCACTCAGTCGTCACGACCGTACGCTCGCAAGAGAAAGCAGATAGAATCGCAGCGGCATACAATGGTATCGACAGGGAAAGGCTTGATTTTGCGATCGTCGAGGATATTGCTCAAGAACAGGCGTTTGAAACAGCGGTCGTTTCGGACCCACCTTTTGAAGTTGTCATTCACACTGCCTCGCCTTTCCACTTCAACATTGCAGACGTACAGAGGGACCTACTAGATCCATCAATCATCGGCACGACTGGAATCCTCGAAAGCATCAAGAAGCATGCGACGACAGTGAAGAGAGTGGTCATCACCTCGTCATTTGCTTCCATTGTAAACGGAAGCAAGGGCTTCTGGCCCGAGCACACCTACTCCGAAGCAGACTGGAATCCAATTACCAAGGAAGAAGCGTCTCAGAATGCTGTGAACGGCTACCGCGCAAGTAAGACCTTTGCAGAGAAAGCTGCATGGAACTTTATCGAGCAGCAACAACCCAACTTTACCCTCACAACTATGTGCCCACCCCTTGTTTTCGGACCGATAGTGCACTACCTGAACAGCTTGGACGCACTCAATACCTCCAACCAACGCATTCGCGACATCGTCCAGGGCAAGGATCAAGAGAATCTCCCGCCTGGCCTCTGGGTTGACGTTCGAGACCTCGCGCTAGGACACGTCCTTGCTATGGAGAAAGAAGCTGCCGCGAATAAGCGATTCTTTTTCACGCCAGGGCATTTCTCTACCGCAGAGCTCGCCGAGATTGTGAGGAAGAATTTTCCAGAATTTAAAGACAAGCTACATCCCAAGAGCAATGCGGGTGATGCTTATACGAAGTATGGATTCTACAAGATCAACATTGATCGGACGAATCGGATTCTGGGCATTCCATGGACATCCCTAGAGAACAGCGTCATCGACACTGTTGAGAGTCTCAAAGCCGTCGGCTTGTGATTGGTAACGCATGGCGCTTGGCACCCTGCCGCAAGAAGGAGCATCTTTCTCCACGAGCCTCGCTTGGACTCAGGGCATCTTCTGCTAGTGAATATTGGGTCACGATGTCTCGCCATACACTCAGGTATATATCATGGAAGATTATCGCATCCCATCATCTGATTCCACCGGTACTATGATGGCTACTATACCATTCGCAGTCTTTTTGAAATGTAAAGTGGATCTTGGCAGGTGAGGTCAGTCAGTCAGGCTGACTTGGCATCGGGCTTCCCTGGAAGTAGGACACGTACCTACACATTCGATGCGAGGCCCAGAAGTAGCAACCGGTCTACAAACTATCGCTAGTCTACGGGCTTTGTTAATCTCTGCCGAAATTCGGGGCTGAGGAACCCGGCAACGGAGGAGGACTCCCTGCTGTGATCCTGCAGATGCATCGTAATTCACTTTGTAAGCCCGAGAAGGAAGATTTTATATTTCCATAGCAAGAACTTACGCACGTTGATGACGTCGTGAAAGGACGTTCCCAACTCAGCGGATTGATGGATGCAGTTAGAATTGCGACCAAAAGGACCTGAGCTTCTGACGCTACAGCCTTGTTGGGTTGGATGTGCGGCTGACAGGCACACGGGCCTGCGTGGCTCTTGTCGTTCCTGCATGAGCTGTGACGAAGGTCGTGAGTCTGTTGCATCACCGGATGATTTTCCCGAACGTGTGGGAGCTGAAATATTTAAGTCGTGACAATACATGAAAAGCAAGGCCCATGTCCCCGGATCTCGCCCGGCTTTTCTAACATTTGTTTTCAACCCGGAGATCTCTAATCGTTTGTTCAACTGACATCGATCAAAGTAATCGAAATGCGGCTCTCAAAATCGATGTTGACCCTCCTGTTCCTCGCATCAACCTCTCTAGCTCAATCCATAGGCTACACCTGCAACCCACACTGCATAACGCCAACAATCCCCACAACAAACCACAATCTCACCTTCGGCACGCACTACGCAGTCCTCAATCTCGATCTCATAGGGCTCGTTGCCAGCATCGCCAACACGACCGCAGGTTCAGCCTTCATCAACTCAACAGCAACATGGATCGACTTCATCCACGCCCAACACCCACCTCCCCTGTCAATCTTCTCCCGCGTGGCTTTCTCGGGTACCCGTAAAGCTGAGCTCGGCCCGAACTCGCCGTTCACGAAGGTCGCGGGCAGTGTGACTCCAGCGGAATCGCAGATTTATCCGGCTTTCAAGGTCGATGAGAAGGCTGGCGATGTGGTTCTGGATAAGAGTCGGTATTACGCAGGCTGGGGCAACTCCCTCGAAACGATCTTACATGCGCAGGGGATCGACACAGTTATCCTAAGTGGATTAACGACGTCTGGAGTTATTCTTAACACCGTCTATACGTTATACAATTTGGACTACAAAGTGTGAGTACTCCTTTTTCTGCGGGGGCGTGGGCTCGTTCGAGTAAATTCAGATGCTGACTCTGGGCTGAAGGTATGTTATTGCGAACAACACCATTCAAACGCCGGGAAATGTGGCCCCTGAAGTTTATACATCGATACTGGAAGGTATTATCCCAACCTTGCCAGCGGACGTCATTACGGTCGAGCAGGCTATGGATGCAGTGAAGAGGAGCGGTCCAGCAGTGTACTAGTCTCCTATATCCCTGCAATGCCACCGAAGTCATGCATAGAATCCTTGCTTGCTCAGAGTGATCCGTTCAATAGCCTCGAAGATGTTGAGTTATTGCGATGAAGATTAGAATACCGGCCGTCATCATTCATGCGCGGTCATGCCTAACTAACATACTATCAACACAACGGCCAACCAAACATCACCACTATCTCACAATCTCACCATCCACCTTCAGCAATCCACCTTCAGGAATCCACTTCCTATCTCGTGATCTCGATAATTGTCTTTCAAAGTTGCTTCTCCTCCATCTGGATATCCTTTGCCGTCTCCTTCGCACCGACCGCGCCCTGCATCTTCATCTTGGCGTCGGTCAAACCATACTCCTCGGCAAGATTCTCCATATCCTCGTTGGTAAGACGAGGCATCTCCTTGGCGACTTTGACGTATGACCTATTCTCGATATAGCCTTTGGCGAAGATGAAGTCAATCTCTTCGAGCGAGCGTTGGCTTGTCTCGGGGTAAAAGAAATAGCTAAAGCAAGTTAGCACAATAGAGAAGAAGATGGTTCAGGTGTGCGGAACCAACATGAAAGGCAGAGCGGCAGCATTGACGGCTGCGAAGAACAAATATGTTCCCCAGCCGATGTTTTGGATCATGATTGGCGTCACCATCACAACGAGAAAGTTGATGAGCCAGTTGACGATGTTGGCGGCAGCAGCACCTTTGGCGCGAATCCGGATTGGGTTGATTTCAGCCTGCAGAGGTTAATGAACCATAAAATACAATTTCGAGATGCAGTGTTTCTTACTGCATATAGCCATGGCACCGTCAAGTATGACGGACCAAAGAAGGCGATGTACAGGAACAGACCAAACGCTGCTCCTTTGGCTGGACCCGGTGTACCAGGGATGAGGCAAGCGAACGTGATAATCATGGAGACCTAATTACTCGTCAGTTGCTGAGGGTATGCTCATGCGGATAAGGCCTTGCTCACCATCTGTCCAGTTGTGCCAATCAAAAACACCTTCCTTCGGCCAACGGACTCCACTGTCCAGAAAGACAGCAAAGCAAACAACGCGTAGACTATCATGTCGATGCCACCGATGAGCTGCGAAAAGTGCCGCGAGGTATGCAGTGCGTTCAAGAATAGAATGGGCGAGTAGTAGATCACAGCATTGCAACTGTACAACGTCATCAACGAGAACTGAAATGTTGCTTGTGCTTTATCAAGGACTTACCCTGTAATTTGCTGGAAGAATTGCGATGAGATGCCGATCAACATACGTCGACGATGTTGCGAAGGGCCTCCAGTCCACATGTCCGAGATTTTGAACTTGGACCCTTCAGCAGATTGCTCAATAGCAATCGAATCGAGGATCCCGCGAATGTCTTCTTTGGTTTTGGGACCATCAAGTCTTTCCTTATTGATGGCAGCCATGGATCTGGTGGCATCTTCGATACGGTCTAACTTGCACAGCCAGCGAGGAGACTCGGGGAGGAAGAAGGTGCCAATGAAGTAGATGAGACAGAACACGATTTGAAAGGCCTGGAGATGTTGTTAGCATGTACCGTGTATGAACGTGAGAGACGCACGATGGGAAATCTCCATGTGATAGAGCTTGTGTAGTTCTGAATGCCGTAGTTGAGCCTGTGATCTTATTAGCATTTCGTTTCCCTGCCGAATCGACATGCTCACCAGTAGGAGAACATCGTTCCTGTCGCAATGAGACCTGTCGAAAGACAGACCAACATCCCGCGACTGGCATGCGACAGCTCAGACTGCCACACAGGCATCGACGCCATATTGATTCCATTACCCCAGCCAGTGATGGTCCTTCCGATCAGAAATTGTGCAAACCTCCCGTTAACCGAAGAAGAGGGCATTGCAGTAACCTGAATGACAACCCCGAGGATCACGCCGGCTCCTCCTGTCAGACATGATCTCTTACGACCGATCTTGTCCCCCAAAAATATCATCGTCACTGCTCCGAGTGTCGTCCCGATGTCGTAAATAGCAACAGTGAAGCCGAGAAGATTAGCGTTATTGTTGACCTTGGGAAAAACGGCAAGCCACTGGGGTGATGTGATCACGCCAGACATGACACCTGCAGATTGAGTCAACATAGGCATCGTTTCGACTGAACCTGTACGTCTCACCTTGGTCGTAACCAACGAGCACAAAGCCGAAGGTGAGGATAGCTGTAAGAGTCCATTCCAGAGGCTTGCCCTGCACGCCTAGAAACTTGGGGTACTCTGAGGATGAGGGCATCTCTGCTGGCGACTACTGAAGGGAGTGGTTCCACTGTGGTGATTGAGACTCTCTTTTGAAAAGGAGAACGAGCAGACGAGATGTCTATGGCCTCGTGCCCAATGTCGTACTCATATACACCACATCGTCTTTGCTTTTCTGTAAAGCAACGGGATACGCGAAGAGGAAAATCTCTGGGTTGTTTACCCGATTCTCTTACCTGTCACAAGGACAAGCCATATCGAGGGTTTCTGTTCGAAGCTTGTCGTTGCTTGATGCATTCGGATGCCTTCTCCGAGGTGCCATGGTAGCATGGCTCGGTGCTGGGATGCTAGGTATGGTTAGACATGCATCACATCGATGATCCTCAAGGCTGTAGACACCGTGCCGGGACCCGTATGTACTGATCCTGCCATGGCTTGTCCAACTCAGCGGAGAATCGTTAGGTTTGTTGCGTAGTGGCTGGGGCTACGTTCTGGTTCCCTGTTTAGATGAAGTCCCCTTCGCATTCGCGGCCAGCGCGGCATGCAGCCTGGGTCGTGCCGCTCAAGTGTTGCATGTCTCCGCGTATATTGCCAGGTGAGATCGTATAGAAGCGTACCGGGTAAGCTCTTACTACGCCATTAGCAAGCTATCTCAGAAGCTTGTCTTGACTGCAGAGGGTCTACCTGCGGCAGAAAGAGGACACCTTCGATAGCCTTCCTGGAGAGTGGACGTTGGATTTTGCAGTGAGATCGCACTGCTCGAATGTTTCGGTGAATCCTGGCAGTAACCGGACTCTTCTTCAGCAAAGGGGTCCCGTTATTTTTCAGAGGCACAGGCGGTATAGAATTAGCTGAGTAGTGTCATTGCACAGACGCCTCATGTCGAATGGCACCAATCAAGATCGGAAACTGTGAAGCCTTGAACTTGCTTGCGTTTGAGACCCCGCTCGTCCGCTATGGTACCTGGGATTGATACATCCCTCATTACGGGCGTGATCTTCGCCAGTTCTTGGAACACCGTGTCGTGAGCAAGCCACCGGACCGCGTGACGGGGAGTTTCCAAAGCTTCTGCATTGACAACTCGACTTCGTTGGCGCCCCTGATATGCACAGGTCACAGACATCTCTTGTCTTTGCATGCAAGGAAACAAGGTCGCTCTCCTTGATCGTATCGGGCTATGTCGAGCGATATTGCTTTGGTCTCTGAACGGATCTCCGTTCTCCTCAGCCCCTGAGAACTTCCGTGATGTACAATGGCGCGGCGCCTTGTTCCGCTTGAGGCTCGAGGCCATTCAAGCAGCAACGCAGTCCCATCTCTTCACAATCATCACTCACTTTCCCCCGAAAACCTTGCTCCTCCCCGCGAAATCCCCCGCAAACACCCTCATGGGCACATTCCCCATAACATCAAACACACTGACCTCCACGCCCATCTCCTTCTTAATCCAATTCCTCACCTCCACCGCCACAAGACTATCAACCCCATACGCGCTCAACGGCTTGTTCGTATCAACATCCGCCACCGGGATCATCATCAGTCTCGCGAGTCGTTCAGCCATCGCGTTGCTAATAGTATCGATTGCGACGGCGATGTCGGTGCAGCGGGAGAGTTCGTCTTTGAGGGAGATGGTAGAGGATGATGCGGAAGATGAGGCCCCAGTGAGTTTGCGGAGGCCGGCGAAGCGGTTGTCGTTCATCCAGTACCATTGGGGTTCGAATTCGTTGAATGGAAGGCCGCACATTACTTGTGCTGGATGTGCATCAGAGCCTTCCATGGCGGTGGCCATCAGGCCGTGAAGGTCGCTGTTGTGCATGACTTTGAGACCCATAGCTTTGACGTGGTCGACGTATTCGTCGTGCTCGGCGACGAAGCCGACGGAGAGGAGGTACCCGATGTCGATGGTCATGGCTGGGAGGCCTTGTGAGCGACGGTAAGAGGCGAAGTAGTCTTGGAAGATGTTCCCGCAGCCGTAATTGCCTGTGAAAAAGCTGTGTCAGTACAGAAACCCTCTCGTTGGTCTTTTAATTACTCACCTTGCCCACGATGTCCCATGACACCGGCAAGCGAAGACAGCATCACAAAGAAATCCATGTCCTTCGGCAGAAGTTCATGCAAATTCCACGTGCCATGCACCTTAGGACCAACTGTGATGCGAAGATCATCGGCGCTCATCTTTTCGTACAGCGTGTCCTTGAGCACCATAGCTCCGGTGACACAGCCCCTAACGAGTGGGAGTTCGCTGATGTTGTAAAGCACAGTCTGCAAAGCAGCTCGGTTGCCAACATCGCAATCGAAAGCAATGGCGTTGGTATCGTATGTCTTGCGCAAGTTCTCGACGAAGGCCTGATTGTCGGCACCAGATGCAGCTGAACGGGAGAGGAAGACCGAGTGCTTTGCCCCTTTTTCAGCCAGCCAGCGACCGAGCTCTCTCCCAATGCCGCCGAGGCCAGCAACAATGTAAGTTCCATCGGTTCGGACGCCAACCTTTGGAGTTCGTGGAATGGCCAGCACCGTATCGTTGTCGTCAACGCGCAGGACCACCTTGCCCATGTGTCTGCCTGGGGTCATTAGGAGATTGCTCCCATCATGAAACAGGCTGCAACATACCAGTCTGCACATACCTGAAAGCCTTCTCAACATCAGCAAAGTTGAACTGCTGCACAGGCTGAACAGGCTTCAAAGAGCCGTTCCCAATCAGCTTGGCGACATCAGTCCAGAGCTTCACTGCTCGTGGCGTAGGGTCGTTCTCGAAGTCCAGTAAGTTGACGCCAATGTAGCTCTTGTTCTCGAGGAACGGTTTCATGTCCTGTAAATAGGTCAGCTATGATATATCATCACAATAAACATGAAGCTAGGTACGTACCAATCCAGTGTTTGCGAAGAGGTCAGCCTTGTCAATCTCCAGGAAGCGGCCGAATGGAGCAAGACAATGCCAAGACAGTCTCAACAACTCACCAGCAAGTGAGTTTAGCACAACGTCAACGCCCTTGTCGTTGGTCGAGCGCATGATCCCCTTCGCGAAGCTCGCATCGCGGGAAGAGAAGATGTGAGAAGCTGAAATGCCGTAGTGCTTCATGATGAGGTCTTTCTTCTCTTCAGATCCCACAGTCGCAAAGATCTCCGCTCCAAGATGCTGGGCGAGGATAATAGCAGCCTGTCCGACACCACCAGCAGCCGCGTGGATAAGAATCGTCTCGCCCTTTTCGAGGTGGCCTGCAGTCACCAAAACATAGTACGCTGTCAGGAAGATCAGAGGCATAGAGGCAGCGTCTTCGAAGCTCATGTCGTGAGTCATCGGGATAGCGCCCTGCATCGGGAAGCGGACGAAGGTCGCGAAGGTATCACAACTGGCCGTCATGACTCTGTCGCCAATCTTGATGTCGCTGACATCTGCCCCTATCCCGGTTACTACTCCAGCAACGTCGACACCGAGTTTGTTCTCGTTTAGGTTTCCAAGAGCGACGAGAACATCCTTGAAGTTCAGACCAACAGCCTTGACCTCAATTTCGATCCAGTCTGCTGGCATTGGCTCGTAATAAGTCTCATCTTCTTGCCATCGGAAGGTATCCAGTAGACCCGGCGTCTTAATTGTCAGCTTCAGGGGACGGCCACTGCCAATGAAATTGACAAGCTCTGGCTCTCCCTTCGCTTCGTATTTCCGCAGGGAAGCATCAACTTTAGGCGTCCACTCGACTCGAGGAACAAAGACCTTCGAACCCCTTGCTGCGAACTCCCCGTCAGCTCCATCGCTGCTCAAATGAGCCGTGGCGACATTGGCTATGGCAATTGAGGAAGCCTCAATGTTGATGGTGTCTGCAGTATCAATGTCGAGAACCGCAAAGTGGAGACCGGTGTTCTCGTTGCGAATGGCACGTCCAAGTCCCACCATGAGGGATTGGTGAGGATGAGAGCAATCCATGGCTGCACCGCCAGTGATCCAGAGAAGTCCTGCGGGATCATAGATCAGTTTGCGGAGCTTTTCCCAGTCTTCTCCTGCTATGTCTGCCAGCAAAGGTTTCTCAAGTTCAGCCAACGAGATGCAGTGCCTGCCTTCAATTTCGGAAAGCAGTGAAGCTCTCCCATTGTAGGATGGAGGCGTGAGTGTGCTTGGCTTGCAGCGTATCAGAGATTGACTCGGCGAGCTTCTCAGAGAGTGATGATCCAGTGCTGATGATGGCGTATCCGACGACATACTCGACAGTTGAGACGGCCGGCTTCGTAGATACGATCAAAGACACCGGCTCCTTGGAACCCTCGCAGTCACCACGAATGTCGAGGTCAACACCTGAGTATCCAGCCTTCTTCAAGGCAAAAGCCCATTCCAGAACATCGAGAAGAGGACCACCCTTACGGCCATCGTCCTCACCAAGCCACCAGCCCGGCAGTGGACCCATGATGAAGCCGCAGAAGATTCGCTTTATGGTGACTTCGGAGAGGACGAGCTGGCCACCTGGTTTCAATAGTCGCTTGCAGTTTTCCAAAGTCTCTTGAATACTCTTCGTCGCATGCAGCACGTTCGCACACACGATGATATCGAACTCCTCTTCCTTGAACCCCTGTTCCAGCGGGTCATTCTCAATGTTCAAAGTCCCAAATTCCATGATAGCGGCGTCCGTGGAGAATCGCTCCTGTGCTTTGGCAGGAAACCCGGGAGAGATATCCGTGAAGTAATATCTGGAAGCCTTGGAAGAGCCTGACTCTGTTCGAAGCCGGTCCAGAACATGTCCAGTGGCTCCACCAGTTCCGGCTCCGATCTCGAGCACGGCGATGCCAGGCTTCTTATCAGCGATCAAACCAATGTATTGTGCGCAGTTGGAGTTGTAGCTGGCTCCGAAGGCACCTTGGTAGAAGGTGTACAGCAAGTCGTCCTCGAGCATGACCTGGAGAGGCTCGACTTCTCGCGAGAAAATTTTGGGCAAGTTCTGTCCTATGCGGTCGACCATTTGAACGGTGATGTTGCCGCTGTGTGACTTTGAGGTCCTGGTCTTCGCTTCCGCCATTCGCAGCTCGACTTCAGCCTTGTCCGGCGACAGCGAAGGGAACTCCCTGATCCTATCATGCATCCACTCGACGTAGAGTTTCCAGAAACCATCTTGTGGGATGTGAGTCTTGCCAGTGCTTTCGAACCACGCGAGGCACCGGTAAATGTACACCAAGCAGACATATTCCAGAAGATCCAGCACGGAATCATCGTCTGCATTAGGGATTGTCCTAGAGTAGACAATGTCTTTGGTCTGCTTCGGAGAGATGAGGTCGACATCAGCGTACCAATCCTGCGTAAAACAGCTAGCTCTCGCATCAAATTGCTCGGACGACGACCCAACAGATGCAAGGCCGAGGCCCTCGATGATAATCTTCGGCTCCTCGAGCTCCTCGATGGAAATGGTGATCGACGACATCCACGTAGTGTAGCTCGTCTTCTTGGCAGTCGAGTGGCCATGGAGTTTAGTACTGGGCGTTCTTGGGATGTCCGCTGAAAGGTAGATTCGCTCGAAGGAGAAGATGGGTCGATCGTATCCAGCCTCCACGCAATACCACAGAAGTCAAAGTGCTATGTCTTGGACTATCAAGAACCGGGACGATGTGTACGTCCACGATACCACCAAGATAAAGGGCAGTAGCTCATGATTTGCAGCGCTGTGGACAGCTCTGAAAAAGCTGCAATACACGCCCTACCACTTCAAAGAAATGAGCGCCCCAGAGAACATCAAAGATCGACATCTACTATGTTGGCGAGAAGCCTTTATGGCGAAGCTTTACGATAGTGGAACACCGTACGGCAGGGAGGAATCCGACAAGCTTCTGCAACGCTACGACGTTAGTATTCTTCGATCTTTGTATGTTACATTTCAAGCTGACAGGATCAGGCAATAACAGATGCTCCTTGCGTTAACTTCTCAGACGAGCTACTTGCCGCCTACCCTGACGCAAAGGTCATCTTGTCGAAACGAGATCCAGAGAGATGGCTAGAATCAATTCTGCGCTCGTACCATGCAGTGATTGAATCTCGCGTTTTTCGAATAGGCGCAGCCATCGATCCTGTAAGGCTTCCGCTTCTAACCAAAACCTTCTCTTGCTAACAATTCCATCAAGGCGCTCAGCATCCTCGACGAAGTCTTCCGCCTCGTCCTCATCGACTGGACAGGTGGCGATTGGCGCAATCGGCAAAAGCTCCTGGAAGCATATCATCGCCACAATGAGCATATTCGCCAGATCGTGCCAAAGGAGAATCTGCTGGAATGGGAGCCGAGAGATGGTTGGGGCCCCCTGTGTGAGTTTCTCGGGAAGGATGTACCTGACGAGCCTTTTCCGTATGCGAATAAGGGAGACGATGTTGCGAATGGCGTGATCAAGGCGGCGAGGTATAGGATTGCGAAGTGGGTGTTGGGGAAGTTGATTTTGCCTGGTCTGAGTTTGGGAGTAGTTTTGGGCGGATGGGTGGTTTACAGGAGGATTTGGGCATGATCCTAGTCGCCACTGGTGAAGATCATATATTATGTTTGAGACGTGGTCAGAATCAACAGATTAAACATCACTATACACGAGCAACTACCAAAATCTTACAAAAGCCAAACAGAGATCTATCCCATCAAACAGTTGCCACCAGCACCTTCGCTTTGCCTAACAATGCATATCCCAAAGCAAATCGGTCCCAATAGTCTCAGCCGCGCCCACCAAACGCACTCATCCAATCTCCCTGCACCGAATTTCCCGATACATATTCGCTGTCTCCATAATCGGCCGAAAACATGGACTGATCGGTCCTCATCCGCTTCTGCGACGGGCCCTCCTCGAAATCATCCACAGCACTCGCCGGACTAACTGCCTCCGCCGTCCTCGCACGCTTCCCTCTCCGCGTCATTGGAGTCGTTGAACTACCCAGCTCCGCCTCGATCTCCTTGCCCTTCTCCATGATTCTCTTCTTCTCCACATTGCAGTTGTTATTGCTGGCTTTCCGCTCATGATACTTTCTCGGATTGCTCACGAAGCCTTGCACGCCTCGGCCCTCGATGACATCCATGACCACACGCTTGTTCTTTCGCAAGACTTCGCAGATTGTCGCCATGCGTTGGGAGAAGCGCAATGTGCGGTCGTCGGAGTATCCGCTGTTGTCGCCTCCCACCGCGTAGACTGCGTCGCCACCGAGGTGGTAGTTGAGGACCTCGCGATACAGGGCTCGGAGGCGAGCGGTCACGAGGGGGTTGGTGTAGCCAGGCTCCAGCTTTGCCTTCTCGTTGAAGGTCTTCTGCTGACGGGCAGACCATGTGTCCCAGCCTGCCTCTGTGTTCTGTACAACGTTGATCGCATTGAGTAGGAACTGTACGAAACGGTTTTCGGCACTGGCATTTCTGACATACTGCTGCACGTCGTCCTGGTAGATTCGACGGCCTTCGATTGGTGAGAAGATTTGCCGGCGCGCGGAAGCGTAGTCAGGGACAGAAGCGTCGAGGGTGTAGGTGAAAGGTTGGGCAACACGACGCTCGTACTTTGCGCCGCAACGTGTGCAACGTCCAGGAGAGCTGGAAGTGCGGTATTTCTTGCCACAGTCGATGCAACTTGGGTTCTCTTTGGGGGCATCACTGATAGGTGACGTTGCTCGAGCTTTGCCTTTTGCCTGACGTCCTCGAGAAGTAGAAGCGTGTGCCTCATCCAGATCGTCCTCCTGAAACAGTGGTCGCTCAAAGTTTCCGGGTGTCGGCGAGAAGTCGAAGTCGGTTTGTGGAGTCACAAACATTTGCTCGTCGCCACCGTAGTACGGCTGACCAAATCCATCCATGTTTGAAGCTCGATGCTGTGCTTCGGGTAGGTACGGGCCAGGTACGTACTGCGACGAGGGATCATGGGGGTTTGTGTAATGGGCATCGGCCGTCGGAGGATCTGGATAGTGGTCCTGAGATGGCGATCGTGCGAGATGAAGATCTTGATCGGGCGTGTTGTAGAGATCTGAAGAATTGCCGTAAGGTGTCAGATCGGTGAAGAGATCGTCGAAATTCGGCAGATCAGAATATGGGAGGCCTTGGTGTTGCTGACCAGCTCCAGGATCTGGGGAGACTTGTGTCGGGATTGACAGTGCAGCATGCGAGGTATGATTCCCTGACGATGATCGCTGTCCTCGTCGCATAGTTGCAGACTCTTGGCCGGAATCTGTAGAGGCTTGACCTGTTGCACTATTCGCCAGTACTTGTCGGCCCTCAGCAGTGGCGCTCGAGGACGCATTGCCGCCATCGTGCTGGATTTCAGGATCGGTCACCAACCAGTCTTCGTACTTGAAATCCTCGAAGAGCTTCGGATCGATATTTGACTGGCCTTGAGATTGCAACCACTCCTTGACTTGGTCCATAGAAGGAACTTCTGTGCTGGGTCGCTGCGTCGCTGAGTTGCTGGTGCTTGTGCGCTCTGGGGAGTCGGTGATAGGCTGTGTTGTTTGCTATGCTCAAGTTGATGTTGGTCGATGGGTGTTTAAAAGTGCGATCGGTATTTTGCGAAGAAATATTCTATGCTGCCGCATGGGTGAAGAATGCGCCTAAATGTATGTTGCAGTAGGGAATTGTGTTTCCAAGGCAAGCCGCGGTTCGTGAAGGTTGTGCGTTTCCGAATGTTTGCGCATGTCATGCGTGACTCCCCCGAAGTATGAGAATATACCACGTTCCAAGGTGCGAGGCCACCTGGGCGGGCTATCCGAGGGCTGGTGCGGCATTGTGTGTATCATTCGGGAGAAGCTGATCTGAAGGATTCCAAGACCTAGAAGCATAGATAGAGTGTCGACCTGGTGTCCTCCACAAGCCTGATTCAACTTTGTTAGTGCAAACTTTAGTCCCACCCAATGCGGAAGGAGCAGGTTGCATACCTTCCCGCGTACTTATGATACCATCATCCCTTTGTAGAAGTCGTCACAAATATGCAGGAACGAGCTCTAGCTGAACCTTCGATCCTGAAGGAGGGGCCCAGCTGCAGCACGCGAATCCACTCAAGATGTCTTTTGACCGCTTGTCGCACAGTTCGGACCTTTGTTGGAGCCGAATGACAGTGAGACTCGTGTTGCACGGAACATCGTAGACGACTTGAAGCGGGTGAGATAAATGTCAGATTTGCCGGCTGAGAACAAGATTCATTCGTGAAGAGGCTTTTGCAGGCAAGATATACGAGGAAGTCGTAAAGTTTCCGGAAACGGGAAAGGGAGATCTCGCGACTATCGAGCCATTGGACCTGGCGGTGGGAACGAGACCCTCAAATTTCTCTTGAATCTCACCAGGAGACATAACCACATACCTACCATCTCTCGACGGCGGCCGCGGAGCTTCCACCAAACGTGAAACAACAGCTGCCAACAAGATGACCGAACAGCAGGAGCCACACGTCCTCATTATCGGCGCCGGTCTTACAGGCCTCTTCATAGCCCACGGTCTCCAGCGGGCCAATATTCCCTACACGCTCTTCGAAGCCGAAGAAGCCGGGACTTACAGGTCACGAGAATGGACTATGGGTGTGCACTGGGGCGTGCCGCTCATCGAGAAGCTGCTGCCACCTGATCTGATGGCGAGGGTGATCCCGGAAGCTTCGGTGGATAAGACGTTGGACTATGTGACTCCGCCAACCAACGGCAGTCGGATTTATGATGGTGTTACTGGAGACGTGCTGAAGGAGTTGGTTAGTGAGGGGAAGTTGATCCGGGTGAGTAGGCGGAAATTGAGGGGGTTGATTGCGGAAAGGATTGAGGTGAAGGTGAGCTATTCTGATATCAGACTCACATGGCCAAAATTGATCTGTTTTAGTTCGGCCACAGATTGGAGGAAATCACATACGATGACGACAAGGGGACGGCGACAGCCCGTTTCACAAACGGCACATCCTCCACAGGAACAACCATAGTCGGCGCCGACGGTCCACGCTCCCAAATCCGCAGCCTCCTCTTTGGCCCAGCAGAAGCCGCTGCTCAACCGCTCACTGGCATCGTCCACCTATCCAGTACCTTCTCCTACCGCGACGCCGAAAAAGCCAAGTTCGTGCGTACAGCTCACCCAGTCTGGTCAATGGCCATCCACCCAGAAGTCTTCGCCTACGTCTGCATTCAAGACGTGCCGAATCCAGACAAACCAGAGGACTGGGTGTACTTTGTGTTCATCTGCTGGATGGGTGAGAGGGATCCCAGTCTTAGTCCGGAAGACGTCATGAAAGTTGCGAAGGAGAAGGGAACTAAACTCCAGGAGCCTTTCAGGTCGGCGATCCAGTGGATTCCTGAGGATGTGACTTTTCCGTATGTGGATGTTAGCTATTGGGTCGCGAAGTCGTGGGATAGTCATAAGGGCAGGGTGACGCTTGCCGGTGATGCTGCACATCCTATGCCTCCGTAAGAAACATCTCCTTACACTCCATTTTTCATCCCGCTGACATTTTTTCAGGTATCGAGGCCAAGGTCTCAACCATGCTGTTCAGGATGCGTACAACTTCGTAGAGACCATGAAGAAGATCAAGGCCGGTGAGGTGGCTAAAGAGAGCAGCGTCCAAGAGTATGGCGAAGAAGTGGCAAAGAGAGGCTCAGAGGAGACGATGATGAGCACAAAGAATGCATACATGATGCTGGCTTATGAGGACTTCAAGGAGAGTCCTTACATGAAGCACGGGCTGAGTAAACGGTAGACAGAACGTCCTTCAACTTCACCACCACCCAATATCTCCCCGTGCCATGGATCAAAACCCACCGCCCTACGGGTAATTCTGATAGTTTTGCCACGGCAGTGCATTCCCAGGCGCATTGAAAATCCAATTAGGCGCGACCCTCCTGGGTCCACCACCGGCGTCGCGATAGGGGTATATGGACTGGCCTGTGAAGGAGGGGTCACCCACAATGGAGAAGGACTGCCATGGCTGGGCACGTGTTAGTAGGTATTTGGGAAGGGGTAAGGAGATACTGAGGATGCTGGGGGCGTACAATGTAGCCTGGATGTTGGCGGACGACTTGGTTATTTGGCACCCGCTGCCCGTTGATGTACCACTGGTTCATGTCGAGGTTGGGAGAGTAGCTGTGCTGGCGGTTGAGGATGAAGTCCTGGAATTTGGCGGCGTTGGCAGAAGAGATTCGGCGGCTGTAGGTTCTGCAGGCTTGCCAATGTGGTATTTATGCATTGGTGGGTACTGTCTTTGCTCTGTGAAGGCGCCGAGCCCAGTATTCTAGGGTGGATCTGTGTATGCCACAACGTATGGCATGTGGCGATACCAGTAGCCCTGCTTCACAAGATCGCTTGGTCAGGTCCTATGAGCATCTGGGCTGCAAGTGGAGAGCAAGTTCCTCTGTCACTTCTTCCATGATGCCTTGTATTGTTGAGCAACCAGCGCGGACAGCCCCAAGAGTGGTCACACTGACCAAATCCTCAGCGTGTTGTCGGATTCCAGAGGCTTGGTTTGGTTAGGATTACTGTCGCTGTCGCTATCGCTGTCACTGTCGGAACTATCGAAAGCCCCTCGTTCGCCGGAGCATGAAGCCAGGACAGAGCCAGAAGGATGGAATACCGCGCTTGAAACTGGGGCTGCAAGACGTCAGCAAGATATTTCAGAAGGTAAAAAATTAATACTCACATCGATGCATATCCAAGTTGGCATCAGGCAAATGAAGCGCATCTTTCGATCCAGGATTTGACCATACCTTCACGTGTCCATCAATGCCACCTGCCCACGCCTCGAAGCCATCAGCTGTCGACACGACGTCTATGTCAAGGACCTGGGGAGTTGCTGCATTTCGACCGACTAATCTGCCAACTTCTTGCTTGGTATCCCGAATGTCGAACACTTGGATGGCGTCGCTGGAACGCTCTGCGACCAGAAGATACCTCCCACATGGACTCCACTGAAGCCCAGTCACACCAGTACCCTGACGACTCTCCAATCGAAAGGTACATAGACATCGGCCCAGGCCATGGTTCTCGAATAGCGCGATCTCTCGTTCCGTAGTGCCGATTGCAAGCAGACCATCACTGCTCAGCCTCATCGCGGAGACCCATGCTCTGCTTTTCAGGCGGAGCGCATCCGTTTTCACGGCTCCTCGGCGTGAACTCAGTATGTATTGGCTGATAGGGCCAGAATCTGGGCGAGCGACATCATACGCCGAGATAACATTGTGGCTACCGGCGATGAAGCAAGAGCCTGACGGAGTGAAAGTCAGGCTTCTTGCTGATTGGTACTCTTCGGTTCTGTCATTGATGAATGGGTAGACTGCGTAGACGGTCTCGTAGTCCAACGCATTTCTCAGTGTGATGGGAACATCGGCACTCGCCGAGAGGACCAATGTCGTCGATGTGTCTCCCAGGTCGAATTTGGGATAGAGGGAGAAGCTTTGGATGTTCGTGGCAGGCTGATAGTCGCAATACGGCTGCAGTTGATGCAGCTCATCGCGCTCGTCGAGAAGGTCCACGGGGAGTACGAAGGATCTCAGGCAATTGTCTTCATTTTGGGTGACTATCGTCGTCCCGTCTGCACTGAACGTGGCGTGGCGGAATAGGTTCGATCTCCCTTCGACCCTGCCGGCGTTGTGTATTGGCTCCGAGAATACATCGCCAGTCGTACCAACGCACTTTGGGCGCAAATCGATACTGGGGGAAGACATGTCGTTGGATTGTGCTTGTCCAGGAATAGCGCCGGCAAAGCAGACGCATCTCGGTAAAAGCAAGATATTGGTGCCTCAGGCATGAACATTTCAAGCCCGAGCTTGAGCTTCATCTTCCAGACTTTTCTATACGCCAGCCATCGCTTCTCTTCCCATCTCACGCTTCCAACTCCCTTCCAACACTCCCGAAATCATCTCCATCGAACGAAGCGCTTCCAAATCCGATACTTCAACAAAATGGTGAGATGAATTGATGATCATACATCGCCGCAGAGCTAATGCGACTGGATTACAGGCCACTACTCTTAAATCCATCAAGGCACTCGCCCCCCTCCTCGACCGTGTCCTCGTCCAGCGCGCAAAGGCCGAAGCGAAGACTGCCGGGGGTATCTTCCTGCCAGAGACCGCCGTGAAGGAGCTCAACGAGGCGAAGGTGCTGGCTGTTGGCCCAGGAGCATTGGACAGGGACGGCAAGCGGATACCAATGGGTGTGAGCGCAGGTGACAAGGTCTTGATCCCACAGGTAAGAGATGAGAACAGTGCAGTGTGAAGAGAATAGGTGCTGATGGAGATACAGTTCGGTGGAAGCCCGATCAAGGTTGGCGAGGATGAGTTCTCTATCTTCAGAGACCACGAGTAAGTGCAACGAGTTGCCATTGAACAGGAGCATCACTGACATCAAACAGCATCTTGGCAAAGATCAACGAGTAAACGGCTGCAAAAGATACCACCACTGTAAAAATAGCATAACCGGCGTCGAGCTCCAGGGACACCTCTGGACTGCGGTTGCATACTGAGCGCTTGTTCCATGTATTTGCTTGCCACTTGTATTTAAAAGCTGTTTCAATACATCTCTGCTCTTCGCCCGACAAACGCTGACAACGCGTGACTCTTCCGAGCTGTTCCACGTGGCTTGGCAGCATGTGAAGTTCACCTGGCAGGTGTTTCAGATTGAGGCCCGTGCTTGCTATTGTGAGTATTGTGCCTATTGACCAACTGACTACTATTGTGGCAGACTTTCTTCAGTCCAGACGATTCTGATCTTCTTCGACAACTTACAACAACATCCTCACCGACATTGCGCTCATCTGACATCTTCGACTTCGCCAACAACACACTACCCAACCCAACCACCTTGCCGCTGGACGGCATTTCACAGCACACTTCTGAGAACTCAACAAGAGCGACGATCAGCATTCTGTAACAAACCAACCATCTTCATACCAACGAGCTTCAACATGAACTTCGGAAAGCTTCGCAAGCCGGCCGATGATAAGCGCGTCAAGAAGGTCACAGGACAACAGCCATCGACAAGCAACAACGGCGCAGGCAAACCTAACCCTAAACAAGCACAACCAGCTCCCGCCGTCCCTACTCAAGGTCCAAACACGAGTGGCAAGACTAGTGGTGGCAATCGTCGTGATAAGAACCTCGAAGGAAAAGCGAAGAAGCGTCAGAAGCAAGGAGAAGCGTCAACAGGTGCAGCAAAAAAGAAGACCGGAGTGACTTCAGATCGCCGCCCATCGCCTACCTTGCCAACCAAGAGAAAGGTGCCAGTCCTCGACGACGATGAGCTCGACGCCGATGAGTTTGAAGACAAGACTGCCACGGCCTTCGCAGAAGACGAGCCGGTCAAAGGTGCTACCGAGCCAATTAAGAAGTCCAAGCGCGTTCTCGACGACGATGAGCCGGACGCAGATGACTTCGAGTCCCAGATAGCGAAGGCCTTTGCAGAGGACCAGCCTGCTGAAGGTGCTACCAAGCCAATCGAGAAGCCAACGCAGGTCTTCGACGCCGAAGCAGCCTACGCCAAGAAGCTTGAAGAGGCGGTAGAGAAGGCTTTTGCGGAGGATGAGCCTGATCAAGGTGCTACCGAGCCAATCAAGAACCCCATGCCCGACATCGACGACGAAGAACTCTTTGCCAAGCAGCTTGAAGAGGACATAAAGAAGTCTTTTGCGGCCGACGAGCTTGATGAAGGCGCTGAGAGGCTTCAAGAAGAGGTAGCGAAGGGCTTTGCGGACCACGCACCTTCTGACGACGAGCCTTCAAAGAAGCAGCAACCAATTGCTTCAGAGAATGCCGAGCCCGAGACTCCTGCCACTAGGCTGGTCAAGACGCTGGACCCGTTGTTCGACGAGGAGGAGGTTGACCAGAACAGTCAGTCTGCAGAGCAGCACGCAACAAGCCCGCTTGACTCCTTGTTCGACGGCTCCTTGTTCGGCGATGAAGAGGATGACGAGAGCAATCAGTCGGCGAGCCAACAGGCACTTGCTTCAGAGCAGGCCGAGCAAAAGACTGCCGCCGTGGACCCTTCCAGCCCGCTTGACTCCTTGTTTGACGGCTCCTTGTTCGGTGACGATGAGGACGACAACAACACCCTGGCCACAGAGCAGCAGAAGACTAGTCCAAAGAAAGCCGTCAAATCGCTAGACTCTTTGTTCGACGATGATGAGGATGATGAGAGCAACCAGTCGGCAAGCCAAAAGGCGCTTGCTTCAGAGCAAGTCGAGCCTGAGACTGCTGTCATGGCGCCTTCCAGTCCGCTCGACTCCTTGTTCGACGGCTCCTTGTTCGGTGACGATGAGGACGAAAAGGGCGTTCTGGCCGCAGACCAGCACGCTACCAATCCAGAAAGCGTCAAGCCTCAACAGAGCTCCACCACGAAATGGGCTTCTTGGCAGGACGAAATGGACTACGACTGGGACTGGCACCACTACCAAGACGGATCGAAGACGCCACAGTACCCGCACACCCGTCGAGCACCAAAAGGCAGAGACATCTGGGTCGAGCGCACCAAGACCGTCTTCAGCTTCCCACCCGAAGTCCGCAAGATGATCTACAAGTACGCGCTCTTCCCCAAGGGCGTCGAAGGCCACGCTCCGAGGCCATTCTTCTCGCACGCCAGCACCTGGAAGGTCAAGCCGCCGGCACTCCTCCAGTCCAGCTACGATGTCCGGCGTGAGGCCATCGGTGTGTACTACAGCGAGTTCAGAGTCGGCTGCAGCGCTCCCATGTATGCGAAGATGTGGCTGAGCAAGATCCGACAAGAGGCTAGAATGGCGTTGGGTGCTATTACTGTGAAGTGGGACTCGGAGGATAAGAAGAGAAAGAACGAGGAGCAGCAGCGTTTGGGCTTCTTCCAGGACTTCAGAGGATACGGTGTTCCGGTGCGGAAGGATATCATTCAGGTGTAAGTTGAACCTCATTGATGTGACTGTTGAGTGCGATGCTGACTTTGAATTCCAGTTCCAACAAGCCCAACTGAGATGCATCACATGAGCAACCTCGCAACTGTCAGCGAGAATCTGGTGCTCGAAACGAGCGATGGAAGTTCAGTTGTGCCTACGAATGTTGGGATGAATGCCAAAAGTGGCACTTGCGTAGGTAGATGCAACTGGAACGAAGACCAATCTTGACGACTATCCTCGCTTCATGCTCCAGAATCACAAGTACAAGCGCCACCAAACGCACGAAGTCGTAGGCACAGTAAATGCTCGGGTGCTGCTCACTCAAACCGGCCGAGCCAGCCTTTGGGCTTCGGATTCGCGTAGGATTTAACGAGGCATTGAGTGAATGATATATAGCCTCGTTGCCAAGCGCTATCATTGGTATTGACACCGGACAGTTTGAGTCAACAAGGCCGTCATCATGACCATCGAATCGACCCTCACGTCCCTGACGACCGCCGTCCAAAATGCAGCAACAAACATCAGCACCAAAACCAGAAGACAACTAATCGACACTCTCCGAGACCTTCAGTACTCGCTCGAGACGCCCCTAGAAACCTCGCAGCGACTCTGCTATGCTGTGCTCTTCCTCCATCCCTCCTCTCAAGCAACAATCACTAACGCACCTCACCACACAGTCCAACAACCTCTCCACAATCCGCGTCTGCATCGACCTAAAAATCTACAACCTCCTCGCCGAATCCAAAAAGCCCTTGAGGATCGAACAAATCTCAAACCACACAACCGCCTCCCCATCCCTCCTAACCCGCCTCCTCCGCCACCAAGCCTCCCTGGGCCACATCGCCCACCCCACCCCCACCACCTACGCCCCCAACACCGTCACGCACAACCTCGCTCTCCCGACCGTCCAAGCGGGCATCCTGATGAACGACGCCCTAGGCCCAGGTTTCGCCGCTTTGCCAGCTTTCCTGAAAGACACGAAGTACGCAAACCCGCAAGACATGCACGACACGCCCTTCCTCCGCGGCCACGAATCCAGCGGACGAACCCTCTTCCAATGGATGTCCACACACCCGGAACATATGCAGTTCTTCAAAGCACATCTCTCTTTGATCGAGGCGGAACCGCAGGATTTTTGGAGGTATTATCCTATCGAGTCTATGAGTCAGGGTTTGCAGAACGAGGAGGACGTCGTGTTCGTTGATGTGGCCGGGGCGATGGGCGCGCAGTGTGTGGCGCTCAAGGAGGCGTGTCCGGGATTGAAGGGGAGGGTTGTTTTGCAGGAGTTGGAGTATGCGGTGCGGAGGGCTGTGCTGCCGGAGGGGGTGGAGGGGATGGTGTATGATTTTTTTTACGAGGCAGCCTTTGGAAGGTATGTACTTCGCTCGGGTTGCTTGAGTGGTGTTTGCTGATGTACGTGTGTGTAACTTTTAGGGGCGAAGTTCTACTACTTCCGCCGCGTGCTGAAGGACTGGCCTGATGAGAAAGTTGTTGAGATTCTCAAGAATACTGTTAGTGCTATGGGACCTGAGAGCCATATCTTGATCGACGACTGGGTGGTTCCGGAGACGGGGGCGCCGTGGTTTGTGACGCAGGCGGATATGTGCATGCTGACGATGTCTGGTGGGCAGGAGAGATCTGAGGAGCAGTGGAGAGAGGTTTTGTCGAGATCTGGGTTGAAGATTGAGAGTGTCATCACCTACAATGAAGCGTTTAAGATGAGTATCGTCGACGTCGTCAAAGCGTAGCTAAGGAAACGTTTCGTTCAGTGTATACCTGTTTATCTCTAACAATCATAACCCCATCCCTCATACATGCATACCCTCTTTTCCACCGCTCACAAAGCAAACGTCCTAAAAGTATTACTACAATACTGATCCAACCCCGGCTGCTGAATCCTCCACCAAGTCCCACAATCAAAATTGAGCGTCCCGCCCTGCACCGCACAAGTCAACGGACAACTCCCATCCGCCGCCTCATACGCAATACTACACTGCAGCACATCCGCATTGGCATTCGCCGCGACATCCGCCACGTCGTCGAACATGACCAGCTCCGTGTCGCCGCTGTACTTGGTGGGATCCTCTTCCGCGATATCGCCGGCGTTGGCGCCATCTGCGATGACGAGGTTCGTGCCGGAGAGGTAGAAGGTCGAGGCGGAGGAGGAGGCGCCGCCGGAGAGGGCGACGCCGAGGCTGGAGCCGTAGGATTGGACTTGGGCGTAAGAGCCTTGGTTCCAGCCGCCGACGACTTCGATTTTGAAGGTCGGGAGGGAGACGATGGTTGTGGTGCCCGTTGTGGTTGTTGCCTGGACGCTGGTCCAGGTTGTGGTTGTTGTGCTGATGGCGGAGATGAGGGTTGAGATGCTGGTTGAGGTGGTGTGGGGGGTTGTTGTGGTTGTTGTCCCGACCTGGTTCTGTTAGTCCTTGCTCTGAGAATGTGGTAGGATATACTCACACTAGTCGTAGTAGAAACAGTCTTAACCAAAGACGTCACCGAAGTGACCGTAGTCGTAGACGGAGCAATGGAAAGGCAGCTACAAGCCGAAGAGACTGGTGCTCCGAGGGCATAGGACGTCAACGCAGTTGGCTTGACGATTGGAGCGAGAGCTCGCTGCTTGAGCTTGGATGGCGGGTTCAATGGGTCCGAGCAGGAAGAGACTGTCGACGTGGCAAGGACGGAAGTGGTATCGGTGGTTGTGGTTGAGGTATCGGTGAATGTCCTGGAAGCTTCTTAGTACTGCGTGCTAGAGATGAACTTGGATAGCTTACGTCGTGGTGAAAGAAGTAGTCGAGGCAATGGCCATGTCGGTGACTACTGGAGCGATAACCACTTGAGTCGTCGTAGTCTTTGTTGAGACACCTGTATACGTTCTGTGCGTGAAATCAGTACGATCTCAAGCTTCCTCTGTAGGAAAGAAACTCACGAAGTGTAAGTGGTCGATGTGACCGTAGTCGTCTTCAGCGGTATAGACAGGTATGAGGAGCAAAACGACGTCGCCGTAGCTTGCTGCTTGGCAGCAGAAATGACGTTCGTAACCGCAGAGCAGAAGGCTGCGTTGAAGTTGACGGCAGGAGATGCAGCGGCTCCGCCGACTAAGGCCAAAAGAGTGAACGAGCGCATCGTTGTAACGAGTGGACGATGGCGGGAGAGAATGGCAACGAGGGACTATTGGAATCCTGGGTGTTGCTGTGTGCTGATGATTCTTTGACTGATGGGCATCCTTGGCCAAATATATAGTCGACATCGAAGAGCACCTCTTTGCTTTGAAGGTATTGTATCCGATAGGCGTCAACATCGAGACTCTTCGTCCAGCCAGCCACGACAGCCTTCCATCCTTGCCAAGCTACAATCTGTGTATAGGCTTCTGGGTCAGGCTTGTTCTCGCCCTATAACGTTCGGCAGAAGAACATGCACACCACTGGCCACGTGCGCCCAGAGCCTCGCCAGAACGTGGAGATTGTCTTTGATTGGAAACGTTAGGGGCTGTGCCCCATGCGGAAGTTGTCAATGCACGGTGAAGGATCGGTGCGCGAATCACATCTGCTGGACTGCGAACATTTATGTTGTCAATAAAGAACCCTCTTGTACTTTACGAACTCACACGTTCCATTATCGCATCGCTGGCCTCGAATCGTTTCAGTAACACGATTAGATATTATGCTTGAAGGTTGTAATCTGGGTCGAGTTCATTACTGCTGGATTTGGGATTCTTCTAGACGCCCGTTATAGCCGTTATGAACAACGCACACGGGACGATGCGGGACAAGACGAGTTCGAGGCTTGTTGAAGAATGACTCGGAGATCCCGGCGGTTGTTCAGAGGCGGACTCCAGAGCATTCTCATACCATTTGGGAGAAAACCTGCGATGAGATCAGGATTCAAGATGAACGTTCTCGAGACTGTTGTGCGGTGAAATCGCTTCTACATTGCCAACCTGCTCATATCTCATGATGTCTGCACCACGAAGGAAGTGTTGTGCGACTTGAAAAGCACGCTGCTGTCCAATACGTTTCCGGTGCTCGACTGCATGAAGTCAACCCCCAGGTGATTTGCATCGATGAACTTGACTGTGGCATAGCTGAAATCATCCGCATAGGCAAAAGCATTCGCTGTCGCGTTGTCGCCGACCGCTGACAAGCCCTCGATGTTTCCAGTACCGCCTGCAACAATGTACATCGGCGCCTTGGGGTCTTGCATGCCCGCGGGGTCAGCCGTGCCGTTGTAGATGGGCAAGAAGCGCTGCGAGTTGTGCACATGGCCGAAGATTGCAAGGTCGACGCCGTATTTGTAAAAGATGGACTCGAAGGCTGTCTGGCAAGGATCGCAACCGCCACCTCCAGTGCTGTACCATGGCCTGTGACCAGCACCAATAAGCCATGGTGTGACGCTGCGGTCAACACTTGCTAGGTCCGCGTTGAGGAAGTCGATTTGCTGGTTTGGCTTGCCGAAGGGGCCGCCGTTCAAGTGTGCGCTGCCCCCTGGCCCATCTGGTGCATCCGGAAAGTCTGTCTCGGTGTCGAACATGACAATATGGGCCTGACCGTATTCGAAGCTGTACCAGAAAGGCGGGAGTGCAAGCTGCTGTGCTTTCGTCGCGCTCGATTGCGCGGTGGTGTTGGAAGATGAGGAAGCAAAGGCCGTGGGCATGGTCCTACCAAATCGCATCATAAAATCGGTGAAATTCTTCTGTCCCTCGGGGCACAGTCCACTTGTGTACGGGATCTCCTGGCAATCAGCCTCGTGGTTTCCAGGAGACGCCATGTACCCCTTTCGGGCAGCAATCGGGGCGAGTTGGTCGTAGAAGCCTTCGAGAATGGCTTGATATGCATCTTTGCCGTCGAGAAGGTTATGTGGCTTCTCGTACCAATCGTCTGCGTACGCAAAGTCGCCTGGATGTATCACAAACTCGTAGTCATCGACAGTCCTGGCAAGTGCTCCAATCGTGGTATGGTTGAGCTCGGGCTGAATTTGCGGGATCGTGTCTCTCTTCGTAGTAGTGTAACCGTCAGCTCCATAGATGCCTAGATCGATCACAACATCCATGTTGAAGGCTGTTTTGTCACCAGCAGTACGAGGACTGAGGAAGTGCTCCACACTTGAGTTGGTGGACGGGATCTTGTAGTAGTATGTCGTGGCCGGCTGAAGTCCGGTCATTGTCACTTCGTTGCCGTATGTACGAGATGTTGCATAGGTTGTCGAGCTGTCCGAGCAGGCTTGTGAAGTGAGACTTGTGCTGGAAGTTCCATACTGGACGCAGTAACTTCCGTTGAGCTTTTCGTAAGTGTTCCAGCCGATTGACATCGCTATAGAAATCAGTGAATGGGAAAATCCAGCGTAGCTTATCTCAATATACCATTCGGAGCGTTGATGGCGAGTCGTTGTTGGACTGGAGTCGTCCGGTCTGAGGGGATCGTGGGATAGTTGACAGCCAGTACAGTCGAAGCCGCCAGGAGTGGCAACATCTTGTAAGAAGCCATGGCGGGATGTTCGTGAAAGCAACGCTCCCTTCTCTCGCTGTACAGCACAAGTCACGAAGGATGCGTGGCGAAGGGCCTGGCGTTCCGACTTCTCATATATAGCAGAATAAGAAGCGACATAGCGGAGAGAAAGGGCAGTCGCTATCGGAGGAATGTCTGTTTGGACGGTGGTCTCCGTCGCCATCGTACATGCCTCGAAGCAGCCGTGATCCGCGGTCGAAGTGTGCCCGTGGCCGACATGATTGGGGCACAGTGGCTGAGAGCGATACGCAGTCTAGACAAGCTCATATCGAAGTGCTTAGCCTTACGCGTGTTTTAATGGCATTACCGAACCTGCATATGCCCTGCCGACGGCCAACGAATGATGTCTTTCGCATTAGATTCTGCTTCGGTTTGATGGGTGACTTCGGCGGATCGTTTCTGTTCCGGGCGGCTGAACCGAACGGTACATATGCCACAATTGCGTGTGTGGCCGAGGGCTGGTGATGATGTGGTACAGCTCTAGCAAAGTCTTCAAATCGCGTATGCAGGTACCATTCGATAGAAGAGTGGGAAGAAGGCCGTGGGTACGTGGCCGAGCTTCGAAGCGTCTAGTCCCTCAAGATGAGTTTGCTTGGAGTCGATTTCTCAAAGTATACATATGTTATGTCGCAGCGTAGACCTCCAGTAAGGACTTGATAAGAGCTGCCTCATAAGCAGAAGAACGATGTAGTATACCCGGCGAAAGTGCTAGTAGGTGTAAGAGAACACGGCGTTGAGAAGACGGTCCTATTTTGGCCTGAGGCAGCAACGTCGGCTAACCTGCTCCTCTCAAATTGCGCTCCATGGCGTCAAAACAATCTTGCTGCCGTTTGTGAACTCTGACTTCAGCATCACCACGCGCAGGTGGACTTCCGTCTGCAACGCAACAATGGCAGAGCCTAAGAACGACGCCCCAGTAGAATTGCCACACCGGCCCTTCCGTCTGATGGACCTGCCGCCAGAATTGAGACTCAACATCTACGAATACGCCCTCGCGACACCAGTCTGCCTGGATCACCAACTGCAGCTCAAATGGAATGAAGACCACAAATGCAGCAGCATGCAAGCCGACCGCATCGAAGCATTCCCACCACTCCTCCAGGCATGCCGGCAAATCCGTCTTGAGGCTGAGCAACTTTGGTATGCGACCGCTCGCTTCGACTACGGCGCAAGCAAGATGCGACAGCTCAAGGCCATCGTTGGCAAAGGTAACACCGACAAGATCCGATATAGCAGACTCGTCGGCCCTTGGGCATTTCGTGTCAACGCTTGGGGCTGGATCAGTCTCATGTTTGCTACGCTGCAGGCAAAAGGCTACTCTGGTGTGCTTGAAGCCCACGTCACGGAGCCTGGAGCCCGCGGAGTGGTCTTTGCCATTTCCGCACAAACTGCGTACTCGTACTACGAAGAAGTATGAAGTGGCATTATCACGGTGCGCAAGAAACTGGCAAGGTATGAGATTCTGCCCCTAGGTCAATGCTCTGGAAATCGGTAAGTGATCGCGGTAAGTGAAAATCGTTCGTTCAAAGCGTGGAGCTAAAATTTCCATGGACTCGTTTCCTTTTGGTTTGTGCGTTTGAGGTTGAAAGATGACAAGGGTTGATGAAATGGAGGAACGGAACTGGAGAGGTTTGTACGGTAGCACACGAGCTTTTGGTGGACCACTTGAACAGGAAGGAGCGACTTCCGTACCTTCCTCAACAACAATCGCCGCGCGCTGTTTGACTCAACCCCTCCAATTTCGTTTCCATCAACACACACTCGCTCCACCCTAACACTCCCTCAACTGTCAAGTCAACATGGCGAAAGCAAAAGTAGCGAAAAAGAAGACGACCATCTTCTCGCTCTCCACCGAAGTCCGCAACACCATCTGGCACTACACTCTGGAAGACGACAACGAGCAATGCACCCGCAAGCGCCGAACCCGCGAGTGTCGCTGGTGCATCAACCGCTGCCCGTCCTACCAGGAGCCACCTGTCCTCCAAGTCTCCCGTCAAGTCCGCTGCGAGACACAAAGCGTCTGGTACGCCAACGCCACCTTCTACTTCCACGACGGCAGCGACAAGCTGCTTGAATTCCTCGTCTTCCTAGGCAACCACAAGACGGCCAAGATCGCCAACTTGAAGGACGAGCCCAGCTTCGGCAAGCCTTCGTTTGCGCGCAAGTCCCTCGAGGAGGTGTATCACAAGATTCATGCTCTTGGCATCCAGCTATCCGAGCAAGCTATTGAGGTCAGCTGCCATGAGGGTGTGCGCTTGCTGAAGAGTACTTTGCGCAAGGATATCAAGGTTACGATGCGCAAGAAGATCGGTGGCGGTGTTGCTACTACCACGGTCTCCATGCCTCGCATGCAAGTCTCATCTGGAAGCGCTTCGACGGAGGATGAGGGCAGTTCGAGCGACTCTCTACTGCCGAACGACGACACCGACAGCGACGCCAGTATGTGACAGTCCTTTTGAACAAGTTTGACCAATGCTGATTGGAATTTAGCCCTCGACTACTCCGACGGTAGCGAGTACCTTGCTTGAATGCGCACCCAGAAGGAGAATTTGAAGCTGGATAAGGATGGGATCGGCAGGATACTATGACTTGCGTCCTGTGGTTGCACGGCTGCTTGAAATGGCATACTTGAAGACTGCTGCTGCCTGGATTCAATTGGTGACAGAAGACTCGAGTGAAGTAGAGTTATAAGTGAGAAATCATGTGAAAGAAAGGCAGATCTCACTTCACTTTACTCACCCTCACTTCGTACTACCTCTTCATCATGACCTCCAAACATATTCCCTTTCTTCTCGCACTCACCGTAGTGCATCATCGCATCCCTTCGCCTCCCCAAGCCCACCCCGAGTGGCGAGAGACCAGCAGCAACGATGACACACCAGACGTCCAACGACAACAACCCCAAATGCCACCTCTTCCGCCTGCCACCCGAAATCCGCAACGAAATCTACCACCTCGTTTTCACCCCTCAAGAATCAATCTGCCTCAGCCCAATCCTCCACTGCGGCACCCACCACGGCGCCCCCAAACGCTTCAAAGTCCCCGCCCTCCTGCGAACCAGCCGCCAAATCCGGCACGAAGCCGCGGGTCTCTTCTACTCCAAGACGACCTTCATCTGCCACTCCTCAGCCTCGACGTTCGCGCAGTGTCTCAAGATCATCGATAAGGAGCATCTGAAGTTCTTTCGCAAGATCGAGTATCGGACGTATGAGAATGTTTGGTCGGCGAGGCTTTGGCTGCAGGTTGTGGCGGATTTGTTGGGGGAGAGGGGAGGTTGTTTGGGGACGGGGTTATAAGGGCGGCGTATGATCCGGGTTATAAGGAGGGGGAGAAGTTGCCGGAGGTTTGTTGGATTAGGTTGAGTGAGGTGCAGGGGAAGGATGAGGAGGAGAAGCGTGAGTGAGATGGAGGACTGGCTGGGTACGTTGGGAACAGACGCGAGTATGAATGCAGAGAAGATGCGAGGTCAGTTGACACGGCCCAGGCTTGTGTTGTGTAGCAGGAGCAGGATCATTAACGGCTGTTGGCTGTCGAGAGCAAAAAGCTTCCCCCAGCTGGCATGAAAGCAACCTGAGTCTTTCCTCACAGCACTGCACCAAGCCATCAAATGCATGCCCGTGTAACCACAACCCTGCTGACACTCTCTGCAAACCGCCTTCTCGCCGCTCAAAGCGTCCGCACAGAAAGCCCAGAATGTCACCTCGCGCGCACCTCCCAGCCATCCGGCCGTCACATACTCCACAGCCAAACCTCACTTCATCAGCGAAGCTGTTTTGGATGTACTACGCTCACATCATCAAGCAACAGACCCAAAGTCCAGAAAGGGCCACGCCAAGCCCGCCAGGCCCCATCAAACTTTCACCTGCAAGCCATCCGCGGTCCCTCCCGCCTTTAGCGCCCTTTCAGTTCCTTCCCAATTCGGAAGGACCTGGTTCTCCACCAAGCGCTCTCATGTTGCTGTTACCATAAGCAGAGTCCAGCGTCAATATAAGTTCGTACTCATCCCTCATCAGTATGCAGCGACTCCCTCTCCAAGAAAGTCATCTCTTTGTCAAGCATGTATTTCCTCACATTCGCCGCCCTCCTCACCGGAGCACTCGCGACCCCACTCCTCGAACTCGACGCAAGGGATGGACGTCCTTCGTGCTCTGTCAACTGCACTAAAGTCCAGAGTCGCTGTGCGAGGTCGACGCAGATGGCTTCGGTTACGAAGTATTGCTCGGCGTATCTTAGTATGATCCAACAAGAACAACGGATTGAGACGATGGCTGACGGGGATAAGGCTTGACGTCGAGCGGGTCAGGGGGTTCTTCAGGTGGTTCGTCGACGGTGTTTACGACTGTTACTTCGTGAGTCTTGGGATTTTGATGGGAAGAGAGCAGGGGATTGATGTTCGAAGGACGATCACGTCGACGTCGACGAATTTCGCCACTTTGACGAGCACGGCACCTGCTCAGACGGTCACAAAATCAACGTAAGCCACAACAACCCCCATCTTCCGAGAACAAAATACTAACCTCTTCCCAGCACCCTCTACGCGGAAATAACCTCCTTGTACGCCAGCCACCCTATCCACCCCTCTCCCCGGCACAACCTCCACTAACCACTCCCAAGCATCGCAACCAGCACCTCAACAGTCTACACCTCCACCATAACCGGCACAAGCACCACCATCGTCAACGCCCCGGACATCACCAAATGCGCCGCACCCGCCGACCTGTCGAGTCCTCCTCCTCAGAAGCGAGAGCCCGGAGCTGGGGAGAGATGCAAGGAGAAGAAGCCGAGATGTTTCTCGCGGCAGCATAATTCGGAGCAGATCTCGTCGGCGTGTGGGTGTTTTGGGGTTACGGCGGGGCCGAGGAGTCCTGGGGGTGGAGGGGGAAATGGGACGCCGGTGACGAGTACGGTGACGAGTTTTACGACGGTTTGGACGACTGTGCAGGTAAGTCCTCTTCCCACCCGTCTGCATCACCTCTCACTAACCCTTCCCAGTCCGGCTCCATAACAACCCTCACGCCCACCCTCACAACCCTCCTCCCCACAACATCCACCTCCACAAAACGCCTCACATCCACCACAACCCTCAGCACCATAACCACCGCCTCCGTGACCTCAATCCGCTACGCCGTCGCCACAGCCGCCTACCAGAATACCCCCTTTCGGATCCTCGCTTCAGGCGGCACCGTGACGGGGAAATACCTCCTAACGCCCAACCCAGCCGGCGGAACAGATTTCTTCTCCACCGCCCTCCTCGTCTTCGCAGCAGACACAGCCACCACCGCCACGACCTTCACTTGGAACGCCACATCCAACGCCCTCGTCGTCGCGCACGCGGGGAATCCAGCCAACGGCTACGCGGCGACCATCTTAGGCACCGGGGTAGCGGATAAGTTGCGGGCGCAGAATTTCGCTTTTCAGGACGAGGAGGCTATTACGTGTGGGGTTGTTGGGGGGCCTGGGGAGACTTGTGTGCTGCAGTGTCAGAACCCGTTCGATCAGGCGAGGGAGAGTTTTGAGGATTGTTATCAGGGGGATCGGAATTGGATGGTGGGGATGAGGGCGGGGGCGGATTATGGGGCGTGTCCGTTGGTTAGGCCGTATCTTGTTACGGGGTGAATGTGTTGTTGGTGGAGGGTGGAAGGAGAGGGGTTGATCGAGGAGAAGCGATGGGGCATACTGTTGGCGTTGAGTTGGATTTGGGAGTTTTGTGATGTCCTGTTGCTCACGTTACTATAGATCCGTACATCTGGTCATTGAGGTCGAGACTTACATTGAAGAATATATCTGTTGATATATCAGGCCATCCCACGCCTCCTGTGCCTTCCCGAGGCTCATGACGTACCCCACATTCCTTCCGTCTTGGGATCCACAGGACCTCCTATCTAGAGCTCCATGCAGACCATCTTCTCTTCTCCTCTTCTCAACATTGACGACAGCCAGAAACGAATCGTTTCACACATTGGAAAAAGCGCAACCTATTCATCCGTCAGCCCATATTCAAGCCATGGAAGACATCCAGCCCACCGCCACCGCCATATCCTCCCCGCTATTCCGCCTACCAGGAGAGCTCAGAAACGTAATCTACGAACAGGTCCTAGAAGAAGACAGCCACTTCTGCATTCACGACATGCTGCACGAATGCTACATCCGCTCGCAGCTCAAAGTCCCGCCTCTTCTGCACGTCTGCCACCAAATCCGCAAGGAGACGGCGAGTATCTGGTTCTCGGAAACCATCTTTCAGTATCACAACCTACCTCAGCTCGAGCGCTGGCTGAAAGCGCTGCTACCTCCTCATCGTGATCTCATCCGGACTATTCGGAAATGGCATCCTCTTTTCTCTTTGATAGGCTTGGAGCGTGAGATGCTCGACGCTCGGGAGATGTTCGCGAAGCTGGGAATGGTGAATGCGGCTCAAGTGATGGTGGTTGGGTGTATGAGGGATGAGAATGGAGTTGTGAGATCTAGTCAGTCCGCGAGGTGGTTTCGTGGGCCGGGTCAGATCATGAGCGAAGGGCCTGTGGAATGCGCCTTGTCGAGTGTGAAGGCTTTGGCGTGATCTTGGATGGAGCTGGTGGTATCAGCAGGCTTGAGTGCGTGGATCAGCTGGCTCTGGGCGGAATATCAGGAGCGAGCTCAGATCAATAGCAATGAATGAATGACTGACACCAAGCGCAGTGGAATCGTATCCATATCATAGTGTCTAGCTCACGGTGCTCATGCCATTTCTGTCATGCCTGTTTGTATGCCAACGCCCTCTCTTATGCAGTGTCTCGTCCTGTGTCCCTGACAGTATCATCCGCTCGTTACGTTGTCTTGGAGCCCTGATTCGCAGCAGCTTCCCTCGCCATCTGTTCCTCGGTCTTCTTGTTGCCATGCATGATCTGTGCGAAGAGCTCAACACCAGGAGCTCATTTTATTTGAGATTGAATCACTCACGAGCTTGTTCAAGAAGCTTCCTGGCTTGCCTTGCGGGTGACCTTCCTCTTCGGCCTTCTCAATCTCTCGGTGCAGGTGACCCGTAGTCTCCTCATCGATATCTTCCGGCTCTTGGTGTTCATCGAGGTTGGCTTGTAAGGTTAGCTTGGATTGTACAGACCTTACAGAAGGGTAGTGTACGGTTCTTGTCGTGAAGAGACAGCTTCCTCTTGATCTTGGCTCGAATGTTCTGCATATTCGCGAATGATTGTGTTGAGCTGGGAGCTTGTAGCAGAGAAGCGGTAGGCGTTCAATGGGTGAGCGATTGGGCGGAGTCGCGATGACGTTGGCGTAGTCTAGGAGGTTGTGCTCGGAGGATTAGGTCGTACAGCGTCAAAGCCTCAGGACTTATATTACGAAGGGACAGTTTTCAAGAAAGACGAATCGATCCTGTACAAGCAAGACACACCGCGTGGAAGTGGCGGCAGGCCAGAGCTGCCCGCCTTGTGCAGCTGTCGTCGTCCGAGCAATTGCGGTGGAGAGCTTGCCTGAAGAAGAGGGGTCTAGATGTTGTGCACAGTGGCCCGTGCTTTGTGCTTTGCACACCGCAGCACCATTATTCGAGGCGCTAGAACCTACCAATACATTCACTTACACGTCCCCGGAGATCGCTCCAGATCACATGCTGAGAGCCTCATGGCTGTGAGGACAGATAATTGAAGACGTCCGCTGGCACTTGCGCTCTTCTCTACCCTTCCCTAGACGACCGACGCGTTTTCCAGGGACTCCCAACACGCGCCTTCGGGTCTTCTACTCAGACTTCTCGACTACAAACAACTCCGCGTATCCACCGTATTCTGACATATGTTCAACAAACAGAGGAATCGATCTGCCTTGCTTCCCTTCCGGCGTACCAAATAATCTGCTAAGATGCTCCACGAAGTCCTGCTGGCCTTATCCGGCCACCCATCTCCCCTCTTCGCGGAGCAACCATCCACATCTGGAGCGCCGCCCAGCGAAGACTTCCCTCTGCTCTCTCCATCAGAGCGGGCTCTCTTACGATCAATTGGCAGACTATCTCAGCTACACCGAAGACTGAAGCGACACCTTCGAAACGTATCTTCAAAGCATACATCTATAATTTGCAAGGCGGTAGCAGCGTCAATCCTCCAGACGCACTTGGATCGGTTCCAGCAACGTATTCTCGACGTCGAGAGCAAGATCCTGAAGCGAGATGCAAGCCTGGTAGGAGCCTATGAAATTGTGCCTTTGGCTGCCGTCGTGGGGGAGTTCGATGATTGGCATCGCCGCATGGCCTGGTACTGGGAAGTGGCCTGCTTCATGTTGACTCCCAAGGACTTCCACCGCAGCGCAACAACACCGACATCGGAATGCACGAGTGCTCTGTTGATTGACAAGTTGCGAGCTGAAGCTCGGACTGGATATCCCGAGATCGAAGAGGCTGCGACTGAGCTATCGAGGGTAGCAGAGACTGCTTGGCTCAGACAATTGTCGTCCTGGATCATATACGGAAAACTTCCATCTTTGAAAGGGCACGACTTCTTCATCCACACCGAGAAGGACCATACATTCAAGAAGCAGACCAATCTTCTACCCGACTTTGTCAACCCGGCCACTGCCTCCTCGATCCTGTTCATTGGAAAGTCGTTGAATCAAGCTCAAAATCTTCTGCGTACGAACCACGAACTCACAGCACTGTCAGAAAAGAAGGGCACCATAGCAAGCGATCACTTGCGGATGCTCTCCTCGCTATCTCTGCCCATCATTCCGTCTCAGCTATCCAGGACCGTGGCCGCGATGCGCTTGTCTCTGTCACAAAATGTACTGCAGCATCTTCTGCCGATGAAGGTGACCTTGAAGAATCTCTCCTGCTTGAGGCAGTATCTGCTTCTTGCCCACGGCGAGTTCGCCGCTGGCCTTATCACAGAGGCTGAGGCAAAGCTACAGTCTCGACAGCAAAGCATGGGGTCACTGTTACAGCAAGAACCGGCGAAAGCTTTGCAGGGGCTGAGCATTAAAGATACCGAACTCAACCAAAGCTTACAGCAAGTCTGGAGGTCGTTGGCGGCAGAAGATAAAGAAGTGGCCGACGAGCTGCTGGAACATGCGCAGATCCACGTCTCTCTAGCAGCTCCAAAGGCGAATGCTTCTCGCCCATCGACATCTGATGGATCATATGCTTCAGCCCAAGAGATGGCACCTACACCATTCAACGACTTGCTCTTCCCTTCGGCCACGGAGCTCGGCATGACAGTCACCTCGCCACTAGACCTCTTTCTTTCCTCGCACGACATCTCGATCTACTCAAAGATCAGTTCTTACCTCCTTGCGATTCGACGCGGCCATCACAGACTTAGTGAGCTGTGGCGCCGGACGCCTGCTAGAAGAGAGCATCCAGTCAGTCGCACCCTAGACAGGAGTCGCAAGAACAAGCGCAACACCACCACACGTAAAGTCTGGGCCACGTGCAGCGCAGCAATCTTCCTACTTTCTGAGACGGCTGCGTTCTTCGAGGGCGAGATTGTGAAGGGCTCATGCGATCACTTTCAGCAGTGGGTAGAATCTCCAGCGCCGACATACGACCCGGAAAATTCATTTAGCAGCGTCCACGAGGATCCCGAATCGAGATCTCAACGAGACCCAGAGACACTGGCGTCTGGTCATCGCACATTCCTGGCCGCTCTGACATATTCATTACTCTTGACGGATGCTTCATACACCAAAGAACTCCGCTCCCTCCTCGGCAACGTCGACAACCTCATCGCCTTCTTCTCCCGCTTACTCGAAATCCAACAAAAACTCGACCTCGAAGACCAAACCGAAGACTCGACGTCATACACTGCCCAAGAAGAGCAGCGGATCAGTCTCGAGCTCGATCGGGCGAGGAAGAAGGTGGACAGCGATCTCAAGTCTGTGGTCAATCGTTTGAGGCAGCTGGATCATGAGAGGATTGGGTCGATGCGTTATTTGGATTTGAGGCCGGGGGAGAAGGGAGATTTTGAGGTTTGGAAGGGGGGAGGTGTGGATCGGTTGTTGATGAAGTTGGAGTTTGGGAGGTTGGCGAGGGAGGGGTTTGATGGGGCTTGATGAGGGAGAGTTGAATTTGAATCTTCACGGTCTTCTTTGATATTGACGCACGACTACCGCAGTGCTATGCAGGACGGTCCTTTCGCTCTCTTCGATCTTCGATCTTTCACTATCCGTCCCTGAAAACTCATCCTGTCTCCTTGCCACCGAGGCTTCACCGCTCTCGTCCGCCGATGGTTAACCTCACTGAGTCGACACTTTCCCCACCGAACCCATTCTACTTGCAACCGCTGCCCATCTTCCGAGACCTGAACTCGTGTCCGCTGCATGCTTACGTCTCCACCGAACTCATGCAGCACGCTCTTCGCTCGAGTGTTCCTCTTTGTGGTGGACCGGGTCTCTCACGGCAGGGCAGTCGCATCGGAAACTGAAGTTTCGCCCGTGGAACCATCCGCACCAGCAAGAAATGGCCGACTCATGCTCGCGGACGAAGTACTCCAACAAATGCGGGTGGCGGAACTCCTTCGCAGCAGCCTCCTCAGTCGCGAAGGTCTCGTAAAACGTCTGCCACGGCGTCTGAGTGTGCACCATCGTTCCCCCATAGTCGAGGGCGACACTCTTCTTAGCCCTCTGAGCTAGATGACAGAGACCCTGCTGTTCAAGGACTTGGCGGAATTGCAAAAGCCTGTACTGTGACCAGAAGGCGGAGAGGAGTAGGCCTCTCGCTTCACAGGAGCAAATCGTACCCGTAGCTGCCACTCCCATCCCACAGCTGCAAGAAATCCATTTTTCGTTGTCGTCGACATCGCAGACGACATTCTGGAGGCGCTGGAGGAACTTGGCAGGAAGTTTCTGGAGGTGCGAGGCGAGGATTGTTGGGTAGTCACTGCAGATGAAGGTCGAGGTGGCGTAATGGATAGCGACTGCCTCTGAGTAGGTCTGCTTGCAGGAGAGCAAGATGCCTGGCGCGGCTAGAACGCAATTGGTGTTGACGTGAACAACGTTGTCGGTGAACACCAGTTCGTAGATGTTGTTGCGCAGCTCGGGCGGTAGAGAGAGGAGGCGTGATTTGGCCTTGTCGGTCATGGTTGTAGACGCCGCTGTTTCTCGGAGTGGTGGTGTTGATATTCGAGGAGAAGATGAGGAAAGTTTGTGGGCGGTCGGTCAAGTTAGATGAAATGAGCCGAGTGCCAGGACTCTGAGCAAGTGAAAGGAGGCAAACAAACAACGTCATGTGACGTGTGGTTCATCAGGGCAGTGACAGGCTTACACAACAAGACTCGCTGATTCGTATATGACAGGGCGAGTCTAAACGATACCGTGACTTGTGCCAAATGGGTTTTTGTTTCTACTCAGCTTCCCATTCCGACGATCCCTGGGCCCTGGCCGTACCAACGTTGCTTTTCCATGCTGGCTCTCACTGGGGCTTCATAGGACATCTGCAATTCCACCGCTCTCCACCCCACAGCCATGTCCAACATCGACTAGGCATGTGATGGTCGTACTTGAAGAAGCGCAGCATGTTCACGTACTCGTCCCTGAAGTCCTGGTCAACAAGCTCGGCTATGATCTTGGTCAGCGCCTGTCTTCAAATCGAGCCAACATCAATGGTTCAACTTACCTGACAGTTGAAATGTCTTCCCAGCAAATAGACACCAAGGCTCATCGGTCTTCACTTTCTCATCACCCGCCAGGGATGTCTTGACCCGCACCACAGCCCCAATCGCACCCGGCGTCTTCAATCCCTTGTCCTCTTTGATTTTCGCCAGGCTTTGTAGTCGCAGAAGCGAAAGCTGCGCCTTGAATGCCTTCTCCTCAAGCAAGAAAATTTCGCCACTGCATGTCTCGTCGGCTGCACCAAGGCACACGTTCTTGATGATGTTGCTGTATTTGACAGGAAGACATGATAGCCGATCTCTGGCAAAACATGAGTCCTTGCAGGTGAAAGTCGACAGTTCGTAGCAGGCGCCGATAGCTTCGGTGTGGGTCTGCTTGCAAGCCAGCAACAATCCTGGAGGTGGACTGGTTGCGCTGTTCCAGTCGACTTCGTTGTCCTCGAAGACCATGTCATAGATACGGTTTCGAAGTTCAGGTGCCAGGCCCAGTAGCCGCGATTCCGGTTCGTCGGCCATGTTGACGGCGATGATGGGGAATGTGGTGGTGTCTGTTGTGGAGAGTAAAGGAAGCAGAGGGTGCGGTGAAAGATAATCTTTCATTAGTGGCCGCGAGGATTTGGAAGGTGCGGCCCATGACATGTGAATTTTGGAAGGCGCGAGTGACTTCGACAGGAACGCAGGGCGATTCGCGCGATTCAATTAACTCGCTCTACTCGACGAGTTTCCTAAAACCATAACCCGGGTCCTGCCTTTCAGGGAAGAGGGGGCGTTCGGTCTGAGTGTAGTTCCCAGCGAAGACGAACTCGGAGATGCGATTTCCGAGTTCTGGCGGGAATTTGAGTAGCCTTGACTCGGGCTCGTCGTCCATGATGGAGATTTGTTAACGGTGGCTGGTTGATCTGACGTGGTGGATGTTGTGATGAGGACTGGATTTTGAGGAAGAGACGAAGTCGGCTTTGCGCTAATCTTTGAACAAGTGGCAATGCGCGGCGAATCACATGTAAAAGTGGGGAGTGACAAGCAATACGGGCAAGAACAGTGCAGCAATTGCCAGGTTCGCGCAAACTGACTATCTGCACGCTTTTCTGCTCACGCTGCTCATGTCAAGACGGCGCTGGACCTGGTTTCTTCTCGGTCTTTCGTCTCTCTAATCGTGCTGGTCTTCCGGTTCCATGTCATCCTTGTAAGGACAATCGCACGCCTGCCGCGGGTGGTTAGTCCACTGATGCCAACAGACAGCGTAGTCTAAATGAGCCCGCTTGAAGAATGAAGTATTCAGGCAGACAACATGGTCATCATACAACGACTGCGTGATACCTAATGCAGCGTGAGCTGTGTGGTATGGCTGGCCCTGTCTGAAACTATTCACTTGGGAATTGCACATAGAGCTCCGCAAATGTCATCCAAGGTGTCGAGGTCCACTTGGCGTGTCCGGACGACCGACTGAAGTCGGCGACGTTTGACTGGATGGACGCTGGAATCGGACAGGCGAATGCCTTCAAGCTGGTGCGTGCCGTAAAGACATCATATTGAGCAGCTACTGCAATACCCGTGCCTGTCGACTTGAAGACTTCAAGTCTTGCGATGGTGTCGAAGCGAATTGTAGAGACCATGCGCGCGTGTCGAGGCGGCAGCGATCTCAAGAACTCGACAAGCGCCATACGCCAGGTGAAGTAGAACGTGGTGACGCTGTAGAAGATGTCGGTTGCCTCGCGGTACGTTTGGCGACAGGTCATCAAGATGCCGAGGGACGGCGGTTCGTATGTGCAGCATGGTATGCCATTGCGATGCGCACGGATGGTGACCTCGCTGTCCTCGAACACGAACTCGTAGATGCGGTTTCTTAACTCAGGCGGCAGGCCAAGGAGACGGGATGTGGTGGTAGAGGCCATGACGCTCTGTTTGGATGATGTTGTGGTGGAAGTCTCGAAAGGAAAAGCGGAAGAATTTATGGGAGTGGCGGGAAGCGGCGAGTCACATGCTTCCTCCCCTCAGGAACCCCGATAAACTGAATTTCATGAGTGTTTGGTGAATCAATCAATGTGTGCAAAACAACAAGAGGTTGGTTCCAACTCGATACACTACAGACTTTGAGTGGATCCTCTCCTGAATTTAAGACCGTATGTATCCACTAGCACTCAACGAGAGCGAGCCCTTGATGTCTGCTTCTAACTGTCTCGCATGGGCCCAAGTCGCGCCTTTGTGTACCCAAATCACCCCAAAGCCTCTTCAGATCCACCTGCCAATCGATTCCGCCCTCAGAGTTTCAAGGTACTCCCCCATCGAGACAGACTGCACCTCAACAGGAATGCCTAAGTCTTGCAGCTTGCGCAGTGCTGCCTCACGAATTCGCCTCTCCTCGCTCGCCCTGATCGACTCTCGACTCGAGCAGCAGTGGGCGACCCTTTTCATCTTGACGTGCTTGAGAGCCTTGCGGGCCGGATCGGGTAGCTTGTCGATCCACTGTCGAAGATCGGACACGAAAAGACTCGCGAATATAGTATGCAGGTAGCTATGAAGTGTGAGCCAGAACCGATAATTGCGGATGTTTCGCACGAACGCACTATGCTTTGATGGACTCGGCGTGGATTTGTTTGCAGGTGAGGACTAGGCTGGCGTTGCAATTTCCTGCTGTCGGCTTGGCTTCGCGCTTGAGTCGCTTGCGGATGTTGCGTTCGAACGAAGTGAAGGTGTATTCGTAGATGATGTCGCGCAACTCGCGAGGAAGGGCGAGGAGGCGGCAGGGTGCGGAGGGTGTGTCTTCCGCAATAATGGAGGCTCGTCGCAAGAATTTGGCGGTCGAACGGTGCTGTGCTCAAATTTAGTGGGGAGGAAGCGGGCGGGCTTTTATGTAGTTATTCCGTTTGCAAGGCGGCCCGTGTGTTCACTAGCGCCATCAATTCTGGGAAGGCACGGACCCGCGAGTGAATGCGCTTCACGACAATTCCCAATCCACACCCTTCTCCTTCAACGCCGCCCAACTCTTACTCAACACTACGTCACTCCCTCGAATAAACTCATGGACCGCCTCTTTGCTCAAAATTCCCTTCTCAAATGAATACACCTAAGCCCTCCAAACCAGGAACTCTTCTTGATCAAACCACAGATCAAACACGGATGGCATGTTTCTCTGCGCTTCTGGGATCCCGGAGTGGTCGTACATGTCTGTGTAGCCTGTGCGTTCGGTGGATTGGACGGCGAAGCCAGGGTTGGCAAGGGCGGGGCCGATGATGGTGAACGAAGGCTCTGGCTCGTGGGTGTCTTTGGATCTGATGACAAGCCATATGGGCAGGCCGTTGCCATTTTCGATCTGGAGGAGGACGTCTTCTGGCTCTGTTTGTGGGCATAGGTAGCCAGCTATCTCATCGTCAACGTACAGAGGCATGCCGGCTCTTGAGGTCCAGATCCGAGCTTTCTCTTCTTCGAACAACTCTCGGCCCCTGTTGGAGTTGGCGATGTTTGCTGTGAAGGAGCCATCAAGAGCACGACGGATACGACATCCTGCTGGTCTGCGTAAGAACTCGCCAGCGTACAGGAACAGGGGATGTGATCCTTGAGTGGAGTCGGCGACCTTTTGCTGCGTTGCTTGATCTTGCTGCCGCAATAAGGCCTGCATCTCGGGCTCATGCACCGTCATATCGAACGCCGCAAGAAGTCTGCCTATGGCCTTATAGCAGCGATGTTCAGCCCAATTCACTTTAGCAAGACGCTGCAGAACTTCCCTCAGCAACGCCAATTTCGTGGCGCGGTAATCTGGTCTCGGCGGCGGACCACCATCAGGCCACTCTGTCACCTTCGCCAAGGCATACAGATGGTCTCTGAAATTGCTCGCCTTGTGCTGATCGAACGTCTCCAGAGCCTTCGACAGAGCCAACGGCCGTACATTCCCGCCTGCTTTAGCTTTCCTGGGCAGATGCAAAGATCCAGCAATGACTCGCCACATATCGGTGAGAAGCCACGTCGCCAGCCAGATATCCGTGTCAGCCGCCTTGTCGTTCATCATAGCTCTCAGGAACGTGGCAAAGTCTGCCAAATCGATGCTGTCAGGGCCACAGAAGAGAGTGCAGTTCTCCGCCAGGCGAGCTTCTTGCACGATCCACATCCTCTGCCAGTTCTCTCTGTTGCCAAATGCAATATACGCTGCTGTTGACTTCCTGCCGAATTCAAGATCATATGTCCCTCTTCGGGACTGAAGTTCACTCATATGATCTGTTGCAAGTGACTGATTGTAGCGGGCCTCGAGAGGTTGTAATCGAATCCACGCAGCCATGTCCTTCACAAATGGAAGCACGATCTCGGTCATCTGCGTGCGGGCCAACTCAAGAAAGTACAGTCTCCGCCCGTGTGTAGATATCTGCCATCATCTCGACCTGCAGCGCTTTCTCGTCCAGGTCGTTCTGGTTGATGCAGATGCTGTCCAGCCAGAAATGCTTCAGTCCAGCTTGGAGATGAGGCGCGATTTGTGTCAAGGCGTAGTGGCAGTTCTGCCACACGTTGAAGTCCTTGCCATTGATTTCGATTCTGCGAGGATCTTGTGGTGACGCCCATGTGTAGGATATCGCAGCATACGGTGGTGAGAATGCAATGTCGACATTCGAGAGCTCGCAAGCGATGTCCTCTTTATCAGTATCAATGAAGCGAAGGAGTCGAATTTGCTTTCTGGCGTCTTCCAAAGGGTGGTGGACGAACGGCTCCTGTGACATGTTGAAACCTGCTCGTGAGGGTAGAACGAAGTGCTGTCAGTGTCGAAAGCTGAAGCTCTGCCCACATCCTTGCAGATCCACGTAGCTCCAGGCGCCCAACCGTGCATAAGTCTTTTGTAGTGTGATAGTAGAGAACGATGTGAGAGCTGTACGAGGAAAGAAAGTACGAACCCACGTATTGCTCTGACGAGCTGCACTGTCTTCTTCAGCCCATCGGCAGCTTGCCCTGGCCCTTGCGTTCTGTAAATGTACACTTGTTTATACAAAGCCATGAGATGAGATCCCAACATGAGCAGAAGCAGGACACGCTCAAACAGTACCCGCTCGCTTCCCATTCTTACGCCATTGATGCATTCCCATCGCTCGTGCTTTCGTAGGCAGAGCTATCCAGAGCTAACAACGACATGAAAGAAGTCTTCCCCGCTACTCTTCGCATCTCTTGATCCCTCTCGCCATTGCCATAAGATCGAGCAGGACACCAGGTGGAGCGTACCTCTTTACTCGACGGTCGCGCCAGCGTCTGATGAGCCAGCGGATCCAGTGACGGATATGCTTGGGTCGACGGCGATCATCTCGGCGAGGATGTCCAGGATAGGCTGTATGTCAAGTCAGTTCTCATTCTCACCGCAAAATATATCGAATATCCCACCTTAGGCACAGTCTTGTCGTAGATGCTAATCAGCTCCCTAGGCTGAGGGTACACCTTCAAGGCCTTGTAAAAGCACAGCGCCGCATCCACAGGGTCACTGCCATCGGTGCACATGCCCTCTCCTCGTGCCACCTCCTGCATAAAGTATGCCTCAGTGTCCTCTGGGTCGCGCGGGAAGCCCTCCTCGTTGGCCTCGTCCACGACCTGGCGGATCTTCTCCTTCTGCGAACGCTCGGCGGCCTTTGCTGATTCCTCGTTTGACTTCTGCACCTTCTTGTGCTGGCGCTTCAAATGCTTGCGGAACTCGGGGTCGGAGCGTCGGCGGTGGTCGAAGTAGAGGGCGTAGGCAAGGCCTCCTGCGGCGAGTACGCCAGCGGTTGCGAGTGCGATGGTGGTGGTGGATGGACCAGAGGGAGTCGTTGAGGCCATGACGAGTAGATGTGAGTAGTCGCGGTCAAGTGTCGGGTATAGTGCGATCAGGCGATTGTTCTCTCAATGGCGTTCGGTGAGATTGGGTGGGTGTTTGTGGGATGCAGTGATGAATGTTTCCAGGTTCAATCTTTTTGGGAGAGCTCGGTTCGGACCCTGGTCCGCGGCAAACCAACGAGCTTCTGACGCGCACCGTCATCTGCGTGAGAGCTGCCCACACCCACACCCACACACCCCAGCCATATATCTCTACCCCCATTGACGGCATCTAGTCATGTCGGAGAGCAAGGGCATCTCGCTGCGGCGTAAGAAGACGACAGCAGCACGCCCGACCATCTCAGGCCCGACCCACCTGCAGCAGGCCGACCGCAGCGCCTCTGCCAGCCGCAACAACTCGACATGGACCGTCAACACTCAGGACTCGGGTACCAGTGGTGCTACGCCGCGAGAAAGGCCCAAACTGGGCGGTGAACAGACCAGCGACCTCGTCAAGCGCCGATACAGCACTCGATTTACCGGTGGACTCCCTCAAGATGGCCCCCCTCCGCCAATGCCTGCCATGCCGGCGCTGCCTGCTCAGTACGCTGGGGCTGCAAGCGCTCAGATTGGCGCGAGACCACCACCGTCACGCGAAGGACGAGCACCTGATGGTGGCAAGGGTCGGCTGAAGGTAGACATGCGCGCATTGAAGGACCCTAATCTACAGGTCGAGAAGTACGTTCAGAGCATACTCGCCGAGGCGTCTGAGAGCGACATCCACGCCTATCAAAAGGACCTGCAGAACATCAAAGCTCATACGGATTCTGATCTTCAGCATAACGTATATCAGAACAGGACGCAGTTCATCAAGATCTCGAAGGAGGCGGACAAGCTGAAAGGTGAAATGCGCACGCTGCAGACGCTCATGGGAGAGCTCACCAGCGCATTGGGACATGCTACAAGCGCTGCAGGTGCTGAGCTGAGTTCATCGAGCACACTCAGTGTTGCCGACAGGAAGCGCGCCAATAGGAGCAGCGTCGCAAACTTGGAGGCCATGTGGAGTACACATCTGCAAACGTTGTGGAAGAGGGTGGAGGGCTCGCAGAAGTTTCTGCCGGCATTGCCTGGGCGGCACATCATCATGGAGAGTCAGCGATGGGTGGAGTTGAACGCTGCGACGTGGAAGCCGAGGCGAAGGGTGGCTCTGGTCCTGCTCAATGATCATTTGCTCATCGCTAGCGAGAAGAAGCGACCTGCAGATGCGACACCAGCTGGCAAAGGAAATCGTATGAGCATGTACAATCCTGGAGGGCAGTCCCAGACTACCCTGGTGGCCGATCGATGTTGGCCTCTGCATGATGTTTCACTGGCGGACATTAGCACGCGCTCATCGACATCTGTTGGCCATTCGCATACCAAGGAAAACAAGGCGATCGCCGATGCGATCAACGTTCGGGCTGGAAATGAGAGCTTCACATATGCGACATCCGATGCGACGGATAAAGCAGGTTTTCTTGTTGCGTTCCGCAAGGCCCAAGAAGACCAGCGTAAGCAGCTGGCTGCGGAGCATGCTGGACGCGAAAAGATTCTGGACGACATGACAAGACTGACAGGCCGTGATGGCCGATCACTGAAGAAGGCTGCTGCGGCTGCCAACGAGCTGTCTCAAGAGGATGCGAAGTTGGGTGGTCTGAGCAGAAGTGGCTCAGTGTTGGTCGACGCAGATGGTCGACCTCAGAGCATCCGCTGGGTTGAAGCGCAGATCGATGGTCTCGACATCGATATCGCATTGCAAAGGTTTGAAGAAGCCGTCGCTCGGGTTGAAAAGTTGCGCAAGATGGCAAGAGGCATAAAGGGCAATGCCACCGCGCAGGAGATCATTCTTGCCAAAGTCAACGAACGTGCCAGCCGCTTGGCCAACAGTGTGGCTCGACAGCTTGGCCAGACGAGCAGTGGTATGGAAACCACGAAAGAGAAGGTTTCATGGCTACTTCGACTCGGGTTCGAAGAGTTGGCCCGATCAACATATCTATCCAGCCGTACGGAGACCATTCGCTTGCGGACGAGACAACTGCCATTCACTGGTGCCCTTGAGCCGTACGTTCACGCTCTCGCTTTCACAACCTTCACCCTGCTCCTGCACACGATCCGAACGTTCAACCAGTCGTTCCCCGCTACGAGCGGAAGTGCAGTGGTTAAATGGGCTAAGGAACGAGTGGATGAATTCAATGCCGCTCTCGAACGGCAACTGAGCAGTGTGGAGCGTGGAGGTGAAGTCTGGGAAACGTGCATGCAGACCATCCGGGAACAGGCCGTTGTACTGGCAGAAGTCGGCGTAGACTTCAAAGGCCTCGTGGCGAGACAGTTGCTAGATCGTCCTACTGCCAATGGTCAAGCCGCCAACGGAACACATCAGGTCATTGGTTTAGGGGTTAGCACTTAGTACCTGAACGGAACCTTCAGACATGGGCAGATGGAGCATCAACGGTGGCGAAAGAAGAACGCAGAGGTACTTGGTCAAGTCAAGTTCCTTCGCCGAATCCGCGGACCGGAATAGAAGCATTCAGGCCAGCCAGCCTTATCCGGTTTTCACCGACGCTTATCCGGTCTGACAGCACGTGCTGGTACTTCGAGCGACGGATCCGACGGCGTCACATCACGCATTTCAACAGCACAGCAGCTGCTATAATAATCTGAGCAACGTTTTCACTGACTGCGACAGTCGCAAAATCTTTTTCTAAGCGGGCCGACTGACGCTGACGTCCTTATCGTGTTTCAGATACTTCTGCGCACATGCAATTCGTCGTTGCGCCGAAGCCTTCCGAGGTACCCGCGCGGCGGCCGCTAGCTGACCGACAACTTTCGTTGAGGCAAGAAATCTCATCCATCAGGCTGCTGACGCCATGTCTCTGTTCACCGAGTCACCGACCGTAAAGACATCGGTCATCAAACCGATGACACGACGGATTGTGCAGGACCCAGAAATAAAAACGTGGCCCCAGGCTATTAAACCATGACTCTCTCCCCTTCGCCGCCCCATGGGTATCCCTCTTCACTGACTCTTCCCCAGTACTCCCTGTCTAAGCGTTGGTTCGGACTTTTCGCTTTTCGTTTGCATGTCATCCACGGGTCTTTGAGGGAAACTTATTTGATAACAGCGACTGCCGATTGCAGTAGAATTTGAGTCTTTATCCGAAACCGAAGCAGAGAACGACTCAAGAAGCCTGATGACCCTGCTTTTCTAAACTTGCAAGATCATACAGGAGAACATAAAAAGGGCAGGACTTCTGCGCTGGATCTCCCAATCTTGGGCTTGGTTACACATCCTACTCGTTGCTCACGCGGACTGAATCCAGCAAGATTCAACAGCTGGAAGAAAAGTTTGTCTGCACCGAAGAAACTTTGAAGACAACTCGAAGCCGTCGTCAAAGATGTCATCAGTTGAGACAATCACCGCATCGACGGAAGCATGGCCGTGGTCGGTTGGAAGCATGGACTGGCTCGCGACTCGCAAACGAGAGCATGATCTGGCAGAGACGCAGCAAAAGCAACAAGCTCGACCTGAAGACATGACCACTTCGACATCAAGCACCGAATCAAAAACACAAACATCAACACCCTCCAAATTCCTCTCTCTCCCGCCCGAGCTTCGCAATGAGATCTACACCGCCCTCTTCCCGCCTTCATCTGAAGGCAGCGTGCAACGCATCAAGCCCGGCTACGAGCTTCCGGGTCTCTTGCTCACTTGCAAGCAAATCCACTCCGAATGTATGGGATTGTACTACAGCAACAGCATCTTTCGCTGCCTGGACGAGGACTCGGCCGTCTCTTGGCTAACCAATCTTCCGCCCAAATGGCTGGACATGATCGAGGAAGTGAGGTACGATACGAGGTGGATCATCTTCATGACGCCGTTTATTCCGGTTCCGGAGGCGGAGTGTTGGCTTTTTCAGAATCTGGTGAGTACAGCGCTGTACCTATTACGTTGAGCGAAGACTGATTTTATTTTCCAGATCAAGCGATTGAACGCACGGGGCTTTGATATCAATGGGCTGGGAACAAGGGTCGGTCCTGATGGCGTGGAGCTGGGCGATGGGAAGTTGAAAGTCAGCTTCTATGGCAGTGGTGGCGTGAAGTGGACGGACAAGCCGGGGTTGATCGATCCCGTGAGGGGTGCTTGATGGAGCAAGAGATCACACAGCATCTTGCGGAGGGAAGGCTGAGATGCAGCCATATCATCTCGTAGCTGGTATTGTGGATCTACGCTAGCGCCGCGCGTGAAGACGACTTAACTTTTGCGATCAAGAAAGTCCTATTGCGATGACCGTGCCCGATCAACCATGGCCTATCCAAATACTCCGTTTCCTCTCCTCAACCTCCCTCGCGAACTCCGCGAAATCATCTACGAATACACCTTCACAACAACCACTGTCTCCACCGCCGCCACTTCCAATATCAATTCCCGCAACGCTGGCCTCCTCACAAGCAAACGAACCCGCGCCGAGGGTCTACAGCTCTACTACACCCTCACGACATTCACTCAACCCTTCCACCCAGTCCACGAGCAAATTCTCGCCGACCTCCTCCACTTCTTCACATCCATCCCCACGGAGCACCGCCGCCTAGTCAAAACCGTCCACGTCAGTCTCTCCAACTCGAAGGGCGCGGCAGGGGGTCCGAAGACTCATGCGCTGATGAGGAGGTATTTTGATGGTGAGTTGAGGGGGTTTGAGAGGGAGTTGTTTGAGCGGTTGGAGGGGAAGGTTGGGGAGGGGGTTTTGCAGGTGGAGGTGTTTTGCTGGGATGGTGAGAGGGAGAGGAATGGGATGGTTTGGACGGGGAGGCCGGTGGGGGTTGAGTAGGGTTTGAGGATTAAGGCTTTGAAGGGGTGTTCGAAGTGGTAGGTTCACACTTGTGAATGGGAAGGCTTATCACATGTCTCGCGCGCTAGTGAACTCTAATCTGTTACATGCCTTCCCTTCCAGTCGTCACCGCTTGGCAATCAGCTCGTTTCATCTTCCCAACCAACACAACACCCGCAACCTCTCACATCATACACCACCCACCACACGGCGACGATGACCGAGCAAGGTCTTCCATCGCACCTCCTCGCCCTCCCTCGGGAGTTGCGCGACATCATCTACGAATACACCTTCACCACCGTCGTCCAAATCACCGATCGCAGCAGCGCAAGTCACAATGCTGGACTACTTTCCACCTGCCATCAGACTCGAGCGGAAGCAGTAAAGCTCTATTACCTGCGCACCACTTTCGAAACAACTGGCCACGACCGTAGGAGCGTCGAGGGCAACCTGGTTCGCTTCTTCCGCTCCGTGCCATCGCAGAGTGTGGGCCTCATCCAGGCAGTCTACGTCCATGTCGAAGTCCCAATCTTCACTGGCGACTTCGCTGTTTACCGCCACAGGAACCAGAGGATGCGATACGAGAATCTGTACGTGTCACTTGGCCCACGGTTGCCGAGGCAGGCCCCTGGGCTGAGAAAGATCCTGAAGGTGAAAGTGTGGTCTTGGAATGGGAGGGAGAATGAAGAGGTCTGGACGTCGAACCCTTACGGGGAGAAGATGCCGCGAGTTTGAGGTGAGATCATGCTGCAGATATTGGTCGTTTCTGGGTGGATGATGCTGACTTTTTTGAAAGACAGGAACCTTAAGCTCGATCGAAGGAAAGTGGTATAGCCAGGCATAGTCGATGGCTATCTGATCACTTGGGGGTCTTGTGAGCGGACAAGCAGCACACTGATACACTGCTACAAATACTCCGACATCATGAAGACACAATGAAAGCATACTTCTTTCAAAGTGACTCTACATTTGGACCAAGTGATTATCCGACCATTCCAGCATCCTCTCGCAAGGCCGTGACGTGCTTGCCAACATTCAACTCCCCTTCACTTGCTCTACTCTCCAGCTCCTACTTCTACCCCCAGGTCCAATTCTACTCCCTCCTCTCACCATTCCAGCCAGCATACTAGCCACACTCAGCCTCCAACACCAGACCGCTGACTACATTGACATGACGCGCTACAACGCAAAGGTTCCCAAGCCCGTCAGGAAGGCATCAGCAACGACCAGAGGCAAAGACAAACTTGCGAGCAAGACCACCTTGCTCGACCTGCCCGCAGAACTTCGCGTCCTCATCTATGACCTGGCCCTGGAGAATCAAACCATCGTCTTCCCGGAGCCGTCCAAGTCCAATCCAAAGGGCCGAGCTCACCACCCAGGGCTTCTCATGGTTTCTAAGGAGATCTACCTTGACACTCGCGTCATCTAGTACGTATATCAAAGATGCCAGTCTTATCACTCACTGACTTTCGCATCAGCTACTACAACTCGACCTTCCACCTCAACAGCGTAGACAGAACGTTCAGCTGGTTGCGCAGACTGAAGCCTGGGAAGCGCATCCTCTTGCGCAAAGTCATCGTCGACGACATGGTGAACCCCCATCCGCCACATTACATGCCTTGGTGGATGGATCAGGATCGAACGGGACAGGCGTTGTTGGATTGGGCGATTGCGCGCCTGAGGGTCATTGAGCGCCGTCTTAGTGACTCGGGTATTCCCCTCAAGCCAGGGCGTCTTGGGCTGCGTGGCACGTGCTTGGATAGGGATTCCGGGCGTCGAGAACTCGTCTCGTGTCGTCGGAGGGAGGAAGATGGGACAGAGCTTGTGGAAAGGATGTCAAGTCTTCTGTAGGAAGGGACGGTGGACTTGGGAGGTCTTTCATGAGAAAAGAAGGATATCGTGTTGGTCTGGAGACTGAAGCAGAGATCTTGCGAGCGGATGACCCTCAAGGGTGATTGGCAGAGAGGCATGTCTAGCACAAGCTCACTGCTTTGGGGGACATGTGATTGTTGGCAAAGCGAACCGGCGTTCATCCACAGTGACGGGATTCACATGCTTCTCGACGAATAGCACATGGCACTAGACGGCAATGTTCCAATCTCTTCTTCAACTCTTCAAACACTTACAGACTCTTAACTTCCACTCGCCATCAACCACCGTCGTCGACATACCGCAGCAACAGCATAAGACCACCACCAAGTTCGTCAGGATGCCTCGCAACAGCAGAGCGCTCAACAAGAGCACGCCGAACATGGCCGTCAACAACACCACCCCCAAGAAAGACAAGACACCCAAGACATCATTCCTAGACCTCCCCGCCGAAATCCGCAACGACATCTACACCCTCGCCCTCACCAACCGCACCCTATCCTTCCCCCCAGCCTCTCCGCAGAACAGATACGGCCGCGCCCGACCCCCAAGCCTCCTACTATCCAACAAACAAATCCACCACGAAACCCTCCCAATGTTCTACTCCAACACCACCTTCCACTTCCCCTCCCCCGACCCGCTACTCCGCTGGCTGCGCAAAATCGGCGCCAAGAAACGCGTCCTCGTCAAAGAAATCATCGTGGACGAGAAGGCTCCCAGCTCAGCCGGGCCGTCGTTGGGATTGCAAGCGCACGAGATGCTGAGGGTGTTGGAGAGGAGGTTGAGGGATGCGGGGGTGAGATTGCCGGTGGAGGTGTATAAGGTAAGGATGAGGAGGTCGAGACTGTGGGCTGGGGGTGAGATCGAGGAGGTGGAGGAGGGGGTTTTGCGAGGAGTGAGAGGGTCGAGAGGGTGTTTGGGAAGTCGGTGCCGGTGCAGCGAATGGAGGTTGTGGAGTTGGATCGGTGAGGAAAGGAAGGGGGTTGGAGTGAAGGAGAGATGGGGTGAGGGTTTGGGGGTTTGGCTGGATAGGGGTGAAGTGAAGTGAAGTGGAAAGTTTTGAATTTCTTGGGGTTGAGTGAAAGTTGAAGGTAGGTTAGATTTGACAGTGAATGAAAACCTCACCTCCTCACCTGATATCGTCCAATACTCTTTTACTTCTTTCACATCGCCATGCTCCTCTTCTTCTCCTCGACATCGCTGCCTCACCACCGCTACAATGGCGTCTCCCAAGCCCAAGGAGGCGAACGAGAAGCCCTTCGGCAGCGTCTCAGGCCCGAACCAACCACAGCATGGCAGCGGTCTCCTTCGCCTCCCAGCCGAACTTCGAAACCGCATTTATGCACTCACTCTCAACGACGTAGTTGCGTATCGCGCTCGTAAGACGGTGGCCTACCGAAAGGTCCATCGTGTCAAGGCCAAGGCTCCAGGCCTCCTGCTGGCATGCAAACAGACCTACACTGAGGCCGTCCAACTTTTCTACTCCCAGACGACATTCCTCTTCGATGACAAAAAGCACATCCACGCCTGGGCTCGAAAGATCGGCAGCGAACGTACGGCTCTGGTCAAGTCACTCCGTTTGAGCAGCCCAATGCCACAGCACAGCGTCATGGCGTCATCGTTCTGGGATCCACGCACCGCTTTGTGGTTGTTCGCGGTGGAAGCGAGCACTCGCATGCTGCAAGTCAAGCATGGCCTGCCGAAGGCTTTGAAGAAGTGCAAGCTACAGACGGATCTGTACTTGCCAGGATCGCCAAAGATTGAGGTTGTGTGGACGCAGCAGCCAGTGATGGTCGTTGAGGAATTCTTGGAGGAGGCTGATGAGGAGTGAGTTCTATGGTCCGAGAATACCAGATTTATTGCTGACTTCGCTCCTGCAGTGCCTTGGGCCAGACGCATCAGGCCTTCTTGATGCTGGCTAATGCGCGGCATATCGTTTGGTAAATGGCCGGCTGGAAGTGTTGTATGACAGAGGCTTGCTTTGATGACCGAAAGGTGCGAAGGATTCTGGAGAGCAGCAGCGATGTGCGACAAGAGACTTGATGAGAAGAGACATAAGAGTACCAACCGAATGCAGTTCATTGTTTTCAACCTCGTATCCAACACCACCAGTCCAATCCATTCATGTATGTGTCCCACCATCAAAGCGCCATCTCCCAGCTTGAACGTCAAGCGGCGCTCTGCAGGCGGGCCAGGGTAGTACTGTAAGTCAGTACCACCTGGGGGTTCACTCTCCGCTAGTCGTATAACTGCTTGTAGCCATGGAGAAGGGCTGCCCAGTAGATAATCTAGCGGTATCCTTACCTTGTCGTGTGTCGAATTTGTGTGAGATGTTGTGTGGGAAGATGATTGGGTTTCAAGCATTTTGTTCTGCGAGACATTCGAAGCTTCATTCCATGGCGAGCCTTCGCTATTCCCACGCTCATGCTCACATCTCAGCGCCGAAGAAAGCCACAAACGCTCAATCCCTGATATGAGCGGGCAGTGTTGTAGCAGTAGCAGCCAAACGCGAACTCCATCCCTCCACCCATCAGCATGTCATCAGAGAAATCGGACCCGGTCCACCATTTATGCCGCCGTCCTCTTCTTCTTGTTCGACTCCCGACCCTGGCTGATGCGCTCCAGAATCTTCTCACGGTCCTTGTCGAGCTTGAGCTTGGTGATCTCAATCTTGGATGGGGCGATGCCAATGGGGACGGATTGGCCGTTGGACTTCTCGCGGGCGACACGCTCGATGTGGACGATGTATTTGAGACGGTAGACGCTGGTGATCTTGCCCTCGCGGCCCTTGTTGCTGCCACGCTTGATGACAACCTCGTCGTCCTTGCGGATGGGGATTGCGCGGACCTGGGGAGATGTTAGTTGAGCTTGGAGGGTAGGAATTCGTGCGTGTTTACGTTGTGCTTCTCGCGGAGTTCTGTACAGAGTCAGCGTTCTTCCTTTCCTGAATGTGGATGCAGTCGTCCATACCCTTGGAGAGCGGCGCACTCATGATCACACGGCGCACGCTGGAGGGGGCCTGGAAGTGAGCCTTGCGGCTCTTTCTCCGGCTGGAGTTGAGGGCGGTGTTGATCTTCGTCATTGTGCTGGTCCCGGACGAAGGCGGTGGGTGGGTGGTGCTGTTGTTAGTTGTCGTCGTCGTCGGCCAAGCAGCAGCGGAGGTAGTCTGAATTTCGCTTTGCTGTGGACTTTGGCGCTAGTGCGAGTCGTCTTGGCACCTGCCGCACGGCTGGTCCCGCACGTCACCCGCTCGCGCTGGCCCGCCCGACGTCTTCACCACCGCCGGGGTAGGCGCGTCTGGACGTGCCGTTCGGCAGGAAAGATCAGTACGGATGCAGTGAAAGGACGGGACCATCCTCGCGATACGAACGATACGAGTCGCTGCCCTCCCGAGCGATATTAAGAGCGAGGCCCCGACGCAGCCATGCTCTCGACCCCCGACGATCCACCATGTCGACGAGCAGCGCAGTAGCTCTAACGACCGATCGCGAGCGAGCGCGCAATGGCGCCATACAACTATAGCAACTACTACGACCCCGTGGGCAGCCAGAGTAACAATCAGCCGCAGGGCTACACATACCGGACGAACAATTCCTCCCAGTACCCCAATCAGGCAAACTCCAACTACCAGACGAACTACAACCAGACGTATGACAACAACAACAACAACTACGCGAACCAGCAATATAGCGCAAACACGCAGCAGGGAACGGCAGCTGCTACCTCGACGAACCGCAATGCGTCAACGCTGGACTCTCTTACCAACCCGACCTACAGTCAACAGAACAGCACGGGCAACAGCAACAGAACATCTGGCAACAATGTCGCGTCTTCATATGACAACAACACATACTATGCCTCAGCTGGTTTTGCCGCTCTGAATGATCGGAGTCAGTCGAACAACTCTCCACTTTACGCAACCAACACTGGCGCTTCTACCTTCGGCAGGTTGAGCCTCCCCGACCAGTCGCAATCTTCGACGACGTTCAGCAACAACCAGCCCTACCAGACGACGTCCTCAAATGCAAGTACTCAATATCGGAATGCGCCCTCCAGTGCGAGCTCCCGTTCGTACAAGAATGCTTACAACCAGGCGCAGAATCAGACACAACCTCCGCAGCGTTATGCAAGTCCTTTGCATGCGGTGCAGGCACAGCAACAGCATCACGGACATAACAAGCAGCCGTCGCGATCTTCGAACCCTCAGCCATCACCTCAGATGAGCGTTCAGAACGTGCAGCAGCAGCAATATCAGCGACAGACCAGCGCTTCGGTAGAGCCATCACCAACCACCGTCGATCCAACGCAGGTGTACGACTTCCGGGCTGAGCAGCAGCGGAAGGCGCAAGCGGAAGCTGAGAAACGCAGAAAGCGAGAAGCTGAGAGAGCAGCGCGCAAAGCAGAGGAAGACGCCCGCAGACAAGAAGAGGAGAGGCGTATAGCGGAGGAGGCTGCTAAAGAGGAAGAACAAGAACGTCTCGAGAGAGAATCGCGAGAAGCCGAGGAGAAGGCGAAAAAGGCCGAGGAAGAAGCGGCTAACAAGAAAGCGGCTCAAGCCCGTAAGAACGAGCAGAGACGCAAAGCCCGAGAGGAAAAGCGACAAAGTCAGACTGCTGCAACAGCATTGACTCAGATGGCATCTGGATCGGCGGCGGATGCTGCCATCGCAGGCATGCCAGGTGTTGGCGACATGTCCGGGCCGCCAGCCAATGATGAAGAAGCGGACATGCGCGCCATGTTCAAGAAGATGCGCGAGTTCAATGCGCGGAATCCAGATATGCTGGCGAAGCTGTGGGAGGAGGAGCGACAGACTCATGCCGCAACTCAAGGCAGTCCTGCTCAGCAGTCTCCAGCTCAGCCGACCCCCAAACCTGCCCAGCCTGCGGCGGCTGCCAAAAAACAACCTGCGGCAAAGACTACTCCAGCCCAGCAAAGTCAGCCAGGACGGCCTCCCAAATCCGCTGCTGCACAGCCAGCAACGCAGACTCCCGCTCAAAAGTCGGCGACTCCAGCACAGGCGGGCGGAGCTCTATGGCCACCAGACAAGAAGGGAAATCTTGCTGAAGCCGCTGCGAAATGGCTGAACAATCTCCCGCAGAACCGCTCTCTAGGACGAAGCGTTAGTAGAGAGCAGGTGCTCAAGATTCTTGACGGCAACCCAGCATACGTGCAGCTCTGCGAATCGCTTGAGGCGATTGGAATCAGGTTTGGACGCTCTGACTTGGCACAAGAGCTGCTCAAAGCTGTTCCTGAGGTGCGTCAACAGAAGCAGGTGCCTTCTACTATCAATGGACAGGCCACCGCCGCCGCTGCAGCTCCGAACCAACCTCCAGGCGAGACGCAGAAGAAGAAGGGAGGCCGCCCGAAGAAAGACCAGCCTGGTAACTACAGCCTGGGGAAGCCCTCGCAAGGCAATGGTTCAGTTAGCTACCAAGCTCCTGTTTTCTCTCTCACTAATGCTGCACGGGAGGTGAACAAGATGGACACTACCGGAGCCACTTTGGGCGCTCAGTCGTCACTTGCGTCTGCTATTGCGAGCGCACAGGGACCATCCGATCTTCAGAGTCCATATTTCACAGATCATCACATGGTCGATGATGATGTCCAGCCGGTCGAGGTCAAAGATGAGGAGAAGCCGGAAGAGCCGCCAAAGCCGCCAGCCGACAAAGAGGAAGCAGCTCGAAAGCGAACGTTCAACGATCTCGTCGATTTGACCAAGGACAATGATGATTCTGACGATGAAGGCCCTCCACGAAAGATCCAGCAGCCTCTTGCAGGACCATCGAATGGCGTGGTCAAGCACCAAGCTCAGCCGAACGGGTTTAACAAACCCATGACGTTCCAGCAATTCTTGAATCGTACTCAGCCTGTACCAAATCCTACCCCGTACCAAGATCCGTGTGGTCCGCATATGCAGCAGACCCAGCCGAGACCGATGCCGCCGACTGTGCTACCGTCGAACAAGCCCAGGCCATCCGGGCCAACAGAGGAGCAGAAGCAGCACGAGCGCATGAAAGGAAAAATCCTTGTAGAGCCGATTATGCGCGATCGTGTTGCGCGTAAGTCGAAATACGACAGCCGAACCATTGCTCGAGACGTTTTGCTTGCCACCGGCCGTCATCCAGACATGCGTCCCCTCAATGCCCACCTCAGTACTATGCAGAGACTGCTAGCCGACCATGGTGGTGCTATCGATGGCACGGGCAACAAGAGCGACCTCTCGACTATCAAGTGGGACATCATCGATCCAGGTGAACCTGCTGAAGATGCCAAAGCCAAGGCCAAGTCAGCTGCCGAGCGTCGTGAGAAAGCCATTGCTGGCGCCGGGGATGTCGAAGGTGAAGCCGACGATGAGGGCGAAGGGCTTCAGTCTCGTGCCCAGGATGCCCTTCGTAAGATCAGAAACGGTGAGGACCTTCGAGAAGAAGACTTGTCCAATATCGAGGATCCGATGGTCCGGAAGCAGATCAAGAACAGGCTCAAGGTGCGAAAGCAGAGTGAGAAGTTCCGTGAGAGCGGAGGAGAAGTGACTCAGGACAAGGACGGCAATTATGTTTCGGTGCAGCAGCAAATCCGGGAAGGCGCTAACCCGAAGCGAGCCCGCGGTCGCCCACCTAAAAGCGCGACCAACAGTGCGCGTGCATCTCCTGCCGTTAACAATCCTGACATCACCAACAACAACGACATTCTTGGAAGCGACCTGACTCCTAACAAAGGTAAAAAGGCGCGCGTTTCCGTGTCTAAATCCTCCCCAAGCATGGCAAGCGGCTCGCCCGCAGTGGGCTATGCCGCCTTTCGCCAAGTGGATGAGAATGGCAACGTGATTAAGAAGAAGGGTCGTCCTGTCGGATGGCGAAAGAACATACACTCACGTGAAGCAAACGGCTTGGAAGCAGCAAAGTCAGCAAGCGGGCACAAGCCTTCTGGCAGCCGCCTGCGAAAGTCGACTGGAGCAACACCAATCATGGAGACTTCTGTGCAGCCAGTATACCAAGTCTACAAGTGCCAGTGGAGGAACTGCACTGCGCAACTGGACAACTTGGAGCGGTTGAAGAAGCACGTAGTGAAGTTACACGGAACGCAGACTGAAGACAACCACTTCGAATGCCAGTGGCAGCCATGTCAATCACAAGGCAAGCGCCTCGACACGAATGGCATGTTGCAGGGAGAAAACGCGACATTTGACGACATAGCGGACTGGCTGAAGCATGTGACCAAGCAACATCTGGACGAAGTGGCGTGGAAGTTGGGTGATGGGCCTCGAGGTGGCAGCGTTTCAGGTGAGCCTGCGCCGTCACTTGCTGTTGAGGATTGATGATCCTCCCTCTTGATACCCCGTGCATTGTATAATAACCACAATACATATGACGTTAATGCTCCAGCTCGATACTGATTTTTCTATCCTCTCCACAGAACTACCGTCCGATTCAGAAGCATGGCTTTCCGACGCCAATGGCCGTTCCGTCACGCCGCTGATTGTGCCCATGTCTGAGCGGCAGACGGAGGAACCCCAGTCCAAAGTCAAGAAGTTCCCTGGCTTCTCTTCAGACGGTCCAATGACCAAGGAGCAGCGTGAAGCTGCTGCTGAGCTTCAGAAGCTGAGGGATCAGAAACTGAGGGAAGGTGTGATTATGGGGCGAGAGGGGAGTCGGCTGGCAAATGACAAGCGGAGAAGGGGGTTTTTGGATGATGAGGACTTCGAGGATGTGATCTACGATAGCGACTGAGAGGAGTGAAGCAGTGATTAGAGTTGACGTTTGTGAAGCAGGGGCTCATGGCTTCGTACAAAAGTACATGTACCAAAACACCGCGGAGATATTCAATCAGCCAGACACCATGAGAATGCCAATCGAGTGTCAATGTCTCATATGTCTAGCTCTTGGTGTATGGCGCTTCTGCCTACGCTGTGCGCACACTTTCTCTGACCTCCTCTAGTGTGGCATTTTACAAGAAGGTATCCGTAACGCCTCGCTGAAAACACCCTTTTCCCATCTCAACCCAATGCCTAGCAGACATTCTCTCTACCGGCGCTCAGAGAGTCCGTCCTTAACCCCATATCCTTCCCTCAGGCCCGATCCCCGCTACCTTCCAGTCCGCAAGACCTCCCAATCATGTAAAGTCGCAGTCACCCCTTACACGACACACTCTAACTCTTCGAGCCAATCTGCCCAGCAGGCGTGTTGTCCTTCAAGGGGCCCGGCTTCGTGGGCGTGTTCGCTTGGTGTTCGTCCGAGTTGACTTCGAGGAAGTGGTAGAGGACGATCATGAGCATTGCTGCTGCGCCGAGGAAGACGGCGAGGGAGTAGAGGGAGGCGTCGGAGATCATTTTGGGTGAGGATGGAGTGGTTTGGATGGTTGGGTGGTGGTTCTTCTGGGAGGTTCTGGGTTAGTGTTGGTGGATGAGGGAGGTGCAAGAGGTGAGCAACGTACGTTTTACGGTAGATTGAGGGGTTTGAGGTCGTTGGATTCAACAATTGGAGTCTGCAATGCGTTTCGTGAATTGACGGTCGTTGATGAGAGCTGGCATCTAAGGATAGCTCTTCTTGCCTGAGGCATCACTGCATTCCCCACAAACGCTTCTGCGTCACAGGCATTTTCGCGACGTCGACTTCACCTCACTCCATCGCCACGCCCAAAACCCAACCCTCTCCACGTGCTCCCGATCCACGAGTCGTTGTGACCCCCTACATCCCTTGTAGAGTCACACATGGAGAGCTTTCCCTCACCTGATTCCTGAATTTCCTTTCTCAATCGCCCACGCGACACCGAATTCAAACCTCTCGAGAGACATTACCGAATAGCCCAGCATGCCGCCCAAAGGCAAGCAGCAGGAGCCTGCTAAGAAGAAACCCACTGTCGGGGATAAGACGTTTGGCATGAAAAATAAGAAGGGCGGTGCGGCGCAGAAACAAATCAAACAGATCCAAGCCAGTGTCGAGGGTGGAGTGTCACCCGCTGAGAAGAAGAAAGCCGCCGAGAAGGCCCAGCGCGAGAAGGAGAAGCTCGCGGCAGAGAAGGCACAGCGCGAGGCAGCCGATCTCTTCAAACCTGTGCAGACACAGAAGGTGCCGTTTGGAGTCGATCCCAAGACGATCGTGTGCCAGTTCTTCAAGAAGGGCCACTGCGAGAAGGGAAAGAAATGCAAGTTCTCGCATGATCTGGATGTCGGGCGGAAACAGGAGAAGAAGTCCTTGTACACGGATACTCGAGAGGGCGATGAGGAGGAGGGAGAGGGGGATGCCAAGAAGAAGGATGATATGGCGGATTGGGACGAGGAGAAGCTGAGGAGTGTGGTGATGAGCAAGCATGGGAATCCCAAGACGACGACGGATAAGGTGTGCAAGTTCTTCATTGAGGCTGTGGAGAATCAGAAGTATGGATGGTTCTGGACGTGTCCGAATGGAGGCGATCAATGCATGTATAAGCATTCGCTACCGCCGGGTTTCGTGCTCAAGACAAAGGAGCAGAGGGCGGCGGAGAAGGCGTTGATGGATAAAAGTCCATTGAATACTCTGACTTTGGAAGACTTCCTGGAAAGTGAGCGACACAAGCTGAGTGGAACGCTGACACCCGTCACTCCCGATTCGTTCGCGAAGTGGAAGAAAGAACGCATGGACAAGAAGGCCGCCGAGCAAGAAGCACAGAAGATGAAGGAAGCAACAGGCCGTGCACTGTTCGAAAAGGGCGATTGGCAAGCCAGCGATTCCGAAGACGAAGACGACGATGACGGCGGGTTCGACCTCCAGGCTCTGCGTCAACAGACGGAGGAAGCGCGCCAGAAGAAGGAAGAGGAGCGGTTGGCTGCGGCCTTGGGCGAGACGAGTCTTTAGCGGGTGCTGGGGGTGACGACGGCATGAGGGGAGTTTTGGGGGAGTGGCAAAGCGTCATGTGCGTATGATCTCAATGAAACATTTTCTCTGATTCGTGCTTGCTGTTTGCACGAAGTTCGAATCGCCTGTCCCTGTCATTGCTGTGCCGAATCTTTCCCCTTCTCTTCCCAACGGTGACCATTGTACCAACTTTACTGACGTTGTGGTCCTGCAGCAGCCATGGTCTTCATCTTCTTCGTGGCTTGCGTCCGGTGAGCTTTACTCTTGAGGATACGCTGATCATTCAGTGAAGTGAAATCTCCTCTCCTGCACGGAAAAGCGCAAGAACTACCTCTGCGAGCCACTGAGAAGCAGTGTTGTTGATCCAGGACGCCTGCTATCTCGACCCCCAACGCCCCAAGTCAGGCCCTCGACTATGCTCGTCTTCTTCCAACCGCTCCTCGACGATTCCATTTCGGCCTAGAATTCACAGTCAACACATAAGCTCCCAACAACCCGACGAGGCGATCGCGCATGACTTACCTCGATCGCCAATCCTCGTGTAAAAGAAAGTCCCTCCAGCGTTTCACAATGGGGGTGAGAGCCATCCCCTCCATCAGATCAGTCCCAAACATCGTACTGCCGGGAACTCGAACGTCCCGCAGGAACCCCAAGAAAGCAGGATCCAACCGGTTCACGAAGTGTCTCAGAAGCGACCCTCGCTCGAACACGAACGTACCGTTTCCGAAGAAAGACGCCGCGAACTTCTGGCGAGTAGCGCGGTCGACGTGAAAGAGACCGAGACTGTCCGGTCTTTGGATTGTCTTTGCAAATCAGCAATTGAGGCCTCGCCACTCTTCGTCCTCGATCTGAGGTCGAGCCGGTCGGAAGTCCGTCATGTCGACCTCGACGTACTGCCTTTCCTGTGGTTCTGTTCTCTTTCCGAACTTGTAGGCCCACCGTATCTTGCCCAGGGCCGGCTCGCGGATTCTGCGCTCGTAGGTGCCGGCGGTGAAGGTCAGGTCGTAGACGTGGTCGAAGATCTCTTGGGGTAGGGTCTGCATGACCTCTTGCAGATCTCGAGGTTGTGACATTGTGTATGGAGTGTGTTGTTATGAGACGGAAGCGGAAAGCGAGAAGGGCAAGGTTTAAAAGGGGGCCGGCTTTGAGATCTGGTGAATGGGAGAAGTCACGCGATGTTGCAGGAACTCTCTCAATACTTTCTAGAATTCATTTTACAGCGTATTTGTCCCCCTGGCGGTCGAAGGCGTCCACGCCATCGTGAGTCTATCTTGCTGGATCTTCTCATTGGCTTGTAGATCGAAGGATTGCCAGAGTGACCTGCTCTTTCTGCTCCCTTCCAGCTACAGTCGAGGAATCACATTCCATTCCATGAGGAACCCCATAGGCTTTTGTTGAAATGCGGCATTGCTGGTGGGGTTTAGCTGCTTGAACATGTGAGGTCGGAGGTGTCCTTGCATGCCATTGCATCCTTACGTGAATCACGGCTTCAACTCTTCACCAACAAATGAGTTCATGCCAAGCGTGAATAGGGGTCAGAATATAACACGTTCTCCACTACGAAATGTCAGTAAGACATAGAAACCTCGGTGACTAACGCCCGGCCGGCGTGGCCACTTACCCAGTCATGTTTGAAGCGCGTATATAGCCACTTGCCATTCCAGCTCTCCTTATGGGTCACCCGAACAGTATTGACGAACCTGGATAGGACTCGCCTCATCACTCGTAGGAATCTTTCTGCACTATCCCGAGATGGGAAAGTGAAGATGCCTTCGGTGGTTGCCTGCGCGAAGAAGGAGTCGATTTACATCTTCCGCGACGAGCGGTCCACGTGAAGTAGTCGAAAGTTGAGAATTTTCTCGACTGCGGAGTCGAGGTAAGGCCAGTCGCTGGCCGCGCGGTTGGTGCGGTGAATGTGAGTTCGTATATTTTGTCGTAGAGCTCTTGTGGGAGGGTATGGATGAGGCTTGGGAGCTTGTAGTCTCCGTCGGCGGCCATGGTGATGGTGTCGGCGGGTGAGAGTGTGTTTGTTAGGAGCTGGAGTGAAGCTGGATTTGGAAAGCGAGGCAAGCGCGACGAGAGGCGGCGACGATGCTGCCCTTCTGTACGGGATGACGTAAATTACAGAAGCTTGAATGTGGTGAGGACGCTTTCTTTACATTTCAAGCTCGACTAAGAAGTTATCTGAAGTCAACTCTGGGTTTCCTCCTCCAAGGAGACACTCTCCATTCATCTTAAGTCATACGAGCAGCCTAAATCACGACTAGGCGAGGGCTGCTTGTCGAAGGTCGAGATGTGTGCACTTCACTTTGCTCGAAACATCGACGAATCCTGCAAATCGTACTAAACACCAAGGATCTAGGATACATCAGCACACCTCCCACATCTTCAGCAAACCCCAACAGACCTCCCTACTCAACGTAAACCGCAGCTCCACCTCGAAACACCGCCAAAACATCTCCCGGTCAATCGCAAGCTTGTACCATAAAGTGTTATCATTCCAAGGATACAAAAGCCCATCAGAGAGCACAGCCAGCCCGATACACCGCAGATAGCTGCGATGGCGGTCGTTCAATGACTTGAGCCATCTCTCGCCATCTTTCCGACGATTGAACATGAAGAGAGCATCTGGCCCGCCGTAGTAGCTTTTGGCGAATTGCTCCCGGCTGGCATGGTCGACTTGGAGGAGTGCGATGGTGTCGTGGCCTTGGAATTGGTGAGTTACAAGCTCGATTGGGCGGCGGTCGCTGTGAACTTCACGTTCTGTGCCCCGAGTTGGCTTCTGCAATATGATCCGGGCTGGGTATCGTGGTCCTGTCGCGGCGGTGAAGGTGAGATCGTAGATTTCATCGTAAAGTTCTGTTGGGAGGCTTTGTACGAGGGCTACTAAGGTATCGATACTTTTGTTCTGCATGACGAGATGTTGATATCTGCGGTCGAGACCAGGCTGTGACGGGAAGTAAGTCATTCGCGGGAAAACTTGTATTGAGCTGGAACAACAATTAAAGTTCATTTGTGCCGCTTGAAGAAGTGGCACAGCCTCTGATTGAGTGGTATAGGTCGTGCCTTCAAGCGAACGACGGGTGTAACTCGATTCTGCCAGATGGACCTATTAGAGATATTGATCCACGTGCAACTCGCCACCACCCTACACTATGGTTTTCCTCATGGTCGGCGCCGGCTCTCTACCCTCCACCGACCGCGATCACAAACCTGCATGCAGCTCCCAGGCTCACAACACGCATTCACTTCAACAGGATTTGCCTGGCGCCCCAGACTAACCCAAAACAGGAAGGAAGAGCTGAAACCTTAGCCCTATGACTCAACCCTTGCACAGGAACACACACCATATTCTGACCAATCACGAACGATTGTCAGAATATATGAGATTCCGAACGTGTATATCAAGAGAAGCTGACTGACTTTCACCTCAACCCAAACCTCAACTCCCTCGCCTGGTGTAGAAGGAGAAATTGCCGCCAAGATGAACACCCTCGACCGCCTCCTCGCCCAAGACGCCATCCTCAAAACCTGCCATCAACTCCTCTACTCCGAAGACGAACTCGACCGCACCACAATGCTGTCCTGCTTCCACCCCACACAAAAAATCTCCCTCGACATGTCCGGCCACCTCCAAGAAATCCCACCCACAACCCTCACGCCGGAGGAATGGTGGCAACAAGTGCACTCCATCTTGGGCGGCTTCACTGCCACACAGCATTTCGCGGGTAATGCTGTCGTGACGTTTGATCCGGAGGATGAGGGGAAAGCGCATGTTAAGCAGAGTGTTACTGCGTATCATTGTATCGAGGAGGATGGGGTGCTGGAGAGTGTGACGGCGAGGGCGGTGCAGGAGTTTGGGATGGAGTGCTTTGAGGGGAGGTGGGTTATTGGAAGGTTGGTGATTTGGAGGAGTGTGCCGCTTGATAATGGGGGTTTGTATCTTAAGGCGATGGAGAGGGCGAAGGATGTGAGGACGTTAAGGAAGCCGAAGGATTAGATCTGGGTAGCGAGATGTGATCGATGAGACCTAATGTAGATAGCCTGAAAAGACCTGACTTTCAACTAGATCTCTGGAACAATCTGAATCCACCTTTTGCTCTGCTCACTACCTCCTGCCCATCATCAGGACTTTGACTTGTATTCCTATTCCATATCCCTCCCTCAAACGCCACTTCAGCATCCTCCATATACTTCGGCAAAGGATCTTTCCCATCTCCATCTGCCGCCCTAATCTCCACACCAACATCCGCAAACCTCGCGGCCCTCAGCACCGCGGAGAACTCCCTCGAAAACGAAGCTCCATTAAATAACATCGCCACTAACCCAGTACAGAGCCCCAACAACGTGAAGCCTATAGCGATGCCGTACGCCAGCCAAAGTTTCACGACGGCGTAAGCGTAGACATTGTGGTATTCATGGCGGGTGACGTTGACCCGTGATGGGGCGAAAGGGGAGGAAGTGTTGGGTTGGAGGTGTGCGGAAGAGAACATACTGAGGGTGATGTTCTGGAACATCTCCTCAAGCGTATCCTTCAATGAAGCGTTCGCCTGATCCGGTGTCCAGTCGTACAGACTTTGTAGATCTTTGCTGACGTTTGAGAAGACGCCCACGTCGGCGTTGGCCCAGTTGCTGGGTGCGCGGAGGAAGGCGAGTTCTTTCGTGGAGAGTAAAGTGGTCGAGAGCACGTTCGTCTTGGTTACGTACGAGCCGCCGTATTTCGACTGTTGTCCGTCGAGGACGGTGCCAACGAAGATCCGGCCAAAGGCGTCCATGATGGATTGGTAGGAGAGGCGTTGTAGTGTCACCGGGTCGATGGTGCAGCTCTGGTAGTTGGCGTTGAAGGCTGAGCACGACTCGCTGGCGTTTCGGAGCGGCATGTAGAATCCTGCTAGGGTGTCGACTGGATTGAGCGGTTCTTGAGAGATGCGGATGTCCTGGGCTCCGTTGGTGTATGTGAAGGTGGCTGTGTATGATGCGTTGTATAGCTGACATTGCAGCAACGTCGAGTTGTCGAACATGTACGCCAGCTTTGCGTTGGCTCGCTCGTTCGTAGCTGTCAAACTCGTCGTACATCCTCCGATCTCCTTGTACTTGAAATTGGGTATCGCCGCGAAGTAGATGGTCGCAACCTGCGTGGCATTTGTCGTTCCGTTTGGACCGATGACACTGTAATCTAGAGGACCAACTGTCCCAGCATTCATCGTGAACGGTGTCTTCGTGGGAAAAGGCACATCATGGTTGGCGAAAGGGTCTGGATTGGAGTTGCTGGACGACAGACCTGGAACCGGATTTCCTGTCGCCGGTGTCCACGCCATGAAGTTGTATGGCTGTTGACATCCGCTGCCTACTCGATAGGCTCGCAGGATGTTCTGCTGCATTCGATCCCTCATGGTGCTGTTCAAGTCACCACATCGCAGTGACGGCCCATGGAAATACAGTGTATAGCTCGCATTTGGAGACCGAGCAGGAATGGAAGATATGGAACCGCTGACTGCTGCAGCAAGAGCGATCCACTGCGCGGTGAAGGTCGGTCCATTGTAGATCAGAGTGTTGGGATCCGCTGGCCCTCCAACGAAGCTATTCGACTGTCCTGGAGCAAGAAACTTCAGACTACTGAAGTCGGCCTGAGGAACATGTAAAAGGTCCGACTGTAACGGAGAGACCGGCGCGACGACGACTGAGAGCGTTGCGGGCGTGATAACAAAGGCAATAGGGAGAAGCCTGAGGGACTCATCAGCTTGGAAGCCAGGGGAGATGTCATGCTAGCAGCGTTACCAAGAAACAACACCGGTCAACAACAAAACCGGTCTCTTCCACCAGACCCCCACCCGGCACAGATTCCAAACATTGTCCAGCGCCCCGTACATAACATCCAACGTCTTCACCCTCGTCCGCCGTCCATTTCTGCCAACAAGCAGCCAGAAATGCTGCGTGTACGCCGAGGAAAGCGTCACAAGAAAGCACGCTCGACTCAAGAAAGCCAGCGTCGTGCCGGTGGCAGTGTTGATCTGTTGTTGAGAGACTCGAAAGCCAGCGAAGTTGTAGACATCGGCGTTGACGGCTGTATTATTTAGGGAGGAGTAGAAGATGTGGTGGATGATGGCTAGGGCGACGCCGCAGGTGAAGGATAGGAGACTTGTTGTGGGAGTGAGCCAGTGGTTGTGGCGTTCTTTGGACATGAGAATGTTGAGATGAGATAGGCTCAAAAGAGGGATTTGCTTGGGAGGAAGGAGGAGTCGATCATGTCGCAGGAAGAGTGTCTCTTTATGGTTCTGCTGCTCACTTACCGTGCCGTATACCTACATGACACTCTTGTGCTTAGCAGTAGTAGTTAGGAAGCTGAAGTGGGATCGTTGTATCAGAGAAGCGCTGGGTGGGTGTAGGCGTTTTGCCATTGGCCAGGAGCTCTGCGTTCGCGCCAAGACCAGATCAAGACATATTTCAGGGCGGCTAGCGAATCCAGGATGATAAGATTCGATAAGAGAAAGAATGTGATCGAGGAAACTTTGCCGTCAGGTGTCGGCGGTTGGTTTTTTTTTTCAAGAGGAAGCTATAATCGCTATGCTGTGCTGTGAGCCAAACGCTTGTTTTGCCAGCGGAATCCAAAGCCATCCCATATCGCTCTCTGTACAGTTTTGCAAGGTTTTCATCAATCGTCTCAAAAAGAAGGCAAGAGCAAGCGTGCCAGAAGCTGAACAAAAGCAAACAAGACTTCTCTTCAAGTCAAAGTGCACTTGGTCGCGGCGGTGACCCACCCAGTCAGGCGGTTGGCAATGTCACTAGCGTAGCAGTGGGTCGCGATACCAGCGCCCAGGTCGCCGGATGGGTCCACACTGCCGGAGTTGTAGATCCTGCCGGCCTTGTAGTACTTGCTGACGTCTTCGCAGCTGGCTTGGGTGATGCATTGCTGGAGACCGTCACCTGCCGAAGTACCTGATGTGCCGTCTTTGATCATTTGCGTGATCTGGTCAGATGGGCAGGGTGTCATGACTTGACCACCGATCGATGCCTTGTTGCATGATCCAGAGCCATCGTGGTCTTGCATGAGGCCTGGGTTGATGACGCCGTTGTTGGTGGTTGGTGCGCGGACGCAGCCCTTGGATTCCTGCATGACGACCGCAAGGATGAAACGCTCGTCAACCCCAGTGTCTTGAGCCTGGGCTTGGATGGCAGACTTGAGGTCGTTGGATTCCTCGTCGGTGTTGTCAGGGACTTGGAAGGAGTTGCTGCAGGAGACTGAGATGTATTGCATGTTCGTTTGCCACAGAGACTCAAAGTCGAGCCACTCCTCCAATGATGGCCATCCCGCTGATGTGCTGCCATCACCAGTGTACATCGTGTATGTGTCGCCCTTGCCACCACCTGAGCCGCCGCTGGGGGCGCTGTATGAGGAAGCAGCAGGCGCGCTGGAAGATGGAGCTTCTGAGGTGGGAGCGGCGGTGGTCGGAGCTGCTTCGCTTGAAGATGCTGGTGTGGTGTATGCTGGCGGCGCCGGAGCGCTGTAGGTAGTAGGAGCAGCAGCACTGGACGACTCTGGTGCGCTGTACGCTGGTGGTGATGGAGCGACTTCAGATGTGCTCACTGGAGCTTCAGCACTCGATGAAGACTCTGGTGCGCTGTATGCAGGTGGTGCTGGGGGACTGTATGCTGGAGCAGAGGTGCTGGCTGGTGCCTCGGCGCTAGAAACTGTGGCGTACTGGGTCACGAATGTAGTGTACTGAGCAGGAGAAGGACCCGAGAAGAAGGTGGGTGCAGCGGGGGCTGAGGTCGGGACACCCTTGTCGCTGGTGTCAACGGTCTGAACGGGAGAGTTGGTGTAGCCAGCTGGTGGGCCATTGCCGGAATCCTTGGTAGCGAAAGCGATGCTAATGGTGCTCTCATTGGCGCTCGCAGTACCGACAGGAGCAGTGCCACTTGCTGCTGGAATGCTGGAATTGCCAAAGCATGCGCCGAACTGACATCCCGTACCGCAGTAGTCCTGGCTCTTGCCGCAGTATCCCCACTGCGAGCAGCAGAAACCTTCCGCACAGCCAAACCCAGAATCACCGCCACATTGTCCGAAAGGTGCGACTGGGAGCGACTCGTCTCGTCCAGCGATCGGAGTCACATCGTACTTCAGGAAGTTCTTGCGGGCATGGAGGTGCTGATGAGCCTGGTGAGCGGCGTATGGGATGGCCGAGACCGATGCGGTCAGTGCCGAGAGCACGGAAAGGGCGATGAAGGAGTGCATTTTGCTTCGGGGTCGAGCTGGTCGGTGGCGGGGAATTGCTGGAGGGTGAATCTGACTAGCAGATGTCTTTCACAGAAAGATTGGTGTAATGAGTGAACGACAGAACTTGCTGTCTGGTAAGGAGTGACGGTCGACTAGCGACGAAACGAAGGACGAGGCGCACGAAGCACAGAGAGCGACAAAGTCTGGCGGGCTGATGAAGAGGAGGAGGGGAGAAAGCAAGGAGAGCGTCTCCCACCTTTTTAAAGCACAGCCTACATACGGCCACCCACCTCGCACGACGGGCCATATTCGCCAGGAGCAGCATAGCGGACCAAACACGAGGACAGCTGAGGACGGTGAAAGGGCGGACTCGCCAAGGGGGGAGTGCACATCGTCTCCTATGGCGGACAGGCCGATTCACCACACAGACAGCTGAAGTCTGTGTGTTGCTCTGCACGGGAGCAGGAGACGTCGTTAGCCAGATCCGTCGTCCGCCAATCACAGCCCCGGAAGCTCTGTTCGACATCGTGCTTCCGCCTCCTGCGGCGTGACCGCCTGGCCAAACTTTGGCTACACAAGCATTTCTGCGCCGGGCGCCATCCCCCATTAGGCACTAGTAGTTGCGGCTCCTGGTTCGATGGTGGGGAATGCTGGGCGTCGCTGGTTTCACAAGTCAGCCCACTCGTTTCACCACCCGCATCGTGCAACGAATTGTCGGTGTCGCTCTGCTGTCTCTTCGGAGGATAGACAGGAACAGGAAACCACCTTCACCACGAACCTCTGCGGGGACTGAACACCACACACACGTACCTAGCGCCTCTCTCTCCTTCGCCAAGTCGTAGAGGAAGAAGTCGATGAGCACCGCGTTGACCTGCGTTGCTTCCGGATGCGCCCTGACAATCTCGCGCCGGATCAGCTCGACGGCCCAGATGCTGCAGCCACTGTAACATCCCACCATCAGTACCTGGTTCTTAAGTTTCGGGGTACGGCGTTGCGTGGGGAAGAAGCTCACCGCAGCTGTACCTCCCAGGTATGCCCTGATTCAATTCGACCAAGGCTGCGGATGCGGTGATCCAGCGGGGGACTGAAGACCAACACACCCAGCGAGTGCAGGACCTGGGGGACGCGGTAGTCTGCGATCACCAATGCCTGTTAGCCCGCATCCGCCGTACCAACTTCCCACATCCTGCAGCTGCACGTAGCCGCGGACACTGGCGCTGTGGAGAGACATACCTGCAAACATCGTCAGGTGGTCGATATCGTGGAATTCGCCCAACCCGCTCCCATTCAGAGCCGCCCAGAAATCCGCCACAAAGATCTGAGCACGTTTGAGAAGCCGTACTTTCCGACCCTCGAAACGATATTCGTCGCGGAAGGATGGGAAGTGATGGGCTAGAAGGTTGACCAACTTGCCCGCAGAGCGGTCTGCGCGCTGTATCAATCGCACTACCGCATGGTCGGGCCGCACGCTGTCCTGCTGTGCGTCGGGTATGTGCGTGGTATCGCCGTTTGTTATGTGATCAATCGATGTGACATCTATGTGTGATGAGTTGGCGTGGGCAATGGCAGGTTGTTCGTTTGCAGCTTCTGATTGAACTGCTGTGTTTGTGTTGGCGTTGCTGGCCAGCCCAGAATCAGAGGCAATCTCCGGTCGATCATGAGATGTTGAAGCATCGACAACCTCTGCCTGGACTTGAAGATTGCTTGGCTCTGGCCGTGTCGACGGGGTTTGGCTTGCTAATTCGTTCGTTGCTTGAGTATCTGTGGTGTTGGCGAGTATCCTGTCGTCAGTGGGGCCATCGATATCGGCTCGCAAACTTTCGATGTACTCGCTGCCCTCGTCAAATTCACCATTGGCGATAGCATTGGAGCTCTGTGAAGGGTCATCATCACGCTCGGCACCCTTTACAACTTCGATCTCGTCCTCGTCCTCGTCACTCGCAAAGTTCTATCAGGTCAGCTCATTGCTATAAGACTCGGGAACGAGGTCACATACTTCACGTAGGACATCACCGGCTTCTCGAAGTATGGAGATGCGTTCGTCCAGTAGAGGTATAGGCTCTGCAGTTGCGCTTCGAAAAACGTGGGCGAGTGTTTCGTCAGAGCATCGCTGACTTCTCCAGAAGCGTGGTGTCGTTATGGCTATGCCTTCATCGAGTGCCCGTCGAAGGCTGGCAACAAGGCTGTTGTAGCCAGTCCATCGTTTCCCACGGTACTCGACTTGATATCGTTCTTCGGAGGACAACTCAGACCAGAAGCTGGTTTTGATGAGCACAAGAGGAAATAATATGGGATATGAATGGCTTACGAAAAGTTCAATAGGTCCATGGTGAACACGAAGTTCAGAATCGCCACTTCATCGAAGCCTTCGCTCGTTCTTGGATGCAGCTCATGTTGACTCCACGTCTCAGTTGAGTAGCTCTTTTCCTGCATGCTGCGGTAGATCTCGGCGGCAGCGGCTTTGGTCCCGTACATATCAATTGACACATCGATAGCATTGCTGTAGACATGATCGGCATCTCGTAGCACGCCTTTGTGAGAGTAATCAGTGATTGAGCGACAAGAATCAAGAGAAGAAGAGAAAAGAAAACATTTGGGAGTGAACTGAGGGCGCCTGTCTCATTAATATGGAAATGTGCTGAAGCGCCCTAGGAGATAGCTGTGCCACACACCTGTATCGCTTGAAACTTCGCCATGGGTCGGTCTCGATATGCCCAGGCTTTGGCGGAGGAGTTCAAGGAGCTCGGGGTCAGCTTCGTCGTCGCTCATCGTGCCGGTATGAAGTTGAGGAGTGACGTGAGAAGACGTTTGTTTGCTACAGAATCGACTGAAGTACACTCTTTCGTCACACTGTCGACGCTCCTGTTTCGAGACAAAAAGTGTACCTTGGGAAGGGTCGGCTAAATCGATTGGGTTGCGGGAGGCGCCGAAGACGGGCCAGACGGAAGCTAGCTTCGTCGCGCTCGCTCGTTCCGAGCTCTCAGCGTGGTCGTCTGCGCAGTCGAGTGAAGTTGAGAAGACGGCAAACGATCATCACCGCCGACCCTGACCTCCACTCCGCCGTCGCCCTCCTGTCATCCTCTCGTCACCGACACCCTCCACCCCCCTACGGCACCCATCATCACCTTCCGCTCGTTAGCCGCCGACTTCGAGCTGATGAGCAGGCCGCCGCGGCGCATTCGGTGCTGCTAAGACGCCGCACGCCCGCACCGCGACAGCGCGATCACAGTCTCACACATTCACTTCGGACATCTGACACCGCCGTCAAACCCTCATCAACACCACGACCGACCATGCCACACCGCGAACGCTCGATCGCGCAGTCGCTCGGCTTGCCCACGACTAAGAGAGTGAAGCAGAGCCGAGTGCTGGTTGTAGGCGCCGGTGGCATTGGATGCGAGCTGTTGAAAACCTTGGTCTGCTGTGGCTTCGGCAGTGGATACCAACCGCCTCAAGGTCTGAATGGCGCTCAGCAACCCACCGTGCCTGAACCCGTGGCGGACAAGAAGGCGGAGATTGTAGTCGTTGACTTAGACACCATCGACCTGAGCAACCTGAACCGGCAATTTCTGTTTCGAAAACACCACATCAAGAAGCCCAAGGCCATCGTCGCGAAAGAGACGGCCAGCCAGTTCAACCCATCTGTCAACATCGATGCTCACCATGCGTCCATTTATGACAATCAGTATGACGTCCAATTCTACGAAGGCTTCGACATCGTATTCAACGCGCTGGACAACCTCGCCGCGCGCCGCCATGTGAACCGCATGTGTCTGGCTGCCAACGTTCCCCTGATCGAGAGTGGCACTACTGGGTTCAACGGTCAGGTGCAGGCCATCAAGAAGGGAGAAACGGAATGCTACGATTGCAACGAGAAGCCCGTGCAGAAGTCATTCCCGATCTGCACAATCCGATCGACGCCATCACAACCCATCCACTGCATAGTCTGGGCCAAGTCATATCTGCTACCTGAATTGTTTGGCACCAGCGAGGACGATTCGTCAGATATGACCATTACGGACACCGACGACGCTGAGGAGGTTGCAAAGCTGAAGGAGGAAGCTGAGGCACTGAAGAAGATTCGAGGACTGATGGGCAAGAGTGGATTCGCGAAGGAGGTCTTCAACAAAGTCTTTACCGACGACATTGAGCGTCTACGAGAGATGGAGGACATGTGGCAGAGCAGGAAGAAGCCAGAAGCTCTTCGCTTCGAATCCGTCAGCATCGATGCGGATCCAATCAAGCAGGGACAAGCACTGGCCACTCAAGACCAAGAGGTATGGAGTCTACAGGACAATCTCAAGGTCTTCACCTACGCGTTGGATGCTCTCAGCAATCGCATGCAAGCTGGTGAGAGCGCCATAGAATTCGACAAGGATGACAAGGACACTCTCGACTTTGTGGCAGCCGCAGCGAACTTGCGATCGCACGTCTTCGACATCCCAGTCAGCAGTGAGTGGCAAATCAAGCAGATGGCGGGCAACATCATTCCCGCCATTGCAACTTCGAACGCCCTCACAGCCAGCTTGTGTGTTTTCCAGGCCTTCAAGATCATCCGCAGTCAGACACCAGTACGAAAGCCTTCAGTTCCAGCCGCTGTCTACACCGCGAATAGCGCCGAAGCCAATGGCAGGACCGAGCCGCCGTTGGGAGGTTCCAAGATGGTGTTCCTCGAATCGAAGAAGACAGACCGCATGATTGCGAGTCAGAGCTTGGTGGCGCCGCGAGAGGACTGCCCGGTCTGCTCGCCGTTCTACGCCAAAGTCCACATCAAAGAAGGCAGCAGGCCGACGATGCAGCAGCTGGTGGACCTCCTCAAAGTGCGTCTCAACTACGAGGACTTTTCAATTGCAGCGGCAGAGGGAAAGTTGATCTACGATCCGGACCTCGAGGAGAATCTGCCCAAAGCACTGGCAGACTTCGGTGTCGACGGCACGAGCATCGATTTCCTCAGCGTGCAGGATGACAGCGACGAGCCCAAGGTCGATCTCGTGCTAAGCGTCAAGAGCAAGCCTACCGTTGAAGGCGACGATGACATTGCGCTGTTCCCCGATACCATCATTCTACCGCCTAAGCCGCCGAAGAAGACCGAAGCCAACGGCGACTTGGTGGACCCCGGAGACATCAACCCAGTTCCAGTCCTCAGTACAAGCACCAAGCGAAAGCGCGAAGGCGAGGACGACCTCGAAGAGAACGCTGCGAAGAAGACGAAAGCGGACACGGAGCCCGTCTACGTAGTCGAAGACGACGGCTCGATCCTTCTTGATTGAAGCACGAACAGATACCCCAGATTCGACGGCGTTTTTGAGTGATTTGCTTGCTTGCATGGGATGGCGAAGGCGTGATTGGAGACAGACGGTGGGAAGGTTTAGCAGTACATCCGGCGATACGACCCTTCACGATCGCCTGGGAGATGGAACGGCTTTGATGCATTATGGTTGAAGAGACAGAACAAGCCATCGCTTCGGCGCGGCCGGCTTTTCTGGAGAGGAGCCGAGACCTCAACAGTACAGAGGTTTACCGTCGATGATGATGGGTGAGATGACTTGTAACATAAGATACTCATACTTCGAGCTTTGTGCCGCCCTCGCCTGACATGGCTTGTGGCTGGCGCATGCAATGCTACTGTTGTGAAAGATCGAAACATATTCCGAATCCCTTTATTGTCGTTGCCTGATGTCTGACATGTCGACCGTTTGTTGCTATCCGACAGCTGAAGGCATTTAGAGGTTGACTCAACTCATTTGAGAACATGTTTTGATTTTTTGATGTTTTATTGAACGCGAAGGCCATACTAAAGAGAGATTGCTATGCTTATACAAAGTCAGATCAAATGCCAGTCATTTCACATTCATCATCCACACCCACAGCCACATCAACACCGGCCCCATAATGCCATCACCCATCGACAGAAAGATGATCAAACCAGTTACCATCAGAAGTCACCAGCGAAGTCCAGTCTCATCACGAACCTCTAAACAAGCCTCGCAGTCTCATCATCAGTACTCGGCCTTGGCTGACTCCGCTCATGATGATTATAACTACTCGGCCCCTCGGCCGGGACGCCAGCCTCATCGGCATCGACCATCGTGACGGGCTCGTACGACTCCTTGCTGTCGCTGGAGACGTGCGACATGGCGCGGGGGCTCCGCTGGTGGTGCTGCTTGCTGTGGGTCAGGTCGCCGTGGCAGTGTGGGCAGCGGGACCAGACGAAGGGGTTGCGGAGCTCGATTTCGCGGAGGACGAACCAGGTGTGGAGGACACTGTAGATTAGAAATTAGGATGGGTTGTTTGTGGGGTGGACTGCGGGATGGGGGGCTTACAAGTTGATCATCATGGGGACCGTGCCGTAGGTCCCTACCATGACCTCGCCGGTGTTTGAGCGCCAGTCGCCGCGCAGCAGGATCCAGCCGGGGATCAGGACGGCGATGAGGAAGGTCGCGCAGAAGAGGTCGACGACGATGTTAGGAATGCGGTGTTTGGCGCCGCCGGCGAGGTGGACCAGGGCGGTGATGGCGGAGAAGGTCATGGGGACGATGCCCAGGACGGGGCAGATGAGGTTTGTGACGATTCCGTGGGCGAGGAGAAAGGGGAATGCTGGGACCCAGCAGGCGATGGTGATCATACGCAGGAAGCGGTTGACATCGTTGGTGTTGTTGGACTCCATGTCGGATGGTGGTGTGAAGATGGTCGAGGTGGAGTGGTTAATGGTTGCGTCGTGGCCGAGAACGTAGAGTTGATTGAAGCGACAGATGTTGCACTCTGAGCAGTCTTTGACCATTTGGGACTGTGGTGGTGGACGACCGTTTTGAGAATGGCCGTTGTTTATGGATACTTAAAGAGATAGGAGGAGAAGAGAGGATTGTCACTGCCTACCGGGTATTGTGAGGGAGACTAGTCGAATCCTTCTCAGGCTGCAGCTTAACACTGCCACCGCAGCCCTCGATTGGCCGGCGATCTCGAGTGTTTCAAAAGTCTGCGGTGCGCAGCATCGAACTGGTTTACCGCGGGTGGGTTTGCATGCTGCTATGGAAACTGATGCGTGAGATAGGGCATGTTGTATGCATCTTGACGCCGAAGTCAGTCAAATGTTGAAGCCTGCGATGCGAGGTGTGGATGGGGGAGGGAATTGTGCCACATCGAGAAGGGCTCGGGAATTTCGCTGTTGTGGTCGTGGTGCAGACTTGTTGGGTAGTCAAGTGCTGGCTGCGCCGAGTGATCGTCTGGTTCTGCCGCCTCCTATTGTAATGCGTCTTCTTCCTCCCCGGCTTCAATATCGCTAGGGGTGGGCGATGCTCGCGTCCTGCTCGGGCGCTGGGGTGCCTCAGGTTCGAGATGCCGGCATTGTGATGATTTGTCTCTTCCTGCCGATGGCTTGGATGGCTGACTAGATGCTCGTGTTCCGATCATTAAGCCAGCATTGCACTGTAAGCGCAAGGGGAGAAGGCATTGCTCGGCGGTTGGTTGTTGCGATTGAGGCTGTGTGCAGCGTTTTGGAGGTGATGTTGGCTCCACCCGCCCCACTCGATCACTCAAAGAGACTAGCTCGCACGTGACAGCGTATCACAAACGTCTCGCGCTTTTGGGAAAACCGTGTCAACATCGCTCTCATCAACATCTTGATCACTTGCACCGCAGTTCCAGTGTGCTGGAACCACAATGGCTGGACAGTCAACGGAAACCGAGACGACTGCACGAGAAAGGACAGCCTTCAACCAGCCATAGAAAGTCTGGAGCTGCCATGACTGTTTGTACGGAAAATTAACATGAGTGAATTTGACTGATCGCTCTTAATGTACATGAACGTCTCTTCTATGCTGCTCGGAGACCTCGAGCTGGAGCTCGCTATCCTGTATGGAAGCAAAACAAACTCAATCCTAGTCGACGAGTTGATACTGCATGGGACCGTGCGCTGCCAGTACTCCAAAACCGCTATATCACGTTAGCGTTTGGCTCGGACAGTTGCATACGATACACACCTGTATCTATGGAATGCCGGCGCTTGGGAGACAGGATCCGGCATAGTTGAGCACTCCAAGGCTCTGTCCACTGGCATCATACACCCCCACGGCACACGACTGCTTCTGTCCAGGCGAGAACGAAGAGGCACACTGGCTGAATCCGTCACGGAACGCATTTGTACACGTCTCTTCGCCAGCTGGAGCGGTCGCTGCACAGTCCAAATCCGTGTTGCGCGCAAATGTCGAACTGCCTGTACTGCCACTTCCAACGATGAAGGCGTTGGCACATCTATCATATTGACCGGATCAGTAAGGTATCTCTTGACAATCACAGTCCTCTCTCGAGCCTCACCCGTCGGCGACCAAGTCGCTGCACACTCCATCCCACGCATCATTGTTGAATTCTGGCAGCAAGATCGTGGCGCCATTGCCACATACTGCTCCGCCAACGGGGTCATCAATCTTGGCCCAATCGGCCCTGACGTGAGTGCTGCTCAGCAGTGCGACTATCGCAATGAGGGTGGTAGATGAGAACATGGTTGTTCATCGAGAAGGGGCAGTTGATCGGTTTGTTGTGATTGTCTTTGAGAAGTGATGGTTGCGAATGAAGGACTCAACAACTGGGAGACATGCTCTTCTTTATACCTTACAATCCTCAGAGTGTCCGTCCTGTCTCTTCGTACGAAGCATTCACTGACCTGTATAAGTGTTCGTACATTGCAGGGATCGATTCCTCCCGAGCCTTTGCCTGTGGCCATTGCAGAGCAGAGAGATTTGCACCCACTGAATGATCAACCGCTGCAAGTTCTTTGATATTATGCTCAATCCCCATGACTTGAATGATTCGCTCACTCGCATTCTAGGTATTCATAAGGATTCCAGGTCGGCGTCGACTCAGACTTGAAGCTTCTGCACACATCGGACGGTCACGCCAAGACATCCTCATAGCTGCTGGCACCCCTGTCCACTCCCTTGTCTCTCTCGTCATGCCCGGCCATTAATATCCGACGTTTTGTCGAAGCTGTACACGACCGATACTCTCCTCTCCTGACGAAGTTTGTCACTCACTTGGCGTGACCGTGGGGCATCCTGTCTTGACCTGAAGCGACACGATACGATCGGCATGCAGAGGCATGCATTTCGCCTGTATACTAACTTCAGGTATCATTCAATTCAAAGAGTACGAAGAGCAGATCAACAATTCCCGTCATACGCACTTCTTGGACTGAACTCCACCACTCGACCTAAATCCTTGCCGAGCAATACCAGACTCGTACTATTTGGTTGTGGACTGTATTCCGGCCAGCCCAGAAGATTACTCAACCCCTTCTCCGGACAATGAGCGAACGCCGCCCAAGCACTCCTCACATAATTCCCAACCGTCCTCTCTGCATCCGTAGAAGGAGCTTTTCCAACCGATTGATCGGTGCCAAACATGGGCCAGATTTCTGAACTGTGGTACGCTCGGCCCTCTGCGCCAGGGATATTGATGTTGGGGAACGAGGGGAAGTATCGATACTGCCAGGCGGGGATATCAAGACTCCATCTGAGGCGAGCTTGTTCGTTTGCTGGACACGTGAAGGATGCTTTAGTGCCTTGGTCAAGCAATGGCTGGAGAAGCTCGGGGGATTTGGGCAGGGTGATGTTGCCTAGTGGCACGATGCTGATGAGTCCGAATTCGTCGTCGTTGCTGCCCACGAGGACGGGTGTCTTCATCAGTTTTCCGGCTTGCACCCGTTGGCTGTAATTGCTGAACACGGTCTTTTCATCAACGGTGGGGCCGAAAGCGGCCTTGAAGGGCACGGAAGAGGGAGTAGTGCTAGCCAACAGCTTTTCCGTGGTGACGTTGCGTGAGTTGCGCATGCAATCCACAACGGCCTCCGTAGAGTGTGTAGTGTTGTCTCCGCATCCGACAGCTCTTGCCACATCGTACCATCTTGCGGCCTGCGTGGCGGCTGGAGAGTTGGTACCGTTCGCGGAGGCGCTTCCCGACTGCATGATTGCACCTTGGATGATGGGATCGTCGAGCCATATATACGTGTAGTAATCCGTACTACCAGCCCCAGCCGACTCGCCAAAGAGTGTGATGCGGCCAGGATCCCCACCGAAGCCTCCGATGTTATCCCTGACCCATTCCAGGGCCATCCTTTGATCTAGCAGGGCGACATTCTGGGTAAGCTCCGGTCCACCTGGAAAGCCAAAGATTCCTAGGCGATAGTTGAAGGTGACGAAGACGACGTCTTCGGTGTCACTCCAATACTGACCGCTGTAGCCTGTCAAGTTGGAACCTCCTCCGTCGAACGAACCGCCGTAGATCCACACCATGACAGGCTTCAGGAGAGAGCCTGTCTGAGGTTTGGTCCAGATGTTGAGTGTCAGACAGTCTTCGTTGGGGATTTGGCCGTAGTTTCCTACTACAGCTGCGACGTTACGTGCAGAGTAAGAGACATTTTCTGGTGGCGGACTTATGATTTGCGGACAGGAGAAGCCGAATGCTGCTCCTGATACGCTGGAAGTGTTATGATACTTGACTGGAGGCGCGAAGCGGAGGTCGTCGACGGGTGGTCGCGCGAAGGGGATGCCGAGATATTCGGACACGAGGGTCGCGTTAGGTGCTCTATGGCCGTGAACGAGTCCTGATGTGGTGTTGACGGCCTGGCCTATGGTCCACGAGCAGCCCGAGCATTGCTGAGCTTGAAGTTGAGAGAACAAGAGCGTCCACACTATCAAGGAGACCAGTCTCCAGGCTAAAGAGAGCATAATGAGGAAGGAGGAGCAGTGTTTGAAGGTGAAGAGATACGAGTTGCCTTGGCCGGGACAACTGGACTATTTTGGATCGCATGATGTTCAAACAGTGTCCTAGGAAGAAGCTTCTGCCACGACAATGAGTGGAATTGCATTTCCTACAATGTCACGAATGATGTCACCACAATCCCCATTGCGGAAAGAGAAAATCAGCTGAGATAGAACTCGTCACAGCCCCGTGAGCCGAACCCCGATTCCCTCTACGTCTGCTATCCGCCGGGTAACAAGAACCCCACAAGACTGCCAGGGCAAAGCCATTGCGTAGAATATACCTGCACAACAACACATCAGTTTGCTGTGCAGAATGCACGAGGCCCGATATGTCGAGCCAAGATCAGCCCTTCGCCGCACCAGGAGCCCCACAAGGCTGTAAGGGCAAAGCCATTACGCAGGTCCATATAGACAGTAACACAGTTACACTGTATATTTTAATCCCTGTTTACTCATAGTATCTGGAGCCAAGATCAGCCCGCGACTGTGGGCCCCACAAGGCTGCAAGGGCAAAGCCGTTGCGAAGGGTTACTGTATACGGCAACCATCTGCGTGTGGCACAGTAATGAATTCGGAGCTCCATCGATCGAAGACCAGCCATTCGACGGAGAAATAGATTAGCTTTTCCAAGTCGCGACATGCATGCCATTGATTGGAAAAGCCACAGCACGCAGTGCCACCATTGGGAGCCATCCCTGCATTGCAAAGCCGTGAAGATCGAACTTGCCCTGTCGTATTCGCATGATGTGAAGAACGTGTTGCGATATAAGAACAACTTCTTTCGATAATGGCCAGTCCGCCTAAGCAACAACTGAACAAGTCGAGTTCCTGAACCTTGTCTCGCGCAGTCAACGACTACTACAACAACACTTCTGCTGGGATACCTGATCAGAGGCTAAACTCTTAATCGACATACCAGATTACCAACGCACTCTGTCCAACACCATGGGCTGCGGATACTCACGATGCTGCGACGACCCTCACGATTATTACTCTTGTTCCAACGGCTACCGGCCAATATATCCTGACCCAGTCGCCTACCAATCGATCAATGGAGCACTTCGCTACTACGATTGCCAGGGATACGGGCCTCCTTCGCAATACCACCCGTCAACGCAACAGGGACCGCCACCGGAGTGGGCGTATCCACAGCATCAGTACCCAGTATACAGGAAGACAAAACGCCAGCGCGACAATGAGAATGCTGGTGCCTTGGCCGCAACTTCGTAAGCAATACATACTCCTTGTCAAGCCTTGCTTGGCCAAAGCGTAATTGAGAACTGATATCAACGATTACAGGGTCGCTGCGTGCGTGTGTTAGTGGAAAACATGGCTCCTACATCAGGATTGTACTATAGTCTCAATGTACTACGTATCGTCGAATAGCAGTATTGAATCTTTGCCTTCACCTTGTTCTCTGCTCTTTTCTGGACATCACCTCTCTGACAGCATGTTTTCCAATTACAGCTCACACTATCAAGCCCGGGCTCATGACTGCAAGATGATCTATTGCGGTCGTCGAAAGTGTTCTTGACATGACGTGCATCCTTCCGCAGATCCACCACTCCTTCGTGCGAGGAATCTCCTGAAATGGCTTGGCGGCGGTGATGGTACCTGATCAGGTCGACGTCTCAGCCACTCAATCTCGTTTATTAAGGCTGTTCGATGCACATCACTGACGTGACGGGATCAATAGCCTATTCACGGGCCCACTGCCACGCTACGGTACCAAAGCTAAGCCCTCTGCACGAGGCTGATGGCGTCACGGCTTTTGTTCCTTACACCAAGTGTTTACAGGGAGCATGATTCGAAGCAATGATGTACGTATACATAGAGAAAAGATCTGCAGTAAGTTTTCTCATCCAATCATTCCGACTATGCGAGTACGAAAGAAGCCGTGCTTGTGCCTCATTCTACGCGATTAAGTTGCCAACGGGAATTCAGCTGCCTGTACATGCCATCATCAGGGGGATATATTGTCTATATGAACCGGCCACAGGAGCGATGTCGTGGTGAAGCACAGCACTCATTCACTACGACCACGACTTGATTTCCAGAATACTACGACTCAATCATGGGCCCAGTTTCATTCCCTGTTCTCAGCCTGACAAGCCTAGCCAGCAATATCTTGTTGGCATCTGCCGCTCCAGCTTTCAGCAGTCGGTCAACCAGCAAGCTGCAATGGGGTCCATGTCAATCAACAAATACGACCGTCACGGCCGGGCTGCAATGCGCGACGTTGCCTGTCCCCCTCGATTACCAAGATGAGCAGTGCAACCAGACGCTCTACTTGAACTTGGCGAGATCCCCTGCTGAAGGACAGTCCAAGGGCACGATTCTTGTCAACTTTGGTGGGCCAGGCCTTGATGGTAGGAACAACCTTGTTAGCTCAAATGGGGTACCGGTATTAGGGTATGCAATCTTTACACGAGTGATGAGAGAGTGAGCATCGTTGACGAAATCTCAGGTTGTCAGAATACGACTGGGTTACTTGGGATCCAAGGTTAGTTACTCCCAACTCTCGCGGTTGACCATGGACGATATCATAACACAACGTCCAGGGGCACAGGGACGACTCTCCCCGCCAACTGCTACTCAGACACAGCCGTTTCGACAAATGCAAGCGCCGCGATACCATTTCCCCAGAATGCCACTGTCCCTGAGATCTCCAAGGCCTGGGATGCTGTAACCAACATCACGTCCACTTGCAAAGACACACTTGGCGTGAACGGCACTCTCATTGGAAGTGCATACACTGCAAGAGATATGTTGCAGATCGTTGATGCGCTCGGCGAGGATGGGCTGCTTCGATACTATGGTTCGTCTTGATATCCTTGTCCCACCATCGGATCGAAAGCTGACAACCGGTCGATAGGGATGTCGTACGGCTCAGCGCTGGGCCAAATCTTTGCCGCCATGTTTCCAGATCGAGTTGGCAGGATTGTCATTGATGGAGTGCTCAACCCTCATCAGTACATCACTGGAACGTAAGTATACAACTCTCATTGTAGCACGGGTATATGGATCAAAGACTAACGTGTGTCGGTTCCTCTCTTATTTAGCGATTATCAACAGCTCGCCACTACTGATGCAGTTCTCGACAACTTCTTCAGCTCTTGCGAAGCCAGACCTGAGATCTGCAACCTCACCATGCTCGACACATCGCAACAAAGTCTGCGGCAACAATTCAACAACAAGCTGGACAAACTCCAGAAGGATGGTCCAGACGCTTCCTTCAGCCCTCTGCTCCGGTACGAAACATTGGTCTCGTCAGTGTTGGCAACTCTGAAATCACATGCACGCTGGCCTCAGACTGCAACCCTTTTATATGCGATCCTTTCGGACAACAAGGCACTGTACACCAAATTGTCTTCGGCGTCCGCTGAGAGTGCCTCCGGTACTCCTCAGGCCTTCCCCGGCGTCTCAGCGAACTCATTCGGGGAGATTACTTCGGCCATTCGCTGCTCAGATGTCTTAACACGCATTCCAGACCCGGCAGCCGATGTTGAGCTCGCGAAGCCCTTTTTCCCGCAGAGCCGGTTCGAAGGGGGTTTGCTCGTCGCAGAGACCCACATCCCATGCATGTTGTGGCCGTTCAAGGCGAAAGAGCAATACACGGGGAACTTCGACGTCAAGACCAAAAATCCGATCCTCGTGGTGAGCAATATCTACGATCCGATAACCTCGCTGGATGCTGCTCTCAACGCAAGTGCCACATTCCACGGTAGTGGATTGCTGGTACAAGACTGGTACGGTGTAAGTCGTCATGGTTTTCTGCCTGATCAAGGCTCATGCTGATTTGCCTCGTAGCACGTAAGCACAACTGGGGTTTCAAAATGCATGGCCTCTCATCTCAGAGATTACTTTGCCAACGGAACGCTGCCGGAGCGTGGTACCGTTTGCGAGGCGGATATTCCTGCGTTTTATATTGAGGAAGAATTATTGGCTGCAGCCAAGTCTGTCTTAAGCGGCTAGAGCGTCACGGGCTTGAGGTCATCTGCTTTGATAGAGTACGTGTGGTATCGCATCGTGGACTTTTTATCGGCAGTCGGAAGGCTTCCAGATGACGGCCTCGTCCATGCCAGATTTGGACAATGTAATCTTCTATCTCACCAACTTCAGTAGATACCGCCGCCACGCTTAAATACCGTCATGCCATCCGAATGCTGCCAACAGGATTGTATCGACAGAGCCGGTCGCGGAGGAACCCCTTGTCTCAGAAGAATCTTTCGATCTTGGAGGGATCGAAGTCATCCCCAGTATGAAGATGCTGGTCTCCTGAAGACCGTGTGACCTTCGACTACCCTGTCGTGGTCGGGAAAGCCCCGGTACATGATCGTCCGCACTGAACCAGGACTCTCCGATCTGGATGCCCCTGCCATCCCCACGTTGCTACCAGGGGTTAGGCCATTGATTGACGTGAGCTTAACCAGAAACGCAGTTCGAGAGGTCCAGCACTTTGCGGCCTGTACAGCCTCGTTTTAGGCGCACGCGCTTGGCTTTGATGTCGAAGTTGTCAACCATTGCAACAAAAAGAAGACTTCCTTGCAGTTCGCCCAGTTTTTGAGAACTAATCCAGTAAACTTTATGAGGTCGGGTTGGGTCAATTTGCTGACAACGAGCTGGACCTTGCCTGTTCGCAACCAGGGTAAGGTAAGAAGCTCATGACGTTCCGTCTCGAGGGTAACGTATTTTCACCCTATTCGTTCGACTTCGCCCTTCTCGGTCTACCTCTCTCTTGATGATAAACAAATGGCCTCCACAGCTTACGCATGATGCAACTGTGTTACGTACATCTTTTGGGGTATAATCGTGTTGCACACTGCTCTTGCCGGCGACCATGAAGGTCAGCGGTCATACCTCTGGAGACACCGTTGTTGGGGTGGTGGTGACGTTCACTGTTGTTGCCACTCTCTGCACCATCTTGAGGCTGTGGACCCGGATCTTCATCGTCCGTAGCCCTGGCTGGGACGACCTATGCATCACTGCCTCAGCGTTTCTGACGTGCATGCTCTCAGCATGTATGGTTGAGCAAGGTATGTGCATCAAGCACAGATCGAGCAAGCGATGAGCTGACTTACATCGCATCCAGTCAAGTATGGCATGGGAAGACATGGTTCGAGCCTCACTGCAGATGACAAGACACGGTCCCTGATATGGTTCTGGATATCGATATGGGTGAGTGGATCCACATTGATTTGAGCATGGTGCCTTTCCCTGACGACTGAAAATCACAGGTCTACTATCTAGGACTTGGTTTTGCAAAACTCAGCATCCTCTTGCAGTATATGCGAATCTTTGAGAACATACCGAAGTTCAAGATCGCATGCTATACGGTCATCGCAGTCGTGGCCATCTTCACGCTGTGGACTTTCTTCACGGCAATGTTCCTTTGTCAGCCGATTCATCACTTCTGGAACCCAGATGGCCATGGCAAATGCTTGAACAAGTTGGTATTGTGGTAAGCATGCTGCGACTCCACATGTTTCACACGTTGGCTGTGACATGCTTACCGAATGGCAGGTTCTTCAACTCGAGTTTCAACATCGTGACGGACATCGCAACGGCTATTCTCCCATTGCCTGTGCTGAAGAGTCTGAATCTGCCAAAGAAGCAGCGATACATGCTGATGGGTGTGCTCTCGCTCGGAGGTTCGTTCCACAAGACACAGTGTCAGCAATACGGCGCAGGTCTGACATGTCGTAGGCGCAGTTTGTGTGATCTCGATTGTACGATTCCACTCCCTTTATGCCATTGCCATCTCAAAAGACCCAAGCTGGGACAATCCACTCGCAGCTCTCTGGGCAACCCTTGAAGTGAACGTTGGCATCATCGCCAGCTGTCTACCCACGCTGAAAGGGCTCTGCGTCCGATACTTCCCCAAGCTCCTTTCCATCACGGCACCTTCACAAGAACCAACGCCCATCTTCGAGCTCAGTGGTCCAGGAAAATCCGATGCGAGCTGTTCAGCGAGTCGAAGCCAGACTCATCGATGGAAGCATGGGCCAATGTCTCGGCTCGGTCGCCGGTTTGGAGGCGTACGCATTCAAGAGATTGACAATGAAAGCCAGCGGTCGCAGAATGATCATATCAGCAGTCCGGTGGATATCAAAGATGGCATCAAGGTCACTACGGTTGTTGAGCAGGTGGAACGCCGGAAAGAAGACAGGAGGCAGTCGGAGGAGAGTCGAGAGAACCTTGTGCCGATGACGCCGAGGGAGAGGACTTGATCAAGCAGTAGCCAGGCGTTGGAGGTGTACATCAAGGTCGGGAGAGGCTTCGATCCTGGTATCAATAAACACTCGTGTGAGTTGGGTCTGCTTGGAGTTCTCGGAACAGAGTGCTTTGCGCTCAGGGACTGAATTGCAGACACTTGCAGTCATTTCTGCCTTTTGGCATTTTCTGCTCTCATCACCAGTCTCTGACTTCCCTATCCTCTGTGAATGGTGTGTCTTGGGCATTATAATCGACTCCCGTCCTTGCCGTAGCTAAAGATTTTAACTTCGGCGGCAATAGCCCGACACGTGATCTCGTGGCCCGCGCTTTGCGAAGTTTACTAGCCCTCGGGATCTGCAGCTCCACCCGCGTTTCCTTGATTCCACATCACCTCAGCCGTCTTCTCCCATCACCCAAGATTCCCTTCAGAATATGTCTCAGCACTCCGATGTGGCCTCGCAGCCATCAGCCATCCCAGCCATCGTTCCGAATCGTACCATGATGCGGCATATTTCGCTAGGAACCAAAAGGCAGACGTGAAGCCCGCCCTCAAATGACGGAGAGTCCGGAGCACATGATCTATGACCGGCAGGAGCAGTCTCGCCCTTCTGGTGCTGCTACTGCAAGGTACCACGTTCGATTCCACATTCCGAAGGAGCATGGATCCCAATGGCTCAGCACAAGCCAGGCAACGAGTCGGTTTCCTCGGGCGATGCATCATCGTGCAGTCTTGTCAGTGGTCCTCGCCGTGCGTAATAGCCACGAGGAGGTAGATGTGGAGCCGCCACACTTCCTTCTCAGGGCGACTTGGAATCATTCTGGCCGTTCTTGGCGTTACTTTGTTCTGTTTGGGAAGACGCTCAGTTCAATGCCATCGTTCAGGATTCGGTTGACGGCGTTGTGATAGGGAGGGCGCTGGCAGACCCTCATTCGGCATGCAATACTTTGTTCGCATCGCGTTTTCGAGAAGCCGATATCCGGGAGAAGCAGTAGGTGGAGTAAACGAGAACCGAGAGCAGCTCATGAGGTATAATATATATACAGTCTGTCTTGGCCCCATGGTTTTCTCTGTCTTCCGAATCACCAGCCTGCCGCACTTCTTCTTACTCGTCACATTATCTTCAGTCCAGACCGTCAGCATGCGTTCGTCTGCAATTCTGCCCCTGCTCTCATCAGCAGCCGTGGCATCACCCGCGGGATGGCAACCAGGCTGGGGTGGAAACAAGCAACCCAGCTGGGGATGGGGTAGCTGGGGCGGCGGCTGGGGTTGGGGAAAGCCTCATGGCCCTCCACCATATTCTCCGTCCACTTCTGTTGCCTACTTTCTCTACAACGATCCGGCAGGGGCTTCCATCGTTTCGCTTGAGATTGGGCAAGATGGCAAGCTTGTCGACGACCCAGTCAAGACGGCCACTGGTGGTGTGGGCTCGCTCCAGGTCAATGCGTCTGGATCGCCTGCGATGAGTGATACACTGGGCTCGCAAGGGTCGGTCACGATCAAGGACAACGTATGTGTACCAAGAAAGCCATTGCGACGATGCGAGTCTGACACATCTATCACAGCTACTCTTCACGGTCAATGCCGGAAGCGATACACTGTCCCTGTTCTTCATTGACCCTCAATCACCTACCAAGCCCAAGCTCGTGGGCTCCCCGATCAACACTCTCGGCAATTTTCCCATCTCTGTGGACTACTCTCCTCAGCTTCGCAAAGGTATGTTAGTCACTCTTCAGCTCCAGTTTCTTTACTAATTCGATATCCAGCATGTGTTCTGAACGGCGGTGCAAAAGCTGGTGTCGCATGCTTCTCTGTCGATCCATTCCATGGACTCCAAGCAGATGGGCCCCTCAGAGCGCTGGGCAGTTCCATCATCAACGAGACCACGCCTCCATCTGGCCCACCAGGCTCAGCAGCACAAGTCCTGTTCAACCCAGATTCGAGCGCCGTCTTCGCTACCGTGAAGGGAAACCCCGACACAAAGAAGCTAGGCTCAATGGCAGTCTGGCCCGTGGATAACGGCGACATCAGCCAGGGTGAACCTGTCGTCAGCACCTTCGACGGCCTCTACGTCGACTTCGGCTTCCTCTTCGTGTCCCAAAGCGAAATCTTCCTCTCCGACGCAGGCTCCGGCGCCGCGCTCGTCACCGTCGGTGATGGCTGGAAGGTCACCTTGAAAGAGCACACAGTCATCCCAGGACAACAAGCCACATGCTGGACTGCGTACGTCCCAAGCCTGAACACTCTCTACGCAATCGATGCAGGCTACGACGGCGTCTACACGCTCGATCCCGCGACCGGCAAGCAAACCGGCACGATCAACGTCCAGATTCCCGGTGGAAACGCAACAATGGGAGTTTTCGACAGTTTCGTCAAGAACGAGACATTGTACTCGTTGGTCGGGTCGAATGGCTTGGTCGTGGTTGATCTCAAGACAGAGCAGCAGGTGCAGTATCTCGATCTGTCGAGCTTTGGCAGCAGGCAGTATTATCAGGGTTTGGCTCAGTGGCCTTGAGCGAAGTCGATCAGATGGGCGCGATCGGGCGTCGTTTTTCGAAAAGAGGAGCTGCACGGGCGGATGTAGGAAGAATAATACACGCTTTTGCATAAGGTACTTGCTAAGTTTCCTCTTGCGGTAATTGTATCGTCAAAGTATCTACGCAATTGGAAGGAAGCAGGCGGAGTGTATCTCCAGTGCCTGAGATGTCTTGCATTACACGAGCATCCATCTCAATTATGATGAAGAAGGCATTAATGCACCAAGTCCACATTTCATTCATGCACCTGTCAGCAGCATTAGTCAGGCTAAAATATCGAGAGGATTCTCGTCCCTGCAGCGGAGGGCCAGGCGGAGGCGGAAAAAGAGGCTGGGAAAACGGACGGGTCTCAGCTCTGACTGCATCTACTAGGCAAAAGCTTCCACTTCAATGCCACGCGTTTTTGTGACCTCGTTATTCTGACAATTTGAGATTACTTTTGCGATTGGTTTACTGCCTCGTTTTGGATGTAGGCTGTGCTGTGCTGCTGCGGTCGAGATCTGAGTGGAATCATCGAAGAGATATTGAGAGAGCTGCGGAGAGATTGGTGGCGAGAGATACGAGGGGACTGGCGGCTGATGAAGGTGGAGGGCACCACAAAGTTGAATCGTGAAAGCTCAAACGTATTCTGGACCGGACTCGAGGATATTCTTTCTTATGAGAAGAAAACTCGTATCGCTGGAATCATCGCCTTGTGGAGTAGAATACAATGACCGACCGGGATCCCACGGCGACCAAGTCATTCTGGAAGAGTAGTAACAAGGCGGATAAAAACGCATCGCAAAACAATGTGACTTTTGTCCAGCAAGACCCATCGGGTAGTGGGAAGAGAGGTGAGCGATGCCAGCGGGAAATGATGGGTAGAGTAACAACTGATCTTGAACGGCGCCAGGAAACCGCATCAGCAAATTCTTCAAACGAGGCAGCACATCCACCACCACAAGCGGCGGCGGCGGCGACGAAGTTGAGAACAGCAGCAGTCCCGGCGATGGCAAGACGAGCGCGCAGAAGAGGCGGGAGCAGGTTTATCAGGCGCAGAAGTAACATCTTCCTCTAAACCACTAACCTGCATCACTGAGTAAATGGCTGACTGAACAACTAGACGCCACCGCAACCGCAAAGCCACCTACATCCACTCCCTCGAAGCAGAAATCGCCCGTCTCCAGTCCCTAGACGCGCAAGCGAACGTCGAGAAAAACGCTCTCGCGCACCAGAACAAGGCGATGAAGGAGTTGCTCGCGTCGCACTCGCTGGACTTCCGGCTCGGGGAGATGGGGCTCGAGGGGAAGAACGATAGCGGGGACGGGCTGAGTAGTTTAGGCAGCGCATCAATCGAAGTCCGCCCGGACGAGCAGCTGGGTGGGAAAGACCGCACGTTTCTGGACTTTGGCGAGGAGATGCTTTGGTCGACGGAGGGATCTTCGACTACTATTTCGCCGCCGCTGGGTCTCGAGTCATCGGAAGGTCGGCAGCAGCAACAGCACCATAATCCGGACAGCTGGGCGGCGGTGGATTTCATCCTCGCGCTCGAGTATCCCTGCCAGGATCATCTGCCGCATCATGGGATCAATCCCGCCGCGAAGCCTATGTTGATGGAGACGGAGGATTCGGAGGGGTTTACGGGGCATCAGTTGACGATGACGAGTTGGGTTTATGATGCTGCGCAGCAAGGAAATTCACATGGTCATTCACATTCGCATGGACATACGCATGGGCATGAGCGTGAGGTTGCCAATGGAGCTGGAGAGCAGAAGTGGATGTTGCCGCATACTGAGATTGAGAAGTTCGTTTCCCTTCCCCTTCCCGTCGCTCAAACGCACCCGCTAACGTCTGATAGACTCATCACCCTCTCTTCTAACCTACCCATCGACGAGGAAGAAATCACGCCTGCGCAAGCGTACTCCGTGATTCGGGATAGCGTCCCCAGCGAGGGACTGTTGAAGCCTTGTCTGGAAGCCTTGAAGGGCCCATTGAGTGGGATCGTGGAGTGTAGAGGTTTCGGGACGGTAATGCCCACGGATGTGTTTCGCAGGTATTTGGGGGCGACTTTGGAAGGGCTGGGGGCAGGAAGGTCGTAGAACGGCAGTTTGGGTGCTGGAAAGGACGGCCAGCGTGGATTTTGGCACGGAGGACTTGTTTCGTCGTCTTTGGTGTAGAGGATCCGCCTGTGGACGGCACGCACATGCAGCCAAGCAGCGAAAAGAAAAGCATCTGAAGACCTTCAAAACAAAACGCCATCGCTAAAACCCTTCATCGTTTCCCCCATAATCTCAAACTATCAGAATCAGTCAGCAAGCCCATCCATTCCCTCCCAATAATATCCCCCACAACCAAGAGACGAAGAGGACTCACCATTCAAATAATCCGCCGCCATCAACAACTCCAGCACCAACTCCATGGGCAAATCCATATCCGCCACGTCTTTCGCGTCCTTGTGCTTCTCGTTGTAGTAGAGATACTCGCAGACTTTCTCGAGGACTAGACCACTTTTTGCACAGCCGTGGTATCAGCAAAAACTCCCTTTGATGTGGCGAATCGGATCGGGAGTATTGTGTTTTGTGTGGTGGTGAGGGTACGTACTTGATGTTATCAAAGCGGCAGGTATTCGTTTGGGATTCGATGAAGCCGTCTACAGCACACCACACACAGTCATCAGTATATATTTCCTCAACCTTGAAGTCTGTCCGGAGAGGGGAGGTGGTATACATACTCGCGGGATCCAACATCCTCTTGATAGCGGGACTGATGCATGCCGCGGAGCGACGGACAATGAAGCTGTAATCGTCGGAGGAGACGAGCGTGACGTATTCAGTGAGGGGGTTTGGGGACGCCATCTGCGGGTTTTCTTCTTTGAGGCTTGATGAAGGAAGGTGATTGATCGTTGTTGGCGTGGTCGAGACGGCGAAGTTCAGGGTTCGACATGTGGGGCGGATTGAATGCCTGAGGCTTCAATTCCTTGTGAGAGAGGAACGGATGTTGGCAAGGTGAGTGAAAGGAACGTTTAAGCAGGTTCTGAGAAGAGGTCGCATTCTGGGTATCTAGAACTAAAGCAAATGCTTTGCAGCAGTAGCAGTCTCTGTGTGTCCAGCTGTTGGGGTATAAGTCATGCCATCGTGTCGCCTTCGCCCCCAAGAAACTCCAAGAAACCAAGCAACCTTCAGTACCAAGGGCAGTAAGTAAAGTCCAGCTGAGTGGAGATTGAGCCCTCGTTCAACGCCAATGTCCTGTTCCTCTACGACTGAGCCACCGTGAAGCTTCATGCATCCGGATCGTCCTCTTCCGCCTCATCCTCGCTGTACCCCTGCTGCCGCAACCCAAGTCCCGTCTCCTCCGCGATCCGCACCTGCACGTTACGCACATGACAGACGATGATTGCCAAAGCCAGGCAGTTCCAGACGTCGTAGTTCTTGTCCTTGAAATCGAAGTATGCCATGGCTGCAAGATCAGACTCCTCAGCATCGGGACGGTAAGCCATGAGGGCGACAACGCCGTGCGAGGCGATGACGGTGTAGAAAGTTGGCAGTGGATACGAAAGTAGAGTGCCTTCGGATGAGCGCGAGCCGGGCGAGATCTCCACAGAGCGTCTAACTCTGAGAGCTTCTCGATATCGTGCTGCCAAGCGACGACACTTGCGCAAGGCGCTGGCCCTGAGTATTGGAGCCTCAGTGCCGGCTGGCTGGGTCTCTACAGCAAGGATAGGGATCGCAGATCGGTTGTCGATGTCAGCGTCGGTGAAGGCCCACTTCATGTACGCCTCGAGTTGTCGCCTGACCTGGTCTTCTGGTTGGATCCTCCCACCCACGTAGATGCGATCGCGAACTCGACCACCCAGCTCCAGCAGCTGCTCCAGTGCTTTGCCGGCTTTGAAGTGCTCACCACGTGTGCTTGCGATGAAGGCGTCGTCGCCCTCTTCGAAGAGCCCATCTGGCATGAAGGAGTACTCGAATTGAAGATAAGCTGGAAGAAGCGGTTCGTATCCTCGTGTGGCAATCTTCTGAATGAGTGTGATGTAGTCGTCGTCCCAGCCCTTCAGACGCAACTCATCTGTTGCGATGTGTCCCATGTCGAGCATCTCTGGCAGATTGACCACACGACGTGCAGGCTCGTAATCTTCCTCGCTGGCCACGACAGTCTTGTGCATTGACAAGTTATCCTCGTCTCCTTCATCACCGAGCCCAGCCGAGCTGCTACGCAATTGCTGGCGAGTGATGGGGCTTTGTATGTCGCTCTCGTCGTCGTATCCATCCTCCATGAGAACATCATCGTCGTAATCGCCCTCTTCCTCCTCATAACGGGACTCCATGTCGTCCAAATCGAACTTGCGCGATTTGCTCCTGCGACCAGCAATGGAACTTGGCGTGTAGAGTCGCTTTCTCTTGTTTCCCAGGACCGATGAGCTGGCTCGGCTCGATGGTGACCGTATACGCCAGTTGCCGACACGTTCTCCAGGACTCATGGAGCGAGTGTGCTTGGAGATGTCATGCAATGACGCTCGACGTGCAGGTATCGCGGGCTTCTTGAAGGTCGGCTCGCTGTTGGGCGTGGGAAGCGCATTGGGAGTGGTGGTCTTGGTGGGTGAGACATAGGACCAGAAGTTGTCTGACAGTCGTCTCAAGAACGCCATGTTGGTGCGCAACAGTGTGCGACAGCGGTCAAGGGTGTGGAAAGGCTCTTTGGGGGACGTTGAACAGGATTGAGACTCGATGGCTGGGCGAAGACGGTGGACGAGGCTGGGTGGTCGAGCGGCGACAATAGCTGCATCCGGCGCATTGAGTGAGCGACGACAATGCAGGCGACAATGCGAAGGGTTGCAGCGAGGATGAATGCCAGTCGCCGCACGTGCGCCGGATGGAGAAAAGTCACATTTGTTGCCGTCTTTGTCGCCGGCCAGCTTGCGCACAGCATGAGGTGCGAGGTGAAACGGGCGATCTGCAAGGCCGATGCTGTATTTGGTTAGTGCGGAGTGCAAGTTTGCGCGGAAGGAAGGCGCCAGGCGGGCAGGCGTGGGACGCAAGGAAGGCGCGCTGAGTGGCCAGATGAGAGGCAGGATCCACGGGCGTGCTAGGGTGTGGGTCTAGCCCAATGCATCGCGCGCCGTTCACTCTAACCTCACCTCACCTCACCTGCGACTTCACTCTCTCCATCACTCCTTGTATACCCTCCCTTCAATCCACCTATACGCCCGTCTTGATGTCGCCGTTTGTCACAAGCTACTCCGCCGCATTGGCCAAAACAGAGATGACTAAGCGCGCGGCGTCAAAACAAGCGCGCGCCCCTCTTCTTCTCCGAGCTCGCTTCCACTTCGACAACACACTCACGCGCACCGCTGGCACTGCACATCCACCACAATGGCGCAAGAATCCCCGCGCAAAGAAGTACGCCACCCGCTCGAAGAGCTCGCCAATGGCATGACCCCCCAGGCTCGATTGGGGACGACGCAAGAGAAAAACACACCATTCCCCTCCACGTCGGTCAAGCGGGCCTCACCCTCGGACGACTACGGACCAGAGCAAAACAAGTACCCACGCTATAACGGAGGCCTGCAGGTCTTGCCGGTATCCATGGTGAAGACACTACTGCAGAAGTACGAGATGGAGCGACCCCAGAAGTCTGAAGCGGCTATGCAGCACATCCTTGACAGAGCTAAGAGCTCTCAAGACATGTTGCTAGCGCTCGAAAACACTCTGAAGGCCAATAACCAGCTTGCTTCCGAACTGAAAATCGAAGCGGACAACGCAAGATGGAGCGCAGTGGAGGCCAAGACCGCTATTGCGAAGGCGCAGAGCGATCACAAGAAGGAGATGGAGAAGATCAAGGAGCAAGTGGAGCGAGAGATGAATAAGTTGAGAAAGGAAACCGAGAGAGACGCCAAGAAGAAGTTCAAGCGTCAGGACAAGCAGTCTGCCGAGCACCAACGCAGGACGGAGCAGAGCCGGCAAGCCAAGCAGCAGCATCGTCGCCAGGAAGACTTCCAACAGAAAGCGGCAGAACAGCAGCGTCAGCACGAAGAGGCGCAACTCAAGGCGGCAGAAGAGCACCGTCGAGAAGAGGAGCGACTCAAGGCGGCAAAAGAGCAGCGCCAGCGAGAGGAGGCTCGAGTTCAGGCCGAGAAGGAGCGTCAGAGAGAGGAGGAAGTTCGAGTTGAGGCCGCCGAGAAGCGTCAGAGGGACGAAGCAGCTCGATTTGAGGCCGAGAAGAAGCGTGAAAGAGAGCAGGCCGAGAAGAAGCGTCAGAGACAGGAAGAAGCTCGATTGCAGGCGGAGCAGCTTGCACGACAACAAGCCGAAGCCCAACGTCAACGAACAGAGCTCGCGCGCTTCAAAGGTCAGCAAGCGCAAGCCGCGCGGGATGTACTCATTCGCCCATTGGATCCGAAGTGGGAACAACGTGTCGCCAAAGCCATGGCCACTACGAACGGCACGGACACCCTGGCTGTCAACCCAGAGGGCACCCCGTTGACAAGATATGCCTTCGGAAAGATATTGCCACAGACAGGTGCCGACGGACGATCAGTCGAAAGCACGATGACAAGCGCTGGGCAAAAGAATGTTGACGGCTGGATAAACGACGATGCCATCGACTCCTGGATGTGCACAGTCGTCAATGCAAAGCTGAAAGATGAAGCGGAGCGTAGCGGAGACGGCGTGCCGAAGATGGCCTCGTTCAACTGTGGATGGTACTCCACATTCAAGAATCGCGGCGTGCAGGCTCTCAAGCGTTGGTCAAGTCGTAAGGGAATGGGAGGAAAGAAGCTTCTTTCCGTCGAGCGAGTTTTCATGCCATTGAATGTCGGAGCCCATTGGGTGCTTCTAATCGTTTCCCCAAGAGCGAGAACCATCGAATTTCTTGACAGCAATAGGGGGAACGCCGACAAGTGGTTCGGTGTGGTTCGCAAGTGGTTGAACATGGAACTCGGAGACTACTACCACGCAGATGAGTGGAAGGAATTGGGTACTCAGAGCCAGAGACAGCTCAACCAGGATGATTGCGGCATTTTTACATGCATGAATGCTCTCGCTTCTGCGAAGGGCAAGTCGTTTGCGGATATCCACGCCGTCAACGGAATGGCGGACGCGCGTCGGATGATGGTGGCAGTCTTCCTCAATGGAGGACTGCACGGTGACTGGCGGTTGTAGATAGCCAAATCTCACTCGTTGATTTCAATGGGGGTACCGGGCCGGGTGTTACACCAGGAGCTCAGCCCCCAAAGAATGATACGAGTGAGATTGGCAATCTCAACCAAAAGATGATGACGACGACGATGATGATGGATGGCATTTGGCGTTTTTGCAGGGTTTTTTGAAAAGCGGATGATAATGGACGGCGGCTGTGTGCTTTTTTTTGGTTGTTTTTTTGCAAAGAGATACCCCATTCGCGTGGGCGTAAATGGGCTGGGTACATAATGGTGGGTTTAAAGGATGGAAAATGTGGAAAAAAATGTTTAAAAAAACCTCTCCCGTGTCACTTCCCTTACTTGTTTCCTCACTTGTCGGCTTACTCTTTCGCTCACTTCTTTCCTCACTCTTTCGCTTACTCCCTTGCTTCCACTCCCTCACTTACTCTTTTACTACTCCATCACATGCTCCCTTACTAGTCCCTCACTTACTCCCTCACTATTCCCTTACTTACTCCCTTACTTACTCTCTCACTTGCATAATTACTTACTACCTCACCTACTTCTTCACTCCTACCTTTACTTACTCCTTTACTTACTCCCTCACTTACGATATCTACCCTCCCTCGTTTCTTCCTGCTCGTCCCGGCCGTCCTTTCCGTCGTCCCAGCCGAGTCTCCATACGAACACGCCACAATCGTCGTGCGTGCTTTGTGGAGAGATGACAAGAGAGTCTGAAGGGTTATATAGACGTTAGGACCTCCGTCACATGCCGAGCCCTTTGCTACCTTACTGCCTCGCTACCTACGGGCCGCACTACCGCACTCCTTCTAGAAACGCCACCATTGCGGGTACTCCTTTGCCCTTAACGTATCCGGTGTTGTTCAAGAGTTCGTGTCGTTCGAGTTTGGAGGGACTTTTATACGTCGAGGCCCCTGTCACATGCATGCCAAGCCCCATGCTGTCTCTCTACTGTACTGTCTCACTCCTTTTGGAAACGCTACCATCGCGATGTCACAAAGGTTAGTGGCTGCACGTTGATGCCTCGGATAATCGTGAGGTCTTTGGGGATAGCTGCCGGTGTGGCGAGGAAGCGGGATTCTGGAATGTGATGCTCTCCAGGCGTGTTGGCAGATTTTGGTGAGGGAGCCGAGAGCGGTGAGTTTTGGAGAATGGGCTTGTGAGATGTCCTGGTGCAGGCTCTCAAGCATTGGGCAGGGAGTCGTCAGGCACCCTGACAATAGCACGCCATCTTCTCAGGTCTTGGGATGTCCAAGGAGCCTACCCACCACTTCTCATCTCCGTCGCAGGAGCAGACTAGAAGAATAATACCAGCAGAAAGATGTCCAGATTTTATCCCAACACTCTTGGAGAGCATCACATTCCAGAATCCCTCCTTTACGTCGACTACCATCCGCGGTTGAACGAAGCCATCCTCGGCACGTCGTCTCCGCCACCCTCTAATTCGTCCTGCATAGCATGTGATGTCTCCGCCACCATTCGCTTCATCTTGCATTGCATTTGATTTGACTACTGTACACATCCAGGAGTCGATGGCATCGTCTGTCCGATGGTGGTCATCGAGTTCACCATCCGCAGTTGAATGAAGCCATCCTCAGCACGTTGTTTCCGCCGCCCTCCGCTTCATCTCGCATCGTCGTTCACCCAGGCTCCAGCCGTCAATGTTCCTCTGTCCGGCGCTCGTCATCGAGTTCTCAATCGATCTTCCGTCGGCACTAGTCTCAATCGATCTTCCATCGGCGCCAATCTATGGTAGGATCTTTCCGAGTGTAGCCATCCAGCCGTCGGTGTTCCTCTGTCCGGTGGTTGTCATTGAGTTCTCAATCGACTTTCTCAATCGATTTTCCGTCGGTGCCAGTCTGCGGTAAGATCGGGTACGTATGTGGACAATTGGGTGCACTCTGGACTGGATGGCATCGTCACGATCCAGCCGTCAGTGTTCTTCTGTCCGGCGTTTATGGAGTTCTCAATCCACTTTCTTACTCGACTTTTTGTGGGTGTCAGTCTGCGGTAGGATATCTCCGAGTGCGTATCTGATCAATTGGGTGCCCTCTAGACTGCTTGTCTTCATTTAATCCACGAGAAACAGGTGGCTTTTGTAGTAGTGTGCACAGACCCTTTGTCACATGCTTGACGCTTCAACTCGTGAACTACATGTACTCGCTCACTTTCTTGCGTTCCACCTACTATTAATACCTCTCCTTACATTACTCCTCCTTACTGTCTGGCTCACTTCTTTCCTTATCCCCTCCATTACTCCATCCCTCCTTTTTTTACTTAATTCCTTACTCTGCCCTTAGTTATTTCCTCACTCGCGCTTAAGTTTAGTCCCTTCGTAGCTCCTTTACTCTATTCCTCCTTACTTACTCTTTTCATTGCTCTATTGTTTACAGCCTTTGTTCTCCCTCACTTCCTCCTCTGTATAGTCCACGCTGTCCTAGTCGTCGTGGACCCTAAGTATTCAACTTGGATCTGACGATGGCTGACACGAAGGCGTTGACGCCTTCGTCGTCCATCCAGCCATCAAAGCTCTGTGTGCTGGCACTCATGGCACTCTCCCCAGAATGACCGAGAGCGTCCGTCTGTGTAGGATCTTGCCTAGGAGAAGCTAATGGGCGCAAGGTCGCAAGGCCGCAAGGCCATAAGGCAACAAGGCCACAAGGCCGCAAGAGCGTAAAGTAAGCTAAGCATGTGACAAGGATCTTCGAGGTCTATATAGACCTCCCAGATTCGAGCGACACCGACTCTTGAACAACAACGGCCAGTGCAGACGGCATCGACCTCACCCGGTACACTATGGGAAAGATCCTACCACAGACAGACGCTTACTGCCATTCTGTGGAGAGATCGATGGGCGCCAGGGGCCAGAAGAGCTTTGCCTTTACTTGCTGCCTCACCTGCGGCCTCACCTGCTGCCTCACCTGCTGCCTCACCTGCTCCCTCACTTGCTCCCTCACCCCGCTCCCCTGTTGACTCCCCGGTGGCTCCAGCCTTCAGAGAGGCCGAGGACGGCCCCTTCTTCATTGCCGGTCGTTGCTTTGACCTTGACGTAGCCACTCTCCTTGAGCTTTGATTTGACGATGGCTGAGACGGAGGCATTGACACCTTCGTCGTCCATCCAGCCATCAAAGCTTCTCTCAGTGTTGTCCATTCGCAGGAGCCTGGACGGGTTTTATAGGGCCCGAGACCCCTGTCACATGCTAGCGCTTCGAGCCAGGGAATTGATGCCTTAGGCCATCTCTGGACATTCATGCAGTCTTGGCATTCACCTGCTGCTGTAAGTATTCCTTCATAGTCCTTCAATACAACATAAAGTGTCCCACATCAAGTCATGGAATTTCCTGCCTCCTCTTCAGGCGCTTCGGATGGCACAGTGTATCTATATGCAGTGGCGGTAGTGGTGGTGCGAGCAGCTACCAGTCTCAATCAGGTATATGCAGCAGATATCGCAGTCTCCGGGCGTGCAGGTCCGAAGGTGGATATAGAGAATTCTTCTTCCTGTACCAGGATAACCATGCTGAACCGATTCTGACGAGATCGAGGATGTTGTTGGTAGTCCCGCAGAAGTCATGTCTTCCGAGTCTTCGAGCTCGAAAAATCTGGTCCCCTATTCCATTGATTAGCTTGGAACTGCAAGGCTGCTCTCACTCCCTTATTCCCGCTCTCTGCCTTCCTCTCTGCCTTATCTTCTACCTCACCCTCTAACTTACCCTCTGGCGGTCGTTGGCCAAGAATGGGTATTTTTTTGGGTCTGGAAAGGGTCTAATAGACGTCGAGACCTCTCTCACATGGACGGCTGGTGACCGCAAGACCAGGCCTATGTACTCTTGCTTTCGCCCATGCCTTCACCTTCACTTACTCCCTCGATGCCTCCTTTACTGGTTCACTGGCTCACTCATCCCTTGTCTCAATCCCTTGATGGTCCTGGCCATTGGTACGATGATCAACAATGCACTGTGACCGCCTGTGTTGGACGCAAAGAAGGTCTCATGAGCACCAAGGAGTTTCTCTTTCGCGGCGAGGTTGAGGTTATCAGAAGAAGGTAACCCTCGACACTGCCCAAGGACTCGATGGCTCTGGTTTTGAGAGAGGCCTGTGGAATTCGATTTGAGTTCGCTCCTGACAATGCCTTGCTCACCGACCAACGCTTGAGGACCTGTAGTACACGATTCTTGCATGTCAAGAACCAAGGAATCCGGTGGATTGAGTCTCGAAGAGATTCTGAAGACGTGGAGACGTGTGCCACACGACTGTCTTGGAGATCAGAGACGGCTCTTGCCTGCTCCCTCTATACTTATCCTCTTGCTCCTCCGATCATTCCAACTTCGGAGACCTGATCAAGGCTCGAAGGCCTGTACACCTCGATTCTTGTACGTCGGATGTTATGCTCATCTAGAAGAGGCGACTCTTTCATCTCATTGTTGTTCAAGAAGCAGAAATGTTGTATAGTTTTTGCCTTGCGAGGGGGCAAGATTGCGGAATTGTGAGATTGTCACGAAAACCTTTCCAGAAAAGACGTAGTATTATAGGCTTTGTGAGCTTGGCCAACTCGTTGGAGCTGTCCATCTGACCATACTCCATCTGCTACCATTTTTGGCAGTGAAGATGGCTGCAAGTTGTCGGCGTAGCTTCCCATCGATCATGTGGTAATGTCTGTCAGACATGATGTCAGAGATTGAGAGGGTAGAGAGTGGTCTCTGGTCGGTCGTGTGCATCGACATGTCTCTGTTCTGCGTAGCTTGACTGGCGGTGAGCCTCGTAAGGTATTGGTCCAAGGCAATCTCATCCTCAAGTTGGAGTGCAACTTCCAGGAGCGAGCAGAAAAGTAGTTGTACTTTCAGAGCGCCGCAAGAATGGAGGGATTTGACTGAAAGCTTGCGTTGGGATAACTGATTCGCGAGGTTTATTGTTTGTTGGTTGTCTTCAACTCGGTTGAAGTGTCATGTGGTCGATGAGGTAGAAGTATATTGTTGCCAAACTGGTGCATTGCCCTATAAGGCTGAAGGATTGAGACGTTGCCAATATCCAACCCCTGAGCAGCACGAAACTCACGCCAGCCCTTCGCGTAATCTTACGATCCCTGAATCTGACGAGTCAGTTCGGTGAGACGTAATTGTTTTTGTAACTTGCACTTTCATCATCTTCGACTTCTTGTATATCTTGACCAACGGTGGTTTGTAGATACCAGCGCGGCGATGGCGAAACGACAAGCGGAGGACGACCTTGGTGAGGTGGACGAGTCTGCAGCTAAGCGATCTCGAGTGGATATCGCAGATTTGTTGGGTAGCGACGGCGACGTGGAAACCCACCTGAGCAGCACAGGCTCTGTACAACATGCCAGTGGCGACAACCTCGCGCAGAGTTCTGGCGAGAATGTGTCGTCCAATGGAAACGATACTGGAGCAGCAGTAACTCTCCATGCCCAGGCTGATCTGGGCGGCAACGGCAATGCCTTACGAACGGCAGTCGCGGAGGCTCCAGTCAACGCACTCATGGCCACTTCGAATGGACAGGAGCACAAGGGTACTGTCGTGTACATCGCATGCACCCAGCATGAGCATGACACCATCGCCGACCAAGACATCCTGGGCGTATTCAGCGACGTAAAAAGCGCAAACGAAGTAGTGATCATGGAGTTTCTGAATTACCATCGTAAGTGTTCAGACCCTCAGTCATGATGATGATGTCCGTCAAATTCAATCTGCTGACTTCGAACAGAATCAGGAGAGTCCGGCGATGACCGCGAGAGAAGCTTTGGGGAGCATGGCGAAGTTTCGTGTTCGTTCCAGCCTCAAGAATGTGGCGAGGGTGGGATGCAGTTCTGGGTGGAACGGCATGTTGTCGATAGGCCGTCGAGAAAGACTTATGAAATCCCGAATGCTGCGGCGGAATTTGATGGGGCCTTCGCTGGGTATGAGGACGACGATGATGGTGCTGAAGGCGATCTCGACGGTTGAGCCACGGGATGATACGTCAGGCTAAGTCTGGATGTCGTGCAGACTGCGAAAGGGAGAGAAGCCCCGTGATGCGTAATGAAGTTGAACTTTCTCTTCAGACTTGACTTTGGCGCATCTGACAAGGTGTATCAGGAGTGCTCAGTGGCACACCACAGATCGAATGATGGCAACTTAATGATGGCTTAGGTCATAGCCGTGTTGGTATCTACAAGCTCTACCAGGCTGTCTCTTCTCTGAGGCGACCTTGGGTATAGCAGCGTGATATCCGTGGAGGAGTTCGAGTTTGCTTCGGTAATATCTGCTTGCCTCCTCATTTGTTTTCTTGGTGATCAAACTATAATTGTTGAATCAAGGCGGTAACTAGCTTGATCTGACGATGTGAGGCTCGCACTCTTTGGTATTGATGATCTGAACTCTTCGCAGAGCAGGAGTTTGTCGACTCCAAATCTCGGCTCACTTTCCTCGGCCGTCATCTCGGTCTTGGCGCTGGCGCGCCGGACTTATCACGACTACACGTCACATCATCCTCTTCTGCTCCGACAAGAATTCCACGCCACACGCTCTCGCAAGCCCCCGACGCGCACCGACTGACCCAGGAAACTCTGGCTCAGTCCACAACCAACACCTAGCCCTCCACCAGACGTTTTATGCAACCCGAGCCTTCTACGGTATCCTCACGAGTATCCACCACAGAAGAGCCCGAGCAACGCCCGATCACGACCTCCCAGCATGGACTTCATGACCATGGCAAAGCAGGCGGCCTGTCGACAGTGCCAGACGCTGGAGCAGAGACGACAACATCGAGCGACCAGCTTGCGAGCGACGCCGCGCTCGCCGCTTCGCTGCAGGATGGCGGTGATTCGGCCCTGCCTGGTCAGAACCGGAGACTGAACGTTCGCGACACGCCCTCGCCACCAGCTGGCAGTCGTATCGCCGAGTATGAGAAGTCATCTACACCGCCTGTGAAGAAAAGAGAAGGACCTGCGTTTGAGGTTATCAAGAAGCACCGTAGTCCAAATGATAAGAGTTCTCCGATCCAGGATCTCCCAAATGGTGAGTGCAGGGAGAGCACGTGGAAGAGGGATGGTATACTGATCCGTAGCAGAGGTCTTGACACATGCACTGGCTCATCTGCCTCCACCCGATTTAGCTACTGTGTCGCTGGTCTCGAAGCGCTTCCATGACTTAGTGACTGGACCGCACGCGTGGCGAACTGCATTTGCGCATTACTTTCCAGGACCCGACTCGATCAATGCATCTTTGAGCAGCAATGATGAAGAGTCGCAGAGCGTTGTTCGTTCAGAAAAGCGTGCTTTCACCCGACTCACGGCACTTGCTTCGTGGAGAAGCGAGTACATAATGCGGACACGGCTCTTGCGGTCTCTGGCGCGCGGCAAACCTGTTCAGTCTGCTAATACTCCGCACTCTTCTCGTCCTGGACACACAGTGGCGCCGTCAATCATGTTCAACTCGCAGCTTTTCACTACAATCAACCACCTGCATGCAACCTTTGGAACAGGCATGAACAAACGACTTCCTCGCTTCATCCATGGAGCTGACGACACTGGTACTGCGACTAGTAGCGACCCCAGCGCCGGTAAGGTCGACGCTTGGGGCTTGTCTGATCCAAACTTCTTCAACCAGTTCGCTGAAAGGTTTCCCGGAGATGCTCAGTACGGCCTTGGACCAGGCGAACTTGTAGGCGTGCCGAATCCAATGGACGTTAGCCAGCCCTACGGCATGGTCGTTGGAGAAGGTGCACCTGGTGGCATGGCCTACTATCGTTCGACCGAAGAAATGCGTGGACGCTTTTTGCTCTTCTCCTCTGCCATGTCTGCGCCAGATGTTGGCATTCCCAGAATCACTTCGAACACGGAAGCAGTCACGTCCATCTGGATTGCCAAGTCTGCCGCCATTCCTTCTCTGACTGATGGCTTGATTGGCATTCTCTCGGGGTCATCGCTTGGGGTACTTACTGCTTACAGTCTGGGTTCGAGCAATAATGGCAACAATCGCGATCAGCGCTTCGCACGCGGCGAAATGACTGCTCGATGGGTGCTAAGTCCTGGTGTTCCCATCATTGCAATCGCTGTCGATAATGAGTACAGCTTCACACGACAAGCTCAGAACCGCATCTGGGCTGTGGTATTGAACGCACTTGGCGAAGTCTTCTACCTCACGAAGTTTCCGAAGCGCCCTCACTTCGATCGCGGAACACGATTCGATGACGAGGCGATGGAGCGGACTGCGTGGTCCACTGGTCGTACAGTATACTGGAATCTGGTCGAGCCGAGCCGAAGAGAAGCCAAAGTTGACCCATACGCTGATGCAAGTGTTGACGGTAGCTATTCACCAAGATCTTCTTGGAACGGTATGTGCCTCAGCAAAGAGCAGATCAAGGCCGAGACTCAAGAGATTGAAGCCTACGCCACACGAAAGCCAAAGGACTTCCAAAAGCTCTGCTCCGGATGGGACATGCAGAGAAGGTTGGAGGTTGACTTTGCGGGTGACGATGGCAACAACGCTGGTGAGCATGCCGTGGTCATTTGCTGTAGCCTGCAAGAGGAGAGCACATCGTCCGTGAAGCGATACAGCCGTACGAGATTCCAAGACAGGCCGAACGTGGACGTCAGCTCGACGCCGCCCTTGACTTCTGGTAGCACTGAAGCATCCAGTCCACCGTCGCTCTTTGGTGCCGCGCAATCGCCTGTACTTGCACCCACACCCACGATCTCACTTGACCGTTTAGAAGATACTCTCGCCCAGGAAGACTTCACAGGCTCCATCACACCACGACCAATGACCGAAGAATGGCGTACGTCTGTGTACTCACTCGGCGGTCTGAAGCATGTTCAGGTCCTGGCGAGTACGGTTGATAACTCAACCTTTGCCACGCAAACTTTGTCTGAAGATCCACTGCTTGGCTTCTCTGGCCACTCCAGCAGTTCTTCTCCCTCACTTACACCAATGTCTGCGAACGAGCCAGTCACTAGTGCAGCCGACGTACCTGGCCAGCGTGCACGTCTCTTCGCAGTTGGTACAAAGTTGGGGTCGGTTTTGCTTTGGAACATGCGGGCGCCAATTCCTCGATCTGTGGACAGCGTTAACACAGTGGACCCTGTGCGTATCATTCACACAGACTCTCCGCAGATCTCTTGTCTGGCCTTGACGTCTCTCTATCTGGTTCATGGGGGCAACGATGGACTTGTCCAAGCTTGGGATCCACTTGCATCAGATGCACGTCCTATTCGCACACTCAATTCTCGCTTCTCATCGCGCGCTCGCCGTACACTGGTTCAAGCCCAGGCATCTCCGCAAGGCGTTGGCATCAATCTTTTCGCTGCCGGTGCGCTTTGTCTTGACCCCGACCCGACTGTTCTGCGCGGTATGGTTACGCTCGGGACTCGCTTGCTCTACTGGTCGTACAGCTCCTCTGCTGCAGACCAGTACAGATCGCACAAACGTCGTCTCCGCCGATCAGAACGAGGAAGCAACAATGGTGGTGATCGCTTCTCGGGTGCTGTCAGAACAAACCTCAAAGGATACATTGAGTCGGAACAGCTTGAGCTCAACCGCGAGAAAGAGCAACGCAGGAAGGACGCTGCACGCTTCGCTGGACGTTACGGCACAGATCTACTGGGCGGCAGCGAAGAGGAGATGATTGCTTATGCTGCTATGCTGAGTCAAGAGTCTTTGGAGGAAGAATCTCGTCGCAGAGCTTCAGATACCAGCACCGCCAACAGCACCGCCGCAAGCAGCACCGACCACAGCACCATGGCAACGGCTGATGCTACGCCCGCCCGAAGCCTGTCGCCTCACGTCTCTACCCCAAAGACGGACGATGAGCTTGATGCAGACATTGCAGAAGCCATACGGCAGAGTCTGGCCACTTCGCCAGGTGCTGGCTACGACATTCCCATCCGACAAGCAAAGCCCAAGAACCGGAAGGGCTCTTCTGCAAAGGCCTCGCCTCGTGTCTCGCCCTTCCTTGCTGGTGCGAGCAAGTCGACAACCGAGATGAATGACGTGGACTTTGCTCTACAGCTTAGTCTGGCGGAAGAACAGAGTAAGCAGCAAGTAGAGAAGGACGAGTTTCCTGGACTGCCTCCATCGCGTGGGACGAATCCGAAGGGAAAGGGCAGGTGGGGCTGAATGGGTGGTAGATGTTTTCTTCTGGCTTGATAGACGATTTGCTCTTCTTCAACACTGCGGCGAGGGCGTAGTTCTTTAATAGTGCCATGCATTTGCTTCGATACCGCAATCCTGCTCGATCTCGTCTATATTACAGTCTCATGTGAAGGCTTCTGAGTCGCGTGCTTCATCGTTCAGCCCCCCTGCTTGGCGCTTTTGTGTTTCGGGTGGGTCCGCTCTGACGTTAAACGCAGCTTCAGGCCGGTCTTGTCAACAACTTCAATTCGAAGCAACACACGCCCCCGACTGCCCCCCGACACAAGCACAACCACCACCGACAGTACCACTTGCTTCACTCTCAGAACCAGCGCATGTGATTATTGATCTTTCAGTTATACCCTCACCTCCTAGACCGCCGCCAACCCTCGTCGTCGCACCTTCTTCACACGACACACCCTCAATCTCCCGCCTCCTCCACCTCTGCGAAACCGACTCGATACCACAGCAATCCCGCTTACCAACACATTGACACCGCAAAGATGGAGGCTGCCGCATTGAGGCAGCCAGTCGGCGATACGACCATGGAGGACGCTGGGAAGGTAGAGCACAGCTTGGGAGCAGCTGTCGATCCGCCCTCAATACCGACTCTGGACGGCTGGATCGAGAGCCTCATGACCTGCAAACAGCTCGCCGAAGACGACGTTCGAAGACTGTGCGAAAAGGCGCGAGAGGTACTGCAAGACGAGTCGAACGTACAGCCTGTCAAGTGCCCAGTCACAGTCTGCGGCGATATCCACGGTCAATTCCACGACCTGATGGAGCTGTTCAAGATCGGCGGCCCGAACCCAGACACCAACTACCTCTTCATGGGCGACTACGTCGATCGTGGATACTTCTCCGTCGAGACCGTCACGCTGCTCGTCGCGCTCAAGATCCGCTACCCACAGCGCATCACCATCCTGCGCGGCAACCACGAGAGTCGGCAGATCACGCAGGTCTACGGCTTCTACGACGAGTGCCTGCGCAAGTACGGCAACGCGAATGTGTGGAAGTTCTTCACGGACCTCTTCGACTACCTCCCCCTGACCGCTCTCATCGACAACCAGATCTTCTGCTTGCACGGTGGACTGTCTCCCAGCATCGATACGCTCGACAACATTCGCGCGCTCGACCGTATCCAAGAGGTGCCGCATGAGGGACCCATGTGCGATCTTCTGTGGTCGGATCCTGATGATAGATGCGGATGGGGAATCAGTCCGAGAGGTGCTGGATACACTTTCGGGCAGGACATTTCGGAGGCGTTCAATCACAACAATGGCTTGACGCTGGTGGCACGAGCACATCAGTTGGTGATGGAGGGATACAACTGGAGTCAGGATCGAAACGTTGTCACTATCTTCTCTGGTGAGGTCAACACAATTATTGTGACGAAGCATATGCTAATGATTGTCGCAGCACCAAACTACTGCTACCGTTGTGGTAACCAAGCGGCCATCATGGAGATTGATGAGCATCTCAAATACACCTTGTACGTCTCTCAAGCACCTCATTCCAACGACTTTGCTAACTGTGTACTTCTAGCCTACAATTCGACCCCTGCCCACGCGCCGGCGAGCCCATGGTGTCCCGCCGGACGCCAGACTACTTCTTGTAATGAGACGATGCGGACACGTAAAACAACAGGTGCCTCGTGGCAAAAGCTATGCAATACCCTTTCTTCAGCTACCGGTGGCATAGGCGCACAGCCGCATTTCCCCCTTTCCCACCTTCCCGTTCCTCCTTTTTGGCGCACAGCTTCCTTCATCTTGGGCTATGAGCATGGTAAGCGCGGTTGTCGTTGTGGCTATGCGCGCAATGGGGATATGTTGGTAGATGGTTAGACCGAAAAGATTCATCGATCCTTGTAGCATATACAGATGGGGCTGCTCTCTGTCCACGGTTGTCTTGTCTTTTTGCCTGGTTTCCTGTGAGGTGGTAGAATGGATGGACGGATGGGTAATGGCATTTTTGGCTTGCTGGGTTCAAGCGCTTGATTTCTTTTCATCTTCACCTCGTCTTCAATGTCGTGGTTTCATGTCGTGTTGTTCGTCGGTGTGTCGTAGGCGTGTATCTGCATATATCCTCCGTCAGTTTCCCTATCCCATTGTATGTACGTAGGGATAACAACTCACAGCCTCAGCAAACCCCACCCACTCCTCAATCCCCTTCTGATAATCATCCTCCTCCCCCGGAACGACTTCATGTCCCAACACGACAATCTCGCTGAACTTCCCATTCTGCTCCATAATCTTCACTTCAACATCCTCCTCGTCCTCCCCATCACCATCCTCGTCCTTCTTCTGAACAGGTAGTGTTTTATCTGTTTTCTGCAACACGACGCCCTCGTACTTCTCTGGCAGAGGGATTTTCTGTCCTAGGAGTTTCCGGCCGCGGAAGTAGACTTCTTGTTCGTTGGGGGAGGTGGATTGGGGTTGCGGGTTCCAGTAGCGTTTTGGGGTGGGGATGGGCCCGTTGTGGTGGATTTTGGCGGGGAGGATGTTGGGGGTTATTTGTTTGGGGCTTGAGGAGGGTTGGATGGCGAGCATGGTGGCGGTGTTTTGGAGGTTTTCTGGAAGTGGGTGGTTGTGGGTTGTGGGTTGGTTGAATGTGGTTTGGGAGACGCGTGAGAGGCGCGTGGTGGGTGATTGGGAGGTTTCGCGTGGCGGTCCGAGGTCCGGGATGGGAGGGAGGGAGAGAGGGAGGGAGGACTTCACGTCTTCGATCAAGGTGAGTTGATACAACCAGGAACGTTTTCTTCGAATGATATTGACATATGCTAATACACTCCGAATCACATACTCCACTTTCATCAGTCATGTCCGCCACGGCAAGTTGTTCCAGGGCCGAAAGACTCTTTTGCCTGCATCTCAGTTTTGCAAGCCCATCGTCATCATCAAACAAGAAGAACCAAGCACATTCAAATCGTCGAGCCATTTGTTGCACGCTTCACTTGTGATATTATGCTCGCTTTTGGGTAGCTATTACAGAGAAAGAAGACCTGCTCCCTTTCCCGCCATCGTGGAGTCCTATTCCTGGTCGTGGACAAAAGACACTCAGATATGTACAAGCTTCAAGCCTGGAACCTCCGCCTGACATGCTGTCCTCCTCCATTCCCCGAGCTGCCACTATGACTTCCACTGCCATCTGCACTTGGAGGGTCTTGGAACGGATTCTCGCCCGCTGGGTCCTTGAAGGGATTACTTTGGGCGGAACTTCCACTCGACCCCGCGGTTGGAGCCTGGCCTTGGATCTTGCCAACGACGTGACCGTTCACGCCCCAACGCCAGTCTGAAAGGTACATGGCAGCGGCAAAGACGGGGTAGTTCTCTGGAGATTTCAAGGCTTGCTTCTGATTCTTTTTGGCGACTTCTTGTGCGGCGGGCCAGCCGAGGACGTGGGACGAGGGGAGGTCTGTGGTTGTACCCTCGGTCCCTACATTATAGTGTTAGCGACAACAACAATATGGTGATGGGAGAAATAAAGAACTCACACTGCAAAGCATAGTGAAACACATGATGCAGCCAGATGTGCGCGATAGTCGGCATGAATTCATTGAAGCCCGTATTCTCATGAATGTTCCTGTTGACGGCCGCCAGGGACCATTCCTTAGGGGTTTGCTCGGAGGAAGATCTCGCCTTGTCGAGTTTGAGAATGCTTTGGCAGAAGACCAAAAGGCCGGCCTTTGGGAACGAGACCGCATACGTACCAGGCTGGTCGCAGATGCTGCCTTTGGCTTTGGCTTTGCTGCTCCCCTTGCCTATGCCTTTGAGTTTGCTCTTGAGGCTGCTGCTTCCTGCCTCGGGGCCACTAGCCCCGACGGCGTCATTTGAAGTCAGGAGAATGTGCTCTGGTGGCATGTTCGGCGCATACCAGGCGCCGTTCGGAAAGATAGACTTGCCATGACCCGCTGTGATGTGTGAGTTCAAGATCACAATCTTCAAATCTCACAACGAATACTGACGGTGCGATGGAGTCCACTTGTTCAACTTGCCCGAGTGTACCGTTTCGAGATATGGTTGATTGGCATCCTTCCATTGCAAGAAGTCATCGCCGCATCGAATCTGCCACCTGGGCCCTTTCTCGGCCACATTCAGTTGGTGCTTGGTCAAGACCGATTCGTCGTTTGCTAATCCAAGGTCAGCGCCGTGCCATCGACCTCTTCGCAACTTTCGAGATACCTACCCTTGACCTGCCTCAAATCATCGGCTTGTTTGGTCTTATCCTGGATTCCGAACCTAAGCACATCTTAGCACTCTCGCACTCGGAGCCCAACCGTAGTTTCAACATACATCGCCTCGAACGGTCCCATCAACGCATTGTACCGATCCTTCCCCTCATCCTTCCTACCACCCCGGCCTACCATCCCCAGCTCGTCCACGGCATCCACACCTTCACGAACCATGGCGAGGACTTCGTTATACGCCGTGAGGATTCTGTCCTTGTATTTCGCACAACTCCCCGTTGCCATTGGATCGTCAGCCGCGACAGGATCGAGAGCAACGCCGAACAGCTTCTGGAACTGCTCTTGGGTGACGGCGGAGGAGCCTGTGTTTGATGGGCCTTGTGCAGCAGGCATGCTTTTACCAGAGCCTGAGCCCGAGTCTGAACTCAAGAGGGAGGGAGGGCCAGTTCCAGGTCGCGATCCGGCAGGAGATTCGGGGCTTAAAAGGTGTGTTTTGTCTTCTGGGTTCTTGACTCCTTTCCCGCAGACGACTCCGTCGACGGAGAGGAGAAGGATCGGAAGAAAGTATTTGAGTGGCGCCATTGTGGATTTGACTGATGATTGCAGGTTGCAAGAGGACGATTAGTGTGTTTGAAGAATGTTGTTGTTGAATTCGGTAGGTCGGTGGTTGAAGGAAGCTCGGATAATTGAGAGCAGCAACACATGTTATATGCTGATGAAGGAACTGTCATTTGAAGACCTCGTGTGGCATATACGTGTCAATCCAGAAACACCACTCGATTCTAACCGTTGGCAGTCATGCTGCATGACTGCCGACGTCGTTGCCAACAACACCGTCCACCACCATGCACACCTGGCGAGTGCCTTGCAAGGCTGCGCTGTTCGCCATGGAACATGGGTCGCTGCTGAGCCCTTGTAGGTGGTGTCAAAGCAAGTGAGCAGGATGGGCAAGAGGCCTTCATCCGTTTTATTATGCCGGCGATGCTTGCCCGTGACGGAGAGAATGGTAAGATGACGAGTCTTGTACTTGGGAAGGATTGCAGAGAGTCAGATACCGTCAAATGTCCAATGTTCTCTCAGGTCTCAAAGATCATCGCTCGTCTCCAGCACCTTGGCTTCACTTCAACCGTTCCTTCCAAGCCCAGAGAGCTTCTCGAAATCGAATACATGTACACCACCCCCCAATCATCGATCCGTGCACACAAGATCATATTCAGGAGAATTCAAATTTTCCAGAGTCTCGTAGCTCTCGCCCATTCAAGCCGCCTCAAAAGCCACACTGATTGCAGAATGCACCGAACGCTTTCAGATTCTCCAAGCACGGGATTTTTAATGATTCCTCCCGGACACGCATGATGATCCGAGCAGTCGTTCTCGTGCTCGTTAACCATTCTTCTACGCCCGTCAAGTGTCAAGCCTCCAAATCGATGTCGTCAGTGTCGAAACTATCGAGACCACGTTTCGCCCACCTGGGCTCGAACCCGCAGCTCTCGCAATCCGTGCTTGTTACCGTGTGAACGGCGAGGTCATCATCGTCGAGAGGCATTGTTTTGCCGTTACCACGCTTCCTTGCCAACCGTCGGCCGAAAGGGTTCGTCGAGGTCTCGCCTTTCTTCCCGCCCAGCGCACCGAAATTCAACTTCTGCCCGCACTTGTCCTTGATGTCCTTGCACTTAGTCTTGAACTTCTTGATGGGAGATTTCGGCGTGTGCGGAGTGAAGGGTTCAGTCTCTGGAGTCGCTGCGGCCTGACCAGTGCCCCAGTACCATTCATCTCAGTACATAGCAGTGGCGAAGAACACGTGGTTCTGGGGTGTGTTGGCTGCCTTTTTGACGTCCGCTTTGGCGATTGCCATGCTGTCGGCTCACGACATTATCTCTGAGCTCTCGGACCCTCCCACTGAATTCTTGGTCAGAGTCAAATGGTCCAATGCCGATGGGTATGGACTTACGTTGTTGACAGTACTTGAATAAATCTCTGAACCACTTTTGTGCGATCGACTTGCTGTAGAGTCGATCGTCGATTTGATTACCAGAAACGAGATCTCTCCCTACGTCGAGCATGTTCAAGTTCGACCCTTCAAGACCAGCCTCGCACCAAATGATGATGCCCATGCTCGGTATCGATGTGACACCGACACCTGGCTTGCAAAAGGGATAATCCTCGTTTGGCTTGGAAAGACCTTCTTCCCACCACAGACAACGGTCATTGGGCAAGCCGGGAAGGTAGTACGCGCCGTTCACGAAACTTTTCCGACCGCGTATGTTAGCGTTAGCTGGACAGAGTGATCGTCAGTGTTTGCGCAGATACACCAAATGTAGAAGGGCCATTCTTACGGCTGCCGATCGTAAATCGACCTTCGTCCGCGTTATCGATATCTCTGGGGTCCATGAATGTGCTTGGCTTGTACTTGATCCAATCGTCTTTGCAGACAATCCAATACGAGGGACCATTCGATTTCTCGACGCGATTCCGATAGAAGAGCCAGTCGTAGGTCTCTGCTCTCATCGCAGCTGCGCGCTTTTTCAGCTCTTGGAAGTCGGCAACATCGCCAAATCTATGCACATCAGCAACAAACATCTCACAACTCAGAAGAACAAAAACTTACAAAGCCTTGAAAGTTTGAGTGATTCGCAGCCAGTTTTGGTACTCCTTCAACGACTTCGGGTCACGGAAAGAACGTGGCTGTGGCTCTTCTTTCGTATTGGCAATTATCTCGAGGGCACTACGGCTGGCATCGATCATGGCCAGCATCTGCTCCCAGGCGGGCTCAAGACGGTAAAGTAAGTATCGCAGCCGCCATTGATGTCGGTCTGGTATTTGATGTGGTTCACTTGGTCAATGAGATTCCGGTAGCCATCCTCAGGCGCTCGGAACTTGTGCGCGGCAAGAATATTGCTGGCGAACAGTAGACCGAGCAATAGTGTCCACATGATTCCAGATCCCGGTTTGCACTGCATTGGTATTGTTCGGTCTTTGTGGTGCAGTAAGATCGTCGGTTGAGAGTGTGTGGTTGTGAGTTGAATGCAGAGCGAGAAACCGTGAAAGTGATCTAGCATTTAAAGAGACTGAGAAGGCCAAGAGCCTGCGCATGGTGGTCATGATCTCCTATTGTTGGAATGCCAACAACACCAGTATCGATGCTCAGAAAAGACTGAGTGCACGCGCAACTGACAGCAGTATTGACAACTCACTAGATGATGTCGCATGCCTTGCTCCCAGGCATTCTCGCCGTGTCTTTCCAACGCATCTAGCGGTGCACCCGACATCGTCCGTCTCATGGCTACCACTCAATTGATTAAAAGCATTTCTTCAGACTTCGTGAGCTGGGCGACTTGCGATACGGCCGTGCCTGCTGATTGGTGTGGCCCAGGAAAATGATCCCGTGAAAGTCTGCTGTAGGGTCGCCAGCAGAGATATGGACAGTATCGAGCATTTCAATGCTGCTGCGGCTGATAGTCGGGTTATAGAAATGCCAGTACACGATGGACGTTGTATGCAGAGGTTCGTTGTAGGTGGGAAAGAACGCACGAGTGCAAGTTTGGCACATGTCGTCGCGGGAGCGGAAAATCTTTCCGCCTTTCGCGCTAGAAGCTAGTTTCTGGAATATTACCCGAACAGGCAATCCAGCTCCTACAGCAAATTTTCACCGTGTGCCACCAAGTCAGACGCTGGCAAAAAGGGTACGTCTTGGTAGATTGATGTCGTCTGTGTGGAACAGATGTCTTCAATAAAATTCGATTTGGGATTTGGTCTTGCGCTGTTCATCTTAGAGTCTGTGAAATATGTTGATGGATTTGCGGCCATGGCAAAACGATCACCTTCACAGTCTTATTTCTTCCACAATGAACGACGAAGAAAAAAATCGTCGCCAACGCTGTGGCATTTGAATACTTTCACCGTCAAAGCGTTAACGTTCCCATCATATCAAGATGATTGATTCTTGTTCTTGGACTCGAGGCTGGCAAAAGGGCAAAAAGAGTAGACACATCAGGTCCTACCCGGATTCGAACTGTATCTAAGTCAGATGTTGCAACAAGGTCGAGGAGTTGGGCGAATCAACTCACCCGGGCTGAGAAGATGTCAGCTAAGTTCCAAGCGTGGGCAAGGGTAAATCTCATACGTTGCCGGAAGATTCGATGAAAAGCACCGCGGCATGTGATCAAAATCCGCTGCGGACAGTTAGGGTATGCCCAGAACGGTGAAAGCAGAAGGTTACTGACGAATGCTAACCACTACATCATAGAACCTTGCTCTGTTGTACCACGAGGCATCTCGAGTCAACTGTAATTGGTCAATTGAAAGCTCAATTGCAGATATGAAAGCTTCCCAGTCTATTACGTAATAGAGGAGCCTCTACCGTTGCTGGAACGTCGAGTCTACGCCTCCAGATAGAGCAGCTACTTACCCACAACATATCCAAACCCCAGCCCAATCGGCCCAGAACCCATCGAGATATCACCATCGAGGCATCACCATCGAAAGTGACACCATTCCAGTGAACCAAGCAATCAATATCAACGCGTCAACGATGAACAATCCCCCACCCTCCCCATGGCCCACCCCTGCCCTGGATAACAAGGAACTGCGAATGTCCTACAACATCGCCAGGGGCGAGCAGGGGGTTTTGAAGTTTGAGCCGTATAAGGTATGTACAATATGCAGATTGGTGAGAAGGAGGATATGAAAGCAAAATGTTGAAGAAAATGTTCAAAACAATCCACAAAAACCCTAGCATCACAGACCGATCCCTTCGCTAACGAAAGACAACAAAAATAGTCCATCCTCCTCCCCCACTGGCGTTTCCGAACCGTCCCCATAGCAGAAGAATCCTCCCAGACCTTATGGACGGCTTTCGAATACTATGTCAAGGCGAAAGACTTCGTTGGGGCGGATATGGCGAGGAAATTCGTACGTATTAACTCACTCACTCATTTGAGCAATGCTTCCGAGTGATTTTTTTTCTCTATGTATTTGCCGAATTTTTTCGATTGATTTATTGAATTGATTATCGAACGGTGAGAGAAACAATTTTGTATGCCCGTTCTGTCGTCAAATTTATCGTTCTTTTGCAACGTGCATATGAGTTCCCCACCACGATCAAAGCCATTTTTCCCCTTACCCGCCCCCTCACTAACCCCCCACCCCTCCCCCAGATCCAGATGGGCACAACCCGCGCAAAACGCTACGCTAACCACGCCGGCGGACGCAAATACGATCGCACAGCACGGCAAGTCGAAGCCGAAGGAGGCAAGAGGACAGAATTGGCGAAGTCAAAGGGGCACAAAGGTCAGGAGGAGAAGTTGGCTGCGAGTGAGGTGTTTAGGGAGGTATGGAAGCGATGTACGAGTTGTGAGGGGTATGGGGTGTTGAGGGAGGAGTGGAAAGAAAAACGGAAGGATTGGGAGAAGGGGGAGAAGGAGGTTGAGAAAGAGGACGATGAGCAGGACGTCGAGGTCAAGGAGGAGGAAGAGACTGGTGAGGAATGACTAGAACATCGATTCGATCATCATGAAAAGCCATTTCCATTCGCAACACAAAAAACGGGGTATATCCATCCATCCAAACCAACCGACACCAAAAACGCCACCAACCCACCTCTTCCCATCAACCCCTACCAATTCCACGTCCTCGCACTCGCACTAAAAGTCGGTGGCTTCCAACTCAACTTCTCCGGATCAATCACCCTCTTCCCCTTGACCTTCTCCTTCTCCTTCCGCCTCTCCCTCGCCGCCACCACCGCATCCGTCAACACAATCACATGGTTCTTATTGCTATACCGCAACATATTCAGATTCTGCAGGGTGTGCAGGATATCCGCGTTGGTCATCGCGAGCGTCGTGCCGATGTCTTCGACGGAGATGCTGCCGGTGGAGCCGGGGGCTTCTTGTTCGCGCTCGAGGAGGAGGTCGACGATGACTTCCTGCCAGTAGGCTCGGTAGCCGAGGAGACCTAGATCGGAGAGGGGTTTCTCGGGAGAGCCGAGCTTTTGTTCGATTTTGGAGAGTTCGTAGGAGAATTGGATGAGGAGGGCGCCGTAGCCTTTTCGTTGGTATTGCGGGAGGGTGAGGATGCAAGCTACGTTGTAGCCTTCTGCGGATTCTTTTTCTTTGGAGAAGTAGCCGACCAGATGGTGGCCGTGGTCGTCTCGAACGGTCATGCAGTAGAAGAGGAAGGGGTCGACGTCGTAGTAGAGGGTTTTGTGGTCGAGAAACAGTTTCGAGAGTAAGCACAGATTGCGGCACCATGTTCGTTGTCGTCGTCCATCGATTTCGAAGAATGACACGTTCTCGTCGCGGTAGATCTCGTTGCCTGGTGGATGCAAGAGCTGACACTTCTTTCGGTGGCGGCTGAACTGCAGAGGACTGCCAAAGTAGGACAGACAGAATTCGCAGATGTAGACCAAATCACAGTCAGTAAACTCGGCTGGGTAGGGCGAGAAGTACCAGGGCTCAATTTCGTGGTGTCCCATTTGAACCTTTTCAAGATTCCGAACTCTGCTGATTTCGGTCTGGTTTTGGGTCATGCTGCCACCTGTTCGAAGCTTCTCGATCTCCTCTTCGCGTGAATATGGCACACTGTCAGGCACGGCTTTCGCGGCGGCCGCAGCTTCCTGCATATCGACCAAGTCAACGGCAGACTCATCGTCAGGCTGAGGAGTGCCATCGATATCTTCAGTCGCAACAATCGCCAACGTTGGATCCTTGTTTTCCTTGCCGCCAGTCTGCGAAGGTCGTCTGCTCAACTTGGCCGAAACATCAGCTGGTGCAGTAGATCCTTCTCTGGTAGCAGTGCCACTTCGGGATCGTTTTTGGCCAGTTTTGGTGGAGGCTTTCGAATCTGCTTTGGATACCTGTTGATTCTTGGATTGAGTTTTGGCCTGCTTGTTCTTCGGTTCGGCCTTCTCAGGCAAGGGCCATTCGACCTCTTGCGAGAGATCAATACGATCTGCTGCAACCCACTCATCCAGACGTTTGTTGAATTCGACATAGTGGACGTAGAACGTAGGCTGGCCCTTGCGAGTTTGCATCGACAAGATTTCTGCTTTGCGTGTTTCGCCATCCTATCAAGACCTTAGTACTGTTCTAAAAATTTCCAGCCAAACAATTGGAATCATCAGTTCCCATGTACAATGTTTTTGAAGCTGGCTCAAAACAAGCGGGCGCAACTGACCTTGAGGACCATCGCTTTGGTGCCGATTCTGCACAACAAAACACATTAGCAACCCACGAAACTCATATAGTCATCCGAATAGCATCCTGTTGCAAGCCATACCTCAGCGTCGAAAGAGTGGCAATGCCTCTCTCGGTTTTGACCTCTTCCCCACCGCTCGCGCCCGCCTTTCCATCTTCACGAGGCGCCATGACGGCTCAGTAGTTCTCTCTTCAAATCTGACAGGTTTCTCGACGACTTTCGATTTTTGGTGATGGATCGCAGTCGATGCCGTCGCAAGTCGTCGCGAGCTGAAGTTGCGACCGGGAGCGCGGCAAACCTTCCGCGTCCTGAAAGCCAGAACCAAAAAAGTTCAACTTCGCTGCCACCTCTACGACTCGAACTCTCGACTACTTCACAACACCGACAGCGATGTCACGGTAGCAAGAGGATGAGTGGGCCGGATCTGAAGCAGTTGTCGAGCAACTGGAAGAAGCTGCAATCGACACTGAAGACAGACAAGAAGAAGGAGCCGGCACACAGCAATGGCCTGAAGCGCAAACGAGAGCCGCCCAAATCGACATCAGCGACTGCTATCAAGAAGACGAAACTCTCCAACCTCAAACCACGAACCAAGATGGGCTCCTACATCTCCACCCCCTCCTCCTCAAGCGCCCACACCACCCTCATCACCGACCACGACATCGACCCCACCGCCATAACCGCCGCCTACGGCCCCTCCTGCACCGCACCCACCACCTCCCACGCCGAGACCCTCAACACAGGCCACCACCCGACGCACAAACTCGGCAAATTCATCGCCCTCGACTGCGAAATGGTCGGCACCGGCCCACCCCCTCACAGCGACAACGTCCTCGCGCGCGCCTCGCTCGTAAACTTCCACGGCGAACAGATCTACGACTCCTACGTCCTCCCACCCCCAAACATCGACGTGAAAGACTACCGAACGCACGTCTCGGGTATAAAACCCCACCACCTGCGTCCAGGGTACGCGCGGCCCTTCGCGACGGTGCAAGCGGACGTAGCCAAGATCCTGCACGGCCGGATCCTGGTGGGCCATGCGCTGCGCAATGATTTGAATGTTCTGATGCTCTCGCACCCGAAGCGCGATCTGCGCGATACGAGTCGGTATCCGAAGTATCGGGTCGAGAGTGGGGGACGACCGCCGGCGTTGAGGAAGTTGGCGAAGAGTGAGTTGGGGCTGGAGATTCAGACGGGGGAGCATTCGAGTCTGGAGGATGCGCGGACGACGATGGCGTTGTATCGGAAGGAGAAGGGGGGTTTTGAGGAGGAGAATCGGAGGACTTTTGGGGAGAGGAGGAGGGTGGTGGGGAAGAAAGAGAAGTCCCCCGATGTGGAGGAGGGTGAGAGTGAGGAGGATGACGATGATGAAGAGGAGGATTTGGAGTTGTTGGATGGGGAGGATGATGGGATGGTTGAAGAGACTGCGAGCAGACAAGGACAGCCGAAGGCGAAGAAGAAGAAAAAGAAGAAGCGGACGAAGAGGAAGTGAGCAGCAGCAGCAAGGAACAGAGTTGCGATTCTACGACCCTGCTATCCTGACTCTGTACACGGCCTCCAAGACACCAAACCGGGATGCTTTCCAGCACCGTCTATACGCAGTAGAGATTGCTCTCTATACCTCCCAAGAAGAGAAATCCAAAAATTTGATCGCTCCGCCATGCAGCGCGCAAGAAGGGTATCTTGATCATCATCAACGTCATCAACAAGAATGCCTCCCTGAAACCCCCAAAGAAACGAAACGCCATCGGTGCGAAAACGCTGAACCGCAATGAGCAAGACACACCGCCCCATGCCCTTTCCCAACCCTTGCCTTCCTCCTCATTCTCCCACCACCTCTTCATCCTCCATTCAAAGAGGAACATCCTCCATCATCTCCACACCCCCCTCCCTCCCCACCGTAACAATAACGTCCCCCAAACTCTTCGTCGCGAACCCCCCCTCACAATACGAAAAATAATACTCCCACTTTCGCCGAAACACCTCCACCTCCTCCTCGCTCATCCGCTTCTTCTCGCCATTCCGCTCCGCAAACTCCGCCAACAGCGCCGGCCGGATCTTGGTGCTGAAGTTCTGCATGAACGCCTGTCGCCAGAGACGCAGGGTCTTGGCGTAGTGGGGCCCGATGTTCTCGACGCTTTCGGGGATGAGGCGCGGTTCGATGCCGTTTTTTGGGTCGGAGGAGCCGGCGCGGATGGCGGTGAGGAGCTGCGTGATGGAGGGGAGGTGGCCCCCGGGGAAGATGTATCTGCGGATGAAGTCGTCGGATTTGGCGTAGGCTTCGTAGCGGGACTCGGGCATGGTGATGCATTGGAAGACGGCGATGCCGCCGTCGGATTTGAGCAGGCGGTCGACGCAGCGGAAGTAGGTTTCGAGGAATTCGGGCCCGACGGCTTCGAGCATTTCGATCGAGACGATTTTGTCGTATTTGGCTTCTTCGGAGGGGATGGGCAGGCTGCGGTAGTCGCAGAGGAGGACGCGGATGTTGTTTTCGAGGCCCGCGACTTTGATGCGTTCTTCCGCGAGTTTCTTTTGCTCTTCGCTGAGGGTCAGGCTGGTTACGCGGCAGCCCGTCTTTTCTACTGCAAGGATGGCGAAGCTGCCCCAGCCGGTGCCGATCTCGAGGACGTGGTCTGTGGATTTGATGTGGGCGTTCTTCACGAAGCGGCAGAGTTTGCGGTATTGTGCTCGTTCGAGGCTTTCCTGCGAGGAGTGAGGGTCGGATTTGGGCAGCCAGATGGGACAGCTGTAGGTCATGTCTGGGCTCAGGAATGCCGCGAACATGTCGTTGCTGATGTCGTAATGCGCTGAGATGTTCAGACGGGCGTTGTGGAGGGTGTTGGTTTTTCTGATCAACGCACTCAACTTCCCCATGATCGAGGAGCCAAGTGTCGTGCCATTGGATAAGTATTGTCTGTTCACGATGAAGAGCTTGAAGAACTCTGTCAGATCTGGACAGCTGACTTCTCCTAGCATGTATGATTCTGCCAGGCCCATGTCCGCGAAGAGCGCCAGTCGGACCCAGAAAAGATCGCTGAGAACTCGAAGTTCAGCGTGTGGGATCGTATGGACAGTCTTTTCGGTTTCATCATCGCTGGTAGCTCTCCTCGCGCTGCCACAGATTGTGATGCTGCCATCTGTATCTGTGACCGTCAAAGAGCCAATTTGAATGTTTCTGAGCAGTGTGAGGATCGCTCCTCTTGACACCGAGAGGAGTGGCGGCCATGCGAGGGATAGAGGGTAAGATGCCAGCGCCGTGGCACGCTGAACAAGGGTCATGATTTATGTTGTCGGTCCAGGATTTGCCTTTCGACACTGCTGCTCCAAAAACAGTTTCTGTGCGAATTAAAGGCGCAATCGCTGCTGAACCAATTCCCAGATCCGTCTCTTATTGCTGCGCAGCCATTGACGCGGGAATGAAAGGGATCGAGTCGTTACCGGTGTATGACGCTCACAGAGAACAAAGAGAGAGCTTGGGACGAGGATGACAGGCAAAGTGGAGGAAACAGATGACAAGCTCTCCCTCACGACGGAGTAAAAAAAAAATAGAAACAGCAGCAGCAACATGCAGTAAGGTTCCGTCCAGTCAGGTACCGGTCTTCTGGTGCCGCCTCCCAACGAAGCTTCATCGTGTTGGTGGCTTCCTCCTCCCACGAGGCGTACACGGCATTTCTCGGTTCCCGATGAGCTGCGAGACGAGCTGCTGGTTGTGTCGTTTTGGGCGAGGTTGGTGTGGGTTTGTTGATTGGTAGACGTCATCGATCGGCCGCGAGGGGAATGGTTGCTATGCATCCCATTCCCTAGTTTCGCTGACTTTGCCCGCTTGGTGCCCTGCTGCTGGGAGGATTGCACCGTGGCCGGTCTTTTCATGCCGTCGGTCGAATTCTGCCGTTTGTCGCTCGTATAATCCGATGGCATGTGAAGATGAGAGTGATGACCCGTGGTGAGTTGTCGATGAAGAATCAGGACTTCTCTCCGTCTCCGTCTGATCGTGGTGGGGCAGTCCTTGGCGATGTCCCAAGCTCACGGGTGATATGCAGGAACAATTCCGATGGTGAAACTGTTCTTCAACCTCACCACCCAGTCAACGGTCCTCCTTCTTCAACTTCTCGGTCTGCTCATCAATCTCTCCTGCTTCCTTCTCATCCCCGTCCCGAACCAGCTCTCCGTCTCCCCAAACCCTCTTTTCCTTCTCATCCCAAGCTTTCTGAGCCTCGTCGAGCACCTGACGACACGCTTCGACTAGCTGGTGCTCCGTTTCGCCGGGACTGGTGCAGCGACAGAGGCCAAGCTCTGCGATGCGTACGCCATCTTTCGCCATATCGAGAAAGCCAGGCTGCTCAGAACAGCCCAGGACCATGCATGCACGGGCACGAATCAGCAATGGTAGATCAGCGTTCCCGAGCAGACTGCGCGCGGTGCTAACGGCGTATTCGTCGCGATCCTACTATGAGGCAGCATGTCAGCTCGATCAACGCCAGCTACTTCTCGCGAGACGGAAATGCAGGAGTAGGTACCTCCCGATGCGCCTTTACCATGGCCTCGTCGAGAGCATAGTACGTGCGGATCGTATTGTTGGTAAGTTGATCTTTAATCGGGGTAGCCATGATGTGGTGATTTTGAGGACGTGAAGGAGCGGGAGGGTTCAGGTGAGTTGGTGATCAGCTTGGTGATTCTGAATGCACAAGTTCAAAGACTTGGTGGCACCTTCCGTCTTCCACAGACGAGGCAGTCGCGCAAAACTGTTGGCCAAAAGAGTCTCCGACGCGGGCCTTCCGCTTCCCGTAGACTTCGGCGCCTCCATCCACCGGAAAACCGGGAGCCAAGTGTGACGATGCTGGAGCGTCGTCTGATCTGGAGTGGGTCGCTCCTGACGAAGAGCAAGCGAGCAGCAAGAACAGATCTGTCAAGGCTGGCCAGTCCATCGCTGTTCCACAAGATCGATGACGGCGACATGAGGCTTGATGTTGGAGCTGCTGCTAGTACCGAAGGCGAGGACGAGGCGGTAGGGAGCGATGAAGATTCTGCTGGCGATGCTGGTCTGGGCGGCATGGCTGAGAATGGAAGGCATGGACCCAACGACGCCATAACAAGTGTCTATTAGGCCATTCTTTCCCACGAAGGTCTGCAAAGACAGCTCACCTTCGACCCGGGTCTGTGCGCACTTCTCGGCAAGATACACGTGTTGGCCAACGATCAGACCGACCCAGATGCCGAAGACTACCTCGATGTTCTCATGGGTCGGATCTCCGATAGCTACCTCAGTCAGGCCCAGCAGGGGTGAGAGTCAACTGGGTTACAAAAACAGCATCACGATGACTCCTCCGGCAACAACGACTGAACTGGCTCGCAACTGTGATAGCTTTTGCTTTCTCCCCTCTTCAAGCATTGCTCGAACACAAGTCTGCGTTTCATCGTTCAGTCTAGCTCATCGTGGTGGAGAAAACCATCACTCTTTGGTCCCAATATGTGATAGTATATACATCAGTCTTTGGATACTTTGCTCCGACTTGTACCCCTATCTCTCACGAAACAACCAGCGAAGCTGCGATTCTGGTTTCGCTCTCGAATCCACATCGGCCCTTCCAACAGCTGCAAACAAAAGAATGACGAGGGTTGCAAGAGCAAAGACCAGGCCTACAGGAAGCCGGAGGGGCTCGAAAAACACCCACAGCACCGCCAGAACCACGTCTAGAACGAGGAGTGACACCATCGTCGACTCTAAAACAGAAGACGGTCAGCCGCCACTCGATGGCATGGACCTGCAGGAAAATCGCCGAATCAAAAACAAAGCCAACAAGACTCACCGCGCTTTCTATAATCAAAAACATCCATAGTCTTGACCTTCTCTTCAATCACCCGGGCCGAGACTTCCTTATAGAGGACCCATCCCGCTTGCAGCCCGAAAATCTCCACGAACAGGCGGGCGGGGAATTGTCGGAATTCTCGTCCAGATCCTACGGTCCAGAGTCGTGCGAGCTCCTGAGCTTGCTCACTGTCGATGCTGTACTGCTGGACGAGCACGTTGACGATGAAGCTCCGGACCTCGCCTGAGTGTGCTGATTCTGAGGGGGCTGGGATCGGATCTGTGAGGTGGTTGATATTGGGACTATCTTCCGGGACTCGGTCGTAGGGGAGATGCTCGCTCTGGACGTCCATCTAGTGCGTGTGGTGTTGGGAAACGTTGAAATGGACGCTTGTTAGGGATCGAGGAACAGAGGTTAGGACTCCATAACCTGCCAAGATGCTGTATTGTATCCAGGCTCGGAACTCGGCCGTGGCCAAACTCTTGATTCTTGGCGACAAGACGCCATTTGACTTTCAATCCTTTGATGTGTCACCAACGTAAAGGCTATACAGCATAGTGTGCTAGATCACGATGGTTATGTGAATCATGCATAGCTGAGTATGGTGCCTCTCCTTCTAGCTACTGCGATGGCCTTCTGGGCAGCCATCGCACTCCGCCTTGGCTTCTTTCATCAGCTATAGCATGCAGTTGTGCGGCGCAATGACTCCAGAATTTTGGTTGCAATGTCATAGGATCAGTGACGGGGCGGTTGTGAATCAGAAGCGAGCTCGAGAACCCCTTCGAGCATGACAGTCATCTGTAGTGCTGACAGCACCCGAATCAATTCTTCGCCATGCTCACAAATATGTCAGTAGCTACCATATAGTTTTGCCTTTTGTAAGGCCGCTAGCGCGGGATTCGCCATCCGTATAAAGGCTGCACAGGAGTTGAAGTCGGCGAAGTGCTGTCCCCACTTTTTATGCCACGGCCTGAGGAGATTCGTGCCTGAGGCCAGTAAGGATCTGACTTGGGGGGTAGCGATAGCGATTGTATACTATTTAAAACGCAAATCAACCTTGGAAGCAACTCACTGCTGTCGCGAGATAAGTTGATCGTAGATTCGCGGCTATCTCGCCCACCTACACCCACATGTAAATACAGGAAGTCTAGGATCCCTTCACTATGCCAACCAGTAGTCTGTCACAGGCGGTAGTGGCGGCAATTGACCGATGGAAACCAAGGCCGCAGCGATGAAAAATCTGGCAATTGGGCAGCAACACAGTGGAATATGGCCACTGACTGTCTGACAGCTGGGCGTCTTCTTCTATCGTCTACACGTCTCGGGCCATTTGCCGTGCAAGCTCCAAAGTGTGTTTGAGTACCTGCATACACGTCTTCACAGGCTGCTGATGCGTTGGGGCCAAGCGCGATGACATCGTCTGTTCTCCTTTGGCGGGGTCATGCTGTGGTGGAGATGATGGAGATAAGCAGAGAGCATATTGAGGAGGACACGGCATTGGAGACAATATTTGGTAAACATGAGAGGATTCTGTCGAGTAAAGAGGAGAAGGATGATGGGATTTGATTGACGGCCATGCGTGAAATTGATTAGAGTTTCACCCCGTGCACGGCGGACCGACGTCAGTGCTGCCTTCTGCCGAGATGTGGAGATCGGCGGCGCATGTGAAGCTCGACACAGGCGAAAGCAGTCGCGATACGAGCGGAATGCTCTCCTCCGCCACCTAGCCATCTCCTCTCTGACCACCACACCCAGCATCACTCCATCTGACGTCTTGGATACAGACATTCCCCGCGCCAGCATGGCGGAGAAGACTCTCGACCAGGCCAAGCTCAAGGCCTTCGAAAACGCGGCGGCGGGCCACGATGGCGTCTTATCTGACGAGTCCGGCGAGATGATCATCAAGCCATGCACCGACCACGAGATCGCTTTCTACCAGGAAAGTCTGCACCACCACCCCAAGTTCTACGAGTTGATGCCGCTCTTCATGGGCACCCTCCAGCTCGGCGCTCCCGCCAACGTGCCCGACGTCACAGCTCCGTCAGAGCCAGCCGACCTCACCCAAGACCAAAAAGACAAGCAACTGCTGCACGGCCAAAAGATCGCAACGGAAACCGCCATTGTGCTGGAGAATCTGGAGCATGGCTTCAAGAAACCGAATGTTTTGGACCTCAAGCTTGGCGCACTGCTGTACGACCCTGAGCAGACCAAGCCCGAGAAGGCAGAGCGGCTGGACAAAGTGGCGGCCGAGACGACCAGTGGCTCGCTCAACTTTCGCATTGCGGGGATGAAGGTTTGGAATGGGAAAGACTACGATGTCTATGACAAGTTCTATGGTCGCAAGTTCAACAAGGACAACATCAAAGATGGTTTCGCCACTTTCTTCAGCAGTCTCGGCGCCGCCTCTAGGCCAGACGATGCACGTGAACTGCTGGAGACGATTCTGGCTGAGATCACCAAAGCACGACACAGCTTGGAGAGGTCGGAGTCGAGGATGTACAGTGCTAGCGTTTTGATTGTGTACGAGGGAGATGCCGATGCCTTGGACACTCTCATGGGCAACCCACCCAAGACTCCACGGGTTGACGAGCGAGCACCGACCAACTTCGAGATCAAGAAAAGCCAGGAGGAAGAAGACGAAGACGAGGAGCAGCCACCCGTCACGCACCGTGTCAAGATGATCGACTTCGCCCATGCCGCCTGGACACCTGGCAAAGGCCGCGACGAGAACGTCATCAAGGGACTCAAGAACGTCGAAGACCAGATGGATGTGCTGATCGCAAGGTTCGAATAACGCAGCACCATGAACGAGATATGAGAGACGAAAGTTAAAGGGGCATGCATCAACGCACATGGCCGTCATCCCTCCCACGGATACCAATACGGCGACAATCGATCGCAATGCAGCGAACCGAGATCTTTAGACATGATACCCCTCTTGTTACAGAGCCCAAAAACAATTCAAGCCAAACCGCAATGGCTAAGCTCACCTTTCAATCCCAAATTCCTCAAAGACCGCCTCAGTATGCTCCCCAACAGCCGGTATAGGATCCATCCTAACCTCCCACCCCTCCCCATGCCCCGCCGGCTTCAACGCAGGAATCCTCCCCTTCGGCGTCCCCACCTCCATCCACCGTCCCCTCGCCTCAAGTTGCGGATGCGCCCAAACCTCCCTCATCTCATTCATCTTCGCATTCGCAATCCCCGCCTTCTGCAACTTCCCCAACACCACCTCCGCCTCCAAATTCTGAAACTTAGCCTCAATAATCCCCTTCAACGCACCCCGATTCCGCGACCTCGTCGCCGTGTCCTTGAACCTCTCGTCCCGCACTAAATCCTCATCCTCCAAAATTTCATGACAAAACACTCTCCACTCCCGCTCATTCTGCATCCCCAACATCACCGTCCCGCCATCGGCACCCGTCCGAAAAGGTCCATAAGGGTAAATACTCGCATGCTCGGCCCCGGCTCGGGATGGGGGTTCCTGTCCTTCGTAAGCGTGGTATAACGGGAAGGACATCCACTCGGCCATGGATTCGAGCATGGAGATGTCGAGGTGGGTGCCTCGGCCGGTTTTCTGCCGGAGGAGCAGCGCGGAGAGGATGGAGGAATAGGCGGTTGTGCCGGCTGCTATGTCGGCTATGGGCGTGCCTGCTTTGGCGGGGTGGCTGGGGGTGCCGGTTGTGGAGAGGATGCCGGATTCCGCTGGATAGTATATATGTTAGGATGAGGTGGTGAGTGGGAGGTGGACGTACCCTGAATGAGCAAATCGTAGGCCTTTTTGTCCCTATACGGTCCACTCCCCCCATACCCACTAACATCACAAACCACCAACCTTTCATTCCCCTCCCTCAACACCTCCCACCCCAACCCCAACCGCTGTGCCGCCCCGGGCGCGAGATTCTGCACAAATACATCCGCTCTCTTTATCAACTCCTTCAAGGCGGCCAAATCTTTCTCATCTTTCAAATCGAGACATACGGATTCTTTGCTCCGGTTCGTCCAGACGAAATGGCTGCATTGGTCTTTCACGCGCCGGTCGTGGTGTCGGTTGAAGTCTCCTGTGCCGGGGCGTTCGATTTTTAGGACGCGCGCGCCGAGGTCTGCGAGGTGCCGGGTGCAGAGGGGGGCGGAGATGGCTTGTTCGAGGGAGACGACTAATGTGCCGGTTAAAGGGAGAGGGGGTGGTTTTGCGGCTTCTTGGGATTTGGGTGGGGAGGTTGTGAAGGGACGGGTTTGCAGGTTGTTCGAGATCCGCAGGTATGATTTACAAGCGGGTTGGTGTCTCGAGGCTCGAGCATCACTTTGATTGTAGAGGATCGGTCTCGTGATCGGGATATTCGTGTGGCGATTTCTGGCTGCAATCCTTCGGTTTACGTTCGTTAAGATGCATCTTTTCATAGCCCTATCCCGGTGGTATGCTGCGCTAAGTCCTTGAGTTCGGATTATCCGAGTGCTTTGGTATTGTCTGGAGTTTGGAAGTCATCGAGCTGCTGTTTCCCATCATTGCTGATGTCGAGGTGGAGGTGATCGGCAATTTCTCCGCTATCGGACTGTGCAAGTAGCAGGACATCCTGGTGAGCATGTACAACATAAGAGATAGTTTTCCCGATTCGTGAAGATGAGGTGGAAAACAGTAGTCGAATTGATTCAGACCCTTTCGTACGTACATGACCATCGCTGAAAGTGTTTTACGAAGCGCGGATGATGCGGGTTGCCGAGGGTCGCCAATATTCCCTCGACAAGCAAAGTAAGCGCCCCAAACCGTAAGTGCAAGTCGTAAAGAGGCTTCTCACACCAGTTGTCAAATTATAATCAGTGCAGCGATGCGGTAAATATTGGAGGAGGTCCAGATGGGAGCCTCGCAGGTAATGGCATACGCTGTGTTACTCATCTCTCGGCAAAGGGTGATTACAAAACAGCCTGCGAATTCATCAGCCTTTTTTATCTCTTTGATCACTGTGATAGAATATTCAGACGCTCGAAGTGGATACCGGTGGCACTGCGGCCCCGACGTTTGGAGATAGGACGATTGTGTCATTCCGTGTGGATCGTATAAGAAAGCGGACATTGCTAGCTGGAAGTCCCCCTTGCAACTGCTGTTCCCTTACGAAGCCTTACGAAGATGTCGACTATCGATAACAATGCGCTGTTTCAGGTCTCCGGCCTTGTCGCCGTCATCACGGGCGGTGGTTCAGGCCTGGGGAGGATGATGGCTCGGGCGCTGGCGTCGAATGGAGCTGCGAAGGTCTATATTACAGGACGTCGATTGAATAAACTCCAGGAAACCGCCGAGGGATACCCGAACATCGTTCCAATCCAAGGGGATGCCACCGACAAGGAGTCGTTGAAGGCGGCCGCGGATCAGATCAAGGCAGAGAGCGGCTATGTGAACTTGGTAATCGCCAACAGCGGTGTCAGCGGCCCAGGAGTAAAGCTTCAACAAGATCCCTCATTAGCGCAGGTGCAGGAGCACTTTTGGTCATACTCTGCCGAAGATCTCAACAATGTCTGGGCCGTCAACAACACCGGTGCATTCTTTACGATGGTGGCTTTCTTGGAATTGCTCGACGCAGGGAACAAGAGCCAGAAGACGCCAGGTATCCAGAGTCAAGTCATCTTTGTTGCAAGTATCGCGGGATACTCGAGAACATTGGCCACCACCGTCGCTTACGTCCCTAGCAAGGCGGACAGCGTCCAGCAGGTCAAGTTGTTCTCATCGTACTTTGCGAAGTACGGCATTCGAGTGAACGGGATTGCACCAGGGATCTATCCAAGTAAGTCCAATTGATCATCGCTTCAAAGCAAAACCAGCCGCTGCCTATGCTGGCGGATTGACTAGTGGTGAAGTTTCATGCTAACGCAAGTTCTTGCAGGCGAGATGACCGAAGGCATCACTGATCGGCCGGGTTTCAATGTGGGCACTATCCCAGCAGGAAGATTCGGCACTGAGGAAGACATGAGAGGGACCGTTTTGTACCTCGCCTCGCGTGCGGGAGCGTACGCAAATGGTCTCGTTCTCGTTACAGATGGCGGAAGGCTGGGCCAGATTCAGTCGTCTTACTAGAGAAGCCATACATCGGAGAGTGTGTTGCGTAGATTAGAAGAAGATAGATTTGTGGGAATAGATGGAAAGGTTGATGGCAAGGGGTGAGGGAATGTTTTGTTTCGATGCATTTAGAGTTTGAGGTTTCCTGACTAAGCATGTCCGTGCACCTTTTCTTTGAACCTCACGCCTCGATCTGTTTTGGACAATCAACAAAATAACCAAAACCTCGAGAGGAGTACTCCAAAAGACCGACTCTGAACACCTTCCGGCCTGGAATCCTCGTTCTGCTGTATCTGTCCAAGCGTTCGAGTCGCTCTCCCGCTAGTCAGCATCAAGTCAGAGTGAATTCCAGACACTGCGACCGACATTGAAAGCCGAAGTATAGAAGGCCGATCGCACCAAAAGGCCTCCAAGGCCTCTCACTCTATCTGGCAATGTCCTTACCCGGCCTCTCACTACCAGGCCTGGGTCCAGCCAGGGCAACCTCCTCAACACCCATCACCGGAAATGCTTCCGCATCACAAGCACCTCGAACGGAGACTATTCAACCACAGACGGAATGGCGATTCGAAGTAGCATTCTCCCAACGCTACAACATCAAGCTCGAGAGCGGAAGTGCTGAGCTGTTCGGGGTAGAGCTTGCGCCCAAGCAAACCTACACATTCTCCGGATTCAAAGGCGCAGTCTTCACATGGCAGGGCTGTCAGCTCGAGATCACTGGTACTGCGGAGAGCGAGTATGCAGGTCAAGAAACCGAGTATGCTGTCGAATGGCTCAATGTTCACGGCATGCTCAAGACTCTTCGATATCAGAGTCGGGGAGATGGACCCAGAGTGCTGGTGGTTGGACCAGATCATGTCGGGAAGAGCAGTCTAGTCAGAAGCCTGGCGGCATGGGGTGTAAGGAGTGGTGATGCACCAACTGTGCTGAATCTAGACTCGAGAGAAGGCGTCTTGGCCCCACCCGCCAGTTTCACCGTCGTCACATGCGACTCTTCAATGGATGCTGAGAATGGCTATGGTATCAGTCCAATGTCTGGTCCCACCGTCTCAGCAGTTCGCACTCCTCTCATCTACAGCTTCCCTTTCGCTTCGCCAACTGAGAAGCCAGAAGCCTTCAAAGGACTCGTCACCCGCATGGCTTTAAGTGTCACCAACAAGCTCGAGGAAGATACCGCAATCAAGCGCAGCGGCCTCATCATCGACACTCCCGGCTCACTGAACGATCCAAAGACGAGCTACGAGCTCATTGCTCATCTCGTCTCGGAATTCAGCATCAACGTCGTTCTCTCCATCGGCTCCGAGCGGCTTGCAAGCGACCTCACCCGCAAGTTCGCCGCCAACAAGTCTCCCGAGGAGACCGTGACCGTTCTGAAGATGACGAAACCCGGCGGTGCAGTCGAGCGAGACAACGCATTCATGAAACAATTACGAACACAACAAACCCGCCAGTACTTCTTCGGCTCCTCAAAAGAGTCCCTCAACCCCCACTCTCACACATTCGGCTTCAACGACTTGGACATCTACCGTGCCAAGTCCGCCTCCATGGGCGACGCAGACAACCCTGAAGCAGCCGATGACGATGACGACTACGACGTCCCCTACGCCAACAAGCCAACCAGCAACGCTACTTTCGAGAGGATCACGCCTTCCACAACGATGACGGGAGGTCTGGTGGCGATCAAGTTCTGTCCTGGCGATAGTGACGAGCAGACGGTGCGAGATAGTGCGGTGATGGGATTCGTGTACGTGTCGGATGTGAACGAGACGAAGAAGATTGTGCGGTTTCTGGCGCCTCATCCGCAGAAGTGGAAGGATCGTGCGCTGGTATGGGGTTATGGGTGGCCGGAGGCGGTGGCGGATTTGGTGGTTTAGCGAGCAGGCGGTTTCATACTGATCGGGACTATGGTGTCTGTAGAATATTCGTCCATTTGAGCATGACATTACTACAATGGCAAGAGACTCGCCATGGCATAGTCAGCCCTCGGCTCACAGGGATTTTTTGTCAGTCTTCGTTTCCGTAGCTTCTATAGGCAGTGGATTCAAAGAATGCGATGAATTAAAGAGAACGACTCCTGATGCATGATGCACGTCACTCTCATTTGTGGTTGCAATTTAGCTAGGCCAGCAGGCGATGCGCTCATCTTCTTTAATTCCCGGCCTGCATGCTTGTACCCAGCCTTGGTGTATGTGTCTTGGAAGTCTCCTTGCTTTCTCCATTGCATCTCTGATATCCATGCCACCCCGGCACGTCTAAGACATTTAGACCATGCCCTTCTCGTGGAGAAAGGGGCAACGCACATCCTGCCGTGAGCGGACCCCTGACGCCTACATCGGCATCAACGCGTGGTGATACCCAGCGATCTGCAGGAATCGGGTCACATCCTGCGTCGGCCTGGAAGTCCAAAGAGTCCGCACGACGCGATTCTGCTCCTCCGCCTTCCTGATAACAACCGCGATCTTGAGAACGCCCTTGCGGCCGCCCATCTCCTCCACCTCGCGCTCCAGATCCGCAAAGAACGCCATCTTCTGAGGCGTGGTAGCCTCTCGCACCGCGCGCAGAGCCATCTCGTTGTCGAGCATGTCGAGAACGTCGAGCACGTCGGTTGCTTCCCCTGGTAGTTGCTTCGCTTGCGGGACGCAGAGGACGTGCGGGCTGTCGAGGTTGGGTGGCACGATGTCGATGGTGGTGATGAGAGGCAGGTACTCCTTGTTCTGCTCGAGGAAGGGGCGGATGCGCTCCACGCGCATCTTGAAGATGGCGTGCTTGAAGCAGGTCTCTTTGGCGCGCCTGTGGATGGCTTTGTCCGCTGCGAGAGCGACGAGCAAGGGGTGCATGATCCCCTTGGGAGTGACGACCGCGACGTCTGTGAAGACGAGTTCTTGTATCTATGATGGATAGGTCAGTGGGTGGCTTGGTATGGTTTGTTGTTATGAGGATAACTTACGTGGTCTTGCAACTCCTGAGGGAGTGCGAGGAGGCGGCAGGTCATCTGTCCGTCGGACTTGGCCATTGTGATGGAGTGATGTGGGGTGATGGCGGAAGTGATGTGGGAGTTGACAGTGGACGTGAGCGCAGAAGCGAAGTCGAAAGTGATGTCGAGGGTGATGTCGAAAGTGAAGCTCGGACGGGAGTGAAGTGATGGTCAGCGCCAGAGTCGTGCTGTTGCCACGCAACAGGAGTGAGCTGGACGGGGATCAAACGGATCATAAAAGTGAATGAAGGCGAGTCGCTATAAGTATGAACTATGGGAAAGGGACATGTCATCTATGGCAACTCTTATAACACCCACAGCTTTCACTCTACTGTCTTAGGTGGACTCACTTTGTCTCTTCGAAACATAGTATCTATTCCTATTCCTACTGGATCGCGCTGTACATCTCGGTGAGACAGTGTCGTTCCATACCAACAAAGAATGTAACCGCTGAGAAGGACGGATTGTACGACCATCCCTTGCTTCCCTCTTACCTTACCCCTGAACGTGCTATTCAAGATCTGGAGCCAACGATCCAGCGACATTTGCTACCAGGCGCGAAGATTTGATCAAAGGACGTGTAGAGTCTTCAAAATCACTCTCTCGCTGTCCGATGTATCTGCACTGCCATCGCGAGAACGGTTGGGCGGGTCCCGTATCGAGACAACTCTGCATAGAAACGACCCAGCTGCCTGTTAGAGACGGCGGCAATCTCTGTCAGTCTCTGCTGTACGAGGTTGTCAAGAACATGATGTGGGCTTTGTGAGTTCTGGAGATCATGGGAGACAAGAGCAAGACGGACTTGCAACATTTGCATTTTTTCCTGCTATCGCTCACTGGCACGTCAAATTCATCCAGTCCAAAGCGGATCGTCGTTGCCCACCGTATCATCGTCTCTCATCGTCTCTCATCGTCCCTTAGTGTCTCGTCGTCTCCCAGTGTCTCATCGTCTCTCAGCGTCCCATCATCATCAGCGTGTCGTCGATCTCAGCATGTCGTCGTTCTCAGCATGTCGTCGTTCTCAGCATATCACCATTCGAAAGCCCTTGCCCTTGTTCCCCAAATCTCCTTCTTTCTTGCTTCTCTTGCAACTCTTTCTTCCTCTATGGGTACTTGGCAAGATCAAGTGCCGTCTTGACCGTAGCTTCGAGGTCGAGGCCATGCACCCACTTGCTCCAGGCCACATTTCCTCCATCCATGACCTTGACTTCGATCTTGAGAGTGAATGGTAGCAGTCCGTACTTCCGCAGCTCTGCCTCGTCCGCCTTGAGCCGCATTCTGCCCACAATGGCCTTGGACACTGCTTCTTCCCGGTACAGCAAGTACTCGAAGGGTGATGTATCCATGAGATTCTGCGAGACCTTTGGTCGCTTGACGAATGGATCGATCTTGATGCTTATGCCGTCCATGCGGATCTCCTCGATGTGGCGAACATGGGGCTGGGCGTTTTGGACGAAGGCCTCGAGGTTGAATTCGCCTACTTGAAAGGCCGCGTGCTTGTAGCAGGTCTCTTTGGCGCGGCGGTACTTCTCCTGGTCCTTTCTGGTGCGCAGGACCTCGAGGTACGGCGGGTTGGGGGTGGCGTCGGAGATCACGAAGACGTGGGAGGAGAAGTGCAGCTCTTCGATCTAGAATGCGCGTCAGTAGTGTATCATCGGGGCCTGTAGAGTTATGATGGCGCTCACCATATCCTGCAGCTCGGTGGCCAGGTCGAGGAGGCGGAAGGGAGAGGCCATTGTGCCAGATTGCGCTCCTTTCGCACTAGTCGTTGAGAAGGACAAAGAGACGGACAGTCAAATGCGTAGCATGGTTGGAGGGAGAGCGACGGGGATAACAAAGGATTCTTTGGGTGAGGTTGTTGTTCAGCGTGGAATCGAGCGGCGGCTTCAAAGAAGTCAAGGCTTCGGCGCCCTCACATGCTCCTGGGCGGTTGCCACGCAACAAAAGCTTGCTTTACATCCGCACTCACAGCAACGATGAATTCAGGGCAGAGCGCCTTCACATGTTTCAGGGTTTCATGACAGTCATTATATCTATTCAACGTGATCAAGCTAACATGCACGCTCCTACAACCCCGAATCCTCCTTTTGATAATACGCGTGCGTCGCGTAATTCTTCCAGTTCCTACACTCCTGATCGAACGCGAACCTATCCGGCAGAACGATCTGATTCGGAGCCTCGACAAATTGAGCACCAAGACCTGATGACACGTGCCAGGCGATGTGGCCTGTACGGAGGGATCAGCATTTAGATGTGGCAAAGAGGAGGCTTGGAAAGGGGATACTCACAATGCATCATCCAGGCTCCTGGGTTGTCCGAAAGAAAAGCCAGTGCTAGCCAACCGCCGCCGTGTAACGTTGCAGTGTCACGACGAGGAGGAGTGTCGAAGTTCAGGCTGGCGGAAGAGCTGCTGTATTGTGAAGTTCCTTGGCCAAGGACGTAGAAGTCATGGCCTAATTGACGGTCAGATTGGGATACATCAAGAGCTAGGACACGACATACCATGCAAATGGATAGGATGGGCGATAAGGGGAAAATTGGATGGCTGCTGGATCAGCCAATAATTCCACTGCCCTTGAGGAGCAGTCGGCAGAACGGCCATGCTGTCAGGGTAGCTGGTATTGCCGCTGAAGATGTACCAAAGAGTTGAAGTTCACGGACAAGGAGTTGACGGACGACTGGAAAGAACCGGACGGAACGGGTTGGTACCAGAAAGGAGTCAAGGGCCCTGGCTCAATACAGCTCTGGGGCTCGCCAGGGAGAGGACTACTCGACGGAGTAGCCGAAGTGACGGTCGAGTAACTCCATACCGCGCGTCCGAACCCTTTCTTGTCGCTCAGACATGCTCGCGCGACGTTTGCACGGAACCAATAATTGTCAGCAGTCTGATTAGCCGTAATGATTACATCGTACCGCTGGCCGATCCCCAGCAGCAGCCAGTTGGCAGTGAAAGGTTTGATGGGCACGAAGTCTGTCGAGATAACCGAGAATGGGTGGCCATCCAGAGACACCTGAATGTAATTGTCGACAGCGATGTTGATCAGTCGGAGACGATACGCCTTGCCGGATTGAACGACCGTACGGCTATAGCTGCCTCCGCCGTTGGCGTTTACGTTGGTCCCGTTGATCAGCAAGTTGTCGGCAGAAGGCGGTCCTTGAAGCTTCTGCAGATTCTGGCTCGTGATGGCGTTGATCTGATACGCCGTCATGTAGAACCAGTCTGACAAAGGATAGGTTCCGAGATCAACGTCGTAGTTGGATGTGGCAGGTCCGTCGAAGATCATCGTGCCGACTACGCCGTCGCCATACTGCGCGGAGAAATGAGCATGATACCAGGAGGTGCCGTGCTGGGTCACCTGAAAGCTGTATGTTCCTGCTGAAAGTCAGAGAGGCTTTCTGTTCGAGCAACCCTCAGAACGTACTCGAGGTCCCTGGAGCAAGTGGGCATTCAGTCACACCGTTGACTCCGTCCATGCCGGTGGAATGATATTGACGAACACCGTGCCAGTGGACCGTCGTACCTTGTATGCATCAGTAGACGTTTTCCATATAAGACTCGAAGGCCAAGACCTACCGTTGTCTTGCAACGAGTTCTTGACGGTAATGAGAAGCTGATCTCCCCAAGTTGCTCGAATGACCGGCCCAGGATACTGTCCGTTAAATAACAGACACTGTCTCGGTCCATGGCCGTCTGGATTGCAGGTCCCGTTCGTCAGCTCGAGGTTGTAGTAGACGGTGTTTCCGGTCGATGGGAATGTCTTGTCGAAGTCATTTGCTATGTTGAAGCCACTCGCCCAGCAGGCTCGGTTTGCAGGATTATTGGAGCAAGAAGATGAAGCACGGGTCTCGATGAGCTCTGCTGTGGGAACCGCTGCAGCGAAAGAAGTGTGGAGCAAGAAAGCGGTTGCCACGAGGGCTTTGATGAGGACGGAGAAGTACATTCTCTCTTTCCAGAGATGCTTTGAACAATTCCGGCCTGTGTGCTGACTTCCTTGTCGGTACGGAATCAAGAAGCAGCACCGCCTGTCCTTATACTATCCTCTCGCCGCGCGCGAGATCTCGGAGAAAACGCAAGTACGTTCGACAAAACATTCTAGAGCCCCAATGGACTTCCGTGCAGTGCCGCCGGTCTCATTGTTGTTCGTTTTAGCCGATAGCAAAATCCAAATCCACGTGGGAAATGAACGAAGAACTTTCGAAGCCTCACCGCCGAGGACAAGCTTCTGTAATGCCGACGTATCACGATCTGGAGCGCGCAATTGCCTTTGGACGATTGTGACTGAGGTAGTACTAGCAGAACCTCCCAGCCATCGTTGCTCTCCCCTGATAATGGATGCAATGGTGGGTTTCTTAACGGTGGGAAGGGCAGCATGACTTTCAGCTCAACCGGCTGATTGTGGCTCTTCAAGGCTGGCATCGCTCGTTCAGCGTAAATCGATTTGGGAAGCCGCAGTGCCATGGCTTCGGATGCTGTGACAACTTTGGCCGTCCGTCTGTGAGCCTTGCGCCATTCACCAAGGACCGTCCAATTGGCAAATTCCGAATTACACGCCACTAAAAGCAGTTTGCGTGATTAGCATGCGTTCGTGTAGAGCAAAGCCAGCACTAGACATTCCTCCGCGGCTGTATTGTAGGCCATGCTCAGGAGTTCATGAGATTGTGACCCTCTGCCAATGCAGATTAGCTGTCAGGACGAGATTTGAGACTCATCTTTATCCGTGGACGATGAGCGAGATCGTGCCAGGTCTACGATTCGATCTAGCAACCTTTCGTCGTCGACTGTCATTGGTATCGTATCCCTTTCCATTCAAGACTTCTCTCGGTCCTCGGCCAGATGCACTCGTCGTGAGCGGATGATCCTCACCGCCTTGCCGTTCGGTATCGAGACAAGGTTTGAACGAGGCTGTGAAAGCGAACGACGGTTGGCTACCAAGCCTTGCAAGCTTCGAAGCCGGCCATGCGCGGCTCTTGGAGACTTTCTCTGGCGTCGAGATTTATTTGAACCGTTATCTTGACAAACTTCTTCTCTTCGTCCATTTGCGGTGTTGGGCCTCTCGAGTTCTAGGGCGTCTTGAAGCGGTGTCGAATGCGAACGTCTTCGGAAGCGGTGAAGCAGCGTGATCGAAGCATAATCTGGCGTTCTCCCACAGGGTACAAGCGGTCAGCAGCTTCCATCGTTCTACTTGCGAGAGAATTGCGAGATGGCCGAGGACTCGTATTGGGGGTGACAGCTCGCACTTAACACCATGTACTTGAGCAAGTATGCGTGAGATAAGTACTACAACCTTCGAGTAGTGTTATGCTCCAGCTGTCTCACCTGAGCATCCTTTAGCTGTCTGCTCTCCAAAATTGACCAAAGAGGGAACCTTGCTAGCATGCGATGACGAGTCGTCGCTTTATTCCCCGTATTTAGAGCTCTGTCCAAGGCAACGGCCAAGCTTTGGCAGCTTCAAAGAGAAAGAGGAAAGGAGAGAGGTGCACGGAAAGAACATTTCGTTTCCGCTTATGTACGCTTTCTGAAGAACACACAAAGCGGTATCAGACCGGTCCATCAGATACAGAACTCAAGCACCTCGATCATCTTCACGTCGCATCACCAGCATCGTAGCTTTTCGTAGAAAACCTCAAGTGTCAGGGCAGTTCACGGCTTTGCAGTCCTGACTATGAGTGGCGATCGGGCCATCAACACCAACATCCTTGTGTTCAAAATTAGCAAGTGATCGCAGGCGACGAAATCTGATCTTGTCTGAGAAAAGCAGAGAACGTACCTTCTCGAGAACAGCCTTCGACGGGTCTCCACACAAGAGATCCCAAATGGGGTAGAGCTCAACCAGCTCCTCGTTGATGTGTCCAGCACTGCCCTTTGGAGCGCTGAGCATCAAGTTGTGGTCGATGCCGAACACTGTACAGGTCCAAGAAGCCTCATCGATGTACGGAGCGAGTTGGTTCTTACTCTCGTCGCATCGATTGACTCCTATCTCGACAGGCATGTGCACCTGGTATAAGTCCAGGGGGTCTTTCTCGAGGAGGATGCAGGTTCCTGGGATGTGGCGAGCAAACAGAGAGTTGACTTTGACTGCGGTGGTGTTGGCGCACTGGAACGTGAAGCCAGGGAAGACGCGGCGGAAGGCCTCGTCGATGTTGTCGGCGGCTTCCTTCTTTGCGGTGAAGATGAGAATGGTCCAGTCGCCGTATGGCTCACAGAGCCAAGCGTCGTTGAAGCTGGCGGTGTACTCGGAGATGGCGCTGTGAGCCTCGATGCACTTGTCGTGCGTATGCGCGATGGGGACGGTGATGCCGTAGTTGTCAGACTCGCCCTTCTCTTGGACGGTGCAGGCGGTAGGAGGTGGCTCAGTAGCATCTCTCAAGGCGAGAGATGGAGCAGCATCGAAGGGCGAAGCTGGAGCAGCAAGGGTGGTGGTGGAGACGCTGAAGACAGCGAGTGCCACAGCGAGACGCTTCGGGGTGATCATGGTGGTCACGCCGCTGTGGAGGACAGTGTGGTTTGGAGGCTGTAGCTGTAGATGCTGTTCAATGGTGGTTGAGAGAGGTTGTGTGATGGAAAGGTGGTGGTCGAGGTCGAAGTCGAGGTTGATGTTGAAGAGGAAGTTGAAATTCCAAGAAGAACAAGGACTAAGACCGCTTAGGCGGGCACTTCACACGCACGTGGAGGCGAGCAAAGACAACAAGCAGCGGGCATGTGCTCCTTCCAACTGCATCACTTCTTCATACAACATGCCCTCACTGCGTACGAAAGGCCCAGCACATACCAGATAGGCTGCGCAACGAATCCGGAGCCTCGACTACGGAAACATTCAACGCCCTTTCGAGAAGAGGAGGAAACGTCTGTGTCAGTTCCAGACGGGAAGTCGAAGAAGAAATAGCAGGCATTGGATACCCTTGAGCAGGTCTTTGATACCGTTCTGCGGTTGGACTCAACGGATTTCCTGAGGGATCTATGGCAAATACCCCGAGGACTCTGGCAAGGTTTCTGATCTTCTCGGATGCGATGAGCATGCTGGCTCCAACGGCGCTTTGCTGGCGATATTGATGGTACAAGGCCCTGAGAAAGTAAGAGCACTTCGATAATTCTGAGCTATTGTACATCATCACCATATTATATGCTACATCCGAACCCCCAACACCATCGCTGCAAATACCGTCGATCTAGTCATACAATCTCTCCAACACAAGCTCCATACTCTCCTCAGTACGGATCCTCCCCATACTTATCGTGATCATCCGCCTTACTCCTACTCATTCTCCCAGCACTCGTCTTCAACAATCCCTTACTCGCATCCACCACCCCGCTAGCCCACATATCCTGCCCCGTCTCCTTATCCGTAAACCTGCTAGTCAAAGACGTAATCCCACTAAGATGCGAATTGACATAGATATTCTCCCAATGGCCCTTCGGCACATGATACGTCTCATGCCAGATCGAGAGATGCGGGTTCTGCTTGACGGTGCGGTTCCACCAATCCCACGCCTGGCGGTGGTCCTCGCTGTGCGCGAAGGCGTGAAGCCCTTCCATGTTGCGGAAGTAGCAGACCTGCATGATTTCGGATTTGCTCGAGCGGTCGGCGGAGTTGAGCCAGGAGGTCATGCCGAGGAAGCCGAATTCCTCGGCGTGGTCTTCGAGGCTTTGCGCGAGCGAGGAGAAGTATTTGCCGGACTGCTCGAAGCCGGGGGCGAGCATGCCGTAGGGATGGTTGCTTCGCGTGCCGATGAGGAAGACGACCACGTCGGTGTCGGCGGGCTTGTTGCCGTAGTTCCCAAGTTCGTCGGGGATTTGGGCGCTGAACTTTTTCATGAGGACGCCGTCCATGTATGTGTTTCGTTTCCAGCCCACGGACATTGCGTAGGAGTCGAGGGCGCGGTAGAGGATCAATGCGGCGGCTGGTAGAAGAGCGATGCGGCCTACGAGCAGAATGAGAGCTCCCTGAACGAGTGCACCAACGCATAACCATGTTGATAACGAGGCCTGGTCTCGGAGAAGTGATTCAAATGCAGCGGGGCCGAAGAATCGGGATCGTGGACGTTCGCTTTGAGGAGCGACCAGTGGCTTGAAGTCCTGTCCTGGGCGCGACATCTTGTGATGTGGTTATATTTATTGGGTGTATGTATTATTCCTCTGCTTGATCTGGTTCGAAGATAGATCACTGTGATTCTCTTTTGATCATTCAGTGGTGAGTGGATTGAGGTCTGAAGTTCAAGAAAGCGACTTGATCCCAACTATTATATCTACCTTCAATTCCATCTACACGGACGCAGTGCTACGTATAAGGTAGTCGTCAAGGCCAAGCCCCCAACTCTTGCGGACGGAGGAGTATCGCCTTCGCGGCTCGAACGAGGTGTGTTCCGCGAAGCTAGCCCTGAGTTGCTCCGATCCTGTCGGCCGTAAGGCATGGCCACAGTGCAACACAAACACCGTCATCTCTACTCGCCAAATGGACGTACAACGGATCCTCTAGATCCTTGCTTTAGAACGGACGCACCGGCACGGGTACCGCGCCCACCGAAGACGGAATGTAGTTCGTAGTGGAAGAAGAAAGAAGGTGAAATGTAGCTAGGAGTGTTGAAGGGAGGCCTCATCCCGATGACGTAAGGACGTAGTCTTCTACATTCACTTCCAAGTTACTTGACCTTGCTTACCTGGGTCTGATTAATCGAGGACAATAAGGTCCAACTTGACTCACGTCAGCGCTTGTTGTATCGATCCAAATCTGTTATTACTCTGTCAGATATTTTGGATGACAAGACTGTGCGATTCCACAGATGCTCCTCGCGACGTAGTCGATGCCTAAACGAAACAGAACTCCTCCACTTCCAAACCCATAGCCTTCAAGGACTCCACCGTCAATCTAGGATCAGCATTGACCTCCTCACCAGTCGCACTGTTCCTAAAGCACGCGAAACTTCCAGGATCATCCGGCTGGCTTTCGCGGTAGTACCTCTCCCACCCGTCCAACGGCGGCAACCTAGGATCGTCTTCTGTGACTTCGCCCGTCGCAGGCCTCCTATACTTACGAGCAGCGCCGTAACCTGAATCACGCTTGTCGTAGAACGGAATCCAGCCATCTGGCAGGGGTCCAAGAAATGAAACGCAGTTGTCGGTGCCGTTGAGGTAGCATTCGCCAACAATTTGATGGGTATTGGAGGAACATCTTCGGATCATGAGTTGGCTTTGGAGGCCGAGAAGTGTGCAGATGATGTCGCCTGTTGAAGAGATCAGTGCCCGGCGATATGGGAGATGAACCAAGACGAGCACTCACCAGGCTGTGTGTTCGGTGGCCCCAATCCGATGTGGCCCGCTCTGCTCCTTATCAACGTCCTTCCCTTGACCAGATTCAAACACCATATGAACTCTCCATCGTTGAGCACGGTCTCATCGCCATCGACGACGCACTCCCAAAAGTCGTCCCGCCACTCCTCGAGTGTCGGCGCAGACAGCGTCGGCCAGATGTCATCGAGATACCCAGCTCTCAGAGTGCGCAAGAATGCATCGAAGACTGTGCCCCCAGTGACGTACTCGTCTCCCGCGTCGCACGATTTCGTGGATCTCAACCTATGGAATATTTTTCTCGAATCCCACGGAAATCGATCACTTACTTGTCCGACCTTCGCGAGAGTGAATCCACCTGCCTGTAGAGCGCCATTCTCCCGGAATGCCACGCTACTTGATGATATGCCACTAGCCAACATGAACGTCGACAGGCCGTGGGTGTGAAGAGGAACATTCCAATCAGGTACCCACGAAGCCAAGCGACGTGGATTCGGAAGTGACAAGTCACAGCAGGCTATAACATCAAGGCGATTGGTAGTCTCGATGTACATTCTCGCGACTTCGGTGAAAAGTTGGGCTGTATCCTTGGTGTAGTCGGGCACGATTCGTTCGCTCAGTGCCGGCCCTGCGATACTCATGATTCCATAGATGTGGTCTCGAGGATCGGCACATTTGCGCTCGCGACTGGTGATGAGCAGCAATTTCAGAGTACAGTTCTGCCGATCGTAGGTGATAGGTTCGACGACAGACAGACGATGCCGCAATGTGATCGACGGAAGTTGGTTCTTCGTCCTGAGGCAGACGACCGCCTTCCGCAAAATCTGCCAGGGAATCTCGTCTTGACCGCACAGTACTATGGCCCTCGAGTTTGCCAGTGACGCCTCTTGCCAGATCCATAGCCTTTCGAAGTAATCTCGATGCACCAGCTCCTCTATTGCTTGCCAGGTCTCAACGTCATAGAACAGCGCGCATAGTGAGCGAAACCAGTCCGGCTCTGATGCATCTGGGGAACGGTAGCGAATATGCTCGCTGTCAATCTCCAGTTGCTGGCCAAGGTAGTGAAGTGTTGACATTGCAAGTCTGCTGTTTGCAGACGCAAGGCCGAGCCAGATGACCACTCGTCTCGCATTTCGATAGATGCTCGACATGAGTTGCACCTGATGACTCCTTTCCACGTTATCATTTTAGTTAATGCATATTGCATCAGTCCATAGAACCCTGTTTGTTGACTTATGTCTTAGGTGTCGGAGGGCTTGTGCGAGATTTTTGCGGATCTGAAGTTCGCCTCTGCTTCGTCCGTTGTCCTCATCTTGGACAATGTAAGCCGTTTCAGGGTCATTCACACTGCCCCACGTGTATGACAGTGCTTCATAGGCAGGCTCGTAATCTGGTCCTGGGATCTCTAGTAGAGGCTGGTAGCTCACAGGATCCACGCTCTCGTCAGGGTGGCTCCACGAGGTTTCTTCGGTGTCGTCCTTCTCAAAGAGGTAGCGGAACTGGTATTGATTCGTCTCGAATACATAGTAGCCGGCAGGTAAGGTCTTCTGTAACTCTGCAGTTGATAGACGTTGGACATTCCGTTCAGTCGGCTGGGTTAGTTCGACATGACGAATTTGCAGACGAATGCTGTCCTCGAACGAGCCTGGTAAGAGAGTGAGCAGTCTGATCTCTTTGACATGCGTACGCAACGCAGAGTATTCGAACGTAGGATTAACCATGCTACGACGCTGAGCGCTGATCCACGATGATCAGTCTTGAGATATGCAACAGCCTTCAAAAGCTCACGGAGTCAGCTCTGCCTCTTGCCAAGGGAACAATGCAGTAGTAGAACAAGGGTTGGATATGTCGACCGGCCGCCAGGCGTGCGAACCACCGGCTAACAGCTGCAGCTGATCTGGCGCCACGCACCAGGCTTAGAAGCTCCACGTAATTCTGACAATGAAATTATCTCGTAAACTTTTCAAAGTAGCTTGTGATTAAGGTAAAATGTTATAAAGCCAGGGATCGTGAACAGGCGCAGTGTGAAAACAAAAAATGATGGGCTGGCACCAGTGAGCGCGAAGAAGGCATGGAGACAATGTCACGACTGAGAGGTTAGTCACCTGGCATGAGATTTTCATGTACTCACTGGGAACTTGAAAGCGATCTTGATGAAGGCGAGTGTTATTAGCATCTCAATTCGTGGTGCAAAATGCAATATTGGGAGACCAACCAGTGCAACACTCATATGCTCCAATCTCCCATGCTCCAAACTCCGTCGTACGACATCGTCGCATCTTCCATCAACCGTGATTGTCAAGGCCTTCGTGACTCATCTCGCATCGGCGGCATATCGGCTTCGCCTCGTGTCTGTCGGTCGCGTGGAGCCTTCGCACGTAGCTACAGGTGCCCCACGGACACTATATCCTGGTCCAGGTCGCAGTTCTTGTCATATCATAAACCCCAATTCCCTTCTCGCCGTGGCCAATAGCTCAGTATCTGTATCTGGTCGAGTAGTCCTTGGGGCTGACCACCAAACCACGTCCCTTCTTGGCACCCTTGTAGATCGTCTCGATGATATCGATCAGCTCTTGCTTGTCCTCAAGCACCCAGTTCAGCTTGTTGTTGTTTCCCGTGCCGAAGTCGCACATCATGTGTTTGTTGCGGAAGAAGAACATGAGGGTAACGGTGTCGTAGAGCTCGTACATCTGCTTGAAGTCGGGGACTTGGTCGAGGTCGCAGACGTAGATGACAGCGAAGTTCTTGACGCGGTCGGCGATCTTGTAGAGGACTTCGTCTTGACGCATGCAGTCGGGGTCCCAGTCGCGGCCGAAGCGAATGACTACCAGGCGGTCTTCTTCGGACATGATTGCCTGGTCGACGTGCCAGCCGGTGACGAGATGGGGAATGACGACGGAACCCATGATGATGTCTTGTCTTGGCGAGGTTGCTGTGTTGAAGGTGGACAGTAGTTGTTCGTGTTGGCTTGTGTGGTGACGGAAAGTGAGTGAGCGAGGAACAAGATAGAAGTCGAGTGGAAGAAGCATGTGATGGTTACATGACTCGACGTTGTCTTGGCACGCTAGCCGAGTGTGGGGAGCTAGTGAAGCTAGTGAAGGTTCAATCGCGACTCTCACGTGCACCACTTCAACTTCTCTCTTGTCGCGACCAGCACAACATCCTCGCTTTCAACTTGCTGTTCGACCGTGACTACACACCAAGTTCATATTCGCAGCGACGTCCTTCAAGATGCGGCTCACAGCGGAGCTCGTCAACAACTCCCTCTCCTACAACAACCCACTCAACGAGCGCGAACTCGATCTACGAGGTACGAATGCCCCAGCAGATGCCCTGAAAGGGACAGATACTACACTTTCGTTAAAGAGCTAGTTGATTCAAAGGTGTCTCAAAGGCCACAAGATCCCCAGCATCGAGAACTTGGGCGTCGCGAAAGACCAAGAATGCATCGACTTCACCGACAATGCCATCACGATCCTCAACAACTTCCCGCTCTCACCACGACTGCAATCGCTGCTGTGCGCTGAGAACCGGATATCGAGTATCTCCGAGTCCATGCCGAAGCAAGTCCCGAATCTGCACACCCTCGTACTCAGCCAGAACAACCTGAGCGAACTCACCGACCTCGACCCTCTGCAGGGGTTCTCCAAGTTGACGTACCTCAGCTTGGTCGGCAATCCAGTGGCGAGCAAAGAGGTAGGCACAAGAGAGTGATAGTAGAGGTTTGGATGCTGATTGGAGTGACAGAACTACCGGTACTGGGTTGTCTGGCGGTGCGAAAAGGTACGATTCCTCGACTTCCAGAAGGTTAAAGACGCGGAGCGGACGAAAGCGAAGGAGTTGTTTGGTACAAAGGAGGAGCCGACGGAGCTGGCACAGAGCATCATCAAGACGCGGTCGAACCGAGGATTTGGTGCTGGTGTGCCCAGCGTCAATGGCGCTGCGAAGGGAGGGAAACTCAAGACGACGGAAGCAGAGAAGAAGAGGTTTCAGGTTTTGGTGCAGAATGCGAAGACGTTGGCGGAGGTGCAAAAGCTGGAGAAGATGTTCAACGAGGGCAGACTTCCTGCAGGCGTCATGGACGGCGACACCATGGACGAAACCTGAGAGTGCTGCTGAGGCAATCTCATCTCTCACCACGGGCAGAAGTGAGCTCCACACAAGAGACTCGATCACATCAGAAGCAAAGGCAACACGTCCAGCGCAAAACAAGGCGCCGCTTCGAGGGCACCGCTTCGAGCATGTGTCGAGTTGGAAAAAGGGCAAAGGTAGTCGGCAACGCCGTTTAGCAAGTAATGCAAAACACTGATGATATCTCTAGATTGCGAACCTTCTCCATTTACGCTGCGAGCGCTCTATTCAATGATACCCAAGGCTTTTGCCTACCCAAAGAAACCCTGTTCTACAATCCGGATCTCCTTGCCATCCGATGGAGAAAGAACCTTCGTACTGTTACAACCAGTTGCACCCCCTTCTATTCCTACAGAATGCCCCGTCAAAACGCCCGCTGAAAGACCAGATGCACCACCACCACCACCTTCTTACCTCACAGCTTCGTATCCCCTCCCTTCTTCGCGTCCAAATCTCCAGTGCTCTCCTCCGTCACCGTGGTCCTCGACAAACTATCCTCACTCATCTTGCTCGTGCCCCCAATACCAGGCCTCGGACTCCCACCAACTGCAGTCTGACTCGGATCCATCAACGCCCTCATCTCAACACTATCCGACCCCTGCCGACTCCCCACCGCATGATATCCCCCTCCACCGCCGCCCGGACCCAACGAGTTCTTGAAGTTATCGCTCAACTTCCGTCCATGCGCCATGACACGATCGATCTTGGAAGAATGCGGCGATGGTCCGCTCCGCGGTTGCGTGAACTGTTCGAAAGTCGGGAAGTTGGGGGCGTGGTTGTAGGCGGAGGGAGGGCGTTCGGCGAAGTTGCCGCTCGGGGAGGAGTTGAGAGGTTGCAGGCGGGCGTAGAGTTGCTCGGCGTCGCGGAGGGCTTTTTCGCGGACGAAGCGTTCCCTATCAGACAAATCGTCAGTGTGTGAAGAGGGTGAAAGGGTTTGGGTAGGAGCGGCCTTACTGCTCAGGGTTCAAACCCGGGATGTTTATCTCTTCGCGGCGAAAGTTTGTCGGACTGCTCTGTTTGCATGCCATATCAGCATCACCACTACCACCACCACCACTTCAAGAAAAGCGAAAGACTCCTTACAATGACCAACGCCTTCCTAGGCCCCTCACCCTCCTCCTCATCCCGCACCGCACAGCACGAAAACATCCTCCTGAAGCACTCGCCGACTTTGGTCCCAAAGCTCTTCCGGCTCTCGTGGATTTGCGGCTGCGTTTGTATTTGGTTTTCCATCCTGGAAAGAAAGCCAGATCGGAAGAACAACCTTTCTCGCTGTTTTTCAAATATAGCCGCTTCTTCGTGTCTGTCTTGTCTTGCTCGATTCGGCGGCTTTTTTGCCCTCCCGAACGAACCCTTGCCTCTGACTCGCTGGCTTGCTGCAGAGAGCTATAAGACTGTCTTGTTATGCTGGTAGGTGGTGTCTGTCTGTCTGGCTGTCTGTCTGACCCGCGTGGATGCGTGGCTTGTTCTTTTTTCAGAGGAGGGGTGGAAGTATGTCCAGTCGTGCGGAATCTCGATCCGTGAGATAATTGTCTTGCTTGATAAGTCCAGATCCAATTCGATGCTGCTTGTCTGGCTTGAATGGAGTGACAAAAGACGGACGGGCGGTCGGTATCTCGAGTGTAGGTGCAGTATGCAAAGTGTATATAAGAAAGCGTCAATCAACCCGACGACGACGAGCACAATACGGCCATTGAATGCTCAAGTCGTCGACAATACATAGAAGTATAATAGCAGTCTTCAAAAGCAGTCAAAAAGAGTTCGGCAACCAAAGCACGAAATGACACCACACCAGTGCTGACATGGTGCCACGCGATCTCATCAGCGACCTTTGTCTCTCCTCGCATGGGCAAGGTCGCTCGTAGCGATCAGTTGCACATTCTTTTCTGCTATTGCATTCCAGCTGGGGGGGGGGGGGGCCTTGTGTGCACTGACTGACTGACAGATATGGCGTGTCGTGAGCGATTCATGCACTTGCAGGTGTTATTAAGCGATCTTCTTACTTGTGGTTCCATATGGCGATGAAACGTGAGATGCTGCTTTGGTTGGAGATGGGATTGGTGAGGTTGGGTTTCGTTCTAGAAGAGGGAGATCTGGTGCGTGGGATGGGATGATGCTGGGATGTAGCGATGTCTCAACGTCATTCATTTATTTTGCGATTTTCGTGACGATGCCGTTTCATAGATACCTTGCGACGATGTGGTGAGCTAGATGCAGCCGAATATTACGCCACAGAAAAGGGACACTTTCGAACACGCAGTTTGCATACGTGATGAGATTGATTTCCCTGCCGGCACTTTCTCAGGCCCCCGTCTGTGTCACATGCCTTGCATGCACCTCGCACGAACGCGTCGCGCGCCAGCACGAACTGCCGTTTCACAATCGCTGCCGTAGCACCCTGAAACCTGCAGTGACTGCGTAAAAGGCATGAGCCCGTTCCCGATGCAACGGTCTGCGGTCCTCACCGCAGCATATAAGGATGCGTCCGTTCCTGCAGCAACTCGCAAGGCAGTCCCAACTTGTCGAGAGCCTTATTTCGGCTTTCGATATATGGGTGAGCCTCCTGCGTTGGTTGAGAAATGGATAGATCTTTTCGAGATGTCGTGCTTATTTGGGGTAGTCCTTGAGGTGGTAGCTCTTCAGCTTGACGAACTGATCGAAACCGAACCGCGAGAGGGTCTGGCCTTTGCCGCTGTCTTTCCAGCCAACCCATGCGAGATCTGGAGCAGGGAAGTCGGCTCGGTTGACGAAGACGGTTCCTGCTTCGACATCACCAGCGAGCTCGTGGCCTTTCGCGACATCCTTGGTCCAGATGGAGGCCGTGAGACCGAATTGGTTATCGTTCATGAATTCGATGGCTTGTGCGTCGGATTTGACACTCATAACGGGAATGATTGGGCCGAACGTCTCATCTTGTATCACTTGCATGTCTTGCTTGACGTTGGTGAGGAGCTTTGGCGCCACAAAGTTACCATCTGATGGTGGGTTCTTGAACGTGGCGTTTTCTGGCGTTGAGTCTTTTGCGCCTTGTTTGAGAGCTTCGTCCACGTGTTCTTGGATGCGTTTGGCCGCTGCTTTGCTGATGACCGGACCGACGTGAGTGTTCTTGTCTGAAGGGTCGCCAAGTTTGTAGTTGGCGAGGACCTTCTGTACTGCCTTGACGAAATCATCGTGCACCTTCTCATGCACGTAGACTCGCTCCAGACTGCAGCATGATTGACCAGAGTTGAAGACGGCACCGTCCACAATCTCGTCAGCTGCCCAATCCAGATCAACGTCTTCACGAACGTAAGCTGGGTCTTTGCCACCCAGTTCCAGTCCAACGCGGCAGTCCACCCTACCAGCAGCTGCTTTCTGTACGGCAAGACCTCCAGCAACAGAGCCAGTAAAGCAGACCAGCTGAATTTCAGGAGCCTGCACCAGTTTCTCGATCTTGCCAAAGTCACCACAGTGGAAGTATTGGATGACGTCCTTGTCAAGGCCAGCCTCGACGAACGCCTTTTGCACCTGCTCTGCAATGGTTGGTGTTTGAGGAGATGGCTTCAAAATGACACTGTCGCCAGCAAGCAGTGCAGGTACCAGGGAGTTGACAAGCGTCAAGTATGGGTACTAATGATGAGACGTCAGTGATTGATCGTCGACTTGGGTTCAACATACGAGATACTCACGTTCCATGGGAACAGAATGAGGACCGGTCCAAGTGGGCATTTGCGAATATATCGTTTGAAGCCGTCTTGAGGCTCGCCAGGAGTATCATCGAGAGCCTCGTTGCTGATCTTAAGCAAGTACTCGCCTCTCGCCACTGCAGTCGTTACTTCCTTGGCGGTGAAGGCAATGGGTCGTCCCATCTGCTCAGTGATCTCCTTGGCCAGCTCATCTTGTCTGTCGGTGATGTTCTGAAGAGCTTTCTTGACAATCTTCTGGCGCTCCTCCAGTGGCGTTTTGATGTACTTTAGGAAGGCCTTCTTCGCTATCTTGGGGATCTCCGCAAGTTCAGCGTCTGTTGGGCCATTGCGTTCGACAACGGGCTTGTTGGTCGTGGGCGAGATGGTGGTAATCTTCTCTGCCATGGTCGGATCTGAATATTTGGAGTCTCAGTACACTTTCCAATCGCAGCATGTGATGGCGTGCAAGTGAAAGTGTTTTCCGCCGCTGTCGGACGCGGACGAAGCTGGCCCCGAAAGTCAAGAACGATTTTTGACGTCACCTGGCCGGAGCTCACCAACCGATTCTGGTGCAACACTCCCGCCTCTCCCGTGCCATCCACGAAAGATCTTGATTGTCTGTAGCCGCGACATCCCTAGCCTCACTTCCAAAAGATCATTGACTCGCCTCCCATCCCTTCGTTTCAGCAGCCTTCCTACAGCTAACCACTCGCAATTGGCCCCAAAACAAGACAACAACCCAGAGCCAATGCGCTAAGACGCGACTAAACAATGCTTCCCATGCAGCGAGCCCTGCAAGGCTCAGCTCGCTCCCTCCTCAAGCACACGACCAAGGGCGCCGCCAATGCCTTCGTCAAGCCGTCTTCGAGACTTGCGATACGATCGTTCACCTACCAGTCCGCCCAGCCCCTGCCACGCATCGTACGACGAAGCCTGCAACGGCCGACCGCGAAATGTATACAAACACGCTTCCAATCAACAGAGGTTCCGGCCAAGGCGAAGTCCCGCATCGTTCACTATGCCTATAAAACGTTGGCAACTCTGGGTCTATTCATCGTTATGAGCGGTGGCCTAGTGGTTGCCTTCTTCATATTCGATGCCACGACATACCGAGAGGACCCCGAAACCGTTGACTTGTCAGTATCGGAGCTGGCATTGAACCCACGAAAAGGAGGCCCAAAGAACCTGCCGATCGCAGAGTACTTCGTCGACGATGAGGAAGATGAGGGCATGCGAGAGGCGAAACACAAGCCAAAGCTGGTCATCCTGGGGACGGGATGGGGTAGCGTTGCGCTGCTCAAGGCATTGATACCTGGGGAATACCACGTCACGGTTGTGTCGCCCTCAAACCATTTCTTGTTCACGCCAATGCTACCTTCTGCGACTGTGGGCACTTTGGAGTTTCGATCTTTGGTAGAACCTATCCGCAAAATCATTCGACGAGTCAAGGGACACTTTTTGAAAGCGTCTGCTATGGACGTGGACTTCAGCAACAAGCTTGTCGAAGTTGAGTCGCAAGACGCCACAGGTGCAAAACAAAGATTCTACGTCCCGTATGACAAGTTGATCATTGGCGTGGGATCAACTACCAACCCGCACGGCGTGAAGGGTCTCGAGCACTGCCATTTCCTCAAGGATATCACCGATGCCCGCAGAATTCGAAATGCTGTCATTCGAAACCTTGAAGTCGCTTCCTTGCCCACCACACCGGATGAGGAGCGAAGGCGACTTCTTTCTTTCGTCGTTTCTGGGGGTGGCCCAACTGGTGTCGAATTCGCCGCAGAGCTTTACGATATGCTGAACGAAGATCTGACCAAGTTCTATCCAAGGCTGCTGCGAAACGAGATCTCAGTGCATGTCATCCAGTCTAGAGGACACATTCTCAACACGTACGATGAAGCTCTCAGCAAGTATGCGGAGGACCGACTAGCTCACGACAATGTGGACGTCCAGACGAACGCACGTGTGAAGGAGGTCAAAACCGACAGTATTTTATATACCCAGAAGGACAGCGAAGGCCATACTGTGACGAAAGAGCTTCCTATGGGGTTCTGTCTCTGGTCGACTGGCGTTTCGCAAACCGAGTTCTCTCAAAACCTGGCGAAGAAGTTTGAGAATCAGAACAATCGCCATGCGTTGGAGACTGACACCCACCTTCGTCTGGCAGGAGCACCCCTAGGAGACGTCTATGCCATCGGCGATTGCAGTACTGTCCAAAATAATGTATCCGATCACATCATCACTTTCCTGCGAACGCTCGCATGGGAGAAGGGTAAGGACCCAGAGACGATGAAGATCACCTATCCTCAGTGGTGCGAAGTTGCAAAGCGTGTGAAGACTCGATTCCCGCAAGCGAACGACCATCTTCGACGACTTGGCAAGCTCTTCGAGCAGTACGACAAGGATAAGAGCGGCAGTCTTGATTTCGGCGAACTTAGCGAGCTGCTCAAGCAAATCGACAGCAAGCTCACTTCCCTCCCAGCGACAGCTCAGCGCGCCAATCAGCAGGGAGTGTACCTTGGACGCAAACTGAACAAGCTTGCACAGGCTGAAATGGGCATGAAGCTGAACGATATTCTCGATGGCGATGTCGATGAAGCGGTTTACAAGGCGTTCGAGTACAAGCACATGGGCAGTTTGGCGTACATTGGCAACGCTGCGATCTTCGACTTCAACGGTCTGGGATGGGGAGGCGGTCTTCTCGCAGTATACCTGTGGCGATCCATCTACTTCGCCCAGAGCGTCAGTCTTCGAACACGTATGCTATTGGCGATGGACTGGAGTAAGCGGGCACTTTTTGGCAGAGGTGAGTTCATTGAAGTGCTTTGAGAGAGAGCTTTGCTAACATCGACGCAGATATGATGAACTACTAAACAGGAGATACACGGCATTCAAAGGGTATGTACAGTGACCTGTAGAGTTTAGAGCAGCGGCGTTTGGGCGCCACAGATCCTAAATCAGCCTACGTGCATATTACAGTCTTCGACGCGCGTCATTCGCTTTCTATATACCCTTCATGAGCCCATCTGACTTCGACTCTCCCGATCACTAGTGACCCGGGGAGGGAAGTCGCCCCTACGGATTCAACTGGTTACGACCCTGTCGTCCAAACTGCTCTCCGCATTATAAGGCAAAGACTTGGTACCACAGCCGTCCCTACGCTACCCAAGCCTTCCAAGACCATAGCTAGCTTGGCTGGCGATGATCATCCGCCATGATCGACCGGCTTCCTTGCAACATTAGGCAAGTCAAACAATGCTCAGAAAATGAGGTACTACGTACATAGCCAGTCATAATCACTGCATTCCGCATGCTGTTGTACGATTGCCTAACTTGTACACCCTATAGGCAGTCAGCGGCTTTTCGTGGCTACGCTTGCCAATGCCCGAAGCGGTCGATCGAGGATGATCTTTGCTCCATCTCGAAGGGTATAGCGAAAGGCGAGCAATATGAGTCGAGGACCTGCAGTGGTCTTGTTGCATCAGCTAATGTGTCGGTGGACGACGACGATACTTTCCTGAAAGATGTCTCGATGCTCAGCCTTGTGGTGCTGGACTTGGGTATAAAGAGTGCCGTTCTGGCGCTGTTGAGGATATCTCTTCGATAGGAAGAAACATCTTAGTTCTATCATCATGAAGGTTAGCCAATACTCATCCATAGCCAAAATATCTACGAGCTGACGCAGACCAGTCCTTCGTCCTCGCACCAACACTGCTGGCCCTCGCACTCTCAACAACCGCCCATCCCACGGAGACAAAACGTTCCGGCTCTCCCCTAGCCCAATCCCAAGCCCAATCCCGCCTCGAATCCGCCGGCATCTACGCCGTCTCCTCAGGCGGCTGCACCACCAAGTCCAACCCAAAGTGCACATCCTACGAAGGCATCCTCTCCGGCACCGTCGACGGCGCCATCACGCTCAAAGGCGCCTGCGGCTGCGACGTGACCGTCACCGGAGGCACCGAGACCGGCCATGCGTCTGGGACGTACAGCCATGGCAATGGGTACAAGCTGGATTTCCGGAAGAACACTGCTCTGAACAACTATGTCACGAATAGCTTTACCAGGATCGGGAATCGGGGCGACGGGTATCCGCAGTGGCAGTCTGCGGCGGGGAATATCTATTGTGTGAGTTGCGGTCCCTCGGTTGTTGTGTTTTTGTGAGCTATTAAAGCTGACGATGTGTCGTGCAGGACGAGGGCAATCACTGGGATGTGCTGTATTACTAGGTCAGCAGAGGCGACGTGTCCATGATAATAGCAGATCAACAAGCCGTACGTTTTCATCAAAGCATAAAACCCTGCAGCTTCTGCTGTCTTCGCATGAGGTTTGCGCGCAACTTGTCTCACGGCCGGTGCTCGCGTCCAAGCCACCTCACAACTGTACTGAACATCTCTGTCCACCGCGCTTCTGGAGATGCGGCCAGCATTGCAGTATTGCGGTCGAGGAATGGCATGCTTGGGCACAGAGAGAAGAGCGTAGCGCGTTGACTTAGAATGGGGTCGAGCCTCCATCAGAAAAGAGGTAGTCTCTACAGGATTAATTGCCTCCGTTCGTGTCTATGTGGCAAGGGTTTATTGACGGATGGTAGTACTCTCAGACGATTTCTCAGATCGCAAGGCTGCAACACGGCTGGCACATCGCCAGCCAGCTCAAACGAGATTGGTAACGACGCTACTTACTGCTGAGATGTTTTCTGAACATCTGGTTCCTCCACTTGCAAATAATTTGCTGGTTTCATCCATTGCTTGAACCCTGCCGCGACCATGAGCGGTGTCTGCTGGCGTAACATCCACAGCGAACAGAGCAGCGGCTAAGTACTTTTCTGTAAGTTTGCCCTTACGCACGCTCAACAAGCAGATACGACGCACCATCGTTACTATGGAAAATCCAACGGGGGTCTTACTAATCTCACATCACACAAGCTACTGATGTGTAAGGGAGACGAAGGAGCCTGGTCCGCTAGTTGCTCGCAAATTCCAACACTCTGAGCTAGCGCCTTACCAAGTGTATTCCTTATGATGTCGTTCCGGACTTTAAGTCAGAGTTGCGCACTTCATATATCACTAGAATCACGTCCTTCGCTTGCTGTTGAAGGAAGGTGGCGTTCAATAACGAGAATGTCGCCAAAAGAGCCTACGACGCAGATCCTGCTTTTCTCGCAGCCTCGAACGGGATGTCATCTGCTCGAGCGCATGCTGTCGAAACAGTTGCGCATACATACGTACTTGCAGCATCCGTTCGGCATATAGGGACAGTACCCAAGGCTGTGGTTGTTGGCTGAGCCTTTTGTGGAGATTTCGGGGGATCTAAGGCAGAAACATGAAGTGCAGATGCAGAAAGGGGTGAAACTGTGGCGAGAGACACTTGCAAAACCCCAGAGCAAGGTAAGTATCGTACAAATGCATGTCTTCACCGAATTTCGAACTGACACTTTTGCAGGAGAAGGCCATCTACGTCCACTTCCATTCCTTATTCGCACTAAAACCTGATGTCGTATATGAATATCTCACCAATGGACCCGCCGTTCAGCCCCAATCGATACGAAACCCGCTCTCAGTCCCAGACGAGTTTCTTCTGCGGAAGGGAACAGTACCTCTCCTCACAATCCGCAATCCTCGCCTTCAAGTCCCCTCCCTATGTCGTGTCTCTAGAGACACATTACCCGGCGGCGTCGGACGAATAGACACCTTAGCCTCAGCGACCGGGCACTGCAACAGATCACTCTACGACTGGTACTTATCAAACGGCATCCAGCCTCTCGTCGTCGACGCAGACGACTACATGTCCAGCGAGGCGTTCGTCCGGCATCTATGCGCGGCTCGCGGTTTGAATCCGGACGAGGCGTTGATCAAATGGGACAAAACGAATCGAGACCTGGATATGAACACGATCGAGAAGAACCATACCGCGATTCAGAAGACTTTGTTCGCGTCGCAGGGTCCTGAGGCGAGGAGGGCGTCTCAGAATGTGGATCTGGAGGCTGAGGAGAGAGGTTGGGATGAGGAGTTTGGCAGGGAAGGTGCACAGCTGGTGAGAGATGTGGTGAAGGCGGTTGGGGCGGATTATGAGTATTTGAGGGAGAGACGGCTGAGATTTCCGGGATCAAAGCTGTAGCGGCCTCGACGAGAGCTGTAGCTTTCGCAAGTGCAACTGCGCATTCTATCGCTGCGTGGCCAAGGCCGCGGAGAGGAAGGAGAGCTCTTTGCTCCTCCTGTGCTGCATCATGTCTTGCCACTGCGGCACAGTAGTGAGCTCCATGTATCTATCAGGCACGGTTTTACTCGCGCTTCGCTGTCAATCAAACATCTGAGGCCTCTTGCTGGTCCTAGCTCCAGAAACGAGCCAAAGGCTTGAATCTTGGAAGAGTCTAAACCTCCAGTGATTACAGTGTCAAGACCACAATAACGTAATACCACCATTCAGAATCCTCTCCATGGCAATCACATGCGGCCAACTCCTCAACGGAGGCGAAAGCCTAGTCTTCAGCACAGAGAACGGGATATACCTCTCGAACAGAATAAACAACCAAACCTACGAAGCACCAACACGCCAACTAAATCTCAAGCTTACAACATACCTCGAAATCCTCGAGGAGCAACAACTCGCACTGGCTTTGGCCGACGGTACTTTGTACGCCTTCCCACTAGAAGGGCTATTGCTGGATGGGGCTCTTTCTTCGCGCCTGAAACGTGGGAAAAGGGTTTGTCACTGCAATTATATGGCCATTGGGATCATTGACCGGGGAAATATCGGTATGCTGCGTCAAATCGTCCGCTGCAGAGTCGTCTATCAAGATTTTTGAGCTGCCAGAGGAGAACGTAGACTTTGGTGAAGAGGCGGTGTGGAGCAGGGTACTTTTGGGAGAAGTGGCCCTCCTTCAACTACGGAAACAGGTCTCTGTGCCTGCAAAGGTCGACAGGATTTTCTTCACGGGCAGCAGCAGGGTCTATCTGGAGACCAATATGGGCCTCCAGATCTTGGCCCTTGACACGGTCGAGATCAGGCCATTGCTCGATGCTTCTGATGCGAGGACTCAGCTCGATGGCAAAGACAGCAAAGGCCCAGTCTACACAGAATTCACCACCGACGGCTTGCTCTTGAGCTGCTCCGATATATCAATCTACATCGACCACGATGGACGCCGAGCACGGGAAGATTGGAAAATCGAGTGGAACGAACCTTTCACGGCTGCCGTTACATTGATGGAAATGTGGATAGTTGCTTTCAGTCAGACTGGTGTTGAGGCTCGAGATATCGACACAGGTACGGTTGTGTTCTCGAGGGAATATGGAAAGTCCAGGCTACTGAAACGAAGAATGGATGAGGTGAGTGGGTCCCTGATGGTGGGACGTGTACTTGAGCTGACTTGTCGCTGTTGCGGATCTTGTTCTCATACGAGGATGAAGAAAACTGTTCTGTCATCGCCTTGTTGCGTCTTCAAGAGAATCAAAACTCCCCTGGATTGCAAGCGAGCAGCGGGCTAGATATCTCTGAGTTGCTGAGAGTGGATGTCAGAGCATTAGGATCAGCGTGATGGTTCCTACAGCGAAGCATTCCACGGTCCTTCATGTTTGACTCACGGCCTTTGTTATCGCTGGAGATCGGTCAATGCAGTTTCCAGCCCAACATGCTTCATTTGCGTACCCCTGAGCGCCGTTCAGAGACTACAAGCTCGACAGTTCCGTTCCATGCTTAGCCACCCATTCCTTCTCAATCCATTCTGCGAGCATGCCCGCCGTAAGCCCCTTATCCCGTCGCCGCGTTGCACAGGTTTGTGAAGATCGTCCCACGGCCTCGATTGATCTGTGCAAATCTCCTCCGTAGCTGTAATTTGTGCACATGAATGTACACTCCACTTCCTCGCCCCCACTTGTAACCAGCATGTTTCTTCAACTGCCCTGCTTGCGGCTGCCTGGACTTTCGTTTGATTTCTCCATCGCCGTGAAGTTTGCGCTCGTGATGAGGCCTCCAGTGGTCCCCCGGAAGGAGCAAACGCAGCTGAGAGCGTTGAGTGCAACGCCGCGGAATACGAGTGGGTCGGTCTGTAGAGGTATCACTTCGCCGCCGTTGGTAGGTTGGAACCAGAGTTTTCGCTGTAATTTGATTGATCCTTTGATGGTGTCGCGGTATGTCTTGCTAACTCGCTGTAATTGGAGGAGAGTGCATTCGCCGACTTCGAGGAGAATCGCCTCAAGAAGTTCGACTGTCTCGAATACTCGGTTGGTGGCTGTGCCGTCGGCGTGCGATGGCGACTGTGAGATGTTAGTGTGGGATTGGGGATTGTAGGTAAGGGCAGGCTCACACTGGCGTCCATGACGAGGGCGTGGTTTGGGTCAACTGATGTTGAGTGTGAGAAGAGAAGAGGTCAATGAGATGTTTGGGGCGGGGTAAATCTCAGCTTGGCCTGTGCATTACGCTAAGCTGTGATCTGCATGTGATTTTGATGCAAACGGGACTGATTGCGAGGTACGCAATTCAAGACGTCACTGTTATCTGCCAAAAGCTACCTCTCTGTTCTTTCAATGCATTCCTATGCTCTCTGCTCCTCTACACCACCTCTTAACTTTCTCTCATCAGTCCTCTGTGAGCGACCCCTGCATTCTTATCGCACGCCGAGGCTTCTTCTCCCCACCACTGTACACGACAAACCAGATACCTGCCTTAATCTCGTGTTTGATCTTGTCGACGAGTTCGCTCGATGTAGTTCCGGCCGCATAGTCCTGGGGGTCGACAACAGAAAGGATGGGGAAGTAGGCGGCACCGACATGGAGTATCTTAGTGCTCCTGAAGCCTCCGTGACTGATCAGTTGCATCCCTCGCCAACTACCTCCCTGGAGCCTCGTCACGTCGTGGGTGAAATGAATGACGAGTTTATGGATGCTGGATGTCCACTCTGTGATGGAGAAAGGTGTTCCTGGGTCGTTCTCCTGCGCGACTAAAGCGTTGGCGCTGCGAAAGAAGAGTGGGTTGACCTCCACCTCTCCATCGGTCTCCAGTTGCGGCAGCAACCAGAGAGCACGTTGCAGCTTCTTCGAGGACTTGATGGTGTTCTTGAAGACCGAATTGACTCGCTGAGAGAGCAGAACGGTCTTCACATCGTCGACCTCGAGGATGATCATCTCGAAGAGCTCGGCAGTATCGAAGACTTGCATGGACGAGGCGGCAGCAGCTTGACGACGCTGTGAGATGTTAGCTCGAGGTAGCCGAGAGCGATAGATTTGGAACTTACTGTAGTGACCATCTTTGCGATGGTGAGCTGGAGACAGTGGTGTGGTGCGAGGGTGCGACAGACACTGTTCGTTGTACAGCTCGGGGACGGTGATGGTGGGTGTGCGAAGCTGCGACGATACACCGCAAGTGCGCGGTCGAAGAGAGGTGGTGCCTCTGCGGTGTCGCGACTGGCGCTCTTTGTTGTGGAGCTAAGGCAGAGAGATGGCGGATTCGTGAGGTTGTAGTGGACGCTGTTCAGAGTGCAGGTGAGCGGAGAGAGGGAAGACGGCACAGCGAACTTTAAGTTCGGCCTTTGGATGTTTTGAGTCTTGGCATTCACATGCTAGCAGCTACGGAAAGTGACGAAATTCACTTCGAGTGATTCGTCCTTCGTCTCCTAGGAAACAAGCGTGAGCGTCCTCTCTTGCTTCTCACGCTTCGACCCTTTGCAATCATCTCCATGAGCTCGTGTCCTACCAATTCTCCTACCCATACCGACCGCGTAACAGTCACCTCTCACTAACCACATCTTCCAGTCTCCAGCTAGGCTTCTCGAGAACCTCCTTCACCCGCTCCACCAGCATTCCCATCGTCGCCGGCCCCGGAACTTGAAACTCCTCACACGACCAGAGATCCCCCGAGCGCTTAAACATCATGACGTCGACGTTCAAAGATTCCTGCATGTGGTTCGCAACGAGCATGCGCTGCCAGCTGCCTGGCGGGAGCAGGTTCTTGATATTGTCGTCGTAGAAGCGAACCCAGAATTTCCCTGAGGAGTAAACAAGGACCCTGCACAGGACGTGGCCGTTTTGAGAGAACTCGAAATGTTGGCAGCTGGTGTAGGAGAGGCCGTAGGCTGCTGGGAAGAGCAGCGGGTTGAGGAGGAACGGGTCATTCTGACTCTCTTCCTGGCCAGGCATCGAGTTCGTGTCCTGACTCTTGTCCCGCACGGCTGTCGGCCGGAACCACAGCTTCTCCTGCAACATGATCGAATCACCGATCGTCGCCTTCCAACTCGTACTGACACGTTGCGCCAGCAGCACCGTCTTCATATCGGCCTCGAGAAGAATTGCTTCAAGCAGCTCGACCGTATTGAGCACATGAGTCACTGCAGACATGTTCGTCTCAGATTTCTTGAAGATCATCAGTACTCGTGCCGTACATTATCCATGAATGCCTCACCTCATCCGCCATGACCGCCGGAGAGATGACAGAAGTTGTTCGGTGTTGTTGATGGTGGTGTCAAGATGAAGCAGCTGCGAATTCGACTGGAAATAACAACCGGCCAAGTCTTGGCAGTCACATGTGTGTGCGCTTCTCACGCCGTGTGTACGAGAGCTCTTGAAAGACGGCCGATTGAAGCTTCAGGGAAACAAGAGCAAGACAACTTTGGTCAATCGACACACGATCTACATTTTGCTTCTGTCTAAAACAGCATCGCCACAATCCTCGAATGTGAACATCGACATCCATCAAGCAACGCTCCTTCACATGTCAAAGCCATTCCACGCCTCCATAACCTCCGGAATTACCTCCGCAAGCTTGGCGGCGGTAGTGCCAACCGGACAGTGGATCTTCCGCGGCACTGCCCTCGCCGCAGCGACCCAACCGTGTACATCATCCGAATTGTGAGACCACCGAAGGTGCAAGGTGACCGGGCCTTTGGCGATGATAATCCTCTCCCAGCTTCCACCATGCATCTTCTCGATACCAGGATTGGCAAACACAGCATTCACGGCGACGGCTGGTGTGTGGTTGATGCCAATGACTCCTTGCATATCGAACTGCTGCCACTCACGGCGAACTGCAGCCGGAAATGCCTTCTGGATCAAGAATGGCCGGCAAGCACCTTTTCTTGACGGAAGGAGAAAGTGTGGATTGAACTCGATGGTTTCTTGGTCACTCGAACGAACGGTGGTCGGAACAGGCGGCAAGAACCACAACTTGCGCTGCAGCGCTCGGCTGGCGCTGATGATGCCCAAGAAAGTCTTGTTGACTTTTGCGGCGAACAGGACATTCTTCTCATCGACATCAAGAAAGATCTTGACGAAGAGCTCGTGGATGTGGAAAACCCTCTCAGCAGAGCTGAAAGTTGTCTCGGAGTCCTGGAACGTGGTCAGCGTGAGGACATTGTGCACCGCACCGAACTGTATTGTGGAGAGATGGTACTCACGACAGCTTCAGTCTCAGACGTGGACTCCGGGCGCTGCTCAGCGCTCGGGGTGAACAGGACACCACCATCGTCTTCCGTATTCTGCGTGAAGGCGGTCAGCGTGAAGGCTTGCACTCTGCGGCGGAGGGGGTGGAAACTCACCGAAGCCATGATGATGGATGAAGATCGTATGTGAGCTCAAGTTGACTTCATTGCTTGAAGCAGTGGGCGTGGCCGCGGAGTTTGTGTTGAGGTTGGATGATGGTGAAGAAGACCCCTCTCCGGTAGGAAGGAGAGGACGGTATGTGTGATGTGTTGCTCCGTTGGAGCTAGTGTTTGAGGGAGAGAAGTGGGATGTAAAACATCAAAAAGGGAGCGGTTGAGGCGGTGTTGGTGTCGGAAGGAGGACGAGGAAGCAAGTGCGGAAGATAAACAGAAAAGCCGCAGCAAAAGCAAGGGCCACGTCTCCAAGCGAGAGCGAACGGGCAACGACCACGACCACCTATGAAGGGAAGGAGACAAGTTCAAACGTTCATCTGGATGCAACTTTCACACTGCTTATCGCAACTGTCATTATCATCTTGTTGTTTGTTCCAGCCAAGCTGCATACTCGCCTGCAGTCTTGAAGGCCGCCGATACAGCCCCTTTTCAAAACTCCACCAGCGCCATGCTCGCCATGTCCGTTTCCACCAAACTCAGGTATTGATCCAGATATCCTGGTATGCTGGCTTGATAATTACGACTTATGCTTCCCAAACCCAAAATGGTGCTTCTTCTTCTCCTTTTTCTCTGGATCCTTTGTGAGCTTCGCCCCGCTGTTGGCTTTGCCTGCAGTGGTACTCTGCGGCTGGCCATTTGCGCTTCCGTTCAGGTTGATGGCTCCCATCGCGTGTGTCGGCGGTGCAGGTGAAGCGACCTTCTGTTGTGGTTGAGGCGGCGGCTGCGCTGGTCTTGGTTGAGGATCTGCCTCGAACAGATGTCGTGGTGCCTGTGGTTTGGGCATCTCCATCGGAATGTTCAGCCTTCGCTTGTCTGTTGATAAGTCTCCCACCTGCCGAATGAAGAGTCCTGGTGTCAACATGTGTGATGTCGTCAGGTAAACCTCCCTATTGGTCGCCTTTCCAACGTTGTAACAAGCCCTTGCCTCAGAGTATGTTGCACCTCCCGCCATGAAGACAACCACCCGCTGCCGGTTCTCGGTGCTGACATTCGCGCGAGTCTTAGCCCAGGTAGGCTTGGCTGAGCGTAGTGATGTAGCTGACTCCATTCTCATTTCTGTGCCCATGTCCAACGGTGGTTTGGTGTACGGGAATGCTGTTGCGTCAAGGGTGTTGCTCGCATGCGCCTCGAGCAGATTTTGCAGCGCAGGCTCAAATCGACTCAATGCATACTCTTCCATCGTTGTCGCTGGAGGCGGTTTCTGTGGGAATATAGGCAGTGGCCCAGGTCTTGAGTCCTTCAAGTTCCTGGATGTTCGTGCACCAACAAGCTCGAGGTTGTGGATCTTCTCCGAGTCTTGTGGGGGTAACTGTGCGTGAGCGAGGAGCTTCTGCAGATCAGCAGGTATTAAGCCGTCTTTGTAAAGCAAGAACATCATGAGCAATCGTAACCGGTCAGGAGGCTGAATGTCATCTTCGTCCAGCATTCGAATGACTTGATCCGCAATGCCTTTGGGCTTCTTGTAGTCTTCGTCCAGTCCGGTGGCGAGAATCTGAAAATGATCAGCTTGGGTAAATCTCTTACCTCGTCGATGCAACTCACCTGCTCCACAGATGCCAAATCTGCCAGCTTGAACTTTTGAAATCTGTTCATACTCTCCTGTGCCATGCTTAGATGCAGCGCATAGGCCTCCTTCAGCTCCTGAAATTGTGGGAGGCCTGCCAACATGTCCTTGATCGCATTCAAGCTGGTTGCGTCTTCAGTCTTAGTGAAGTTGGGATTGTCCTTGATAAACCTCTGGAAATCTGCCATGAGTTTGTCGATCGTGTCCTTCATGTGTCTGTGCCTGTTCTCCACCCAGATCTTATCCTTCTCCGTGATCTCTACGTCTTTTTCTTCCTGATCGTGTTGCCCATCGTTGATGACGGTCTTGTACGAAAGCTTGTCGCCTTCTTTGATTGGTAAAAGATCGTGCGCCATTGCTTGGTAGGTGAACTCGTGAAGCAGCGGGGCAAAGAGGTCTATCGATCGATCGACAATGTACAATGCGCCTCGCGGTCTGGTGGTCTGAGGAGGGAAGTCCTCGTGGAACTTGGCGTAAAGATCCAGCTCGTCCTGCACAAATCTTGCGAGGTGCGAGCAGAGGATGCTGGCTTCGTGGCTGGGGGCCTTGGGTCGGTAGTAACGAATGGTAGGGTACTCTCCAAGCGCAACACATACACCAACCACCTTGTCTACTCAGCAGTTGTCTCCATATCATTCTCGATGTTCTCACCTTCTGAGCTATATCTTCCATGTGCTGCCTGACCAGATTGTTGCAGGCAGGATGGAAGAGCACTGGGAAGCTCCATGGATCTCTGAACGTGACCAGATGGCTCTCTCTGGGATAGAACTCAGCGTTCAGCACCTTGAAGAGAGCAATCTGGTCGCGAACAGCAGGAGACTTGTCTATCCGGTCTCTGAGGCTCGGATGTAACACTGCCCGCTCCCTGTCAGCTCTCTCTTCAGCAGCCCTCACTTTCCTGAATACGCACAGCTCGTCCACACCAAATGCGCCTTTCTGTACTTTCTCTTCTCCAAATCCGCGAGAACGCAGTCCACAATGTGTGGCTGAGGAGTGAGGAGGTATATGGCGTCGACATCGCGGTTAATCTGGCGGCGATCGGTGATCTGCTCAATGTCTGGAGTAAGTCAGGCGAAGCTGCTGGTATGTGTTTTCGACGTTTCGAGGGGATCGCGTACTCGTAATGTTCTCGTTTAGAATCGCATCTTGGTCAATGACGTTGTCGAGCAACCGCTTGCTGTCGTGGTCAAGGACTAGGACTTTCCACTGCAGGACAATGTCAGGCCAGCTTTGAAGCTTGTGGAGGTAATTAACATACGTCGCCGCGGGTGATATGCCGTAACGTGCCCAGGAAGACTATCTTATATCAGTTCCCGAGCTTGTGCCAACTTGTCCAGCACGACTCACTCTCTCGCTGCTGGTCTATAATGGAAACCATGGTGCAGGCTGCCTTATGCGGTCGCTGGCGGGAGGAAGACGAGGTGCGCCCATCCAGGCCAAAGTTGAGCAATTGTTGCAGGGAGCAGAAGAGAAGAGGCCAGGGAGAGAGCAAGGCTAGGAAGGCAGAGGTCGGGCGTGGTTGTGGGGGAGATGTTTCACTCGGCGGGACGCTTCATGACGCTGGCCTTGGCCCTTTGCATGTGAGGTCGACACGAGCGTGGCTGTGGCTGTGGCTTGACCTTTGTGTCTATTCCGGTCACTTGGTACACCATATTCTCCCTCACTTCAGCTCTGCCTGTTTCCTGACAACACCTTCACACATTCACAGGGTGGCAATATCTCCAATCTACTCCTCGCGGCCACTACCACTTACAATGCAGAGCTTTGTAAGCTGTCGCTGTGCGATGCATCTCAATAGCGGATGCATGTGCGAGGCAAGCGATGGAGGCTCATTTCAACATATGTGCCGACGCTAATCGTGAGACGACACCGTACGAATCGGGTAGAAAAGAGCGATGCTTTCCGAACGGCGCAGCAATTGCAAGGTCATTCTATAGAACTCGCTGACGTTTAGTCTTCTTTTCAATGTTTAGGACTTGCAGGCTTAAAGAAGAATTCACTCGCTTGTATTCTAACGAAGCAGTCCCACTTACACATTCGAACTACTCCCAGGATGCCTTCAATCGATCTCACTCCCATTGGCGTCCCGGAGCCAACCACGCTTCGAGAACTTCGAACGTCCAAAATGAAGCGCCTCGGGACCGTGCTCTCTGGCATTGACAAGCGACAACGTCAGGGACAGCTCTTCGTCTCGAACCTTGGCCTACCTCAAGACGAACACGATTTGACATTCCATGGAGGAGTTGACAAAGCCATTCATCAGTACTGCTCGGATCACTACGAATACTGGCAGTCTGTGTACCCCGAGAAGGCCGCTGAAGGTGTCTTCCGACCAGGTGGCTTCGGCGAGAACCTCGTTGCGTACGGCTTCAGTGAAGAGAACGTATGTATAGGAGATTTGATTGCGATCGGCCATGGGAATGCTGGCGATGAAGACGGCACATGCGTTTTAGAAGTGAGCCTTCCACGACAACCATGCTTCAAACTCAACCAAAGGTTCGGGATTAAAAACTTCGCTCCCAAGACTCATCAGGCCGCGAAAACTGGATGGTACTACCGAGTCAAATCAGAAGGCCACATCGAGCCGGGAATGCAAATCCGCGTCATCCGCAGAACATACCCAAAGTGGTCTATTGCTAGGCTGCAATACTATGTGCACCGCGATAAGACCGACATGGATATCACGCAAGAGCTGATGGACATCGATGTTCTTGGTAAAGAGTGCCGAAACGTATTCCAGAAACGATGGCAGGAATTTGAGGAGAGCAAGAAGCCCAAAAAGGTGGAAAAGTGGCGACCATTCAAAGTCGTCGAGAAGACGAACGAGACGAGCAGAATCGTGACCCTCGTTCTACAGGCCGGAGACGATGATTCCGCGGACGCACCAGCCGTGCCTTGGAACAGCTACGCCAACATCCGACTCCCCAACGGTATCAAACGGTCCTACTCCGTGGTAGAGGGCACAACAAGCCGCTTCACCCTGGGCATCGCACGCGACGATAAAAGTCGAGGCGGCTCAACCTACATCCACGACCACCTCCACACCGGAGACTCAGTCCACGTCAGCGATTTTCAGCGGAGCATGGAACCCAACTTCATGGCCTCGCACGCCATCTACATCGTCGGCGGCATCGGCATCACCGCTTTCCTGACGATCATGAAAATCCGCAAAATCACCAACCAGACGTTCGAATTGCACTACGCTGTACGCACTGAGGACGACATCGCATTCAAATCACTTCTCGAAGAACTCGGCACAGACGTCGTCCACACGTACGCGAAAGACAAGGGCCAACGAATGGACATCGACGAGATCATACGAGAACACGTGTGGAATACCCAAGTCTTCGTCTGCGGTCCACAGCGCATGATCGACGCCGTGAAGGCAGCAGGGAAAGCAGCCGGCGTGACAGACGACGAGATCTTCTTCGAGAGTTTCGTCGCCGATACATCTGGAGATCCGTTTTCGGCTGAAGTCGTCGCTAAAGATCGAAACATCAAGGTCAAGGTTGTGTCAGGACAGTCTTTACTTCAGGTTATGCGGGACGCTGGGTTTGATATGCCGAGTTCGTGTGAGACGGGCACTTGTGGGACTTGTAGGATTAAGGTGAGGAAGGGGAGGGTTGAGCATCGAGGGACTGCTTTGACGGAGGAAGAGAAGGAGGGCGAGATGCTATGTTGTGTGTCGAGAGGGATTGGAGATATTCTTGTTGAGGATCCGGGCAGTGGGGAGGTGGAACTTCAATGAACTAGAAACGACATTTACGATATGCAACCTCTCACCGGTATATCCCTTGTAGATAGACAATATCTTCAACCTCCTCAAATCTTAATAACAATCTTCCCAACCTGCTTCCCCTCCCACAGATACTGCAACGCCTCATCCGCATCGTCCAGCGCATACGTCGAATCGATAATATCATCGAACCGGATCTTTGTCGCCTCCAGCGCAGCCACAAGATCCTGCTGATCCATTCTCGAGCCGCAGTTAATGCCCCTGTTTTGAAAAAAAGAAAATCCGTAAGCACAGTTTACCTCATCTCCCAGAACGTAAGAAATCAAAACCAAAAAAATGGGGACGGCATACCTCAAATTCACCCTCCGATCAATCAACGTCGGCAACAACCCCTCCAACTCCGCCCACCCCTGCCTCTCACTCAAATACCCCACAACACTAACCGTCCCGCCGCGTCGCGTGCACCGCAAACTCTTGACGATGGTCTGCTGGCCGCCGTTCTCCAGGACGAAGTCCACACCCACGCCGTCCGTGAGGCGCAGGACTTCCTCGTGCCAGTTGGGGTTACTAGCGTAGTTGACGGTGAGGATGGGCTCGTTCCCGGGGAATTTCTGCACGAGGGATTGCAGTTTCTTGTCGCTGGAGGAGGAGACGATGACGCGGTAGCCGGCGGCGCGGGCGAGTTTGAGGCCGAACATGGCGACGCCGCCGGTTCCTGGGGGTTGGGGATATTAGTCGTTCAAGGACCGCGATGATCGATGGGGTTCTTAGAATGTCGAACCTTGAATCAACACACTCTGCCCAATCGACAACCCCTTCAGGGCACTCCACGCCGTGACCCCCGCGCAAGGCACAATACAAGCCTCCTCCCAGGGCAGATACTCCGGCAACCTCGTCAACTTCCTCTGATCAAACACGATGTAATCCGCCAGAACCCCATCCTCGTCCGCCGCCAGCCAACTGCGCTTCACCTCCCGCCCGGTCAAGTTCTCCGTGTCGTTGATGGGAGCCGCGCGATCGCCGACTTGGAACTCGGTGACTCCAGATCCGATCGCGATGACTTCGCCTGCGGCGTCGTTGCAGAGGATGCCGTTGGGGGTCACGGGCCAGGGGTTTCCGCCGTTGGCGATGTTGGCGTCGCGGTAGTTTAAGGAGACTGCTTTCACGGCGATGAGGACGGAGAGGGTTTCGAGTGGGTATTGGATCTTTTCTTCGACGATCTTGACTTTGGGCGTTCCTGGGGTGTGGTCGTCTGTTCGACGGCCGGCGCGGCGAGTTGTTGGTTGTGCCATGATTGAATTGTGTTTGGAGCTTGGTATCCAATGCTCCAATGGGTCATTTGGGCCTTTTCAAGGAATCTTAGTTGCGATGGCATTATTAATCGTTGATTGCTCACACAAACACGAAGAGACCCTTTGAGGGGAAAAGATGCGAAAATTTAGCCTCTTCAAGGTAAGCGTCAACCTCGAGCTCTCCCAATGTTGCTGTGGATGTGAGAGCTGTTGATTGATTGCTTTGATAGGCATTTTCAGAGTCCTGTCAAGTATTTCTGTGATCCAACGAAGGAGTCTTTGCTCTTCTCACGTATTAAGCTCTGAAGTGAGCCATGGCAGAGATCAAGATCAAAGAAATAGACGTCTTCCAGGTCGACTTACCATATTCTGGGGGCGTGTATCATCTTTCTGGAGGACGAACGTACACCAGCTTTGACGCCACGATCGTGCGGATTACGACAGACAACGGCATAGAAGGCTGGGGCGAAAGTACCCCGTTTGGCTCGACTTACATCGCCGCACATGCTCGAGGTGTTCGCGCAGCGATCGAAGAAATCGCTCCTCACTTGATCGGACTGGATCCACGAAGGGTCGATCGCATCAACGATGCAATGGATGCTGCTTTAGTTGGCCATGAGTCTGCAAAGTCAGCCCTCGACATTGCGTGTTGGGACATCTTTGGAAAGTCGACAGGATTGCCGGTGTGTGAGCTGCTTGGTGGCCGGACTGAGCATGAGTTACCGATTATCTCGTCAATACACGTTGGCGATCCTGCTGCGATGCGTGTGCGGGTTGGGCGACATCGCGAGCGAGGATATGTTGGGCATTCTGTCAAAATCGGAGGCGATCCAGAGATTGATGCCAGGCGAATCGCCGAGTCTCTCGCTGACAAGCAGCCTGGCGAATTCTTCTTAGTAGATGGCAATGGAGGGCTGACGGTAGAGACAGCCTTGCGAATGCTGAGATTGCTGCCGCCCGGATTGGATTTCGTCCTGGAAGCACCCTGCGCGACATGGCATGAGAACTTGTCTCTTCGGCGCAGGACTGACATCCCCATCATCTTCGACGAGTTGGCCACAACGCCTTCGAGCGTAGTACAGATGATCGCCAATGATGCGGGGGAAGGCATCAACCTCAAAATCTCCAAGGCTGGCGGCCTCACGCAGTCCCGGCGAATTCGTGATCTTTGCATTGCTGCGGGTTACACAATGCCGGTGCAAGACACAGTTGGTTCAGACATTGCTTTCGCGGCCATTGTTCATTTCGCTCAGACTATACCTGAGCGGTACTTGCGTTGCGTGTTGGAGTGCCGCGACATGGTGACTTTGAAGACAGCCGATGGCGCGTTCGAAGGGGCGTTTGATGTGCACGATGGGCGGGTGATGGCGCCAATTGCTCCTGGCCTTGGGATTTTTCCTCGTTTGGAAGTTCTTGGGCAGCCTGTGATGTCGTTGCGATGAGGCGAATGGGATGATACTTGACGAGTCGCAGAGAAAGGAGGAACAAGTATAGAAACATCTATCGCTACCCAAAGTTCATTAAGAACTTACTTGCCAATTTCATTAGGCGCGGAACTTGACCGCTCCCAGCTCCCTACCTCGACGACTTCACTTGAAACTTTTACCGTCTTGCCACTTCTCCCTTCCTGTCCTTTTCCCATCTCCAATGCTGACCATCTCCAACCATGGCAGCATCTGCGCTCGCTGTGTCCTCCGCAGGCGCATCCTCACCTTGCAACAGAGCCGGCGACGATCGGGAAATAGCAACAATTTCACCAGCCACCGACCGAGTGACTTCTTCAGGGACAAAAGAGCGAATCCGTTTCCCAAAAAGCGAGATCAGGAATCCCAGCGATTGAACAACCCAACAAGTGAATCAAACACCATTACGCCTTCCGCACGACAGGCTTCGAAATCGGATCAGAACGAGGATGGATCGTTTGCAGTTCGGTATGAACTTTCCAAGGCAGAAGCTTCGCCAACACCTCGGAATCGCACGAGCCTCGCAAGGAAAGTCCGGCAGTCAGAGAATGATGGTCCGGTGCGGAAGTATTTCAAGGGAGGACTGGCGCAATGGGGACTTGACAGAGAGTCTATGGAGAGAAAGCAGGCGCAGGGGTTTCGAGAAGCTTTGACGAGAAGATTGAATGTCGTGAGAGAGGAAGTGAAAGACGCGCCGATGCTGGAGGAGATCGCAAAAGATGCAAAGGAGACGGATGGGAAAGAGCAGAGTTTCAATCGTTTATGGAAGAAGTTCACGCAGACGATTTGGCGGGACGAGAAGAATGCTGGAGATGGGCTTGGTGGATTGCTTGGAAGTCTAGGGAAGGCGAATCGAGGGGCATGGGATGATTTGAGCGAGGCGTGGAGAACAAGAGGCGTGTATGGCTTGGACGATCGGATCAAGTATGCGTTCTATGGACACGTCAATGATAGCCGCTTCACGGAGAGCGATATGAAGAATCAGAAGACGTTGGCGGATTTGAGATATCCGACGGAGTGGTATCCTGCGACGAGGGCGATGCAGAGGAAGATTGTCCTGCATGTGGGACCCACGAATTCCGGCAAGACGTATCATGCGTTACAAAAGCTGGAGCAGGCCGACAAGGGCGTGTACGCTGGACCGCTTCGATTACTGGCTCATGAGGTGTATACTCGACTGAATGCGAAGGGCAAGCCATGTGCCTTGATCACGGGAGAAGAAAGGCGAGCCGCGGAGAACCAGGATGATGAGCATGATATGAGCGCATGTACGGTCGAGATGATGCCGCTGAATAGGACACTGGACGTGGCGGTCATCGATGAGATTCAAATGATTGGAAACACGGAGAGAGGCTGGGCTTGGACCCAGGCCCTGCTGGGCGTCAAAGCAAAGGAAGTTCATCTCTGTGGCGAGGAGAGAACGGTCCCGCTGGTGAGAGAGCTCTTTGCCAGCATTGGTGAGGAACTCGAAATACACACGTACCAGCGATTGAGTCCTCTCCAGATGGCTGAGAAGTCGTTGGACGGTCAGCTGAGGAAGCTGAGGAAAGGCGACTGCATTGTCAGCTTCACTGTCATGGGGATTCATGCACTCCGTCGGGAAATCGAGAAGCATAGTGGGAAGAAGGTCGCCCTCGTTTATGGAAGCTTGCCACCCGAGACACGCGCTCAGCAAGCTCGACTCTTCAACGACCCGAACAACGACTACGACTTCCTAGTTGCTAGTGATGCTGTGGGCATGGGGCTCAATCTCGCAATCAAGCGCATCGTCTTTGAAACGGCAACAAAGTTTGATGGCATCAGCCGCCGGACTCTGTCCATTGCGGATATCAAGCAGATTGGTGGTCGCGCAGGACGATTCAGGATTGCAGAACAAGCCAACGAGGCACCAGCATCGGAACAGGATCTCGCTACTGCAAAGGGCGAAGCCAAAGTCGCCAATCTAGATGACACGCCTGACACTGTCGGCCTCGTCACAACCCTCGAGCGCTTCGACTTCCCCATCGTCGCATCCGGAATGAGTGCGGAACCCGAGCCCATCCAATCTGCAGGTATCTTCCCTCCTGCGCCAGTACTGGAGCGCTTTGCTTCGTACTTCCCACCTCGGACGCCATTCTCGTACATCCTTACCCGATTACATGACATCTCGCAGATGCACAAGCGTTTCCATCTCTGTGGTCTGAAAGATCAGGTCTGGGTCGCGGATCTGATCGAACCCATCGAGGGCTTGACAGTCGCGGACCGCAACACCATCTGCTCATGTCCATGCTCCAAGGGCGACAACGACCTCTGGAAAGACTTGATGCCCGCGTATGCGCGTTGCATTGCTGATCAAACCGGAGGCGACATCGTCGACATCCAAGAGCTTCCGCTAGAGCTGCTCGAGAAAGAGCCCGTGGCCTCGAGGGAATACCTCCGCGAGCTGGAGCGACTCCACAAAGGCGTGGTTGCCTACCTCTGGCTGAGCTATCGCTTCGCAGGCATCTTTAACACTCGTCCGTTGGCGTTTCACATCAAGAGTATGGTGGAAGAGAGGATCGAACACGTCCTGGGCAAGTTCAGCTTTTCTGAAACTGCACGGCGAAGGTTGGCGGAACGCAGAGAGAAGGAGATTTTGGAGGGATTGATGATTGGGTCGGAGGATCAGCCTGCTCCTCGCGCGGAGGACGCTACTGCTAAGCATGCCGCCGAGAAGGGAAGGGATGTGGAAGAGCGGGAGGAGGATATGGAGAAGAAGATGGCCCAGTTTGCCGAGGAGCCTGCTGACGCTGAGCGCGCTGCTCCTGAGTCTGAGGACGTTGAGTCTGGCTCCCAGCTTGACGAAAGTGCTCCGCAACCCGACGCCGATCCTCTACCCCAAGAGGACAGCAGTCTCACGCTTGGCGGCGACCGCTTCGGCGGCGAGGAGGAGATGAGCCTGGAGGAGCCGGCGATGGCGGACGTGATGCTCGAAGAAAGCTCCGAGAGCAAGCCTGCTGATCCCAGCGCTACTGAGAACGATTCAACCGCCGTGGCACAGGGAGAGAACAACGCAATCGATCCTAAGGAGAAGCCCACAACTTCGAGCGACGCCGAAGTCCCCTCACCGCGAAAAGTGGAGGATCTGACGAATCGTCCGAACCAGGAGATCATCAATGAAGAGCCCAAGAAAGCGGCGGCGGGTGGTGGGCTGTAAAATATGAAACTTGTACAGAGAGTAGACGTGTACATAGTAGCCGTGGAAAAGCCCAAGGGCTGGTACGCTTCTCATCCCCTTCCCCTTTCTTTGAGTTTCGAGATTGCTAGGATGTATCTCGTGGGGTGAGTTTTGCCAGGATGGCGGACGCAAGGGATGACCTAGAATCTCTCGATGACTCGGACGCAAGACTTCGACTTCACTTCACTTCACCTCCTCACGAACGAGAAAAGGAAGAGACGAGGAGGAGAGAGAAAAAGACCAACAGTCATAAACATCGTACGTTTCTTCATCATCCCATCTCTTCGGGATATGAATGATCTCTGAATGCTAGCAGCACGCCTCACGCGGACCGGCGGTGCTGTTTCAACGCTATGCTACGCCATGCTGGAATCACACGAACTGAAAAACACCCTCTCTCAATAGCCACCCTTCTCCGCGATGCCGAACCGCGGCGCACCCTCCTTCCCGTCGAACACAGCGAAGAACTGCTTCAACAACACGTCGCCGAGGATCTGCAGATTACCTGGGCCGGACTGCAGACCCGCCATGCAGGTGCCGCTCTCAACTTCCGCGTATTCCATCTCCTTGCCTTTGATGGTGGCCGTGTAGTCGCCGATCTGGATGCCGAGGTCGGGCAGCGTCTCGCTGCAGTCGTAGATGACCGTGCCGTACGAAGAGGAGAACTGCGCGGACTTGACGTTGCTGAAATACTGGTCGACGATGTCCTGGTCGAGGTAGACGAGCGAGGTACCCGTGTCGGCGATGGCGGTGCTGCAGGTGGTGCAGGGGACCTTCTGGCCGCCGATCTCGAAGCCGGGGACTTTGAATTCCCAGAAGCCGTATGAGGCGTCGACGTCGACGTAGTGGATCTCGCCGCTGTGCTTGGTGTCGTCGATTTTGCCGAACTCGTAGGTGCCCTTGCCGCCGATTTCCTCGAGGTCAGCGGTGAAGAGGGGCTCGGAAAGGTCGGGGATGAGGTTCTCGAAGAAAGTCTTCTGGCGTGTGGGCTCGACGGTATTGATTGCCGTGAAAGCTAAACCAAGGAGACCGTCCATGTTCTTGTCGCTCTCGAACTGGGCCGAGATCTTGGTGGCGAGCTCGATGGCTTGCTTGTCAACTGTGGAACCGCCAACGTCGACAGTGTCGTAGCCGACGATGCCGCTCGCGCCGCTGCCATCCTGGGTGAAGAGTCAGTACAGCTTCAATTTGAATTGCATGAGGGAACTTACGCCGTATGTGATATTCCACGTGGCACCCTCAAGCAACTGCCAGCTGCTGCTCTTGGATTCGTCGTAGACGGTGTGCTGGCCGATCTGTTGCTCTGAGAGCTCGTTGCTGAAGACCCACCTGGAAGGTATTAGCTGAGGCGAATCTGAAGGTAGATGTGAGGTGACTTACAGATCAGCTGAGCCGGTGTCGAAGTTGAGATTCAGCTTCTGACCGCCAACAGTGACGGGCGAGAGATACTCCTGCTCGTTCTCCTCTGGGTTGGCATCGACGGAACCATCCTCTGAACCTGTGCCGGTGGGTGCAGCAGCGCCCGCTACTTTGGTGGCGTTGCCGTATCCAACAGCAGAAGACGGGGACTGGGTTGGTGATGCGCTGCTGGAGGCAGCCGTGCCCTGGGCACCATACGAGCTGGAGGTGAAAGGTGACGGCGGCTCGAGCGTCACGGTGCTGCTGGACTCGGCCTCTGGGTTGATGATGATGATATCCCAGCCGTACTTGCGGTGAGTGAGCTTGATCTCATCGAGAGGGTTCTTGGCGAGGCCGCGGCCGTTGGTCTGAGCTTGGAAGCTGCGCTTGTTGAGGCCATTGGAGGAGGCAGGTGCGGCCAGGGCGACGGTGGCCGAGAGCGCGGTGAGCGCAAGCTGCAGGATGCCGTGCATGATGGGCGTGGGTAAAGTGAAGGGTGCTTGATATGGACAATGGAAGAGAATGGCTGGCCAAATGGCTGGTCCGGTGGTTGAAGAGAGGGCGTGGAGAAGAGAGTGTAGCTCGCCAAATGAGTGAGGCGAGGTTAAAAGTCTATGCTACCAGGCATAAAAGAAGGGAAGAAGGGAAGAAAGAAGGTGAAGGTGAATGTTGTCGGATGCGTGTTGCGAAGATGAGCAAGACAAACGATGGAAGTGCTTTTATGCTGGCGTCACATGCGCGCGCTCGGCAGTCGCCGCACACAGACCACGCGCGTCCCGCACCTCATCTCGAACGCATCAGCGTCAGAGGTGTCTCCTCCTCGGTCTCAACCTCGTCCATCTCCACGCCTTCATCCTCACCTTCTGTGGCGCCGCGGGTCACAGACGGGGCTATTCGGCCTCCAAACACTGGCCGTTCGGGCGCCTACATTCACGGCCGCGCGTGCATCATCCCCCTTCACACGCATCACTTCCTCTGTTTCGACAGCTTCAAGTGACGTTCCACAGGAGAAATCTTTTGTGTCTCACGTTTCACCATGTTCGTCTTTGATATTCAGGAACCCATGTGGTTGGGCGTAAGTTAGAGTTTGAAACCTCGGGCCGCGCCTGAGAGCGGGCCGCTGGCAGGGGTTCGTGAAAGTCGTCAAAGTGAGGAAAGAGCAAAGCAACTTTCAACTTCCTGCAAGGCAAGAACGTGAAGTGGCAGGCACGATGAAGAAGCAACGTCACCTCTTGATTGCCATGTTCTCCCCATTTCCAACGTCACCAATCTGAAACGATGCACAAACCCGGCCCTTCGGCAAGATCGCGCCTAATCGAAAAGTCTAACTGACTTCGGCTCAAGTGTTTGTTTCTTCTCCAAGCGAGTTCTCTCCTAAACACCACCGAGACGATGGCATCCGTCTATCCGCGTCCCATCATCCTGACATCTCCGACATCATCGATGCCACCAACGAACATCAGCCAAGACGGGAGCGAGGAATGGGCAACATGTACATCGAAATTCGCTTCGTTGCAGACCGCTATGTACAAGACTCACGATTACTATGGCTACGACCAATTTACTTCGAAGTATCGACGACATATCGTCCAGCGATCTGGCCCTGATGCATGGCATCGTAGACCTTTTGCAACTCGCTCAATCCCACCACCTTGAATGGTGCCTTGATAACACCACGACGGAAGAATTCGAGGGCCTCTGCCGAGTCTTTGCGGTTGCCAACATAGGATCCCCTGGATTTTGGTCAGCGAAGAAGGAAAGAAGAAGTGTGTGGGTGTGAATGTTGTCTCCCCGCCCCGAGGGAGGGGAAGAAAGAGGGGGGGGGAAACATTCTGCCCCTAATCCCGGCAGGTAAGGGGACAAGGAGGACAGGGAACTCACCTGATCGTTATCATCTTGATTACGCTCTCAAAAACTGGAGCCTTTAGGTACGCACCGGCTGGAAGACCAATGCAAATGACTGTGCCTCGCGGGCGGACGTACTGTTCTAGTGTCAGCCTTGAAATCGATTCAGACTAGAAACGATGAACTCGCCTCTGCTGCTTGCTGGAAAGGCTTCTCATTCACGGCCACAAGGATGACCGCGTGTGGGCCAAGTCCATCTTCGGTCGCTGCCTGCACATCCTTGACCACGTTCTGGCTCTTGGCAAAGTCGACAAAAGCGTACGAGCCGAGTTGCTCAGTACACATCTTCTTCTTCTCGTCACCAGTATCAATGGCGATGGTCTTCAGGCCCATGGCCTTGGCGTATTGCTGTGCAAGGGATCCAAGACCGCCACCAGCACCAACAATGGCCACAGACTGGCCTGGGCGAGCACCAGACTCCTTCAGGCCTTTGTATACGGTGATACCGGCGCACAGCACTGGGGCCACAGCATCGAGTGGGATGTCCTTGTGCAGACGTGCCACATGTGCAGCCTTGGCGATACAGTACTGCTGGAAAGAGCCGTCGACCGTGTAACCTGAGAGGAGTGCCTTCCCGCAAAGGGGTTCGTCAGATTGTTGGCAGAAATCGCACTGCAAGCACGAGCCGTTGATCCACTTCACACCCGCATGGTCGCCGCTTCGAGATTGTCAGCCAAGGGTATCCAACAAATTCGAACACTCATGTCATACATCTCGATATCTTCGACAAGGTTGCCCTTCGCTACAACCACGCCGGCACCCTCGTGGCCGCCCACAAGAGGAAGCTTGGTTGGTAGTGGCCAGTCACCGTTCACGGCGTGCAGATCGGTGTGGCAGACACCAGAGTACTTGATGTTAACGAGGACCTCATCTGGGCCAGGCTCCTGGACGTCAATCTCCTTGTACACGACTGGACCACCGGTCTTCTCCACAACCTGTGCCCACTGCTTCTTTGGAACGGAACCCATTGCGGTGGCTGAAATGAGGATTGGATGGACGTGGATTCGTGAATTTGGCAAAAAGACGATGCTTGGTTAAGTGGGTTACGTATCTTCTGCAGAGGAATGACTTGCTAGGGCAGCGCGGCAAGCTCTTACTTATCACTCTCCGCCATCCAGCAGGCCAACTTCTCCTCCCCGTCTGGCTCGTTCAAAAGGAGGGGCTGTAGCTCTGTCGGTGATCGGCCAGAAGGCGTCCTCAGCACTCATCCACCAGCCTTCCTAGAGCGGCATGATCCTGACGGGGTCAAGGCCTGGACGTATGCAAGCAAGCAGCCCGGCGTGCATTGGATCCATGCTCCCGAGCCATTCTCAGCTGCCCAAAACACCGCGCAGTGTCGCATCTCAATCCTTCTGGTCGAATTTTGAGAATTGGACGGCAGCTAGCGCATCTCTGGCCAAATCACGGAAGCAGGGTCAAACAGCGACCTGCACGACACTTGTCCGCGTGTACCTTTCGGAGTCACGGATGCTGCAAACCGCACGCATAGGTCGAACCTTGTCCCTAGATTTTCAGTTGAGCAAGTTTTGACGCGGGGCGAGACTGCGGGGAAAGCTCTCTCGTGACAACACGCCACTCTGCTCCACTGAAGGCTTGCCTCATCCTAGACACAGCTCCCATCCGTGACTCGTCGCCGCATCACCATCCATCAGCTTGCGGCCCCGCTCTACCAGGTCTCTTGTCTCTGATTGATCTCCGGACGAGCGCTCTTCCAGCTGGGAGCTATGGCGCCTGCATGGCTCATGGGACTTGTCAAGTCTTACTGGAGCTTGCAGGATACATCCTGGAGCTCTCTTCCCAGAATGGTCTGATTGGAGCAATTCGCGGGCATCCGGGGTTTCCTGGATGTGAATGTCTTGGTCGATGGTGCCTGGCCGTTGCTAGGGACGGGCCTGCGGATGTTACTTGTGTCGTGGAGATCGATCCAAGAATATCGAACGGCAGTCTTGCTCCGAGGACAAGCTCGAAAACGACTTTTTCTCATCGAAGGGCGACTCTTCGGCCGGATAGCAGGAACGTTGCGATCGCCAGCGAGGCTCGAATATCTCTCAAGGTCCCATCGTCCGGGACGTTCGACGGTCGATGTCCGGCTTCAACATTCTTCTCGGTGGACAAACGGCAACACGAAGAATTTCGACGCCGTCTTGAACATCGTGGGCAAGCTTGTACCGGGAGAAGAGTCCTTGGGCTACTCACGAAAAAGAGGAGAGACTGGTGAGTTCATTCGGAATCTTGGAAACAATATCTCGACAAGATATGAAGCTCCGCCGGATGGAGACCTTGATGGCCAACCACCCTAATGGCGAACTTCAACCCCATTCCTGAGTTGACCTCCCATTGCGAATCATCCCAGCCACGAAGACGATACGGCATTCTGTCCAGAGTATTCACTCATAGTGCTGGAGGAGCCAATTGCAGCTGTCGAATGCATTGGCCTTCAGAAAGGCAGAAGAACAGTCTGTGGACATCACGCTGGGCGGCAAAGTGCTACACGCGCCTGATTCTGCCGGAGCGAGATTAAGTTGCTCGACTGAGAGGTATGTTCTCTCTACACATGTTCTAACCAATTTGTCTTTCAGGTCTTCATTCTCTGCGCTCCTGACGGGCTGTTTTTCGCGATTTCCTCTACCGGCTTCCTCAACTCCGCAAAAGCTTCAACATTGCATACAACGGGCTGCGACTAAATCAAGCTCACGCAACTCTTCTGCGTGATTCACGTCCTGTATTGCACGTCGCAAGGCCCCAGTAAACAAATCAACAAACCACAACCCCCTCAGCCAGGCACACAGCAACCGGCACAGGGCCCAGTAAGCTCTACCTGTACCCCTCTCCAAGATCCCCTGCGTGTACGTAACCCTTTGTACACGATCAACACCTCGATGGGAGGTGGATGAGCCTGGACGCTGGGAATCGAAGTAGAAGGCACTCGAACCTACAATCTGGTTCGCGCTGCTTTCAGCCTATCCAAGACGATCTTGGGTGTGAGTATCGAGCTTGGCGTTGGCAGCACCTGAGATCAGACGTGCAGGTACGTCTCATCTGGAGAGCCTTGGGGTCTAGACTCTCGGCATAGGCGGCTTCAGCCCTCGTTGCCGCTGCTATATGTCCCCATGGCGAGACGTCGTGCACCATATCTCACGCCATCGCGCAGAGTGTTGGCATTGAACAACTTCGAAGTGATCTCGTGGCTTGGGATGAGGTAGGTAATCTTCGACGAGTCTCTTTGTTAGTAGCCTGCTTCGTCCCTCAATGTTTGTTAAAGACACTGCGGCATGTCTGGTTTCGTCGACGCCTTTCGATTTTCGATCAACTTGAGATACTCGCCCGCGGCATGGGATGGAGAGTAGATACTGGGACATGATCACTCGAAAGATCAGCATAACCAGTTGATGTCGAGCGTTTCAACGTCTTCTCGGATACGCAGCTCGAGTTGATGAGGGAGATGCAGTTTGCGAGCACAGATTATTGGGGGCACTCTCACAGGTCAACTTTTTCATGTTGCGACAGCTACATCAACGCCTTATCAGACCACTCCTCAAACCCTACATCTACAGTGACAGATAGAATAATGTCTCCAATCTTGGACTTGGAGGCTCAACTCGCCCTTCGGATAAGGTCATCCGCCAGATGTGGTACTCTGCCGACTCGGGCCTGCATCAAATGCCGACTTCACGACAGCTGAAACGGCCTTTGCGTTTGGTGGAGCCTGTGATGGCATTGGCGATGGGCAATAATCATTCGATGTTGTTGTGGTCAGCAAGGCTGGCGCAGCTGTTTGGTGGCGTTGAAGCTGAGGATCTATCCGTGTGGGCGAGGCCCTTATCAGATCCTCGCCGCGACATCGCTCGCCAATTCTTCATCCTCATTCGTCCCTGCTCTTTCACAATGCACACGGAATGCTTGATGTGTCAACTAATGCGTGTGACATCTGGATTTGAAGTTGCTGGTGAGCACGCGAACGACTGTCTACTCTTTACGAACGACTCGAGCCGATCTTATCTGACCAATCACATTCATTCACTCACAATCGGGGCGTGCTCACGGCTACGATGACGACCACCCGGCTTCACGATAACAACCAGGAACCTCACTTTGACAACGTCTGAGCATATCTCGAACAACCCACAGCATCAACTCATATTGGACAACAGCATCCCGGCAACCAACAAGGACGACGTGGTATCTCTTTGCCACCTCCACCGTCTCCATCTGCGAGCGCACTCGTGATCACGGCTGTCGTTCGAGACGGTTCCACATCTTGCGAACCTCGGCGGCGGATGCTGGATGAGTGATGCACCTCCCCTTCACGTGCCACTTACTTACATATCTCTCTTCTTCATCCTCATCCCACCCTGCATGCTATTCAATCCTCTGAATCAGAGAATGTGAGAAACCCTCTCGTATACTTAATCACTCGTCACAATGTCTCCTCAATCGCGCCACTTGCCACTCGTGCCACTCCCGCACGGCATCGTCCTCCTCCCCGGCGTAACCACTCGAGTACCTCTCCAGCACCGCGCCGATGTTGCCGCCATTCTCGCGCATATATACAGCAAGGCGACCACTCCGCGACCAGAGGCTTCGAGCGTGACCGTCGGATGTGTTCCGCTGAACAGCCCATGCCTCAGTCCGGATGGAAAGCGGTTGATCGAGTCGGGCGATAGGGAGAAGATCCAACCTAAAGTTGTGGAAGTCGAGCAGGCGAGGAAGCCGGATCTCTTCCAATATGGCACCATGGCGAGAGTCACTGGTGTGCAAGGACGACGGCCGGGAGAGTTGATGCTGGTGGTGGAGGGTGTACAGCGGTTCAAGATTGAGAAGATCACAAGAGAGAGGCCGTACTTTGAGGCAAATGTACTACTGCATCAGGAAGAGAAGATAAGAGAGGACGACGAGAAGATCAATACGCTCTTCGCGAATTTGAAGCAGCTGAGCCGGGAACTCATCGCACTAACCCGGCTTTCTGCTCTCCTTCCAAGAGGTACTCAGATGAGCCTAAGCCCAATACTGGCAAGGAGATTGGAGCTCTATATTGTACGGAAGGACCTGCAAGAAGCGGGGGTTCTGGCGGATTTCATGACCAACATTGTCGATTGCTCGCAAGAAGATAAGCTGCGTATACTGTCAGCGTTGCCTGTGGAGGAGCGTCTTCTACGGATAACGGAGATTCTGCAACGCCAGATCACCACCATACAGGGCAACAGTAGGATCTTGTCCGTCACGACTACGCCGAATGCCTCGCAGAGTGCGGTTATTGATCTGGATACGCTCAATCGACTGCGGCAGGATCCTCGATTACGGCAATTGGGCAATGGGCAGAATGGAAAGAGCGGGATTGGTCTACCGCCTGGGATGGGAGGAGCAGGTGGCCAGCAAGATGATGAAGTCAACGAAATTGAAGAACTGAAGAAGAAGCTGGATGAGGCAGGTCTATCACCCGAAGCTCAAAAGGTCGCAGATCGAGAGCTCAAGCGGTTATCCAAGATGAACCCAGCACAAGCCGAACACCAAGTCTGTCGGAACTATCTGGAGAATTTGGCCGAGATTCCGTGGACGAAGATGACGGAGGATAATCTCGATGCTGCTACTTTGACAAGGGCACGGAAGCAACTTGATGACGATCACTACGGTTTGGACAAGATCAAGAAGAGGCTGTTGGAGTATCTTGCAGTGCTCAAGTTGAAGCAGGCTGTCAACATGGATTTGGAGAAGCAGATCCAGGCCATTACCGCGGCGTCTCAACCACAGGATCAAGAGAAGGAGGCATCCATTGAGGGTGAGGAGGATGTGGCGCCATCGACACAGCTCACGAAGAAGCAGCCAGATGCTGGCAAGGAAAAGAGTGCTGAGGAGATCAAGCTTCTGAACCACAAGAAGATGGTCGATAAGTCGCCGATTCTGCTGCTGGTTGGACCACCTGGTGTTGGAAAGACTTCGCTTGCGAAGTCTGTTGCTACCGCATTGGGTCGTCAATTCCACCGTATCTCGCTGGGTGGCGTTCGTGACGAGGCCGAGATTCGGGGGCATCGCAGAACTTATGTCGCTGCTATGCCTGGTCTGGTTGTGAATGGCCTGAAGAAGGTCGGCGTGGCGAATCCAGTCTTCTTGCTCGATGAAATTGACAAGGTTGGCTCTGCGTCAATCCACGGCGATCCATCAGCTGCGATGTTGGAGGTGCTTGATCCTGAGCAAAATTCGACCTTCGTGGACCATTACGTCAACATTCCAATCGATCTCAGCAAGGTCTTGTTCATCGCTACCGCCAACACACTGGATACCATTCCACCACCTCTGCTGGATCGTATGGAGACCATCCAACTGTCTGGCTACACAACGCTGGAGAAGAGGCACATCGCGAATCGACATCTCATCCCCAAGCAAATCACAACGAACGGCCTCAAGCCTGATAACGTCAGCCTGAACGATGAAGTCGTCGACAGGATCATCACCGCCTACACCCGCGAATCTGGCGTGCGTAACCTCGAGCGTGAAATCGGCAGCGTCTGCCGCTCCAAGGCCGTCCAATACGCCGAAGCACGCGACACAAACACCCTCCCAGCCTACACGCCCGTCGTCACCACGGACGACCTCGAAGACATTCTCGGCATCGAACGATTCGAAGAAGAACTCGCCGCCCGCACCTCCCAACCCGGCGTCGTCACTGGCCTCGTGGCCTACAGCACCGGCTCACAAGGCAGCATCCTCTTCATCGAGATCGCCGAAATGCCAGGCACAGGCCGCGTCCAACTCACCGGCAAACTCGGCGACGTCCTGAAAGAATCCGTCGAAGTCGCCCTCTCGTGGGTCAAATCCCACGCTTACGAACTCGCCCTCACCGATAACCCCTCCGAGGACATCATGAAAGCCCGCTCCATCCACGTGCACTGTCCCTCGGGCGCCATCCCCAAGGACGGTCCCTCGGCCGGTCTCGCGCACACCGTCGCCCTCATCTCCCTCTTCAGCGGGAAACGCGTCCCATCCACCATCGCCATGACGGGCGAAGTCGCCCTCCGCGGGAAAGTCATGCCCGTGGGTGGAATCAAGGAGAAACTCATCGGCGCTCTGAGGGCTGGCGTGAAGAAAGTTTTACTTCCGCAGCAGAATCGCAAGGATGTTAAGGATTTGCCGCAGGAGGTGCTGGAGGGGTTGGAGATTATCCATGTCGGGCATATTTGGGAGGCATTGCCGTTGATCTGGCCGGAGAGTGAGTGGCCTGGGCAGAGGGGGTGGAGTGGATTGGAGAGTCGGCTGTGAGGGGGTGTCGTGATGGGAGAGGGAGGGGGAAGGGAAAGGGGGTACGTGTCATGAGGTTATGGGTTTGTTCTGTATTGTTAGGTGTTTTCAACATGAAGATGACGATATTGTGAGGGGGTTAGATCTCTTCTTTGCAGCAAATTTGCTCGATCGCATTACTCTATTCTTTGTTCCGCGGTTGGTGGGCTTCTTTTTTACGCGGTTGGTGAACTGATGTCGAGTCACTAATATATCTCTCCTGCCCATATATACACCTCTCTCGTGTGACCCTGATGATCCACAAGACCAACTTCATCAAGGCCATTGACATCTTAATCTATCACCAACTCACTCTGCCATACATACCACACATCGAATGTGCCTTCTATTCCATCACCACATCACTGCCACTCTGGCGAGCCTTCGAGTACGATCTCCCCGATAGTGCACTCGAACCGACTCCAAAGCTATGCCCAACTGCGATTTCTAGTTCAGGTAGCCTTGAGTGTAAGGCAAGTCGGACTGTATGGACTGGTCGACCGCTGAGATCCCGTTGCGTATCCTCGTTCGCAGTCGGTTGTGAAACTTTCGATGGTAGTGCGAGGGTGGTGTTCGTCGATCGTCGTGTGGGATTCGAGTAATTCTTTCGGATCGAGAGCGCAGTAGATATTGCGTGGAGGCCCCTCGATTGGATCGCTGGAAGGACCACTCCGTTGATCTTGGATTTGGGATTTAGGCAATGGCTCTGCAAATGTTGTTGGGTTCCCAAGGGTGGAGTTGGTCGAGGCTCGGGGCTCGAGGTAGTATTTGTCGGTTTGGAAAGAGCACCATGGATCCCGTCTTGACTCGTTCGGTCATTGTAGGAGAACGCCAGTCTGGAGTTCAACTCATCTCTCCCTCCCCTCCACCATCCTACCCCTGCTCCTCCCTCTCCAAAAAACTCGGATCCAACTCCACCTTCTTCTCAAACTTCCCCCACCAATCCTGAAACGCCTTCAAAGGAACCGTCTCACTCCCAAACGACGCCAGAAAATTAAACGCATTCCCAATAATCCTCTGCGCCAGGACTTTCGTCGCCACCGGACTGCCCCCAGAACCAGAATGCCGGACCAAAGCCGTTGAAGAGGCGTTCGTCGCCTGTGTTGTTGAAGGTCCAGTCTTGTTAAGCGTGGCGAGTTGCTGCTCGACCTGCTCCACGGGTTCGATCGAGACGCCCACGACGATATCACCTCCCGCGGCCGCGGCGTTCGCCATGGTGTCGTCCGCCATGACGTCCCCGTCCAGTGCTGCCAGATCGGCGGATTTTAAGCCGCTGACTTTGAAAATGGCGCTTTCCTTGCCGGGGCCGATGCCTCCTAGGAGTTTGAATTCTTGTGCTGGTGGGATTTGCACGTAGACGGTCGCGGCGGTTCCAGGGGGGAGCTGGGTGCCGGGGAGTTGGAAGACGACGATGTGGCTGAAGGGGGGTGTTGGGGGGATTGTGAAGGCGTATTGGGTGGGGGTTATTGCTTGGGGGGCGGCGTCGACGGGGCGGCCGGAGATTATGAGGCCGAACATTGTTGTGGATGAAATGGGATGGGAGATCAGGCTGCGGTGTTGGGTTTCACATGTTGAAGTACTCGATCGTCTTGTTGGTCAATGCATATTTTCTGAACGACGCTAGATCCGGCAGGAAGTTTCGAGTGAATGTTTCGACGTCATGCCGCCAAGCCAAGCCGTTTCCCATTCACTCGCTCCACCTTCCTGCCAGCTCGACAACCAACGTCGCCAGGGTCCAATGTTTGCTTGAGTACCACACCCATCTCACGCCCAACCCTCAGCCTCACCACGGCCACCAAAAAGAAAATGGCCTTCAATCTCACCCGCCTCCGCGAATTCCTCCCGAAAGACCTCCCCCGCCTCCCCTCCTGGCCCGCCCAAAACCCAGAAGACTACGACGACGACCGCCCCTCGACCGCCCAAACCGGCGACTCCGCCGACCCGGACGCAATCGAGCACCAAGAACCCATAACCATGGAACTCGCGGAGCCCATGCCCATCAGCGCCGGCCCCAAAACCAACCTCGACCTCATCGCCGAATGCGATAACTTCCCGTACTACCAAACCGAGCCGAAGCAGTTTTTCGCACACATCAACACCTACTACGCGCTGTACGTGCGGGATTATCCGAATAGCGAGCTGGGGTATATCCTGCCGAGTGTGGCGGAGGTGTTTCGCGGGCTGCCGGATTGGAAGCTGGATGACGGGGAGAGGAGTTTGACGTTGATGTCCGGGGCGAGCGAGGAGGAGCGGACGAAGGTGGTCGCGGGGACGATTAAGGCGATGCATGCGACGGGGCATTTCAAGGTGTTGGCTAAGTGGAGGGATGAGCTGTATCCGGTCTATGGGCCCAAGGGGGAGTTGTTGTTTAGTATGGAGAGGTCGGGGAGTGCGTTGTTTGGGATCGTTACGTATGGGTGTCATATGACGGCTTATGTGAAGAGCAAGGGAGAGAGTGGGGATGAGGAGATGAAGATTTGGGTGCCGAGGAGAGCTGCTAGCAAGCAGACTTATGGTGGGATGCTGGATAATACAGTTGCTGGAGGTATTGCGACTGGCGAGAGCCCGTTTGAGAGCTTGGTGCGGGAGTCTGCCGAAGAGGCTAGTCTACCAGAGGGACTGGTGCGGAAAGGAGCGAAGGCTGTCGGCACAGTCACATACTTCCACATCCGCGACCACAGAGCTGGAGGCGAGACGAGGTTACTGCAACCGGAGTGCCAGTTCGTGTACGATTTGGAGGTGTCTGAAGATGTCGTGCCGAAACCGTCGGACGACGAGGTCGAAGGATTTGAGCTGATGAGTGTTGAGAAGGTGAAGGAGGCGCTTCGAAACGGCGAGTTCAAGCCGAACTGTGCGGTGGTGCTGCTGGACTTCTTTGTTCGACATGGTTTCCTGACCCCAGAGAGCGACGAGAACTACATCGAGATCGTGTCGCGACTGCACCGGCGGCTGGACTTTCCGGTGCAGATAAGGACGCCATGAAGCACTCGAACTGATAATGAACTACACCTGCGAGTCCCAAAAGTATGATATGACACCATCCATAGCCATGCAGGTACGATACCCATGAAGCGCCATGCAAATGCTTCGTCCTGATGTCTCTTGAATCTTCTTTCCATTGTTTCCACCAACGCCTCGCTAATCGACTTTTCCTTATTCCACCCTTTGGCACGCAAGTTTCGCATCTGCGCGTCCATCCTCGCATAGCATAGTGCAGACCAGCCTCAAGATGAACTCGTCTCAGCTAGTTCTTAAGCAGCATGTAGACGTACTCAATCTTCAGCGGACTGAGCTTCTTGTAAGGCCCGTCGAGCATGCACAACAAGCCCCCAAAAGACACATACACTTTACTATTCACACACCACCAGATCAGCACACGTCCACGCCACCCTCCTTAAACCCCCCTCACTTGTACTTACATCTTCTCCCCATCCCCCTCATCCTCCACGCGATACACCTTGCCATACGTCACATAATCCCACATATCCGCCAGCGTCGGCTCGTTCACTTTGCCCCTCCATCCCTGATTCGCCTCGTCCTTCGTGCCATCTAGGTTCAGCGTCGACGCGACTAGGACGGTGAAGTTCTCGCCGCTGTGGATCGGGTAGAGTTCGCTGTTTACGTCGAGGGTGATTTTTGTGCTGCCGTCGAGTGAGGTTGCGGAGATGCGGTCGACGCGGTCGTAGGTTTGCGTCAGGGCGGTGGTGGTGACGAAGGATTCTTCGTAGAGTTGGGCGTCGGCCATGGTGAGGGTATGTGTGGTCGCGTGGGTTTGTCTGCATGTGGAGGATGTGTGGTTGTCTGCATGCGTCGGCTCGCGACAACTTTTGCGATTCCTTGACGGGCGCTCCCGCCTCCACAATTTCTCTGATTGGTCAGTCCGTATGCACGTCCTTGGCTTTCACAAGCTCCAGAGTTTCCCTCGGCAGAGCCTCACGGATATGAGCGAACTCAGCAGTGCTCGGTCGCACGCCAGCCTATCTCTGTTGCGATCGATCACACAATCTATTGCGCGAAAGGACCCTGGTCTATCTTCGCCCATGTGCTTTTGACGCAAGCATGGGCTGGCACGCGAGCGATAGTTCCCGCGTGGGATCGTGAGGTTATTGCGACTTCACCTCCCGTCGTTGGTGTTGCAGGGCGGGTCGGGACTGTATGCGCAGACACGAATGCTGAGGTCATGAGCAGAGGTCACCTTTTGTCAGAATACAAAGCACGATGACGAATGTGGTTGGCTTTGAGACTTCACAGAAAGAAGTCACGCCTCGTATTGCTTGAGGCGAGAGGCACGCTCGTAACAGGCTGCTCCAGGCAACGAAGGCGAGGAGAGGCAAGAATAGACTGAATTCGCCCGTGAGTAGGTGCATTTTGTTTTGTCGTCTTCTGATGACGATGCTCGACGTTGGTGAAGCTACAACGGTACGAGGCCTGTACATGTGATGGGTACTTGTGGTGCCGTGGCGAAAGCGAGGTGCGGTCCAACAACAAGCTGGATGAACGGCATTCTCGTTACATTGGATGTTGACCACCGATGATAACAACATTGTCGACTCCCACACATGCGATTGACTGATCTCTCTACAAGTGCCAGTGACATCTCCCAAATAGATCGAGTTATATGACGACGAAGAGCTTAGTGGACAAGTATGTGTTGAAATGGATAGAGCGAGGCGCAAAGAGTGAGGGAAATATGATGCCACGAAAAGTGAATAGATAGACAAGTATATGCATTGAAGATGGTATTCGCTACAACAAAAACTTTCCATTTTATCCGTCAACTCATGATCCGTCATTATTCACAAAGACATGTCACATGCCAATCATCTATCCACCACCCGCGTTCTGGTTCCCGCAAGTATCATCGACATGCAAGCCTCTCTCGACCAGCAAGAGCGCTTACTTGCTGAGCGGCGCAGGGCAGCCGAGGTTGGAGAAATCGGTGTTGGAGAGCTTGCTAGCGATCAAGCTGAGTGCCTCGACGGTTGGGGTAAGGACGCCGTTGAGGTATGATGGGACACGCTCGGTGAGGATTTGGTAGAGCAAGCATGAAGTGACCTTGGGGTCGACGGCAGAGGGGATGGTGCCGTTGGCGATGAGGCCGCCCCAGCCTTGGAGAGCGTCGAAGCTGCCAGCAGCGGTGTTGCCGCCGAAGAGGACGGGGTTGAGCAGGTACATCTTGATGATCTCGGCGCCGACGAGCTCGTTGGTGTAGGGCTCGACACGATTGGTCCAGTTGTCGGGGATCTTCTCGGCGTTGTTGAAGGAGTAGGTGCCGTCCGCGTTCTTCTCGGCGCCGAAGAAAGAGGAGATGGTGTACTCGTCTGGCGCGTAGCCGCGGGTGCCGGATGGCATCAGCTCGTACAAGAACGAGGCGGCGCCGAAGAGCAGCAAGCTCAGTGGGCCGAAGTAGAAGTTGGGGTTCTCGTTAACGGATTGCTGGTAGCGCTGGTATCGGTAGAGGGCAAGGTTGGGGAGGTTGTAGTTGCCACCGGTGGTCTCGGTCATCATGCCGAAGAGGGTGCCGTTAAATTTGAAGTTGTCGCCACCGTGGGTAAAGTAGTCGTTACGGGTGAGCGAGGTATCGGCCTCGAACTTGTTGTGGCCGTCGAGACCAGGCTCAGCGCCGGTCAAGACTGGGTTAACGGAGGTGCGAGTAGTAGCATCGCATCCAATAGAAAGCTTCTCGGTGACGAGATCGCCATCAGTCAGGGTAAGACCGAGGAGGGCGAGGAGGTTGGCGAGATCGTAGCCAACATTGTAGATGTTCTGCTGTGCATCGACCAATTCGGTGTAGGTCGTGATTCCGTCGTGCGCCAAGAAGTTGTGGTTGGCAGCAACGTTCAATCCTGAGTACAAGTCAGCGCCATACCACCTGGCTTTCTCGAATTGTTTTCTCATACCTGGGCATGGGCCACGAATGTCGGTATCTGGGTTTGGTGCCACAAACTGGTGAGCAGTGTCGCCTGGAGCTGGGACCTGGTAACCACCCTTCTGGTTGCCAATGACGCCGTTCTTTGCGTTGTTGTATGGGTATTGCGAGGTGACTGGAGCGGCTGGGACGTGGTTGGCGTTGAATGGGCAGTTGGCAGCGCTTCCAGCACCGTCCGCTGGTTGCTGTCGTCGAATTCGTCGGCGTTCAGCTTGGATCATGCTCGAGTCGACGCCGGAAACATCGACGACGAAAGGGAAGGCAGCAGCCCCCGAGATGAGGATGGAAGAAACGATGGCGCCCTTCATGGTGATAGATGGTCAATTCAGACAAGCGTTTGCTGTAGAAATGCCAGGTGGCTTGGAAAGTGCTTGGAGTTCTTGAGGTGGACAAGCAAAGCATACGCAGATTTCCGTCTTACTCTTTATATGTGATGCCTGGCCTCGTTCCCAGTTCGTATTGTCAAGGCCTCCATCACCGAGGGGCCGCACCTCGCAACAAGTCGACTCTCCGCATGGCGATATTGGGTTTGACGATGCGTTCACGCGCTCGCGAGTCGACTTGGGGCACAGCGTGCAGCAAAGCACCATGCTGGTTATGATCGGCAATACGTTCGTAACCCGGGGTAATCCATGCGAAAGGGATGGTGAAGTAGCGGAGCACTGTTGCAAATGCCTGGTCGATGATTGGTGTTCAGCGCAAGCCATCGATGTCAAACTCTCAGATTTGGGGCGTCAGGCGCGATAGATCGAAGAACGGGAGGCTCTGCGTTGCAGCCGCTGGAGCGGCTCTCCAGAAACTCCAGAAAGCGCCTCGGCACCGTGGCGGCCCTAGACGCATAGGGGAGAGGATCGTCGTTTAAGCTTCTTTTAGAGTTCCTCCACAAAACTTGTCGGTGATCTTGCTGGTTCTGAATTAGGATACCCCAAAGAGCGCCACTTACCGCGCTGTCTTCGAACTTGTGTCGTACATTCTTGCGAGAACATTTACTCCAACGGCGTACATTCCTCAACCAGCTGCCCCGACGGGTTTGGGGCCAGGCCTCCAGCCTGTGGGCTATGTTCTGTAGTCTCGCTAATTCTTTGCAATAGTGCTTTTGCTGACTGTCGTGGCTTTGGGGGTAAGTGGCGTAGGCCGCTGGCAACGCATTTGGCCGTTTTCCGTTGAGCTGTCCTCAAACGTCACGACGTTTGCGCAGACTGATGTCACTCCTCCCGTGCTGGAAAGAAATATCAACAACTTTTCGCGAGTCTTCGGTGAAGTTGCGAGGTTCTGTAGAGGCCTACGTCAGGTGGCTTGTTACATGTCCCATGTGGATGAAAGTGTTTACGGCTGGAGCGCATCGCTGATGAGACATCTTTACATGCAACTCCCAGCGAGTGAAAACCGGCTGTGCATAAATCTTCAGAGACGTAGCACATGAGATGGCTCCTGGAGGGTCTCACAACAACCGGACATTAAGCCTCCGTGGCTTCAGCCAACGACAGGCTTGAGGACGTCTTGGTATGGATTTCGGATGATTTTGCGGGCTTGGAAGGCGAGAGGCGTTCTGGGCTTGGCTGGTGATGTAGCATTAAGGAACGGCACGCAGCGCACCGCTGAGGAGAAGCTTCTTGTGACTTGTTTTGCAAGCCAATCGTCTTCGTTCCAATTGTTCTTATGCCGAGGTGGTTCCTCTAAAGGGTCCCGAGGTGCTGCGGCATCTCAAAGCGGAAGGAGCAAAGTATTTGAGCTAGTGCAGGGTAAGTGCCACCTCGTCTCATGAAATGTGCACCTTTGTAACCCGCATTCGCTTCTTCTCGATGACCGTGAACGCCAGCAGCCCTAAAGCCGCGTACAATCTTCGATCCAGCGTGCAAATGACCGACTACATGTGAGACGGCCTTGCTTTTCTGCAGAAGCGTTGAGAGGCAAGCGCAAGCGATGCCAAGAGGTCAAGTGGCAAGCGAGTGAATCTTCAGAGAGGCTTGCGGTGCGTTCAACACCGCTCGAAGATTCGGTACAGGCCTTTGAGGTTGGCAACCTCGATCACACCTTTCAGAAGGCCCTTCGTAGCCACCAGTCTTGCCTTGAATGCTGGGAAGAGCACATTCTCGACGGCACGGTGTAAGTGGCGTCTTCTCTCGGCAATCTCTTCATCTTCGCCTCCTTCGATTAGTGGTGCTGGCAGTGCCTCAGGAGTGTAGAAACTCGCGAGCTCTCGCAAAAAACTTTGGAAACAGCCCTTCTCGTCTGTCCAGTCCACGTGGGGTCCAAGTCGAAGCAAGAAGTTCGGCAATTTGGCCAAGGAGGGCATGTACCCCTTCAAGAGAAGTGGAATGGTGAGCAAGTCGCCGTCTGCAGATATTTCCAGAGCGAAATACTCCGACAGCATGTCTTTGCGGGAGATCAGCTGGTTGACTACGGCAGGAACAACGTTATCCCACTCAATTGCCACGTTGTCTGGTTCCAACGCCTTTGCCTGGGCCACGCCGATCCCAACGAGGTCGTGCAGAGACATCGGTGGATTGAAGCGTATTGCGCCGTAGTTTCCGAAGTCAGTGAGACCTAGCTGATAGAAGTATTCCGCGGAAACAAGACCGTAGTCGACGAGGAAAAGCCTAACCCCGCCTTGGATAGCTGCAATGCGTCTGGTGGCATCAGCGATTCCCACAAACGTATGATTGGCGAACGTGTCCGTCAGCTCGTTGTGCATGCACTCTCTGACCGAGGCTCTGAGCTCCTTGATGGTTGTCAAACGACAAATAGTTGCCTCCTTGTCCGTATACTCGTATTCAACTCCGTCCGAGGCAAGTTCTCTCGAGGGCGAAGCAGCCCTCTGAGCTTGTGGCAACATGGCGGTGATCTTCCGTGTCTTCGCATCAGTCCGAACCAAGCTGTTCTCATATGGTTTTCGTGTGCTGCTCTGCATAGTCGCAGAACGTTGAAGAGCAGGCGATGATGCTGAAGGTCCCTCGGGGACCGTGTTCAACTTCGAGATGGTGGGCGTCTTTGCGCCGCTCAAGAGACTTTGTGTCATGAAAGTTCGGCTTGTGTCGACTTTACCGAGACGCTGGCGAATGTCGTCGCAGACCAGCTCAATGATCTCCTCTTCGTTCAGAAAGTTGACCTCGCGCTTCGTCGGGTGCACGTTGACATCCACACGGGCCGGGTCGATTTCGAGACTGAGGTAAACAAAGGGCTTCCCACCCTTGGGTAGGAACGCAGCGTATGTCTGTTCGACGGCCTTCTTGATCGCAGACGAGTCCACGGATCGATGGTTGATAAATAGCAGGAACGTAGTCCGCTTGGCACTGTGGTTTGCATTGCTGACAAGAGCGTCCGCCTTGAAGCCATACTGTTCATTCGTAAGCTGAAAATCGATCAAGTCGTTCGCAACTGCATTGTTGTGCGTGAGGCGAATGCGATCACGAATGCTTGCAGTGGCCGGGACAGCGATCCCAGCACCAGAGTCGCCATGCTTTTTGCAAGAGAAGGCTACACCCTGACAATGGACTGCGTACTTGCCGACGAGATCGGCTATCTTAGCGTACTCCTCGCTTGATGAACGGAAGGCGCGACGACGAGTTGGAACATTGTAAAAGAGGTCCTCAACGGTGATTTGAGTCCCTTGTCGGCCAGCACAAGCCTTGGGATCGGCATTTTGACCAGCCTTCGCAGGCGTGAGCTTGCCGCCGGCGTAGTGGGCTTTCCAGGCGCAACTGGAATCTGCAGTCTTGGTAGTGACGGCAAGATGGGCGATGTGGCTGATACTTGCAAGAGCCTCGCCACGGAAACCATAGGTACCGATAGCCTGAAGATCCTCGAATGCCTTCAACTTGGACGTCGTGAACCTCTCGCAGAGAATGGGCAGATCGTCCTTGCTGATGCCGGAGCCATTGTCGGTGATCTGAAGAAGCTTGAGACCACCATCCTTGACGACAATCTCCAAGCTTGTTGAGCCAGCATCAACGGCGTTCTCAATCAGTTCCTTGAGGGCGTGGACAGGAGCCACAATGATCTCTCCGGCAGCGATCTTGTTGACCACATCTTGGTGCAGTGCACGGATCCGGCGTGGCGGTTCGAGCTCATCGGCCTTGCGCTTGGTACCTCGCGGCGGTGACGAGGACATGTGGACGTCCATGGTGCCTCATGTCTTGAACCTGTCGTTTGGTGGGAGAGGCATCAAGTGACGCTGGAAGGAAGTTGAAAGTGGCATGGGGAAGAACGCGTCCCAGTCGCGTGGTGGCGCTAGGAGTGCATGGATTCTCGGGCCGATCCGGCGGGTCGTGCTCGGTTTGTTCCCTCGCACATGCAAACTTCTCGGCTCTTGTGGCACAGCCATGGCCAGTGCCATCACCACCAGAGAGCCTGGAAAGTGGCAGAAGGTCTGCAAAAATTGGAGAGGGGGCAAGCTGCTCTTATACCTCTCCGGCACATGCCGCGCTCGGGCCAGAATGAACCACGCAAGCGATACGCCAACCTTGCTCGTCCTGGCACTCTCCTTTGGGAAATCTTTCATGCCCTCATCAAGACATGCCGCCGCTGGCATCCCCCAAGGAACATGAAGGCGCATCCCACGAAGTTTGTCATCTTCCGTCACTCGTTCATCGTCAGGAAAGCCGGCATCGTTGTCATTTGAGGCCCAAATGTAATCAAGACGACGATAGGGGAGCCTCGAGCGGTGCGAGCGTCCACTTTGCACTGTTCTACACGTCCGGCTCACTCGTTTGACCGACCCGAGTCAAGATACGGCTTTGATGACACAGGTCAAGCTTTCATATCAATCATATTTCTTCTGCACTGTTCCCACCAAGACATCAATCTCGGAGGATGACTTGCCTTGCAAAGCCAGGTGAGTCCGCAAATACGAGCCGAGCACTCTGTTCGGTCGACGGACGCAGCATGGAATCATCTTCCCGTTCGAAGCAATATCCTCGCAAACAACCTCCTACCTGAACCCGCACTTACTTGAAGTGTCCTACCGAACGACGATGAGAAATCGATCTGACGGCCCATTGCACCAACACATTCAGATCTTGGGCGTTCTGGACTCGGCATATGCTGTGCGCAATGGCAGTACATCATCAGGTACATGCAAAGACGGCTGAACAGGGTTGAGATATGAGCATTAGCAAAAGCCTCACGGCACATGGAGTACTTCTCTAATCTGAACAATGCTCTAATTCTTTCGATCACTTGCCACTTCGCCGGGCCGCTACGCCCAAATGGAGCAATGTTGCTGTAGGCAAGTACGTTGTAAGTGCCTCCTGCCGACGGCACTGCTGTCCGTAAGATTCGATAGCTGCTTCGACAGTTTCCACTCCCAAGTCTCTGGCTTTACGTTTCGCTCCAATGGCAGTGAAGTCAAGGTCCACCAAGTCATAGCATACTTGGGGGATGGTCCATGTGACGGAAACTCGTCAAATTGCTGGTCGCGGACACGTAGCAATCGCATTTCGACCGATGTTATTCGCTAGGCAATGGACTATGCATTCTCAGACCGGCTTTTCTAGATATCCAAAGGCCAGGAGTAGGACGACGAAGTAAAGTTCAGCTGGCAGCTGCATCATTCTTAGTAGCTGCCAAGGCATTATTGTGGACTCCACCCATTTTGCTAGAGTCGAGCAGTATATGAGGTGCGAGAGATCCGGCCAACGTATTGGCCTTTATCGAAAGGCAAAGTTGTGATATTGTTGTTGTTGTTCACTCAAGTGAACAGCGGATTCAAAGTTTGGAGGCATCGAACGGCCTGATGCCTGAGGCAGGAATAAAAATCTAGACCTCTGCAGTTCTTCAGCTTCACCTCACAACGACACATAACATGGCCTTCAGAAAGAGAAACGTCGCACTCGGACGGACGCCATCATCCAACCCGGCGAGCGATGCAATATCGGACGTACCAGCTGCGGGTGTTCGCCCTTCGCCATTAACTTCACATCCCACCATCTCGACTGGCACTTCCTCACTCGACGGTCTGCTGGGCGGCCATGCAGGCCTCGCACTCGGCTCAAGTCTTCTGATCGAAGAGAGCGGCACGACAGACTTCGCTGGCGCGCTGCTCAGATACTACGCCGCCGAGGGGATATGTCAGGGCCATGTTGTGCACGTCGTGGGCGTTGGCGAGGGATGGGTGCGGGAGCTGCCGGGTGTGTCAGAGGAGAAGAGCCGCGACAAAGCACCGAAGCCTGCTGTCGATGAAGAGAAGATGAAGATTGCGTGGAGATATGAGAGGCTTGGCCAAGCAGGAGAAAGAGGTGCGTGGGATACTGTGCCAAGCGCTCAAGCGCTCCGCATTCCTATGGCATTGTAGGTACCAGAACTGATGGTAAGTACAGCTTTCCCTGATCGTACGCCCGTCTCAACACCCAGCACAACGTCTCAATCAGAGAAGCCTTTCTGCCACACTTTTGACCTCACCAAGCGCATCACCCTCCCAGCAGATGCCAAGGTCAACCACATCCCAATCTCTCCTTCTTCAACATTCGAGAAGATCTGCCAATCGTTGGCGCAAAGTCTGTCATCTTCATCTCCAAACAGCATACATCGGCTAGTACTGCCATCGATACTCAGTCCCGCTCTCTACCCACCAGGCGCGAACCAACCAGAGAATTTCCTTGGTTTCTTCCGCACACTCAGATCGCTTCTTCGACAGCATCCAACTCGTCTGACGGCGATGATCACCCTGCCTCTCGAGCTGTACCCTCGTAGCTCAGGCCTGGTTCGGTGGGCAGAGATCTTGGCCGACGGCGTGATCGAGCTCACACCCTTCCCACATCTGATGGACGCAAGCAACAGCCTTGCCGAAAGTGGCGGGGCCAGAGGCAACGAAGAGCAGCCTCAAGGCATGGTGAAATTCCACAAGCTTCCTATCAACACCGAGCGTGGCGAAGACGGTGCCGGGGCAGGCAATACGCTCGGAGAGGATCTGGCATTTACAGTCAGCCGGAGGAAATTCGTCATCAAGCCCTTCTCTCTACCGCCAATGGAGGGCGATCAAGAGGCTCAGAAGGAGGCTGGAAGACCTACTGCTAAAGATGTAGAGTTCTGAAGACCCAAAAAATTCACTTCATCAATCCTCATCAAACGAACGTCTCTGCATCATATTCTCCAATTCTATATGTTCCGAATACGAAGCATGACTTCCATGACCCATAAATCGAGCATACTGCAATCCGTACGTCGTAGGGAGGCTCGTGGTTCGAGTCCCGCTCCATGCCGCGCGGATCTCGTCGCCTAGACACGAGGAGATGGCGAACCAGGCTAGAAAGAGGACTACGAAACAGAGTAGAAGAATCAATATGAGGAGGAAGGTGTTCATGATGGGTTTGTGATGATTTTTGAGAGGAAGGTTTGAGGTCGACTCGAGGGGAATGTTTTGCTTTGGGGAGGTCCGCGCGGGTTTGGGGCTTTCTGCTGCTGGGGTTCGACTTCACCTCCTCATCAACGACAACAACACCAGCATCTCGCTTTATCAATGGCCATCCGATCATACGCCGGTAGCACTTGAGTGGTGAGATACAGCATAGCTGTAATGACTGGGGACTATGCACCCTTGGAATCGTGTCTTCCCTGATGACAACGGCTGAACCTCCATCTTTCGAAGCCAGATATGATGAGCTTGGATAGAGGAATAAAAGATTCATGCGTGAGCAAAGGCGCCAAAGCTCTATTCCATTGCAAACCTTGCAAATAACTAATAAGCGAGTGTATAAAAGACTAGCTTTTCCCGAGTCTTCCTGGAAACCACCGATAACGAATACCGCCGGCGCTTCTTCAGCCAAACGGACCCAACTCCCGCAGTAAAGAGTCTGCAGCCCCTTCCCAGAGTCGTATGAGCCCATATTGCCTGAGCACCCTGGCGTATCGTACTCTATCCCTGCTTAAGTGCAGAAGTTGAAGTTGACGTTCCATCCACCTCCAGTGTAAAACCCGCCGTTCTTATGGCCGATGCACTGGTCAATGATCTGCGACACAAGTCAGCGAGGACGCTCGTAGTGTCAGCGACATGGTATGGCTCGGATACGAACGTTTTGGGTGGAGTCCCAGCAGCTCTGCTGTGAGGGAAGGTTCTCGCCGTCGATGGAGCCTCGGAAGCCGTTCGAGCCGGTGTAGTACTGGTTTCATGTCAGCGTCGAGGGTTTTGGTGGAGATGGCAGTTTGGGAGTATGGTGCATACCCTGATGCCGTTGGATTGCCATTCGTTGCCGCCGCAGTAGGACTGCGGGTTTTGGTTAGCGAAGTGTGTAGTGCCGGGAAAAGAAGTGTGATCTCTACCTGGCGGAAACTGTACGCGCCATCCCTGTTGAGACAGTTTGTGTCGTGGCCCTGGCTGTAGCATTCTGCGCCGTAGGCGGTTGATGCCAGGAGGGCCGCGACGGGCATGAAGGCAAGAGTAGAGAATTGCATGGTTGCGAATGAATGGCTAAGGTGTGTGGTTGTCGAGATTGTTTGATGTGTTTGTGCTGAAGATGATGACCATTCCAGAGCGTTATTTCCCTCCTCTTATATGTTCAATTTCCTGCTGAGGGTCGGGCCTTGTTTCCTCATGGTAATGATGATTCAATACGAGCGCTCCGATGCACAAGAGCACTGTTCATGTTCCATCGCCCGTCAAGTTGGATCGTGTGTTCAGTCAGACGAGGCTGGCGACGGTCTCCTCACTTGCTGCGGGAATGGACGAGTTTCCTTGATGAGATGACCCTGACACAATTTTCTGGCATCGCACGAAGAGAGAACTTGAAAACGGTCACCTTAGGGATAGTATTCATGTTGTAACATGGAAACAATCCAGAATATTAAACATATGTCGCCTTGCCCAAACCAATCTAGACATTCAGATTGCAATAAACTTGGCAACATGGCGATGTTCTAACAGCTGCACGGGATGCACCTTCCGCTACTCTGTCCTGGATTTCGAAGACGCCATGTCCGAACTCATTACTGTCGAAAGTAGTATGTAAGCGCCAACCCGAATCCACTTCTCAATAGACCAAGTAACAACAGCCGACCCTAACGTGCAGGATCTTGTTCCTTCCTAACATAACATACCAGTAACCCTGGCGCTAAACAGAAGTGGGAATTTCCTCCAGCGTCAGCGTATGTGAGCTCAGGCAACGTTAGTTAGATCGTTCCTATCGAATCCTGATCTAGTACTAGACGAATATGGTAATTCCGTACATGACACTTTGATGACAATAGAAATACAGCGAAGTTCATCTCTAGGTGTGTGATCAGAAATCAGCTCTGCTCAAACACCTGCCTTGCTGCAGCCTCTCTTCAACAAAATACCTTGCAAATGGAATTGTCGAGAGGGTCAGTGGATGTAAGTTTCGATAGGTCGATTACAACAGGCATGAACAGAGTGTCTATGTGCCGTAAAGGCATAGAAATGGTTTAAGTTTAAGCCGCAAGGCTCTAAGGCATCCAGGCAGCCACGCGTGGCTGCCTAAACGTTCTTGGGGAGAGGCGAACATCTCGAACTTCACATGCACAACTTCAAAACTTCACTTCTCTATTCACAATAGCCAACATGGCCGCACCAGTAAGTTCAAATCCACCCCTCCATAAAGAACAAAACACTAACAACCACCGCCCCAGACAATCCAACCCCACCTGACGCACTCCTCCCCAGCAAGCGCAGGAGCAAGCGCAAGCGCAACACAAGTCTTCTCAACACCCGAACTTCTCGAAATGATCTTCCTGCAAGTCAGCGAAGACGACCTCCGAACCGTCTTCCTCAGCCGCCGCGTCAACAATTTCTTCAAAGCCACAATCGAAGGATCCGTCCACTTACAACGAGCACTGTTCCTCCGCTGCGACGTCGCACACCCCACCGTCGAGGAAGAGTCTGGACTCCGTGTAAATCCCCTTTTTGATATCACGGACAGACCGCAAACGAAACGATACATCGAGGCCTACAATTTCGGACTCCAGTACGTTCAGGATGTAGGGTTTGATCCGGGGAGTTTAAAAGCGTATAGCGAGTCAGTCGATATTTGGTGCGAGGATGTGATTCTGGAACTCTGCGAGGGACCGCTGGTGGATATGGTGCTTTTGGAGAAGCGAGAGGGAACCCAATTGTGGTTTCAGGTGGGAGTGTATTTTCGGTTGAGGAGGGGAGATGGGCAGTTGCCGGAGGCTGTAAGGGTGCCTGTGGACTTTGAAGAGTGGAAGCAGATTACGGTTGGGGAGTTGGTTACGAAGGCGAGGAGAAAGCTGGGGGAGTGGTATCCGGAGTATTATGGTGATTCGAAGACGGGAGAGGCGGCTTGAGCGATGAGCGACCCCGATGAAGGGTTGACAAATCTCGAAATAGGAGGCCAACCTTGCGCTGGGGTTCATGGGCATGATTGATTCTCTAGAATCGACTTCGCCTTGCCTGCACTTCGGGGATTCGAAGTTACTCTTTCTCCTGGTCCTCCCAGAAGACAAGGCATCTATCAGTACAACGTCAGCAAAAATCATTCATATCCCTGACGTTCAGTGTCCCGACTTACCTGACTTCCACACTCTCCCTAGTTGGTCCATGATCCCCGGGGGTCTTCATAGCACTATGTGGCGCCCTCCTCGCCCGTCCATCCTTCTTGGAATCAAAACACTTAATCAACAGCGCCTCGTCAGGCTGCATCTCACTGGGCCAATACCACTTATGACCCTCCCCACGTTGCAGATACCAAAGGCCCACATCAATCACCTTGTCAGGCACTCCATCTTTAGGTCGGACCACATGCAACCAAACTTGCTGAAGATCTGAGTCTGGCACGCTTCGTGCGTCACAAACAGCCAAGGGCTCGCGAGTGACGGGTTTGAGGGGTCGCCAGACGTTGATGATGCCCCATCTCGTCTTGGCTTTTGGCGCGAGCTGGGGTGCATCAGGGATGTCACCGAGGACTTGCTCGGCTCCGTGGTAGGATTGATCTAGTGCGGTTTTTGTCAGCCGCGCATTCGCATTTGGGTTGTTGGTGTCAGACGGCGGTTTCTTACCGATGTGCGCTATCATGGCGGGGGTTTGCAGAGAGCATTCCTCTTCGTCTGGGGTCTCCTTAGGGATGTCGAGGACGGCTTGGTAGGGCTCTTTGCGGACGATGTGACTGAAGATGTGGACGTGGGTGGCTCCTGTGCTGTAGTGCATGTTAGTTGGGTTTGCCGACATAGGAGAAGTGCGAGAACGTACGCCTTTTTTAGAAGCTCCTTGACTTCGCGATATCCTTCTTCTCTGAACTTTGCATCGTCGCTGTATACTTCCTCAGGAATGGGGGCAGCTTTGAGGAGCTGAAAGCCATGGGTATCGACGTCGAACTCATCTTCGTGGCCGCGGATATCAGTCACTTGCTCAGTGTGAGGCTCGAACGTGTGGCGCCGGTATCCGACTGTCTTTGGGTTGAAAAGACGCTCTGGTTCGCCATCTTTCAAATGTGGGATATAGTTAAAGGTGGTCTCGATGGTGCCTGGAGGCAGCTCGGTGGAGTGAGGCATTTCGTTGAGCGGATTTTGTAGTTATGAGGTGTGCAAAGGGCTGAGAGGAAGTAAAAGGTCTCGGTAACCCAAGGTAGATGGCCTCCTATAAGTACACGTCGTACGCGACAGGATTGTTGGCTTGTCGCATGTGGTCTGACAGGGACAACTTGTGTCACGTCGAGAGGTAGGTGCTCACTCCCTTCGTACGGCTCGCACCTTGGAGAGGACCAGGATCCGCGTATATCACATAAGCTACTACCTATTGGAGTTTTGCGTATTCTAGGATCGAATCCTGCATCCTTTCATCAGTGCCGGCGAGAGAATGTTTCCGCCGACCCAATGAGGCTCGGCGAGAGTCGCAAAAGGTGCCTATTGTTGACATGCACCAATTCGCAGGACTAGTAAGAGGTCAAACTTGCCCTAGGTGTGGTCGGCGAGCTGAGCACAATGTGCGGAAGCTGGCAGTCCCGAGGTCGCCTGTCAACATCGATGACCCTGCTTGTTGCTTCGGGTGTTCGTACGAAGTAGACGTACGCCTTCCGGAGGAGAAACCTAGAGGTAACGCGGTCAATGATGGATTTGTTGATGATGATGTACGATCTCGGGGCACTAGATTTGATCAGCGCCGTCGGTGACGTCGGTCAAAGCTCTGCTCGGGCCCGGGGTCGTGAGACCGAAACCCTTATCAGAAACAACAACACATGTTGCTGTCCATTCCATCGAAAACAAAACCGAGACCAGTATCATCGTCACAAGATTGGGCGAAAAACATGGAGACGTCGGTGCTCAGGCCCTGTCTTGAACGCGAAGCCGACTATATGCGAGAAGACCACCCACGATGACAAGGAACGTTCTAAGAATCAGGTCCTAAGCAACACTTAAGCCGCGAGGTGGCAGAAAACCATCAGGCATACGGGCTATGCTGGCGATAACTGTCGTGAGCGAGGCTCCATCTTGACTACCGCGCCATAATAGATATTTCGACGCGAGATGAGCTTTAGCCATAGACTTTTAACGAAGCAGGCCTCTTATGCATGACTTTTTACTACAGATGGCGGTGCTCATTCCGATGGACCTAAGCGATACTAACTGTAATGTACATCGAAGGCGGACGCTCAGCGCGTGGGTTCAGCTATTCCGGTCCTAAACAGTCTTGGCCCATCCTACCTGTGAAAATCACGAAGGGTATTATCCTGCCGATCGGGTTTAGCCAGCCATCTGGAATTGAGATCATGGTTGGAAGCGTCAGTCCTGCGGTTGTTTTCTTGACATTCACTCCATTGGTAAGTTAAACGACGCAACATCTGACACTTCGCAGCTCGCTGACTCGTCCAAGATTTACATAATTGGCCATCTGGTCTATGCCTTGTATCTGTCCCCGTATGGCAGGTTTCCAGGTCCCTTCTGGGCTAAACTGACTCCGCTGTGGCTCACACTGCAATGTCGTCGACTCCATCGATCGGAGGTGGTATCAAACCTGCACAAGAAATGTGGCGACGCCGTCCGCATTGGACCAAGACACATCTCTATTGTACATCCTGTGGCTATGACTGAAGTGTACGGTCATCGTGCAGGTTTGGTCAATTCGCCCTTCTACGATGCGTTCGTCCAAGTGAGACCTGTGCTCTTTTACATCACCAACGTCGAGTTTCACCAGGCGGGGCGGAAATGGCTCAATCCCAGCCTTCTCATCTCGTGCTTTGAGTGCTTTCGAGCCACATATGAATCACAACATTCTTGCCTTCAAGAATCGTTTGCAAGCCTTGTCCATGAATGCTGCATCTAGTGTGAACATGGTCGTGGAGAGTACGTGAACATTTGCCATCCATGGCGAGGCTATATACGATATACTAATACAGAAACAGCTGACTACCTCGCCTTTGATGTTATTGGCGATTTCGCGTGTGGACAGCCTTTTGGATTCCTGAAAAAGGGCTATGGCCCTTTCGGCCTGGTCTCAATCATCGACCGACGAGGCGAGGTGTTAAATGCTCTTGGAACTATGCAACTTGCACTTCGGCCATGGATGAATTATTTCTATGTTGATGGATTCTGGCCCTCTGGTCTACGTGCTCGCTCCGGACTCGAACATTTTGGACGCCAAGCATTCCAGCGTCGACAGCAGGAAAAGTCAGGTCGAAGCGACCTGTTGACGTACTTGCTCGCCTCCGTGAATGCCAGGGACAGACAATCAATTCCCGAGGAGGAAGTCATTGCTGAGGCTATCAGCTTCATCGTGGGTGGAAGCGATACTACAAGCAGCACAATGGCAACATTCTTTGATAACGTTGCCAGGGACCAGAAGATGCAGCGCAGGTTGCAGGACGAGCTGGATGAAGTGTTTGTACAGCCACTTGATGATAATTGGGTAGCGCCAGATGCAAAAGTCAGCAAACTTGTGCTGTTGCAAGCAGCGCTACGCGAAGCGATGCGAGTACGGCCAACAAGCTCAACGGGCTTGGAGAGGCTCGTGGGCAAAGGTGGAAAACGGATTGCTGGCCTTTGGCTGCCTGAATATGTGAGTGTCATGTGATACGAGAATACTTTGCAAGCTAAGTGACATTCAGACAATAGTCAGTGTTCCAACGTACGATACCATGCACGACGCGGCAATATTTCCAAATCCATCAGAATTCGACATGGATCGCTGGCTTCACCCCGAGTCTGGTCAGCTTCTCGAGCACTTTGTTCCGTTCTCGACGGGACATCGTGCATGCATTGGAAGAAAGTAAGTGTGTTGTCTCTTCAACGGTTTGCTTCGTCTCCAATTATGTGGCCCTGACTATTGGTGTAGCTTCGCCTGGATGGAGATTTCCAAAACAATTGCAAACGTGATGAGGCCCATGCCATCGGCAGTGTCACGAGGTGCATCTGCCGCGGCCTCATTCACCGGGCTCGCGCTACGATTTCCTGTATCATGGGCGTCGCCAGCACTGCCTGTGGGGGCCCTCAGGTCCGAGAAGGGCGGCGACAGCGCTGTATACTGCGGCCCTGCTGCCACGCGCTGCAGCATCTGCTCAACCGCCTCCAGACGAGCCTCGAGCTGCTGCGTCAGGTCCCGGATGCCCTGGTTGGAGGCGATGATGGACGGGGTCAAGACTCACATGCCAGTACGGTTCGCTGTCGCTTCGTCGTCCGGGGCATCCGCAGGCTGCGGCTCATCCGCTCGAGGCGCTCGGAGCCCGAGGTCGGCGATCTGCGTATTGCGAGACTGTGGGTTTGGCGGCATCGTGGGGTTGCCGTATCGTGCGGAACGAATTGGATGCAAAAAGTGACTGCTTGAGAGTGCTGTGATCGTCGGGGAACGCTTCCGGATTGGGGAACGTTTGCGGCTCAGGGAACATGTTGTGCCTGGGGATCACGTGAGTGCCAAGAAGGCCACATCTTCTGAATTCACAGTCCTTGTAGATACCTGCTCCCGTAATCAATCATCTATGAAGGCCTAATAACCGCTGCACAACAGGTTATGAGCCCGGCGCTCAAGATTGATTCAACCATACTCATTTGATTATCTCTGATTGAGAATCCACAGTACCCTTGTCCTTGTATCTACCTGATCCACCTTGTTCTGCTATGGAGACCCAAACAAGCGAGAAATCTATCAAGTACATCCTCAAGAAGGGAGCCTCCTTTCAAGCATAGAGAGACATGCTTAAGGCCACTCTTGTTGACAAGGATTGTGCAGCATATGTCTTTGAAGACATCCCATGGCTAGCATATAAGCCAAAACCAGAAGCCCCAGAACTATTGCTCCCAATTGCTGTCCCTATTGGAGAACAAGCAGCCGAAAGAGCAAGGACTCAAGCACTGAACACAACTGCTGAAAATGAATACCAGGAGAGGCTGCTGGAGTGGTACAAGAAAGACAGGATTGCCT